ATGCGAGATATCAAACAATGGCGAAAATTGGATTGTATCAAGATCGGTTAGAAGAAATGAAAAATGTTATTAAACATAAAAAATAAAAGTAATTTCGAATATTCAACTTTTCATACAATATCATGAATCTTCTTTCTAAGGGCTAACAAGTAGTCAAATATCATTCAACCACTTTTGTTCTAAAATCTTGCAAGTTTTTGTAACACTCAACCAAAACACTACAAATGTTTCATGCCATATCGTTAACATAACGTGTAAAGTCATCTCTCCCAAGCACCATTCAAAAGAAATTCGAAGGTTTTAAGACTCCAAGTATAATTATGCTTAAAAACCATACAAATGTTTTAGCTTAAAATGACATTTGTGAAGATTCGAATACCTACTTGATTGTAACAGCATTTATATGTATACAAAGCACACAATTCGTTCATGTGTTTCAGATCCATACAAAAGTTCTGTTATGACAAATTATAAAATCAAACATTTAGACGGCTTTAGATGCGACAATCTGTCCACACCTTTGAAGGTGTTTAAAAGTGAATTTGTAAATTTTTCTGCAACATTTCTCAAGGTAAATATTTTGCTTGAACATTTTAATTTCATTGTCTATTTTAAAATTACCTAAATATTATTTTTATGAGATGTTATAAATATTTTTCTCTACTCGATACACATTCATTTTATCATTTCCTTAAATAATATTCATGTTATTCATTTAGAATCGTACTTTAATTTTAATGTATACAATATATAAGATCTACGTATAGAGTGATATTTTAAAAATCTTTGATGCGAAAACATTTTGTTTTGGATTTTTGTAGAATGAATGGCTTCATTTAAGGAAAAAACGAAGAAAATATTTTCGTGAATATCTATGGACTTATTGTAAATCTTTTAACATTAATGTAGATAAAAAAAACCCTAAAGGTCAAAGCCCAACACTTATTTGTACATAATTATTGAGAAATAAAAAATAAGAAAAATTTACGGAGTAGGTAAAAAAATATTTTTGAATGATCTTTAGGAAAATTTCTCCAGTACATTCAGCAACATAAATAAAAATTCAAAATCTTTCAGAATTTTAATTTTTTTCACAGAAAAATATTTTCTGCTATCTACAAGTTTTTCAGAAATAAGTCTAAGGAAAAAAGAAAGAAATAATATCAAGTTCCGTTTATAAATGTCCTTTTAAGAAAAATATTTTATTTTTCTCAAAAATCGTCATTTTTATTCTTGGGAATTTGCAATTAGAAATTAGATATAATAATTAGCTCAATTTTGAATGATTTATTGTCGAAATAAAGTAAATTCGTTCCCAAATCGTTGATTAGCGGACAGGAGAGATAATATCCGAACATTTTCAACGCAAATTAATTCCTCAAACATTGAATTGCTTATGAAGTTAGCAAGCAAAAAAAAAAGAAAAATGTTGGAAAAAGAAACCATCGTTGAAATGCTTCGAAACTAAATCTATGTGTTGGCATTCGTATAAGTACAAACTATACATAGTGTCTGTCGTGTCGTTATAATACATCACCAAATGCTTCTAAACATAAATCTCAAAAAATAATTTTAATGAAAAAAATCTGACAACGTAGCCGAGATCGAGTATTGCGATGGAACATGCTAAACTCCGCCTAGTTGTATCAATACACAAAGTTTACACAAGCACCAGTCAAACAAGCTTTCCTAGATTTCTAGTTTCATTTCAACGTTGATTTCTTCTTTTTTGAGAGGTGGGGATGAAGAGTCATGCAACAGGATTTATGTACGTACAACATGAACTGTGTATGAGTTGGTGAAATATCCGGAGTAGGGAGTATAAAATTCAGTACATGATGCTTTAAAAAAAATCACCTCTTTCAGGTTTTTATGAAAACGATTCCCACAGACAGAAAGGTGCTTGCGTTTCGAGTGGAGGCATTTATTGACCTCTCCGGTGTGTTTCGTTTCTCTTTCGAATTTAGTGTATATTCTCAATTGTGGAATGTATTAAAAATATTTTATTCAGTTTGTTTATTACAAGGGCAAACAATACAACATACATGTAACACTTGAAAAGGAGGTCTATTTGAAAACAAAAACAAAACCTTATCAAGATAGAAGAAAATTTTAATGGCTTTAAACTGAATTCATAAAACAACGGACTTGAAAAATTGTGGAAAATTATTTCAATGAAAGTGTAAGAACTTTTACAAAGGATTAAAGTTTAAAACAACAATAAGAATGATTTTTACAATGAGTTAAATTTTAAATACTTTGTATTAAAATAGAAAAAAAAGGAGAAGTGAAAAAAATTAAGAGAATAAAAAAAGAATAAATTGATGGTGATCGTAGTTTGTTTAAAAACATATTCAAGGATAAAAATAAATTGAGAAAAATATATAATCGTATTGGATTATTCGAGGGAAAATGTTGACGATGGAGACGGATATGAAAGGAGGAATTCTTCATGCTACAATGCCTCCACATCATCCGCCAACTATTCATAATCATTCATCGCCTTACGGATCTTTAGGACCACTTGGAATGATGAATTTACAGCAATCACAGTTAGGACAGTCACAAATGGTTCACCAATCTCATAATATGCCGCACATCACAAGCAGTGCAACGAATTATTCCCAACAAACACATATTCCGGGATCGCATCAACAAAACCCTGGAATGAGCCCCAATCAAACAACTCAACAAACATCTGCCACACAAATTAACAATCACAATCATCACATTACAGCCACCGGTCAAAATCACATGGGATCGAGTGGGAATGGTGGAAGCAAAGCATCACAACAGAACGCTGATCGCGTCAAACGACCAATGAATGCTTTTATGGTTTGGTCTCGCGGCCAACGACGGAAAATGGCATCAGATAACCCAAAAATGCATAATTCTGAGATTTCAAAGCGTCTCGGCGCTCAGTGGAAAGATTTATCAGAAACAGAGAAACGTCCATTTATAGACGAGGCTAAAAGGTTGCGTGCTGTTCATATGAAAGAGCATCCTGATTACAAATATCGTCCACGACGAAAAACAAAGACATTAACGAAAGCTAAAGAAAAATATCCACTTGGCGTTAGCTCATTGATACAGCAATCTGATCATCATCAAAGCAATTCAAGTAATCGCAATGTATCGACGTTGGGAAGTTCTCAACAATCGAATCGTGATATTTATCAAATTACGCCGAACGGTTATATGCCCAATGGTTACATGATGGATCCTACGTATGGTGGAACACAACACAACCCATATATGAGCAATTATCACCGTTACGACATGAATCAGATGCACAATGCAGCAGCAGCCTCGACGGGAACTTACATGAATACATCTGGATATGGAAGCATGTATGGAAACGGATCAGGTGGCCAGCCCTCGCCATATACATTACAACAACCGGGATCGCCATACAATGGAATCCAACAACAACCCTCGTCGCCTTATGGAACACTACAAGGCGGTGGATCTCAAATGTCCTGCCAAAGTCACAGTCCCAGTGAGTCAAGTATCAAATCTGAGCCAGTTTCTCCTTCACCAACAAGCATTGCCACTAATAACAATAATCATGTAATGAAACGAGAATATAATCATCAACCGTCGGTACAACATCACGAACTCAGTCATCTCATGAGCATGTACCAAATTCCCGACGCACTTCCTTCTGTTGAACATCAACGGCTAATTCACTATCAACAGAATGGATCTCCTGATTTACAATCAACATCACAGCAACAACCACAATCATTGCGAATGGCTCCACTTGCGCATATGTGAGATCAACCAACATTCCAATTTCAAACGTCATCATCTATGGAAGCATCGTCAACAATCGCACCATTCGCTCATCGACATTATCCTTTGAAACAAACTTATAGTGATCCATCAACAGATATTCTCCTTATTAATCGCGCTGGCGTTGAAAATGGTTGTGGTGGAATAGTAGATATTTCTGCAATATAAAACAAAAAAGATGTGGGAAAAGATTTCAACCTACGTAAGTGAAATTAAATCAACACACGAAATTCACCAGTTATTATGTCAAACTTATGTATCAAAAGACAACATAAAACTTACAGATAAGTTAAAAGAATGAACAAAAAAAAAGAATAAACAAACAAATCAGTGTTAGATGAGCTGTGTGATATCATAGGAAGATATGTGAGAAGTGGTAACGAAAAACAAAAAAATAAGAATAAAAATTAAGAATTAAGAATGCTCATTTAGTTAACCATCAGAATACAACACGAAAGAAATTACAATTTTAGAGAAATAAAAGCGTAAATTATGACTTCATCTTTTCTAGTGTGAAAACAAAAAAGAATATTAGAAAAATAGCTTATTGATAAGAATTAAAAATAAATAAGAAAAAAGGAAAACTGAGTTGTGAAATAAATGAAAGTACATACCAGGAATAAATAGTTTAAAAATCTTTTAATTTTCTTCATTTTCATCATTTGATTAAAAAGAAAAAATTATTCCAAAGGATTATTCAGTGAGATTTTTCGGCTCTTGAAATGTGAATATTTTAAATAACGCAGATTTATGACAAAAGTCTGCATCAAGATTTGCCGCCGGTTAAAGTTTCCAAAGTCATCCTTTCAACGAGATACTTTTTAAGTTTTTCAAACAAAAAAAAGAAGAAATTGAAATCATGACGACATGAATAAATTAAATTAAAGTACTCACAAATTAAATTTCATTTCTTAAATAAAAAAACATAATATGAGATTCAATCATGAGCCAAGTTTTTATTTTGAATATAAATTTCATTGGAACGAGACAAAATAAACCAGTGACTAATGTACATAGAACCAAATCAAATAATTATTATACCTAAATTTATATTGCTAAAAGTATGTTCTGTAATTATGAAAGAAAAGAAGAAAAACGCTCAATCATTTACAAGTTTGTTCACCGAAAAATTTGATCAAAAATATCAATTAATTAAGAAAAGAACTTTCAGGAAGTACGAAGTTGTGAAAATTAAAATTCAATACATAAGAGAATCATTTTTAAACTTCTTTAGCTCGAGATTTCATCCAAAAGGCACTTAAACAAGCTTTCACATAACGGAAATAAAATTTATTTCTCTTAATTAATTAAACATTCAAATTACTCAGCTCACTGTTTCATTTGTCCCTAACAAACACAAATTCGAATAAGTTTCTTAAGAAATGTTTTCAAACTTCTGATACTTTATTCAAAATGACTGAAAAATCTTTCGTGAAGTGGTAATAATATCTTTAAGATCTTTATGAAAGTTAAACACTTTCAACTAATAATCTGAAGTTTTCTTTTTTGTTACAAAATTTAATTTTTTTATATCGTTGCAAACATTCCGTTGGGGGAAGCAAAAAAAAAATTGGGAAAGGATTATGAAAGTTGCAAGAAATTTCGTAAAATAAAAAGTTTATTATTATCTACTTCTTTTTATTATTATTATCATTATTATTATTATTATCTAAATGTTTGTAATCATACAAACACGTATTTTTAAAGACCAAATAATATTTCTTTTTTAAAAGCATTAACTACCCAAGGTAATGAGTAAATATTTCTTCAGCTTGAAGAAGTATCTATCATAGACAAAACACAAAAAATAACACAAATCGTCAAGCATTTAAAGACTTTGCTTAGATAAGAATATTTTCTTTGCATTTCTCTATACAGTCTTAAGTTTTATGTAAGTTCGTATAACGTATTAAAAATCACGCTGAATCAAAATAGTTTATTCTTGACAGCAAATTTAATTCGATAGAATGATGGCAAACCAATTGATAATTAAGGTTTAATCTCGTCGCATTCTGTTTGCTGTTAAGAATATTTCTTTTGTATCAGTGCACTTATAAAAGAAAACATGAGCGATAGCAAAAAGGAAAGGTATCGTAAAATGAAAGTATCTATTGAGAATTATATTAATTTCATGATGACAAAAAAGAACGCTAGAAATTGTATTATGAATAGTCTTGATTAAAACAAATCTTCAAATAAAAATTGTCAAAATTATTAAAAAAAAAATTAATTCTTTTATCTTTTTTTTCCATATCATTTTCATCATAAGGAAATTGAAATAAATTTCAGATTATCTTTAAAAATGATTAAGTAGGTAGCAACAGGAATATCAATTGAAGGAAATAATAGTTCAACTTTGACCTAAAATATTTTAGGATTCTAAGCTTTATAATGGTAGGTATCGACATGAAAAATGAAATCATCCAGTCTTATATTTTTGTCAGCTTATTAGCTTAAAATTTATTCATTTCGGATGAATATTTCTTCAGCATTATTTATACGCACATTAAACATTATGACGAATTTGATTGCATCAAAGTTTGATGTTATCAAAAAGTTTTTTCGTTAACAACATAAGCTATAAGTAAGCTGAAAGATTTTTATGAACGATTACATCAATTGGTAGAAATTTATTGTTCTATACATAATTTATGCAACCACTTTCAAAGCTTTACGCATGACAGATAAAACATGAAATTTGAGAAAACCGGTGGTCTCAGTTACACAAATATTTTAAAGAAATTGTGATTGCTAAATATGCAGAGATATTTCTGGATTATGTTTTCATACAGACAACAAACTACCGATAAAAAATCCCCTGTGAAAGAAATTCTTGTTAAAACTCTTTTTTGTCCTTTTGAATTTCTTTTTCGAGAGTTAGCTGTAATAAGCAAATTAGCGACCTTTTCGTATTTGTTAACAAAATGCTCGTTTCTCTTGAAGCTTCAGAAAAAAGGTAAGTAAAAGTGTACGCATAATTCTACAAGTAACAAAAAAGTGGGGATAAAGAGAGGCTGAAAACTAAAAATTTTACCTGACCATCTGCACAGGAATTATCAAATAAATTCAGACTTGCGAAAAATTACAAAAATCTTCAATGCCTTACATAGGTTTGTATGTTTAAGCTGCTTTTTTGAAAATTCATTTACACTTGACAAGAAATAAGGAAAACCTTGAAATTTAATTCTTGTTTACTTAGAATTTCATTTTTAGTTTGAATTTATATTCTAAGTCTGGATTTAGGGAGGCTCTCTGGGTATTTAAATGTATGTAGGCCTGATTAAATTTAATTATCAAAACAAAACTTCAACATTCAATATTTTTATTTCTTCTTCAGCATAAATAAAAAATAATTAACATCAATTATATTTAGGAAACGCTTAATGAAAAATAAACATGTTTTTAGAATTTTAATAACTGCAGTTGATTAAAGTAAATTTCATTAAAAAAAATAAAAAATAATTTTCAGTCGTTGTACTAGATTCTCGATTATAGCAGATTTTTAAATATGAAAAACCGTTAATAACCTTTGCTAAACAAAAATTGTTTTCAAATTAAGAAACAAAACTAATGAAAAATTGATGAGCTACAAGAAAATGTCATGTCAACATCAGATGTTGTTTACTCGAATCATTGAGGATAGCTTTCGTCATCCAACAAATCTAAAGTGGATTAAAAAAATCGTGATAGCTAAAATCGATGCATTTATCATAGTCCTAAATAACCTTCAACAACTTTTGCAATGGAGATAATATTAATGCTTACTTATTGTAGCCTCTTATTAATAACTGAATTCTACCTACCTAGGCGATTTTTTTTTCCGAAAGACGAGACAGAAAGGTACTAAAACCAAATAATCAAAAAGTAGTTCAAGGTCTTTCCATTGTAAATGAAAGCGCGCAAACTTTTACCCATTCAAAAATGTGAAAAGAAAACAAACAAAGTATTTAAATGCCTTTGCTCATAGAATGGTAACCAGGCAACATGTTAAGGACGAGTATATTTATGAAAATAATTCTAGTGAAGTCAGTCTTATGTTGTACTTAAAAGTTTGAATACCTTAAAGTTAAAAGTAAAATAAAAATTCTTTAATTTCTTCTAATATTTTACATGATCTGACTAACAGAGACTGAAACTAAATTGTTATTTGAATTGTTCATTGATAATAGATTATTGGAAACAGTTTGAAAGTTTTATTTGTGAATCTAAAGATTTTTTTGTCATTCTTTTTCAATTAAAAGTTTCAGCTAATTGGGTGATCATTTGAATGCACGATTGCAACGATTTTAATAAAACATATTTCATTAGTTAATTATTACAACCAATACTATCTGGTATTTAACTATATTTTATTTTTCTCCCATCACTTCCCATCACCAGCACCGAATTGTGCATTTATATGAATAAGACAAACTTTTCATTTGGTGATGAAACAAAAGAAAAAAATATAAAAACAAAAGATGAAGAGGAAAAACATATTCAAAAGCAACTCGATGCTTACGCAACTCAGAAGATAAATAAGGAAAATGAAAATTTGATTTTGATGACCCAAAATTATCAGAAATATTATGATCAATGTGATTGTAGTTCAATTGCTGTGCCTTCGAAAATTCTAAATAATGCCAAGACGAATTGGATGTCATCTGAGAAGCTTAATGACCTTCGACGTAAAGCACATGATGCAGTAAAAAACCATAAAGTGTTCATTTTAAAAGGATTTTTTCACACAATAAGAAAAGGTTTAATAGATCGTGGTTGGGTGAGTTCTTTTGTTTGTTTAAATATGTACATAAGACGTCAATCGAGTGAAAAATATCAAAACAGGTTGAAAAAATTGATGTGCACAAAGCGCGTACCGTCACAAGCAGCTCTGGTTTCTTATTAGAAGACCTCGTTCAAGCGCTACCACCAAGACGACCCGGAGAATCAAAGAAAGTGTAAGATTTGCTTTTAAATGAAAAAAATATTGTTCAAGTTGAACATTTCAAAACTTAGGCATATTCAAAAATGTGAGCGAAGCATTTTATCGCGATTTCTTGAACATTCTCCTATCGATTTATTGTGGTGTGTACGGAGAGAAAAATCAGGTATTTATTTAATGAAGTATGTCGATCTCTTACATAACTATTCATCATTCAAATTAACAATGGAATAGATTGGACACATCTAACGAAAAACCAAAACATATTGATAAATCGTTTTAACAAATCACCATTCACGTCGAAAGAAGGTTTATGTGCTGCATTAAAAGATTTTCATTGGTTCTATGAAGAGGGAAAGTCAGAGGCATATTTACCTCGATGCTATAACGTATTTAATCCTGACGAATTAAACGAATTTACTGAGAATTTTCGTACGACTGCTTGTATCAGTTTATTGAAATGGCTTGTTGAGACATATGAAGAGAAAGGATCGTATTCACTTTTCAGCGAAGAGGGTCGAGTGCCCTTGAGTAGTATTCAGTTTGCTAATAGTCGATGTAAAGATTATATTGACTGTTGTCTTCACAACGATATTGATACAGAAGGTGACATTAAAATATGGGAACACGATTGGGACGTTTTTCTCACCCATCATTATTTGCTTACACACGAAAAGTCGAAATTCCAAATGCAACAAGACGCTTTCACTTCTCTTGAAGTTATTATCGAAGTTTCACGACAAATTCTCGAGAAAATGAAAATCTTATGGCCACAATATGGACTTGATGGATTATTAAATATTTGGATAATAAAGCCAGGAAATAAATGTCGTGGACGCGGCATCATGTTGATGAACAACATTAAGCAAATCATATCAATCGTCAATCCACCTGTGAGTGCTACCAAGACACGATACGTTGTTCAGAAATATATTGGTAAGTTAAAAGTTAAAGGAAATTAATTCCTAGGTAAACAAAATCTTTTCTAGAACGACCACTGATTATTCATAAAACAAAGTTCGATATCCGACAATGGTTCCTTGTGACTTCGGTTCAACCACTCATTATATGGTTTTACAAAGAAAGTTATTTAAGATTCAGTTCTCAACAGTTCAATTTGTTAAATTATCATGAATCAGTTCATTTAACTAATTATGCAATTCAGAAAAAGTATAGCAATGGACCAAGGGATGATCGCTTGCCTGTGGTAATTTATTGATTCTTAAAAGTTTGTGTCGGTTAAGAATGCCATTCCAAATTTAGGAAAACATGTGGGATTGCCATACATTTCAAGCCTATTTACGTCAGTTAGGAAAGTTTGAATTGTGGGGCGAACGGATATATCCTGGCATGCAACGAGCGATTATAGGAACAATGTTAGCATGTCAAGACAATATGGATCGAAGGCCAAATACATTTGAACTTTATGGTGCTGATTTCATGATAACAGAAGATTTTTATCCATGGCTGATTGAAATTAATGCTTCGCCAGATTTGGCACCATCAACAAGTGTTACAGCGAGACTATGCCCACAAGCTGTTGAAGATACCATTAAAGGTAACCTTTTGACACTCTAAAAGGCCACAGAAAATTAATAAAAATGCATTCAGTTGTGATTGACAGAAGAAATGATCCAGCAGCTGATACAGGATGCTTCGAACAAATTTTTAAACAAATTATTCCAAAAACTCCTGCATACATGGGTAAGATATGCTGAGAAACAAATTCTTCATTTAATCACGTATTTTGTATTAATTTACATTTCTGCCTAGGCTTAAATTTGTCACTCAAAGGTCAACGCATTGTTCCGAAAATAACTCAGAAGCGTGAAGTCAAATGTGAAAGAAGTGAAACGAAATCGCTTCATTCTATTTATACTTTGGCACGTTTAGCATCTTCATCAAACAGGGTGAGAAGAAGTGTTGGATCTTCTACAGGCCCGACAATCATGGACTTTATGCAGTGCATCAATTTCAAATCGAGACTTGATCGTGAACGTGAAATGATTCGTAGAAAAATTAAATCATCGACGCTTTACAGAAAGCCAAGTTTTGCTAAATCTTCTTCAGGATTTAACATTTACAATGGAAACGAAGAGTTTGGGAAAGTTTCTTGTTTAAGTAAAAATGTTAAAGTCAATGACGACATTATTAAAAGTTTAAAATCGCCATTGAACTTGTTGGCTGATGAAGAACTAGAAAACGGAAGTTATGGAGAAGACAAGAAAATTTTGTGTATTGGAAACAAATATTTAGATCTGACATCTAATCATGGCACATCTCCATTGACAAAAACTGTTTCAACACCTTCAATCAATGAAATGATACAAATTGAGCTTTCTGATGACAACAATCACATCACATCAGATTTTACACGAGCAATTTCTCATTCACATTTATCTCCTTCATCACCATCAGTGACTTCATCTCTTAACAAGTTAATTTTAAATAAAACCGAGAATGAGAAAGAAACAAAAGTCGTCGATATGATGATAGACAATGTCAGTCCAATCAAACATGCCGATTCTAAGCTTTCCTCATCTGATGTTATTGAACAACAAAATTGTATTTGCCCGCCATTAATCTCCGATGGTTCGATTAAAAATAAAGACAATCACAATAGTAAGAACACTAAGAGAAGCACTAATTACATGTACTCTATCGGTATGACTGTTGGTAAATACAGTGATGCTCAGAAGACAGAAATTACACTTGACGACTTGTCTAATCGTATGATTAAAACTAAGGAATTAAAATCACAAAATAACTCAAATATCGCTACACCCACATCATCAAAAATAAAGAAAAGCAGCGGAATTTCCTTGCGAAAGAAATCAGTAAATTCCAAGAAATCTCATTAAGGTAAATTTAGATCAAAGAAAAGTGTAGACTAGCCATGGCAATAGAATGTAGTCACTGAAAAGTTATTTAGAAAAGTTTCAACTACATAAAATTGATGTCATTTAAGAGAAAATTTATTAGCTAAATCATTAGATAAAGGCAAGAAATATTAATAATTAGTTACAAATATTGAAGCATCAAGAATTTAATTAATATTAATAACAAATATTTCAAAAGCTTTATTCGAAAACTGCCATCAAAGCTACAATCAAATGATTTGATGAGATATAAATATAAAAGTAAAAGAAAGTTCTTCTCTGTGATGGAATCTCTAAAGAATTACAAGAAAATTATGTCAAATATTTAGCCTCTGTTGCCTTTCTTATTATAATATTGAACTTATTAAAATAACTTTATGAAAAGGAATAAAACGATTTAAAAGTTGATGAAATATTTATTTTATTTGCCATCATTTCAAATGTCATCGTCATAGAAATCGCCGATGTCAGCTTCAACCTCGATATCCTTGAAAAACATAAATTTTTATTATGATTCCTAAAAAAAACTTAATTTCTTACATAATCAGAATGAATTGAACTTTGATCTTCGCAACTCATACAGGTCAGGTAAGCTGTGCCTGAATTGTAACCTTCACACTCGCACAAATGACAAGATTTGACTCGTGAACCAAGCGCAATTCTTTGTGCAAACAGATTTATTCTCATGTCGTTTTCAGTCTTCTTATTGGACTTTTTTAAAGAAAATATCGAGCCGTCTGTTTCAAAAGCTAATGATGAACATTGACGAAGAGGGCTTTCTAATGAAAGCGCATTCCTTCTTAAATTCTCATCTCCAGTTATTTTTGACAGATCCTTTCCGGTGTAAGCATAAAGTTGATCAATTCCAATAACTTTCTTTGAATTAAAAGGATTGTCGGATAAGATATGAAGACTAATGTCATTCTCACGAAGTAATTGAGAAACGGATTTGAAGTCAAACTAAAGAAAGAAGAAACTAATTAAATATGATTGCAATTTATAAAGTTTTTCAATCACCTTCAAAAGATTATATTCGCACTTTCCACACAAAGACAAGACGAAAGTTTTGACTGCAGTTGGTCTGAAAATCAATTTCGAAGCAAATGCAATGGCCGTCAACACATCAGCAGTTCCATTTCCTTCATTAACATGATCAAAGTAAGTTGAGATTCGATCAGCTGTTGTGAAGACATTTCCATTTGATGTGATACTTCGTGGCTGTTGAAACTCTTCAGATCCACCAAAGATCACCACAGAAAATCGATGATGGTCAATTGATGAAAGTTTAAATTCTCTGGTCAATGACATAGCTAAGGTTGATAAAAGTTTTCTCTTTGTATTGTCGGTGTTGCATTTCTTTGCATCTAATAAAAACACGACGTCAACTGCCGGAATCACTTGGTCACCTTTGATTTCAGTGAAAGTACCTTCAGGAATTCTCGAACCATTAGGAAGCTTGCAACTGGAATGAAAGTGAATGATTAAAGTCATTTGAGAAATTCTTTAAATAATTCTTACTTAATGCATGTGTCAGGAACTCTTAAAGGAACATTCGCATACGAACATGCTTCGATGTAAGCAATTCCAGAAGTGCAAGCAGCTTTCTCAGCTTCTTCGTTTGTCAATTGATATCTCGGCTGTTGATTAAGACTCAAACACATTTGATAGAATGGAAGAGAATCAATGATTGAGAAGCAGCTTGCAAAATATGAAGTTTTCATTTTAAACATAATTTCACAACTGACTGATGAATTGACATTGAATTTGTCATCTGTTGATGATAATTCTGATGCAACGCATGAATCTGTTTGCCAACTTTCAATGAATTCTTGCTCGCGTTCGGCTATTACATTGTCTGATTTCATCATGTCATCAAAATGTTCATTATTCATTGTTCCAAGTATGCCTGCGACTTTTCCAAAGAACCATCCACTCAGTTCAATGGTGCACAAGTCAAATTCTAAGTTGCAACGTACAATGAAGCCTTTACGTGATGAAACTGTTATGATGTGAATCTCTCTAATTATCATAAGATCGCCAATTGAAGTTGGCAGCACTGAAGTCAAATTCTCTCCAATATGAATTGCACCTAATGGATCTCCCAATTCGATTTCAATCTTCTCACTTCCAGAATAAATTACGAAAGATTTCTTCGCCAAAGATCCATCTGTGGATGTTGCAGATTTCAAAATCAGTGTAAATTTATTGCTGACAAAATCGTGAGCTAAGAGATGAGAACAATCAGAGTTCAAAATTGTAACAGTTCTCGAATCTTCATTAGATTCAGCGGTGTTTAAATTCAAATTGATTTTATCGAATGTGATGATGTGTTGAGAGCCAACAAGTAAAGCATATGAATTGAAAGGCGGTAGGAAGTTCTGAGGTTCACTTAAAGGTTTGAGGCCGTAGTAAATGTTAAAGATCGAAGTGTTTCTCTTATTGAACAAGAATGATTGCACACCAGTTAAGAGTTTGTATTCAGGAATTTCTTCAAATTGGGGAGTTTCGTTAAACGCATGCCATGCCATTGGAAGTTTCTGTTCCCATTCGATGATTCCCATGTCCGGATCTAAAATGAATTTGGTTTTGGCTTCTCGATAAACGTCGTCAGTCTGTAAAGCATTTTGTGTGATTCGATTGAGCTTCTTTTTGAGAACATCGATGAGTAAATTTATTCGCTTTTCCAATTGAAATTCATTCATAAGCCATGAAATCTTTGCGATGATGTCTTCATATCTCTGGACAGTTTCTTTCAAAGGCTCCACTTTCTGTAACTCCTTCAATTCCAAGCTAACATCAGCGAAAATTTCTTTAATCTCTTTTCCAAACGGAACCATGCTTAAGAACTTTTCTTTCAGGAATTGCCACATAACTCCAGAATATTTACGGAAATTGACGAAGATGTCGTTGTGTTGTAAGTCTTGATATAAAACATCCAAATCGTGAGTAATGTTCGAGACTTTCGAGAAATACGGAGACTCAATGAGTTCGTTTGTGCGATTGTACATGAAATCAAAGACTTCTGTGCTGATTCCCCACACAACAGATTCGATGTAGTGAATGCTGCGAATGATTTGTGGTTCAATATTCTGCAAAATGCGATTCCAATAAACTGAAACTGTGTAAACAAGATTATCCCACATCGACTCGATGTAATTCATAAAAGTAACATGAAGATCTTTCACAAATCTAAAAGGACGATAGAATTTAAATATTTGTCAATTTAGAAATAAATTTCATTCTCACCTGTCATATTTTTCAATTAATATCTCGAGGAACTTTGTGAGATGATCTAATGAGTTGCCTTGCAATAACTGATTGAACATTTCGATGGACTCTTTGTAAGAAACTTTTATCTGTTAGAAATGAAAAGATTTATGAAAAATTGAAGACAGTGATGAAAGATATTAAAATCACCGTGTCTAAGATCCACAAAATTGAATTCTTAAAAGCCAAACTTGATTCTCCGAGAACTTCCCACATCTCTTTGAAGATTCTTGGAATTGTTTGTAAGTGGTCAGTGATGGCAAGTTCATCAAGAACAGTCAACGTGAAGTTTATGAATGATTGAATGTAGAAATCATCAGCATAGTAGGAATTATTCAGAAAAGTTCTAAACGACGACAAATCCTTGTCAATGTCTTTGATCGATGACAAATCTTCAAGAAAATCTTGAGTGAAAGTTTTGGATTCATCCATAACTCCTTTCACTGTATCTTTTGTTTCACTGTATAAAATCCTAATCCAATAATCGATTTCATGGGCAATTGAACTATATCGAGATGTCATAAATGTTTTGATTGAATCTTTAAATTCTTTTCTCAAACTTGGCCGCCAAATCAACTTGCTCGAAATAAGTCTCGAGTGGTTCATCATAAGAAAATAAGAAATGTCGTTAACTCGAACATCGTCATAGTTTCTCCATATGTTGAAGAAAGCACTGCGAGTGTCGGGAATATCTCCGCGAATTTGTAAGTTTTGTGATGCATCTACGAATAAATTTTATTACTTTATAAATGTCTCAAGTTCATCTTTAATCTTACCAAATGTAAAGTTTAAATTTCCATCAATAAAACGATCAATAATGTTCAAAACAAGTGTACCAGCAGACTCATAATCAGGGCTAAAAGCAAATATTTATTAATAAAGAATGAACTTAATTAAGCATCTTAAAATAATTACCTGTCAACATAAATTGTATCGATTGAGTAGATTGGAAAGTTCAAACTTGTCGTTGCATAAACGTCAATCAATTTATTCGGAGTCGATCTCTAGAAATAATAGATTTAAATATTATTCAATGGATAAGTTTTTGTCATCTTTTCACTTACATAAACTTTAATTTTCTTATTATTGATGTCTGCATAAGCTAAAAGTTCCATTTCCTGCTCAGGCAGATAAGCTCGCTTGTACAATCCCGAAGCTTCAATTTTATATTTATTTGGTTTCAAACCGAGAAAACCTGAAAAATTCAAATCAAACTCTGAAGCTTCATGCGACCCTAAAACTGAAATCGAATAATTTTTGTAGCCGACAAAACTAGTTAAGTTGGCAATTTCAGCTGAAAATTTCGCTAGATGACTGCCATCGATGCTGTAATCATATTCGAGGTCAATTCTTGCTTTCTCTGATGCATCGCGTAGTAAAAATCCTGACAATGTCACGTCTTTCTCGAATGAAGGATGTTTCAGCCCAATTGTGAATTTGTGATGATCTTTGGTCTTTGAAAGTGCTTCAAGATCATTCCATTGAATATTTCCTTGAATCGTTTTCAATTCTGTGTCGCGTGCGTTGTCTGAATCTTCATCTACCACTTCATCGTCTTGTTCTGTCTCTGATGCTAAAGTTTTCTTCAATTGAACAGTCAAATCGCCCAGAAATTGATCACTTTTCAAAAGATAAAAACATTTCAGCCAAACATTTCGAGTTGGATAAAACAATTCCAAATTGACTTCTTGGTTCTCAACTGACGCAACAGTTCGATTAAGAAGTTCGATGTTATATCCAAACCAAATATTACTTGCAAGCTCCAATTTTGAACTATGCAAAGTGTTTGACTTGTTCTGATTGTAACTCGATGTCAAAACAATTGTTCTGTTAGGATGAATAGCTGTGAGCTTGTAGTCTTCTTTTCCATCACTGACTTCTACAGTGAACTCTCCAGTTATGTTGAATCGATTGTCTTTGCGTAGATCGAAAAGTTCCAAATGTCTCGTATTCTGAAATTATTTCAATATTTGATAAAGTTTCATCTGAAATAATTTAAAAACTTACAACTTTCGACGTTTTCATTTGGTCGTTCTTCCTCTGATGAGTGTAATGCATGCCTATGGGTGTAAACTCGTTTTCGATGGTTAGATTGATGACATTCTTTGATTCGTCTTCGTCATAAATTTCAGTTTTCGAAGTGTAATGACTGTTGATGATGTTCTTTGAATTATAATCAACTGAAGCGTCGCCTGTTGTGATTTGTGATTTTTCCTATTGACAAAACAAAATTTAATATTTAAGATAAGAAGTCAATTAAGTTATTCACCTTCAAGCCATAAATAATCTGCACAATGTGCTTTGAATATAATGGCAATTCAGTTTTGACTGTGCCCTTCCATTCTCTGTGGTCATTTTGGTTGATAAAAGTGCTTTTTGAATCCAAAAGTGCATAATTTTCAGGCCATGTCGCTTTGATGAACTTTCCACTCTCTTGATCTTGAGCATCGAAATCGAAATTGACATCAAACCAAGAGACATTGAAGACTGGCAACGAACAGTTGATGTAACCTTTCATGTTTGTGATGTCAGCAAATGCCATGTCGCCAATAATAATTTGTTGTGACTCAGGTGAATGAACTGTCGCATGAATAACTTTGAACTCATCTTTGGGAATGAAATTTCCTTTTAAATTGAATGTTTTTTCATTCTCATAGTAAGGTGTTGAGAGTTCCCATAAACAATTCGAGTTCTGATCGAGCGTTTGAAGAGAAAAATTGGATTGCAAAATTTTCGGTGACGTTTTATCTCCCCATTTGAACATAATTTCATTATCAACGTTCTTAAAATCTTTCAACGTTCCCATGGTTTTTAAGTCTGTCGTCGTCATTTCGTTCTCGTATGAAAAATCGACATCGATGAACGAGTCAGGAGAAATCTTTGGTGGGAAATGATTTCCCTTGTAGTTGGCTAATATTTTATGATTTCCTTCGATTGGTTCTGGAAGACTCAACTCGTACTTCAATGTCATGTTCTCGACATTTCTAATATTAAACAACGCATGTGACGAAATCTTCCAAAGATTTTCAACTGACACTAAGAACAAGAAGTCGGTTGCAGTCTTTGATGAATTTCTGTAAATAATTTCAGTTGTGAAATGTTCTTGCTTCGTTTTCCTTTGTGTGAATATCTTCAATTGATAATCTTGTTTCTGTGATTTCTGTAGCCATTTCCAATAACATCCACCATTGCCATTGATCTTCGAAATCTCGTAAGACAATTTAAAATCGCCGTCATTTGCAGTCATCTTCAACCCCGACGAAATGTTCACTCTGTCAATAAAACTTTCCGACCATGGTGTGATCATTTCAAATGAAGCTTCATATTCAGCATTCGACAATGGAGTTAATGTTGTTGAAAGCATAATTTGATTGAGATTTGCCTCGGATGAAAGAATTTTAATGTTGTAAGCCCAATCCATGAGATATTGCACGTAAAGTTCACTTTGGAAGCTGATAAAATCTGAATCTTTGGTTGCCTTTAATTTAATCGATCGTTTCAAATCATCAAACTCCAAATTATAGTCCAATAAAGCGATGACGTCTTCCTGATCTTTGAACACTAAGTCCACGTGAATTGGAAGATTCTTAAGTAACGTCAACTCTCCTTCAAAGGCATGCGGCAACAGTTTGATGAAAATGTGTCCCTTGACAATGAAATTTCCTGGCTGACCTTTCTCTTGCAAAACTCCATTAAATCGTGCATTCGAATATTCTTTCAATGGCGTAGTCAACTCTCCTTCAAACACATTCTCTTGTCTTATTATATTAAATTTCACCATCTCTAAATTATTGAGATGATCTCCGTAAAGAATTTGCAGATTAAATTCAGGATTTTGATGTTCGGTGATGAAAATTTTTGTGTTGAAGTTACGAATTGGGAAAAGGCTTGTCTTGACCATTAAATTTCCGTCGATTATGTCTTTTTGGTCATGATTCCATTCCAATGCAGCTTCAAACTAAGAAAGAATTTAAACACAAATAATTTCATTGATTCATCATATCTTTAATCAACTCACATTGTTCTCTTCATTTTCCTTTTGCAAATTGAAATGACCTGCAATTTTGTTCCGATTCTCAATAACTTTTCTACTCAAGAAGCTTTCAAATGAATAAAATTTGATGACAGGAGATTTGAGATGAAGATTGAAGGAAATGTCGAAGTCCTTGTTTGGCGTTGTTTTCTGAAATTTAATTAAAATTTTAATAAAACTGATTTGAAAATTTATCATTTACTTACATTTACTGCTCCAGATATCATCAAATATGTGTCAAGCCCATCAATAACAAGACGAGAGCTGCAAATTGAACCTTTTAACGTTTCCACTCTGGCTTCAATATTTATTCTCGAAGTGTTTATAGATGGATGTAAAACAACCAATGTGACATCATGAACAGTTGTTGTCTCGTGCAATGGAAGCAAATAACTCATTTTGAATCCATAACTTTTCAGTTTCTTTCCTTCAACTGTACCAATATCAAACTTTGTTGTGAACTCTTTTGCACTCACAAGTTTCATCTTGAAATTGGAAACAATCGATTTAAAATTCTTAATCGGTGTTGCTATTTGAAGTTTATTGGAATAAGAAGAATTTTGATCGGTTTCGAATTTGTTTCGTAAAGTGATTTCTCCATATGGAAGCGAAACCTTTGCGAAGCCGTGATAAGTTTCTCCCACTTGTTGAACTTCATAATTTCCTTCGAATGAATTCCAAAATATTGTGTGCAATTCAAAACGTCCAGTTGTACTGTAAAACTCGTCAAAGCTGTCAATGTCAAGCTTCTTGTCTTCAGAAATTTCATCGCTTTTAATGTCGTCGTCAAGATAAACGTTCTCTCGAATGTAACTTGCCTTTTGTATGCCGAGTTGATTAATTAATTGTGTTTTCGGTTCGCCACACGCTTTAACTCCAACTTTATATTTCCCCAGTTTGAACGTGGACTCAACGTCGTAATTCTGAATGTCCGTGACTTTTATTTTGGTAACCAAACCATTTTCTTCAAAATGTGTGAGTGGCGTGAAGACTTTATAAGAATATTCAAAATCTTTGTAGCTTTTCTGATACCAAACTCCTTTGAATCCCAAGCTTATCTTATTCCAGGCACCTTCAAAATGAATCATGTGTTCCTTGATGGCCCCAATCGCTAAGACTCTCTGAAAGCTTGCTTGGGGTGTTGCAATATAAAACTTTAAGTTAAAATTATTTATCGAAATGAAATCATACAGCATCTCAATTCCCAGCGATCGATTTAGACTTTCTAAGTCAGCAATCAAATAACGCGAACTTTCAACAATTCCAAACTTTCCAAGGAGGTAAGGAAAATTCTTTAATGGCGTTGTTAAATTAAATGAAATCATGTTGTCAAATATCGTTCTCATGTAGCCTTCAATAGCGAAAAGATATAATCGATCATCAATATCGACATCAATAATTCCATAAAGTTGGCGGTTTTTGGTAACGGAAAATTTGGTGATGAAAGCTCCGGTATTGTAGCCTTCAAATGGACTGGAAAATGTCACCGATCCTGTAATGTTCCGATGATGAATGTTTTGAAAATGTTTCCAATTTGAATTCAAAGAGAAGATTCGGAAATCAGTGCTAACAAGATTTTTATGCTTGAATAAAATCACTGAATAAACTTCATCATGTTTTTGAAGATGCTTTAAGTGCGCATGGATGAGTGGAATGTCGGCAACTGTGCTTTGAACGTTCGTCTTTAATTCGGCTGAAAGTTCTCGTTCGTTTAAAAGATAATCGATGAGCAAGTCATAGCTGAGATTTTGTTTCTCCGCCCAATTCATATAAGCGGAAAGCATCAAAAGATTTTCCTTTTGATAAAAGCTTCCGTTTAGCCGATTACTCTTCCAACCATTAAACGGCGTATCGAATTTAAATTCAGCCCAAAGCTTCGTGTGACTTTGAAAATCAGATCCAATGGAATAAGCAATTTCAATTGCTTCATCGGCACTCCATGAAAACTTCAAACTACCCAAATATGGACTTTCATTTGATAAATAAATTTTTCCATTCAATGTTCGTTCGGGATAACTCACAAGAATATTTCCGCTGTACACTTTTGCTTTAATCTGGTCAAACTCATAATTCAATATGAACTTTTGTGACGGATTTCGATTTGCATCCCATTTAAATTCAAGTCCGAAATTATTACTAAATCGTTTCGCAATTCCCCAAGTCTCAAGATGAATGTCACGAATTCGATCCAAATGAACTTCAGCTTTAAGTAAACCATTTCCTTGTAAACTTAAGTTTGTGTTGAGTGAATAAGAAGCTTCTGCCCAATTTAATTCAGTTTGAAGGATGAAAATCTTTGGAGTTTCTTCAAGAGATTGAATCGAAAATGTGTAAGTTTTTTTCTTGTACTCAGTGTTGATTTTAACTTTGAATTCTCGGGGATCTCTTGAATACTTCACAACGCTAGTAATCTCATCGAAGCTGTTACTACTGATGACACTTTTCAATCTATGATATCTCTTTATACTTGACGTTCGATCCTGGTAAAGTCCAACGAATTTGATGTTTTCTCCTGTGAACCATTCGCCATTAACGTCAACGATGTAATCTTTCTTGACACGCTCCTTAATCTTCACAGCTGCAGAACATGAATTCATTTCAGGAATTGATAATGTGAATCTTGTATCAATTCCGAAAAGAGATCCACGTGGAATTAAAACTGAAGCTGTTCCAATGACTTCCTTATTCGTGCTATAACGTAAAAGCATTATGACGTTATGTTCAGTTCCATTCTTATAATGTTCATCATGTTTCACATAAAATTTCAAATCAATATTTGATTTTGGTCGAGTAACTTCGACTGAAAACATTGTGCGGGAGTTTTTACTGTCATCGGAATTTTTGGCAAGAGTCAACTTTGTTTGGAAATTGTACGAAGGATCCTAAAATGAAAACAGAAAAGTTAAAACGGGTTTTGTAATGTTTCTTGTTATACATACAATGAAATCAGGAGCGTTGTTGACGCCAAACTTCGCTTCAATATGACCTTGCGATGATAGCAACGAGCAGTCCGACGCAAAGTTATAATGACTGTAAGCTGAAGAAACAAACTTCAGTGAACCATGATATTCAGTCCGCCCACGCATTCTTTGACTTCTGTTAGCTAACTCGGTATCCACTTCGATAGTTTCTGGCTGTTTTCCTGAAAACTTGTAAGTATATTGCATCTTTGTGGTCAGAGACGTCTCCGTCTTGATAATGTGCCCAATTGCCAAGGATTGCATTTTCTTCGTCTCGAATCTTAGATCCACATCGTGTTGCGTCACGTTATTTTTTTCAATTGTTTTAATCAATCCCGTCATGCCTGCAACTTTTTGATCATTTATGACTAACATGAATCTCGGGTTTATTGAACTTTTCGAGGGCGACAATCTTTTTTTCGATGAACTTAACACGAGTGAGAAATAATTCTTCTCATTGACGCTATACGAGAGATCCATCATTTTAGCATTCGGTGTGCTTCTAATTAAACCATGAGCTGTTTGAGTTTTTTGACCATTTTTAAACATCATCGTTACATTGTGATATTCGTCATCGATTCTGAGTGTTGCTGAGAGTTCACGAGGAATTTTTGAGTTTGGAGTTAAGAAATTCATGGACCCGAATGAAATATTTCCTTTGTTGTTCCATTGATATTCGAAATTGAAAACTTTTGCACTCAAATCAGCTTTGTCGAGATGAATGTCGAAGACTATTGGCCCACTTAGAACAAGACTCGGATACACATTCGATGCATCACTGACATCTGGTACACTGTAATCGATACAAAGTTTCAGTCCAAGCATATCGTCAATCGATGGCCATGTGCAAGTTGAATTCATGTACCGATGAGGTATTCCTCGAAGAAGCATTTCTTGTCCCTCAATATTCCCAATAAGTTGCGAGCGAACACTGAAAATGTCATTTCGATCTTGTGGAAGTTTCACTTTCAATGAAGCTTTTTTAATTCCTTCGATGTTCAAATCAGTTTCGATTCCATAATTTGAAAAAATGTTTGACTTAACTTTAACGTCAGACGAAGCGTGAATCAAATCTATGAGAAGTTTGACATTAAATTCCATCGACAAACTTGGATTAACTTTCCCATGGAAATCTAGAAGATAAGATTCCCAATCTTTCTTATCGTTTATTGATCCGTAATATCTCATGTCAAGGGAATATGCTCCAAAGCCACTTAAGACTAGTGGAAAACCAGTTGAAGTGGGAACTGTGTACGAAGCATCAATCAAAGTTCCCGATTGAATGAAAATTTCTTCTCTTCTCGAAAAAATGTTTTTCACTTTCTCAATCGGCACAAATTTCTTTATTGTGTTGCTAAGTTCGTCAAATCCTTGAAAGTAATGGAAACTAAGATCATTGCCATATATTTTATATTCAAAATATCCCTCTGGGCTGTTGAAATCATAATTCTTCTCAAACGGAAAGCTTTCAATAAGATTTTCTGAAGTTGAAGCAGCTCGCTTCGATCTCAAAACACTGTCGATGATATCATTTTCAAAGTTGAAAAGCTTTTTTATCTTCTCGTAGACGAATCCAAATTTATTCAATAATCGATTGAAGTTTAAAGCTCCCGAAAGGCCGAATATTGACTCGATATAGTTCTCCATACCTTGAAACCGAATGTTGAATTCAAAAGGATTGATTGAGTTGCCAAATAAGTTAATTGTTCCATTAAATGAGATTGATCGTGGCATGTAAGATTCGATACCATAAATGACATCACTTTCACCTGTTATGCCGAAATTATATTCATCGAAGAACAAACTGTATTCATAGTTCTTAGAAAACTTCTGGAAATTCAAATTGAATTTGTCGCTCAGTTTGTCTTCGGTCAAAAGTCCTTGCAATTGAATCTTTTGAGGTGACGAAGTTTTGCCGAGATTCGTCAAATGAGACCAAACATACGAACCAACTTGATTGACTTTTTCGTCAAGTAAAAATCTTTTGATTGTTTGTATTGTCAAATAACTGGGACATTTGATGACTTGTAGGTAAGACGATATTCTGATGTCGACAGAAAGTGTCATATTTCGATAAATGTCCATGAAAAACTCCCTCGAATTTTCACAATTTGTTCTTCGGAATGTTTGAATCACTTGCAGTTTCACTTCTTCACTTTTATCTTCATCTATCAAAATATCTCTCAAAATCATTTCAAAATTCCTACTCAATATTCCAATGTTTCCGATTCCTTTCAATGTCACTATTAACTTTTCGAAAACTTTTCTCACTTTAACATCCGACTTCAAAAGTTCCACAACTTTGTCTTCCAAATATTTTACGATATTGGCAGCACTTTCATTATTGATGCAATTTTTTTGCATGCAAAATGTATGAACGACTGCCGAAGGTATTAAGAGAAAAATTGGATTCTGTTCGACTTCATAATGTTGAATTAAATCGAACATAATTTGAAGAGTTTCATCTTCTGGATGTGGAAGGTAGAAAATTGAATTCATCCAAACTTCTTTTGTTGCTTCATCGATTTTTTGTGATTTATCATTTCCTATGATGAAGTCTTTCATAATTGCAACAGAAGCTGGAGAACCAATGAACGGCAAACTCTCCAACACATGTTTTCTACCTTGGAAACAAATCCCCGCTGATCTGGCAAGCAATTGACGTAGACTGTGAGTTGAAAGTTGTTTGGTGGCTCCAATAAATTTCAGAAAATAATCAGGAAATTCTCTTTGAATGTTTGGAAAACCCAACAGACACATTTGCTTCAGAAAGTCACGGGAAATCTTTAGTTCATTGTGTGTTGGCTTTGGCAAAAATGAATGATCATAAAGAAGGGACGTTCGAGTCCTAATTTCTTCTTGTTCGTCGTCTTCGGTGTTTTGTTCATTCTTATCGATTTCCGCAATTAATTTAATTTTTGATACAGATTTGGCAATGGCTCCACTTGCACCGTTTGAAAATGGAATTAAAATGTGAGACTCTTGGCACTCAATGTATGTGAAGATGTAATTGTCGATAATTTGCTTTAAGGAAAATTGAAAGAAAAGTTAATAAAATTAGAAATGTGGCTTTAGTGATGAATAAAGAAAAATCTTACTTTACAAGTGCTTGAAGAATTGTAAATTGGCCACCATGAAATATCGCTCTGTGCAACATAATTAATTAAAAATGTTAATTAAACGTGAGTAACTTTTTTAGCAACTTTCTTACCCTTCGAAACTCATAAGGAGCTGTTTGAATGACTGACTTAAATTTGTTGCGATTTCGACATGATGAAATGTCTTTGCTTTTGACAACGTGAATGCTTGTATTTGAAGACCCATCAAATTTATAAGACGTCTCACAAATGCCTGATATATCAGTTTCAGTTGTTTTATGATCGAGATCGAATCTCAGCATTGAATTTTGAAAAGATGAAAGAATTCCGCGTACAAAATTTATAACCCAAGTTTGTTTGTCGTCATTTGGACAAATTTCTTGAATAATTCCATCACGAAAATCAAATCGAACAATCATCCCGTCAATCTCTTTACCAAACTTAACAGATTGTGGGTGAATAATCTTCTCAATGTTTTCAGATTCCGTCGAAGTGTTTTTTGCTTCGTCGTCATCATTATCTTCATCATACTCATAGTCGGCTGATGCAGGCTTTTCATACTTATCAGTAATGTTAACATCACGATTTTTTAAATGAACCGAATTAAGTTTCATTTGGCCCTGGCATTGTGAAAGGAAAACAATTTCTAGCGTAGCACTTATAAACAGTTCAGATTCGGGATCACTGTTATCAGTTCCAGCGAAAAGCGTTTGAAATGATGAATCATAAGAATATTTATAAATATGATTCTTAGAAAAACGAAATTTTTCTTTATCCAACTCGCAATCTGAGAAACCACAAATCTTGGAATCCTTAACAGGATCTAAAATTAACAAAAAGATTCATTTTCATGCTTCACGAAACATTCAGCTTATCTTACTCGCTTTTATTGTAATAAAAAGATGGATTATCAATATAATTATCGTTGGAAATGATTGTTTAATGATCTTATTCATTCCCATGCTTGTTCTCATTTTCTTCTTCTGTATAGATAAGCACCGGTGGGTTGCTATTTTCTACATACACTCACTCAATTTATTGCAACCAAATGAATAAAATTAAATTGTCTAGCACTTTTTCTTTGTATTCCTGTCATTGAACTCATCTATAACAATGATCATAAAAGAAGTTGAAAATCTTTTGCCACGTTTAACATTTTTAAGGATCTTTTTCAAATCAATTTGAAACACTGTTTATGTTAAGCTTCCACGTTATGCAAAAATTAATTAATGCTATATTTAGAAATTATTTTAAAATATATATCAAAAGAACACGATTTTACTTAATGAACGACTGTCTACTATGAATTCCTTTACTGAAATGATCGTCTGGAGCATATATTTTTAAAAATAATCTCGTTATCACTGATTGTTATTGTTTAAGGGTCAGAAGATGTTGATAGGAGAACCGAACAAAGGTCATCGAACGTAAAACTTTGATATTTTTGTTACAATCTTTCTTACTCAACCATTCAACATTTTTTATTTATGTTAGGAAAGTTGCATTTTAATTTAGACAAAAAGAGAAATTTGTAATAAAAACATTTTTTATGTTGTGAAATCTTTGCTTTATTTGCATACTCAGTAATAAATTAAGAAGTGACGATTGTGATTCATTCAATTTTTTTGTAAAACTTTGATGTTACCTTTTTCAAATACAATAAGCTCTATCTCATTTTAAATGCAATAAACAATATTAATAATGCAAATGATAAGAAACGATGTGATCAATTGTTTTATGAATTTCTTGTCTATTTGTGTACATAATTTAAATGGGTATAATTATTATCATTCTTATTAAATAATATAATTTCTGTATGTCTTATGGTGCATGGTAAAAAATTTCTTAAAGCAAAAGAAGAATTTCTTTTCATTTTACTAGAAGAAGATTTTTTTTAAATATTTATAATATTTTAATTGGTAATTTAATTTATTTATATAACAGAATATCCGCAAAAATCACAAGAGAAATCGAAAAATCATTCATTAAATTCTTTTTGTTTCTAAATTTTTCATTAACTATTCACTTCTACGAAAATATTTAAAAAATGAGAAATTCTTATTAAGTGTCGGATCCTGCGTTTGATGTGCGTCTTGTCATTCTTTTTATTGATGAACATATTTAACCCATTATTAGGTAGTTAAAATATTATTGTATATTGTAAATGAGATTTCTTAATTACAGGAGACTCAAAATGATTATTCGAAGAGAATTCATTAATTGTGTGTTTATAAGATAAGTTTTTGGTCAGAATTTGTTTGAAATATAAATCAATTTGTGAATCAAACGAAACCAAAAGAACACCTTCCCGAAATTTCTCCAATTCCCTTTAATTTAAGTAATTTTTTTTCGAAAAAAAATCAAAACAATCTTTTAACTCATAAGCGTTTTTCATAAGGATTCATTCTAGATTATTTTAAAGGCTTTCTGCTCTATTTAAGATTTTTACAAAATCTCATTGTCGTTGTGAAAACAAAACGAAATAATTTATTTTATATTATCCTCAAATTTCGGCAACCACACTCCCATTGGATTATTATTTTTGTTTGTTCTCATTAAGTTAATGAGCCCAAGAAATTAAAGATTTAGATTTTCCATCTCTGCTGACAATCGCTTTAACACCTCCTGAGCCACTAAAATGATTGACACCCATTTCGCTGAGAGTTGTTAGAAGCAACATCAAGTTAGATTTCGAATTTTTTAAAGTATCTTTTGCGACTTTGATAAGTGGCGCTTTTGTTTTAGTTGTTTGGGTGTGCCAGACATAAACCTCTGTGCAACCAAGTGCTAACGGTTCAATTTCATTAATCTTCAATCCTATACTTTTCAGAAAAGCATCTTCTTCGTATCCTGCCTTATAAGGCATCGTTGCGTTAGGATATTTCGCCAGATAACCAAGATTCACAGCAAATCCAGCCATATCCACAGGCCATGTACGTTTAGCAGGCCAAGAGTCAAAGAACGCTACAACTTTATTCTGAAAAGATGTTACATAAATTATTCAAGAATAAATTAATAAATAATTTATATTTTTTTTCTCACATTTTTGATAATTGGTGAACTAATGCTGTAATCTCCGATCAATCCCACTGGAAACATTGAAACCTTTTGTGTATGCCTTATTTCAGAGAAAAGTCTCAAGTCAAATGTATTATCATCGTCACCAAAATACAAGACACCATCAGTAATTTTGTTACTTTTAATCCAACTCAAAGCAGCTCGACGATTTGAAACTCCTCGTGGAATAGATTTGTGAGATTTGTACATGAACGGCATTGGACTTGATAAGTGGATATAGGGCAGTCCTTTACGAAAAATATTTTCATTAATAAAGGTGCAAATTCGAAAGATTATTTGTGACTTACCAAGATTACTTAAAAGAGTATCTAATCTAGGATTACAAGATTCTGAATCATCTGCAACTATCCAAACAATATTTTGAACGTGCATAAGTGTTTGGCCTAGTCTTGTCAACTCAGCCATTTGCTCTCGTCTCGGGTATGTTGGTGTTACGAAATATATCTTAGGGAGTTTTTCAACATGACTAGAGGTTTGAGTTGTTGATGTTACAATATTAGATACTGGATCTTGAGGAACGTACACAAACTGTCTTTTATCACTAAAATTCTCTTTGCATACTGTTAATGTGTCATTTTCAATAACTGAAGCAAATTCTTTGTCAATTTGATCTGTAAGTATAATAACAACACAAGAAAACATGCAATAGATGATTTCTCAACTAATGTGATATTGAAGATTGTGCAAAAAAAACATTACAAACCTGTAGCATATGTTGCATATAAGTAAAGCATCAATCCTAAGCACAGCAGCATTATGAACAATTTCCTCGGATGGCAAATATGAAGGAGTTTAGAGATTGAAGAAAAAATCATCACTCGAGAAATATTGATATTCAATGGGAAAATTTTCGTTCACAGAATTTTATTATTTAATCCTATCTATAAAATGATCACTTCATTGAAATTCATTATATTTATGATTCTAACTTAATACATATTTTAATATCGGTGAAATTAGTTTAATCTCTTTAGAGATATTTTAATTTTTACAATTCGATTTTATTTATAAATAGTGAAAACTAACACGTAGTTGTGTACCCAGGATGGCGTTCGGCCGGGGTGCTAAATTGTTCTAAATTTTAATCGCAAGCAATTGATTTGTAAACAATATAAAATAAAATAAAAAGTTGATTAAGCATTAAAGAATAAGTTTTAAGAATCACAAATGGGTCGGACAAGATCAAGAAGTAAATCTCCAAGACGAAAACATAAAAGTAAAAAACATAAAACACGTCGAAGCCGTGAATATTCGAAGTAGTAAAAAGTTTCACTTGAAATATCATCATAAAAATTAATCTTAATAATGTTTAAGTTCTAGAAGATATTCCTATTCTTCAAGCAACAGTGACGATTCATTCAATAATCATCATCATGGAAGAAATAGAAAATCACGTAAAACAGACGAAGTCGAAAGACTTACTGAAATTGAAAGGATAAGGAGAGCAAAAGAAGTAGAAGAACGAATGATTGAAGAAGCTTCTCAGAAAAGGATTGAACTACTCATAAAAAAGCGTGTAGATAGCATACTTGAATCTAAAAAAGAGGAGATTGAAAAAGAAATAAAACAAAAAGTAAGAGGCGACTTTATGAATAAAAAGAGTCAGTGAAGGAACTAAAAATTAATATTTTAAAGGTTGAAGCAGCAAAAATTGAAATGGAAGCTGAATTGATGAAAGAACTTGAAAAAAGACGACAAGAGCGTTATAATGAAGAAAAAAGAAGAGAGGTACGTGTTTATATTTTTGCTGTCTTCTTACTTCCCCCATGATTACAATTAAGTTCTTTCCTAATTTTGCTATGTATATTATATATAAGTTCAATTATTAGAAACGGATTAGAGCAAATCTTGGAAGAAACTTTTTATTGTGTCCTTTAGCAGCTTGCTGGAAAATTTTCAAGATCACACTTGATATGTTTTTGTTAGGTTCAATCCAAAAATTGATTAGCTTCATAGAAACTGTAAAATTTGTCAAAAATTGATCAATTATCTTAACATCAATCAAATCATATGAGTTATTCAATGAAAATACTAAACAAATCTTAAAACAGAATCTTTTATTGATTTTATTGAATCGAACATTATACGAAAAAGAACAAAAAAATACTTAAGAAACTGTAAAATGTATGATAAATTTTTGTACGTAAGAGATGCCAATGGTTTCAAAGGATTGGAAGATGATTTAATGGTCTCATGTAGTGAATAATATCGATATAGATATGTACTATCATAAGCACAACGCCAGTTGACCAGGTATTCGTTGTATATTTTTTAGAAACTTAATCAGTTTAATTATTAAGTCAGTTTATTTTTTGAGCTGTGTTTAAACTCATTCAACAATTGTAAAATTATTTATTGAGATTTTGCGACACCAAACTCAGCCATACTAATAATAATTTTTTTTTCAGTTTTATTTTGTTAGACAGGCAATGAAAAAAGGTTTACTTTTAAATTTATTGAAATCCTGACCAAATTCAGAGCCACTTGATGAGATTTTCTCTGTTACAGACTTATGAAATTTGTTATAATAGAAATCATTTGATAATATAGTTATTCAACATTTTATAGGAAGAAGAGAAAAAAAAGCGTGAAGAATTAGAATACATTCTCGCTGAAAATAATCGGAAAATTGAAGAAGCTCAAAAGAAATTGGTAAGAATAATCATTTTAGATTTATAAAAAAAGCTATGTGACATTAATTTTAACATTTTTCTTTAGGCTGAAGAAAGATTATTAATAATCGAAGAGCAACGCAAAATGGATGAGCAAAGGCAAAAAATGCGAAAAGAACAAGAGAAAAGGATAAAAGAGGAACAGAAAATTATTCTTGGTAAGGGAAATTCGCGTCCAAAACTAAGTTTCAGCATTAAACCGGGAATTTAATATTGCTCCGAGTATTTTATGGTGCAATCTTCCATAAAATTTTATCTAAAACTTTCTTTTTTTCCACCTGCAATGTAAAGTTTTTTGCTCAAAAATAACTTTTTGAATGGACTTTAAAGAATATTTCATTTTCATTATTTAATAAACAAATCATTGCTCTGAAAATTAAATATAAATTTGTTTCAATTACGTAGAAGATTTCAGTGATATATCAATAATATTAAAGGTCACACAAGTTGCTAAACATACCTAATTTTCTTTAAGAATTGATGGCCTTTACAACATCTGAATCAGGTGACTTTTAAAATTTAACGTACTTTATTTGAAAACCAATAAGTTCAAAAGTTTAGTACAAGAAACGGTTTCAAAGGGTAGGAATTTTCAAATCTATCTCTGAGAGAGAAAAAAACAATTTGCAAGTCCCTTCTGAAAAAGTTACAAACTTTAAATTTAAAGCAAAATCTGGAAAGGAGTTTATATATAAGTAGTTATTGCAATCGATTTTAGAGTAAAGTAACTCACATGATTAAACAAATAACAAGTTTAGTTGAAAAACTGTGTTAAACCATACATTGGTAAAAAAATCGATTTTGAACGTGAAATTTAGGAAATTTAGTAGGTAATGAAATACAAATTTATGTTTGTAATTCTAGAACAGAATAACATATGAATCCATGATGAATGTTTTAGTAAAGCTTTTGAATGCTGTGGAATTATCAAACAAAATATTTTTATTTTATTTAATTATAAAGCAGCCACCTGGTGGAAGAGACTGTATGCTAAAAATATCATTGTCTAAAACATCCTAAACCGTTACTGTAAACGAAAAAAAGCTACAAGCAAATGAAATAGAGGCGAGACTGAGAGAATTATCAGATCTTTCTACGCAAAATTTTATATTTCCCAAGTGAAATGAAAAGGAAGCGCAGTAATGTTGATCATGATGACTTCAATAATGCAAAAAATATTCAATGCAATACCCAAAATGGTAATTTCAAACAACTAGAAAATGATCAAGAATGTTGTGATTCTAAAGTTCCATATGAATTCATCCTAACTCGTGAAATTGCTGAAAATGTTGTTTTATGTGACATTTCCGGAAATTATTGGAAGATTGGAGCTCCCATAGGAAAAGGATCTTTTGGCGAGATTTTTCTCGTTTCAAACGATCCTTCACGTGCGGTCAATGTAGAAAATTCTAAGTATGTAACAAAAATAGAACCACACTCCAATGGACCCTTATTCGTGGAAATTCATTGTCTCATGAATGTAAACAAATGCAACAGTAAGAAATTCCTTCTAACTTCACAACTTTATGAAATTATAATTTTCTTTTATTAATTTTAGATGAAGAGGATGAACATATAATAGAAGATCTTGTAGGAATTCCAAAATACATAGCGTCTGGATCACATTACTTCAATAACACTCGTTATCGATTTCTTATCATGCCGCGTTACAAAACTGATTTGCATTCCATCATTAAAAACAGCCGTTTAAATCAGAAGCATTTGCTCATCATTGCCACTCAAATTATTGACGTTTTAAAGCAACTTCATAGTAAAAATTATGTTCATTCTGATATCAAAGCTGAAAATATAATGATCGGTCAATGTGAATCTACTGTCAATAGCAATGAATTCGAACGAAACGGAAAACAACCGTTGAGTGGAACAAATCCCTTTCGTAGTTGTCGATTAAGAAACTTTAGTTTATTTAATAACGAATCTGATAGACGCAATTTACGTCCTATACGAAGTATCGCTTATGCCATGGTGGATGAGAATTCTAAAAGTTCACATACTGTAAATAGTGGCGATGAAAGTGACGAGAAAGACGAGGATTTCGAGTTGTCACCAAGAAAAAGAAAAGCACGTCGACAAGACAACAAAAAGAAAGGAAATTTAAAGAAAAAAGCCTCAAGTAATAAAAATATTGTGTTAAATGCTGAAAAGTCCAGCAAGACAAGTTTTTCTAATCAAGAAACAGATGATCGTGTTTTCATTATTGATTATGGACTCGCAACGAAATTCATTGACACAAATGGAGAACACAAGCCTTTTTGTATGGATCAGAGAAGAGCTCATGATGGAACTTTAGAGTTTACATCACGTGATGCCCATTTTGGTGTGCACTCACGAAGAAGTGACTTAGAATGTCTTGGATATAATTTGGTTTATTGGAGTCAAGGTTTCTTACCATGGAAGGATGACAAATTTAGAGAACAACCTGAAATTGTTCATCGTCTGAAAGAATTCTTTATGACTGATGCAAAGGAAATAATGAAACTCTTGTATGGAAAGAATTGTCCTAAATTCCTCGGAGAGTTCATGCATTATGTAAGCCGTTTGGAATTCGATGAAGAACCAGATTATGATTACTTAAAGGGATTGTTCAAAAAGGAATTCTTAAGACTTGGCTATCAAGAGTCAGATATGAAACTAAACTTAAGTGAACTGAGAAAAGCCTGCAAGCCAAATAGTAAGACTTTTTCAGAAACTGAATTAATGATATCGTCAATCACAGACTTAAAAACTGCACGGCAACTTGGCTTTTTGATTGCAACTGATTCAACAGATGACGTTGAGGTTTTATCAAAACCAAATGATTCAATTGTGATGAATCTTTCCTGCAAGTCTTCCCCAAAAAATCTTCGATCAAATGGGAAAGCCAAAACCAAACGTGCGAAACGACAGCCGAAAGTTACTGAAAAGAAATTAATTGCCGAAAAGCTAGCACAAGGAAAGAAGCTTTCAATCGCTGAAATTTCAACTTTAGATCCAGATCAAATTGCCAGAGAGAGAGCAAATCGAGAATATGAAAAGTTCGATGAAAAAATTTATTATCAAACTCCTAGACGTTTTAAAGGAAATCCAACTTATGCTATTTTGGAGATTCAAAATAAAATGCGAAATAGATTAAGCACTGCTGCTCATCCTCCTATAATTGCACCATCAACGACAGCCGATATTGAACACAACAAAAATACTGTTAAAAGTCATGATGAAAGAGAAAATGACAAATCATTAAATCAGTATCGCTGTAGCGAACTGCAATCAAATCGAAAGAGTCGCGTTGAAAAGCAAACAAGAGCAGCAAGTAATGTTAACAAAAGAAAAGAGAAAAAGCCTGAAAGAAAACAAAAAAGAGGAAAACAAATGCTTAAAATAAAAGATGATATTTCTGCGTTAAAGGATAAGGAAATAACTGCTGTTGAGCATAAAGAGACAAGATTAAAGAAAAATGTTAAAAGTAAGATAAAAGAACTGCCACCGGTTCCGATGGAAATTTCTGAATCATCAAGCAACACTAGTGAAGACACCGCTCAATTTGAACTAAAACGTAAGAGAAAACGTACGAAAATTATGCCATCTGTATTGAAGTCTTCAATTGAAACAGAAGACGATTCAGTTTATTATGATATCCCAGGTGAAGGCTCAAGTGACAGTAGCAGTTTGAAAGATATGTCAGAGGATGAAAATGTACCTAAAATTATTCATCAGACTGGAGACATCCTTTCAGCTGATGAAAATTCAAATCAAGGAAGTACATTTAGTAGAAGTAGTAATAATAACAATAATAAACGAGGAAATCGACGAACTTACTATGCTGACGACGATTACACTGCTTCAGCTGATGAAGTTTCGGATGTTTCTTCTGAAACTAATCTCACAAAATCATCGGCATCGTTCAGACCCAAAAGAAACAGAAAGAATTTCTGGGAAGAACACAAAAATGATAAAATTAGAACTCGCAATCAAAAACGAAGCCGTTCCAAAAGTCGTTCAGCCGGTCAAGTATCAGAAGTTTCAAACTATTCAGACATTTCTGAAGCTTGTAATGATTCAGAGTATCAAATTCCATCTGATGATGAATCACCTGAAGAGCTTGATGATCAAGATGAGGGAAGGGAATTTGGAGATAGTGAAACTGAAGAAAATTACGATGATGAAAGCAATCAAAGTGAAGCAGCTGATAATTCTAATGACTCTGAAGACTCCATAGATATAAAATACAGTCCGATCAAAACAAGACACGCTCGAAAGCGAGTGACATATTTTGATATGAAACATATTCGAGGTACTAATCATTGCTTTCTAAATTATCTCCTCTTATTAATGCATTAAAATTCATTGTTGCAGGACGTCGTATAAACACCATGAACGAAGGTACTCGAAATTTTCGTCTAGTATCAACACAAGGTTAATTGTTAAACATAACATACAGTTTCTTTCAATTCACTGATGTGGAGAAATTACAACATTATCCTTTTTTGTATTTGCCGATCGAAAGAAGAAAACAAGATTTAAAGGCGTTTATTTAAGCTCCTAGCTTTTAAGCGAAAATTATTATTTGAATTTTTTTATAATCTTCTTCACAAAAACTTTCATAAATACCTGCCTAGGTATATAAAATCGTCTTCATAAACTGGATCAAAACGACTACAGTTATTTAACTTTACCAACATTATTTTTACTCTTCATTGCCCTTATTTTTCTTCATTCTTTATTATAGTAAAAATACGTTTGGAAAAGTTAAAAATAGAATTTAAAATTTAAATACATAGATTACTACCTACTTAAGAAAGCCTCTACATCAAGCTCTAAAATAATTTACACAATAAAGAGTAATCTATAATGATAGAAAAAAAATAATTGCAGCATATTTTTATTTTCACTATTTGCATAATTTATGACGATGTGTGGAAGATCTTAGCAAAATTGTATGATTTTTGAATAGTAATATTTGAAGTTCATTCAAAATATGTGATGGCTTCAAAATACTTGGTAGCTATGTATCATCTCAATATGTGGAAAATTTTAAGGATGAAATCATTTAAATCGAAATAAATAAATCAATCATAATGAATAATTGTTAATAACTTTAATTTTTCAGTGTTTTTAGTTTTGAGCCAAATATCTAAATAAAATAAGCATAAAAGAAAGAATGTGAAATTTTCACAAAAACGATAAAAAATTTGTTAAAACTCAGAAAACTCAATCAAGATATTCTCTTATTAATTTCACTAATTTTAAAAAGCAAAGTATTACTGCAGCATGGAGTACATAAAATTGTAGATTAATAACTTGTCGCAGGTTGTTTATAAAGAATTTTTCATTGATATTTTCATTCTTGCTATTTGAAGAAACCTTCAACAGTTGTTTAAATTTGATTTTTAATAAAAGCGCCATCTTCAGTACACTCTTGGAATACTTTCTCAAAAGTATTATACCCACCAATGCAACTTTATTTAAATATCAATAAAAGATTTAAAAGAGACTTAAACGTAATCTTCTGGCAACGACAATAAAACAGTGAATCTCAGTATGAGACTTATGCTGCCTTAAAAGCAATACAACTCTTTTAATAGTGTTATTAATATGTTTTAATAGTTTTTTCTTCAAACTTCAAGTTATTTATAGATTAGCTTATTTTACACAAAAGAACCTTGAATAAAATAAAGAATTTAATAACTGTGAAAAAGAAGATAAGAAAAAGTTCATTGGATTGAAAAGGAATGATCAATTCGTTTTCAAAGTCTTACTCAATGTTAATTTTTGGTTCAGTATTTCGATTGATATATAAGAATCAAAAAAAATTGTCGATTGCTAATCGATATTTTGGAAACTTTAAAAAAACGAACATAAATCAAAAATTATCAGATTTTCCATCAATTAAAAAAAGCAGTATGGAAAGTTTAGAAACAAAATTTTGTTTCTCTGACTATGATTCCATTGGTTTTGATTTGGACAACACAATTGTAAAATACAACATAACGAACATGATCAAAACAGAGTATGAAGTACTCTCAGAATTTCTCGTTGCCAAAGGCTATTCAAAGGAATTTTTAATGAAGCCTTTCGAGGATGGATTCAACTTCTTACAAAAAGGATTAATTCTCGACTTCGAAAAGGGAAATTTACTAAGAATTTGTCCTGATGGTGGAATTCAAATAGCGAGTCATGGTACCAAACTCATGTCAAGAGAAGAAATCATTAAAATATATGGTGAGAAGAAGAGATGGGAAGTTACTGATGAATACTGCAAAGACATGCTTGTCGCATGGAATGGAACTTTAGCCGATTTAATCCGTACCTGTTTGGATTATTTCGACATGCCTGCTGCTCTTGCTTTTGCTCGAATTGTAGACTCGATAGATTTTCAAAATAACGGCCAACCACAATCGAAATATCAAATCTGGCCAGATGTTTTAGCTGGATTATTATCAATGTACAATCGTGATCTCTTTGCTAATAATAAAAGCAAGTACTTCGAAGCTATGAAGAAGAATCCTTCTGACTACATTTATAGGTGCGAACAGAACGTAATTGATTGGTTGAAGAAGTTAAAGGAGAATAAAACGACATTCCTTTTAACTGGATCACATATTGACTTCGCAACATTTACTGCCGAGTTTGCTCTCGGGCCAAACTGGCGCGATTATTTTGATTTTATAATTTGTTTTGCAAAAAAGCCGGGATTTTTTACGATGGATCGTCCATTTTATCAACTCGATGGAATCAGTGAGACTGGAATCATTGATATTGAGAATATGATTCCTGGAAATGTTTACACCCAAGGCAACTTCAAAGATTTAAAAAAGATTATTGGAAAAAATACCAAAACTGAAAATCCCAAGATTGTTTACATTGGCGATAACTTAATACAAGATGTGTTCACACCAAGCAAACATATGAAGATTGATACAATAGCAATTGTTGATGAAATGCAAGCTGAGGGGGTTGATTATAATCCCGAATACGAAATTCTACGCTCGAATTTTTGGGGAAGCTATTTTCATACCAACGGTGACGACACTTTATGGGAACGCATAATTCGAACTCATTCAAAAATTTGTATTCCATCTTTAGACGCAATTGTTTCACATCCTATTGACTATAAATTCAGATGTTTCAATCCTGAAAATCCATCAAGTTGTGGATATTATCCACACGATCCCTTCGACCCTTACACAAATCCAAAATGAGCCTTCATGTCCACATTTAGTAAACATCATAACGCAGCCAAAGTCTCCGCAACATTGCTCAAAATATAATTTAAAATTTTCCTTTTAAAATTGCAAAGAGAAAATAAAAGTTAAACAATATTCGAGTTGATACTTTTTCATGTTTTATTATCTTTTAAGATATTTATAATAAAAAACAAAACACCAGTACATGATTTTCTTTTATATTTTAGACCATTTCTATAGCTAATGCAACTCCCATTCCACCACCAACACATAAACTGGCGACTCCACGTTTCTTTCCAATTCGTTTCAAAGCATATATCAATGTGACAAGGATTCGAGTGCCACTTGCTCCAATAGGATGACCTAGTGCGATTGCCCCTCCATGAATGTTTACTTTTGAGGGATCAATTTTCAGTGCTTTGTTGACTGCCAAAGCTTGAGCAGCGAAAGCTTCATTCAGTTCAAAAATGTCAACTTCTTCAATTTTCCAACCAGCTTTTCTCAAAACTTCTGGAACGGCTGTTATTGGACCTTCATAACAATGAATAATATTTTAAATGTTTTATTTTGTTATAAATTTTTAAATATATTTTTTTTCTTATTTACCTGCACCCATCGTTTTAGGATCACAACCAACTTGGGAGAAAGCAACTATTCTAGCTAAAGGTTGGAGATTCCTTTTTTTAACTTCCATTTCTGATGCTAGAAGAACAGCTGCAGCAGAGTCATTAATCCCACTAGCATTAGCAGCTGTAACCGTGCCATCTTTAATAAAACATGGTCTGAGTTTTGACACAGCTTCAACAGTTGTTCCATGTTTCAGGTACTCGTCCTCTGTAATTGTTACAGACGCTTTCCGACCTGGTACAACTACAGGAACAATTTCATCACTAAAGTAACCAGCCTTTTGAGCTTTTTCAGCAAGATTTTGAGATTTTACAGCTTGCAGATCTTGATCTTCTCTAGAAATTTCGTATTCTTTTCCTAAGAACTCTGCAGTTTCTCCCATATGTATATTGAGCATTCCATCGGTCAATCCATCTACTATCATAGAATCAATCAATGATGTATTTCCCATTTTGGTACCACCACGAAGATGCTAAAAATGATAATGCAGAGAATGGAAGTTTTTGAAAATGTTTTTTACTTACCACAACATGCGGAGCTTTTGTCATGCTTTCTTGTCCTCCGGAAATGACAATACTTGAGTCACCATTCCTTATTGCTTGAAAACCCAATCCAACTGACTTAAGACCAGATCCACAAAGCATATTGATACCATAGGCAGGAACTTCTTTTGGAACTTCTGCTTTAAGTGCTGCTTGACGAGCTGGATTTTGTCCTTGACCAGCTTGAAGTGCTTGTCCCATTACAATTTCGTCGATATCAGTCACTTTAAGATTAGCTCTCTTAACAACTTCTTTGATTACAACAGCACCTAAGTCATGTGCAGCAAGTGTATTGAAACATCCTTGAAAGCTTCCTGTTATGAATTAAATTTCGATTATGATAACTTTTCATCTATGACTTGATTATTTACCAATAGGTGTTCTTGCAGCTGACACTATAAATACTTCGGGAAGTGTTGCCATTTTTTAGAAACAATAAATAATTCTTTTATTCCTGAAGGTTTTTAGAAAGACGTTCAGAGTACTGTTGACGTGTTACTGGTGCTACGCAAACTAAAACCGGTTTTTTCTGTATCTTCTCCGCAGAAAAATTTGAGGTCTATCAAATTATCATAAAAGGTGAAATCTCTGTTTAAATAATAAATGAATGTAAAACTGAATCCAAAGCATCTTACAAAACTGAAAATGTTATATCAATGCCTTTCCCAACATTAACAATATTACTAACACTTTCACAAAAATGTCTAAAAATTATACAACCGCACACAACCAAAACTTGAACAAATAAATAGATAAAGGGAAATCATGAGCAGGAGGATGATCACCGGTTTTTATCATGTCAATCCAAATTTAAGAATTTATATTTAATTGTAATTTACTTTTAATCACGGTTATGTAAAGCTTCTGATCAAAGATATGCACATGCTAATATCTCACATTGAACATCATTCAGCCCCCTGACAATATCACACACAATTTTTCAAACTTAAAGAATCAACATTTTGAAGAATGATACAAAATCTCAATTTTCTTAAAATTCTAAAATCACATATAAAAACATTCTTTAAATTTAAAAGAAGTAGGTAAATTAAAAAATTTAAAGAAATATTTTGACGAAAATCCGGTCCCAACAAACAGAAAGTCTTTCAGATCCTTACAAATGTTTTGATAGTTTGTAAGTCGTACAACAGCAAAATGTTTTGTTAACACCTTTGACAGTAAACACGAACAACAGGTAGTTACTTAGAAATTTTTCGAGCGAGTTTCAACTTTATTCACTCAACATTTTAAGCTTGAAATGGACTGCTGGTTATTTGGGTTTTGTAATGTAATAATGAACCGACTATATCTTACCTGGTATGCTTTCTGATGGAAAAACCATTTTAACTAGTCATTCTCAGTTGTTGGACCGTTCTGTACAGCGGTAATAAAATTCCACCTGAAACCTTAAGGCCTTAAAAATATTATTTAGTGTAATGTAAATTTATCGTTTCTCAATTCTTGGTTCAATTGGAGTGCTACCTTCTAAAATATAAACATTTAACTGTGATATTATCAACAAGAAAGAAGATATTCGATCAAAATAGTGTGTACGATTTACCTTTAAATTATTAAAAAAAAAATATTTACATTAGTGAATTCTAGAGTGTAGTCGTATCTTTTCATTCTCAAATTATTCGGGATCTTAAAACTAAAGCTGATGTTAAAATAATATACTGAACTTATTACTTTTTGAATCCAATAAATTAATAAAATTTTAAAAACAAGGAATTCTTTAAAGTTTCAAAAATTTCTCTTTTTATTTCAATTCGTTTTCGGGTCCATAACCATTCACATTCAATTTATGATAAATCTGATATTATACATAGTAGTTTAGTGGCATCAATCAGCATTGAAACAGAGGGAAAGTGTAGAAAAGCTCAAAACTTAAAAAAAAATAAAACTGTAAAATTTCCATGTGAATGGATTGGATGAAAAAATGGAGACGAAGACAAAACCTATACTCAGCAGTTTTAATTGCCAATCAGAACTCATTTTGAAAAGCAAATGAAGAGTTGTCCCTTGACGTTTCAAGTTCTCGAAATAATTTGTGACGAGAGTGAATTTTAATGACAAAGTTTTAAATTGTGCAAAATCATTGTTTTAGGATATAAACTACAATCGTAACAGCGAAAGTCTACAAATAGATAAATAGAATGAATTTTACAAAAATTACTATTCATTGATCCTGCTAAATATTGAAATAAGGAAATTTTTCGAACAAATCTTGAATCATAGAAAGAATTAAACGAAAGGACAAAAAAGGAAAAAAAAACAACCTGAACAAAAATGTTGGTTGCGGAAAATCAACAAAAAAGATATGTCGTTACTATGTTTTTGGCTACGGCCGGCGCGGGAGAACATTTACTGGGTTCAGACGAGAAAGAGATTATCTATTTGGTATTCGGAATAATCGATTTACAAAAAAAAGAGGTGAGTGACATGAATCGCCGACGACATGTAGAAAAACGACCTGCGTGCCATTAGAGAAATTCCTGATAAACATGTTTTTGGTGTATTAAATGCTTTTTCTTCCATTGGTATCGAATCGTTGCGTGAAATGATGAACACAAAGTGGACGAAGAAAGTTTAAAAGTTTAACATCAACAAAAAGAAAAGAAACAGAGATTTTAGTATAAAAAAATTTTAATCAAAATTGAGAATAACACTACATGAGTATGCGTATCGACGTGCGTTTGTGTGTGTGTTGAAACGGGAAAACACGTATGAATAAAACGAGGATATTCTTTATTATCAATACTAAGCTCTTTTCAGAGATAATAAAAAGATATTCAAATCAAAACTTATAAATTAGATACCTATTTTAAATTAACAGAATTGTTTCATCAGCAGCATTAATTACTCTGATGAATTTTTATAATATTTTCCTTTCTTAGTGTGAGTTTGTGTTGTAGCAGGTGTAAGCTACCGTGTTAAAGATTTTTTCTCGTATTCCATCTTCAAATCAAGGTACAAAAGAAAATTCGAACCAAAGTGTGTCTTTTATCGAACCAGTTAGTTACATGTAACAAATTGGGCATTTTTCTTTCGTAGTTGTCCAGTTTTCGGTTTCTCTATGATTTTGCATTAGATTACTTAATGATTTGAATTGTAATCGCTGATTAAAATCATCAGTTGTTTTGGATATTTATCCCATTCAAATGACACGTGCTTACATATTTCCCTTGATTTTTTTTTATAAATTACAAAGTCGATCGGAAGTTCTTTAATTATATACATTTGTAATTTGTTTCTTTCCTTTCATGCAATGATAAATATTATTATTCATTTTCATACAGACTCTTGGAATAAAACAATACTTAGTGCGACCTGTAGGAACTCAATGTATTAAAACTCCAGTCTTATCTCCAAACACAAGTACAACATCATCAGAAAATGGAAGCATAGCTTCAAGCTCAGCAACTACAGAGCCACTAATATCAGAAGCCGTTCTTCAGTCTGCTGGCCGGACTCTTGCTGATGTTTTAAATGAGGTGAGTAAATTTTATTTTCACAAAATCTTCGAAACATTTTCCAAGTTCTATAAAAAGGAAAAATAATTCCTGAGTGTCAAGTAAATTCGACAAGACTCTTTAATATGTTATTTCTAAAATGTTTCACACTCTACAACCTAATGAGTCTGGGACTTTGGAATAAATTACACAGATATTGTTAAGTCTCATAGATATGCCAATAAAAAAATTTCAAGCAATAAAAAAATTAAAAAAAATCTTTTGACAACATTGTCTTGATGTCTAATTATCAATAATTTAAGCCAGACACATTATTCTGTAGATTACGATAATTATAAAGCAGACATAGTGAATATTTAATTGTCAAAACTTACATTAATAATTTGTTGGCAGTGTCACTCGTATTAAAAAGGTGAATTTTTTGTTCGGGTTTCAAAACGGCATATCATTCTTAGATAAGAAAAGTTTTAGATTAATAGTTAGCCTTTGATATCTTATCAGCTCAAAATGATATTTATTACTCCATCTTAAACAATTTTTCCTCCCCATTTGAATAAGTCGTTTTCTCATGGTTGCTTTTTGCGTAATTTCAATACGCGATGTAAAGAAATCAAAAACTAGCATAAGTAAAAATACTTTTTGTACACAATCCGACTCTCATAACCTCTCATGTTCAAGTAATTATATGTTATGTATCTAATATTTACGTCTAAGTGGAAAACTCAAGCTCATTTTCAGAATTTTAGATATTCATTGCAATTGCTGCTTTTATTACATACTAATAGACGCCCATGACTTAAAACTCTTCAAATATGATCAATTTCCGTGCGTTTTAAGTTTAAAACAAATATCTAGGGTAAACAAGGTATTGTGAACACAAAGTTTTTTGTAAGGTATTGTGAACACACCTAATTTCGAATGCGATTTTCTTCGCTATTTTGCATTCAAATGGATCAAAACTTTGTATAGAAGTAGTTTGAACTATCTACTCTACTTCTATGCAAAGTTTTGATCCATTTGAATGCAAAATAGCGAAGAAAATCGCATTCGAAATTAGGTGTGTTCACAATACCTTACAAAAAACTTTGTGTTCACAATACCTTGTTTTACCCTAATTCATTTTACTTTTAAATCTTTGAACCTTTGATTCTTCTGGTTCCAAGTATTTCAGTCCAAATTCCAAAAATTAAAACGTGAATATTTCTATAGTTTTATATCATGGTAATAAGTATTGTAAATCCTTGCAAGGAAAATCCCAATGTAAAGTCGAATGTTCTGTTTTATTTTCCTACCATTCTTTAATTTTTATAAATATCTACTTATACAACTCTGATGTCAAACATACAACTGATCAACATTCTGCTTAACAATTTTTTTAAATTTCATTTCCATTTTGAACTTTGGCATCAGAAGTAAAAAAAAAACTTGGAGTTGTAGACTACGAGTGCAAATTACTAAAGTATTCAATCAATGACGTGGAGAGTTAAAAGGTTAAAGATTATCTTCATACGTTCACAGTACATCCGTTCATATATGAAATAAATTTAAATACAAAAATGCATGTAAAGACTTCAATGATTCCATTAAGTAATATTCAGATATTCATAGAACTTTGGTTTTAATTGCGTGATTACCTATTTAAATTAAAAACAAAACATGATAGCATTGATATTGGAATTGTTAATAAGTTATATTTAATTGCACCAATAATGCATTTTTAATTATTAAGTCGATAGGTACATTGTATGGAAACGCTTTTATTTATGAGCGGATATTAACTTTTTATCTTATCGATTTTTGCTACTTTTTTTTTCTTTAAAGTTTGACACATACCTGCGTTCTTTGAAGATAGAACAATTTTGCTTAGTTACGGATGGTCAGTTACCATTACGACAATGTCTCCATCCTGAGGCAAGTGCCAAAGATATAGATTTACCACCCTATTATTGGAAATTCAGTGACTTAAAAAAAGAGTATGCGTGTTTTAAATATGGCGATTTGTCGAAAGCACTTGTAGCTGCAAATGATACTAGCATTTTTACAAATGCTTCCAACGTACTGCCAAGTACGTTTTCGGTTGCAGAAATGATGAAAGGTGAGTCTAATTTCTTTGTTTTTAATGTTTTTACTCATTCAGTGCGACAAAATATAATTTTTTTCACATCATCAGTAACGAGTAAACTTTTAAATTATTAAAAAAGGGAGAAAAAATGTTTGAAAGTTAACAACTCATCAGCTAAGAACCAGGAACGTCATTGAAAAATCTTTCAGACGCTTCTATTTTCAAGTCTTAAGATTTATACATTCAGACACTAGTCTCTGTTTTGTTTTTTGTTAATATCTACAAATGATTTAAGCACTTTTATTTTTCTTTAAGAATACGTCCAACATTGACGTCATAAATCCTCACACGTAAACGTTCAAGTTCAATAATTATACAAGATTCGCATAACTTGTCTTTTGTATACTTATTATAACCTTTTTTTGTGATGTGTTTACAATAAAAAACTTAGGTATTAATAGCTAACTTTTTTAAAGACAAATATTTACAATGCTTAAAAAGTTTTCAGTTTTAACTTCAAAGTCTTTAGAATGTTAGAAAATCCGCATAAATTTATTTTAATGAAAGACTGGAGGTACAAAAGTCTACCTTGATATCCTTAAGTTGAACATTGATTAAATTAATAATGCTGTAGATAAATACTTAACTAGTCCAGCATAATTTTTTTTGCTAAGTCAAACAAAATATCTAATTGGATGTAGAATTCCAATCTGTCTTCATACATATTCATTAATCCTAAGTCATAAAAACCCTTGTTCTACTATGTTTTTTAAATGTCAATTATGCTAGTTGCATAAACTTATGGAGTTCAGAAATATTGAACAAAATATTTGACAAAAAAATTATAAAACTTCATCCACAACTGTCGTTTTAGGTGATTTTCGGCATTTTAAACTTTTTATACAAAAAATTAGTTTTAAGAATTGCATCAAAATAATTAAAATATCTTCAAGGATTTTTCTTTGAGTTTAATTTTTAACTTAAATTTGAAATCTCAGTGAATTATTTATCAAGTTTTTCAATTTTTTAATTCTGTTTTTTAATTCCCTGTTCAGAAATGAAACTAAACGAATTTGCAGACAACGAATTTTACATAAAAGAATCCAGAGATATGATAACCATTGTGCAATCAATGATGAATTCAGGTAACTTTTATGATTTCTTCTAATTCAAAGTTTTCTTAAGCATTAACATATCCCTTCACTCTTCTTCTGGATAGGTCACGTTTTTGAAGCGAAGGAAATCATCAACATGTCACTTGAGGCTGGAATCAAGTAAGAACTATTTGAATTTATTAATTAAAAATATTTTACATAATCTAACTAACCGGGAAAATCTTTTTACTTCCAACTTTCTGATTTAAATGGAATTCGGTAATTTATGTTATTGACTTAAATACTAAACATTTTATCATTTGTTCTAATATCCATGAAATATTCATATAGATATCAGAAAAGACACATTTAGTTAAATTATTCATTTTCTCATCAAATGCATTATGCATAAAAAATAGGAAAAGGTTTTGAGTCGCTCTCTTTTACTTTTTTTTCACTTTTTGTTCTCTCTTTTATTTATAATAAAATCGAAATACTCGAACACAAACATATATATTAGTTATTAAACATGGTTTTCCATATTTAAGAGAATGTCTGATAAGTTCGCCTCCGAAAGTGTGTTTGAAAGTACGTGAGAATCGCAGTGCCAGAATTATTTTATTTTATTTATTAGTTGGAAAAATTAAGTTTATCATCTTCTTAGTAAGTAACGACATTCATAAGATAGTTTCTTGTTTTCAAAAATAAAACTCTAAAAGGTAGTTCTTGTGACTTTTCTATAAACATTTCATGAATAAAAAAACCTTATCAGCAATCGTTTCCTTCTTAACCAAAGTTCATCATTTCGAGAGCGATCTTTTTTCTAGAAACAGTCTGCGTTGACTAAATGTACATATTTTCCTACTCTCTTCACATTTTTAACCACGTAGATTCGAAAACAGCTGAGTAAAAAAAATGGTAATGCGCTGACATGTCACAAATTGAGACTCGCTGACGGTTTAACGCATTTCTAAATGATTTGATAAAAAGTTTTAAGTTTCTAAATATTATTTCATAAATATTCATGAAAATAGGTCTAATCCAAATCTTCAAAATATTAAAAATCAAAGTTTATTGTGATTCACATTGTCATCCATTATTCGAGAGACTAAGAAAAGTAAGCTGACAAATAGTTTTGTAAAGTAATGTTTCTGCTTAAAACGACAAAAAAGTTCTCTTTATTTGAAAATGCTGATCATTGTTGTATTTGAAAGAATACTTAGCATAGTAACATTGAAATTGCAATCATGCATTTTTCTTAGCGATAATTATTTTCGTTGCAATATTCTCATTGAAGTGTTAATTGATTTGACTTAATATTCCAAAATTTTCAGTTCAATTGATGATGATATAGATGGGAACTGCATTGTACGAGCTCGAGGACTCCCATGGCAAAGCAGCGATCAAGATATTGCAAAATTTTTCCGTGGCTTGAATGTAGCAAAGTATGAAATTTATTAAGTTAAATATAATTAAAATCATTTGATATTTTTCAACCAAATTAACAGGGGTGGCGTTGCTTTATGTCTTTCACCTCAAGGACGACGTAACGGAGAAGCTTTAATAAGATTTGTGTCCCAAGAACACAGAGACATGGCACTTAAGAGACATAAACACCACATTGGATCACGATACATCGAGGTTTGTTTAATTAAACTGGTTTTACTAAAGAAATATCTTAAAATATGACTTCTAGGTGTATCGAGCATCAGGAGAAGATTTTCTTGCAGTTGCTGGTGGAGCTTCAAATGAAGCGCAAACATTTTTATCGAAAGGTGCTCAAGTTATTATAAGAATGCGAGGTTTACCTTATGATTGTAGTGTAAATCAAGTTGTAAGTGATTATTAAACTAATTTCATTAACTTATTTTATAAACCAAAATAAATTTCTCAGTTGGAATTCTTCGCTAATGGCGAGAACTCGTGTAAAGTGCTTGATGATAGTGAAGGAATTTTATTTGTCAAAAAACCTGATGGTCGTTCAACTGGTGACGCTTTTGTTCTTTTTTCTGAAGAAACTGATGCACCGAAAGCTCTTTCAAAGCATAGAGAATCGATTGGGCAACGTTATATAGAATTATTCAGGTCGACAATTGCTGAGGTTCAACAAGTAAGTTAAAAGTCTTTAAATAAATTTTTAAGGTACATTCACACGTAAGTTTGTTTAAAATAGATTCATTTATAATTGAATGCAAATATATTATTTGTATTCCATTTCCTTTCTTTCAAGCTTTCAATATAATTACTTTGAATTGAATAATTTCAGGTTTTAAATCGTTCAATGGATCCAAAAACATACGAACTAGCCACACCAAAACCTCCATTAATTGCTCAAATCCCTCCAACAATATCTCAAATGCCAATGCTCCCTCAACATGTTATCACAAGTGGAACTGAAAAGAATTGCATTAGATTACGTGGACTTCCGTACGAAGCAAAAGTTGAACATATTTTGCATTTTCTTGAAGATTTTGCAAAGCATATTGTTTACCAAGGCGTTCATTTAGTGTATAACGCTCAAGTGAGTACATCATTTAATTGACTATCGTTATCTTTTCTATTCAGATATTTTAAATTGAATGAAATCAGAAATCGTTTCAAGAGAAACTTAAAGAAAATGTGAATTTCAGGGTCAGTTTAATGGTGAAGCTTTCATCCAAATGGATTCAGAAGTTGCTGCTCAAGCATGCGCTGATCAGAAGCATCATAAACATATGATGTTTGGGAAGAAGCAAAGATACATCGAAGTTTTCCAATGTTCAGGTGAAGACATGAATTTGGTATTGAATGGCGGAGGGTATCATGGAGGGTTTTCCCCCCCGCCTTCCATATCCGCAAAACCACTTGTTTCATCGGGTATGTTACCATCGCGCCCTCAACAACAAGCGCACCATTTGCAAATATCCATTCCACCTCCTTTAACTCTTCCTATCCCACAAGCATCTATTTTTCAAAATGCTACTAGCACAATTGCGGCTGCTAATGTTAATGCTTCTAGCAGTAATCAAAGCTCAACTTCTTTAATTACACAACAACAGCAAGCTCATTTCATAGCACAACAAAATTTATTAGCTCGTCAGCAAGCTGCTGCTGCAGCTCAAATTCAAGCAGTTCAACAGCAATCTTCTGATCCCATGTCTTTCTTTCAAAATTATAACTTTTTTCAGTCGCCACCTTCAGGCACGACTGGAGTTATTCCAGGCAACCCTTATTCATATCCATTGAACCCTCAAGTGCCTCAATTTTATTTCTTGCAACGACCAGCTATGCTTCCAATCGGTTTAATGCCTTCAAGCACACTTGGTCATGCCCAATACCCTGGGCATCTACCGTCGGCATCTAATTACGTCCAACCAACATTTTCCAACCCCGCTGTAGGATCTGTCCAACAGCAGGCATCTCAATTAGCATCTGCCAATACCAAACGCTCTTATGAAAATGCTTTTCGCAATGAAACTGTTAACATGTCGGTAGCTAAAAGAGCTTTTCATGCAAGTTCTCCAAATGCAGGCAACATTTACGGCACATATCCTTATTCTCAGCTTTGAGTTCAGAATTGAATTATTTTCAAACACTTGCAATGTGCTTTGTGCTTCCTAAGAGTTTGCTCATGTTGAATAATTAACAAAACACTTCCCTTTTTTAAATAAGTTTTCATAAAACAATATAAAAAGTTTTCTCTGAAATGGTGTTTTCCATATTCATTTATTTTATTTCTTCTTCCTATTTTCATTATACTTAATATTTCTTTTTTACTTTTTTATATATTTAAAACATGGAAACTTAGTAACTCAATCAAATAATTATTACATATATTATATGAATTAAATTTATTGACTTTACATGCATACATACATATTTACTTATAATCTTCGACTTAAAAAGACATTAGAAGTTGCAATTTTATCGTTTAAGTTTTATTTTATAAGGTTCACGTTTATCTCTAATAACTTTTGTTGCTTTCATTATTGACCACCTATCATTTAATTAAATATGATAAGAGGGCATCAACCCACAATGGAATTTTAAATTTCTTCATTTCCATTCCAATTATCAACATTCTGGTCTTTAAAGTGAAGCGAAGTTGTACAAAGGTGACGGATAAACAAATTTTTTCCGATAAAAATGATTTTTCTATGTCTAGGAAACCCAATTGTTAAATTAATTAATTTACTCGAAAGTTGGGTCGAAAAAAATTGTTTCTTTCTTTCTTCCAAGAGCTTATCTATTCTGTAGATATGTTTAAGTTGATTTATAAATCGTTACATCAACAGAGTACTATTTAGATGATTATTGATGATTTTTTGCTTAAATATTTAATTCTTCAGATGAATTTAACATAAGAAACATAGAAAAAAAGTAATTCATTATAAAACAAAATAAATATTATGGATATCTAACATTTTACGTTCCTAGGATTAATTATAATCATTATTATTTTCTCCTTCCTCCAACATCACATTATTAATATCAATTATTCATAATCACAAAGATAAGATTCATGAACTTAAGCCTTATTGCTTTATATGTATATAAATGCATTAATTTAATGTATTTATATAATAATAGTGGAAATTTACTTTTATTTTTACCTTGCTTTGTATTAAGTACTACTAACAGAACATTTTTCTCTTTTGGGTGTTAATTATATGTTAAGAAATCAAAATCAATTTTTCTTATTATGCATGAGGAGTTTTAACCTCCTTAAATGATAAATTTTTCATATTTTTCTATCATAATGTGCCTTTGATTGTAAGTGTTAGGTACCGGCAGTTATAAGGTGCTAGAACCATCTTTTTTTAATATTAGTTTCATCGAATTCATTTCTAAAAAAAAAGTTATGTAGAAATATGAACTAATTTTCAAATGAATGTTGCCTGTGTCTACATTTAATTAATCTTAGAAATGGATTCTGGTTTAAACTATGTCGTCTTTTTAATTTTGTACTGTTAATTGTCTATTAAAAAGAATTTATGAATATAAATAATAGCAAAGCAACATTCCAATAAAAGTTTTGACGAACATTTTTAATATAAAATTATTAAAAAAAAAACAAATATTATTAATACAATTCTATTATTTATGCATTGCTTTTAAATTTATCAATTCCCCTTTTTAAAACATAAGACAAACACTTAAATTATGTTTGAAAATGGGCTAATGTGAGCCAAACTTAGGTGATAGAAAGTCTTAAGTATTTGATCGTAAATTGCAAAAAACAAACAACACATTTGCTTGGGAGCAGTTTCAATTGCTAGCAATATCTGGAATCGATAATAAAATAATTTGTTTACAGTGGCTTTTTAATTAAAATATTTATATTGGTGTCATTTTTTTTCGGTGGAACGAAAGAAAACAAACATGTAGTGGTCTGGTCGATGGTTTGATTCTAACGGTATAGTTGCATAATTGTTTTCATAATTATTTATTTTATCATCATTGCCTTCTCTCTATAATGGTTCATATCTTGTTTTGTGGTAACAGTTGTACCAGTTAGATACATACATCAATAAGTAAAAGGTAAATTAACTCAGCAGTTTTAATTCCATAATATCTATTCTATTTTTTTTTATCAACGACAGTGAAAGATAAAAGAAAAGCAAAAGTAAAATAAGTTCAAAGTTTAAAGCATACTTATGTCAGGACATAATTAAGGTTGTATGGAAAACTCATTTTAAGTCGACTCATAGTGGAAAGTTTTCTTTTGGTTTTTGGGATGTTTCACCTGGTTTAAACTGAGTTTTATTTATGGTCTTAAATGTTTATGGTATTTTGTGAGTTCTTATATGTATAATACATATTTTCATGGTGAGTGATACAAGAGAAAAAAGCCATCTTTCAATGCATTTTTATATTTCTGTAGAGTAAAAGAAAGATTTAAATGAGAATTTTCTTGTTTCGTACTTTTCAGGAAATAATTTTGGTCCACCAACAAGGAGTTATGCAGCAACATTTAATCCATTTGCAACATTACCACCCACGAATGTTAGAACAGTTCCAGCGATATTTCAATCATCTCCACAATTATTTTATTGGGGATATCCAAATAGTCCTCATAACTCGCCTATTTCTTCGGCGCCTTATTTTGGACCACTTCAAATTCCTCCTCAGACATTCACACACTTCACATCTGATAGAGCAACTCTTGTAAGTTTATTTTATAATTCTGCATTCACATTCCTTTAACCTTATGATTGCATCTCACCCACATCAAATCTTTCTTTCATTTCACAATGTAATCGAATGTTTGTTTATCATTAAACATCTATAAACAACATAACGTTATGGTGTTGAGATAATAAATTTTTCTCTTTTTTCTCTAAACCGCCATCTCCACTCTGCGATCTCAAGGTTCACATTGACAGTTATTTTTAATATCTCATATTCTTCTCATGTTCTGTGCATTACTTCAAGTTGGCTGTAGACGATTCACAATTACAATTGAATGATTCCATCGAATTGCAAGCATCGAAGGCTGGTGGAATGTCTGGAGGAAAAATTCAATACGTAAATAATATCTTAGATCATCAAAAAGCTGCAACAAATGTTACCTATCATAATGATAATAATGAAAATATCATTGAGGATAATAATCAAATATATTATCACTCGAAAGACTTTGGCCATTCTAACAAAAACATAACAAACGAACCAATACCGCACCATCAAGACGAAAATCAGAAGCATCAACAACCAATTAATGATTTGAATAACAACATTGTTCGTTCAGATTATTCTAGCATCGAATTACATAATTACCAATCGCAAATATTTCACCACAAACAATTTCCCTCCCACATCTTTTCTCCCTTAAATATAAATACACAATTTAATCAACCACTTTTTGTAAATCCGTTGAATATGATTCATTCGCCTTTCTTTTCCTCTCCTCATTAGATTATTTTTGTTTTGCATATCGTGAAATGTTTATTAGTTTGAAACCTTTGTTTGAAAGAAAAAAGATATTCATTAAATTGATTATATCTACCAACCTTAATAATTATCGGATAAATTTATTGTGCAATTAATGAATGAAAATTCTTGCCCTAGACATTAATCATTAATTTATAAGTCATCTTGAGTTACTCAATTAATGAAGATCAGACCACCTAATCATAAAAGCAATTTTTGACAAGCAATATACGAGTTTATAAGTTAAGTTTTTAGATTGTTTAAAATGTTAAATGTTTTGTTATTGTGAACCACTGAGAACAAATAAAGAATCAAAATATATTCTCGAACATTAATTATTTATATGCCGTCAATAAAAATATAAAATTAAAGGTAATTTCACCTATTTAATTGGTCTTCACATCAACTTTAAAGTGTTCGAAAAATATTTCGAAATTATTCTCTATCTTATATTTACCAAGCTTTATTGACTATAGATTTTAATCTCTGTCGAATAAAAAGTTCCTAATTGTATTCCATACGATTTCACTTAATCGAATGATAAGTTAAAAGCGTATCATCAAGAAATTTCCACAACCACATGCATGAAAAACACTTAAAACAGAAATATTTCAATAGTATTATCATTTAGCTGCTATGTCTCAAAGACTTGACTACCTACCTGATATTTATTAAAAAAAAATAATTGAAACGGATTTTAAAGTCAATAACTTTGAGTCATCAAGGAAGAAAAAAGCATCAAAGTTGTTAATTAAACATTATCGTAAAATGAATTTTTCAACAAAAGTGTTGCCTGGTGATATTTTTTTCTCTTTTTTCTAAATGTTATTTAAGAGCACGTAAAATATTCCACAAAAGGAAAATTATCAAGAAGTCTGCTAAATGCGATAAGAGACAAAATATGCTTCCTATCAGTCAAAAACAAAAGAAAAAAAAACACCAAAACAATTTCAAAAGCGTTGGAACTGAATACGCAAAAGAAGTTTGACATGAAGTAATAATAAAGTGAGAAGAAAACATTAGCTTGCTTACAAAATGTTAATAAAGCTTGTCATCATTTGGATTTCAATAATATGTTTAGTGTCATGTGGTTGCCATAATCGAGAGAAAAATTTATGTGAATCAATCTGTCAAATAAATTCTAATGGCAATCTCACTTGTGAACTTAGAGGTGCAATTATTCTTCCAGATTTAGATGATATTGAGACTTCCTTAACAAGGGTAAGTAATCCTATTTCCTTTAAAATTTTCTTCACAAATGTCATATGACTTTTTCAACAAGCATTTTGTAATTTTTTAAAAGCTTTCTTAGCTTCACTTTATAAGCTTATCTATCGTAATTTATATGGTGGAAAATATTTATAGAAACATTAATACAACTTCCTAGCTCAATTGAAATTTCATTATCATTATGTTTATTTATATCTGTTGATATCAGTTCACAACGTTGTTATCAATTTTTAGTAGATATTTCTATTTTTAAAATTCAATTTGTATTTTGAGTGAATGGAAGCATTTTAACGTTTAATATACAACAATATAAGAGTGCTTCGATACAACAATTTAAGAGTCGAATTAAAATTAATTAATCACTTGACATGCTTAATTAACCATACACAATTTGTTTCTAAGGTCTCTCCAGTGATAGATATGGCTGAGAGATATATTCGTAAAGAATCGTTAATACCAGAATACGTAGAAATAAAATGGCTGAAGTATGATGATCAATGCGATGCAGCATTAGCCTCGATTTCAGCTTTTGATGCTTATACAAATCAATGTGTACATTTTATAATTGGTCCTTCGTGCGAATATTGTGTTTGTGAGTAGATTTAAATGATATTTTTTATGTCCCATAAATATTCAGAAATATTTGACGTTTCAGCATCTGTCAGTCGTATCACAAAATATTTTTACAACGATGGCATGAATGTCATAACTGGAGGTGCATTTACATTTGATTTTGAAGAACCAAAAACAACCTGCAAAGATCAATTTTATATGCTTAATAGAGTTGGAATTTTAAGCTTTGAAAAGATTTCTAAATTCACTACGACTCTCATGCAAAAATACAATTGGACAAAAGCTGCTGTTCTCTATGACCGCAATGGATATTCAAGAGTTGGGGGAATTCAAACTTGTCACTTGTACGCTTCTTTAACTTAAGAAATTCTTTTAAAATGTTTTTCATTTCATTTCATTGTAGAATGATGAGTTCCATGGTAAAGAATTTTCTAGAAACATCGATTGAATATGTACCAAAAATTATTGATGGATACGAAAACTCAGAAAAGGAGTCAGAAGATTTACTACGTGAAATAGGAATGGCTTATGGAGGTGAGTGATCTTGTTTGTAAATGTATTATCTATTTATTTATGTAGCACAAACTATTATTAAATGTTTATTCTGAAATATTTTATTAATTAAGATTGAAATTATCGATTTTGAATGATCTTTTAAATGAAATGAATTAATGCTAATAATTATTATAATTATTAAGTACCGTCAACTTTATCAATGACTTTGAAATAGTTTTAAAATTCAAATTGATCTTAAGAGGATCATTTTTATTTATTTATGTATAAAAGTTATCCGTGCTATTTTTAAAAGAGAGCACACATTTTCGTACAATATTTTCATGCGAAGAAAATACTTCTCAATTTCATTTACACATCCAGCATTTCCGAATTATAAGCCCACTCTATTTGGTACATTCAACTTTCGATTGTAATGTGTACTGTTCCAGTTTGATGATTGGATTACAAATATTAAGAAAATATTTCCAATGTATCAATCAATCCTTCCGCCTTATCTGCAATCGTGAATTGCAAACGTTTCCCATGCTAATTTCAAGACAGAAGACTTATTTAGCGTTAAAGCACACAATCGTAGGCTTTCTGAACTGTTTCGGGTCTTGCTTGTGTATTGGAATTCCGAAAAAAAAACTTTTGAGAGAATATTTTTACGTTTTTTTCTTTGTGTTGATTTTTTTGTAGATATTTTTTTTGACTATTTTTCTTGTTCAGTGTTTACTTAAACTTCCAGATGACATGAGATTTTATTCGTCGCTGTTTGATTTTAGTTTCAATAATTTAAATAGTTAATGCATTTGATTGGATCATGTAACAGTTGTAAGTGTTTTGTGCACATTTATTAACTTTGTAACAGAAAAAATTGAATGTCATAAGCAAACGTGTCAGTTTTTAGTCAAAATATATATAAAAAGAATATATTTAAGAAACGCGAAGCTGTACAATCAATGTACATTAACTTTTTCTTAAGAAATATGTACTTATTTCAAGGTCGTGAGGAACGTATTTGATTATATTTTTAAAATTTGATAAAGTAATTAACATTGGCGATTTCACACAGCGCTCGTAAGTGATTGTAGTGGCTTAAGAATATTTAATTCTATCAAATGTGGCGCAATCGAAAAGTTCTATTTTTAAACTGCAATAAGCTGCCGACTCTCGGAAATCTTATCGACATAACAACAAGAAATTGTCACTGTGATTCACGGAGAGAAATATTATGTAAATGTTAATTTTACGACTTACATACATAGATATTCAGATATGAATGGAGAAACATTAACGTTTTGGCAATCAGCATTGAAATATCATCGCTTACACTTTGAATTATTGATAGGCTATTAAACGGAAATCTTAGAACAAGAGAAAATTTCTGTTTTTGTAACAGTCGAGTGCCGGTTGTTTTTTATATTCGTGTATTCTCAGTTAGAACATCTGGAATTGAAGTGAAAACCTCAAGTTTATATTTGTGTTGTCTTCCTTGAAGTTCACAAAAATACTCAGTCGGAAGAAGAAGTGTCAAAGCTATTTATATTGTCCACTTTCTTATGATTGTCGCGAAAATTTTCGAGGATGGCTGCATTTGAAATTACAAATTTATGTAAAAAAGTGTTGACTCTTTATTATAAATAATTAATCAAGTCTACAATACAATTGTTCGTTATTTTCCATCGACATCGATATAACGAACTAATTCTTTTGCTGATAACGCTGATCGATGTGATTTGTTTTTAACTCGTTCGTAAGCATATTTACGATGAAAGAAAGTATTTACTTGTTGAAAAGTTCCGTCTGTTTCCTGCGTAAAAAATTAAGTATATTGTGTATCATATATCAATTGTCGTAAGAGAAGAAGAAGAAGACGTTGAAGACTCTTCTTAATTAACGAAACAAAAAGAACATAAGTGATACCATGCAGTTAGCAAGTAAGCGAATAAGTCTCCCTTCTTACACTATGTCGTGTTTATAAATAAAACACAGAATACGACGTTTTATAATGTGAATACATTGCGCGTAGTAGCAGTAAGAAATATTGTTAAAGAGAGCAAAAAGTTTGAGAGAGAAAAAAATAAATTTTACCCTGAAACAGCAGAATAATTTAGTTAATTTTACCATCAGAATTGAGTATTGATTCAAATAATTATTTTCATCGCTTCATAAAACTTGACAATTTAAATACGTAGCTAAGTAAAATTGGTTTGAGTATTTGTAAATCCAACATTATTCAACTCTTATACGAATTCAACGTTTTCAAACAAACAACAGCCATTAACGAAAATCAAATAATTTTCCCGTTTTTATTTATCTCGTTTTACCAAAAAATTTATTATGGAAAAGTTAGATATCAGATTTTATCAGTTTAGATAAAATATTCAAACGCGACAGTCTTACCTGATAAAGTTCTTTTTTTATTTTCATTCTAATCGAAAATATTTTTCCAAGAATGTCAAGTTGTTAAACAATACAAAAATTTCAGCAAAATGTTGTGCTAATTTCAAGATTCTTGTGTTCGAAATATTATCATTTTTAATTATTTTTGATAAATGCTGACATTTTTCTTTGGAAAGACAATAACCAAGTTCATGTAGTAATCAAATAGATCTTTTTTTTTATTCTTTCTGTTATATTTTGTTAGATGTCACGAATAAATGCTGTTGGTATTGAATGACTGCAGCAGTTATTCGTTTTTCATAACAGAAATTTGAACAGTGCATAATTATATCATATAATTTACTTAATTAGCAGATTAAATAAGTGAATGATCAATTAAATAGGAAAACCACAAAATGCAGTAACTAGCAAATAAATACTTTTGAAAGTTTTAAGAAGAAATAATTACACATTTCACGCAAGTTTTGGATCTTTGGATAACACGAAACTCGAGCAGCAATAAAAATGCTGCGACGTTTTTACTGTGCAATTTCGTTCGTGTTATTTTTCACAGCTTTACATAGCTACGAAAATGATTCAGTGAGAAGTTATACATTTCACGGCAGACGGAGAAATCACTTTTCGATCAATGAAACTAATCGCATTCACTTAGCTGTTTTACTTCCGCGTGAACCGGTTGGTGAAATGAGTGAACGTAGCACTCAGATTTTGGCAACAACCCTACCTGTGATTGAGCTTGCAATTAAGGCTGTGAAAGAAAAAAAAATTCTGGAAGGTTTCGAACTTATTATTCATCATCGCGATACACGATGTTCATCAACTTACGGTCCTATTGCTGCTTTTGATCTGATATATCTTCAAGAAGCGGATGTTTTTCTTGGGCCAATTTGTGATTATGTCTTAGCCCCTGTAGCACGTTATGCAACTGTTTGGAACAGACCAGTATTGACTACGGGTGGATTAGCAGTAGCGTTTAATAATAAGGTAAAATCCTTTCACTATTCATAGACATTGTTTTAGTTATATAAAATGATTTTGAGATCATGAAACTTTTGTTCTTCACGGATTTTAAACGCTTCATGTGTTTCACAAAAAAAAAAAGTTTCCTCAATAAAAAATCTTTTCAGATTTAAATTGTTAGAATTATTAAGTATGAAACAAAAAGAATAATTGAATTAATTAGCTATTGAAAGCAATAAAAACACTCGAGACCACTACAAATGAATTAGAATCACTTAATATTCAGAAAGCTTTAACGTAAACACTACAGAGAAAAGCTCTTTAAAGTTCAAGTATCAAATCAATAAAACTTTTAACGTATGAAATTAAATTGCAGGTATGACTACTATTTAAAATATTTCTTTATTTAAAGCTGAATTTTCCAACTTTGACTCGTATGCTTAGCTACAGCGAAATGACAAATGCAATAAAAAAAATTGTCTCGTACTTTAAGTGGGAAGTTTTCGGATTTTTCTTGTACAATTTCAATGATGCTGGTAAGGGTCACAGTGAATGTAGTCTCGTTTTGTCACCTTTTCACCGACAACTCAATGGTTCGAGTGTACATGAAACCTTCGAACATCCCACTCCATCTTTAATTGAAGAAAAACTTCAACGATTAAAACAAAAATCAAGAAGTAAGTCACGTTATCCTTACTTGTTAAAAGATTCGTTTTCGCTTAAAAGCAAATTAGTTTGTGCTACATTATAAATCCCTTTAATTAGTTTAAGATTAAATAATTATTATAAAAATATATTTTTAGTTATCATTATGTGTGCTAATCCCAAAAGTATTCGTGAAATAATGATTGCGGCAGAAGGTTTAAACATGATAGACAATGGCGAATATGTTTTCATAAATATTGAAATATTTGGAAGTCTGTCGAAAGAATCAGAACCCTGGAAGAATGAAACTGACACTCCTGAGAGGAATGAAAAGGCAAAAAAAGCATACGAAGCACTTCTCACAATTGCCACTAAAAAGCCTGAAGACGAAGAATATCAAAAGTTCTCTGATGAGGTAATTAATCTCTCTCTTTATTCTCAGATAATATTCAGATTTTAATTGAGAAGTTCTTGAATTAAAATAGGTCAAATTACTTGCTAAGGAGAAGTATAATTACACGTTTGAAGAGCATGAACAAATTAGTCAATTTGTCTCTGCATTTCACGACGCAGTCTTACTTTTCGCTAAAGCTCTGAATGAAAGTTTCAAGGAGCTAGGAACACAAGCATTAATGCAGCCTTTGAATGGAACTCGACTGACAGAGTTGATGTGGGGAACAACCTTCAAAGGCATCACTGGAAATGTTTCTATTGACAACAATGGTGACCGCTTGTCTGAATATTCTTTGCTTGATATGAATCCAAACAATAGTAAGTTCGAGATTGTCGCTAATTACTTTCATAGTACTCAATTAACATTTGTTGATGGAAAGAAAATCCATTGGGCGGGAAATGTGAGTTACGAACATTAAATGGAAAATTTGATATTTTATCATAAGAGAAAACATTTTTATGTTCTTAGAGACGTGATCCACCTTTAGATAGACCGGAATGTGGATTTGACAATACACTCTGTCCAGAAAATTCTTCAACGATGTTTGCAATATTGTCACTCGTGCTAGGGTTTGTTGTCATTATCATGGGAGTTGTTTCATTTCTCAGTTACCGACATTATAAATTAGAGGCCGAAATAAGTTCTATGACATGGAAGGTGAACTGGAATGAAGTTATTCCTGTCCCCCTTGCTAACCATATTCGGAGCAGCATTCATTCGAGATTAGGATCACAGTTGGTAAGCTTAAAAACTCATTTTTTGCAGTTGAATGTAATTTTAGTGCAACTTTCATTTTTTCAAGTCGGTTTACTCGGACGAATTTCATGACAGGCAAATATTTGTACCAATTGGATGTTATAAAGGAAACACAGTTGCGATTAAAAGAATAACATCACAAATAAACTTAACACGCTCACTTATGATGGAACTTAAAACTATGAAGGATATTCAACATGATCATCTTGTTAAGTTTTATGGTGCAGTCATAGAAGCTGTTCCGTGTTTGCTAACAGAATATTGTCCCAAAGGTGATTTTTCTCTCAAATTTGATATCGTTTTTATTTAGCAAAATGTCTATAAATAATATGACGGCGATTTGGCTTTTGTACATTTTTTCTATTTCAAGGACATCAAAAATTTTCACTTTAAAAATCCATTTATAAATTGATAATTAATTAATTTTTTTTATCAAGGATCTTTACAAGATATTTTGGAGAATCATGAAATCACTCTCGATTGGATGTTCAAATTAAGCTTGATGCATGACATTGCAAAGGTGACAGAAACATCCCTCGATCGTTCTTAACTTTTGATTTTAACTCACTTTCTTCCAGGGAATGCAATATCTTCATACAACAGCTATTGGGTCTCACGTAATTATTCATTAATTTTTTATCAATAGTCACAAATTTAAATTTGTTTTCTTTTAAAGGGACAACTGAAATCATCAAATTGCGTTGTCGATAGCCGATTTGTGCTTAAAATTACAGATTATGGTCTTCATGATTTAAGAAAAACAAAGGAAATTGAAAACAAAGAAAGTCATGAATACTGGAAAAGTAAGAAGTTTGTGATGATGATTTGTAATCAATTAAAAATTAAATTATCTTTTAGAATTTTTATGGACTGCACCGGAACTGTTGAGATTACCTTCCATTCCTGTGAAGGGTACTCAGAAAGGAGACGTTTATAGCTTTGGAATTATTGTTCAAGAAATTGTCAGTCGACAAGGAGTTTTCTATTTGGGAGAGAATGTTGGTGTCGATAAAACTCCAAAAGGTAAGTGCATAGCAATTTTCCAATGTATCAAACTAATAACTTAATCATTCCATTTAGAAATAATTCATTTAGTATGCAACAATTCAATTTACTCCAATCAACCATTCAGACCAATTGTGGAGGATAATAAAGACACTTGTTGTGACATCAACTCTCTGATGATTAAATGTTGGAATGAAGACCCTTACGAACGTCCCGATTATTCTTATGTTAAATCAGTTGTTAGAAAAATCAACAAGTGAGTAAAATTTCTAACAAATATTTGTTAATAAATTTCTGTTTGATTTTAGGGAAAATGAGTCTGGAAATATTTTGGATAATTTACTAAAACGTATGGAACATTACGCTAATAACTTAGAAGAATTGGTGGAGGAAAGAACTCGAGATTACTTTGAAGAGAAGAAGAAATGTGAGGAACTTCTTTATCAACTTCTTCCTGTCTCAATCGCTAGTCAACTAATAAATGGGAAATCTGTAATGGCTGAGATGTTTGATCAAGTGACAATTTACTTCTCGGATATCGTTGGATTTACTGCGATCTCTGCTGAATCGACACCTATGCAAGTAAGAAAGATTTCATTTTCACATTTTTTTTAATTAAAGAATTAAAAATTAACATTAATTATGCATTCAGGTTGTCGATCTTTTAAACGATCTTTATACTTGTTTCGATAAAATTGTGGGAAATTTTGACGTTTACAAAGTAGAAACCATTGGTGACGCTTACATGGTTGTAAGTATTAATGAAATTAATTTTTTATTCCACTTATCATTCTTACGATCTTATAACTTTAGGTTTCTGGATTACCAGTTAGAAATGGAGATTTACATGCTCGTGAAATCGCTCGAATGGCTTTGGCTTTACTTGCCAAAGTCCGTAATTTTAAGATCCATCATCGTCCCGAAGAGAAGCTGAGATTGCGTATTGGAATGCATTCAGGCTCATGTTGTGCGGGTGTTGTTGGTCAAAAGATGCCTCGGTATTGTTTGTTTGGTGATACAGTAAACACTGCAAGTCGTATGGAATCAAATGGTGAAGCATTAAAGATTCACATGAGTAGCACTACAAAGCAGATTCTTGACAAATTTGGATCATTTGATGTGACATTGAGAGGTATGACAGCAAACTTATCAAAATATTCTGCAATTTTTTCATATTTTATGTGAACTTTCAGGGTCGATAGCAGTTAAAGGGAAAGGAGAAATGATGACGTATTGGCTGAATGGCGAAAATGTTGATACAAAAACCACTCTTGTGAAATCGACAGACTTTAAGAGTTCATTAAAAAGTGATACACATTACAATGAAAGAGATGAGAAGCCATCGAAAGTTGTTGCTGTTGTCCCACCCCTCACTCCACATGCATCTTCAAGTTTATTAAAGAAGAGTGTAAAAATTAGTTCTAATCTCTTAAATACTTTTAATAATAGCCTGAAAAACTTAGATCATGATTCGTTTATCAACGGGAAAAAGTCAAATTCTTTAAATAACAAAGTGAAGCAAGTAAGTCTTAATAATAATAATAGTGAAAATTTGCAGCCACTTTTAAGCTGAGAAGAGTTAAATAAATGTTTATAGCATCATAAACGGTAGTTAGATAAACTTCAACCTTTTGTAAATTGTTTGTTTTTTTTTACATTGCATAATTGCAATCTTCAGTTAGAATATCTATAAAAGAAAAACATGTATATAATTAATTAATTATCAACAAAATTATTTCGCTTTTATCAGGCATTTTGAACAGACATAAGACAAAAATTAAAATAAACAAATCATATTGATAAATATTTTTTAAAAGTCATTTTACAAAGACCACGTTGAATTTTAATTCTTAGATAGTTAATTAATTTTATTGGCAGCATAAATTATTTATAATTTTATTTTAACAAGATTTTATGCTAGCAGTACTTATGAATGTATTCTTGTGGATACATAAATGTATGTAAACACTTCAAATTGTCCAACAATTCCTTTAAACTTATACTTAGTAATTCTTTTATAAACTTTTTATGTGTTTTCTGAGTGCTTCTTTTTACGATTCTGTTCCATCATTAATCTAATGCGTCTATCGTTAGTTAAGTCAGTTGGACATTCGAAACTTGTATCGTTGCCGAGCTTTCGAAAATCATCCTTGATTGGGAAGCCCATTGGTGTATCCATATTCGGGCTAGTCTTGCGAGTTTTGTTCATTTCTGTAGCAAATGCAACTAGACGATCGAATCCTGAAGAAACACGCACCTTAAACTCTTCTTCCCAATGTATGCCTTCTTCGTCTAAGTCATCATCTGTCGATGGTTAAAAGTGTTTTTTTTCATAAATTTAACAACGAAAAAGCTACCTCAAGTTTTTTTCCATGTTAGTTCGTTCTTCCCTTTTCAAAACAAAATCTCAGATTCTCATGTTTACAATAAAAAAAATAAAAAATAAAAGAAGCAACATATTTCAGTAGATACCTTTGATAAAACAATAAAAGATTCTATAACAATCACAACCTTTTCAAATTATCTGTAAGCTGATCTTTCAAATTGTCTACTTTTAAGGCGAAAATATTTTTTACAACTTTTGCATATACAATTGTTTTAATTAAACTACATTAAACTGTTGAAAACAAAAGAACGAGTCGATTTCTACTTCAATCAATCAATCATTACCATCATATTATTATCTAAATGTGCCGAAATAATTTAAATGTAAAAACTAAATAAAATGACAAAAAAAAATAGAAAACGAAGTGCATAGTTCAACCATGCATCGGGATGCTTTCATTTAAATTAATGTTAGATAAATGTATAAAAAATCAACAAGCGATGACTTTAAAGCAGCACTGGAGCTAGAGAAGAGACCAAAAATAAATTCAGTAGGATAATTTATTATCTAAGAATTGAGGCTAAGAAGAAAAACTTTTTGGAAAAATCATTTAGTTCCAGTGCATGCTTTAAACCTTACTTTCCTCTAGTAATATTAAGAAATGTTTTCTGTTCAAAATTTATACTTCCTTTTCGTTATATATGCAAATGTCTACCTTTGTATATTTTTTTAAATAAAAGAAAGAAGAGCAAATAAAGGAATATTTCATATACGTACAAAATATATTTAAATAGTTTTGGAAAGAAGCAGATAGAAGAACTGACTACCAAACATAGATTTAATAATTCAGATTTTCAGATTTTCCTATAAGAAAGCCTACAGACCTTCACTGGCCTTATGGCGACTCAAGGGAGTTAAATTTCGTTCGCTACTATCGAAATTATTACTTGATGAGCAACCAGCAGACTGATAGATGTCATCGTTCATTTCATTCATCATCAAATTTGATGGACGTAAAAGATGAATGACCGGAGATGTTCGTTGCATTTGACTTGTAGCTAAAGCGAGAGGGAGAGAACATTAATTATAATGAATAATAATAAAAGCGATGGACTAACATTCTTTCTTAATGACGGGATATGTGTACTTGCTCTCACAAACTTCAGTTTCTTCTTTAATTTTCATTGAAGCAATGACATGTTGTCTTAAAGATGCAGCAAGACCTTCAAGTGGAGGATCATGCTCAACTTTTCCTTGCTCTTCGCCTTTTCTCATTGACATCCCAATGCCCGATGTGAACATTTTTGTATCGATTTTGTAACTGTTTGATTGCTGGTGTTGTTGTGGTTGATGATGTTGAGGGTGGAACATGTCTGGGGATGATTTTTGTGAACGAGCAAAATTGAAAGGTTCATCAATTCTACGATGCGGTGAAATGAAATCATCGCTCGCTTTTGAAGACGATGGAACATATTTGTTAGTCAATGGAATCATTTTTTGACTTTGCTCATGAGATTTAGTCATGGTTGCTGTTGCTGGTTTTAAAGTCGCATAATTGTCTTCTTTTTCGACTCTCTCTCTCTCTTGATTTAAATTGCAATTGATGACTGAATCATGTGAATTCATATTCATACGAGAACCAGCTGGCATGTTATGTTGAATAACTGCATTTATAATTGATTGCGGTGTAATTTCCAAAGTTTTCTCAATTTCACTGTTGATGAATTCTCCGATAGTCTTCGTTGTCATTAATTGTTGTGATCCCGGATGTTGTGACAGCTTTTCTTGTGATAAATGTCGTCTCAATGCTAACTTTGCAGGTGAAACTTGTGTATAATCTGGTTGAGATAACGACGAGCTTGATCTTTGATTCTGAAATTTGCTTCCACTTCCAATATTGCTAACGTATTCATTTTCAATTGATCCAACTGAACTTCGTCCCATATCTTGTCGATCATAGCGAACATTGTCAGGCGTTTTAAATTCACGTTTGTCTTCCATGACATGTCGCTGTTGAATTTCACGTTGATTTTGAGGATATTGAATATGTTGCTGTTGCTGCTGCTGTTGTTGTTGAATCATTTGAATCTGCTGGGGATGACAATGATACATTTTTGGAACTTCACTTTGATTCATAATGTTCATAACTTTGGCAAAATTTGGCATATGATCGCCTCTTTTAAGTTGCGAATAAGTGCATTCCTGATTTTGCTGTTGCTGTTGCATCATTGCCATATGATCAGCTGATGGTGTCAACTGTGATATCGCTGAAGCAGCAATTTGTCGTTGATTCTTCACTGGTACCTGAATATGTGTCGTTGGTATTTGTGAAATATGCTGTTGAGATGCTGTTGGAGAATTTGTAGCTTGTTGATTGATTTGCTGTTGTTGCGAGTAAACTGGAATATTCCAATATGATCCCATCTGTGCTGATGTTACTTTTGTTGGGCTTTTTTCTCTGCCCTGATGGGGAATTATTTGAAGCTGTTGATGTTGCTGCTTCTGAGAGTAATTATGAGGCGATGGGACAGTTTGAGACGATTGCATTTGATCTTGTCCTTGCAATGCTGATGTAATGATACTCTTAAGTCTATCCTCAAAGTTAACAACTTTATGCGATTCAGGTGTTTTCTTAACTCCACCTTTCGACATGCTTTGATGATGAACATTCATATGTGAAGAAGACTTTCCAGATTTTTGAGACGTAAAAGGAGCAGGCATCGACATCACCTCTTTACTATTTGAAGAGCCACAACTCGATGAAAATGAAATTGACTTCTTAGTTAACGAAACATTCTCAGATTTTGGTAACTTTGTGAAATTATTTCCCAATAACTTTCCAGCTTCAATTTGTCTTCCCGTTTCAAGAATCTTTTGTGCCAGGATTTCAGGATTTTTCTCTTCAATTTTACCAATCTCGGGAATTTCTGGCCAATCATGTGTCTTTGATCGATGATCACGACTCTTCCTAGTTGATGATTTTGTTGATGATGATTGACTTTTGTACATCAAAGAAGTTGAGCTGCCGCCGCTGCTTGGTATTTGTTGATGTGGCTCTGTCGCATGCATTTGCAAATCCACATTTAGCAATTCTGCGGGAGGCTTTTTATCGCCGCTATCACTCAAATTTTCAATTATTGACAATTCGGCTTCGAGAGTTGAAATTTTATTCTTCAAATTCTTTCGTTGAATGAACGTATTTTCAATTTCTTTCAAAACCAAATCATGAGAATCTTTCGAAGCCAGCTCAAAATCGATTTTTTGTTCTTTTGATTGCTTCTCAGCAATTGTTTTCACATGAGATGCAAGAATTGTGTTGTGTTTCTGTTCGAGTGTATCAACTTGATGTTGAATTTTATTCGCCATAATTTGCAATTCTTTGTGCTTTCCCACAATTTCTTTTGCTTTACAAAGCAAATCATTTTGGCTTGTTGTGTTTATGCCTAACTCTTGCATACGTGCTTTCAACAAAACAACACTATCATCAACAAGAACTTTTATCTGCTTTTCTAACTGCCCTGTTCGATTAACGAGACGCTTATTCTTTTCTTTTGCTGACTCAATCTGTCGGTGGAGATTTTCTTTGTATGAGGAAGACTTCATGGACTCCAGGAAATTCAAAATTTGAGCTTTGTAAACATCAAGAAGTATTTTCAATGCGTATGGTGTCTCCGATGGAACTAATGGAATGTCAAGCTCTTCATGTATCATCGTACCAGCGTAAGATGTCAACTGTTCATCAATACAACCTGCAGCTGGTGGAAGTCGCATACCAATAGCTTGATCAGATGTACTAAACAAGGTCTTAGAATGCAAAAGATCCAATCCAGTAATTTTGAGAGGTCTTTTCGGCTTTCGTATTCGAGTCTTTTGAATTTTCTTTGTTGCTGCAATCTTCTTTGTCTTTGCAAGTTTCTTTTTCTTCTCAGCTCTCAAATCGTCTTCTGATTGACTACTTCTTTCTTTACAAAGGTCAGACCATGCTCTGCGAGTAGTCGTGCCCAAATAATCATCATCACTGTCAGTTGTTGACCCACTGTGTTGTTTATTTGAGTCACGGCTTCTTCTATTCTTTGTTGCATTGTCTAAATTTGTAAAAAAATATAAAATTTGAGATTGTGTCATCAAGATTAGAGTAAAGATAAAATACTTACTTTCTCCATTACCATTCCCTTTGGTTTTCAATCCTTGGAAGTAATTTTCAAGTTTTGTTCTATCAATAATGTGAAGATAATATGAAACAGGTTTTCTAAAATTATTGACAAAAGAAGAAATTTATGAAGATTAAGCAAAATTATAAAATTTATAATAAAATCTTACCCAGTCCATGATACTGATCCTCTTAAAGGAGTCATTTCTTTGACATGCATAATTGTTCCAATGTCGCTTAAATTTCTGTCGGTAATGCGAAAATTTAATGGACAAAAACTTTTGGATGAGACAATTTTTGCTCCATCCTTAAGATCAGCAAATCTTTCTTTCAATTGATGATCAACATTTGGGCCGAAAGCAAAGTTATTTACAAACACGACTGAAGCCGACATGATTTTTTCTCGATGCTCGTCAGCAAGAAAATCACCTTTAAGGAGTTGATAATCACCGAATTTCTTTCCAAACCACTTCATCCAATTGCGAAACATTTGATTCATGTTTTCAGCATACCTTGATGGAACATCAGCTTTTTCAATTCCAATGCAAACTTTTGCTTTTGTCAGAGCTGCAACTTGTAAAACCACTTGGCCCACACCACTTCCAAGATCAATGAAAATATCATCATTTGTGATATTTATCTCATCTACCATTTGACAGACAAGCTCAAAGGATGTTTCTCCATACACTTCAGGAGAGAATGGTTCATATTGGTTTAATTTCTCAGGTTCAATTACAGCATAGTTGTACACTTGTTGTACAATGTGGCGTAACATACTTCTAGAAGGGTATGTAAATCGTTTAACTGGCAGTGAAGTTCCTTTTTCTAAAGCCTTAATACTATCAATCGCTTTGTTGAATGTGTCACAAAAGTTCTTCATCATGTCATAGTCGTTTGTATCAATTTCTCCGAACACAATGTCATCAAGAGAAGATTTTATTTCTGGTATATCTTCACATACTAGACGAACTGTTTCAATTATTTCAACACCACTGTCGTGTTTGTCAGGTCCATGTCCAACTGATAGCGGCCATTTATATACAAATGGTTCAGAATCTGATGGTGAATGCAACTTCAAGTCTTTAAAGACGTCTGGGTTATGAAAAGCCATTATTGGAGTTTATGAAGGTTTAAAAATATATTGCACAACGTTCTTTCTTTCAAACCTAATTCTTTACGTTTATATTTTTGTTTATAAAATTATTTAAGCTGGTTTTTATTATTGATGAAAGGTTAATGACCTTTCTATTTTTTTTAACATGGATTCGTTCATTCACCAACACATTCCTTGTTAAATATTTCTATTTTCACATGTTGCAATTACTTTTACAATTTTTTTCATAAGCTTCCATAAACTTCTCTCGATTTCTTATAACTTTAACTTAATAATGCTATCGTTTATGTGTGAAATTCATATTTTTCAATTTGACATCAGATACAAGCAATACCTTGCTGAGCATTTTTCTTTATCGCTTTTTCACTTAAATTCAATACCTTTTCACACAATTTTCCTGCTTTCGAAGACATTTCAAATGCTAAGCTTTGCAGCAGCCATGGAATACTTCAATGTATTGCTCGTTTTATTATTTTTGGCTTATTAGAACAGAGAGATAGAAAAACCTAGGTTTTTAGATGTAATTAAGATGCAAAAAAGTTGTGCACCCAAATAGGTATTTTCGCATCTTCAATTTTTTCATAATGTAACTTCTGTTCAGAAACTTGTTTTGCAGCCAATTGGCAGTCAATTAGATTTTTCTCCGATTTCAAGCTCTAAATACTATGACGATAAGGTTAGTTTTCGGGGTGATCAGTACAACACAGAAATTCGCTCGTGCCTGTTTTTTATGCCATCTGGTGGCAACACGTTGAATCAATTGTATTTTTTTCTTAAAATTTCTATCCCTGATTTTAATGTAGTACACAATTTAAGCTTCATTTCTTGAATCGAAAGAAAAAAGAAATTGTAGCCCTTTCTTTTGTTATGATAATTAGAATAACAAAACTATTGTCACCGAATCTTATGCGAGTGAATTTAAAATATCTAATTTGTGTAAGTTTAAAACATCAAAATTTAATGCGAAATTTTTGAGTTGCTACTTGAATCAGGGAAATTAAAAATTTTATTTATTTGATTTTGAATTGTTTACTTAAATATCTCAAAGAGAAATAAAGAAAGGAAAGGATAAAGGTCGTTTTATGATCTCAAAAAACAAGATAGAAATTCAATAGCTAAATTTTTAACAGAATTAATATGGAGCTTAAATTATTGTTGAGAAACATCTGCTAATTGTCAATATACATAAACTGTACAAAAAAATATACAAAACAAATAATTTTGAAGTAATTCTTCCTCATTATCTTACTTATCAGTGATTCATTCAAGAGAACATTCAATAAAGCATCTGAACGAAAAATGAGTTGCGAAGTTATTCTAAGGATTTTCAAATGTAAGTGTTCCAAATTACAGTGCAAATACCTTTTTTTTTATCAATTAACCATAGTTTATCTTGAAATTTCTACGATTTTTCAAAAATACTGACAAATGTTTCTCCATTTTCTTCTTAGTCATTCCAGTTCTTTTTATTAGTTGCGTAATTATATGGTAAGTGTTAAATTGAATTCAAAACTTGATTATTTGAAAATTAATCTTAATATTTATATTCTAGGAGCTGGTATGCCTATGTCATAGAGCTGTGCATAAAAGTTGTCGACACTAAAGTTGAAGCATTTTTCCTTCTCCTCTTCTATCACGTCTGCTTTGTATTTCTCGTTTGGTCATACTATAAAACCATTTTCACAAAAGTTGCAGTTGTTCCTGCACCATTTAAAGTATCACGACAAGAGCTAGATCAATTATTTAAAATTAAAAATCCTGATGAACAAACAAGGCTGTTAAAGCATTTAGCTGCCGACTTGCCGATTCTTAACTGCACTATAAACAACTGCGTAAGATTTTGCGAAAAATGTCAACATATTAAGCCCGATCGTGCTCACCATTGCTCAGTGTGCAATGTTTGTAACTTAAAAATGGGTGTGTACAATTTATTATTAGATTCTCATACGTTTCAATTACCAGTTAACGATTATTTTAGATCATCACTGTCCCTGGGTGAACAATTGCATAAACTTTTCAAATTACAAATTTTTTATCCTTTTCTTGGGATATGGATTATTGTATTGCATTTATGTCGCCCTTTCTATGGTGAAATATTTTGTGCTATTTTGGAAGGTATGTAGCAATGAAATTCATATGATAATGGGGCAAGCCATAGTTATAATCTTCTATGGTTTTAGGGCGAACTCGGCACCAGTGCAGGCAAATTTCACCTCCTCTTTCTATTTGTGGTCGCACTGATGTTTGCATTTAGTTTATTAAGCCTTTTCGGTTACCACTTATATTTGGTTGCAAATAATCGAACAACATTGGAAGCCTTCAGAGCACCAATTTTTTCAATAGGTGGTCCAGATAAAAATGGCTTCAGTCTTGGATATAAGAAAAACTTTGAGCAAGTTTTTGGAGACAATAAATATTACTGGCTTTTGCCAGTGTTCACAAGGTAAGATTGACAATTATTGGATTATCTAAAGTGAAAATATTAATGTGATTTTTTTTACAGCCTTGGGGATGGAATTAAATATCCAGTACGAAAGGGACACCTTCTTGATGAAGTCTAGGTTTTTTAAACTTTATACTGTAAATGTTTTCAAAAAAGATTCAATTAAAACAGCTATGTAATCACAAAAAAGTTTTAAAGTAAATTATTATTTTAATACTCCAAAGTGCAATCATAGGATCATTGAAAACTTTGCAACTTCAGTAAGAAATAAATACCTAAATAGAGCAATATTATTGACTTTAATAAATTAACGATGAAAATATTTTTATAACTTGTTACCCCTCAGCAGGGGTAAAAAACTTAAGATTTATTGAGGGGCATTCAAGTTAGTCTTTTTTCTGATACGCCCAAAAAATCGAAAAAGGAAAACTAAATAAACTTATCAGTGTTTAATAAAAACTCAATTATCTTCTATATTCGGATAACGCCCTAAGCTATCAAATTGTTTTGAATTTGTAAGTAAAATTTGCGAAATAATAATGTAAGCTTTAAGTTAAATATCAAGTAAAATATGATGGCTTCTGCTTATAAAAAATGACGTCACACATCCCAATTTTTGGAAGTCAATAATTTGGAAGAAAAATGTCAGAAAATGGAAAAAAAACTTCTTCATGACATGAATGTATATTATTGATTTTAATAAATTCTTTACCGGCAGTTTTCACTTTCAACCTCATTTGCAAATATAAACAAATAATTTGAAAGGGTGTGTCGAAAAATAAGAGTAAGAAAAATTTAAAAGTATAAAATGTGATAGCAACACTTCCTATTTCTATATGATAATATGATATTCTTTGTATAAAATCGATATAGTGCTTTCTGTTTTCTTCGAATTTCCCAAGTGTGATTCTTATATAAAATCTTAATATTTTTATCGCTGATATTAAGAACTGTCAATATTTTATTTGAAATATTATGAAATATGATGAACTTATAAAGATTGATTAAATAAAGATATGATCAAGACTGTACATGTGCCAGTAAAGTTGTATATTAAAGCGCCAAGTATTAAATCGAATGTTAATTACTATTCTAAATCGCTTGCTTCACGATCATCAAATTTTCCACACTAATTTCCAAACTTTCCGGACGTTTTAATGTGATTTATTATGTATTTTCACTATTCTATTTAATTGTGTGCTTTTTTTCAAGTAGCAACCTTCATATTTTTTATAAACTAATCATAAGTATGTATAAAAGCATTAAAACGTCAGGTTAAATTGATGTAAATTGTATTTTCAAACTCAAACTCGTGTTAATTAAGTTAAATTGTCAACAAAAAAAGCTGCTACTGTTTTGCATTACTGAACGATACATACTGCGAGAGTTATGTTCTTGTCAAATTTAAATTTAAAATCTGTCTATCAACGATAATTCATAAATACTAATTTAATTCATAAGATAAAAACTTTCCGCATTCTTAAATGTTTAGTTTTGAGTCAAAAACGTTGACCTAGATAGTTAATGTAAGATTTCATTTTCTTCTAGAAATATAGAAAAGATAAGCTTTCAATTCTATGCCGATAGAAAGTAAAAACGCTTTGCAATGTTTTATAATCTCTCATTTTTTTATTATAATCTTTAGAGGAAACAGAAAAAAACGAGACAAAGGGATGACTGAAACAGAGCCTAAAATCTTACATACTAATGGAAATGGAAGCAGCGAAAAAGAAGATATTGAGCAAATACCTCGTCCCGCTGATATTGAACAGGACATGAGAGAAATGGAAAGACGTAAACGTGTCGAAGCAATTATGTGTTCAAGAATGTTTCGTGAAGAACTTGAACGTATAGTTGATGGTCAATTAAGAGAGGGACCATCACAAGTCTTACAACAAATCTCTGATATGATGGGCGTTCCAACGACAAAAGTCAGAAGCTACTTTCGCGATGGCAATTGTGTAATTCCGATCAATGACATTCGTGGAATTGATTCGATGGGTTATGAAAAAGGCGAGAAAATTCTTCGATGTAAATTGGCCGCTACATTTCGCCTTCTCAATTCATTTGGATTTTCTTCCAACAGCATTAATAACATTGTTACTGCCCGTTTAAATGCTGACCAAGAATTGTTTTTGGTCAATCCTTACGGATTATTATTTCACGAAATCACTGCATCGTCCCTCAATAAGGTTGATATGCAAGGTGCGATAACTGATCAAGGAACAACAAACTTTGGTATCAACATTTCGCAATTCATCATACATTCGGTCATTCATGCTGCTCGGCCCGATATTCGTTGCATTATTGGGGTTAGCCATAGCGCTGTTGTAGCAGTCTCCTCATTAAAAACAGGTTTAATCCCTCTCACTAAAGATGCTGCCGTTTTAGGAGAAATAGCAACTCATAATTTTTCAGGCGGTATGTATTAATTGAGTTTCATTTCTTGGAATTTCATTTTATTAATGAACAATTTGTAGCATTAAACGAACCTGAAGAACGTGAAAAGTTAACTCGAAGTTTGGGTCCGAATGCAAAAGTACTCTTGTTGACAAATCATGGTGCTTTATGTTGTGGAGAGACTATCGAAGAAGCTTTTTATAATGCTCAACATACTGTGAAAGCAGCTGAAACTTTATTGGCATTGCTGCCAGTTGGCTTGGACAATTTGATTCCCATTCCCGAAGAAACTCATAAGGCAATTTATGATGCTTCTAGAAAGCCTCCAGAGGGAACTGTAATTCCATCGGCATTGCCAGTTGATAACAAGGAGAACATTACCAATCGCGTAAGAATATTTCTCAACTTTATTAAAACATTCATTATTATAATCTTTATTGTAGTCTCCTAAATGGCGCGTCGGTGGTGCAGAATTTGAAGCTTTGATGCGAATGCTTGATAATGCTGGCTTCCGTACTGGCTACATTTATCGTAATCCTTTAGTTAAGCATGAAGTTCCCAAGCCCAGGAGTGATGTCGAAGTTCCACCAGCTGTTTCTTCCTTGGGATATTTATTAGAAGAAGAAGAAATGTACAAGCAAGGGTAAGTATTTAATAATATTCTCAACTAAATTTAAGTTTTGAATACATTTATGTATTTATTTTAGGCTCTGGAAAAAAGGAGACTTCCGCAAAGGTGGTGATCGTCAACGTTGGTTGAACTCTCCCAACGTCTACCAAAAAGTTGAAGTTCTTGAAACAGGAACCACTGACCCTAAAAAAATCACAAAGGTAGAAATAGTTACATTTGAAAGCACATAAAGTGAGAATATGGGAACTGGAAAATTTGACTTTTTGAATCAATTCTATACATCTAACTACATATATATCGTGTGTTATGTTTATAAATGGAGCTCGAAGATAGCTGACCTCGTAACTAATACAACCTATTTATAATATAAAATAATCTTGGAATAATATCACCAAAATTTTCTCATTTTGAGCCCTCAGTAAAACTTAAAGGTCACTTTTTTCACGAGATATCTCAAAAACTATTATAATTAATTAATACTTAGAAGCTTACTGGAAAGAAGAATTATCAAGTTAACTAAAACTCATAGTTTAACTGCAATGCTTTAAAGTCATAAGAAACATGACGCAGCTTTTTGAAAGAAACAAAAACCTTAAAAGTGTCACGCTTTGAGTGCTTTTTAACTTTTAATGAGTGGCAAGATTTTTCACAAGTCTTGAAAACATTTAAAATAAATGTAATAGAGCTTTTAGAGCGTTTCAAATAAACAATAGAGATTAAATTTGAGATTCTTTTTATCTTAAATCTTATTGTAATAATTTACAACAAATCTTACCTTAGCTTAACTTAATTTTAATAACCAAAGAGTTCAGTTCAAATCTGTTTTTGTGTATTGTCTAATTCTTTTTTAATTTGTTTTGAGTTTTTTTTCTTTCTTTTTTTGACTAATGTAGTGGATAAATCCCTTGAACGAAGACAAAGAGGTAAATTATTCTTGCACTCAGACGCAATGTGATTCAAATACCTTTTGAAGCTTTCCTTTTCCTTCTTCTTTTCTTGTTAATTTAACATTTAATTTCTTTCGTTCCTAAAACTAACTTTTATTTTATTTTATTTTTCTTCAAAATGTGGAGAAATGAAAATCATTGAAATTTAATCTCAGTGAATAGATGAAAAAACATGTAATAAGCTTAAAGTTTGTGCTACGCAATTTGAAGTTTAACAAAAAAAATAATCATTTATGTCTGATCAAGTGTTTAGTAGGGTTTCGGTGCTTTTGTATTTATTTAATTGATTCTAATAAATTTAAAAAATATTTTAATGAAGCTTACTAAGAAAAAAACTTTTCTGTTTTCACTTTTCCTCTTTTTTGGGTGATGTTTAAACCTTTCAAAGTGGGTTGTTGACGGTTCACCTACTCATTCTACTCCAGTGAAAATAGACGGAGCGCTGCAATTTGTACCACTGAACACAACTTCCAAAGAGTTCAAGAAGCTTCAGCAGCAGGTAAGATCATAAATAATGAATAACTTAAACATTTTTCATTCAATTTTCATTCTAAATAGATTAAAGATTATCGTCGTGCTGAAAAGATTTCCGCAGGTCCACAGTCACATATTTTGGAAGGTGTTACATGGGATGAAGCAAATCGTTTGAAAGATGCAAACGTTTCGAAAACTGGTAAATAATTGAATGAAAATTTTGTAAAGCTCTTAAATTCATTTCAATGATATTTCTTAGGTGATCATGTTGTTTTGATGGGTGCAGCATCAAAAGGAATTATTCAACGAGGTTATCAACATAATGCAAGTGTCTACAAAACACCATACGCGAAAAATCCGTTTGACTCAGTAACCGATGACGAACTTAAAGAATATAAGAGATCAGTAGAAAATAAGCGTGGTGGCGACTGTAAGTTGAAAATAATGATAAAATCACTTAGCATAATCCATATAATTTATTTGTTATTAGACACGGATACAGATTTTTCGGAGTCCGAACTTTTAAGCTCCATGCAGATTTCAAGTAAAATCAAAAGTCAATCAATGTCCCCACCGAACAACTCTGAGGGTATGGTTATGAGAATAGAAACAACTCGTATTGTTCCTAGCCAACCTGAAGTTGTATTAAGTGATGGTAATTTATAATTGAATTATAACAAATTGTTTAACTTGCTTGACGTAGTCACATTTATTTAGTTAAAATTGTTTAAATATTTTCTTATCTTTTGTTTCTGTTTTTATTTTATTGTCTTATATATGCACTATCTGCGGATGTTGTAATTTTTATATAATCTTTTATTCTATTAAACAAAAGAAAAATGCATGATTGATTATTTAATTAGATAATTATTTTATTGTTTATTTCAACTGTCTGTCAATGGTTTTAATGGTTTTGAACTCAACTTCCAAACTAACCACTTAAAAATAGTAAATTTGGTTAATACTACTTCAGCATGTCAAAAAGAACAATTATTGTATAAGATTTGCTTTCGTACGTTTATTTATTTACTTGATATTTGTTTTGAAGTGCTAATTTTGTTTTTTGATGTTTTTTTGTCTGAATTTTTGAACATACAGAATCAAATGAAACTGACATATTGAAGCAATTCATGATGAATGAACAAAATGCTTCTTACAGAGGTAAACATCTTTGAGTGATTCATTACTTTTTTGAGATTTCTTTAATATTTAGTTACATAGAATTCTAAGTTGAATGAAATATAAAAGTTTGAAAAGAAAAACATGAAATGTAATTTTTGCAACGTTATTCGAACTTTTACATTTGCTCATCATCTTCATAATCGACACAAACTTTTGAGCTTAATCTCTTTTTCTTATTTTAATTATTTTGCGTGATGAATTTTTAGGCGAAAATGTTCAAAATGGAGATCATTCTGAAACGCAAAACTTGAGCACGTTTTCACAAAGCAGCAAAGACGTAAGAAGAAAATCTACCACATTTTCATTTCCGTTTCTTTTATTAACTGTTTATCTCATTCAGCAGGATGCTTCAACCGATGGATCACCCAAAAAAGACAAGAAAAAGAAGAAAGGTTTAAGAACACCTTCGTTCTTGAAAAAGAAGAAAGATAAGAAGAAGGTCGAAAACTAAATTTCCATCAGAAGAAAAGCAGCACGATAATGAAGTTTTTTTTGTTCGTAAATTTGCATGATATTTACAAGAACATAATTGATCAAAATGCATTTTCCCATATTTTGAGTTTAACATATTGCTGTGCTAATAATGCCTATTTGTGACCACTTTTATTGGTCAACCCTTGGGTCAAATCAATAAGTTTGTCTGTTTGTTCGAACCAATATGAAATCTTTGAAATTAGGGGACCCTACAACAATGTTTCTTTGATGTCGCCATCATATAATATCAATACAAAAAGAAAAAGTTAAATTTTAATCACATGCAATTGAGAGTGTCACGTAAATAACTCATAATTCGAAATAAGAAGATTCAGTAGAAAGACACAAGTTAATTATGCCAACAGCGACGAAACAAACTCACTTCTTTTATTTATTCTTGTTTTCCCTTTTTTTTCTTTCTTGCTGAAATCCTTAAAAAGAATACTTTTTTGATTAAATTGGTTTTTTGTATCATCTAAAGCAGGGATTCAAAATATCTTTTTACAAAATTCACATTTTGCTACCGATTGAGAAGTTTATCGATTTATAGCGTTTTTATCTTAATTTATAATTGCTGTTTTCGAACCACAAATAGCTATAGGATATCCCTGTTTAGAATTCTAAGTTTTGATCCTTATTTAGAATTATTATTTTATTATTCATAACGACGCATGAAATAAAAGAAAAAATCTAATTTGTTTAGTATATAAGGAATATTTAGTATAAGAGAATTTTCAAAACCTTCGCTACGAAAGGCCAGACACACTTTCATGAGCATGAAATCGTTTGATCTAATAAAAAATCCAAAATGTTTGTAATTTCTGAAAGAAATCGAAAAGCGATTACTTTTTTCTGGAAACTTTTTGTTTGTTATTCTTCGTTCAGACAGCAAAGCTGTCAACTTTTAAGACGAGTCAATAGAATTTCAGTCGAAAGCTATGAATAATTTTTTTCTTTTCGATTTCTTTCAAAAATTATTCTCATTAGACACATTTTGCAATCTCCAGAATACAAATCAAGCTATATATAAAAAGTCATTTACTTAAAATTAAAATGTCACACTCAATTGAAAGCCTTTTGTATTTTTCATCTTTTTATTTGGAAAGATTCAGCAAATTTGAAATCTATACAAATATTATCTTTGCTTTAAATGTTCTTGCCTTTTATAGAACTTCGACTAAATTGAGATCGCATTTGCTTCTCATGATATTCAATTTTTATGTTTATTTTTTGCTTTAGCTGCAATATGATAATTTAGAGAGATAATTTATCTTATGTAAGTACATGTACACAAATACATGTTTATGATAAATTAACTTGATAAATTAAGCTTAATATATGACATTTTTAATAGAAATAAAGATTCTCTTAAAAAAGTTTTATACATTTTCACTACATCTTCAATAATTTTTATGTCCATTATCTTATCTAGATTTCGAAAAATAAGCAGTGCAAAATCTTCCAATCCACTTCACGAAATACAATAAAAATTTGAAGCACTCAAGTGTTTGATGTTTTAACCACACAGTTACCACGATACGAAGAAAAAGCTGTGTGAATGTAATGCGAACATAATAAAAGAAAAATATTCGATGCTACTGCTATGACATCAAAAGGAAAATATTGATTTTTAATATTGTTGATGCTTAATATTGTTGATGTTCAACGGGATTTGAAATTTCAAGTACAATGTGAAGCGAGCTTCAATTTTACTACAATGCCACATGACTTGAAACAAAAGAAAAAGTATTTCAGATATGACGATAAAAATAAAATTTTATTCATTCAGCACGAACGCTGCCATTATCGGTCAACTTTTTTCTTTCTTTCTGTTTTGTCCTTTGAACAAAGTAAACACAGCACCAATATTTCCATTGTCAGGTTTTTAAATGATTTCTTACCCCACATTGACTCACATACATGACGATGCTTTCAAGCTTTACTAGAATGAAGCTCGAAATGTCTGAGGGGTTTAAGATAAAATAAAAGGAAACAAGAATACATACATTGGAACATTTTATAGAATTTCTTTTCTCTGTTTATAAATGGGTTCATTTTACTGTTGTAGATGTTTTGGAGAACTTAGAATAATTTGCATATTGGCAGAACAAGACTCATTTTTATTTCTTCATGACATTGACATTCCATTTTTTAACTGTAAAAGTTTTGAGTTACTGTTGAATTTCTGCTTGGCAGTCTAAGAACATCTATTCTTAAATCTAATCTGACGACTTTCAAAATTGCAAAGGGATTTGTGATATTGATTTTGATGCAAATATTCCTAATGTTTCTTACAAAGTTGCTTCCATTGTTTCTTACACAGACCACGTCAACATCATCGTGTCAATTCAAAGAAATCAAAAATTAAGCTTCTTTTATCTCTTGAAAGCTTTGCAATCTTCTGTACATAATGGTTTGGATGTCAACCTATTTTTAAATTCAAGAAAACATTTATCAAAACGAAAATTGTAAATTCAAGACTAAAACCGTAAGAATAAAATATTCTGTCATAGTCAAAATATTTTAATGGCTTTTATGAACTCTGTTAAACGTGAAGAAATAAGAGAGGAAATATCAATGTGAGTATCTAAATAGCAGATGATAATTTATTGGAATTTATATATCGTAAGTTCTTAAATAATTTCTACAAATTTTGTTGTGTCATAACACATAGGAGAAAAGCTCACAGAATTTTATGGAATAAAATGAATGATTTTCTAACGATTCACCCACCTGATGGCAACATAATTCACTTATCATCTCTCACCTTTGCTTAAATGTCTCACTAGAAAGTTATTCTCAAAATTAAATAAATAAAAAATGTTAAAATTTCTGTCGGAAATATCATAACGTACATGCATGAATACTATTGCAAAGGGTTCTTTGGCTTTCGAGCAAAATCGAGATAAATAATGTAAAAAAAATGTTGAGCATAATAATTTGATTGCTATAGAAACAGTTTTCAATCTAATTCCGGGATATAGCAGACAGCAGAGAAAAGGTGTAGAGAATCTATAAATATCTTCACAATTTTATCAGGTAACATTATTTCGTCCTCCGGAAATTGATCGGCTGTTGCATGGAACGTGAAAGAGGGCAGCAGAAAAAAAGAATGTCGGAAGCCACATCATCATCTTGTATTTCCTTTTCCACATTTTCTCAGATATTTCATATGGCTTCGAACTTCTTAAATGCCGTCGTTTGTGATTTCTACCTGGAAAACTTTACATTTTGTGTTGACATTTTCATTCACTTTCTTGAATGCTGAACATCATGAATGAATTTATTCATCCTGATGAATTAAACACATAAATAGCTTCCATCACCATTGAATGAAAAGTTAGTTGAAGAGTATACATCAACCGCTAAGTGTCTATTATATAAAGTACTATCATTCATAAAAGTATTAATTTCATTAGGAATCTTAATAAATTAAGTAAAATGTTCTGCTATGCGTTAATTTATGACTGATGTATAAAGTCGATAACTCTTGATTGAAATCAATCTTCGATAATTTAATTATTTTTATCATTAGATTCTAATGATTAGATTCATTAACACGGTAAAACTTTCCGCAAAGCTTAGGAGCATGTTGAGTTTTACTCTTAAAAATCCTAATTAGCTTAACGCTCGAATAAAATTATGATAAATGATGAAATATGTGAAAAACCACATCATGCCAAAATTTCCTTCAAAACATAAAAAGTATCAACTGTTCATTCACCAAATTTACAAAAACAGTTTCTCCTAATTAAATATTCATAATTTATTTAAAAGTCTAAAAATCCCCAGAGGAAGGTAAGTTAGAACTTTTCTAAAGCTTTTCAAAATATTACAATAGCAAATTTCTACCACATGCTGCTCATATTCGTTCAGGAATTCTATAAACCTGAAAGAATGAATGACATTGTATAATCTACTGAAATATAATTTGTTAATAAACGTAATAAGGACATTTTAAATCAAGACTGAAGAAATCAGAGTTACATAATTTTCATTACCATTATTTTAATACATAAAAATGATAAAATTTTCAATTAAAAATCGGTTTACTCTGCCTTCTACCGCAACATTTTCTATGCAATATTAATTAATGGAATTTAAATAAAAATCTGATTAACATTGTACATGTCATATTATGCGTTGACGTGTTTGTAAATTTATATAAGCTACAGAGCAGCAATATAAGCTTGATGAAGACATAAAATGGAGTCAATTCATTATATTTGGGTGGCACATACATGTATATGATGAAATATATTTTATTTGCACCTGTGCCAATTGAAATTTAAACTTCGCAGGTATCCATAAAAGCTTATCAGATTGAATTTAAATTTCAGCTGCTTCCAAAGTCATTAAATATAAATGCATGTTAACAAAGAAAAAAATGGAACAATATTTTAAAATTCATCATCTTGTTCTGTTTAACGAATCAAGGGAAACACTTTGTGATGTGAACAAACAAACTTTATCGAAAAATATTCAATAAAAGCATAAAGGGATTTATAAATTACTTTTTACTTTTAAGTAAAATAAATCTATGTTTGTAAACAACATCTGATATTTAATCTTATTACCCAAATAAATATGTTTTTATTCAAAAATATCGATTTCAAGGAATAATTGAGGAAATTTTCTATCAAAACATAAAAATGTTTTGAAATCATGACAATGTTTTATGTTTACTTCCAAGTAGATTTATCATATACATAAGACAATCCAAAATATATCTGATGATAGGATTTGTAATCATATATGTAAATCTTTGTAAATAAAACTAAGCAGGCATCTGAAAAAATAATATTTCTAACTTTCTCAGCCTAACAAGCGGCTCATATAATTCACCTAGTCGCAGTGTGATTGTAATTTAAAAACAATTTGCAAATATTTCAATCAAAGAATAGCCAAAGGTTCCGCTTAGGGAAAATGTTTTATAATTAAGAGCTCAAAATTTAATAAATAAAAGAAAGTTTCAGAATTCCATTGATTGAAAACAGCTAAATTTAAGAGCATTTGTGGATAAATGAAAAAATAATTTCCAATGAGTAAGGAAATTAAAGAAAAATTGTATTAACAGAATAGTTTTAGGTCAATTATTAAACTTACTTCAAGCACATTTAATGGTGTTTCAGAAATATTTCCATTCAGTTCTTTGCAAGTTATTTCTGTAAGTAATAAAAGTTCACCATAAAATTTGTTATCCTCCACGTACTCATAGCTTCTTATGCCAACATAAACAGAAGTCTCGAAATTGAATAAATAAATAATATCGAAATTAACGAGACGAAAAATAAAAAAAGAAAGTTGATCAACAAATTAATTTGAATGCCATAGAACCAATTTTCGATCTAATTCCGAGATGCAACTGACAGCAGAGAAAAGGTGAACAGAATCTATAAATATCTTCACAATTTTATCAGGTAACATTATTTCGTCCTCCGGAAATTGATCGGCTGTTGCATGGAAGCTGAAAGAGGGCAGCAGAAAAAAGAATGTCGGATGCCACATCATCATCTTGTATTTCCTTTTCCTCATTTTCTCAGATATTTCATATGGCTTCGAACTTCTTAAATGTGAGGAATTTTGTCGTTTGAGGTTTATTTACTTGTAAAAATACGCAAAATCTTTTCTTGACATTTTAAATCACTTTTTCCTTGGAATGCTGAAAAAGATTTATTAAAGAAATGTGCGGTATTATTTTTCACCTTCACATGTCAATTGATGGTACAATCTTTATCCTGGTTATATGTCCTGGGATCGTTTCTTATTATTTCGATAACTAGACATTCGTTTATACCGTAAATTCAGAAGTTAATATTCGTTCTTCTTATTTCCAACACGTTGTTCTGCTGATGGCCAACACATGACATGCACAGAACGATTTCATTGTAATTTGAAATGCCATTTTAAGTAATCTAATTTAATTAAGTTAATTATATCGAAAGTAAGTGTCACAAGAAACCTTCAAAGCTTTCAGCTCAAAGAATGTTTTACACTATGTCAAATCGTAACATGATAATAATGATTCGACTGCTGTTACTGCTGTTGAAAATTAAAAATACGATATTTGTTCAAGTAGAAGGGAATGAGAGGTAAATATTGAATTAATAAAATGTTTGTTGAAAAAGATAAGAAGGAATCGTTTGCTGTTGATGTCAAGCGTGCTTTTTCATAAGAAACTCTCATGTTAATACTTCTACGTAAATATTATGTAGGCTAATGGATACATTAATACAGACATAATGCAATTAAAGTCTAAAACCGATATCTATGCACTATCATTCAACGTCAAATTGAAACGGAACGTTTTTTAATGATATCACATTAATGCATCAAGTAGAGTTGTGTCAAGAGAGATGAACGAAAGAAACGTTTTCTTGGATGAAATATCACCTGCTTTGTATCTTATTGCATTGAATATTTTAAAAGATGGAAAGTATTACCGCAACACACTGATGTGCAATGGCGGCAAATGTATAAATATTTTCATAAAAAGAAAATTAAATAACTGAAGCATCAACGATAACAATTTAAGTGTTGGTGTAGAAATCAAGCTGCCATGTTCTTAAGTAGAGCTATTGTTATTATTCGTGCCATGGAAAAGTCATAATTAATTGATTTAAAAAGCATAAAAGAAATCAAGACTCGAAGCACGTCTTTCTCTTCTCCTTCATGCGTTTCGATGACTTGCTGATGCTTTTACTGTTCGAATTTTTTGAAGAAAAAACACGAATTTTTTTTTCTTGAGCACAAACTTCAACTGACATGGCACGCTGGGAATAAGAAATTTGGCGAATTTCTTTTTTCGCGATTCGTTTGGCAAGTTTGAAGTTTCAACTTAAAAGTTTTAAGTGCCTTATTATAGCAAAGTTTGATACTTATGAATTGTGGTACGATAAGGAAGAAAATTGAAACTTTTTATCCTGGGCATTAAATTTGCTATTCCGTTGAGTTTGGTAGGCAATAAAATCAATTCATAGCTGATTTCACCTCACTGGGACGTCACAAACAATTTCACATACTTCTCTCTTCTCATTGTAAATATTATGTCAATCAAAATCTCAAAATAAGTCGAGAGTTGAATGGCATGAAAGAAACATCTTGAATGATTTCAATTTTTATTCTCGATTTGATAAGCACTTTTGTTGTGAAAATTTAATTTCAACTCAGATTTGTCTACCATTACCATTAAAATAAATGAGAAAGAAAGCATCGTTTATTTCATACAAATTGTCCCAAACATTCTCTGTGGGAACTAAAAATATTTGACAACAAACTAAATGTCGAAACAGGAATTTTATTCTGCACCTTCCTCCCGTTCAACTTTATTTTTGTATGCTTACTGTAACTCTCACACTTATTTTTTGCGAATTTTACAAGTTAGGTTATAAAAGCATATGAATGTTGAATAAGGTAAAAGGTCAATGAGATTTTGCATTAGTGTTATCATCACCCTTGAATAAGAGAAGAAATGAATGAACAAGCTTTGAAAGTATTCAGGTAATAATGCCCTTTAATCATACATAGGCATAAGTATACGTTTTCAAGTTACAAGAACTATCTAATCATGCAATTCCGTGCGGAAGTTGCGTTCGCTTGAGCTCCCTGATGTCTTCTATTTTTATCTTGCTATGTACCAGAAGCTTTATAAAAATCTTCTATTCAACAATGACTCTCATAAATAACGGCATTGAAAAATCATTCCCAGTGAAACAATTTGCGCAAAATCGCAACCCACCACAGGTTGCTTTCATATTTTCTTGTACCCATGAACTACATTATCATCCGTCAGACGGCATTGAACTATTAAATAAGACAAACCATTCAAGAGATATGAAAATTTGCAGAATACATAAAACAGAAGCGACAAGTAGACGATATAAATAATTTTACGTTAAGTTCTCACGATTAAATTTTACACGTGACTCCCGTCAATGCTTTTTCATTCAAAATTTATACAAATAAGTTTAATAGCGGAATATTTACAAAACAATTCTACAGTCTATAACTTAAGTATGTTTGAAATGGCATTTTCTTAAGTATGTTTGAAATGGAAAGAATATTTTCACAGTAATCTTGCAAACACAGAATGATTTTTATTTGCCTTTTCTCTCATCGAGAAGGATTGGATCGGCTAGCGTTCCTTAAAGCTCCATTTATTCTACCCTTTTGTCCGTTACTTTGGCAATCGCATTTAATATCTTTCTTTCCATTTGTTAAAATAAAAAGGTAACGGAAAGATTCGGGCAACATTCGTAGCATAAGGTTTTTGATTGAAATTTTAGGAAGCTCATGAAAATGTTTCAAAAGCTTTTTATATTTATTGTCGTTTATTACTTTTTATTAAATTGGGTCTTAAGAAACTGAGTCAATGTCATATAATATTTTTCTTGAAAAATTTATATTATCTTAATTTGAAATATAATTCTTAGTACATGCCTTATGAAAATATGCAGAAATGTTTAACGTGAAGCTAGGCAAGGATGAAAATTTCTCTGACATGTTTTCGGTTTTTTCTTTACTTTGATAATCCCACTCTTAAAATCTAATGCCAGAATTTCTTAAAAGATTGCTTAAGTGTCGTAACTTTTATATTTTTCCAATGAATGATTTTTATCATCCAACGATGATGTATTGAAAATTTTCAGGTCATTTGTAATGTAATGAAGCACATTCAATTTTTAGTTTCCACTTGCGATTGAGCCATAAGTATTCATGCGTTTGAATGTGAATCCTTATTTAACGATGAATAAGCATAGAGGCCAAAAAAGAAGAAGAAGAGAATAAAGAAGGTAAAAATAAAATATCTAAACGTTGAAAGAAAAATTGCCAATTACTTGGGAAATTTATGTGAAGTTCAAGAATGAAACGAGAAGCACGGGTGCAGGCGAGGAGAGTTGGAAAATCAACTTAGATAATTAAAAAGTCGAATAATCAGAACTTGATCAATTTACGCAGAGATTAATTACAGGGTATTAAAAGGCTATTAAAAATAAATACGGATTTGTTCGGGCTTCCAATCTTTTTGTCCATTTGTTCGAATTCACATTAAATCGGTCCGATGAAAACGAGAAAAAAGGAAAAGAAGCGTGAACAGAGAATTATAGAAAAGTAGATATTTTTCCCATTCATTTTCAAGAGTATTAGTGCGAGTTTTGTTTTTTAATTGCTTTTCCATTGTTTATCCATTACAGCGAAACAAGAGCATTTCACCAAGTGATGTCATTTATTTAATGGCACGGCTTGAGATCACAGCAGAAAACTCAATCCAAACTTGACGCAATTGATTTTAAAAGCCATAAAAAATTGCTCCCACGAGTCATATAAATCCTTCGGCACGAAGTTAGACGCGGGCACAAATGGATTTTTCATACATTTAAGTAAACAATAATCATGCATTTATGTAAGGGATAAAAATATTGATGTGAATTTCATGATGAATAGCTTTTTCATAACCTTTTTTTTTCTGTTTTATGTTCAATAAATATTTTGTTTTTGTTTCGATTTGATTTGAGTTGAGAGGAAAATCTCTTCGGTCATTTGAGTTGATTTTAATTTAAATTGAAGGCTCACAAAATTTTTGTTGCTAGAATCGAAGGAGTTGAGTTAATTAAATCAATCCTAACAGTCAATGTATGCATGAGATTAACTATGTAGGAAACAATTTTTATTCAATTTTGGCAGTTTATTTTATTTCAAACGTGAATCGATTAAACTCTCGTAGGCTTCTGTGAATATGATTTAGATATGTGGATGTAGGAAGATATAGGAAAAATGTTTTAAAATGAGTCGGAAGGGAATTGAATCGTTTTGTAAACGGGTTTTAAGCTCCGCGAATCCAATTTGAGTTTGCCCTCTTTTAAAATATCTTTTTAATGATGTCAATTAAACGAGAACAGCGCTTTGTGTGTCGCATGTGTGGGATGTCGCATTATCTGCACAATGATTTAACAATGCAGGAGAAAGTGATACGTTAATTAATTTTTTAAGATGACTTAAAATCGCTTTACATCCCATCCCAAAAATACAGTAAGTGAACTTTGTGACAGAGTTTCACTGAACACAGAAATGTCACAATTTTTAATAAACCGACTTTATATGTTGTAGGAATTATTTGCAAACGAAAATCTTGTTTGTTTTCAAAACGCTCAAAGCGAACTAAAAGGGAACATGAAACAAAAACTTTGATACGAAAAGTTGCCGAAATGTGAGTGTTTTTGTCAGAACCAACAAATTAGATAACAACATACACTTTTCGGATGTTTATCACACTGTAAATTGCTAATAATATATTAAATTAATTTCGTTAGATGTTAATCGAAAGAAGACAAATGTAAAGTTACCTAAGTTTGATTATTAAATATAATTATTGGAATGAGAATTCGTTGGAATTTTCTGTAATTTATTTAACTTTTCATACCTACTAAGTACGATTAAGTTTAATAAAGATTGGAAATTTTTAACAGATTTAAGGAGTAGCGATTGTCACTTTTTACACAATTAAAACGGCTGACTAAGATAGATAAAGTTGAAAAGATATAGATTAATTATCTAAATTTAGATTACTTTAAATTGTTCTTTCCTTTCTCATTGAATTGTCAACAGCTTCCAAATATCTCAATTTAACTTACCTACATTTCCTAGAAGTTTCCTTGGTAAGGTTATTTTATTATGTTAGTGAAAAGTTGTGTTGATTTGTCAACCTTTCTCAATTGTTAATCGTGGCTGAAGTTTTCACGTGAAATAATTGTGATGAAAACCAATTTTAATCTAAAGAGTTGCCTTAAGTTGACATGAATTTTTAATCAACCGAAAGTCAGTGGAAATAATTTAAACCGAAGGTGTGCTTACTCAGGATGTTTTCCTAAATTTACTAAATCAACAACGAACACCAAGCTTTCATTGTTTTTATTATGCAAAGTTAAAGAAAAAAATTGAAATTCACTAGGCGTAAACAAAAAGGTAAAATATTATAAATGATTCTTGAGCACTTTCTGAGCTGGCATCCTATCGATATAAACAAAAATGTTGGTTTTGCAAAGTTTCCAACATTCTTTCTTCGAAAAACTTACAATCAAAGCAACAACCAACCACCCGCCGTCCCGTCCCGCACCTTCACATTCCTTTCAAACATTCTGATTTTTCAAAAAACAGTGAGGCATAATCGAAAAACTTAGTAAACTTTGTTAATGGATTGCTTCGAGCTATGAAGTGGTCACATTTGCTGTTGTTACGAAAATTAAACTCAATAATTTGATTTAATATTTGAGCGATAGGCATCAACCATAATCAGTCTCAGCTTCCTTTCCATCATCAAACAGGAAAAAAATTCAATCAAATTATACTAATTAAGTTAATTACTGTTTTGTATTCTGTCGAATTCTCAATGTACAGGCTTATGGAGACATTTAAGAAGCATGTGTTTGGTATTTCAAAATGAAAATCATTTAAATTAAACATCCCTTCAGTGAAGGTTCGAGGGATGAATCAGCAAGCCTTTACAATTATTACTACGACGTAAAATGTGGTCAAACATTATTTACTTCATAAGAAAAATCGAAAAAAGAAATCACCTCGTCATTCCATAATAAGTAAATATTTCTTACTTAGCATTTCCTATATTCAGAAGCATAAAAGCCTGTTGACAATTCTTTGTGATTTTCTCTAGAATATTCCAACATCTTATTGATATTCCTGGGCTACCTTATACACTGAAGAGATGAAGTAAAAAAGGAAAAAAAGACGTAAAGCCATCGAATGGAATTTTTGTTCTACAAGTGCTTGTAACGCATGTTAAGCTTACAATTCTCCGTTTGCTCACATTCCGAAAGAGCTACAAGCTTAAACCAACACAAACAATACTTAATACAGTTATTGGTTGGGGGAATGTGAAAGAATTAAGAAAATATTTGTTCAAAGCTACAACAAGTGGAATTTTTTTTATGATGCTAACAAATTTTCAACATTTTTAGCAGGAAAAGTTGCGGATTTTTTAACATTTTCTCTCGTCTCAATTTTCTAATTCCATTCAAATACACTAACATCGCAAAGTAACAATAAAAATTCTTTCCGGATTTATTCTACCTCGCAGACTCTGGAGGAAAAGTGAATTTTTGTAAATAATTTCACAAATGAGCTGAGAGTTTTTGAATTCAATTGTCATCCTCATCAGTCAAAATGATATAAAAAATTCATTAATTCAAAGATACCTCACATAACTCTTTTTATCTCTATTAAATGAATAGATAATGTGAGGATTTTGCATCCAAATTCCATGTGATGTACAAAAAAATCCTTTGAGCGTTTTTTAATCTACTTAGATATATTTTTAAAAATTGTGATGTTATTTTATACTCTTCAGTCTCTGAGAAGTTTCAATTTGATTTAGATTCTTTCTGCCCTTAAAGAATGTAAAAAAACGTTCTAAATCCCATAAAAATATTTTCATTGATTAATTAGTAGTCAATCAACCTACTCATTCAATTGCTCCCATGCATAGTGGCATTTCTTACATTCCTTAGAACACAATGAAGCAAAAAATGTGTTAATTAAATCTTATTTCCATATGAATATTTTTGGTTCAATAAGTTCTTTGTTCTTGTAAAGCTCGATGGACGAATCTTAACATTTATTTTATTTAAGAAGACAGCCTACTTACATCCTACATATATAACTTACATACGCAACAAAGCTAAACATCCCTTAATGGGAATATTCCTTTTTTTAGGGTCTCCTCGTACCCGTGAACTTATAAATCAATTGTAATGGCAAAACATTTATAGAGATGAGAACAACGGCAAAAAAAACAATAAAAAGAAATTCATTAAAACGAATGACCAAGCAGCAGTGGTGAAGTTCCCGAGAGAATCTCAAGTGAAAGTTAAAAAATTCCACCTGTTGTACAATTTGAGAGTTATTTTCTTCCCCTCAAAAACTGCTTTCGATTTCTCCTTTTCTCATGGAAATGCTTTTTCCCAGCCACTAGTTGAACATGTCTTCTCAAAGCAAGTCTGTTTCTTCTCCTGTGTGGAGCTTGCTCCAATGTATATAAAAAGGACGACATTCGCGCAACGGGTTTCAGTTCTGTCTGAAATTTCGTGTTGTTGAAAGGAAAGAAAAAAGACGCATGAAGAAAAGTTCAGTGAGTTTGAAGCAAAAAAATCCATGCAAGCTTAGAAGAACCATTTTTATCTGAAAATTGCTTCAAATTGCTTGGTTTTTCAACAGAGAAGTGAGAAATAGAAAAGTACAAAATTGAATTAAGAAAGTTTTAATCGGAAAAGAGAAAGAAATAATTTCTCAATTTCTTTCTTTTCGTTTTGGTGAAGAGTTTCTCCTCAAAATCAATTTTAGTTGAAATCGTAGAACGACCGTCAAAGAAGGAAAGGAAAAATAAATTCAAGTCATAAAAGTTTAACTCGTTAAGGTTGAAGAAGAAAAGAAAGAAAGTTTGAAAATGTGGCAGAAAATTCAAACTAAGATTGAACGAAACTTGCAAATCAAACAGGTGGATAGTTGTAGGTGAAAAAGGAAACAGGCAAGGCAAAAGCAGAGCTGTCGTGAACGATGCTGCTTCCACATAACATTCTTATAAGATCAAGCCAATGTGAAAAAGTTTTAAAATCTTATTGTGACGACGTGAATACTGATAGTAGAAAATTAGCATTAGTTTGAAAGCTTAATTCACTAGGTTTCCACAACCCTCCCTCTTAAACCTAGCGTGGGGTATTTCATCGCGGAAAAAAGCGAAAGTCAAAGTCAAAAGCAAGCGAGCAGCTATTGAAGAAGAAAGCAAAAGAAAAAAATCTTCAACCGAGATACGAAGGCAGAAAATCAAAGTCAGCGATATAAAAATATTTAGAAAAAAGAAGAGAATTCTGAAAATTCTACGAGAGTCGTTGTGATTACATTTGCATAATTTAACTTTGAGCATTTTTTTAGTGATCACTAAGCACGATGTAAGTATGAGGGAATAGGGCTGTTGATATCTTAAATTTACTGTTCATTCTGTGCCTTCTCTTCCTATACCACGTCCTCTTATTTTATTTTCTCATGAATTTTTAAACGTCTTTATGATTTATTTTCAATAAACATTGATTCTGTAAATAACTGGAACCGTCAAGCGTTGATGCGATGTTATAAATTTACAGAAAATAAAATATTTTTAAAAAATGAACGCAACAACGTCGAAGTTGTTTAAGACATTGCTCGAAATATTTCAATTATCGCATTTACGAGACTGTTTACCTGACGCAATAAGAGAAAACAATTTTTAGAACGTAATACAAGAAAAAAATGGAAATTTAGAGAAGAAGATGACGAAAAATCAATAAATCCTAGGTACGAAACGAGAGGAAAATGAGTGAAATAGATTCATCCGTATTCAAATTGGGAGATTATGTTTTACTCATTAAATTATAACAATTTTCCATCGGAGCTCATTCAAAACGTGTGATATGAGAGGCAGAGGAAATCAAAAAAATAAAGTACAAAAAAAAAGAAAGAAAAGGTTTTCGTTCGATCGATACACGAGACGATAGGGAAAGTGAATTTCTGTTGTGTAGCTCGAAAATTCAATCATCCGTGAACTACTTGATATGCTTGCTGTTAAATTAATCACTCTCGATGAGTTTCTCGTGTATGGATAAAAAAGTTACCACCACTGAAGCTCAAACCAGTTGAATATACCCTCGTCCTTAACAAAACTCATGTTTTCATTTTCGTTCTTTTCTCCCCCTGTCTTCTCCCTTTTCCACCCCAAAAAGCTTTTTTATTAAATGATGTTGAAATTTTCTGTCATATACAGAGTGGGAAGAAGCATCCAACAACCCAAGCAAGACTCACTTTGATCATGAAGTGAATAAAACTGTTTAATTTGGTTGAGGCGATTTTAATGAGTTCATGTTAGATTTGTGATTAAACTTTTGTCTTCTTTCTTTTATTATTTTCATTGTTCTACTATGGTCATGTTTTCGACTCTGAAATTATTCTCAAACTTACATGTTTCAAGCTACCAAACGAAACATTTTTCTTCTATTCATATCCACACTTAAATATCAGAAACTCTTAAGGCAGGATTTTCTCTTCTCCTGAGTGATTGGCATTTTTCCTACTTTTTGACTCATCTGACCGATGACCCAACTTAGACAGCTTTTTTCCTCTCATTTATTAAATTTAATATAGTAACGAAGGCTAACAAAGATAGACAAGGAGAGAATAAACATCCTTCACTAAAACAGGTTCAAAGATATTCCAAACATTTTCATGCTTTCTTCTTTTTTCCTTATTCGAAGTGGGAGTTCAATTCTAATCCTTTCAACCCTGTGAGATTTTATGATGAAAAGTTTTTAATCGTTTTTGTTATAATTTAAAAATTGAGGTTTCGATGAGGGTTAAAGTGCTTTGAAAATAAAAAGAAGAGAAATCAAATAATGAACGCAACATGCTTCTTAGATCCTTCCAACTACATTTAGTCAGTAAAACCACAGATGGCATGTTTTAAAAAGTCTCAAATCTTTAGGGTTGGTGAAAGAAAATACTTTTGATAATTTTCTTCAGAAGATGCGGTTGAGATGTAAAACTTTAAATGGTAAATAAATATTTAATTTGTCTACTGATAATTTACTTGATTGTCTTAACTCATTGTTTTATGGTTCATAAAAAGCCATAAAACAATGCTTCGAGCAACAGGTTATGGTGACATCTCAATAATGGAACAAGTAGATGAATTTACTTAATTTTGTTTCAATAATAATTTTTACCTGCTTGTGTAAGACTTCCAATCTTTAAAGTTACCAAGACTTCAAATTTAAGAATTTTTAATCTTCACATTCTTCTCGTTTGAAATTGTTGAGTCTTGTCATCTTCCTTTAAAAAATTTCTTACATCTTCTGCGTGCTAATTAATTTCTTTTCATAAAAAGAAAAGATTTTTTTTTCTTCCACAAACATAAGCATGTCTTTTGAAAACGAAAGCTCGAAATCAGGCAATGGCATAGAAAATAATTCTTTTGATGTTCTTGCCTTTACTTTGTCGAGAATCATAAGCATTTCTGAAATCCTTACTTAATTTTCTGCAATATATAGAAACAAGTGTATAAAGATTAGCAGAAGCAAGCAGAAAAAGCTGCAGAAGTTAAAAAATTATGGGAAAACGTTTGACGTGATGCGTATATTGAATGAGTAAGTGTACGAACAAGCATCAGAGAAAAGGAAGCTAAAAGCCTATGACGATAACAGATGATAACGAAGATGAGTAAGGGAGGTGAAGGATTAAGAAAAAGTTAGATACCATGCCGAAAATAAAAAAATATGCATTAAACGATAAAGAAATGTAACAAAACCGAAACCAGAAAAAGAAGGAAAAACTCGAAGCGTACAATTTATGATGAAATGTCGTTTTTATAACAGTTTATTTTTCTCCTCTCCCTCACCCCAGCATCAGCATTATCAACCCACAAAATCCCTTAAGTGTATGATAACAATACCATTTATAAGCGTTTGCAATATTTTAACAAAGAAATAAGCGAGAAACACAGCCAAAGACTTACGATGTCTCATTCTTCCATATATTTTCATGGGAAGAAGTGAAGTTGAAGCTTCGTATCATTATTTATTAAGCAAGAGATAATTGTAATGGTTTTGATGCCACGGTTCCGACATAATAGAACGTGAATACATTGGCACATGATATACAAAATTGATGCTAATGCAGTGCTTAAATGAGCATTTATTTTTGGTCTTGAGCAGAATATGTCCCGGATAACCATTGCGTTGGAAAGTCAAGTCTGAATGCATGAAGAAAACTCTATGATGGTTTTTTCTTCTGTCATTTCCAGTTACTATGATAATTCATGGAAATCCAATGATGAAAAGTTCCTTAAATATTATTAGCAATTGAATTATATCACCTTGTTGTCAAGATAAACGCTCATAAAAATATTTGCAGAAAAGCTAATAAGTACTTACTCGAACTTTACAGAAAGTTTAGATATTTAGATTGGTTTATATTCTCAAAAGTAACTGTCGCTGTATCAATTTTCTCTTTCCATTTGAAATAGATGTTTTAAGTCGCGATGGGAGTTGACGCTTGACAGCATTTATGTGGTCGACCTCAAGAAGGTAGAAGATTATGCGAATTCTGTTGCCTGCGAAAATAAAAGTAAGAACACGTAATGAATTGATGATGAAGATTGATTCTCATTTTTCTCACGCCAACGCAACACATAAATATTCCAAGGTCCATCTAGCTTCAGCTTCATTACCAGGATAAGTGGCCACGAGCAGAAATTGGCTATTAAAATATCTTTTTCTGTTATATAAAAATGAGAGAATATTTTAGTCACTCTTTTAAGAAAAAACGAACGCAAGCGTCAAACCATCATTTTAAGTAATATTACCTCTCTGACAGACTGTTGTAACATTAAATATAATCTGAAAAGCGAGTTTTGAGTAAGATGGTTGAGAGAAAAAAGTTCTCGTGGCAAGTTATATCTGACCCGACCTCACCTTACAACACCCACATAAATATCAAGAGATCTGTTCGAAGGCAAAGAAACATTTATTATTTATACGCTTCAGACGCTTCAGACGCCTGAAGCCAGTGTTTTCTTTCTATTTCAATTTGATTACACAATTGAACATAATTATACTTTCTCACTCTGTCATTGCTGGGCGGAAATTATTGTTTACCGTTTCAATTTTTTTTTGTCTTGCTCATTGCTTTCGCTATTTATCAATTTGCACCATCATTTATCCTCATCCTTTTTCCCTGCCATGATTTCATCCGCTTCCACAGATTTTCCTTCTCTTTTCACAATAATCTCTTCACAAACATTCTCGTCACAGTTCTTATGTTTGTCAATTAAAACAATTTTTTTTCCCTTCACATATTCCCGCGAGTACAAAAATGACTGCAAACACATGTTGCTTTCATTAGCGAGTCAAATATATATGTTCATAAATATATCATGTCTATTCTGTATAATCATCATAAGAACATGAAAGAAAATAATCTTCAAACGAAAGGAACCTAATCGACTTGATAAATGGCTGGAGTAATGAATGTTATCCTACTACTAGTCCATTTTCATTAATGCGTATATTAAAATTGATGAAATTAGGTCATTATGGCTCATCAAGCGTTTCATGACCATATAAAATAGAGAGTAATGATTAAGGGACGAAATGCTTCAATATTTAGATCACAAATTAATAATAATAAATATTTAGAATTAAAAAATTTGGTTCAACAAGTTCTTTCATCTCTCTTTTCATGTTGAATGAATTATTTTAATTAAATTAAATTAAATTGCTTTAAAGTAGGTGAAAAATCAGGTCGACTGTCGCTAACATCAAAAACAATCTGAAGAAGCTCGAAGATAATAAAACAATTTTTGATTATTCCGACAACAAACGATGAAGCCTTATACACATAAATTAATAGAAGTTAATCTAAAATAGATAGATTGGCGATGATTCAGAAATTAATTTTCACTAATCTCAGTTTATCAAATAACTGATTTTTTAATTCCTTAGTTTTCCTTCTATCCCCACCTCAATATTTCACTTCCACCTCCCCAGAAAATGTTGAAAATTTCAGGCTTACTAGAGTCTCTCGTGCGCAGTCTCTATTGCCGAAGACATATGCTTGTTGAGCGCATAATCACCCCTGATAAACGAAAAATGTTGTCAAGTCGCATGGAGATCCATGCAACAAGTGATTTTCCATTAAATCATTTGATAAAAGTGGAAAAAAAGAGTTTTCACAGTTCGTTTTCAGTTAAAAGCCAATCAATCAGGTTTTAAATTGAAATCACTTTCGTCTTATGCTTTTACTTTCGTAAAGGCGAATAATGGAAAATAAGAAATCAACGCATAGCATTACAAAGAAAGAAAACAATAAACTAAGTTTTAATTAAATTGATGGAGATGGGAAAGTGTCGCAATAATGAGGACAACAATATTTTACCAGTTTTTCATTAAGTGTCTGATATTTATTGTGGCCCTGAACTAGTGGCCTTTCATTTTGCTGTGGACGTCCTTTTATTTAATTTCACTACTGTATTGCAATCTTTCATCCTTAATTTTTTATATTTTCATCAACTTTTTTTCTTTAAAAATACTTGAAACATAATAAACGCTCATCTACGAATGATAAAATTATTTTTTTTCTCTCTTCCACTTTTCCCTCAGGTTAAGAAAAATTCTAAATGAGAAAAAAATTAAAAGAAAAGAAACGTTGATGCTGTTAGATGGTTGTGAAAGCTAAGAATTTTCTTCAACGTTCTTTGTACATAACATAATAATAATATAATGAATGCTGTAATTGCTAATATGTAGTAAATTACTGACGTTAATAATTAAAACAGCTTTATGAATGAGGTAGAAAGAGAGAAGATTGGATTACGACTTAGAAACTTCAAACACACAAATTCACGGATAAAATAAAACTGCTCGGCTTTTAAATATGTATTATGGCAAAGATACGACATTACAGGTCAAGTGGAAAAGCAAATTTGGGTCAAGGACGAATATTTTCAATTATATAATCTCACGTATAATGCTTGATATTTATCTATAAGTTGTCGTTATTTAGATGCGAACTTTTAACTTTTTTCTCACTGCAAACCATTATGTTTTTATCACTAAACGTTCTTCTCTGATCTTCAGTTTTCTCTTTTCATCACGAGAATATATAAACTTGATGATAGAATAAATAAGTGATTGGTTGCTTTCATTCATTGTTGAAACTTTCAACTTTATTCGATTGGAATTTTCTACCCTACATTGATTTTTTCTTTGTTGATTTGAATGATTTATCAAATTAAATAATGTGATTTGAAATGATAATTAAAATTGTGTTTTTCTACTTTTATTGAGCATTAAAATGCGTATTTAAAGTTCTTCAACCATTTCCATTGCTTCCAGAAAACTTTTTTCTTTGTGTATCTTTTAAATAATTTAAAAATTTTAAAAAGCTTTAATAAGCTTAAGAAAGGTTTTGGAAGCTTATGAGAGCCTAAGAAACGAAAGTAATACTTTTGATTCTTCATAATTTCCTTGATTTTTTATTATGCTGACAATTGAAGTTTCATTCATTCATTGCCTCGTTAACTGGCAATTTTTTAAATGTCTGTTTATTCTATCATCAAGACAATGCTTCTCGACATCTTTCTTCTTATATTATTTTTTTCCATCCTAATTAGACATTTCTTTGCAAAAGAAAAACACTTTTTCATGATCAAGTGTTATTAAATGAATTTTTCGCAATGTGTCTTAGAGACAATCTGACGTAAATTTTTTCATTTAAGACATGCAGAAATGAAATCGTTTGCTTGAATATTTATATCAAAATATTTTAGTGAAGTTGGACGAAAGGTGCATCAATGTTTTACGCATGAATGATAAAAATCTGCTTGATATCACTACTTATTTCTTTAGTTGTTGCTTCTCTCTTAAACATCATAGATATCTATGCATATCTATGCTTTCTACATATGTACATGAAATGAAAAATGCTTTTTTGGTGAATTATGATGATAAAAAGTAATTCAAGCACCATTTTATGAGTTTATGAAATTGCTTGCTTAGGAAAAGAACAAAGTTTGAAAAAGATGGATTCAATAAAAGAAATGTAAAAAGAAATTTAAATATACATTTAAGCGTGGAATGAAAGGCTCGCTCTGACAATAGATGCTTTTTATTATCGTTCTGAATATTACAAAATTTTATTGCATGTCATTTTTTATGCAAATTGAAAAACTTTTTAATTGGGGACTAAATATTGAATGAAATGAAAACACACAAAAGTTATGTTTATGGAATGATGAAGAAAGTAAATCTAATGAAATATGAGATCTAATAATGTTTTTGATACTTTTTACAGGACAATGACAGCAATATGCTTTGTTTGCAACTTACCAATCATGAGCCATCAAGTTGGCTTGGTCTGGAGTGGAGGAAACGGATGGGATGATCTCATGAGAGAACAAGTAATAAATCAAAACTTAGAAAATGAGAGAAGAAAAAGAATTATGATTTATCTTTCTAGTGCTAATTTATAAACTGTTTACATTTTTTACAACTTTTTTTGTTTCCTCTAATTTTAGGAATGCGAGTCAACAATTCGTCAACGTTTAGGAGGTAGAAGAGACTCAGCAGCTCAAATATCCGGGCAATCACCTCCTAGCACTTCTCCACCTCCTACAAACAGGAATCGTCGTCGAAGCTCTCTTGCACAACTCACAGATATTCTCAGAGAATGGAGTGGGACGGGGACGAAAAGAAATCAAAAACCGCCTCTCAATCGCCGCGAGACGTTAGCAGACTTGGCAAGGAGCTTGCCATGGCATCGCATTAGCAATGATCAATATACTTCGCAAGGTCATGCGCCCCCGTTGCGCAAGAGAAGAGAATCGAGTGCTGATTCAGGCATTAAAAGTATGAGATCAAGACGAGATTCTCACACTTCAGAGCTTGCAAAAATTTGGAATCGGAAAGATGCGATGAATGAAAAAGAAAATCAAGAAATTCCCAATGTTTCTGTCTTAGCAGACACATCAACAACACGAAATGGATCTCGAAGGGGCTCTGGAGATTCAAGTTATCGTGGTTCGCGACGTGACTCGACTCAAATTTCAGGATCAGCATTACCGAAAGTCATTGGTGTGCAAAGGAAACGGCGCGATTCTTTGGCTGCTCCTGAAATCCCAAATTTCCGTCAAGAACAGCGACCTTCAACAAGCTCTGCTGATTCTGGTCCCCTCTATCCACAACAAATCGATTCGTCATGTCAGTCAATTCCAATGCCAACAATAATTATGAGTTCCGTCACACCACCCGCGACAAGTCCTAAATTTGAAGTTCCAAAATCAGGCCGACGTGATTCAACAACACAATGCAATAGTAGAATGAATCGACGTGAATCACGTCTACAGAGACAAGCAACTGCTTATGATGAGTCGTGCACACCATCATGGTCGAGGCGAGGGTCACAACCACAACAACCAGCATTAAGCCCAGAAGGTGGTCCAAATGATGTTGGAAGTTTATGTGAACGTCAAGCTCGTCGTGACAGTTTAAGCCCAGAAATTAATACCTCGAAGTAAGTTTAATTGACGGTTTAAGCTTGCATTTTATTTTCGTATTTTAATTGGCAATAATTTGTTCATCAGTGAATTGTTTACGTTTCTGCTTTTTAAATTGTGAGAATCCTTAAAACTTTTAAAGAAAATTCTCCAACATAATTAAGTGCATTGAGCTTTCTTTAACATATAATTGGTTTAGACAAAAGCATTGTTAAAATTGTTTTACCGTACTCACTTGTTAGCTGATTAGGTTTACTTTTGGAAAACATTCTCAATTTATAAACAAAAAAAACATCTTTAATGTCATGAAATTTTCACCGCCCACAACCTACCAAAATTATGCGAACTTCAACATTTACCCAAATACGTTAAACATAACAGAAGAAAAAGTATTAAAATATTTTAAGATTTGTTCCAACACGCACTTGTGAAAGAAATATCGCTTTGTGAAGGGGTTTTTTCATTTGTTTTCATAAATGTTATTGTACTTAAAAATGTTTATTAAGTAAAATGTAACTTTTTGTGCTGGGATTTTAAACATTCTCGCTTTATTAATTTCTACGTAAATCTGCTTTAAATATTTTGTTTCAGAAGTCGACGAGATTCTCGCTCTCATTTGTCTCCTGATAGGAGTCATGAACGTGATGGAAGTCCACGAAGACGAAGTAAACTACGTAGACAATCATCATCTGCTGCTAGAACACCGAGATCCCCGGAATCAAGTAGTTGTTGTAGCTCCAGGTAATGATCACATCCATCTAAAGGGTTATTTGAAATTATCTTTATACGTATTTAAGAGATCCAAGTCCCGGACGCTTGCCCAATCAACCAATTGAATGTACACCCCGACCTCAAGCAATTAGAAGACAATCAAGCACAACGGAAGAGATCCTTATAGCTAGAGGCTTCCGAAGACAAAGCACCACAGAGGAAATGATTCGATGCCGTAATTTTAGACGTCAAAGTTCTCAATCTGATGATGTTTGTCAAAGGTTTGTTCATACATAAATAAAACCATATAAACATGAAGTTGCAGCATCCTAATTAACTTCATGATGTTACATTTTTATTAAATTCATTTCATACTCTCTTGCTTCATGTTCCATTGAATCAGGTATCGAGGAAGACGAGGTGAGTCTTAAAATAATTTTTCTTGTGTGAATAAAAGAAAATTTATGAATTATTTCACCTTTACTCATATTTTGTAGATTCATGTGCCCAAATAATTGATGGTACCATCGGAACGATGACTGGTAGGATTTAAAAATATGTCCATAGTATAAAATTAAAAAGAAAACTTTTCCTTTCAACTTTATTTTTGGCAGTCGAGACCACGAGTACATTTTTTGATTCATCTACTCAAACTGGTTAGTTTATCAAATATTTTTTCTTATACATAATAAATTTTAGTATGTAAACATTCGGCGTATCAAGTTAATTTAATTGGAAGGCTTCTTCCTTCTGTCCTTATTCTCTTTTACGTTCCCATTTTTTATCATACAAAAATTATCATATGAAAAGAGAATGAAAAAATTGTGAACTTATCAGAGAGGAAATATCTCGTTAAAGAGAAATGTGAAAAGCAAAAAAAAAATAATTTAAATATTTTTTATTAACATAAATTTATGTTTAAAGAATCTCGCTATCTAAACTTGCCTTAAGAAATCTTATTCATTCAATATCACTGCAATTTTGGTCAATGTAATCGCGCTTCGTGAATTTCATTCTTCGTCTACTCCCATAGCAAATCTCCAACTCCCACAACTGATTTTCCATCTATGAAGTCTTGATAAGGAAAAGCTTTGTTATTGCTTCCAATTATTACACAGTGTGAATTTCGTTAACAATCTTAACAAACAAATATTGACTCTGGAAAATTGTAAAATACTCATTGACATTGACTCCTTATTGGAAGTATAAAATGTCACAAATTAGATATTATTAAATAATTTTTAATAGATTTAAAATGCAAGTGACAAGTCAGTTCTCTAAATATATCATACATTATTCAATTTCCCATGTGACTTAATACTCGAATGATTTCGGATTAATGCCTTATAAAATTATGATGATGATGATGATGACGATTATGATGATGATGATGATGATTATATTTATATAACATCAAACATTGTTTTCTTATTCAAAAAGAATAAATTCCTATCTACTAGATACATAAATAATCTCTAAGGTATACATAAATTCTATATACAAATTTTGCTTATGTATTTATATATAATAGTTATATACATAAGAAAAAGATGGATTCGAAAACCTAATTGAAAAATTGACTTGGGAGAAGCTAAACAAACAAATTTAATTTGACATCGAAGTGGCACTTTCGACATACGCATGATTTCTNAAGTGTAATTAAGCAAAGAAAATTTTTTGAAATTTTTGGGCAAATCCAATACGGTTGCCCGTCACCCTAGGGTGGGGCCTCCGTAAAAGATGGATTCGAAAACCTAATTGAAAAATTGAATTGGGAGAAGCTAAACAAACAAATTTAATTTGACATCGAAGTGGCACTTTCGACATACGCATGATTTCTTATTTAATGAACTTATCGAAAGGAGTCGATATAATTTCATTTAAAAGCAATAACATTAGATGGAAAAGGTATGAGATCGTCTGCAATGTTTTCTGACAACTTCGAAACAAATGATGATAAATTGCGTCGCTTATGAATGCATCTTTTGCTTTTATCGCCTACAAAACAAATTTGATACTACACAATCATTTACGCGGCGAAAAAAAAATGTAATAAAAATGCTAATGGAAGATATTTCATTCCAGTATTCATATCTTTTGTCTGTTGACTGTTCTCTTTACATCCACCCTTCAGATGATAATTTTTCCCATCCAACCTTGGATTTTACTCCACCTTTTCTCGCTTTCACATTCCAGTCGCTTCTCGCTCACTTCCAGCCGGAATTGGAAATTGTCTTCAGTTTATCTGTTCACATTCCTTGACCTTTTTTCTAACTGTGCTCACTCGGTTCTCTCAGTTGAGTCGTGAACTTCCCGTTGCGATGTTATGGGTAGGAAATTGAATTTTCATCAGAGTGAAAGTATTTTAGTTGAAATGTTTGTTCTGAGATGTGGAAAAGGTTTTTAACTAGTGAACTAGTTTAATTAATGAACAAATAAGAATAAATTTACGCTTAAAATGAACATATTTTAATCTTTTTGTTATTTCGAGAAAAGTTAAACGAAAGGATTAAAGTAAATTAGTTGAAGTATCAATACAAGTTTATTGGATTTGATAACTGTTGCTAAAGTGCGTCGTCTGCATTTTAAAATTAAGTTTACGATCGTGGAGTCTCAAGAGATTTTGTGGAGTGTTCAATACGAAAGTCCAACGGGAAGTTTAACACAAATCCCGAAAATTAATAGTAAGACATTTTCCGATAAGCTTAGTACACGACATATGAGAAAATTCAGATTCTCTTTTCTTTTTCTTTATTTGATTTTCACTTTTCGTTCATTCTTTCCTTCTTTCCTTCTTTACACACTAAAAAAATGAAAAAAAAGAAGAAAAAAAATATCAAGTTTCCATGTTAGACTTTGAGAGAATGGAAAATGGAAAGCTTTACGTTTTATTGTACATTTTATTTTTATGTCATTTCTTCGAAACCCAAGTACTTTGTGGAGTGACTAACGATAACTGTCAACACACTTGTGACGCACTCTGAATAATGGAAACAGAAAAAATGAGCTACAAAAGAGCCATAAAAAGTCTGATTTTGAGATTAAAGTTCGACATTTTCAAGTTTGACTCACTCAATTTCCTTCTTCTCCTTCCATATTTAAGAGAAAAATGAAAACAAAGTTCAAAAGCTTCGAAGCAACAAGTTCAAGCTTAGACCTGGCAATCGCACATGAGAATGCGATTATATGAATCAAAAAGGATATCATTTCATTTTATTACCACGTTCTCAAAGTGAGAAGCCGTCATTGACGTCATAAATTTCACGGTTCTTTAATAAAACTTTTGATTTAATGATTTTGTCAATTACCGTTGCAAAAGCAACGAAAACTTTATTTTCGTATTAATTATTTCAATGAACTTTAGCAACAACAACATTTATTTTACTTTGCTTTGCAGTCTCTGAGTGATTTACACATTAATATTTCTAAGAAACCATAATCTGATATAATTCATTCATGTGCAAAAAAAGTCTGAAAGAAAATTTGTAACTCACACTTTGTCTTCTTTTCTGTTTTTCTTTCTGTTTTCTTCGCATCATTTATCTCTTACAGAACCATCTCCATTGTATGACAACAATCATTATCACGAGGAATGTTTAAGGTGCAACTCATGTGCCATAAATCTCACTGGCGTCAATCAAAAGCGTGCAAGACGTTTCAAAAACCAAATTTTGTGCGATTTGCATTTTGCAGGTGAGTTTTCACAATTCATTAATTAATTTTCATATTAAAAGTTTTCTTAATTTCCTCAGACGTTGCCCTCATGGAATGTTCTGACTTTATGCAGCAATTACGCAGTTTTAAACCACAATCGTTGGGATCTATCGTTGCACGCCGCAAGAGCTCAACGACTTTAATATTTCCGTTACCACCTCAAGCATGTTCAGGTAAGAATGTGTAAGAAAATGTAGAAATCCAAATCTCTTTTAGAAAGTTTCAAACAATGAATGAGCGAAAGAAAAAGTTTGACTTTTTTTTTTCTTTCTTTTGTTGAGAGGGTGAGATGAGAATAAGTGTGATGCGGGGGTGGGCAAAAAGTTTATTCGACAAATTAAGGTTGATTTTTCATGTTATGTTTTCTTACTCAGAGTTTACTCTCCTCGCATGAGCTTATTATGCTCATGAGCAATGAAAAGATAAATTTGCTTCAATTCTTTTGGAATAAACGAAGTGTAGCAGCAGCAGCAGAAAAAAAGAAATAAATATCTAAACAAACAAAATGTTCAGCTCCAATTGTTAAATATTTAATAACCTTCATTCCGCTCTATTATGAAGTTTACTTGCTTAGCAATTCAGCTTTTGCTCTTTTGTTCACCGTCATTGTTGTCGTCAATGACGATGTTTGAGTCAGTGAATATTCTGTAAAATGACGCTCGAAACCTCTAATTAACTTTAAAATCATTCGCTTCATTTGATTCATGCAAACTTATTAAATTATTTATCGCGCAACTGATCGAACCAAAGCAATTTTCATTGCCATGAATTCTTAATTTTCCATTCGTTTTCCACGAAATGACTACAGAGTGAAGTTAAAGAGATTTAAAGATAAATAATATGAAGAAGTCTGGTGTAGATAAATAGATAATACCATTAAGAATCATATAATCGCAAATGATGGTGGCAAAAGCTGAGTAATATTGTTATCGAGAGTTTATTAAACATTCCGATCTTTGAGCATCATAACAGTACGTGACACATGGTGTTTAGATAAGTTTTTAACTTAGTCAGAAAATAATCTTCACGCCAAACAATGGTTGAAGTGGAGCTCCAAAGGACGAATGATCTTAAGGAGATAAAGAGATGATGGGGTTAGGATGAGACTGGTGGGAAGGGATGAAAGGTGGGGGTATATTGAATATAATAAAAGAACAAGAATATAAAATGATGATAGGAGCAAACATCTATGATAATGCGCATAAAAATTTCAATCATCGATTCTCTCAACTAAACTTCGAACCTTTTTTTATTTTTTTTGTACCATCTAAGGATATATCGAATAACCTACGTTATTTTATTTGTGTCGCGCATATAAAATTTCTCTTTCGTTCTACTTTTCTTGTCTTCATCTTCACATCTTATATTTATAAGGCGAATGAGTGAAATAGATAGCGAAGTATAAGGGAAGGCTCGATGATGGTTAGACTGAAGAAAGCTTTAAAGAAAAAGAACATTAGTGCAAAGCATTTGAAAAAATATCATCGAATTGCAAATTGTGCTACCATTAGCTGTAAGATTTACAACAAGCGTTATATACAACAGCTTGGTGTTTGCCTTACAGTGAGTGGTGACATAAATAAGAAATGTTTCTGAGAATGTTTCCGGAACATCATTGAAAAGATCGAATAATGCGCTTTGGGAATAAAGTGAAAAACAATTGTCAGAATCAAATTTCATTAGATAGATTGAAAATATTCCGAGAAATTTGAGCCAACAATATAATTTCAAAGTGAAAAATAAAATAAGTGAATAAACAGAGACAATTCAAATAAGTAACCTTTATCATTTTCCAAGTCGAGTCTTATGCTGTCGTTTGTGTTGGGGATTTTATCCAAATATTAAATAGGCAGGCACCTTTCATATTTTCACAATATGAAGACAGACCTGAAGAAAAATGAAGCTCAAAGAATCACGATTGAAAAACCTTTCTCGATTAAAATAGAAAGAGTGAAAAAAGATATTTTCACATAATTTTGTTTTCCTTAATAAAAAGTAAAAAAAAAACTTTGACGCATTAAATACATAATTGCTCATTTCTTTTTGCGCCCCGTGGTGAAAGGTCTTTCTCATAATTTAAAGTCTTTGTTCCGAGAAGGAAAACATTTTTCTATCGTTTTCTTCTGCACACATTTATTTGTTTATTATTTATTTTCCTCCTTATTTCTGCCATTTTTACTGGAGGCAAGCAAGCTTTCATAAACTAAGTGATAACAATATTTCTCAATCTGAGCTATTTTTCTGTCGGTTGATGCCATGATAAAGCATTTTTGTTGTGGAAGATTTAGAAAAAGAATCTTTCAAAGCTAAGCGAGTGTGTAATGTTTGAAAACGAAGACCCAAAAAAGAAAAAAAAACTTTTCCTTTCTCTCCCAGCATATTTATAAAATTCTTTTGGAGTAAAACATGAGATATGCGAAATATTCTCAAACGTTTTTAGTGGATTAACTGTTCAACATGTTTGATTATTAAAGCAATAAAATGAAGTTACGAGTCCTAAGAGGGCTTTACAAGCTTTTACTTGATGTTTCTTTAATAAACTTTAAATAATTTAAGAAAATAATGTCTTCATATGTGACATAATTAATGTAGTCACCATTGGAGATTCTTTTAGAAGAAAATGTATGGCATTTAAATGACATGGATATGCTTGTAAACAACATGAAAAATCTCTCCCAGATCTTCTCGCTTTTCAATGAATTTATTCTTTCAACGTTTCTTATTTCATTTGCAGACGAGTTTTGCGAAGAATATCCACATGCCCTGATCCCAACGCCTGGGTACTGGATAGAATGTTCACGACAAAAGATTGCGCAGATTAATCAACACACGATATGGGATGACAGTGAATCGGATCACGATGAGCCAAGGCCAGGTTGCAGTGGCGATGGTCAACATGAGAGAAATTATGGAGATTTATATGAAGACGATGAAGATTCAGATTATGTTCCGCGCAAAAAGACGACCATTGAAGAACAATGGGAACAACAACAAAGCTTTGAACTTACATCGGTTGAACAGGAAACATATGAGAAGTATTTTTATGGATCCGAACATTGGAACTACTTTACAAACGACGAAGATTTGGGTCCAGTCATATTATCAATAAAACAGGAAACATTAAATGGACGTGATCAATTTAGGATATTAGTTAGAGCCATTTCTTATACAGTTCACGGTCTCATTCCTGCATCATGCGTTTTTGCTGACAGGTAATAAAAAGATTTTAATTATTTATTTTATCAACTTTGATATTCAATTAATTCATGCCATAACAGGTATAACAGAGAAGAAGTCGTAAGGTCGTTGGGTAAAGAAGTTAATTTGAATCCTCCCTTGACACTCGGCCAACTGCCCGATACACCCGAAGAGTTATTAAAATTGGATCAAGTCTTTATAAAATCGGAACTTAAAGTTGGTGTGATTTATGTCAAAGAAGTGAGTAATTTCAAGATATTATCATCTATTTATTAAGGTTTAAATGGCTATAAGTATGCCATTATCTGTCTTAATAACATTACATAATATATTCATTCATTTTCTCTCGGTTTGTGAATTCTCGTCTATTTATTATTTAGGGTCAATTTTCGGAAGAACAAATTTTAGACAATAATGAGAATTCGCCAATGTTTGAAGAGTTTCTGCAACTGTTAGGAGATAAAATGAGATTACGTGGATTTGACAAATACAAAGGCGGCCTAGGTAAGTTCGATATTATTTTGAATAAAAGCTTGCATGTTTTAATTATTTGATTATCTTTCCACAGATACTGTTCACGACTTAACGGGTCTATACTCGGTTTACACAAATTGGAGGAATATCGAAATAATGTTCCACGTTAGTACGCAACTCCCATATGAACGTCATGACCCACAAAAGCTGCAACGCAAGCGACACATCGGTAATGACATAGTCTGTGTAGTGTTTTTGGAAGCTGACAATACTGCCTTTAGTCCAGCGTGCATTAAAAGTCATTTTTTACACACTTTTATATTGGTGAGTGTCATCATCAGCATCATAAATAAGAAAAATTCTAAACAATGTTATTCATACATTCATTTCCACATAACACATAACACATTTTCTCATTCTTCTTTGTATGTTAATGTCATCGTAAAAATTGATTGTTAAAAAAAGAAATTTCATAAAGTTGTTCATCCATCCTTGTCTGTCATAATTTACAAACATTTCCCTAGCGACTATTAAATAATCTTTAGACTAAATGTTAATGATGAGAGTATAAAATTGTTAATTAAATCTATAAATTTTGTGTGCTCGTTAAAACAAAACCGCTTCGTTATTAAGGTACGAGTATCAGCTAGAATAAAAAGAAAGCCAACGCGTTATGAAGTATCAGTTGTGACAAGAGACGAAGTAAGCGCTTATAAACCATTTCTTTGGGAGCAATCGGTATTTGAGAAAGGCCCAATGTTTAGGTAACTCTCTAATTTATTTGTTTCTTAATACAGTTTTAATCCGAGACATTTAAAATGAATGAATTTTCAGAGAATGGCTGTTAACGAAAATTGTCAATGGCGAACGAGCTTCTTATTCAGCCCCAAAATTCGCACGAATGCAAGAGCGAACAAGATCACAAATGTTAGAAGATATTGTTGCCAATTTAGCGAATCATGCAGAGACTGGTCAAATCCCAAAGCCTTATCGACGTGGAAGCTGGAGGCCGATTGGACATATGCGACCATCGTCACCACTACTCGACTCTGTTCGAGATCAATTCGAAGGTAAGAATTATTCAATTCAAAACTCATTATTAACTTTCTTTTATTTTTCATCTGCCACTTTGAAAAGATTACGATCAATTGGCGAAAGACTTCACACGTGTTTTCCTGAATCTTGAACCGTCGTGTTTGCAAAACGCTCATTTATTTGATGTAGTTTTTCTGGTGGGACAATCGAAACAGAAGGCACGCTTTATTGGCGTTCGTGCTATACTTGGTGTTCGATCGAGGGTTTTCCAGGTGTGTAAATATAAACTAAAAGATTTATTGAATTAAAATTAATTTGATATTGTTCACATTTCGATATTTCTTACAGGAAATGCTTTACGGTATTCAGACTGGCTTCGGGTCACCGCAAGTACCTGTCGCTGAACTCTTAGCACGTCCCGCTCCAACTCTTTTATCACCACAAAATCATCGTCCCAAAAGCTCAAATTTCCTACAAGTTCCCGACATTGAATCACGACCGAAAAGTGTTCCATCTTCACCGATGGTCAAACGAGCATTCTCTAGATTGGGGACAATAACTGCTGGCTGGGGTAGATCAATTCGTTCAAAGCAACAGTCTCAATTGAATGCTGACGATAAGAAGAAATGGGCATCGTCTCAGGATTGTTCGGGTATTTTAACTTTGACATTTTCTTTTACTTTAATTTTTTTAATTATTGAAATATTTTTCTTTCCTGTTTTCAGACAAAGACGGCAAGGACCGAGCATCAAAAGACAAATCTAATGCGCTAGCAGCAGTGCCTCGTAAGTAAACAATTTACTGAACAACGCAACAAACACTTTTTTTTATTTTTCATCATTAGGCTTATCAGTTTGTGCCGATGCTCAAAAGGTCGACAGAGCTAAACTGGCACAAACAGAATTTACAATTATCGAATTTGATCCTGACACATTTCGGGTATTATTAGATTATTTGCATACTGGAAGTTGTCCACTCACATGTCAAACAATTCCCGGATTGATATGTGCAGCTGAACATTATGATCTACCCGAATTGTTGCAAGCTTGCTTTCATCATGCCAAACAATTTCTCAGGATTGATATAATCTGCTCCATGTTAGTTTCGTTGGAGAATTATTATTGGCGTTATACGTCAGCGTCCGAGCTTGTTAATATGATTTTGGCTTTCGTTGAAACTCGAGCTTATGCCTTATTTCAAACTGCAGATTTTCTTAGCTTAAGTGAGAGCATGGTACAGATGATTATGTGCAGAAATTTAGAAATACCAGAAGTTCGCAAGTTTGAAGCGATGTTAGCGTGGGCGAAGCATAAGGTAAACAACCATAACTTCATTTAAGTTTCAAAAAACATTTCCCTTCAATATTTATTAATAAATTCATTAGGTGAAGTCGAAAGTATCTGCGAAACCAGACGCTAAAGTTGAGTTTCGATGCATTATGGAGCGACTGGCAAGAGATTTGAAACTTCATCGTATTTCACCTCAAGAGCTCATTAAAATTGTTTTACCATCAAAAGCAATAAAAAATGAACGTATTCTCGAGACTCTGATGTATCAAGCAAATTCAGGAATGTACAGAATTCAAGACAGTTATTTGGAGGCATGTCAAGAACGCCTACAGAAGCAAGACTCACGTTACAGTGAGTTTGGTGAGTCTTTTGACTGTGGATTATAAAGCAACACCATTTACATCATCTCCTTTATTGAATGGTGATGATGATGATGATTAAAGACAACATTTCTGTCCCTCGATTATTATGTTGATTCATTGAGCATCGATACTTCAAACAGATCACATAATATTGATATTGAAATTGATAAGGAATTATCATATATGTGTAGATAATTGAAAAGATGATGACGGCAAAAATGTATCAATCATTAAAATAATTGAGAATGTTTTTTTAATGTATGACATACGCTGTTGTGAGCTAAAAAGAGAAAGAAAAAGAAAAGATGTGGAAAAGTGTCAGATTGCATTACATTAACGATATGATAAAAATACATACCTGTATCGACTGATAATGTAGAGTGTTTATTAAGCGTTTATTTGTTTCGTTTTCTTTTTTCATTCATTGATTGACGATAATATCTTACGAATATCAACGTCTTCATCTCATAATGGTTCATGCTAAAGAGACAAAGAAAATTATAACCTTGTCTTATTTATTATGCAGGAAGCATTGGCTTTGTTCATCAACTTTTTACTGCTGACATTAAATGATTTTTGTAAATTCAGATGTATGTAAAGCTTCGTTTTTTCATTGCTATTCTGATTTTTTTTTTGAGTAGACAACAAAGATGTGCGAGAAAAAAATTCAATACTGGCTGTATCATTAAATAAAAAGGGAAACTATATACAAATTGTTCCGTGGTGAAATAACCACGTCCGCACGCCTCAATATCCCGCGTCGAACTGCCCTGAAACCCCGACTCTCGTCCTCTCGAACTCCGATATGTATCCCCCCGAACACAAATGTTATCGATTAAACTTTTATCATCCAATGAGAACTTAAAATATCGGAGAATCTTTTTATATTTTCTCTTAATCGATCCGAATAAATTCGAGACAAGAGAATATACAAGAGTTTAAAAATAATATAAATTGATGAAATCTTATACCCAACTTAGATAGATAGTTTATAAATGTTCAAAAGAAATAAAATGAAAGTGATCATTTCAGTGTTGAGTCATTCAATGTTAAATTATTATGAAATATTACCGATAAGTTTATTAACTGTGAAAGTTTTTTGTCCTTTCGTTTAATGTAGAGCATAATTTATGAGAAAGCAAAAATATCTATCTAATATTGAATAAATAGGAATCTAAAACTAGCGATTTGATAGAAGAACAGTAAAGGCAACAAGAAACCTTAAAAAATAACTTTACATGCTTTCTCTTCATCCTCTTCTTATTTAAGTCTCTTTGTAGCGTTAGAAATATTTATTAAAAGTATTAACCTTTAAAGAATATTTAAATTGTGGTTAAAGAAAACTTTAGTCAACAAATGAAAGCACTTAAAGTAATTTTTGCGGGCGTCATCATTGCTGGCAGCGTATTTCAGATTCTATCCTTTCTTTTTTTTTTTCGAGACGATAAAAAGTATATTAAAAGAAAACACCAAAAATGAAATTTAATTAACAACAGAAAATAAAAAGAAAATATGAACCCAAAAAGAGTAACTAAAAAGAAGAGACGAGAAAAATTATTTTCTTTAAAAATCTGTATGACTTTCTTTTGAAAGCTTTTAACAAAGGTATCAGATCCAATTTTCTTTGTAAAATGATGTTTTATCCAGAGAAATAAAAGAAAAAAAAACACTCAAATTGACTCAATCGTACTTTCAATTGCTTTAAGTATTTGTATAATTTTTTTTCTTTGATTATAATTCATTTTTTTCGAGAAACATCTGAGACTTAAGATGATGATGCCACTCAACCTTTCTTTTATGATTGATTCGAATTTCCTTTTTACAGAATATTTTGTTCTAAATTCGAAATTATCTAATACAATTTATAAAGGATCAGAAATTGTTGGATGATGACGAGGCCAAAAGAAGTTGGTAAATAAAAAGTAATTGAATGAAGATTCTTAAATTAAAGGATGATGAATCATGTCCATGACAGAAAATTCATTTGACTAATCGTTTTATGTATGATAAGTGTTAAATCATCAATTTTGTAAGGGGTACATAATAAAATTTAATATAAACTACATAGGCACTTGCTATCTAGCTAAACCCAAATAAACTTTAGATATTTATATAAAATAACATTTCAGAAAAATACTCGCCAATCAAGATTTGAATATTTTACAGGGGAATGAAAGTGTTCAAGGGGAAGGAAAATTGTTTTCAGTAATTCCGTCATTTTTCCTAATAAAATTTTCTCCGGAGAATACTTATTTTATTCCATAAAAATGAATTCTGGAAAACTCATTGCACGAACATTAGTCAGAAATAGTAAGTACATCGGGTAATGTCACTAGTGGAAGAAGTAAAGTTTTGATTACAACTCTAATTTACATAATATGACAATCAATGCTTTTGATGACTTTTTTGCTAATTGAAAAGAAATGAAAAAATTAAATTCAATTAATTATTATCGCAAACATATTTAAGAAAAAGACGATCCTTAAAAACTTTTAATTCCGCTCAGCAAGGAATATTTATGCATTTAAAAAGTTTACGTATTGCATAACTTTCTTTATTCTTTTAGTGACTCCTGTTCGTACATACAAGGCTCCGAGCGCTTATCGTCCACCAACACTGAACGATTTGCCTGTTCCTCAAGGAGATTTCTTTATGCAACATGCAGCTCGTGAGCGAAAATATAACGCTTACCTTGCAGCTGGCGTTTTAATTTTTGCAACAACACTCTTTGTGGTGAGTTAAAATTAATAAATTCGATCATTAACACTTGAACTCAATGAATATCGTTCTTCTTCTTATAGGTGAAGGAGTCTAAAATCATAAACTTCAATTGGAGTCCTCCAGACACTTACGAGTAAATATCGAAGTCATAGAACTGCCGATCTCAAGGAACAGTTTTTTATCAGCAGCAAACTATTTTAAACCATCAAAACCTCAACTAAAGTGAACGATACAATCCAATTTCTAAGCATTTGATAACTGTTTGTTTGTATAAAGCATCTCATAACACAAAAGTTACTTAAAACCTTCCCTTTGTTTCTAACAACACTATTCATTTTTTAGAAACATTTATCTAGATAATTGGAAAATTATTGAAAATTCGTTTCGAGATTGGCAGATTAATGAAAAAAATAATTTCAGAGAAAAATTTGTAGATTTAAAATTAAACCCAAATAAAAACAACATTAATGTTATCCTGCATGTCTTGTGAATTGATTATATTTTGATATATTTCTATTTTTTAATTTTTTAAGGACATCATTAAATGATACATTTACATGTATAAACTTTAAAGCATGGAGATAAATTTATTTTTTGCTTATTTATATCAATAAACAATCTAATGCGATCTCGCAATCTCTGAAAAGAAATCAAGAATTTCTTCTATTGTAAAATCAAGCGTGATCATTGCACCTGCGTAACATCTTGATATACGCTCTTCGATGAAATTATACTGAGCTAAAAACTCTTCCTGCATTGCTCGCCACACAACTTGTAGTAAGTTTTCTTCTTCGCAGAGATGTTTCTCAACCTTTTTGTACAGATTCTCCAAACCTTTCTTTACCTCCCGAGCAGGATATTGCGAAATAACTTTCCGAAGTTCTTGCTTTGAGAAAGCCATTTGATAACTAATTTCAGTTTCTTTGATGCCTTGAGAGACTTTCATTTGCACACCTTCGAAAAATTGCTAAAAAAAAACAAGAACATGATAAAAAAATTATTTTATAAGACTTGGTTGGATTCTCACATTTAATTTCTCCAGAGGACGCCCAAAATACTTCGTCACATAACTTCTTAAGGCTTCATTGTATCTTAACTTTGTTTCCTTTTTCATGTTTTCCAAAGCAGCGACTTTTAATCGTGCCAACTGAGAATGCATGTGATGATAATTCTCCATCTTTATAACTTGATTTGGTGTTTTCGGATGTTCAACTGATAACTGAGTGATGCCTTGGAAGATTTCTTGAACAAGCTTAACGTACCATTTGTCAAGATCTGTTCGACGTTCACTTTTTCGAAAGATTTTTTCAGCTAAAGTCGCAAATTCTTCGAAATTTTCAACATAGCACAATAAGCCACACTTTGAACGTTTGGGAACTTTCGCTTCTTGAATCGATTGCAATTGCAATTGCATAAATTTATCGAAATTTCTCTTAACTTGTACAAGCACCGAGGCATAAGTCATACTAAGAAATGATTGGGAATCTTGAGCAGTCATCACGTGTTGGTTCAAACGAACGAAGACATAAAGAGAGTAGCTGTGATAGCCAAAATGTTAAATAAACTCATCAGAAAATCTATAAAGATACTTACAATGTATCAAGCTTTTCAAAATTAACAATAAAATTGATCAATTCGCTTTCTAGAATTCCAAACAGTTCGCTCATCATTCTGCGCACTTCTTCATTGATTTGTCGATTTATTCGTCTTTGTGGAATGTCTTCTGGTGTATCTTTGTTTGGAGTGACCGCAAAACTAGGAGCAGCTTTAGAAGCTGATGTTGGACTCAAAACATCGAGTTGAAAGAAATTTATACAAAACATTTGTTCATTTAATGCCATAGGTTCAAGTTCGGTTAGAACTTTCTCCAATACTGAATCGAAGCGTTGTCTTTCATTACTGTCAACAGCTGCTGAATTCCATTGTTCTTTTGGCAATCCAAGAATTCCATACAATGAAGTTTTATTTGGTTGCACTTTTGATTTTCCAGAAATTGATGAGTTCATCTCATCGTAACTCAAATTCTTCATAATTTGATGTTTCGATTGATCAAAGAATTGACGAATGTCTCGTTCATAAACCTTACTCAGGGAACTTGTATAAACTTTAGTGAGCGCTTCATAAGCATTTAAATCCATTGTTTTCATCCAATGCATCAGATCTTGATAAGCTGAAAGCTCATGATGATGATGGTGCTTTGGAAGCTTCAGATCATCTTTATGAACCGTCATAGTCTCACCTAGGTCGTTTCCTAAATGAATGAAAAGATTGTTCAAATGTCGACTGATGGTGCTTGAGAACTTTGCTTTCCATTTCTCAAAACGTTTCCTTTGATCTTGAACAGCTCCTAGACGAAGTAGAGCTGGATCGATATCACAACTCATTGCATTTTGCAAAGCTTTTCCTGCATCTTTCGCAGCTTGTAATCCTTTTAAAGATGTCAAGTCCGTGTCGGTTAGAGCCAGTTGATAGGCATGTGGAAGATCCAATTGACTGATGATTTTCTCCAACTCATGCATTAATTCGATGTTGTTCTTGTTAGCAACTTCAATCATCGAATTCTTTTCACCCATCTTTTCCATCGAATCACGAATGTTTGACATTATTTCTTCATATTCATTTAAAGCTAATTCAACTGTTTCAACTTCATCAATTGCCGAATCGATTTGTTGCATTAACGAAAGAACTTTTTCTTCTGCTTTCGAAGCGAGAATGCTTTCAACGTTAGCTCCATCAAGTTCAATTAGATTGTTCGACAAATGCTCAATGAAGAGATCGGCGTTTCCTCAAAGAAAAAAAAAGAATTTTAAAACAAATGAATCACAAGTTACCAGAATTATGAAACTTACTTATCGCTGATTCGTATTGTCCCAAAAAGTTAAAGTCATTATTTTCTAATCTTTTCTCCAGCTCTGCCATTTCTTTGAAGTCATCGAGTTCAACATTACTTGATTCCTCCTCTGGAGTTTCTTTTCCAGAATGCGTCGTTGGGTGCGGTATTGGAGTTAAATCATCCATCCATGATTCAGGAATATTGCGAAAAAGAGCTTTATTGGTGATAACAGATGATTTTTCTACATATCTCCATAACATTGATAAAAATGTTTTCTTTTCATTCAATGTTATTGCAATCCATTCATATTTTCGTTCAAAAATTAAATCGAATTCATGTTCTGTGTTGTGACCATCGACAATTTTCAGTTCATCTAATTGCCAGCTACGCTTCTTTTTATATACTCCCTTATCTTGAACCTTAATTTGACTTATTGAAGTGAATCCGGTTGAATTTTCACTGGTAAGAACTAAAATTGCTGTGGGACGAGATTTCTTTGCGTTTACCTTACAAACGCTCAAAACAGATAAAATTTTCGTATCCTCTTCATCGAACAGATCTTTTTGAAGGATATATTTTATTCCAGACATTATTCAAGGCTTTATCAAACTTAGAAACCTAAATTTTAATAAAAAAGAAAAAGATTGGCTGATGATGATATTGAACTCAGTAACAAAACATTCGAAGTTTACAAAAACCTGCAAGCTTTGAATGAAATTTTGAAAAAAAAGTTCGTTGCAGCGTACTAGATTTTTCATTATTTATTTTAATTAAATTTTCAAACAATTCAACAATTTGTTATTAATATTTTGGTTATTTAATTTATCCTAGTTTATCGATGGAAATGACAGATCAATTTGAAATCAGATAGAATGTTCTTAAGGACAACATTTTTATTTTCCATCCTGTATTTATTTCATCTTTTCTAACACTTTACAAAGTTATCTTCTACTTTTGCTCTAAGTTTTTTGCGAAAATTATTATTTTCATAATCAACTTTACTTTCTTGTTTGGTTTGTATCTATTTTCACTGTCACCTCTTGACAAAGGGCACAGATTTTGATAAAACGTTAAAAAATAAAAACATTATTTTATATTATTTGCTTTCTTTTACATTATTTAGGTTTTTCGGTTTTTGTAATTCCTCGAGATATGATTATCAAGTGTTTTCCAGAGTGATTATTTTTGATGGTTTGTGAAATGCGAAATACTTAAAACTTAATTGACATGATCGATGTGATCTATGTACTATTGAAGTATCATAATCATGGCATTGCTGTTGTTAAGTTTTGAAGAAGCGTCGAATTTCCATACAATGATTCTAATGTGGTTAAAAGTGGACTTTCGGTCATGAGTGTTGTTAAAGGTGTAGCTGCTGCAATCAAGCTACCATAAACTGTTTCATTCATCGTGCCATTCGTTAGCCTTACTAAATCGAAATGTGTGTAATTTCTATATTCAGGATAGACGATTAATCCCCATCTATGAAAGAGAAGAAAAAAATGATACAATGATGATTCACAATTAACAATTTATAAGAACTTACGTAGGGAAAGTAGCCCACACGGTGAATAAAGTGAAGATTGTGGGGCCAATTCCAGCAATTGCCATTTCCTTTGTTCGTATGTTTCCGACACCCGCAACAATTGCATTCGGCGGTGTTCCAACTGGCATATGAAAAGCAAAGCAACAACTAAGAGCTGCTGGGTACATGAGCATCATGGGATGCTTCTTAATGGCAATAGCCATTTCTGCCAAGACAGGGAGAATAACATTAGCGATAGCAACGTTTGAAGTAAACTCGGTGAGTGTTTGACACACGACACAAATCAAAAACAACAATAATGGGAAGGGAATTTCTTTGAATCCCTGAAGCGATGTTCCCAACATTTTAGACATGCCAGACACTTTTCCACCTTCGGCAAGGGCAAAGCCTCCTCCAAGCAAAAATACGAGTGACCTTAAATTAAATAATAATTTCAGAATGCATAATTTATGAAACAAACAAAAAGTTGACCCTACCAAGGTGTCTTTGTGTTAATATATTTCCAGGTAAGTAAAGGACCGGATGGTGTTGTTGGCAATGGTTTATTTGACTTCTTAAAGTATCTGAAGAATCTCCAATTTGCTGGGAACATGAAGAAGAGAATAACGACCATGATAGCTGGTGTTGCATCCTTGACTTTACTTAAAAAACAAATAACAAACGTCATAATAGGAAAACAGCATTTTAATCTCAGACTTACACTGTGATATTAAGAAGTTTGGGCCAGCCGTCCATGAATCCAGGGGCACGGAAAAAGAAGAGGGCAACAGCAGAAAGGAATAAAAATGCAACCCATTTTTCATGTGACGTGACAGGTCCAAGTTCTTTGTATCTTTGTTCAATAACTTGACGAGCGATACGCTCGCCTTCAACTCCAATATCAGCTTCCTTAGCTTCGGGGCTATTTGGACGAAAGAGTCCCATGTACAGCCATTGAAGGTAAACCCATGTGAGGAAAGTGAAAAACAACATTCCAGGAACATTGTAGAACATCCATTTAGGGAAATCGAGGCCTTCATTGTTAGGATAAGTTGTCTCATAAATGCCTTTAAATGTTAAGTTAACACCAGATCCGACAATAGTTCCAACACCACCCAGAGTGGCAGCATAAGCAGCTCCAATAAAATAACAATTTGTAGCCTTTGAAGGCAATGGTGGTTCATCGTCAACCTTAGTTGTTAACATTCCTTCTTCTTCAGTCGGCTTCTTCTTATCGACGTACATCTTGCAAATGCCTTGGCCTTCAAGTTCTTCTAAGACAGCTTGCATAATTGGACACATCATAGCAACAGCAGCTGTATTTGAGATCCACATCGATACGAACATTGTGACACAAGTCAATCCAAAGTTTAATCGACGCTGACTGCATCCAATGATCGAAATAACTTTCAAAGCCATTCGCTTGTGCAAGTTGCAATATTCGACAGCTTGTGCGAGAATCAATCCACCGATGAACATCACCATAGTCTCTTTCATGTACATCATGCAGACACGATCTGTTTCGAGTATATTCATGACAGGAAAAGCAAACATAGGAATCATTCCAGTGATTGGTAAGGGAATTGCTTCAGTAACCCAGTAAATTGTCATCTATAAGTAAAAAGAATGAAAAAATTTAACTAAGTTCAGAAATATTCTATCTACGCTTATGTTACTTACAACCATCACAACATAAAGGCAACGAAAAGCTAAAACAAGGTTTTCATCTTGGTTTTGAAACATAACCGGTGCAAACAATATTGGAATAACGATGACAACAATGGAACGCCAATAAACGCTTAAAAATTGTAACATCTTTTCTCCTGTTGTTGGCGGTCGCGATCTTCTCCTATTTACAAAAACAACAAACGTTATGAAAGGGAAACATAAAAAGGAGAAAACGATAAGAAATACATATTTCTTTAAACTTACGGTAAAGCTTCATCGCCATTTTTCTCCTGTTGAAATTGTTCAATTTTCTTTGTATCCCCATCAGGACTCGCCATCGTGCTTAATCAATGACTTCTCTTCTCTGTACCCAATGCAATGAAGTGAGTTTAAGAATTATAAATTATACGATAAAGTAAATAGCATTGGCAGTAGAGCGAACAAAAAAATATCTGAAAGACAAAGAAGATTTTATCGTCAATTGTTGAGTTAAATGGAACAGCTAACAGTTAGCAATAATTGAGCTTTCTTTAAATTAAATTTGAGTGAGATATTAATTTATGAAAATCGTATTTAAAACGAAAAAGTCCGCAACGCACAAATTGTCGATTGATATTTTTAATAAATCTAATATTTCGATGTGTATGTAAATATCTAAATAAAAATATCGCTCATAACAATTCATTTTATTTATTTTTCGCATTCTAAAGCTCGTCAACAACCACTGTCGTGATTGAAATGAATATCAAAATATTGTGTTGGCCTTCGACTTGAACTTGTTTAAATAGGCGAAGCAAGCGTCGTCAAATTGAGATTTTGTTTATGCTACTTGCTTTTTTAAATTTTAAAACGAAACAATGTTGAAGATTGTTTGGTCTGCCGGTATAGAAAGTTCAACAACCTTTAAACGGGATACCTAATACTTTTATAAACAAACTCTTTTTATTCAATGAATCATGAACTTTTACAAACCACATGACATCACATGATAATGAAAATATGTCAAGCACCCACTCAAACACACGCATATGTGCAGTCTAAAACGCTTTTCACAATAATCGATTTTACGCGTGGCCTTCATTTATCGCACAAACATACCTCAAATATTTTCTAAAACAAAAACTGTCAACAATCAAAGATAATTCAATCAAATCCTCACTGAAAACTTATCGCATAAAAAAAACTTTCATACTTGAAACAAAGTTTCAAGAGACCAATAAAAATAAATCCAAAATGTCCAGAAGCAAAACAATCTGACGACACTTAAATTTTCAAACTGATTATTTTATCAACGTTTGTTTTAATGCTTTTTGTGATTCATTCACGATGGAAACTTCACAACATTTTTGCTAAATAATGAATTTTTTTTCTCAGACGTAATCTCAGTTCAGATGACAAGATGCATGCGAGTTTAATTTTTTTTCGGATAATACAAGTTAAGTTATCTTACTACAAAATAAGTGTCGACAAGATAAGCTAATAAATTTATGACTTCTTCCTAACTGTGTAATTATTCCATACAATCATCACATAACTTAAAAGTTTCGAAATGACGAATGATTGGAAAATATTTAGGAAATTTAAAAAGTTAAAAGTTTTAAATGTTTGTTCGCATAGTGAAATATTTAGATAACACAGCAAGAAATCTCAAACATCAAGGCAATATTTTTATCACATGGACAAAGTACAAGCCCACAAGTCGATGTCAGAGTCGAGTGATAACACAAACTGTTAAATCGAATTATTTATACAATATTGGAAAAAAATCTCAAGGAGAAATGGAATTGAAAGTTTGAATCTATTAGACTACATATCCTTGTCGCGTTTTCCAATCATGTGATGCTTGTGTCAGATGAAAGGCGATATTTTAAAAACTGACATTCGTAGAGGAAAATAATGAACATTCGCAGCTTCTATTTATAAAATAAATCAGCAAGAAAACGTAAGAGCGACCGTCAGAAGTCATTAGTTAAATTCATACTTATATGTATGCTTCGTATGTTATTTATAGGAGAAGATTGCACAACCTTCAAGATTTCATTGAAGAAATTTTCTTTTCTCTCCGTCTTCGCTCTTATTTCACAGACAGCAGTGGAAATTTGAAGCATGAGGATTCCACACAATATTTTTATGTTAGTTTTATTATAGCAATCGACTGCCTATCACGCCCACGTGCGGCTTATATTTGGGGGATCGTTCTGCTTTGTTATCTATTTTGAGAATCAAGTCTCTTGATTTGGTATTTATGTTTGAAAATTGTCGTACTTTCTATCTGCTCAATTATTTATGTTCTTTCCACATTTTTGTCAGCATTAATCGATGAAATAATTCCCTGGCAGTAAAATTTTTCAATCGAATTGAGTGCAATCGAAAGTCCAGGTTAAAAGTCATTCCAAGCGATTTGTATGTGTTTTACAATTCAAATTGTCTATTCAACGCTTTCAAACACATAAATAAATTAAAAATAAAACATCTTCAATGATAACTGTTATCAATTTAAACTTTAAACTAAGAAAATGGCAGCTTGAATCATAAATAAATATGTATTATAATAAGTAAGTGAAGATGGAAGAAATTTGAATGCCTTTTACAATTCGCTGACTTCTTCTGTATTAAATATCGTTTAAATCAGCGCGATTTCAAGAAAATAAAATGTTTAAAACTCGTTTCCGATTTTTTTTTCTTCAAAACTGTCACCGGCATTCGTTTCATCGTAAATGGAAACCTCGAAAAGTCAAAACTATCGTTTCTCGGTCATCGGAATAAGCCACGTATTAATTTGGGATACTTAGCGCGTATTTTTGTTCGAAGAATGTAACAATTGCTTATGTTCTATATCGTAAATGTAATAATTCAAAGGGCAATTCAATAAAAACTGTATGTTGATAAAAGTTTAATTCAATCAGTGATCGGAGTGTCAACAAAAATCAAATTTATAACTAGAAAATTGAGCTCAATTTAAGAATATTTTTACAAAATGTAAATTGAAATCAAAACTTCATCTATCAACGTCATCATAGTATCACCTCTTCAAATGACTGAAATTTAAAGAAGTTCGATAATTGAAGTCAAAGGTTGTTTGAAAAATATGCATCAATATTTCAACATAGCAATCGTTTGTCTGTTTTTCTTTTACTGATAGCTACAACAAATGCAAATGATGACCATTATAAATTCGGTTTTATTGAATATAATTTACTTGACAACCGAAAAATAATTTTGATAAATGTTTCTTTCCATCACACAAGATCAGATGATTTGAAATGCTTATTTGTTTCTACTTAGAACATTCTTACTTAAAAGATTTACAGTGATCACTTTTATAGTTAAACTGTTTCACTTTTCCTCGTAATCTTCAAACATTAAAATGATAAAATTGTTAGATAACATATTTATTTCCAAAGTTCATTGATTAGATTTGATTTATGCTGAGATAAACCAAAACGACGATGTTTTAACTTTTATGATTTGTCTAAATCATGTGATCTTTGCAGAGACTGCAATTATAAAATAACAACACAAAGTCCCTCCACCCGCACATTTTTGTGTAGCTTGTTTCGTTCACGTCATTAACCAATTCACTCCCGCCACACACATATACACATTTTTGTTCTTTTCTTTTCTCTTCTTCCCAAACGTCTCATTATGTAATAAATTTTCTTCGTTATTTTGGCACTTATGAACTGAATATGAGTATTCAGTAGGTTAATGTCTAAAAGGGAACCAGACATAATGAGAGTTAACGCCAGCCCGAAAAGGTGAGGGACGAGACATCTGAACTTACTTAGCAAAAAAACGACCTTTGGATCACTTTGGAATCAATTAAAGAACAAATAAAACTAACCAAAGGGAGTGAATAAAAACAATAACGATTCCTAAAATTCTACATGACTAGAGAACTAAGCGAGAGTAATTGTGAAGAATCAATGTTGAAAGAATCGAGTGTGAAAAAGGAATATGAACTTGAATTCGTACGTAGGTCAATGGAGTAAATGTGAAGAAATTGCATAACAAGAAAATCGAATTTTAAATCCATTGACAACGTCACAAGTCTTCGATTCTTCACAATAGTTCATTAATGTAATCTTCAGGGTTATACCTGACGTCATACACTTAAAGAATGAATTTATTTTAACCTCTTTTGCTGTCTGTCACTTGTAATTCTTTCAAACTTTGTCTAATAATAAAAAGAAACTTGCGTTCTCGTCGACACCACACATTAAAGATCAGAATAGTTTTATTCCACATAAAAAATAAATTGTCATGCTGCATCTTATCACTACGCATAATTATTTATTCATCTTGAGTATAATTGTGTTTCATTCAGAACTTAATGATATTTTACCAATGCATTTTTAAACGCGACTATGCGTATTGTAAGCCATTTTACAAATATTAATTCTCACGTGAATTTTTAAAAATTCCAACGAAAGTTGTTTTAGATAATTTTACCGGAACGATTTTTACTCACTTATTGTCGAAACAGTTTGTGCAATTCCTTTAGATATTATTAACACATTCCTAATCAGAATTCTGATTTATTTTTATTAAAAATAAAATATGCTTCTGCACGAAGCAGTACTTTTAGGAGAACTGTGGTACTATGGAAAAATTTGTTAGAGCATTCATTGCTTGGTACCCCTAATGTTTTCTAATTCCGGAATGTTTTGTCCGAGTCGATATGCTTAGTACCCCTTCAGGGGTCTTTAGTTTCGAGCTCATCGAGCCACACACGATTTCGGTTCTTAAACTATCATTTTTTATTGTTTACATAAATTCAGTGTTATTTTAGTGTAAAGAATAGTAAAAAATATAGTTTAGACAATAAATTATACGTCTCATCTTGAATTAACTTTTAAGGCTTACGATTTAGTGGAGAAAATTGTGATTAAAAAAAATCTCAATTTCTTCATTTTCAGGGAGTTTCAAAAGAGTACGTCACATGCATTTCTTAAAGATTTTTAATTTTATTAAAATTTAAACTTCATTCAATATTTTATGCAGAAAAAGTTATTGAAATATCAGACCTTCCACATTTAAATTTGGGGTGGTGACGTAATTTTTGAAATCAATGACATTTTAATACATTCCTATATTGAGATAAAGTCTCTGTGCTAGTTAGTGACAAGAAATATCGGACATTTTATTGCTTTTTCTGCGTAAAACATTATAAATATAAGTGATAAATCATAATCATAGCTTATTGCTAAATACATTGCATCACATGTTTTTATCTTGTGCTAAAGTCTACAAAGTGAAAAAATTCTTTATAAATCTAAAAAGTTTTTAATTTTTCCTATAACCTTTCAAATTGTATTTTACACCAACGACTTAATTTCAGCAAAGATTATTGAAACAGAATATTAAAAGCAGTTCACCTTTTTTTGTACCTGTTTTAATAGTTACCATAAAAAGCCTTGACATTCCAAGAAAAAGTTAATTATGAGTAAATTTATTGCTGGGTTATTAAAATCAAAGTCTTTCCATGATTAAATAACTTTTCAATAGAAAGGGTGGAGATCCTTTTCCATCTCAATTTTAAGCTATTTTGCCACACGAACATATTTTAAAAAAAAGATACGTCAAGAAAAAGAAGCATGTAACTCACATTTTCGTTTCTGCATACAGACATTGTGGTTGTATGCGTATTTTTATGTGTGGGTATGTGTGTGATTTAAAAAACCGTGTTTTGAGTATGAAACATCGTGGTTAAGTAGCTAATTCACACAAAATTCTCGGGTAGCTTATCAATGAAGTCTTTTCTTATTTTTAAAAAGTTTCATCTGACAAATTTTGTTAGGTGCTTTTCGTGACCTGCTTTTAGTTGTGTTATATAAACAGAGACAGAGATATTTAAATTTTTAACTATCAAAGTATTGGAAAAAAATAAAAATGAAAGGATAAATTAATATTTCATTTTGTCTTCATTTTAGGTCATTTTTTGATCAATGGCAATGTTGGAATTCACGACCTGATCAAATTAATCTTCCACTAACAAAAATCACGTCACATTATTAAAACAGATAACAAAGAAGAAACACGTTGAAAGTAAACTAGTCGGTTAAATTTGTAATGATGGAGCAGAACGTTGATGAACTCGCTCAATCATACGAAATTATTGATAAGAATGAATTGGACACACCAGGAGTTGACGAAAGCAATAACAATGTCATAACACCAACAGAAACGGCATTAAAATCAACAACAGAAGATTTGTCGTCTGATCAAACGCTTTTGAGAAAGAACGATAATAATAATAATAATCAAGCTTTGAATCGAAAATACACTCGTGATGACTTATTGAAACTTAGACAAGCAGCGTGCAATGTGTTGCCTGCCTTTTCGAAAGAATCTGTTAAGAAAACAATTTATACCGAAACTTCGGACATGGATCGAATTTTAGATAGGAGAAGAGTTGACGCAGTTGAAAAAATGATGCCTGATTACATGAAAATGCCGAATACTCGTAATTCTTATCATAAGCAGCGACCGGGAGGTGATTATCAATCCGGAGGTCGTCGCTCTGATAAAGGAAATAGAAGTCAAAACTCCAGTTTAATTAAAGTATCACTGCAATCGAATGAAGAAATAAAGCTGAATGAAGCAAAGAATGCTTGGAAACCTCAAATGTTAGTGAATGATCAGAATTTACCAGAAGAAGAAAAGAAAACTGCTGAATTGTTGAAACAATTCCGAAGCATTCTTAACAAGATCACGCCAGATAATTTCACGACTCTTTTAGATCAATTGAAAGTCCTTAACATCGACACAGTTGACCGTCTCGACAGTTGCATTTCATTAGTGTTTGAGAAAGCAATAACAGAACCGAATTATGGAGCAAGTTACGCTCAATTGTGTAAGGAAGTGTCAGATGTGTTTGTGGTGCCATTGGATAGTAAGAATTCGGAACAGAAGGCTGTATTTAAGAATCGTCTTATTACACAGTGTCAACGTGAATTTGAAAAGCATCGCGGTAATGAGTTGGTAAAGAATATGAATGAACGTCTCAAAGAAATTGAAGATGAAGAAGACGTACAAAAGCAAGAAGAATTAAAAGCGAAATATGAGCTTGAAAGTTTCAAGATACGTCGACGTGCTGTTGGTACAGTTCACTTCATTGGTGAATTGTATAAAATTGAAATGTTGACATCGAAAATAATGGTTTCATGCATCAGTCATCTTCTCGATCCGTCCATGTGCAGTGAAGAAACTTTAGAATGTTTATGTAAATTATTGACAACAATTGGTAAGCGGCTTGAGAAGCTTGATCAGAAAAAATTTGATTTGAGCGAATATTTTGTGAGTTTGGAGAAGCTTGCTGATAAGAAGAATTCGGCTGCAATTAGCTCAAGAATTCGCTTCATGATTCAAGATCTTTGTGAATTGAGGTTGAATAATTGGACACCTCGTAAGCTTCAACGTGAGAATAAACCTCTGACTATGGACGAAATTAAACAGCAAGTCGCCATGGAACAGTTTTTCAATAAGATGGAAAATAAAGAATCTTCGCAACGAGATGTAGATCGCGGTCGAGGAAATCAAGGAAATTCATTCTATCAAGGTGGATCCAATAAGCGTGGTGGAAATATCGTATCAGAAGATGGTTGGAGTACGCAATACTCGAAGAGTCGTCCACTAAAGCTCGACATGAACAAACTCAATTTTCCTTCATCTTCTTCAACATCTAACGATGACATAGTACTGGGTGGTGTGCCGTCTTATCAGAGCTTCACAAACCGATTCTCTGGATTGAAGGAAGAAGAACCCGATCAGTCAAATCGTCCATACAATGGTAGATTTAGTGGTGGAAGCGGTAATCAAAATATGAATCAGAACAGGAATAATTACAGTAATCGTGGGAATCGTAATAGTAATAATAACAATAATAACAATAATATGAATCGATCATCAGCATCGAGAAGTCTTCAGCCTCCGCTTCAACAGAATCCCAAACAACAACAGTTCGGTCCCAGTCGAAAAATATCACATCAACCGTTTCATCGACCAGTCGATCTTCCAATTAAGTCTAATACGCTGCCTCGTAAAATATCAGCTCCCGCTCGACCATTGCAACCGATTGAAGCCATCAATCGTGGCCAGGAGAAAAATCTCGTTGCTTTGCCAGCTCAAGTCTGTGAGGCATTGAAAAAGATGCTCAAAGCTTATCAAAATGACGAGATGACATTAGCTGACATAGCTGAGAAAATGGGACTTTATAGAATCAGCAAGAATGCTCTCGTTCTAGTCTACAATTGGGTTTTCGATCAGCATGATAAGGAGCGCTTCCAAATGACTGAAATTATTTGTGAAGGTGTTTGTCGTAACATTATTATGACAATCGATTTACTCGACGCACTTAAAGAGACTATCGACTTGGCTAAAGATTTGGTATGTGATTTACCTCACGTTTATTCGTACATTGGACAGTTGCTCGCACTTCTAATGTTGAAGCGAATCGTTCAATTTGAAGATCTTTTAGTGATGTCACAATCGGAAATTGAAGCGAACAATGGGGGAACAATTCTTAAAAATGTCTTCAAAGTCTTTGAGCAAAAATATGAAAAAGAAGGATTACGTCAACTTTATCAAGAGTCTAAAATTCAATTCCAGGAGTTCCTTGGCGATGACACACAATTATGTGATTTCTTGAAGGAAAATGTAAGAAGCGAACACATTCCTTTGTTGTTAAGTTAATTAATTCAAATATTTTATCGACAGAATTTTGATTACCTCACTTCAATGGAAACCAAGGCGGAACCATTAGTGTTACTTGATGAAGCCACGAAACAAAAACTTCAAGAGATGCTAAAGGACCCAGATGTTGACGCTATCATATTGTGGATCAATGTAAGTCATTTCTAACTTTTGAAAGGTTTTAATTTTCAAATTATTCGTTCTTTGTTTCAGAATCATATTAAAGACCCAACAGAAAATGGATTCATACGATCATTGACTGATTCGATTTTAGATCACTGCTTCGAGAAAACAATTGATGGTTCATATGAAATAAATAATCCAAAATTGGAGAAATGTTCCGCTATTCTAGCTCAATTTCTCGATGCCAAATCTGTACGTGAAGTTCAATGCTTACATTCGATCAAAAGAAAGATTGTTGAGCTTGAACATCCCAGCAATTGCTTCCATGAAATTCTTTCGTGTCTCTACTCTAATTTTGCTTTGACAAAGGAAGGATTCATTAAATGGCGTGATGACAACGATCCACTTGAACAAGAAGGAAAAGGTTTGCTTAATATTCAAGTTTAATTAAACATTTCATTTAATTTCTTTTGTTTTTTATTTTCAGGTGTTGTTTTGAAATCATGCACGTCCTTCATTGAATTTTTGAAGCAGGACAAGGATGATGAATCGTCCGGTGACGAAGACTAAACAATTGGCTAATCATCACACACTAAACATATACACACACACATAAAGTTGAATGAAATATATTTGCTACTAAGTTTTTTTTATGAAGAAAATGAAAAATTAAGCGAGATTAACATTTGTTGTCATCGTAAATACATTTATTAATATAAAATTTACCACGTTATTGCTTTTTTTGCTTACTTTTTTTTTCTTCATCAAAGTTTCATAAATTTTATTGATTAGTAAAGTGTCCTTAATCGGAAGAAAATTATTGATATTCAAAACGTTTAGATCGTAAAAGAATTTTTAAAAACGAAAGAAAATGCAAGACGGGAAATTAAATAAAAAGAAAAGTTTTGCTAAATGAAGTTGATATAAAGCAAGAAATAAACTTTTAAAAAATCATAATTAACTAATAACTTGACTTCATATATCTATTACATTTTACATAGATATTTAAGCCATGCTAATTAACATAACATTTGGAAGAATCGACTTAATTATCAATATTTTCTTTCTTTCGCTTTTGTTTTCTTCGTCAATCCTTTCCTTACATCATCATGGATCCATTTTAGATATCAATGCATATAATCATCCGAATTTTATTTACTATTTTATGTTTTGTTTCTTGGGGACTGAACTATTATCAATTCTTGTTGTATGATTTTTTTATCTTTATTTCAACTTTCTATATCATAAAATTATGTAACAATTGAAATATTCAAAACATGTAAATTGATTTTTGCAAAAATAATGATTTTTTTTTTGATTGTTGGAGACACATTAAAGAAAAATGAATAATAAAAAGCATTTTCCAACATTAAACAAGAATAAAATTTGAAAAGTTATTTGATTGAGTTTTAAGATTTTTTAATCTCTGAATGATCGACGTCAAATTCTTGAGAAATCTTTTGTTAAAGAAGTAATTACCACAGTCTCTAATATCTAGTGAGATGTCATAAAATTTTAATTTTAGTCTGTGAGCCATAGTTTCATTGGAAGGTTGACGAACGCTCCATCGATGATTTTCTTGAGGACCTTAGCTAAACTTTGTGATGCTGGAACTCGCATTTCCTGTACAAGCTCGTGTGCATTTTGATTTAAGAATTGATTGATGACGTCGTCTAATAATTAATGAGAAGTTATGCAAATAAATTATAAAGTAAGTAATTATTGATTTGACAAAAACAATTTGCTAACGTACTTAAAGGTTGGTGACTTTGATCTTTCACTCGAAAGCGTGCGCCTTTCATGACGAAATCAACAACCATCTTATCGACTGTCATATACGTTTCATTGTCCTTGATGACTTCTTTCCCATGAAGTTTTCCTATAGCATTGACGTCAGCTAATGATACAACAAAAAATATTTGTAAATTATTTTCAATTTATTGCCTAAGTCATCTTACTGAATTCAGCATAAAACTCTCCACGTGACACAATCGGCAAGAGTAGAACTTGTCCATTGACTTCATAGCGGCCTTTTGATTTGATTTTTGGAAAGTAAAGGCCAAGATCGAGACGAAGTTTCTGTTAAGAATAAAAATAGTTAATCCTTAAATGGAGAAGACATTGAAAGTTCATTAAATGATTTTTACTTTCAGATCGCTGCGAATCTCTTTGATTGTAAAGTTAGATGCTCCGACATTAACAACATTATTGAAAGATCCTTTGATGCGAATGTTTCCAGCGTTATTCTCAATACCAATGTTATCAAGTTTAAGCGGTTCTATTGGGGGAACGCCTATTTCAGGGATTCCACGCACTAAATAAGGTTTTATATGATTGAACGTGTTTTTGAGGCATGCATTCAATTGTGGATCTCTTCGGCTACATTTTTTTATGAAAGACGCTAAAAATATAAAAGATAAATGTCGTTATATAAATATATCAGGTCATTTAAGCACAACTTGAAAAGTTCATTTCTTATTTTCAAGATTAACGACATCATATATTGGAATAAAATCGAGTTTCCTTCTTCATGAGAGAAGTTGCTGTTTCCGAATTCTTGTTATCTTTGATCACCTTTACGAGCTTTAACATTTCCTTGAATTATTAGACAGAATTTTCAGAGCATAGTAAATAATTAATTTAAAGTCCTTGACTCGTCATGCTGACGTTAAAATGTGTGGAATTTATTATCAACGCTCAAGTGACTTATTTTTTTTCTGTCATCGAAAGACATTCCAAATTCAAGGTCATCGTCACTAATGAAAGCTTTTTCTTCAGTTTCCTTCTTTTGTGGTTGAGTATTTTGTTTTCGTGTGGTCTCGTTAGCCGCCATGCAACTTTCGCTATGAAATATATTATTACGTTGAGTTATAGAAAGAATTAAACAAATCTTCAAAGTCATTCGTGTGTAAAATCGTCGTATTATGTTGTCATCAACTGAGTCTTACTTCGTTGATAATTCATCCTTCCGAAACGCTTCATTCTCAATGACAAACATCAGCTAAGTGAAATTCCGATGAGCAACTGTATCGTAGCAATTTTTTTGTTAAATTCATTTCAATATACGGAAGACAGAAAAATTGATGAAAACCTGTCGACAATTCGTATGATAATTAAGCAGACCACATCTTATCGGATTTGGTTTAATATAAACAAACGTCATCTACTTTTAGTGCTACGGCAATGACACCGCATTAGTTTTTTTCCACAGGTTAATCATAATGGAAACAAAACAAATTTGCAAGAAAGCAATTCAAAGTCCATTTCGTCATCTTTGAATTTTAATTCGCAAACCAGAATTCCTAGCACTCGCTCTGGGTTTTCTAGATCATTGCCATCACTTCAATATAAACAATGAGAATTTGTAAAGTTAAGCAAATTTATGAAACAGCAGCCAAGTTGCCGAATTAAACATAACTCATAAAATCCAACCTTGATTTTAATTTTTTCTTTTTATATTAAATTCATCTGCCATAGATCAGTTGCAGCAATGAGAAAAAGGTAAAGTGAATAATTTGATGCGGTTGCGCAAACATGACGTTACGCTTATTTGGTCTTACCATGATAGATAAATGAGGCAATTTCGAATTGTAAATTATAAATTACAAAATATTTAGTCAAGAGTGTGCTTCAACACCAAAGAAATGTTAAAGTTTCTTTGTATTCATGAACAATTTTTGCATAATTTTTATTGCTAATTTTCTGCCGCTCTGCAATTAATGTTGACAATTGTGTATTTGTTTCCATTATCAAGGATAGATAACAAATATTCATTTGAACGAAGAATGATACTACGAAACATAGACATTAAGTTAAACATCATCGACATTAATCTGCTAATTTATGTTTCTCGTCTTGACTTTAGTTGGCCCAGTAAATTTTGTTTTGGGAAAGGTCAAGTTATTTATTCCGAAACTAACAATAGAGAAATATAAAACAAACATTGTGTGAAATCGAGTGGCGCTAAACCTTTTCATGAAGTAGCATAGTTTCAATTGCAATCATTAGATATTTATTGTGTGAACAGTCACAAGTTTAAAATGTTGATTATTAAAAATGCGATATATTGACATTGTTATGCAATATCGCGGCGGTCTCAAAAACGGAGGGGCTTTTTCTACCTCCGAAATGACTTTCTATAGTAACAAGCGACTAAATACTACACGATTCGCACATTAGTGTGTCTTATGATGCATAAGTGTGTTTTATTCCAGTCGCAGTCTTATAGTTCAGACAAGAAAGAAGTTAAAATGACGTTAAACGAAACACTTTACCTACTTTTTTATTTCTTTTCTTTCTTATTAAAGAAAAACACATAGATAAGTGAATTTCATTTGGCATTTGCTTTCGGCCACTCAACGCTTTTAATTTTATGAAATACTCGAACACGCTATGTACAAATTGTGAAATTCTTTTTCATTGTACTGTTTTTTGCTTGAAAGTTTTTGCTGCTTTATTCTTTTCTTCGTTTTTTCATGAGCTTTTCTATAATTTCATATTGATTGCACCACTCGAAAAAAAGCACTGCATAACTAAGCTTTGTTTTCGTCTTCATACTTACTGTCAAAATTCTGCGCTAACGCATATCCAAAGACTGTCGCAATTGCTGTAAATTTCAGAATGATATTTGATGAAATTTTCATTTTAATCATTCAATTTTATCTTTTTTCAAATTATTGATTCACAAACACAAAAATCAAACTTCTTATCACTTTTTTTTACAAAAATTATTTTCGTGAATTTTTTCCCAAATTGATGAACTGCACTGTCGTCTAACTTAACAAATTCTTATGCCGTCTTCTCTCGTATCAAGCTCGTCCTGATTGACTAAAATCACTTTTTTTTTTATTATTTGGGGTTTGTTTTCAATTTATTTGAGGACAAAAATAAAAATATTAATTAGCGTTTTATAAGCACATGAACTGTTGAGATCCGAGAGAGAAGTAAGTTTGAGATTTCGGCGAGAGCTTTATTTATACCCTGCATGTGCAATGCGCTCGTGGAAAAAATGTTTGTCAGCCTTCCCGTTCGCTCACTCAAATCTTTTGTTTTATCTTTTTAAAAACATTTTTGACGTCTGCGGAGATACGAACTTATTATCTTCATGTAGCGAGCGACATTAGACTGTTCTTGAAATAAATCAAAAAGCTATTTTGTGTCTTTCTTCGGAAACGAAATATTCTTGAAACAAGTTTTTAAAATATAACTTTTCAGAATAGTTTTGTATGATTTGTAAAAATGTAAAAATATTATTTGAATCCTTGCGAGAGAGTTTAGCGCTCATGTTTGTGAGTTTATTCTTGGGTTTATTGACTCAATACAATGTTGAGCTTTTTTGGAGAGAAGATCTGCAGAGCTTTTTTGTGCTTTAATGTAGTTAACGAAGCATTTAACTACACTGCAGTAGAAAACTAAAACAAAATTGTAATAAATAATAAATGTATGTAAAAAATCCGTTTCTTTATTATAATTTTTCAGATACACCAAGAATTAAATAAAAACGTTTTACTTAAATTAATAAGTTGGATTTTAAACACAGAATATCCTTTTTTACCTTAAAATGTGAAGCTTTTTCAAAGAAATATTTTTCACTTAATAACGTTTCATACAGCAAATTATTTTTAGAAGAAAACTTCAAGAATTTTTTAATTAATAAGCAACAATTATCAAAATAAAACATTTCAGTTAATTTCACGCACATCAATAGAAAAGCAATTAGAGGGTTAATTATCTCTTACATTGTGACATCCTATGAATTTATTACTTCTAGTAAACTTCTTATCAAATAAATTTTTAATGTTGTTTTCTGCTCTATTAAGATTTAATTCTCATTTTATTTAACTAAACTCTGTTTTTTTTACATATCTACTTAAATCTTTAAATTTCAAACAATTCCAACGATATAAATTAGAGTAGCCATAAATCAATTGGCATTTTGTTATAGACTGAATTCCATATTCCAGTGAAAATATCACCCAATCCGTTTTCCAAATCCTCTTGTAACTCGGCAAGTATCTCTTTTGAGTTTTGGTTAAGGAACATTGAGAACGAAGCAGATAAAACTTTGTTTCCATTAAAAAGATTGTCTAGATGTATTCGCATGTTGCCGACGTTGAATTTCACTTTCATTTGATCGATGTTTATGACCTCCTAAGCGATAAAATGAATTTAGAAATGAAATTAATTCTAATTTAGAATTTTTTCCTACTTGTGGAATTTTTCGTAAACTAATTTTTGTAAAAACGCTTGTTTTGATTTCTTTCAAAAGAATATTCACATCTCCAGCACCAATCAAGGGAAGAAGTAAAATATTTCCTAAAACAAACAATGTTATGAATAAACTGTCTATTAACACATAAATTTTAAATTAATCCTTTAAGCTTACCTTTCAAATTGTAAGTAGCGTTGATGCGAAGCTTGGGAATCTCTAAATCAAAATTCAAAAACTTCTTTTCCAAATTCAGTTCAGCTTTTGCAACAGTTGCATTTGAAGGTCCACGAATTTTGAGATTATTGAAGCTTCCATTGAGTTGAACCACTTGGCCAGTATTACGAGAAACGCTGATCTTTCTAATTCCTAACGGCTCGAAAGGTTCAATACCAAGGTCAGGGATACCATTTGCTATATGTGGGAAAATTCCGCCAAACATTTCTGAGAATGAAAATGAAAGTTAGTATTGAATAATCTTAATTGACATTTGTATAAATTGATTACCTTTAAAGCAATTGTTCTCATTCGGATCATTTCGTTTGCAAGCTTTAAGCCATGTCGCTAAAAAAATAACGAACATTTAAGTTAAACTCGTTTCTTGATATGATCGTGTCGTTCAAGCTGTATATGTACATAGAAACAATGATTTGTGGATGGTGCAACAATTTTAATTGCGATTTTTATTTTATTATTCCGTAATCTTGTATGTTATTACCAATGAAAGTTGTATTCATCGATAAATCAAATTTAACTTTCTGATAATTTTATTCTTATCGTCTCAAAACTCTGCAAGCCTCATGAAAAAGGTTTAAATTCAATTAAATGTTTGATTTCTTTGAAGGTCCCATATGAACGACCTAAAGTTTTTCAAGAAGATTATTCCAAAAAATTATTTATTTCAAGTTGATTTTGAGTGAAACCTCGACATTAAAGTGCGCATAATAGTCCACAAAGCGAAGTGAGCAGTATTTAAAAAAAATTATTATTCAACGCAAGAGTACAACGAATCTGTGGTACGGAAGGAAATTGGAAATGTTTTATGTAATCTTGAAGATATTTATAAAAAAAAGGTGTTTAAAATGAATGCGAAGCCTTGATTGATTGGAATGGTAATTTTAAGGTTTACTTGTTTGTTCCGTTCCGACGAAAAACTGCCTTTATTGATATAATTCCCTGAGTTGAGGCTGTTGATTTTACATAATACTGAATTTAATTTCATTTAACATTGCATAATGTTTCTTCTTTTATTGTTGCAAATCAACGTCACATATGCGTCAATGAAGTAAATAAGGCACTATGCTTAATTTAAATACAAACAAAATTGGTTTATCTTACGTTTCTCCTTTAATTGCGGAACGATTTTGTCTTGAGCGAAAATTTCGCCGATGATGAAACAAACAACGTGAAGCGTCAATGCAAACGACATATTTTTTATCACTTTCAAGTTTTGAATCACAGATTGGGTAATTGATGAAATGTTAAGAGCTTAAAGAGAAACGATGTGAAATGTTGAACAACTGAAATGGTACTGATGGGGAAGTCGAGGAAATACAACGTTCGATCGGAACGAAGCGAACGTTTTTAACGAGCCACCGCACGCGTATTTTATCATTTAATTCACTGATATTTTACTTTCTTTTACTATGTTGGTGTTGATACATGTTGATATGTGTTTAAACAATATTTTAAGTACGACATGCGGTGACCGATCCGAGAGGTCTGTGAAATGAAAGAAAAGAAAATGAACCAACCGCTTACACTCGCTCAAGCCCGTTTAGTAACTGAAAAAAAAGAAGCTTTTGGCAAAAACTTGTTTGAGCTTTCATCGAATTGCAAGGTTGAATGTTGCGAAAGATTATCGACATTTACTCTTGTTATGCTGAGTCATTTGCCTGTTGTAAATCGATTAATGTCAAAAGTTTTTCCTATTTCAGTTAGCATACCAAAAACACAATTCAAGTTTTCATTACAGAATTACATAAACATTTTTATTTCATGTTCAATTGTTCACCCTTTTCTCAGGTTCAAATTATTTTACACTATTCAATGCAAAAGGTTTTGAAATATTTTTTTCCAATATTTATCTGATAAGAACTCGATAAAACGTTCTATATCGAGAGCTAAACTAAAATCTTCTTCTCTTCAGCAGTTATTCTCTAACAAGCTGTAGATGTATCTAAGAATGTGCTTGCGATTCTTCGAAACTACTCAGAAGAATCTTTGATTAAAAATTTCAAAAGTTCAAATAACTTAAATCCAAAAAGAAAGTCTTTTTGATAATTGTGTATAAACTTTTAGCTTTTTATATTAATATAGAAAATGCTTTTATTTCAAAGTGGAGTTTTTTCAATTATTTTCTAATATTCTTCAGAAAAGTTTATATTCATAGGGATTTAAAAGTTTTTCATCTACATACAACTATACCATTTATATGTTCAAAAGTGCTTATTTATAAGAATATTTATAAAAGAAATGAAATTCGTCATAATAATAAGTTTGATGATGTTTTATGGGAAGAATTTTAATAAAACCATAAATGATTGTTGCTTCGGTAGATCTGTGAAACAAATAAAACATGAAAAAAAAACAAATAAAATAAAACAAAAAATAAATATTAAATATTTAAAGATAATTTTATTGAAAAAAAAACGAGAATGAAAAAGAGAAGCAAAAATTTTCTATTACTTTTAAATGAAAACTTTAAAAGGGTTTAAATATCAGTAAAATTTCATCGCCTCATAATTTTATATGATCTTCATGCGCTTATGTCTTGTCTCACATTTCTTCTTTGTGTTTAAATACTTGAGTGAAAACATTTTTACAAATAAAATTTACAATTTTCATATTTTACAATTATTTTTGTTTTTGATTAATTCTTTTTGTTTTTTGTTGTTATATAAATTTGTTATGACGCAAATCTCTGTGGGAGTTGATTTTGGCAGTAATTTTATAATGTTTTTAAATCTTTGAAATTGGTTCACCTATCACAAATATTTCGTTATCATCAGCGTGATCATCTCAAACGTTATTCTATTTAGTACAGATTTGTTTTTATATCTATAGCCGAAAGTAATGAATAAATGAAGAAAAAGAAAAACTTAGAGATTTTGCGTGGGTGGATTGAAGAGAGATAAAACTTAAAAGGAAGAAACTTTACCGAAACAATTTTACATCAGTTTTTGTTTTTTATGTTAAAAACAATGATCTTATTTACTTCCACGTTTAAAACTTATATTTACATGTCTAGTAGCCAAAGGGAGACAATCTTCCTAATCTTTTCCTTGTTTTTACTTATTTATTTTATTTACTTTTCGTATAAAAATTTTATCGCGCATTAGGAAATTTACTGAAATGAATTTATAACATAAAAAATCTGCATTTTTACAAAGATCTGAATCTGTATATTGGATTTTCGTTTGTCTTTACAATTGTTTCAACATTTTTAACTCGCGATTTGCGTCCGTCTTTACAGAAAAATATCATTAAGTTAATGCTGTAGTGATTTTTGTCAATCTTTTTACAACCAATTTACTATCGTTTTTTACATTTTACAGAATTTTTTGCACAGTTTTAATTTTTTATTTCCATTTCAACAATTGGAGGCGATGATAACTTTTATAGATGTTTCGTACATTCAATTTTTTGATTCTGTTCTTAATGTTGAGAGTGCGAATGATAATAAGAAAATTAATGTCGTGAAGGAAAGAAAAGTTAAGAACTGGCAATAATTACTTACTTACAGGGGTGAGACATAAATCGCTCATCCCCATCATTGTTTTCATATATTTCCAACTATCAATTTTTTTGCTTTTAAAATACAGAAAATTACATTTTTGTTTCTTTGTTTCATGACTCATTCAATTATGATACACTTAAAACATATAAGAACAACATTAGCTTTATTTTTATCTAGCAGAAGTTTTACTACTTTTACTGTTATAATCATAACTATTAGTTTTTTACGCATAAAGAGGAATTCACAAAAAAAAAGTTATTCCTTCAAAAAACGCCTACACATAATTTATATTTATTTATTAATATATTTTCATTTAATCAAAATTTGCATTAACTGTTTATTATAGTGAAATGCATTAATATTGAGAACATTTCTTTTATCAGAGCTCTCGGCTCTAACATTTTGGGAGCAGATAGAAAATAATGAAAAGTGAAGAATTTTATGAACGAAGCAAAAACAAATTTTAACTTAAAAGAAATAATTTTCTTCTAATTTGAGATGCATGATTTTGTTTCACGTTTCAATTAAATTTAAAAGATCTTTAAAAAGAGACCGAAAATGTTTAATTAAAAAGGAAATAAAGTATAAAATTCTCCTTATGATGCGTAAAAGTAAATCTATTCATTCTGTAATGTATTTTAAATGCAATTTAAGTTTTCGTAATCTATTTGAGAGAGCATTTATTCTAGCATTAATCCCAAGTGTGAAAGTCATCCTGAAATTACATTTATCAACACTAATCTTCTCTTATGTTGCTATCATTAATTCATCTTTCGATCTAAAATAAAACGAGCTTTAATCAAGCATGCGTTCAATCTTGATTCACCAGGAAATAATATGCATTGAAAAAGAAACGAAGCAATAATTTCTTTAAACTTTTATTCATCATTTCGCAAATTTATGAGTTTCATTTCAACACAAAAATATTGTAATCAAACATCATAAAGGAGATGCTTCCTAATTGTTTAAAAATCGTTTTTAAAGAGATTTATTATTCGATCCCAATAATAATTTTCTTTTCATATGCGTATGTGTGAATATTCGTGAAACTAATGATGAAATCATAAATATTTCTTCGTCTTTTTCTTTTACATTCTACATTTAAACATTTTTTGTTTATTCTTTTATTAATTTTTCTTACATCCGAGATGACCAATAAACGAGAGACAAAAACCTACATTTAAATTAATTATTCATATCAGGATATATGTTAATGTATACAAGTAGAACAACTTCTAAATTTCTATTTACTTTATATTATTTTATTTTATATTTTTTTGTTATGAGAAAGAAATTTTCTACTTGTCGTCCAATCCTTAAGCGAGCCTTTTTGCATTGTTTGGTTGTCTTCGCCTATGCTTCCTTCTTTCTCTCATTAATTTTGCTTTCCATTCAAATGCTTAAGATATTTATAAACATAAAAGTCTGTTTGAATAGTTAAGCAAATCATTATAAAATTCAATCGCTTTTGCAATACTTTTTTTTTCTTTTGATTAACTTTTGTTTGAATTATTCCTTTATGAATGAATTCTTCCTTTCATCAAATCTTTCAACCGTCGAATGTAACTTTTGTATGTTTTATGTGGTGTCGAAACTTACTTGAAAATAAAATAATTAAATTTATATTCCATTTGTAGCAATTGGACCAAAGCCAACTGTTGTTGTGACTGAAACATCTGTCGTCGATGTAGCAGTCGTTGTTGATGGGCTTGTTGCTGTTGCAATTGAACCAACGCCTGATTTTAAAGAGAATTTCTCCAACTTAGCGATGATGTGCTTCCCATATGTGTACTTGCGCAAAGAATTCACATGTGGTCGAATCTTATGCAACAAAGTCTTTCGTTGTGTCGGCTCTGATACATCAATCATCTTCTGCACGACATAATTAGCGTATTGATCCTTCATCATCACTTGAAGGCCACTAAAACGAACACAAAAGACAAAATAGGAATAAATTTAAAAATGATTTCTACAATTTATTCGATTGAAACTTACTTATCGTTAAACATGCAAACTTCATCGATCAACATATTCCGTTCAGCTCGTGTTGCATGTGTAACACATTTTTCGACAACATTCGATGCGAATTTATGTTGTGAGAGTATCAATACTTTGCCTAAAACTGATTTGATAAGTGTTGATTTATCTTCAGGCTTTCCATGCTCTGTTAAATGAAGAAGAAAGTAAATTTTAATAATAAGCGTGTTGGTTTATTTATAAAATAACTCACCTAATACGTGTTGTATTACGTAATTTCCATATTGATCCTGAATAAGCTTTTCAGTGTTTATGTGAAGCTCCTGAAGGATTGGTGCTGTCTGTTCAGATGTGCAATGTTCAAGAATCCTCTGAATTACTCGACAACCATATGGATGTGTGCTTAATGTGAAGATTTGTCCATTAAATGCATTTATGATGAACTGCAAAGCATTTGAGTCGACGCATTCGATGCATTTCTGAACGACATGATTTCCATTTTGATCTTTAACGCACTTTAAGACATGCCCTTCCAATTCCCTTACAATCTCTTGTTGTTGTTCGCTTGGAATACTCTCCAAAGCCTTTTGAATCACACGACAACCGTACATTTGAAGAGCAAGATTAAGGACATTTCCTTTAACTTGCGCTGCGAGTTGTGAGCGCTGCTCTTGCGTTCCATATTCGAAGAACTTTTGAATCACATAATTACCGAAAACATCTGTCATGAGACTGTATGCAGATCCAACAATCTCATTGAAAACCAATTGTTTCTCAGCAGCTGTTGCACGTTCTAACTTCTGCTGGATGAAGCGAGATCCATGCTGATCTTGAGAGAATTCAACAATATGGTTGGCGAGATCGCGAAGCTGAAGATTTGGATAGCGTTGATTACGAAATTCTTCGAGTAATCGTGAGCGTCCCTTGGCTTGGTCAGCATTTCCATTGGCAGCTGGAATAACACCAGGAATCACAACTGGAACCGGTTGATTCTGAGGTGGACGAGTGACGGCTCCACCCTGATTTAATTTTGAGAAAAGTGAGTTACTTGAACCGAACATCGCATTGGAAACTGTTGATGGTGGAAGTCCAACTGATAGTTGACCGACGTTTCGATATTTTGTCTCAGCACCAGGAGCACGACTTGTCACCATCTGTCCAATTCCACTCGGTGGAGGTGTAAGTGGACATCCGATAGGACTCGAAGCTCCCAAAGCACCATAACCAGTAGCTGTTGGCCATTTTCTCACAGTATTTCCTGCGATATTTGCTGTGCTATAATCTAACGATGGACTGAATGCTGAAGTATTTCGATCGAATGAATCACGTCTTGTTGTCAGTCCAGTGTTGAGTTGTAAGCCTTAAAAAAATATTAAAAATGTAGATGTCAATTACATTTAATAATTTCATTTAAAAGCAATTTCCGCCATGAATTTAAAGATTAATTTTCTAATTTTGCAATTACTATCGTGGCTTAACTTACAAAAAATATCATTTAAGAAAAATTTCCACTCATTATGATACATTTCTCTCAAATTAATTAAATTAAATTTAAAAACAAATATATTAAGTCAGGGTGAAAGCATGTTAGTATTTACAAAAGCTTTTTTGTCGCTGTTCTTATCTTTCTCGGAACTTCACTCGTCAACTTATCAACAATGCTTGTCTAAAATTCATTCTTTGTTCCGAGTTCCTTTTGTAATTTTGTTTTGTTTTTTCTTTGTCAAACACGACATTGACGATTAACAGAAATTTACATCAATATGCAATTGAATAAAAATAAAACTTGTTAAAGTTAACAATCATGTTTAAGTGTCGCTTAAATGCAATTTGCATGTTCAATTTAAAAACTGTTCATTAAAGTGAAAGAGAAAGAAATGTTTCGAAATAGTTTCGTCATAATTCGTCATTTTTTCTTACTTTTTAATGCTTCTGATCCAACACAAGAAAAAATTATAAAAATACTTAAATTGTAAAGAATATGAAAATAAAATGCTCAGGAAAATTAAATATAGCATGAAGAACAAGAAGAAGTTTTATAAGTACCTGATGGACAAGGACTGTTAAGAGAATTGAAACCAGCAGTCAAGTTTTGGAATCCACCTACTGTTCAATTATATCGTACAATGAGATTTAATTTATTAGAAAAGTATTTTCATACATCAAATTAGTTGGAAAGAATTTTATTTTTGTCATCTACAACCCACATAGGTATTATATTTGGTTTGTGGGTAGTTACGTGAATTAAGAAGATTTGTTTTTACTACAAAACTGTTTATGCAATGAGTTTGAAAATTGAGAGAAAAAAAACCGATAGCCTTATGAAAGGAATGTAAAGAAGTGAGCATCTTACCTCCAACGTTGTTACTGTTTTGCTGAGAGTAAATTGTTTGCGGCGTACCTTGGGGTTGAGGTGGTTGATAGATCGTAGGTGGAGCTTGAGGTCGTGGACCAGCACCTGGAACTAAAACTGGTGCTGGGCTTACCAAGCGCATCGGTGTTCCCGTTCGATGACCCATCATGTTAATAGCGCAACCATTCTGATCAAAATATGTCGGTTGCAATACCTAAGAATAATTTACACATGTTTACACAATCGTTAAAACTTTTTATACAAATTCTCCTTCTTCTTATCAACAACAACAACTGAAGTCGTCAGCTTTAATTATACAACTGTATTGTTTTGAATATTTATTATTGATATGAGACATTATTCAAGTAAGGAAAGTTTCAATGCACTCTGCGATGAAACTGTGAGACGGGATACAAAACAATTTTCTTCTCATATTTCGTTAATATCAGTCAGGTAATTTACATCATGATTTTATTCTCGGTTTCTGTAAGAACCACACAACTTAATAGAGGTTGGTTCTAACGATTAGTTACATTTCGTTTTATTTTATATACTTTAATAGGCACATTTATATATTTCAAAGCTTTTCTTCTTTTTCCGAGCGAAAATGTTTGTTGGAAAATGAAAGAAAGGTTTGAGTGGTCAAACGAAAGCATTGCGCGCGTGTTGTGAATTAAATGACCGAAATAAACATAAGAGAAAATTTATTACAGAAAGTCTCGAAAATTCTTAACTTATCGGAAACTATAAAAATATTTACATCATTTTCCTTTAATTCTTAAATAGTTTCGGGGGTAGGAAGAGTCGAAAATTCTTCCTGAAGCAATTTGAATTTCAAAACAATGAAATTTTCATTGTTTAAGTAGTAAATGAAAAAGAAAGACGCGACCAAATAATCTATAATTAATACTATGGAAATATGACAACCGATTTGAGACAACAATAAGATATTTATGCACATTTTTCTACAAGTTATTTTCAATCAATTCATGAGTGTAGGCATTACAACCTATTTATGTAGTGAATAAATATATCATTTCTATATTAAACATTTATGATTGAGAAGCATAATTTTCTACGGAATTCACGATGTCATTATAACTCAATTTAGAATTGATTAATACGTTAATTACATCACATTGACAGATGAAGAGAAGGAAATGAAATTTTACACTTAAGAAGTTAAATGAAATACTCACAAACTGATTTTCAGGTCCTTGTGATGGTGTCAATGGTCGCCTTGGTTGAGTTCCTTGTTGTGGAATTAAACCGGCTGGGTAGACCCATGGTGGAACGCCGTAGTAAGCTTGAGGTGCAAGCATTGTAGCCATGAAAGGATTTCCATCTTGTCCAGGCATCATGTAAGGGGCAGCTTGTTGAGCTGCATACGCATTTTGTTGTGCGAGAAATTGTTGTTGAGCTGCCATTGCAGGCATTGCTTGATGAGGCAAATGTTGTCCATTGGCGGTGTTTGTGAGAGCAGGATTTTGAGATCGTAACAGTTGCTACAAATAAAAAGAAAATTTTTAAATTATCACATTGACAACAGCTTGCAAAATAATAAAACGAGAAATCAATAAAAATAATCCGAAGCGTGGGATCGTTGTAGATGGCGTATGAATGCTGATACAAAGAAGTGACTTCAATGTTTTTAAAATGAAATAATATTCTCTCTGTTAGCATGCCGATATCAAATAAGAGCCAGACTTAATGCAGACTTTGCGGATTTCAGAATCTTTTTTTTTCAATAACGTGATTTAAGCTCAAAGTTGAGTTTCGAACGGCTTAAACTGCTTTAATAATAAGTCTGTAAGATTTAGGCGATTTAAAATCAGTAATCCAGATCATATTGCAAAATTCAAGTATGAAGCTTGATTTTGAAAAACTTTTTTGTTTTGTGTTACTAAAAGAAATAAAAATAAAGTTGCGTAAGTGACGAAATGTAAACATGTTGTTAAAACATTTAATGCACTCTTGAGTTTAAGTATTTTTATGCGCATTTGTTTCATCATAACAACGCATATCATAACACGATGAAAAGCAAATACTTTAACGCATGAAACACTTCCTTGTTGGAGGATTAAATCACTGCCATTTAAAATCAATTACAGATAACTAAAAAGAGAAATAAAATCAGTTGCAGTTTAATGAATTTGTTCTTTCAATTTCTAATTTGAAGTTGATCAACTACCGATTTCCAATTAATACAAATGCTTGCAATAGAAACGTAACAAGTCCAAACCAAACCGCAAAATCATTCAACGAAGAAAAATTCTCTTTTTTTGAGTTTTTTCTTTATTAATGGTTACCTGGTAGAAAGTCTCTAATCATAAAACGCGCAACAAAAAAGTTTCTTAACGCTTGCTGAAGTGTAGAAAATTAGCTACGTAAAAAAATTTCTTTTTGCTAAATGCTTCGAGCTGACACTGCCAGAAAGTGCCGAAAAGAAAGGAAAAACCAACCTTTGTCCAAAAAATATTCGATTTTTCCAACTCAATATTACAGTTATTAGCTTAACGTATTATTCTTAATCATTAACACAAATTACAATAAATATATAAAAGTTCGGTCAAGAAAGAGGAAAGAATTTATTAGTTGAAATGCGACAACGTCATTTTGTTTATTTCGAGGACTTTTCTTTTGACGCTTAATAAATGCCGCAATCTTTACTATTATTATTATTAAATATAAATAATAGTAACAAAAGCACGCACAATCCTTGAGAATTCAACTTTCTGTAATCCTTTTTCTATCACAACGTGATTCCTGATGTGGAAATTAAGATTAGCAAAAAGCAATACTAAAATTCAACTCCCCATTTCCGGGGAAAGCTTTCTAGTTAAGCCGCGAATATATTACTTTTCCGTTTAGCGAAGGTAAGTAAATAACTCTGAAAATTTTACATATTGAGTTTCCTCCCTCACACAATTCTCAACATTCAACGATATAAATATAAAATGTGTAGCCGAAACGTCAGTTAGAATGAAATGAAAGTATTCTAGGACACCCCCGAAATAATTCAGCAACGCGAAAACAACTGAAAGCGATTGCGTGACTTTGAGCTGTGATTCTTTCAATAGCCACCTCAAAGCGCGAGGTTTATTCATTATTCTTCTTTCTGAAAAAACTTGTGACGAAATGACGAAGACATTATACTACTAAATATCACGTTTTATAGTTATCATGCACATGAGACGACAAAGTTTGACAAAACACAAAACTCTCAACCACTAGTCATCGTCACTTTGATGTGTATTTATGCTATTAACGATTTTGTCACCGATTATGTCTAATTTTATACAATCAAAATAATTCTTTCTTAATACTTGACAATATTTTCACTCCTTAAGTGGGATTTTTATAATTCTATAGACGAAAAACTTTTTCACTTTAACCAAAGGTTTTATTCTTGGCAGACTATCATAAACTTTTCATTCAATTTTCTTCTTTTTAATTTGCACCGAAAAAGAGAAAACGGAAAACATGAAAGGAAATATAGAAATGTGGAGAAAATATTACACTTATACACTTCTTGATCGCGTTTCTTATATCAAATTTATCGATTTGTGTTTAAGTCTTATATAAATAAAAACGAAATAAGTATTACTGCCAAATAAAAACCTAACAACACTGCCCTTAAAGTAAAAGTATTCACTTCTACTTTGTAAACTTGAATTTGTTTTCCTTCTTTCTCCACTATAATGTAATCATTGGAATTCAGTTTTTAAATTTGTGTATACCAAATGGAAACAAAACAAGATTGTTTTAGGGTCAACTTGGATTATTAAATCATCCTTCACACAAGTTCTATTAAGTTTTGTATACAACGAACCAAACAAACAAAGCCTATCGACACTAAAATTTTTATATATTGTGAATAAAAAAACTTCTGATGGCGAACGAATTGAAAACTGTTTAATGGCAATGAATGTTGGTTTTATTAGAACTTGATGAGTTGTCAGTAAAATTATGCTTGTCTTTCGTTCATTTAAAAAAGGAAGGGATGGAAGGACGACTTTGTAATTTCGCTGTGTTGCCAGCATTATTTTGAAAGTAATGACTTTGTAATGAAGAAATGAATCGAGATATGCTGGTAACTATTGATTAAACGAAGTGGAATGAAGAGCTGGATGAATTATCGATCAATTTAACTTAATCGAATGATGACCTGTAGCATTTAATTTTATTATTATGAGTTATGATGTTCTTTCCTCTAATTTTTTGCCGTCCACATTGAATGTCATTGAATTAAAATAAATTCATAACATTATTGCCCAGATCTAAACGTCAATACATCAATAAAAAGGAAATTTCTTCTCGCATCATTTTTATCTATTTAAGCGATTAAATCAGGCAGACATTGTCGACACAAACAAATCAACCAAACGAATAACGACGATGATGAATTAGAACCTTAGGTAAACATTATCAATCAGGCTGAGATTTTATGTAATTTAATTAAATCTGAGGGATGTCTATCAGATCAATTTTATGAGTTTATGTGGAATTTCCTAATGTTTCGTAACAGAGAAAAATGGAGACATTCATACAGACTTTCTCTTCAACTAAAAAGATTTATAAATGTTAAAGTTTTCACGTGAGAATAGAACTCAGCTTTGGTTCTTTATTCGCATATTTTCTTTGCTTACATTGAATAATATTAGAGAGTGTTTTAGTAAAAGCTTTTTGTCGACGTCGAACCTTTCAAGCATTAAGTTTCACCTTTTGCTGCTGCTTGAATTTTTTTTATGTTCTAAGGAGTGGCATTTCGGCAACGTCATGTGTTATAAAGCAAGGCTATCATTGAAGGTGTGTCGCTTTAGCTTTAATACGCTCCTTAATACTCATTGTATAGAATGTATAAATGAAAGTTCTTTTCCGTCCCATCCTAGCAAATGGTATCGTATCTGATCACAACAATTTATAAGCTTAATTAGTTTTGTACATACTTTCAAATATGAAAATGAAATTATAAACGCGTTGATACTTAGAAGACGAAAGTAAGGAATAAATTGCTTTTCACTTTTTATTTTAAATATTTTAAGTGTTTTTCCTCGATGTGCCTCGAGAATATTTAATTATAGAACTTTACTTTACTCACTCACTCATCTTTGAGATTCTTCCTTCAACGTTTTCTCAGGCGTTGCTATCAAATATCTGAGATCATTATTAAGCTCAATTAAAATATTTGCACCAAATAGCGCATCAAGAAACATCTCATAAAAGTCATGCAAAATTTGTGTAATTTATGAAATGTTTTAATCACCTCAAATAAGTTTTATTTCTTATTAATTTAGATAATTACAGAAAGTTTTTTTTTTGAGGATATTCAATGTGCGGACATTAAAAAATGAAGCAATGAGTTTAGGAAAGTGTTTGCGATAAACATATGCTAATTACAACTTTTATAGATTCACAACAAAGAAAATTATGAAGTTCCTTCATTAAAAAGTGTGTCGAAAGGCATTAGAGCCAATACTTTACTGTAAAATTTGTTTTTTCTTAATTAATTCGGTTTGTTTGTTTTTAATACTTTTCTAAATCGTACACAAAAATCAAGATAATAACAGTTTGAGGTTTTCTTTCATTTCTGTTGTTTAGTTAACAAGATGGGAACATGAAGAAGGACAAATTCTTGTCCAGTACGAGAGTAAAGGAAAGATTAAGATAACTGGGTCGTGTTCAGAAAGGGAGTCAAGCGAGCAAATCTTTATGCAAATCGGAACGCTCTTCACAGTTGATGAACCAATTTCTCTCATCTCAAATTTCTGCATCATAAAACCGTTATTGAGTTAATGATAATTTCATTTGTCTCTTATTTTTCATTCCGCTTCGCTCCGTTTTATGTTCACACTGTTTGAGTGTGAAATTTATGTAAAATAGATATGATTCATAACATAATATTAATTGAAACGACTTGATAAATTTCGGATGTCACTTGATAAGCAAATACATTAAACAATCTTTCATCTTATTTTAAAATAGAACTTGTGCATAATTTGAAACTCATAGCGCAACCGTAAGAATAAGCATAAAATATTGTAAAATGGAGGTTTTACTTCTTTAAAACGTCTTGAGCTAAAAAGTCGTTCGATCGTAAAAATAATCACCACCTTTGAAATCTTAACTAGTCGCTGTGGAAAAAGGCAAACAATAGAATTGAAGGATAAAATATCCTCGACATGTTCTATCAGATAAATGGTGTCTTGATGGATTAATAAAAGGCGCTCAAGCAACTTATGTCGGTTACCGATCCTAAATTTCAAAGCTTCAAACAAGTTTTCACATTATTTTTTGAGTTCTTTCTTTCTTTCTTCAAATTGAAGATTTTTCGAGTGTCTTTCAGCGCACTCACTCATTCGTAGTGGTTTCTCAGCTTTCTTCATTTTCACATACAAACATATTGCTTTTTTGCCATTTAAATTATTCTTGAAGTCCCCGTTATATAATCGGTCAAAATAACGGTACACTTCTTCTTCTTCTTCTTTTTTTCCTCCGCATCGTGCTTACAATTTCTTTCTACTTATGTGTGTTCCCATTTCGGTGTAGAGACTCAGCTTTCATGATGGCTTGAGAATTTCAAAGCGGGGAAAGAAAATTTCTTTCTCTTTATATTTCAGTGTAAAAAAAAAGGTTCTTAAAGCCTTATTGGGAAGACAATTTCTATTTATCACTGTCCGGATCTTGAATTTTTATTTCTTTTTATGTTTAAAGTGATTCATCAAGCATTTTAAATTATAATTACCGCGACATGTTTGATGATAATCTCTCAAAATATTGTTTTGGGATTTCCCTGTTACAAACAATTAAATTCAGCTTTGCAATGGAAATTAAAAATTTTCTTGGATAAAAAGAAAATTTTAAGAGAAAATATTAACCCGGTTTAAGTGTTAGTAAAACCGATTATAAGTGTTTAGTGAGTAGATATTTAAAAATAGTAATTACTCATTGTATTAGCGACTCGACGTCTTTTCTTTTCATCTCTTATATACATTTCGATATTTCTTTTTTTCATTCTTAATTTTAGCCTTTACTATGTTTCATAATTTTTCAATTTACGACTTAAATGAAAAGTTAAAAAATCGGCATGAACGCGTACAGGAAATCAGAAGCAGGAACAAGTTTGTTTGACGCAGAACAAAAACGAGAAAAATTCTTTTTTTCTTTTTCTCAATTTAAATGTTTACTTTCCAAACTATTTTCATTAATCATGAAATTTGTTTTTCTTAAGTAAAGCTTTCAGCGATCATATTTCAGAAATTCAATTATCAGATGATTTAAAATACAATACTACCGTTTCAAACATGGCAGTCAAGTTATCATGTCATATAGTAAAGCAGGTTTTATAAACAAACTGAGCCGTACATAGTAGCACACTTTTCAAATGATTCATTCGTCGGTTGTAACACTTACGAGTTGTTCTTTAATTTCTTTGCTGTAAACTGGTGAAAGCCATTGATGGAGACCAAGAAAACGTTTTTGTACAATTTTTAAGGCGGGGGCCCCCTGTGCGTACGGTCCACCGAGCGTTGTCGTGGCCATTTGTGATCCTTCTAAAACTACCATCTTTTAACTTGACTATAGAAGACGTATGTATGTCTGCAGTCTCTTTCTTCTCTTATCAGTCGTTTATTTCTATTTTTTAGGTCACTTTTTAACAGTTTTATGTATTTTCTTTTAAATATTATCATAACATTAATAGCTTAAGGCTGCATTGTGATTGTTTATAAAAAATCTCGTGAAAATATTTAACCACTTCTTAAATGAATGAAGAACGAACACTTGTTGTTATTTCACTTCATCTGAACTAAGCCAAGCTCTTTGAGCTATAATTCTTCCTTTTTGACATTTTTATCTCGTGTTTCACGAAGACTTTTTTCAGCTACAGCTCTTTCTTTATCTTCACTTCGCTTACGATACACGATATGGTATGTGCACATTGAAACATCTCGTTACATATACATAAATATAGATCTCAATTTACATCACATTAAGTTAAAAAGCATCTTCAAGTGTAAGAAAAGATGACGACGAAGCCACTTTAAATCATAACTTTGTGTATGAAGTGTTGAAGCGCTCCAAAGCACTAGTTTTGAGTTCAAAGTCTGAAGTTATTATGAAATTACTCAAAAATATTCTTTTTTTCGTCTTTCTTTTGTTGTGTGCTCGATTATTTCTTTTTTTCTTATTTTTGCTATTTTTCTTTTTTCAATTATTTGATTTATACTCTTCACACATTCGCTTCGAAGATTTTCTTTTTTTTTTAGATATTTCGATTCGTTTTCGATATATGCGATGATTTTATGACGTCTCTAGATATTTCGGTGTTAAAAATATTTCATGTCAAGTTCTTCATAAATAATATCACAATCGAAAACTGTTGTTTCTCCTTCTGTTAATCTTTTTAAACGAGGTCACTTAAAGAATTCTTTTTCTTTCCTTGCAATAACTTTCTTTAACTTTTTCTTTTCCTCTTTTTATTAGTTTTCTTTATGATAAGACACTGAGACTAAGAAATAGAAGTAACGCATGAGACAATTTTTGTAACAACCACACAAATAAAGAGTCAAATACAGAGAAACTTCATCAATAAATATTTTTATCTAAATATTATTGTTTATGATGCAAGAGAAAAGCAAGCTGGAAAAAGATGTCGATTCTTGATAATACTACTTGGCAGAACCATTAAATGCAACAATTATATTAAACGCTGATGACAATAGCTTTTATCTGCAGCTTGAATTTTCCATTAGAAGAAATATGTAAAAGAAAGAGAATTTTCTAAAGTTCAATCATTAGCAACACAACCATTTTCTCTCTAAAATAAAAAAGCACAACTTTTTTCTGTCTTCTTTGATTTTTTTCTTCTGCCTTTGTGTAGATATTTCCACTAAGAAATTTCAACATTACAACAATAACAACAAAAAGCAAAGAAAAACAGTTAAAATATGTACATTTTCATATATGGCTGGATCGCGCTGTGGCAGTTCGATGAACTCATTCTCCGAGAGAGAGAGAGAGATTTACTCGCTCGTAGAAAATTATACACAAACTTTAATCATATCTTTATTTCAAGCAAAAAAATAGTCTTCTTTACACAATTCTTGTTTTTTTCACGTTGAGTAGTTTTTCTAGATCTTTGAATACTTCAAGTAATCTTATTCTTTCAACTTGCCTAAGCGAAGTAGAACGAAACAAGCAAATAAAATAATATTCCTCATACATTTCGTTGTAGTTCATAAACCACAAAAGAAAGAAATTCTCAACAGATGAGAAATCTTTAAACCATCAGTGCTTGAAAGTTTGTGTTCTGAAAGATTAAAAAATAATATTTCATTTCAGAGAACGGAAGTTTCCGCTTGCACATATGCCAGCGATAGTTTGATAAGCAAAAATTTTTCTGAAAATTATTTTCGTCGTAAAACCGACGCTGGGAATTGATAAGAATTTTAAAAAAAATTATATTGAACGTTTCCATGTATACATGTTCATTTTTTATCATCACAAAGGAGAAAAAAAACCCGACATATGTATATTAGCATACATTGAATAGTAACAGAAGCTACAAAGACTCCCAATCAAAGTTTCTCAGAATCGACATCCTAAATAAATTAGACAATTTAAAAATTTAAGAAATATTTCACATCACAACGTCGACGTTTATTGTTACATTGTCATTCTTTTTATCACCATTATTTGCTTTTCTCTTGCACACATTAATCAATTGGTCGTCGCCTTCAAAGTCAATCTAATGAAAAACAATTTCAATTTCCTCACATAGAAGCATACCGAGCGTTAAGTAAACGGGAATAACGAGAATACTGATAAAAATAACATAGACGATTACTGTTAATTGTAACGGGAGAATATAGACATCAATATCCAAAAATTACTTTTTTCCTCGTTTAATCACCAAAATGATTAAACACACTAAGTGTCGATTGTCTATAAGTCGCGAAAAATCAATCAATGTACACTTAACGACAGAAGGAATCCGAAAATATCAGGTTTCTCCAAATATTGCAAACACAAATATCCGAGAGGAAGAAATTTCATTTCATTAAATTCACTTTAGGAAATTGATATTTTTTCAGTCTATCCTATCTGTTTGTTCCTTTTAAATTACATTTTTTCTTTTGTTTCCTCACAATTATGAAGTTTTAATTCGCCGATAAGCACAATTTTAAAAACTATTCAAGCTGTCATACACATTAGTAATTGTAATTGGGCGTCGTACAATTTAGACGAGATTTACGAAATTCATCGTCTTTTAACTTTTTGGTGTGGTTCGTTTCAAGAGTCAATTAAAACTAATTAAACACAACAGTAAAAATACTAAAAGAAAATTATTCAACACAAAAGTCGAAGCGACTGAAGTAAAATATTTTCTTTTGAAAAGCCTTCAAAGAGGTCTTCTTTACTTCTCAAACGCTTTCGTGACACTGAAAGCGCTCATGAAAAGAAGAAAAAGTAAAGTTAGAAAATGAAAAATTATTTTACAAGCATAACATTTCTCTCATTCTCTATTTTTTTTCTTTCTTTAGCGCTTCCACAATTACAATATTTCGTATACATTTTTACAAGTCTAACGCGAATATCGTTTGATGCTCCGTTTCAGAAAGAAAACGTTCACCAAATGCTCGACAGATAAACTGACAACATAGCTAAAACCATTTTCGGATTCAATGAACTAAATGAATACAAATGTAATGAGAAATAAAGAAATAAAAAAATCATTCTCTGACATGATGTGATTCATAACGCGCTCTCTTTTCACACAAGAGCCACACATATAATTGTTTAGTTTTCCGTATAGCTTTGTACATATTACAATTTTCTTTTTCATTAAAATGAAAACAAACAATAAATTGCGACATAATCCACCGAAAGGATGTCTTAACAACGTCATTCAGCATAGTCTACGCCTTTTGTTGAGTTTATTTATATATTGTACATAAAAGGTGGATTAACTGACAAAAACAAAAGATTTCGTAATTTTGTTAGCTCATATGTTCCTTCCTTGTCGCTTCCGAATTAGTCTTTCTTTTTTCAAAGAAACAACTTTTTCCTTTCCTTATGAGATATTTACAATGTTCATGTATGCATACGAGAGAAGTGAGAGGATCTTGAGAAAATATCAGCTCTCTCTTGTGAGAGTGACTTAAATATCGAGGCAATTCATGGTAGAAATCAAGAATAAAATTTTAAAAGTATTAATGAAAGATAAAAGGAAACTGAAGACTAAATTAGAATGTTTGAATGATTACAAACTTCAGAAATTTTATCGACTCATTTGGTATTTAAATGATCGCGATATCATCAGTCAATAAATATCTTCTAATAACTCATTATAAACCACCCCTTGATTCATCAAAGTCAAGATTCCCTCTCAGTCTTTTTTCTGATAACTCTCATATTCCTTGATTATTATCGTTGGATCAAAGTGTTAATGTATGAGCTGTTCCAAAGTCATCATATGTTTTTTCAAGTGTAATAAATTTATCAACAATTTAAGATTATTGTCCATCAATCCTTAGAGTTTCACTTATAATATAATTTTAAATTGATCATTTCCAATGGCAAACTGAAGGATCGCTTAAAGTTTTGCTCACGGAAAATTGCAGCATATATGCATGTATGTGAAATGTTAAAGAACATATAAGAATGTGTTGTCATAAACAGATTTTTATACTTATATATAGATCGTTCAATTTTCTATGGCTGTGATAGAACTGACAATAAAAATGAAAACTTTTGTCTATTAAATCAGACATTCATGCTTATGACATCGATAAATATCTGATAAGAATTTTCAGGACGGAAATTTTAAAACTGTTCATCATTTTAAGGCTTAAATTATATTTCTCATAAAATCAACATTTTCTGTTTCATTCTATTATACGTTTTGTGTATTTTTTAGATAAATATTTAGACCGAAGTAAAATTTATTCGCGAATTGTAATAAGACAGTGGCTTTCATTGTGTTTCATGTGGTCGAAAGTTTCTTCTTTCTACATTCAATAATTTCTGATATGATGAGAATGCAAATATTGTTGATAGCACATTAAAGAATATCGGAAAAATTTATTGACTTCTCGTAAAACATACGTAAGTAGTGAAAATCTTTTCTTTTGATTGTGTATACGGCAAGTATTAAAAAACTGAACTCACCTCATAGCTTGCTTGCTGTTGAAGCATATTCGCAGGAGAATCGATGTGATTTTGTCCTTGATTCACCATAGGATTCTGGAATAATTAATTATTTTTAATGAAAAATTAATTTAAAATAAATCTGAAGATGATTATTTACCTGAACCGGCATTCCATTATTTAAAACGTGATGGCTTAGTGGATGCTGATGATGTTGTTGATGTTGAAGATGGAATGATGATCCCATTTGTTGTTGATCATGATTATTCATCATATGTTGCATCATTGGCTGAGAGAATCCGCTAACATTAACATTAATGCTTTGCTCAAGACCATGCAAACGAGGAAGATGCTCTTCAGCTGGTGATGGTTGTCGTGAACCTGGCGTGCGACTAGATAGAGAATGAAAATTGCAACTTTTAGTTACAAAAATTTATTGATTCGATTAGATTAGAATAGCAAAGTGAAGTTTAAATTGAACCTAACAAGTAGGAGCTTTAGAACCAAAAGATAAACAAATAAATCAATTTTCTCCGAAAGATTGAATTCATTTAAATTCTTACTTAAATCCTTTGTCATCGTCAATTCCATTTGATCCATTCGTCACATTCGACTCGTCTTTTTTCAATCCATTTGTCTCAAATGGCGATGAATTGTTTTCTTTATCATCATTTCCCTAAATTTTGAGAAAATAAATTTGTTAAAATTCATAATTTAATTAAATTTCAACTCATGTTTACCTTATCATCGATTTTTAGGCCTCTTAAGCGCGGCTCAAGGGTTAATGGACTTTCCTTGTTCGTTGGGGAACCGCCAAGAACATATTCGACCATTTTAACTCCCAAGCCTCCAGTAGAATCACGGGGACTGTAGAAGAACGAATGTAATGAACATTGAAAGCTTTAAAACCATTTTTAAAGATTTACCTTAAAATGCCGGGCATTGTTGTCTCACTACGCCTCGGAATCATTCCACTACTGCTATCTTGAGTCGACCACATTTGCTGCTCTTTCGCCCAAACACCTTGATGTTCTTTTGACCACATTTGATGTTCATTACTGCCTGGCATTTGCAAAGGTGCCAAAGGGCCAGTATTTTTCAGATCTGATTTGTTATCCCACAACTTCTTCGTTGATGACGACGTTATCTAGAAAGTTTACAATAGAATGTAAAGTCAAATTATTATAAAAATTCAGACACACTTACGTTGCTTCTTGACGCCATGTATTGGTTCTGAGCCATGTTCAAATGATGGGGATGCTGTTGGTTCAAATAAATAAACTCAGCAGCTGATGCCCCTTTTAAGTTTCCATTCAAAGGATTTTGAAGCATATGATCGTACATTGGCGGTCCTGATTGCATCGGCATTCCATGTTGTGGCTGATGAGCATTCATTGTATTATTATTATTCATCGATTGATTTAACATCGTGTTGGGACCCAAATGATTCGATTGATGGTTCATGCCTTGCATTTGAGACGGATGATGGTTCATTGGAGGAGGCGGTTTTATCGCATTTTGATGATTTTGATTCCCAATCGGTTGTTGTTGGACAGTTGGTGGATAAATCATGTTCGGCATTGCTGTATATTTCCACTTTTCTTGATTCTAAAACCATATTTATCATACAATTATTTGTGTTAGGTCAAAAAGAAAAGCGTCAGAGCTTGTGACGAGAACTTAAGCGTGAAATAAATACACATAATGGTACTAATAAAAAATTAAAGACTTCTGGATGTCGACTTCAAGACATGACCAAAAAAAAGCGAAGAAATATCGAAAAGAATAGGAAAAAGAGAGAATACGAAGAATCACAATCAACACAGTTGATGAAAAATAAAAAGGAAGAAAAAAGAAGAGAGAAGAACTGAGTTCAATGTTATTAGTGTTGCGCTCTGATAGAAAAAAAAAAGTTCTGTATGGTTTTAAATGTGTGTAGTTGGAAGGGAAAAAGAGTTAATAACTACACATTTCTTTTCTGTTCTTTCTTTTTCATTTTTTAAATAATATCAAACAAAATGTAAAGGTAGAAAAAAGAAAAAAACATCGAATTGGTAATGGAAAGATGGAAAAAAGAGCAACAAAATAGAGAAAGAAAAAAATATTTACATCAATGGCGTCATCTGTTCCGGGCCATCGCTTTTGAACGAAGGCTGGAAATTCATTTTCTTGGTGGAATCCATAACCGACCGCTGCATCGTCTTGGGATGTTCTGATTTGAGGCCGATTGCTGGAGGAATCAGTATTTTCCTCGTTGGCTCCTAACAATTTCATTCCACAACTTGCTCCCGGCACGTCGCTTACTTGCTGAGAATTTGTTAGTTATTTGTGATTTCACCAAAAATCGTCTGATGAGGTTCTTATTTATGTTGATAAGTAATTTATTATCCCCCAAAAGTGAGAGGAAAAGAAGGAGGAGAGAAAAATTTTTGACATAAAATAATGATAATTAAGGACTCCTTATTTTTTTCTTTCTTCGTCCCCTAACTATAGTTTTAGCGTAAAATTCGCAATACCACGTTCTTTTACACATTACTTTACATTACACGCCATATCTTCATTCGTTTATCAATTAATTTCTGTCACTTCTGAAGATTTTTCACTTAGAATTTTATTAAATTTAGACATTTGTCTGCCGCATTTCAATGCATTATGAAAAAATGTCCATGTCTGTGTCTGTGACATGGGAGCATCGTGTCATGGTGTCACTCTCCTTTCAAACAAAGGAAATTAAATGCACTTATCCTTAGTCCATTTGTAAAATAAAACAGTCATCGTTTGAATAATACATAAGATTTACGATCAAGCATAGCAGATTGAAAGAAACAATGCAAATGAAGATTTGATGGACATCAGATGTGAATTGATTTAAAACATGGTGGGTTCTTTATTTTCGGCGAAAAAAGTTTTCTGGTTGGTGGCTGACTTTTTGCGTAAGAATGATCATAATTTGGACGAAAAAGGAACATTAATTACACAAAACACTCACCCTTTTATCGTAGTATATGCTTTGAATTGAATTTAGAAGAATTTTTCAATGAGTTAAACATAAAATACAAGAAAATTCTACACAATGAAAGTGAAAATAAGAAGAAAAAAAGTTCTAACAAGCCACAAAAAAAGTCTAAAAATTGGAAAATGTCCCACTTCTTTACTTAAACTAAAGTTTCTATGAAATCGTTCAGTAAGCTTGTAAATTGAATTTATTAAATTGATTGATTACACTATTATTAACTTTGAAAAACAAATTAAAATCAGTCAAAAATGTTTGAAATTTATTTACACTTTACACACCACAAAAGTTTATTTACAGATCTAGAAAATTGCCCGTCAAATTAATGGAAAAATTTTCACCACAAAGTTCGATATTGACTTTGAGCCTTTGTTCTTCAGTGAAATTAAAATTATCTTAACTTTATTTTCGATTTCTATCAAATTAATATATCAATACAAATTACAGACTTTGTTTCCATACATGTTTATAAATAGTAAATTTTCCGTCCTTCACCTTGCGTTACAAACAGGTTAAACTGTAAATGTTCAAAAAAGGTTGTTAACCAATAGCGATATGGACATTTGGACTTTCAAATTCTACCTGCCTTTCAATGATTGCAATCAATGATTTTATTTTAAAGTTATAGGAAAAACTTATGTAGATCATGCTTTATGAAAAGCAAAGCATTCATCAGCCACAAACGAGTAACCATCGATTAAATGTAGTTTATTTTTTTAATGCTTTATGAGTTCATTTTACTTTCAATATCGAAGATTACAAAATACACAGTTTACATACATGTAAAATTATTAATTTTATTCTTTGTCTTATGAATTCTTATCAAGTTACATACCAATAGAGTGAAGAAAATTATGTATGTAGGTATTTTCGCAAATTCAAATATCCAACTAATTATTCGAACACAATAATCATGATTATCATTTTAATTTTAACATATGATTTGGTCAATAAGCGAAAATTTGGCGAACATAGAGAAAAAAAAGTTTTAAAACAACCTTCATTAGCGAAAGTTTTCACTTTCCGATTAAAAATGTTTTAAGAATAAGCATTATAGGAGAGGAAAAAGAAACATGTTTTACATTAAAGCAGTACATAAATTGTGATTAAAATTCAGTTTTAATCATCTTGTTATTAATTTCACTTTTTTGATTTTGATAAGACTAGTGGTTAGGAATATTTTTTTTTTTGTTTTTTGTTTATTATATTTTGAAATGCTTTTTTGTGTTGTCTTGTTAATCGCGGAATGTTCGAACTAAACTCATTATTGGTTTCTTGCATTCAAAAGGGCACACAAAGTGATCAAAGCAATTCAATCATTCTTATACTTACAATAGAATTTTGTTTGGTGAGCAAAACTGATAAAAAGAAATTTTTTCGATTTTCTTCATTTTATCATTGAACAGTATTACAAATATATTTTTTATGTTGTTTTGAGAAGTATTTAATCGTTTAAGATTGATTGTTGAGTGTCACTTTCTGAGAAAAACCAAAGTTTTACTTAAATCCAGGATTTAACAAGAAAAAGCTTTTAATCCGATTTATATTAATCCAGATTAAAATTTGAACTTTAATAATGAAAATGGATTAAATGTTCAATTTCAACACCCACTCATTTTTATATCACTCATTTATCGTCAAAATCTCTTCATATGGCATACTTCAATTAACTGTAAATTATTACATTTAAATTTTCTCAAATTTGTGAGTGCTACACATTTTCATTGCGTTTTGTTTCTTTCAATTTTCAAAATATGACATTAACTTCGAACATTTTCATAAAACAGATTTTGTGAATACTCCAAGAAAATTAATGTTTTTTGTCAGTGATTTTGGTTTCCTTTTTCTTTACGTTTGAGATTCAATTGCTTTATTTAAGTTTCAAACCGTTCATACCTAATTGAAGGATCATTCAAGCATTTGGGAAATAACGTTAAAAGTTTTTAAATCAGAAAGTCACACATCTACTTATCATAAAACATTTTTTTCATTAAACAACGCATTTCTGATTCCTTCAATTAAATATTTTCCTTTTTATATTTAAATGATTTTTTTTTCAGCAAATTGCATATCAAATGACGCAGGGAAGTTAAATGGAATTTTCTTAGAAAACATTTTTCATTTTTTGCGAATAAGTTACTGCAGATATTATATTAAATATAGTCAAAAACATAGATAACTAGAAGAGAGATTAAACTAAAGTTCGTCATTAAAAATAGTTATAAAATATTGTTTTCATCGTTTCTTAAATGGGTAATTCAGTTCCAATAATTATAAAAAATGTTTCTGTTGTATCATTGTTAGTGTTTCTCAAAATCCCTGTTTTTTGAAAAACAGGGATCAGGGATCGATGATTTTCTACTAGATATCGACTTTTTTTAAAAGAAAAAACTGCATTAACGTAATGTTCTGACATAGAAAACACTAAACAATCCATCTTTATAGGAAAAATTAAGCGATTTCTAGTAGAAATTTGACGATTTCTTTTTCCCTATTCCCTAAAAATAGGGATTTTGAGAAACACTAATCATTGTCAGTAATTTTTTTGAATTTCTAGACATTGCCAGAAGATCTGGTGGTTTGTTTTATACATAAAGTCTATTGGCTGCTCATTAGTTCTGTTTGTGTTTTTGTTTTCTTTCAATCTAAATATAATAATCATGCTTAACACGGAGAATTTTCAAATGAACTTTTGTGCAAATTAGCAAAATCGACCAAAGCGCGATGCAAGAATTCATATGAATTGACAGAATCAATCATTCCTGCTCGTTGTGTTCGAAGCTTTTGTGTTGTCACACGGATGTCAACACGTTTTTCTAGACGCAATTGTTGAACAAGCACGCACATTGAAACAAAAATTGAACTTCTATCAGTGCCTTTGCTGAAAATAAATAAAATAAATATCGAGATTAATTGTTATTGTTCAACAAACAACTTTATTTTACTTACCAACAGTGAACAAGCATTGGTCTTGGTGTGCTGTCTTCATCAATCTTTGATTGATGATGGGTTTGAGATTGATGAACAATTTCCAAAATTCCACGTGTAACTTCGGGCCCTTCACCATCCACAGTTGGCCAACCATTGTATTGAAAATGTGTAACATTAATTGTATCATTTATCTTACAATTTGTGACAGAGAATTCACGCTTTGTATAATAGGGACAACTTTCACTTTGAATATACTTTACTAATATATGATCATATTGAATCTCATCGTCAGCCCAATAGCGCGGACATTTATTGTTATTAACATCACCAATTTCCGACATCATCACTATCGTTGGTATACTTTGTTCTGAGATCATCCGCCAAAAGTCACCAATCGTACTCTCCAGTGGATCTTGTGCAATTATAAATGATTCCTGATTATCATAGCCTTCGATAAACGAAGCATTAATGTAAGTTGAGTGATCGCGTCCAGGAATTGGTGTTAAAATTACGCGATTCCTATCGAATGGAATCACATCTTCATGTCGATTCTTTGCAAGATTCTCATCGCCACCTCCTACAGAGCAAGTTTTTCTAATATCATCTTGAAGTGACTTAAGCTTTGCATATTGAATTTCTAATTTTGACTGTTCCTTGCTATCAGATGTTCGTTGCTTTAACGCTTCAACAGATGCAGCGAGACCTTTATATCTAAGCTCAGTGTCATCAAATTGCGCAACGTCGAGCAAGGCTCGATACAGGAAAATGTATTGTTTCTGAAATAGCAATAAATGAATGACAAATATAAACACTAATTAGGGTAAATGGTCAAACTTATTCTATAAAAATTTCACTTACCAATGACTGAACCAAATAATTTCGTTGGTGTCGCATATCGCAAATGGTGTTGAATATGGCAACTTGATTCTCTTCATTGAGCTGTTGCTTGAGAGAGTCTAATGCAACCAAAGTTCCTGTTCGACCAACACCAGCCGAACAATGAATCAAAAGTGGCCCTCTTTGTACAGAATAATCTGCATTTATAGTTTTAATAAACTTTAATATGCCATAAGGATGTTCTGGTGCTTGGAAATCTTTCCATACTAAATAGTGATATTGAGTTATATTGCGAGCTGGCTCATCAGTTGCATTTTCAGCGTCGCTATTTAAATTTCGTTTAATGAGCTATAAAAAGAGATTAAAAAATTAATTACTAAATTAAATTTCCTCTAAATGTACTCACTTTAATATTTCTGATCAAATAATCTGAGAATCTTTGTTCACTTTCAAATGTTACTGTCATCTCGCCAAATTGAACTGAATCTGAGACACGTTCCGGCCAATATTTGGCACATTTTGTTTTATTGTATTCTTCAAGGTTCGTCAACATTATGATAATTTCTAAATGCTGTTCCCAAATCATTCGCCAGAAGTCATTAACAGTGCTATCCATTGGACCTTGAGCGCAAATGAATTTCTTCCGTTCCTTGTATCCGATTACGAAGTTTGCATTAATGTAATCTGAGCCGACCAAGCCGTTGAGTGTTGATAACTTAACTCTCGTTTGGTCGTAACATTTAATATCCGGATAGCGATTCTTGTAAACATTTTCTTTCATATCTCCGGAACGTGATGTCCGGTCTGTAAAACGATCGGGTAGCAACTCAAATTCATGCTGAAAGCCATAATCAGAATCCTTATGACGATCAACGTAAGCTTGAGGAAGATTCTCTCGAAGAATTGGCGGAAGATCTGGCGGCTTCGAAACAGTGTTTAATGAACGATGTTGGTGATGATTAGCACGCCCGCCATGACAAAGAAGTCTCAACGAATCAGTCAAGCTTACAATTTCATTTCCCTGAATTATGTGCTTCTTCTGATAACGATGCAATAGACAAAGTAAGAAGAAAAGTGAAATCACTAAAATAATCAAGCCAGCAAGCAAATATGTTATTGCCATAAGCATCTGGTCGTCAGACTTATCATCAATTGTCGGTGGCTTTGGCGACAGTGGTGGAAAAAAATCACCAAACACTGACAAAGTTTTATCGTCATTGAAGTCATTATTTTCAACAATTACTTCGACAAATCCACTATAATTACTACTTATGTCCAATGGACCGTCAAAAATGTCAATCGAATCTGGGCTTCTTTCCACTGCATGATTCAATGAGAGAGAATCCAAGATATTGAGTTGCTGAGGTTCCGATTGTTCTGAATGTCCGTGACGTCTTCTTCTCCGTCTTGTTTTGATTTCTATCTCAGCTTTTGTCTCTTCTGTTACTTCTTCTGCCTTCTCAATTCCTTCTTCTTCTTCCTTATCCTCCTCTTCATCTTCTGTTTCGCTAATGACATGAGCTTTTCTTCTTATAATGTTTGATAAACATCCGCGACATTTCTCGTTGAAAAGATTTTTTGCCACTTTATAATGTTGACCACTTCCGAGTGGAATATCTGCTTGATAATTTGCACTTGGAATAATGTTTGCTAAATAAGCTCCACCATGTAAATTTGTTGCATTATGGGCATCTTCATATGTCATTACATCCATGTCTTCCGGTTGTTTCTCGTTGAGATCTTTTCCAAGTCGAATCATGTAAATACGATAGCAACAAACTTTTCCATTTCTCTCAGACACCCTCGGCAAAGACAATTTAAATATCCAATTGTAATCTTCGGTGTGTTGCTTTCCAAAATGTGCTTTTGGAACGGCATCAGGAATAGTCGGAGGCATCGTACACAATGCAGAAGCTTTCTCACCCGGCTTTTTACTTCGAGTTATTGCCGCAATGTTGACTGTGAAATTTGTGTTTGCTGGCACGTTATCATAAATTGCTTTAGTTTCATGTGTCCGATCTACATTTTTAGCTTTCGGTCCCCATGTTTGATTGACAAAGTTTCCAGTTTCTGATTTGAAATGAGCGGTTCCATCGAGTAAGACTTGGTATGACATAATAATTCCATTTGGATTCGATGGTGCACTCCATTCAACGCTTACAATGTTACGACGAGACACATTATGATGCATGCAAATTATCTTCACATCCAACGGAGCACTTGATTGCCCATCCATAGTTGTACCGTTAACAGTTTCCGACCAGTTTCCACATTCTTTGTTATACTCGCTACACGCTCTAACTTTGAAGAAATATTCTGTTGCTGTCTTCAAGTTCATCACCATGTAGGGTAAATTTCTAGAATTCTGAGGATGAATCGCTTCTTCGATCGTTTTGTTATCAGCTTGGAATACAATAACTTCATAATAGTGAATGTAATCAAGTAGTTCTTGTGATGGCGGTTGCCATCCGATTGTTATTGTTGAATGAGAATTTCCTTTTACTTCGATTATTGGTGTAAAAACTGGATCTTCGGTGAGCGTCTTAACCAGCATGTTCCAGTCTGTGACTGGCCCAGAACCAATTTCATTTTTCGCCGATATTTTGAATTGATATTTTGTGTCTGGAATAAGTTTCTCGATGACCATTGATGTTTGATTTGCACCTACTTTGTTAGGTGTGTAGTGAAAGGTTGTGTCGAATTCCATCTTGAATTGAGGTAGAAACATTTGAATGGGCGAGTTGCCATCGTCAGTTACGGTCCAGTTGAGAAAAATTCGATTCTTTCCAATTGCCTTCACAAAACTTATCATTGCAATTGGCGCACTTTGAATTAAAATTGAAATCCTCTTCTCGATTTTTTCAAAAGATTTATCCAAGGCAAGTGGTTGTGACACTGAACAGATGTACGTTCCATTGTGCTTTTTGCTGGCTTTATCAATTCTGACACTGATAGTTATGTGTGTATCGTTCGATGAAATCTTAGTCCTATTTGAAATGACAGCATTGATCTCCGATGCATCTGACGAGTCCTTGTTTTCAAGTCGATCAATCGTTTCCTTTTCCCATTTCACTGAACCATTAAACAAAGCCGTTGGAAGAGCTGAAATCACACAAACCAAATCAACACTTTGACTTTCTTTCTCTTTGATTTTGATCTCTTCATTAACAGGAGGAATTATGCGTGGAAGTTGAACAGATATAACAGAGAATGAGATTTGCATTGACACATTTTTATCCTTTTCAGTCTCTGGGAAATGGCACAAGTAAGTTCCATTATGCTCCTTTGTGACATTAACAAGCATTAATGTGTGACTATAAGTACGCTTTCCTGCTGGTTTTAGTTCATTTTCACTTTCAAATGGTTCATTCTCAGTGGTGTTTCTTTCGAACCTAAGGATAAACAGTAAGAAGAAATGGAATGTTATTTATTGTGGGGAATTTTTATTTGTCGTCTAGCCGAAAATATTTTACCTTATGTCAGTTTTTGTGATATTAGTGCCGTCTTTTGACCACCACACAACAGGTTCGTTAGCCTGACACACTAGTGTCTCATTTGTTCCTATTATTGCGAAAACTTCACTCGGACCTGTAAGTAAATTAGAAAATTTGTTTAACTTCAAATTTTGAAAATTTTTCAACAAAAAAAAAATAAAGAGGCGTAAACGGTGTCGGAAATTGGAGCAATTGCGTGTTATTTCAATGTAAATTTTAACTCATTACATTATTTTTACTTAGAAACTTACTATCGAAATCAATTGCTGCTACACTAATTAGCAAAATACCTAAAAAGAGGAAAATATTATACATTTTCCGAAAAGTCAGAGTTCGAAATCGACAACTTTTTCGGCTACTCTAGCTGAGTTTGATTCAATCTCTGAAACTGAAGCGACGCTTTAAAATAAAATTCCGTGGAAATTGTTTTGAATCATTTCAAATCTGATGTCATTAATTTGAATGAAATCATTAATAAAAACTATCTAGTGTCATCAATTTATAATTTCAAAGCATGTTCATATCGTTAAAAATATTATCAGTCTCTAAAAATAAAGTGTCATCAAGTTTCTGCAGATATTTTTTTAATTTTTTGGGTTTGCTATCGCGGTCATCAGTGATCAGAGATCTGACATTTTGTTTTGTTTCAACATACCTACATTTCACAAATATCTACATTTTACATTCAATTTAAAATAAAATATGGATTTTCCAGTGATTTTAGTAGTTTCAAATTGTGCACAGACATCGGCTTTAGACGTCATAGCAAGTAAATATTATACTATCTAATTAGATTTATTACAGATTATCTATTAACTAAATCTATTCTCTTGTGTTACAGACATAAGAAAAATTTCAAACAATGAGCAGAATCACAAGAGCAATGACTCAACTTTATACCTTCATGATATCAACACAAAGTATTATAACACTCAAGTGGCGCTTTTCCCCATAGATGAAGTAGAAAAATTGTCGGCGTTAGAAAAGAATGCTGTGGAAGGCTTTCTTATATATTTCGATTCAAAGGACGTAAGTATCAAAGAACATTGTTATTTAAAATAAAAATAAACATTTTTACAATCAGATATTATAAGAGTTTAGTTAAAGCAAATATAAAACATAAAATAAGTATTAAGATAGTCAATTTTCGAGTTAAAATAGTTACAAACTCGTTCTTCTATCAAAGTGCCAGCATTGCGTCGACTCGTCTCTCTCGTCTGTTATATGTCCACCCAATACCTACTAAATATAACATCTCTTTATTTTGCAACAATTAAAATTGCTAAAAATTCACTTAACTCTCAAATTAATGCGATCATCGAGCCAATGGCACCTGTAATGCTAATCTTTTCTTATTAAAGTAAATAAAAAGAACCAACTGAAATATTTCTACTTTTTAAGCTTTCATAAGTTAAGAAAATTTAACATTAAAAAAAGTCTTTATGCTAAACATTGAAAACTCTTAAAGTGCTTTAAATTACTTTTCTTTCTATTAAACCAGCGAACTACTCTGGACATACTTGACCAATATGTTGAGTTTATAAAATTCTATAACATTGAATTTTGCATAATGTTATGTCAAAAACTTTCTGATGACATTACGACTGGAGTTACATTCAAATGCATAAAGGATTGCTATCATATGTTAGACATCATAGAATTGGAAAAAGAGGACGAATGTGATGATTCAGAAGATGATTGCTTTAATCCTTCAGGCTATGAAGAGTTGGCTCAAGCATTACGAAGCTTCATCTGGTCAAATGTTGATGTAAATCATGGTAAAAGACTTAATATTTGAATATTTTATTTCATCGCTTTAATACATTTATTTGATTTTTCCCCTTTTCTTAAAGTTTCAACAAATGGCGAATCTCGAATGTCTATCGTGGAAAAAGACAATGATGACAATCCAAGTGAAGAAGTTGATGTTGAAGGTGAACTAGAAAACTTTGAGAAGCTTTTAAATCAAATGATGCAATTCCGTCCTGCTACAAGCAACATGTCACGTGAAGATCGATTGAATTGTGCTCAAGAGTTTGCTGAAATATTTGAAAAACTAATAATGCAAGATGAAGATGTAGATAATTAAAACAATAATTAACTATGCAAGATCGTATGACGTTATTGTTATTTTTTTTCATTATCTAGATGAATGTTTCCAATGCCCTTCATTCACAGAAATCTATAAGCTTGTTTAAGTAATAAATTTATATCTAATCAGAGTAATTAAAAGCATATTAAAAAAATTTGATTTTTTACTTTTTAATTTCAGAATTTTATTGATTATTATTATTATGACCAAAGTTCAATTAAAAAGTATTCTTAATTCAAACATAAACAATATTATAACTTTATTAACACTTGGACGTTTAAAGTAATCGATGAAGACAGAATTTGTATTAAATGCAATACTTTATCAATATTTCATAATGTCGATGAATTCTTGTTGTCCTTATGATACATTCGGCTTTGATTATTGCTTAAAAGCGAATTCTTATCAAATGCACGGCTTCTGAGCAACAATCAAAAAACAATGAATCAAATAGAATGGAAATTTTTATTTTTGATGAATGTTGATTTTGTTATGTTGCCTTATCAGACCTTTTCCATTTCACTTTTTCCAAACTCTGAAGGAAATCACAAACAAAAGATTTTAATTTCCTATATCGTATCACACGGAAGTGCGACTGCTCTCTCAGAAGAGCTGATATCAACTAAATCATTCCACCGAAATACTTTCAGGTAAACATCACAATGATGTTTCATTTTTCGAGGTGGGGGAGAAAACATATTTTCCGATTATGGAGGGAAAACACATCTTCTGCAAAGCTTTTGTAGTAAAGCACAGGAAGAACGTTTGTTGTTGTAACTTTTATCCGAACAATCATGAACAGAGTTTCCTTTCTCTCTTCCACTCTATCTCTCAGTTTTTTTTTCTAAAGACGAGCTTTAATTAACAAATTTATATAGGTAAATCGTTTTAAATAACAGCTCGATAAAGTAAATAATTTTTTTTACCAAGAAACTAGAAGAAAACTTGAATTTTCAAAATAATCACATGTTGTCAAGTTTTATATGTGAAGACTCAAAGAAGAAGGTTTGGTCAGTTAGTAATGCAAGTTTCATGTAATTTACTCAGTTCAACGAAACAAAAAGACTAAAATATTTTCTAATGGACTTCAATGTAATGTTTTATCCTCGTTATTTCTCTTTTTTTGCTGTTCGGTTTATATTCCAACTACCGATATCGGATATTTATGTAAATCTCGACGGTGTTCTGATACTGGAAAAAATTGAAGTTGGTAAATTTAGATTGACAGTTTGAATGTTTAATATTTTATTTTCTTGACGCTTATGCATATACTCTAGCCATCGAAGACTCTAAACAGCTTGCAAAAGATGCGAGAGCTGAAGAGCAAGAGAATCAGAAAAGTGAACTCGGTTGCTTTAATAATTCAGAAGATTTATACTTTGGAAAATGGGAAAATGAAAATTGTTTTTGCCGTTGCCTTTTCGCATACATAGAAACAAAATCGTTTAGCTTGAGACAGATACGAAGAAAAGAAGGAATGTTTTCCTCGAGAAAATGGATTACTAACTTGTCAAGTCGAATTACGAGTAAACTTTTTTGAAAAAGGTTTGAAGTGTCACTTGACGTATGTAGTTGAGAAAAGGAAAATTCTATGCTAACAATAAATGTTTTAAAATTACATCTTGCATATTTGCGGCTATGAAATGAATTATGTCATCAATAACAAAACTCTTTTTTCATATCTTATCGATTAAAGTTATGAAGAATTTCTCTGAATTTTGTAAATCAATGGAAACTTTAAAAATAAAAATTTATTTCGTAATAATAAATAGATAATCATTCATCCGAAAATAAATTATCAAACGATGTTAAGAAGTTTGCCAACTGTTCGTCTCGTTTATAAAAAACACTCTTATGAGTCACCCCTTTCCAAATCAAAAATCACAATACAGAATCGTTCACCCCTGAACCCTCAAGCCCAGGTAAACGAAATTAAATCCTATACCCAGACGGAATCTTTCATTTCTCCTTTTTTTATTGTATAAAAGAATAAAAAATAAACTTTACACATCATCCCTTTTAACAGAATCTTTAGTTCATTGACTCTGAATTGCAGCCTGCATCTGTTAAATGTACGTTGGGTCTCACTACTTCTTGCAACAAAAATTAATCGTGAGATATTTTTTCTTAACGGAATCTGTTCTAACTCGTCAGATGCGAATTGTGTCATCGTGTGACAGAAATTAATTTTACAACATTCAAAAATAAAACTTTTAAATTAATGAAAAGTGTAACTAAAGCTAATCTTCCGAAGGTTCAGAATAACTTCAGCATCAAAAATTTCTCTTAGATATTTGTTTAAAAATAGAATAATATTTACAAGTCATAAGTTGACTTCCTTTCTAATAAAAATAAAAATAAATGAAATCAAGATCAAATTTCACTGACATTTAAACTTTGTTATCCAAAACAAAAAATTTCGGAAAAACATTGCGTCAGAAGATTCCACTGAAGCACATTAATTATTTAAAATTTATAAAATCCAAAAGCACTGAAGGAATTAAAAGTAGAAATATGTCAATTAGCGTGATTCAGGAAGAGATTGAGTGCTGATAATCAGTGAATATTTAATTCAAAGTGTTTTCGTGAATCGTTAACAATTCAGTTGAAATTTTTCAAAGAAAGTCGGTTCCAAAAACCATAAAATGTCAAGATGTAAATTAGTAGCAGAACATATGTGGTTTTTAACTGTTTGAATAATATTGAGTTAGAATATAAAAATCCTAAAAATCTCGTGAAAGCACTCAGTTAGTTAAATATTTTCCTATTCCTAAAAACGTTAAAAAGCCAGGCGATGGCGATGTCGACACGAAAAATGCATCAAAATGTCTATTAAATATTTAAAGATGGATAGCTGTGGTGTTAAGCAGAATTGTTTAATATAAGCGATAACGTTACGAAAGCATCCACTAGTAATGTAAGAATTTCATTTTAACTAATTTTTGACAGTAAACTGGAGCGAAACTTCCCAATAAACCCCATAAACAGTATCACTGTCAAAGATTTTGACAAATGGAAAACAGAGATAGATGAAAACATGAAAATGGAATTTTCACTCGCTTTCGCGTGCGATAAATGAAAATTGTGATTGACTTTGCCGTGTTTGCGATATGGTTGAAGTGATTTCTTGTGTTTATTTTATCACGTTGAATTATTTTTTATTAAGCATCAACTGAACGATGAAAGCGAGAAAAAAAGGAATGATGTTGGAAATTCTGTTAATTAGTAATTCGCAAGTAGATTCAAAATGTTAAAATTTCGCTCTTATTGAGTTAGACGCCGAGACGAATGCTAAACGGAAATTTAATTTAATTTCCCATCTCGTGTGCTTCTCTATGCATATCAACTGTGTAATCGGTGAATAACAGAATCGTGAGAAATATAATTAAATTTTATTCTTCAATTTTTAAAACTTTCCTCGCTATTTAATAAATGATATGCTGAGAATATGTCAACGCTACAGAACTGCTACACCATTGGTTGGAATCAAAATTGACCCTAATACGGACTGCATAAATGCTAAAATATTTACAAAAAATATCATTCAATGAATAATTGTAACTTTGCCCTCCGTTATATATTTGCAATTCTCTTATATGTTACAAAAGAAATAAAATGAAGGTAATTGCATAGTGGTTGGAAGAAAGAGACAACAAATGCCATAAAGACTGACCGATTTCAAAGGATGACCAGATATCGGAAATAAAAATGTCATTCACAAGATATAAATTAAAATTCATTTTAATAATTGATATGAAAATTCATAAAATTGTGAAACGGTGTTGATTGGTAATGAATGCCGTGGTCACCCTAAGATATTTTTCTTCCCTACCCACTCGTCCGAACGTTATTCATAAGCACACATATTATTTTCATTTCTCTCTTTCTCTGTTTTCTAGTCTTCGTTTCATCGATGTGTATAGAAATTAAATGTAGGAAGGAATTGGAAGTAAAACTCATAAAATGGCGATTTTCATACGTCGATTTTTTCGAGTAATTACCAATAAAGGAAAAAGAAAGTAATTAGACGAATTAATGAAGTTGAGAAAACTGACTGAATATGAATGGAGACTTTCATTTCCCTCATCTCGCTTTCTAATGATGATTAGAAAAGTCAAAAATTGTTTTTTTAAACTCAATTTTGTTTCAGATAATATTTAGATAACTATGTTGGCAAAGCTTTGATTAAAAAAGAAAATGTATAAAAATAAAATAATTTTCTTTTTAGTTCACTGATTTTCACATTCACAAGTGCTTCTGAAATTAATTGATTTGATATGTTGGGAAAGGACTTTCAAATGACTTTCGTGGAATGACAAGAAATGGAATTATTTTATTCAATGCTGATAAAAGCTTTGAAAACTTGTAAAATTAATTTCATTGAAATATTTTTAAGGGAAAAACATTTTAAAAGCCGGTAAAACAATAGAACTGATTTACAAAATTCTCATTGTAATAATTTTATGGCTAATTAGAGGAAGTTTAGAATTTTAAAATGTATTGTCGGGAAAATTATTTGAATAGAATTTTTCTTCACTGTTTAAACTTTCTCATATTTATGTGATTTAAATTAACTTTATTAATGTTTGAAGCTTTTAATTTAGTTTTTGATCGTATTTAGTTTTTGATAGTTTATTCACTGAAATTCAAAAAGTTTTTCGATACGATTTTAAATAAAAAGAAAAATCGGGAAATATTTTAAATCACCAAAATTCACTTTCACGTAACAAAACTTCAAATTTTATATTTTATTCACAAAGTTTAATTCGGTAGCTGTATTCACTTCAAATGAATATTTAATAATTTTTTCATTCAAATGAACACTTCGTCAAATAATTTTCCGAATTTTTGCCTAGTTTTCCACGCGACGCCATGAGGAAATTTATGTTTCTGTCTCTTTCTCACCCACGAGAGTTGCGTATTTGATTTCAAACAAAAATGGCCATGAAAAATTTTTCTCACACGAGAACTTTTCATTTTTTTATCCTTGTGATTCAATTACAAAATTTATGGAAAATTCACTTGAATTAACTCTGATTTATTTAAGAAGTTGTTTATATATTTGCAGTCATGCTGTAAATGCTCTCCTTGGACAAACCGTTTGGCACTGTTGGCACATCACAACTGGAACGAGTTTCCTCGACTGCCCGAAAGAGGATTTAAAAAGGATGCGCACTTTTAAAGAACTCGCAATGAAATGAAACTGCTTTGCACGCACCGAATTTTTTTAAAACAAGTTTTATGTTTTTTCAAGGGGTGCAAAAAATTCTTCTCTTAAAATATAAAAAAGTAAAATTCAACTGAATCATGAAATAAAAAATAGGAATATATGTTTAACAAACACAATGATCATCATCATCCCTTCCTTATTCGAGAGAAGAAAGCAAAGAAGAGAAATAAACGGGTTGTCGTATGTCTAGGTGACTGGGAAACTCTCAAAGTCTAATGAAAAGTTTTTTATTAATTACAAAAATCTTGACAAAAATTTCTTAAAAAACAAAAGATTGAAAAGATCTTTGTATAGAATAAATTTAAGTTTAAGAAGTAAATTTTAAATCAAAAAGGATTCAAACTTATTTAGATGTATGCTAAGGACATCAAGACGGCATCAAGAACGACATCAGTTGACTTCAATTATTTTCTACCAAGATGCAGCAATCATTAAGCAATACTTAAAAAATCATGCATTACTGTTTCGAAAAAAAAACTTTTGTTCATCCGGCACATCGCATATGCTTTTTGTAAAGAAATAAATATCAAAGCAAATAAAATAGAAAATATCATGCAATCATACATCAGCTTGAAAGTTGATCGTTGACTGTATACGAGGCTTGATTCTTCACAATGAGTCGTGCTTTATGTGTTTGCACCCCTTCCTTCCCTTTTTTAAAAAAGTTGAAATAATCATGCATCATTCGAACATACATAAAAAATATATAATTCTGTAGCACATGAAATGAGCGTAAAGATTTTGTCTTTTAAGTAACGGCGTTAAATTCATCAGCTGGCTTGTTTTTTACCAACAGGAACATACAGAAAAAAGTTAAAACACGTTCTCATGGATTTAAGTCTTCACAACTGATCTTTCGGGAAATCAAAGAGGGTAAGAAAGGAAGATTTTTGTCTCTTTTAACATCTTTCCCATGTCTATGCTTACGTGAATCACTCAATAACAAGAAATATTCATTGATGAAGAATTCTCGCGTTGATTGTCATTAGAATATCTGAAATGAAATAAAAATTCTGCATTCTCGTCTATCAGTCAAATTTAATTATTTTCTCCAAAAGTTTTTATTATCTCTTCCTTCCAACACTTTATATATGAAGAGTTTATTGTTAACATAATATTTTTGCATGCCCTAAAACTTATCGATCTGTAAAGAACTGTTAATTGTCGTGGCACATAATACTCATATATTATTTTATTTAATACTTACATAAATGTCTCTCGTTGGAAATTGTTCATGTTACACCTATAATTAGCAAATTTAGTAATTCAATCTGAATGAACATGCAGAAGAAACCAAATAGAAAAGTATTGAAAAGACCTTCAATTTTGATAGGAAAATATCAAGGCAGTTAAGGGAAACAGAAAACTGTTCAATTGTGAACATGAAGAGGGTCGCAAATTTTGGGCTTGATTTTTACTCTAGTTTTTTATGTTGAAAAAAATATTGTTTGAGGGTTTAATCAATTTTCAGCGATTGCATTTAATTCTGACGTTTGATGATTTACGTCATTTAATGAAAAATGTGAGTGAAGGAAATAGAAAAATGTTTGACTTAATTTCAATGCAGCTTAAATAATATTTCGACGTTTCATTACAATAAATGAAGGTGACTTAGTGGTTTCCAAAAAAATCTTCCTACCTCTTCTGCTTAATTCATTATAAGTATTCATCACATAACACGAGATACCTATGAACAAGTATGATCATAGTCTGAAACAAAATGACAACAAAAAAACTGGAATCTCTTTTCAACCAAACGCAGATCACAAAAAGCAGCGCATCTGTCCGCTATAAACGACAACTGCATAACTGGAAAATCAATTATATTTGTAATTCCTCTTCTATTTTTTTGTTAGTCTTATTTGAAGTTTACGCAACCAGTTTTTCTGTAGAAAAAGTTTTCAATGCAGAAATATGATTAAAAAATCTGAATTCTCAAATAAATCTCTCGAGTCTGTTCTGTTAACTAGAATTTACAATTTTTATTCTTATTTATATTAAAAAACTTGTATGAGACAAAATGACATCAATTATCGTTTCTTCCAAGTGAATTTTCTACGTGCACCTTCTTGTCCAGGCTTCTTTCTTTCTCGTCTACGATAATCTTTCTGAAGCAGTCCAGCTTTTAAGGGGGAAAAATGTAAAATGAATAATTTTTTTTAATATTTTCTTATATCTTACCAAGTCTCATTCTGTCAACTGTCTCTGAATCAACAAAGCTTCTCAATCCCATGGAAATTCCGTAACGAATGGCACCAGCCTTTCCTGACTCTCCACCAAATTTTACGTGTGCCTCAACGTCAACCTTTCCTAACATATCGCTAAATATCAATGGATACAAAATCTTTTGGTTTTTTCGTCGAATAAAAATAAAACAAAGAAGAAAAATTAGGTAAATTATGATCGTAATTTACTCATAAAAATAAATATCTTGCGCAAAAGGAGCTGAGAAGAATGTTTATTCGTTTCTTAACAAGAAACTCTTGAAGTAAAAGTTTTCGTTCTTATCGTTTTCGAAACAATTACTGCATGATAATTTAAACTATCTAATTAGAGATAATTATTATAAGCTGATATAAATGTTACCTTAAGTTAGTTAAATCACAATTGGAAGATTACTTTTGCTTCTTTTTTAATTTAAATTTAAACATTCTATGCAGACTAAAATTTATTTCTCAAATTTTATATCACCAGAAATTGATACAAAACCTAACTAGGTAGGTGATAAGAGTTGAAGGATTTTTTACAACTTTGAAGTTTAATTATAATATTTTTAGTTTACTTTATGAATTAAATATTTTATTTATTGAATCTTTGGATTTTTAATCAGCGAATATGTTGTTGGAGTGATAAAAATGTTTGCAAAAGTTCTTCAGAATTTTGAAGAATGGAGAATGTTGATAGGAAGTTTACTGTTGCTCTGTAGATAATTGTTGTAATTCTATTGTCTTCGTTGACATTAACTGTATTAATCGTTCAATTAATGTTCTATCTTGACCAATAACATTCTTAAGTTCGCGAATTTCATTCGATAATTGGTCAATTTTTTCGGCGTTCTCTTCGATTTTATTCGTTAAAGTGCACAAACTTTCAGTTTCAAAATAATCGGAATCAACCGAACGATCCATTAGAGCATTTGAACTGTTATTCTCCAATTTATTCTTATAGGTGAAATACGAGATTGTAGAGTTTTTAACTGACACTGTGTTTCCAGTATGCTTCTTCGTCCTTGCTTTCTCGTATGCCGACATGAGAATGTGACGTGGCAAACGTTTTTCACCGGGATTTAAGGGACGCACACTCAACACAACACGATATGCTTGCGGCGACACAAGGGCTGTGTAGTGCAACAAACTACGCAACCAATTCGGCAACCATCCGTTGAACAATGCCGATTCAATGTAGGATATGAGTTGAGTTTGTCTCACGAGTTTTGATAAATCAGCTGTTTTTCTTAGTCCCTGAATATCGTTGACTGCTATACCGACTAATAAATTCATCAGCACTACGGTCACAAACATTACGAAGAGAACGAATGTTACTTGTGCACTCACTTCGAGGAAAAAAGGTGGATCTTTGCCATCGGGATCGTTAACAAGAATTGAAACATCATTTTCGCCGGTCATCATTACTAGAACTGTTATGAATCCCATGAATGGATTCGCGAAGGCTGACGATGATGGAAAAATTACACAAAAACTAATTGTGAAGCCAATCAGCATACATGAATAAGCAGCAAATAATTTTGCGAATTCTTTTTGAACTTTTGTGTACATGGCAACATAAGCGCCGAGTGCTGGCAATTGTCCAATCATCAGCATCAAATTGGTCCAACCAAGTAGCACAGCGAATGCACCGATATGGTTCTGCCATGTGTAGGTTCTATCAGTGTAAACATGAGAGATGACGAACACGCTGCAAATGACAAACCACTCAATAATATTCTCGATTTGACGTATGTAATATTTAAATGATGAATAACCGGTGATCCCATAGAATTTTCGGAATACTTCAATCATTGTTATAGCAACAAGAACCCACCTAATAACAGCAGATAGAGGAGACACATAAAAAAGATTCATTGTAAAACGTTTTAAATTGAATTCAGTTTCAATCCAGTGATTTTCAAAAGCCGGTAAAAAAAGTTACGATTGTTGCTGCAAAAATTATTTAATCACGTGTCACTTAATTAATGACATTGAACTTATTTTCTTTAGTTGCTTAAACATCTCTCATTAAATTCTTTACTTTATCATCCAATAAAAAAAAAAGTAAATTCTTTTGTAGCTTTAAAAATCGTAAATTCTAATACGAACCAAATCAAAAACCACAAAGAATGTCATAAATTTACCATTGCATATCCATGACGAATGGATTATTGCGCAACAAATCACCCAGAATGGATTGCTTTTGACATAATTCCTGTTCTTGAATTGTTTCTTCCATTTCTTTGCTTCCATTGTAACAATTGTGTGCAAGAGCAGTGAGAACGTAGAGTGTCAAAAATAAAACAAACGTAAAGCAGAATAGAAGTCGAGCGATATAATATTTGCGTATTTTTCCCCACTTAATGTAGAGAAACGCAGAGCAAAGCGGATGCTGCAATATTTCTTTGTTTCCTTCATCAACAAATGTGTTCAAGTAGCTGATCTCGCGTGGGTGGCAATGTTGTAAGATGCTGCGAAAGTCAAGTTCAAGTTCAACCTCTCGATTTGAATTTTCTTGTGAATGAGTTAATGTAATCGCTTCATCAAATATTTGATTGACCATTGCAAGTGAAGCGGGAGTCTTACGGTTAATAACATTTAATGCAGTTGTTCCTTTCCTTGATTTAGTGCTTACATCTGCCCCATGGTAAATCAACATTTCTACACAATGTGCGAGACTATCTAAGGCAGCTAAATGTAGCGCTGTGAAGCCATAAACATCCTTTGCATTCACGTTAGCACCCCAAGATATTAAAGTCTCTAAAATATCAAAAGCCGAATCAGATTTTCCAACGGCAGCATGAAGTGGCGTACGATGATCAAAGTCTTCAGCATTTGGATCAGCATTTCCATCACGCAAAAGTACCTCAACAACTTCAAGACTTGAAGTTCTTGCAGCAAGATGAAGTGGTGTTAATCCACGATGATTTTTCACCTTAGCATCAGCGCCTTTTGAAAGCAACAATGAGACGCATTCAACATTGCCATCATCAGCTGCCAAATGGAGTGCTGTTGACTCTTTTTCGCGAATGCAGATTCTAATGTTGGGATCAGCTTTCGGTGCATTTAAAAGAACTTCCAAACATTGAATTTGTCCAAGATCAGCTGCCAAATGAATTGCGTTTGTTCCATTTGATCGAAGCTGATTAACATCACAACCTTCTTCAATGAAAAGCTTTAAACATTGAACAGAATTCGCGCGAACTGCACAATGCAGTAAAGATTCGTCAGGGCTTGGCTTTGCTGTGTTATTATTATTTCCATTGATAACTTTTGCTCCATTATTTATGAGCATCTTTGCAGTATCCGGCGAGTTACCAAAGGCTGCGAAGTGAAGTGGTGTAAAACATTTCGTGTGATAATTCACATCAATTCTACGACTTAATAAAAAGCTAACACTTGATAAACAACCGCTAAATGCAGCTAAATGTATTGCCGTGTAGCCATTTTGATCACAAAAATGTATATCAGCTCCAACTTTTATAACTAGCTCGAGAAGATCCCAACGCTTTACAAAGGCACACCATAAATATAAAATATTCTTCTCCATTTTACTTGTTTCCGCTAACGTCTCAGCACAATTCTCAACCACAATATTTCCTTGTTCGATATCTTCCAGAAGATTCAAGTCACCATTTTTTCCTAACGCCTTTAATTGATCCACCAAATTATTTCTAATCAACTCACGACTAATTTGAATGCTTAAATCTGTCGTCGGTTCTTCGAAACTGTCGTACATTGTGCTCGGCGCACTTTCTGCGGGAGGTGACGGGCCAACTTCCATGTATTCAAAGTCTTCAGAAGGAAATTCTTCTTCAATCATTGCTTCAGGATCTTGACGCCATCGTACCATCGAGGCTGCTGCTGCGTTTTTGAACCTGCTCGACAAGTTAATGATATATTTCTGTTTCTATTTCATCACAAAATGATTTGTGTGACATGCAATATTGTTAATCAGTTTACAGTGAGCTCTTCAACAAATAAATATTTCCGTTGTAAACTTTTTCAACTTTTTAACATTATTCAGACCACACTGTTGTTGATTTGATAAGGTATGCTAATTAAATAAACAAAAACAGAATAACTACCTTGGGGATAATGAAAGCGGTAGAGCTTCATTTTCAACAATACTCGCTCGAACACGACTCATCCGACGTTTGCTTGGAATTTTTGGCTTCGTTGAGCCTTCTTTGTAGCCAAGATTTTCCATTATTTGCTTATGAAATTTCACTCGTTTATGAAAAACTTATTATGTTTCAAATGCAAGGAAACATCTTTTACTAGATTTTATTTTCTTTTATCTTTAAGTTCATTTTTATCTCAGTTTTCGCTCTTTTACTATTCACTCTGGCATGTCAATAAATCAAGTAAAATGTAAACTTAAGCGCTTTTGTGCGATAAAAATTTGTATTATTTGATTTTCTTATTCTTATTAAATTCTTAAATTGCTCTTTCAAACGTCAAACATTGAAACTTTTATTAATTTTGTTTTTTTTATGATTCGACATATCTTTTCTCTCATTTGGTGGCTGTGAAAGTGTAAATCAAGGAATTGATTTGCATAACAAATTGGATAGATCTGAAACTTTTGAAAAATAAAGATATCAACGTTGAAGTATCAGTGAATTAATCACACGTTTGCAAAATGATCATTAGAAAAACAACACCGGAAAGATGACTGGTGAGTTAATGTGAACAGCCACAAAACAATTGAAATATGTATTGATTCCTATCAAACGATTAAAAACTTTTCGTTGTCGTTAATTCACTAAAATATTTTTTTTTTAACTGAACACTTTTAAATTGAAGCTATTTGAGTTATTTGCACAGTCTAGTGTCCATTAAAATTTTTTGTTTTTTAGTTTTTGTTAACAATTTTACCAAGTAGATAATTCACTTTGAACTTGAATTTAATAAAATTCTTAAAGAATTTAAAAAAAATTACGTTGCTGAATCAATTCAAGTACAAGCACACTGATCGAGGTACAAGTAACGACTGAATTAAGTCACAATTGAAATTAAAAAAAAAAGAATAGTAGTAATAATAAAGAGAATATAGTCGCATTGTACACAGCAATAAGTGTATCCACTTTATATTATTTATCACGAAAAGAAATGACGAGAGACGTCTACAGTGAATTATCGTACTCGAATGTTCATAATTTTGTTGCTCGTACATAGCATGTAGTTATGTATACAAATAATTAAATAGAATTAGGCATCATTAAGATTTTTTATATGCTTATGTACTGTAAAAAAATAAAATCTCTTCATCATTTTTTTGTTAGACGCTAATGACATCGAGACTGTCTACAGATAATCATTCTCGACTGTGATAAGATCACATCCAGTTGAAATTGTGATAAATAGTTTAAATAGATTCATAAATCAAATAAACTAATGTGACATAGCCTATAAAGAATATTTTAATTACAGATTACAGCGGTGCATCATTTCATTGTAGTACAAAAAAAAATTCAATGCACTACCGAAAGATTTAATCGCGTTTTTCACAATTGAAAAGTCATGCAAATTTTAATTTTATTTTATCATCGCACATAAATTTTCATCATTAGAAAGAATCATATGAATGGAGTTTGCATACTTATCTAAACATTGTCAATGTCAACTGACTTTTGACGTAACATTTTCTTCTTTTTTTTCAATCACTCCATCAGGAAAGGCATTGAAAATAAAGAGTTAGATTAAACGTTAAATATGACAATGATTAATCAGATAGAGTTGGATTAACATTCACATTTTTAACTGTAACTCATGTGAATTATTTTTAATGTTTCATTCAATTTCATAACAATGATATTCATTGTTATCAATATCTTTTCAGCTCCATTGCAACTTTAATACATAGAAAAAAATCAATTTAAATGAATAAACAGTAACTCACCTGTTCGCGAGCTTGATCGTATTCGAAGAAAGTTATCGGCTCACCATTAATGCTGATTTTACCAGTACCTGGAGCTCTAATTGTGACATGGCCTCTTGCACTTTTTCTACAACATCCTAAGAAATGTTTGAGTTTTAATGAAGTTAGAAAAGAAAGTAAGAAAAAAAATGTACCGTAAACTGTTATATAGCTTCGTCCAGATTCGTCTACTTTAGGCTTAGGAACATTCAAAGTAATACTTTGATTTGTTATTGGTCGTCGATAAATATCCATAAAGTCTTTATGACGATAAGAGTAAGGATGGTTTCCAAGTCGAACCATTGCATTTACAAAATTATCATATTCAATTGGTTTTATCGTTTCCATTAATTTCAATTCCAATTGCTCTTGAGTCAACCATTGGGTGCTTGAAAGATCCAATTGAAGAGAAGGATCTGCTGCTTTCTGCTGACGAATCATACGATCCTCGAAATTGTTACAATCATTAGTACAGGCAACAATATTGTGGAGGAGTTGGAAAAAGTTAGGTTTTCCTGTATAAAACAAACTATGGAAAGGCCGACCAGCTTCATCAAACTCAGCGGCTTTTCTTTGTGGAAAAATTTCCTCTGGTGGTTTCATCATTGGTCTTGCTCGTTTTTCATAGAGTGCTGATGGAAAAAGATAACGAATCGCTTCCTAAAAAATATTGTACTTAAAGTTTTCTACCATTATTTTAAATTTTAATGATACTTACATCAATTTTTTCCTGACTATCAAAATTTTCTGGAGGTTCACCCATCATGTTTGCTAAATGCCGCTTTCCTATTTCAAATTCATGTTGTTGCTGTTTCATGAAGAGATCATGTTCACGGGACCGTTCTAAATAAGCCTTCATAGCTTTGCTAGTTTTTTCCTTTTTCAGGAATGTTGATGGGTCCACACTTTCAGAACTCGTTGCAGATCCATAATTAGCCTTTGTTATAAGTATAAGTTTTAAGTTTTAAAATTATATGCTAATGAACAAGTAATATCTGCATAAATTATTACCTGGATCACTAAGAATCTTGCTATTTTCCAATTATTTGTATAAAGCTTCAGTGAGTTCAGCATGTTTTGGATTATTTGGCTCACCAACACACTTAAATTTGAGAAGCACTATAACAGCAATTTAAAAATTTAAAATACGTTAAACATTACTAACATTACATTCGATCCAAAAAATTTATTGTCTTAAATGTGATCTGTAATTTTGAGTTTAATGTTTTTAATTAAAGTAGTCAAAAACTGAAGTCAACACATTTTATTGATATCAACAAATAAAATACGTATATAAGTATCTACTTAAGCATAATGTTATTTATCGTAGTAGGAGGTACTACTGTAGCTTTTACTCCATAAAACTAAAAAAATGTTCGCCAAACTTCTCTCTCATGATAAGAAGAGAAAAATAACATCAGCAATATTCAACAAATGTTTATGTAAAATGAAGTAAAATGTGACGATCTTTCTCTCTTTCTTCATATGTCCTCAATAATGTGTCATATTATCGTCAACTCGAATCAATGCTGGTATTTTTATGTCCCTGATGGAGGAATAATAAAATTTGGATATTGAATAATCAAGACATACTATGTACCTAATTAGAACACAAATTGAATTTTGTATTAAATGTAAGAAAAATTATTAATATGTATAATTGCAAATCTAATGAATTGTTGCTCTAGAAGTCACTGTTAATTATTTAAGAATGTACTTATGAAATAGAATGAGAAATTCAGACAATAATCGCCGGTGAGAAAAAAATCTATCTTTATTGATATTTTAAAATATCTATGCTCATGAAATTAAAAAGTCACGAAGTGATTTGTTTTTTTATTTTTATTATTATTGATGATAGCTTTTTAATCGAAATAAATTCTCAGATATTCTCGAATTATGACATTTTTATTTATATTAAAATGTGATTTTTATTTGAGTAAACGTTCGAGCGCGATATGGCATTAAAATTATCATCATCATCATCACAATTTGGATGTTGAACGAGATTGGCGAGTGAACACGTATGAAAATGGTATGACACCCGTCGAGTGGCGCTTAAAACATCACATTAAGACTTAAACCTTTCATATTAAAATTATTTACGGCAATTCTAAGCAAATCCAATGAATTGGAAAAAAACGAATAAATGAGCGATGAATTTGTTTACCTTTTTTTATTTATTTTTGTTTATTTTTGTTTGGCCTACCGAATTGCTTAATTTATTGAGAAAACTTCTCTATCTGAATTTAAACAAATTATTTGAAGATGTATGAAAAAATCAAATAAAAACAGAGAAGAAGATTAACGCTAAATTTTTACGGATTTCTAATTGATTTTAATACTGATCGTGGGACATTTTTTGTAGCTTACAATTCTTGCTCAGGAGTCATAATCACGCTTATTCATTATGCATGCAAATATTTTTTGCAAAATTTATTCTCCTACGAATCTTCAAGGAAAAGAAAACAAAACATTTCAAGCTGGTGAATAAGATAAGTAAAAGTAGAAAATAAAATTCGCAGATAATTCAGGTAAAATTGTTTTATTATTCTCACCAACGTTGTATGAAAACGTTGACGAAAGTTTAATATTTAGACTTTTTTCGGTTTGTGTGATTCCAAAACATTTTCACACAAAATTGTAAATGTAAATTTTAATTATTTTATATTCTCCAATTTACATAATATTGGTTATCATAAATCTATGTTTGCTGACTTGATCATTTTTTATTATCCGTCCACGTTCTTCTTAAAGGTAATGTTTACATATAAGTTTATGTATTTATAAGTAACTTTCCTCAATAAACATGAAGATTTAAAAACATATTATTCTTTGAGATGAATATCATAGATACTAGTTTAAGATTATTAATGTAAACATATAAAGTGAAATAAAGCATAATTGCAAAAGAAACGGAAAACAACAAGAAATCTGATGTGTTAATAAATGTTTCCGTTTTCTACTTCGTCATAATCGGAACGACACCCATAGCGCTTCAATAATCTCAGCTTCCATTTTTTCGTGAATTCAACCAAAAACTTCGAAACAAATCAGATAATAATTCACACCAATTTTCAACAACTTAATAATGTGAAGCAGTGATTTGAATAAATCTGAAATATTTATTATCTTATTAATATTATTCTCATCGTTTTCATATTCGTTAGCTTTGACTGTGCGATCCAAAAGCAACGAAAAAACGAAATCCCATATTTTCCCGTAATAAAAATCATCGTAAAATAAATCCTATTATCACTTTAAACGCTTAAGACTGTTGACTGCACTTTGAAAGGAGGAATAAAAATTGTCACTCGATCACTGAGAAGCAAGAAAATGAATGAAATTAAAACGAGAAGTTGCAATTTTGTGGCATTAGAAGTGCAAATTGCTTGATCGCTCGCCTTGAAGAGTTCATAAAAAAAGCTAAAACGAATGCATTTCATTTACACAATGCTTGCTAATGTCATGCACATAAGTGAGAGGTGAGCAAAATCACATAAGAATACCAAATCACATGCGATTTAAAATGCAAAACTTTTTTTTCATATTTTATTCCCTCTTCTCTATTGATGCCAAGAGTTCTGTTCACAGCAGAACGAAAGGATTAAGCACGAAACTTAAATGAAGAAATAAATTTAATCTCTACTGAAGACGAAGGGTATTGAATAGGTTTAGAAATAAATGGATCGAAATTTTTCTACTAAAACTCTTCGAGCGCAAAAGACTTTAATGCATTACAGTGATGGAAACCCAATTTTTCTGTCTCTTATTTGATGCCACATTTTCTCTTCGCTTATGTCTGTGCACATCAGGCTGTTTATTTGAAGTAGGAAAAGCAAGATAGCAGCAGCAGATATTTTTTTGTTGTAAATATAAAAAAGCGTCTTAAAGAGAATCAACTTAAAGATGTTTTTTACATTTGCCTTTCATTATTGACGTTACGGAAACATCTGCTTTTATAAACCATTGTAGAGTATAAGAAATACAGGTGGTATGAGAACGAAACTCAGTCAACTCTTTCTTCTTTAAACTTACTTATGATGCTTCACTGCCACACATATTTCCCCCAAAAAAAAAAGCTGAAATCGACAAACTGCGAAACGGAACCAACTTCTTAACCCATTTAATGAAGACTGAAATTATAATGAACAAAATTCATCTCATTGATGGAATTCAAAGTTAATCAAGCAATAAAAATACACAAATCAATTAAATATTATTTTTAAATTTTTATTCTTAATCATTTTTCATATTTTTTGTCTTTTTAACTTGTTCAAAAAAGGACAAGAAATGGTTTTCGTATAAGTATAATTTGTTAAGTTAGTTTCTAGTCACAATCCTTTGCTCTTTTACATTTATTCACATCGGTTATTTTTTGATCATTCTTTAATATTTTTTAAATAAGGGACAGTTGTTTGTTCATTCCTTCTTTCTTCCTTTAATTTTATGACTCAATCAAGCACAAAAAAATTTATACGTAATAATGCCAGCAGAAGTTTGAGTTTAATATTTAAAAAAAGATGCATTTTTGGACATGTGCAGTCCAAAAAAACTCGGTGAGAAAAAAAAACACGTAAAGCAACACAATGACACGTGATGTTTCTGATAGCAAACTCAAATGGATATAAAATATTAGCGAGAATCAATGCTCCAGAATTGGAAGGGAAAACATATATTTTATGTTTATGTTGTTTCATGCTGTGTTATCTATTATAAAACATGTATTAAAATTGTGGCATGGACCAATAATTCAAAATCCTCATGACAACGTTGCAATTGTTTCTGTTCAAATTGTTTATTGTGAATGCACTCATTTTTTACCGCAAGAAAAATGCTTATAAAAACCATTTTATCTCTCTTATAAAATCGATCACAATTGTTTATTGTATTAAATAAAACAAAGTTTTGTTCCTTATATTTACTTGCTAGTGTTTTTCATATATAAAAATTGCTCATGGTTTTTTATTTAAGTTTTTGATTTTTCTTCTCTTTTCAAAAAAAATGAAAAAATTGTCGCTTGTTGGTAAATTGCTCGTTTACAGAAAAAAAGTTAAACAAGCTGTAGGCTGGCCAAACTATAACAAAGCACATCATTTTTCTTAACTTGTATTAACCTGAACAAGATGCCACAAATGAGCTAGATTTAAGAATTGAGAACGAAAGCTCGTAATGGTCTATAATTTATGTTTGCCTTCTCTCAGCATCCAAAAATTTTCAAAACTGTCGTGTAAATAAACTCTAAAGTTTCTCTTTTCTGCACAGCAGAAATTTCTTTCAAACTTTCATAGAGAAAAAAGTTTGCTTTTTTATTCAATTCAGTTTTTCATTCCGGAACATTCAAAGGAGAAAAATGTTGAAGATTAAACGCTTACGCTATCAGTGAAAAAATTTAAGTACAAAATGTTCTCGTTGCGCAATGTGAAAACACAATTTTCGTTCTCTCGGTGTCTTAATTTTAACTGTAAAAGTTTGAAACATTTAACTGGCAATTGTTCAAGATAATTAGTTGCTCGTTTGCAAGTTCATGGGCAATGTATCAGTTTCGCAAGATTAAGTCAAGAGGAAAGATGTTGCGTGAAAGTTTCTCGACAACAATGCATTATGTAGTCATCGTTCCTTGTTTCAGTATCAAAATTTTGTTATCTTTTCAAAGATTCACGTGAACGAACCGTTCTTACATCTTTTTTATTTTTGGCTAAATGTTATTTGAAATTCCTTTTTTTGTCTCAAAAATAAATGCTTCATAATTACAATTTTAAAACTTTTAACTTTCTGTATTCATTAAACTTTTCTTGTTTATTTCTTTGACTGAATAAAAACATATTCAACATGAATTGAATTGCAATAAAAAAAAGTTAAAATAATTAGAAATAAATGAGAATACAAAGAAAAGCACAAGAATTAAAAATTCACAAAATATAAAATCGAATGCAAGCATAATATTTAATTACATGATTTAATAATTCCTATTTGTCTAACACTTTAAAAAAGGAGAATTTGAAGAAGTTCCTTCTTTCATGCTTACATATATGTACATACATATATATTTATGTTTCATGTTTCATCTCATGTATGCATAACTTAACTTATGAAAAAAATACACATTTTTAGCTACAATTAGATTAATTAATTGTATGTTTATCTTATGAAGAAGAAAACAAAAATATAAAAAAGTCTTTTCGGGATTGTTTAAAAATTGGGGTTTCCATGGGATCATAAGAAAATTCAGAGATTTTTTTGTATAAGAAAGCAAGCAAACGAGCGAGCGACTGTGAAGCTCAATTTCATGATGTTTAAGAAACAAATATTTTGAATATATGAACTGTAAAGAGCTCAGCCCCCACTAAATTATCTTGATCCCTCTATAATTATTCTATGAATCACTATACTTCAATTGTTAAGGCCCCAACCTTACTATTTCACTACCTAGTTTCACTCGTTCTCTTCGTGCGTTTTCTTCATGTTGGTACCTTAACAAAAGCCTCCGCAACATTTCGGAAATCAGATTTCATAAATACTATTTACAGCTAGGTGAAATCATGATTCGGTTTTCGGAAACTTTTCTTTTGCTGTTGATGATTATGATGTTGTTTTTGTTGTTGTTGATTTCAATCGATATACATATCATGAGAAACGCGTGTAGATGAAGAGATGAAAAAGTTTGATGGCTCATCGAAGGCATCTTTTTCAGTCTTCATCTCTCTTCATCAAATTAATTAAATCAAATGATATGTATAAAAAGAGAAAAACGTTCGTTCTAATTTCAATTCAACATTCTCAAGAGAAGAAATATTGAAATATGTGTAAATACATATAACTATATACATATATTACAGCATCGTTCTGTCTTCTCGCTTGTTTCCTTCCACTTATACATCGCCTGTATCTCTTTTTTCTTTTTTTTCAAGAAATTCCAAAATTAGATTAATAATAAAAATAGATTTTTATGAGAATATTTCTTTCTTTTCATTTCGAGATTCCTTTACTTCTGAAATTGATGTTCAATTGCTTTTTCGAAGGCCGAAAGTTCTTCGATTCACGAAATCGAAATGAACACGAATCAAATGAATATATCAGAAAAGTGTCATAAGTTAAAATCATAAATTGAAACTTTTAAAGAATCCCAGGGTAAAGCGTATCTTTCTTTTCTTTTTTTTTGTATTTCAATAATAAAATCAGAATTTACTGGCTGCTTAAGTGATCTTTTTGTTCTTCTCCCTTTCTTAATCGGCGTTGTTTGCTTCAATCTTTTGTCTTCTTCTTCTTCTTATTTTTTCTTCTTTTTCTTTAGCATTATTTGGTGCTCTTTTTTTTCGTTCTTACTTTGAGATCGTCGTTTAATCATAGTCACAAAAAAAATTGAAATAAGAAGATGAATTTAAAGTCACGTTTTCTTCAACATTTGTTCTTTTAAAAATCTATTAATCAAGCTAACCAGATGCCTTTTTGCAATCAGAACTGTCCGATTCACTTAGTAAAAGTTTAGAACAGTCATTCCGGCTTTTGTATGGAATCATTTTACGTCGTGACACATCTCATCTGGTTAGCTTATAAATTTATAAAAAAGAAATTAAAATTTTCGCTTTTGAACGACTACTTGGGAGAGATACGAGACGTGCGATCCGACGTTTATTTGAGTGAAAAAAAGAGTTGTTAAATATGTGGCGGACTACATCTGTCCAATAACCGACTAGTGTTAGCGTGGTTGTTCCCACTCCATGATGAGGCTTCAGCAAGCACTGATATTCTCTTATCAAGCGCTAACTCTTTAGGATGTCGTTGCATAATTAACGATGCACGATTCACAACAGCTGGATCTGTGTTCAGCTGCTTTTGACTTTTAGCCCTCTGAAGGCTTTCAGGAACAACTAACGATGATTGATATGCATCAGCTCCGAGTAAAACCTGACTTGTGTTGGCACCCGATACTGATGTATTATCACTGAAATTCGTCATAGTGCCATACATGCTGGTGTTCAACATGCAGCCATCGTCCATAGTGATGGAGTTTGTCATCATGTTATTAACGCTTTTATCCCAAGTATTCTTAATCATATGATGCGTTGAGTTATCTAAAGCCATGGCGCTGTTTGATGATCGCTTCACAGCGACAATTGAATTGTGATGATGTTGATGTAAGTGAGTGATGCAAGATGCATTCTGTTCATTTTGTTTACGAGCTGCTGCATCGTCCTTTTCTTGTTCACGCTTTCGTTTTCTTTTCATGCAAATGGCAACTGCAATACCACAAATAGCGATGAATGGAACAGCAACTGATAGAACAGCGATGAGTGCAATTTGACTGCTGCTCAAGTTGTCATTACGACTTCTAATCTGAGCTTCTTGATAACTTGAAGTCGATGCTTGAAGTAAACGATTCGTCTGCTCATCACAATTAACACCTTGGAAGCCATCAGTGCAATGACATTCATAGCTGTTGACACGATTGAAGCAAGTTGCGCCATTCTTGCAAGGTGCTGACTGACACTCATCAATATCAACACTGCAATCAATACCAGTAAAACCACTTCGACACAAACATTCAAATCCATTTTTCATGTTCAAGCAACTGCCACCATTTGCACATGGCTTTGCTAAACAGAAGTCAACACGCTTCTCGCAAATACCGCCCGTATAGCCGGCTGTACATTTGCATTGATATTGATTAATGCCATCAATGCATGAGCCACCGTTCTTACATGGACTTCCATGACAATCATCGATATTTTCTTCGCAATTTGATCCTTCAAAGCCTTTAGCGCAATGACATTGATACTGATTGCCTCGAATCGATGAACATTTGCCGCCATTTAAGCATGGATTTGGACTACAATTTTGGACTTGAAGCTCGCAATTTCTTCCACCATATCCAGCTCCACAATCACACTTAAAGCCTTGACTAGAATCACGACAACTGCCACCGTGAAGACACGGTTTGCTTGCGCACGTCACGGTTTGCGTCTCACAGTGCTTTCCAATCCAACCGTATCGACATTGACAAGTGTAGTCATTATGAAAGTCGTTGGTATCATCAGAACATGTGCCGTTGTTCAGACAAGGATTTATGGAACAATTCTTAACTTTAATTTCGCAGTCGGTTCCAAGAAAGCCAGGTGGACATTTGCACGTGTAGGAACCTTGGCCGGTGTTTGAGCAAGTACCGCCGTTGTGACAAGGTTTGTGATTCGTACAAAAATTGAGATCTTGATTGCAGAACAACCCACCCCAGCCTTCTTTACAAAGACATTCCCATTTTGTCGTACAGGTTCCATGCACACATCCTGGATACACTTCACACTCGTCACAATTCGGTCCCCTGTATCCGCTTTTGCATCTGTTGATGGAAGAACGAAAAAAAAGGAAAAATTAAAATGAGATAATTAACATTATGAATATTTAAGACAAACGGAAGAATCAACACTTACATGCATTCGTTGGGCTTATGGCAATGTCCATTCTTCAAGTTGCAGCCAACTGAACAGCGAGCTGGAAAGGAAAAGAAAAGGAAAATAAATTAAAAAGGTAAAAATAGGATTTCATTTATTTATTGGCAAATGAAGAAGATCTTAAAGATGTTTGTTCGACATACAAACTTGGAAACTTCTCAGTTTTCCTTCTTTTGGCAAATATTTAGGATCAGAAAGCAGACTGTTAATATCCGATTTCCGAGGATGAAGCGAAATAAAATACTTTGAGACAACAACAAGGCACACGGAAAGAAATATTAAGTTTTTAAGAATAATCTTTTTCAGGGATCCTGTTTGCATTCAACAGATGCTAAGCAGGAGAAGCAACAGTGGAACAACACATTGCGGAAATAAATATAAAAAAAAATCTTTTTCGACATTTTTCTTAGTTTTGTTTTTCGGGGCAGGATTTGAATGTCGGGCTCGATGCTTGTTATTTTTGCTCCCTTCTCCTCTTCGTCTTCCTTCCATCTTTCAAACAGCGCTTGCACATTCAACAAATGGTCTCTTTCTCTCTCTGTCTCTCATTTTCCTTCCTTCGAAGGTGAAACTGGATAACATTTGTACTTTATCATGAGAATCTGTCGTTTCTATCTGCATAAGCAACTGTTGCTTTTTTGAATTATTTTTTAGTTCTTTTTTTGTAGATTTTTCATTATTATTTTGATCTAGATCATCTGCTGCCTGTTGCCATTCTCTATCTGTTGCACATTTCTTTTAAGGCCCTTCAACATTCTACACATTTACATATATGCAAGCACGCGATCTTTGAAATTCATTCAAATGATTTTTTTATTTCTTTTAATGGAATTAAATTGTCACTTTTCTGATCCATCTAAAAACATTCATTCAGTAAGAAAGTTTAACAACTTTTTCAACGAGAAGTTTTGAGACATTTATAACTTAATACTATTAAGTCATACACATGTAAGAGCAGCAAGAAAAACTAAAACTTGTTTCAATAGTTAGCCAATTTGAAGTAAAGATTGATATTTAAATTTAAACGATTGTTTTCATTTCATTCATCGTGTGGCTTTTCTATTTAATAGCAGCAAAACAAAATGAAACAGTAAAAAGCCAACAAAACTGTTGATCATCAGAGTAAGATAAAAGTGAAGAAAGCACTTACGTTCCGTGCAGTATTCGCCTTGCCAACCGGAAAGACATATTTTTTGACCACTGGCTGAGCAAGCGATGTGCCCGAAATTATCGTCACGCTCGCGACAAAGCGTTCCACATCCAGATCCATAATAGTTAGCGGCACACGTCACACGATATTCAAACTCAATCTCTTTCAGTAGATGTCTGCTTAAATATTGCGTCCAATTAGCTGATACTCCAAGTTCACCTTGTATCGAAAAGCGCGATATCAAAGATTCTGTAATGAAATGAAAGAAAACATTAATTTAATATTTTTATTATCCTATTCCGAAATTTTAAAATGTCGTGTTCAACTTATTACGATATTAAGAATAGTTCTTGCCAAAAGTAAAGTTTTCCTTAAAGATGATCATGAAAACAACCGAAAATATATTTTCATGAAAAAAATATGTTAAATGAAATGGCCTAAAATTCAAATTACACTAAACACATTTCGTTTCGTTTCCTTCTTCATTTCTCATCCGTAGTATCACATGGTTGTTTTTTATGCTTAAAAAATATTAAACTTATATATATTTATAATGTAATGAAACATCTGCTGACAACAGAAAAACGAGAAGCGAGGTAAGTGAGAGCGAACGAAAAAGTTTTATTTTCAAGATGTTCAGCATTTTACTCAAGAATGATTTTTGTTTTTAAAGCTTAATGTTTGATGCGAAAAGATTTCAGGAATGGTTTGAAACTTTCCAATAATTACCTAAGAGAACAAAAATTCTGAAAAAACAAAATTCATCTTGCAACATTCGACTCAAGTTGCTTTCTCACATTTACAGAATTTCTTAAAAGATCTCAGGTAGACAGAACTTTGTGACTATGCTGAACCTTTTTTTGCGTTTATTCTCCTACACGTCGTCCAAATACCATGCAGCTTATGTCTTCTCGAAAGGATCAAGAATATGATAAAGATTCTACTTTTACAAATGCTGTTTTGACTCAAAATAGAAAAAAAAAATCATTTCTCTTAAGACATAAAAGAAATTGAGATCTTTGAAAAGAATTTCTTGAAGTCTTGTCTTGTGTCGTAAACAGCAGCTACAAGATGCTTAAAATCTTAGAAAGATTTTCAATTCATGGTCTAAGAACTTTTTAGAGACATTAAAATTTACTCATCATGACGACGAAGAAGAATTAGAAAAATCATCGAGCAATTTCCTACTTCCATCAGATTCATTAGACTTGCTTAGATACACAACATTAAGCAGCCCGCGTCTCGTCTCCGCAAACCGCACAGGTTTAAGTCTTAAGGCATAGCATGGCACGGTTTGTGGATTGAGGCGAGAAGAAAAAAAAATTATTGTAGAAAAATTCACGCTTAAATGCTATAAATGATCTCATAGCACCGAAACAAAAGTTTCCAACCAAAAAATGTTATAAATAAATACAAATATAGTTAAAACGAACTGGCGGAAGAAAAAGAAACAAAAAAGATATCTAAGACGCTAAGCAAACGACTCAGATCATCATCGCTCGTTAAGACAAGAGGAATGCAAATGATTTTTTGTTTAATTTTATTATTCAGATAATTTGAATGTTTATCTAAGAATATAACCGTGGAAATGCTAACCAATAATGATGATTACTAATACGTTCAGTTGTGCTCGCTCTTCACTCTCACTCATGCATCGTCTCGTCTGTGCCTAAGAAGCATGAAAAATCGCCTAACGACGAATGTCGTCAATATGAATAGGCAGGCAGGCAGGCATTCAATTATTTTTGTTCTGCTTTTTATATCATTCCCTACGCATGTGTTCTTCAAATCATCGAGCATTGAAATCACAACTCGCAACATCGAGCTTACTTCATAGATCTTTAGCAATCATGATTCATTCTCAGTCTGTTCTTTACTGTTGCCAGTATCTTCACGGCATGTGTGTAATCCCTCGTCATCATCAAAATCAAACGAAACGAGATATGTCTGTGTGTCTTAAAAGTTATTACCGAATTTCTTATCGAAATCCTTGGAAAATTAAACAACGATCATTAATATTCTTTCAAATGAAGAGGGCAAAAAAGAATTAGGCAAGACTGGTTGTAGATGTTGAATTCAATTCTTGTTTTTTTTTTATATTTTATTTCTTTTCCGAAAAAACAAATAAAAAGAGCCAAAGAAAACATCACACAAGAAACGTTTAGAAGATATGTTCATTTTATACAATGGTTAATTTAAAAAATGTTACTTCTAAATTGTGTCTTCATTTATATTTCTTTTCTTTACATTCATTTTCATAAAACACAAACAGCCTGTTTTGTGTGATATCCGAAGAAAATCTCCTCCACAAAATAGTTAAATCAAGCAATACTTCATTCCACCTACGTGTCATCTTTCATCAGAAAGAAGGAAAAAACAAACAACTGAGTGAGAAAGGCTCCTAAATGAGAATTTGTCACATAATCATCACTCATTCAAAAACTTAATAAAAAAAAAGAAACTCTTGAAGTAGCTGCTCATAGCTGACTTTCAGCGGATGTAAGAAGCAAAGTTTGTTTAAACTTATTAGGCGTTTGAGTGGAAGGTCAATCCCATAACAGAATAAAACACGAGACTCTAATCTAAATATTAATTTTCTATGCACAATCATCAAAACTGTAAATTCATCAAAGCTCATTTTTCGAAGGTGTTCTTTGAGTTTATATTTTTTATTGTGTTACTTGGAGATCATCATTACAACGTCGTCGTCGTCGTATGCAAGATGTAACGAAATATACCACGGGAGAAGATATATGAGTTTTTATTTTGATGTGAGCGTTGAAGAAATAAGAGACTTGTACACATTTTTAAAGCAGATTCTTGACCTCTTAGTCAGACCTGCATTCCTAACAACATGTTTTAAATATATGATTGCGAATCTTTGAATCATTTTTCAGCGACAAATCTTGTCTAATGATGAGTCGTCAAAAAATCGTTTTGTCATGATCATCGTCGTCAAATCTTCTCTTATTGATATTTAAAGACATGTCATGGATGCAAAAGTTTATATTGTTCTTGTATTTTTTTACCACTTCCGTTTTTTATTCCCGGAAGTAAAAAGAAGCACGAAGGGAGCGAGTAAATCAACGGAATACTTTACTAACACTCAACATATATAGATTCCATTAAAGTTTTTTTTTCTTCGAATTAATACCAGACCGGAAATTTAAAGAATTGCTTTTTTTGTTTTTGAGATTTTTTTTTTCAACTTCAACTCAACTTCCTTCATGAAAAATAAAAGCATGTTCATAAACGATGTAGTGTAAGATGAAAACGAAAAAAAAAGGAAAAAAACGATGGTTTTATCGTTATGTTGAATATGGGCGAAGGTATATAGTAGAAAGACGAAGACAAAAAAGAATAAGCCTCTTCTTTTCATATTAAACAAGTGGAACAATAACCGAACCAAAACGGAAGGGTTAGATTATTATGTATATTCTTTCATATTTCTCTTACCTTACGAACTTTATAACTCATTTCTCAAATTTTGTTCTTATGTTCGTACAGTTAAAACGACACATAACGTGAAGAAAGCAACGATTATGACTTTACTTGCTTTTGCAATGAATAAAAAGAATTGACTGAATGAATGATTCTTTTCAAGTTTGGTCTTCTTTCAAAGTTTTATGTCTGCTTTTATATCAAGTTTTAAAATTTATAAATTATTTGTGAAATAGAACAACTTATGAAAAGCAAGAATTAATCTTCACAAGAGAGAAAACAAAATAAAAATTGAACAACGACATTATAAAATTTATTCCTAAATAAAATTAGAAAAGTGGACATCTTGGAGACAAAAAAAAAACTAAAAGAAAGTATCAAATTTCTTTGATTATTTGTTGAAAGACGAAATTTGTTACTTTTTTTTTATTCTTTTATGGAAATATCGCAGCGGTGGTAAAGCATTTATTGACACTTACCCGTTGTAGCTGTTGTCGATATGCTTTCATTTGTGTCATGGTAAGCTTCAACGATTAGAGTGAATGGTCCCTGGAAAAAGATTAAAAATAAAAATTAATTAAATATTTCATTAAAATTATGCTTAAAAATAAATAAAAATTAAACTTTTAAGAGTCTAAATGGCGACTTGCACTTGACTTTTACCCGAAATTTAATGACTTCTTTTCAATTGAACATTCATAATGTTAACGTCAATGTCAAAAATCAGTCAAACGGCGTATTTAATCGATTCGAAAGTCTGGACCACTTCCGCTTTCTAACCAAAAACAAAGCACAACAGAAATCAGAATTGAAGAGAAATGAAATAAAGCCAAACAAGAATTATCGATAACATATTGTTTTCAAGTGCACACCCTACTGATTCCGATTTAATTACCTAATGGTTAGAAACCAATCTATAAAAACTTTTTAATTTTTAAATTAAACGCTCATTTAGATAGATGAGCATGAGTTAAAGGGAAAAGTCAGAAAAGCAGAAGAGGAAAGATATTCCAATTCAAATTTCAATTGCACACGTTTCTATGTTGAGCGTACGATGCTTGTTTAGAATTTCTCATTTGGAAATTTCTATGCTCCTCCGACTGGAGCGACCCGTGGCGCGGCAAGTAATCAGAAGTTGTCTTGCGCTATCGATACTTATACTTACATGAGTCAGTTGGATTGAAGTAAAGTGGAGGAAAAAGAACTAAAATTAAAGGAACGATCAGAGAGCGCACGATTTTTTCGCTCGACTTTGGAATTGAAAAAAGAAATACAACAAGCGCACAAGAAAGAGTTATAGATTGAAATATTAATTATTTTAACAGTTTTTCATCCACTTCAGCTTCATTCCATTCCGAAGCCGCATTTCGCAGAATGGTGAGATACTAAAATAACATTCCCAGAATGGGAAAAAGTCGATATAATAAAAACACTTTTCATTCTTTGCCTTTAAACAGAAGACAGCAGCGAAGAAAATGAAGATAGGGCCGTTAGCACAGAAAAGAAAATAACATAAACAGCCAAGTCAAGACATGCCATAAGCATATAAGTGATTTTCCATTCAAACGACACGCGCCAAAAACCAGAAAGTCATGATATTTATGTTCGTTTCTTTTTTTTGGAATTGTGATATGGACCCACATACAGAGTCAAAAATAAGAAAGAAAAAGCTATGAAAAGTACAACTGAAAATAACTTAAATGAATAGGGATGAGTTTGTCTTTCATTGAGATCATAATTTTTAATATTTCCTTCATAGCAAACGATTTTCAAATAGAGTCAAAGGGTTTTGAAAAATTATCTAAAATTACAATTTTTAGACAGAAAATAAATTAAAACCTTTAAAACATAGATTTTGGCTTCTTATTTTTCTTCATGGCTGTTAAAATGTTGAGCCGAAAAATATATAAAATTTATGAAGTCTCTCGCTTGAAAAAAATATTTTTTTGGCCGTCGTAAAACCTGAAACGGCAAAACAGCAGATGTTTTATAAAAACAACTACAAACAGAACTCTACATGAAATGCACAAAACGTCTCCTGTGCATCACGCACACTATAACAATGGCAGGGCTCAGCGTATTCCATTCATAATAAACGAAGGAATATTTTCAAAAAAGGTTCTCAAGAACGAAGAAAATGCAATTTGCAGCATATGGTTTCTTGTGTTTCTTGTGCTCTTCCCCAAAAGGAGCAGAAATCTCCAATGTCCGGCTTAATTTCTAAGCTTAGATCTTGCAAAGGATAATCAATTAATCTGAATAAATTAGAAATTCATTGAAATTATCAAACTATTAACAATGTTCAAAACATTTTCACAAAACGGAAGGTCAGTCTTTCATTCAAACTAGCTCCGTTCAACTCTTGACAAAACAAAGAGGCAGAAAGAAAACGAAAATTGAGCTGTCATTCTTTAAAATCTTGATAACTTCCGCTACAAAACCACGAAGAGAAATTGAAACCGTTCACGACTAAGTGCTTACCTTCAATGAAAATTTAAAACAATTAACTAAACGGTTATGAAATAAATTGAGGGATGTGGATGTTTAATAATGAAATTCGCAATTTTTATAACTTTTATGTCATCTTAAAAATCGGGGAGTTGAATTTAAATGATTAACATTAATAAGTGTATTTATGAATTAAATATAAATGAGATTTAACTGACTTTTTAGTAACGTGCCTAATACAATTGCATTGTTTTCTTACGTGAGTTGAGTAAACTCAAGAAAATGGTTCGAATTTGCATACAAAAGTGTGTAAGTAATTTTTGAACCACATTTTAAATTTAAATTCATGACTGGCATCATCAAGCTTTTTTGGGATATGAAAACATCATACGATATCTGAACAACATGTAATGAAATCGAATATATCGTTCAGATCTACAATCATTGCTTCTTCTTCCTTTTCTTGAAGCTATGGAATTGTTGATAAAGAAACAACTAAATAGTTAAACGTGGAACCACCATTGATGGTTATGGAGTGTTGTTCAACATGTTCATTATCCAATCTTACACATTTATTTTTAAAAAAGAGTTTTGATAAGTGTGTACATATTATGTACATTCTTTAAGTCAGCGTTATTTTTATTCCTTTTTATTTTTTCTTTCGCTGAGCTCTTGTCATTCTCATCACGATAATTGCATTGAATAAAAATGCATGAAAGAAAAAAAATAACTTGATTTGCAACAAAAACTCTCTCATCTCAACCTGCACTTGTTCAACGATCTGTATTTCAATTCCTTAACTATTCTTTTATATCTTTCACTCGTCTTCTTGCCGTTGTTCACCTGATGTTATATTCGTAGATGATATTCGAGAAGAGGGAAAGAAATCAGGCATCAATTTTTTAATTGTTATCGATTTCGTGTTGAATTCATTGTGCATTTTTATAATTTCATTTATAATTTTCATTCATTCTAAAAATACTTACTGGCCATGTAAATTCGAATGGAAATCGAATTGGGTTTACTGACGGTCCCTTTTGTTGTTGGTCTTTTGTTGCCGTTAGATTGAACGTATTATCACCTAGGATTTGTGTAGCTGCAGCACCAAAGGTACATGATGACGTTGTATCAATCTCAGCTTGATATTGCTTTAAGCAAATTCGGAAGCGCGTTCTACAACTGCCTACACATGAACCATTCAATGACTGTTTCTCACTGCAACAACGACCCAAACTATTCAAACCATTATCGTTGCGAAAAGACTTCAATCTTAATTCAAATAATCCGGAACATGTAATCTGTAAGAATAGAAGAATAAAAATAAAAGAATTAGAAATGACATGAGATTAAAATTGTTTCATTTGTTCGCATTCAATTTTCACCATCGAAAACTGAAATAAGAAAAAAAAAATCATGTAACAGAGATGGAACGAAAAAGAATCTCAAAATTGAATTGAATACAATAAATTATGAAAATTAATTCTGTTAAGTTATTCATTCAATGAACTTTTTCGTGTCTATTATACATCTTTCTCTTCCCCCATCCTAGTGATCTCGTGCGCTTGCCTCATTCTTCAAAAATGATGAAATTCATGAAAGAAAAACTATGTGAAATCAGACAAAAGGCATTCAGACATTTTAAAAAATTACAAATTTCAGTTTTTGACACCCTCAACTTTCTAAACGGAGCGCGATTACACTCAACTCGCTATTTCTAACGTATAAGGTGATCAAAAAGGCAGGCAAGCCCTAATTTCATCAGTGTTTTTGCCTTTTTGAAAGAAGGCATTATTTAAATGCATCAAAAATTGTGTTTCTTCTTTCTGATTTCAATTTGAATAAATAATTTTTGTTTTGTTATTATTATGAAAGCAGTTGAAAGAGCGAGAAAGCTGTGAGAATGACTCTAATTGATATTTTTGTTCTTACTCAATTTCCTCCGTTAGATTTATCGACGATTGTCAAAACTAAAACGATTCATAAAGTTCATAATCAAGTAATTAACTTTCTAATATCGTTTCTCTAAGATGAACGATCATGATCACGTTTCAAAGATATTTCTCTTGTTAGCTACCGCTCGATCTTTCTGTTTTAAACAGCTCTACATTTTATTTTCTTAACATCATGAAAATGTTATTGTAATTTCATGACATGTTCCGTTTTAAAAAGAATTCATACAATGTGTAATATTTTCGCGTTTGTCTTTAAGACAATAGTGAGCCGAGTTATTCAACAATCTTTCAATAAACATTGCTTCAACTTCTCATTCTAGAAGCACTGAGGCGAAGAGAAGTTGCCAAGAAAGAGAAGAAGAAAAAAAGCAAGCAACACATGGTCAAACCATCGTCCAACAAATCACACCGCAGGCACAGAAAACAGGGGAGAAAGAAAATATTTCATGGAAATCTAGTGAATGGGAATTCTTTTTTTTTATTTCAATTTAATTTAAGTTGAGACATTGTTTGAATTTTTAGTAATCAATCGAAAATGCAAACAGAATAAATTAAGGAAAAAAGTTTTGTTTCTCTACACGACAACATTTTAGCAATTTGTTATTTACAAGGTTGACCAGGGGAAAATAATTGAAGAAAGGCTTTTGTTTCTTAATGTGCGATGAATTTTTTATTTCTTTGTTTTTGTTTAATGATGTGACTTCTTTTATGCTTGATATATTTGTAGCAACAATTAATTTAAGAAACATTTCACCAAAAACATCCTGGAAAACCTTTCGCCAAAAAACACTTGCTAACGGTCAAACAGATTTTTCACTGCGTCTCGATTGAAAACAAGAAAAAAATAAACGCTGATATCTATAAGCAAATGGAAAGAAAAGAACCCAGAAGAATATTAAATATTTACCGCTAAGCAGAGGCGAAACTTGACCTACGAGAGACAGACCCCTCGGGGATTATGAGTATTTAAAGTTGAGTTCTTCTGTAGTTTTCTCTCAACATCAATGAAATATTTATAAATAAAAAAGCCAGCAAAGCGAATAATCTGTGTTGCTGTTTGTGAAGGAAAAAAAAATGTAGTGCATAACAAGATGAAGAGCAACGCGCCGCATTCAACAATAAAATGAAAACTCTTCTTTCTTCTTCACTTAAAATTGCGAAAGAAGAAAGAAGAAGACTGAAGAAAAGCCCCCCGAGAAGCAAGTAAGAGATAAAGACATAATGAGGTAGCAATGTTTAATAACTTGCAGCTATTTTTACGCTGCAAGCGTAGATGTGCGCATTTCTTACATTTTGTGTTACCCTCAAGGCGCCGGCTCTGGTATTGCACGAACTTCTCTCCAAACAAGTTTAAACCTCATCAGAAGATATTAAATAAAAGTAGGAAAGAAACAAAAGTATTGTTAATTTGTTACTTTCGTTACAAATTACAGAGCAACTTGAAATACATTCTAACAATGTTTTTGATGTCTCAACATGACTTGTTTACAACAACATGACGATCTCAAACAATTAAAAGCTAATTCATGAATTTAGGTTGTTAATTTTAATTTTTAGTGGTGGCTTAGACATTGACCGTATGAACATTCTGCAACAAGACCTCTCAGTGAATGATGACTTATCTGCAACTAGGGTAGTTGGCTAGTAGTGACACCACCCCCGAAAACGCGTCCAGTAGTGACACCACTCTATTAGTTTAATTTTAACAGCTCTTAGAGCTTACCGGAGGAATGTGTTAATACATAACGGTAGAGGAAGGTTCAAGGATAAATAATTAACAAATCGCCTTTTCCGGTAAGCCCTAATCGCTGCTAAAATTAAATCGAAATAAAGTGGTGTCACTACTGGACGCGTTTTCGGGTGGTGTCACTACTAGCCAACCCCCCTAGTTTGTTTACCTTGATTATTAAACTTTTTCTACCTCATGAATTTTAAACAACTAGTCAGAGTGTGTACACGTTTCTTAAGTTCCTAAGCAATGTGCTTATGACTGACTTAAATAACGATTCGATTTCGCGTTACTGCTATTGCAATTTTTCTTTAAAAAATATCGATATGAAGTAAATATCTGTCATGAATTCACATAAAAACTTATGCACAGCCTCTCTTGTGTCGATAAAGATGAGACTTTACTTTACTCAACTCTTGATTCCACTAACAAACAGTTGAGAAAGAAGGGATAGAGAGAAAGAAAAGTCAGGCATTGCATGTTCGTTCATTTCTTGGTTCACGTCAATCCCAGAAATATAAAAAAAATTGAAATGAGAAAAAAACTAAGGTAGCAAGAAAGCCTTTACACAGTCATTAAAAGAGTCTGGGATTAAGCATATTTCGTGATAACTACTCTGCTATATGTTGCTAATCCAAAAAGAAATTAAACATGCTTCGTCTATAGACATTTTTCTTTGGCACATAATAAATTAAAAAGCGAAAAAAATAAAAATACGAATCAAATAATAAGACAACGCAAAGCAAAAAGCAGTTGGGAAAAATTTAACGAAAAAACGCTTCACATAAGTCTGATATATATCCAGCTGAACACAAGGAGCATATGTATGGGCAAATTTGAAATATTTGCACTCTCACACATAAAAAGACATGCAAGTAGAACTTAAAACTGCTTGTGTCGAGGGAGAGTTTCATTATTGAAGGGTAAACATTATTTCTTAAAACTAGTTACGTTTTGTTATGCATTTACAAGCCAAAAGAGCAACGATCAATCGAATAATCGAATAAAAATCTCTCTTTGCATTCGATCGAATGCTGTCTCCATTGCGCCGATTTTTCGGGAGAAATAAAACATTTTCCTTGGAAAAATTTCATGAAGCGACAAAATAAACCGAAAACAAAAATTTACGTGATTTATTTTTAAAAACATAAATATTTTTATAAGAAGAATTTTCTTTGAGTTTGGGTCGTCGAGCAGCGGCTCAAAGAAATGAATTTTTTTTTATTTTTCACATCTTTTATTTAAAGAATCGAGAAATGCTTTGTGTTATGTTTGGAGAAGGATTGAGAAGAAAAAGAAGTGCGACACACAAGACAAAGATACTAAATAACTCGAAAATACTAAATAAATTAAAAAGAAAGAAAGAAATATTCATTTGGATGCGACTCCCCCGAAATAAACTGCATCAGATGGTTAAATTTTTTAAAGACGATGCGGTGTACGCAATTGAGAAACAACAAAAAAAAAATCGAAGCCTTCGAAAATGTTTATAAATATTTAAACTTCGAATCTTGATGTGGCAAAGCGGGTCGCAACATAATATTGCTCTCGAAAAATTCTTTCTTTTAACAAACATAGAGAAAATACTAAAGATGTACGAGAATTGTAAATAAAAACTTATTCATTACATATCATTATCTTTAAATATTTTTCTCCATTTTTTTCTCTTGTGTTTCTTTATGTGTTCTTTCTTTTTGTGTTATTTTTTTTGTTCAAACACTTAATGTGAATACTTAGAGGTTAAGTAGTACTTAAAAGCTCTTCTGCTTCTACCTAGTGCCGCACTGCCGCCACTTTGCTTAACAACAAACTAAACGAATATTGTTTACTATCCAAAAATGCATAATCCCGTATTCTTCATTTCCGTTCTCTAATCAATGTGAATCATTATGAAATTGAATTCTAAAACGCAATATAAACTCATCAAAAACAGAGCAAGATGAAAGCTAGCTTTAGAAATGTAAAGAGAAACAGTAGATGATTGTATGAGAAATGTTAATAAATACTGTAGGAAAAAGAAGTTTGAAAGTGACAGACATGCAATGAATTATGATGATGAATGGTTAACCGTTAATGCAAAATTTTGTGGAAAAAATAGATAAAAAATGAAACAAAGGCACTGCGCCTTTCAGCGAAGACTTTAAAGATGAGTTTTTGTTCTCATCATCTTTGCTGCTTCTTCTAAATATGTCCGGATTAAATCACAATCGAGGCAATCAAATTATCTTTCATTTCTTGCCTGCTCTTTATTTTAATTTTTTGTTTTTCTATCCGATGAGATTTAAAGATGAGAAGTTTCCTTTTGATAACTACTTTAATTATGTATTGAAAATTAAATGATTTTCCATTCTCTTTGATCGCTTTTCGTTCGAATCAAGCATGTGTGTGCTGATGCCTTCCGAAATGCTTTTGCGTTCTTTTTCTTATTCGATCTTTATGCTCAGGTTCTTCTTCGTCTTTCTACATACAGCACAACACAAGAGAAGAGAAAAAAAAACCAAACAGAGGTATAAGAAGTTATAAGTTTTTTACAACTCTAACATTGATCGTGGGAAAACAATTCAACGTCCAATAGCTGCTTTTTCGTATGTTTCATTCAATTCTGGATTTTTTTTCTTACTTCACATTTCTTTTCATCAGGTTTCTTTCGTGTTGTGTTGTGTGAGCTCTGATACGCATACAAACTCGTTACAGTGTAGCTCAGGTTCTGTTCGTCTCTTAGGTATTTAAAACAATCTACAGTATTTATTGAATCGACTTTTTTTTCGGGAATTAAATAACTTTAAGTTCGCTTTTAAAGTGTGGGTGAGTTTCTCCAATGATTCTAATATCCACAAGCGAATTTATTTCATTTGTCATGGCACGGAATGCAATGGATCCTCTTTATTTCAAACCTGTTTGCTTTCATATCATCTTTAACTTTAACATCTTTCTTGTTGCGAAGGAAAGAGAAAACAAAAAAATATGTTTCGATAACAACACACACACACACACAACGGAATCAGTTTTTTTAAGATTCTTTATGTTTGCTTTCTTATGGAATAAATTAGAAAGAAGAAAATTAAATTTGCAGCTTTTATTTCAGTCATCAAATCGTCAATGTTTAAATGTCTGTTTATCTTTACATTAATACATGCAAGTATTAAAGATTTATTAAAAAATTTAATAGCGGCTGACATCAGAGATTAAAATCTAAATTAGATCACATGTTAAAGGATGAATGAAGAAGTCCAAAAAGCTAAAGAAGCAATTAGCACGTCATTCAACGTTTTCCATTTTAAAATTATTCTTCAAAGAAGATTCCAGTACGTGAAGTTTAAGTCTATCGTTTTCAAGGATGAAAAACGATGAATAACAATAACAATGAGATTTTATTATTTCAATGAAGTCTTCTAAATGGTTCATTGTACGATTCCCGTAAAGCACATTTATGTGAAAGAGATTTTTAAAGCACACCAAAAATTCATAAAAGTGATTCATAGAAGCACATTTGAATAATCGTTTCTTAATGAGTTATGAATATAATAAAGTTATGAATGAAACTATGTTTTCTTTAAGGCGCGAACTGGATGTCGATAACAAAGAAGAAAACTGAAAGAAGGTGGATAGATGAATGGTGGAAGAAGAAGCAACGATGGAATTGTCTCGTAAACACTCGCTTTTCGCCTATAGTGTTTATTACGATAATATGCTACATGTCTACTTGAATATGGGCTTGCGGCTTGTGAGATTTACATGTCTAATGCTATTTTAATGACTCATCATTTTTTTTCCTTCTTTTCATTCTCATCTGGTCTCTCACGTTATTTACATTACTTCTTTTTTGGTAGATTATCTTTACACTACCTGATAGAAACTGTTTTTACTTGTGTCTAATCTTGAAAATTTAATTATCACAAAATTTTATGATCAAAAATATTGTTAAGAAGATAATTTCTTCAACAATGCATTTAAAATATTAACTAACTTAGCAACAACCATCAATATCGAGCTAAAAATTTATCGCCTTTGTTCAAAAACTAAATGAAGAAGAAGAAAAGAGCAAGCACCGATCACATCTTTAGTATTTTAAAAGAAAACAGCGATATAATATCTTTAAAATACGTATCATGTCATCTAAATCTATTTAAAAAGAATCGCTTCTCAGCTCTTTCGACATTCCATCCGAGAATCTGAAAAGCAATGGTTTGAATATGTGAGTTCTTCTTACCTGTGAGAATGTCAAAAAAATGCAAATGAAAAAAGAAATCCAATTCATTTTCGAACGAAGGAGAGGACAAACGAACGAAGACGATGACTCCTTAAAGATTCTTGTATCTTTGCTTTAAATTGTTTTTATTTTTGTTATTCTTCTGTCTTTCACTTTATCTTTTCCTCTCTCTCTCTCTGAACTTTTTTTATTTGCTGCTTGATGGTCTCAGATCAAATGGACGATTGAATAATTACATTAACACTACAATGATTAAAAAGACCCGAAACACTAAAGTTTTTTTTTCTTTTTCTGTGCTGTCTCGAAGGTGACGGTGTAGGAAAAAAATGGGTGAGATTGGGCGCGAGATTGATGATTGAAATTAAGGAAGGCACAGAGAAAAAGTAAAAATTGAAATCAATATTCTTCTGCCAATTTCCTCACTTCTCTATTGTTTTGTTTTCTTTGATTTCTTTTAAATGATTTCTTTCTTACTTTTTTTTTTCATTTATATATCACTTCACTTGATTCAAAGTAAAAATGATAAACAATTTTTATTTATTACTACAATGCTTTTTTGGATCATCATGTTTCTGAAATCTTCAAACTCTCTTCAATATATATTTCTCATCTTCAACTTCGCTGCTTGATTCTTTTAATTTTATTTTGTGGTTCACCGAATCCGATTTAAACGGCCGATTACTTTGCGCGGAGATCTTTCGTTAACGAAACATCACATCAAATATTAAACGAAGCTATCAATTCTTTCACTTGATATATCAGGTATTTCTTATTATTATTATTTTTTTATGATTCGTTTTTTTCCAGCACTTCTTATATATTTGGGGCGCTTTCTGTAGCTCAATTTTTAACGTCGTTTTTATTACTCGAAGTTTGCTTCTTTCTTTTTTTTCAAAAATATATTTTTCTTTTGTCGATTTAAACTTTTTAAACACTCAACTCAGGCTTGACTTTATTGGAATTTATTTTTCCGCCGTTTCAACGTTACGTTTTACGTTTTATTACTATTCGAGGAGAAAGAGATTCGAAAATGTAATTTATTTTTCTTCACTTTTAATTAATATCGGCCTGTAATTTATGCACAATTACAAACGAGATGGATTAACATGTAAACTTAACATTTTTGCCTTCGTTTTGCTTCTTTTTGCTCGCTTGTGTTAAAAAAACTCTCTAGGCAGATGTTTTTCCACTCATATACGGTTATTCACAATATCATTTCATGTGTAAATATAATGCCGTCGAAATCATAGGTTTCATGTGTTTGTTTGGAGTTTTCAAACTAGTTTTCTTCTCTTTTACGTCTTCTTCAATCAAAAAATGAGGAACATTAAATGTGTGTGCACATAGAATTCTCAATGCTTTCTGTATTTATTTTTTAAGAAATATATTATTCCAAATAAAGCATTTTTAATCCTATTTCAAATTCCTTTCCCAAAGAGTTCCATGGGATGATCAGTTTATGAATTAGGTTACCCAACCGACACAAATATTTGCACCATCAGTGAAAACTCTTCTGTTAAATCTATTTTTTTGTTGAAACAATTATTTCATCTACCTAGGTAGGCACGATGAGTTTTCAAGTCTCACAGTCTTTATTTTTTATGCATTCACAAGAATTGGATGTAACAAAATAAAAACTTTTTACAGTGGAATAAATTATAAGCCACAATTTCACATGAAAATTATATTTTGTGAATGAAACTTATGATGTATACCAGTCGCTTTAATCCTTACTTATATATGAACTGCGAACTATATTTATAACATGCTTTTCAATCCTACTAGAAGAATTTTTCCCGGATAATTCTTTTTGTTTCTTCTCTTATATTGTTAAAAAAAATTTAAAACGCACGTCTTTACTCTTTACGAGTTTGAGGATGACTGCTTAACACATGAGACGAAAACATAAACGATGTGAAGAGAAACTTTACAGCAAAGAAGCCCAGCAAGTAAAAACTGTTTATTTTTCGTGCATGTTAAACATTGATTATGAATAACTTTAAAAGTACTACAAGTAATCAAAATGATATCAATGAAACATTTGTTTGATAAACTTGATCTCGATCTACAATATACTCAGCAACGTTTGTTAAAGATTGTTCTGTGTAATTTTTTTGATCAGTTCGAAGTTGGCTGGGATAAAAGCAACGCTTTAAAAATACAAATTTGAATAATTTTGTCCGTTAAATAAATTTATGTTTGATATGAAACACTAAAACACTTTTGGACCTACAAAAAAATATTGTCTTGATAAACATGCACATGAGAATATTCTAGTAGAAATGGCTATTGCAGTAAATAAATATAAAAACCATAATTTTAGTTCTCAAGCCTTTATTTCAGAACATTTTGAATATAATATCATTTAAGTGTAATATTTCGGATCAATTCTCCAATGCTGATACTCGATTGGTACAAAGAGTGTATTGTTATGTGGTGTAAATGAGTGTCTCATGGGATTCAATACAAAATTATTTGCCTTTATGTTTCAACTTAAGTTTTTAGATTAGTTTCATCTTCTCCAAAAATTTTTTAACAATTTTTTTTGAAAACCAAAAACAGATATCAAAAAGATTTTCATTTTCAATAAGATATTAAAAGATAATACAAAATTTATTAACAATCTCAATATTTCTCCAATTCCGCCATAAGTTTGAGGAAATTAATTATATCACAAAATTAAATTATGCAAGTTTTCTGATAAAAGAAATTCGTAAGCGAAACAAATGATAAATGCTTTCATAATCGAACATTTAATTGTCTCTTTTCCCTGTCTTCAGTGAAACTTTTGGTTATTTGTTCTTGCACAATCCTTTTTTATCATCCCCCAAATATCGCATCACGTCTGATATTATCATGACTCAATAATTTGTATTTCTGCAATGCCGTTGTCTCCGATATCAATCAATCTTGCTACAACAGCAAAATTCAAAAGCGAAGTCAAATATAAATGTAATAGTAAAAGCACATAAGATTGAAAATTTAAAAAATGGAAAATGTCATTGAATGATGATTCAGAATGTTGATCTTCACCATGTATGAATCGTTGAACAACGTTTTTCCGGCGATGATGATGAAAAATTAAAAATATATGAGGGTGTGTGAATAGAAAATTTTTAGTGGGAGTTGAAGAAATCAGTTGAGATTTGTTATCAATCGTGTAATCAGCATTGTGTCGAATGCCTATCGAGTTGAAATTTCTTAACTTATCAAACTTTTTAGTTTGGCTGTTGATATCAACAGCTTCATGCCCAATTTTACGGCTCTCTAGTTATTTTTTCTTTGAAGCTTTTTCGGCGGCTTTTGTGACTTTACCTCCGGTCGCTTCTTTGAAGTTGACCTAAAATCAATGAACAAATGAATGAGATACAATTTTTCAGTAAATTTTTTAGAACTTACAGCTTTGATGACACCAACAGCGACAGTTTGTCTCATGTCACGAACAGCAAATCGACCCAATGGTGGAAATTCTGAGAAAGATTCAACACAAAGTGGTTTTGATGGGATCAAAACTACGATGGCAGCATCGCCTGACTTGATTGATTTTGGATTCTCTTCAGTTGTTTTTCCTGTACGACGGTCACATTTTTCTTTGATTTCTGCAAACTTGCAAGCAATATGAGCAGTGTGACAATCCAAGACTGGAGTGTAACCATTGGCAATTTGACCTGGATGATTCAAAACGATGACTTGAGCTGTAAAGTCAGCAGCGCCACGTGGAGGATTATTTTTGCTGTCACCAGCAACAAAACCTCGACGCAATTCCTTGACTGAAACGTTTTTGACGTTGAAACCAACGTTGTCACCAGGAACGGCTTCTTGCAATGCTTCATGATGCATTTCAACAGACTTAACTTCAGTTGTCAATTGTGCTGGTGCAAAAACAACAACCATGCCTGAAATAATTAAAACGTTAAGTTATTGAGCTTGAATGGAATGTGTGAAGATGAATTGTACCCGGTTTCAAGACGCCAGTTTCAACACGACCGACTGGTACTGTTCCGATACCGCCAATCTTGTAAACGTCTTGCAATGGTAAACGCAATGCCTTGTCAGTGGGACGAGATGGTGGCAAGATTGCATCCAAAGCTTCAATCAAGCATTTTCCATCTGCCTTTCCTTCCTTGCGTTCAACAGCCCATCCCTTGAACCATGGCATCTTCTCAGATGGTTCCAACATGTTGTCTCCATGCCAACCAGAGATTGGAACGAAAGCAACAGTTGCTGGGTTGTAACCGATCTTCTTGATGTATGAAGAAACTTCCTTCTTGATTTCCTCAAAGCGAGCTTCAGAGTATGGAGGTTCAGTTGAATCCATCTTGTTGACACCAACGATAAGTTGCTTGACACCCAAAGTGAAGGCCAACAATGCGTGTTCACGAGTTTGTCCGTTCTTTGAGATACCAGCTTCGAATTCACCTGTACCAGCAGCGACAATCAAGACGGCGCAATCAGCTTGTGATGTACCAGTAATCATGTTTTTGATGAAATCACGATGTCCAGGAGCGTCAATAATGGTGACGTAGTACTTGGCGGTTTCGAACTTCCACAAAGCGATATCAATGGTGATACCACGTTCACGTTCGGCCTTCAATTTGTCCAAAACCCATGCATACTTGAAGGAACCTTTTCCCATTTCTTGGGCTTCCTTCTCGAACTTTTCAATGGTACGCTTGTCGATACCACCACACTTGTAGATCAAATGACCAGTGGTGGTTGATTTGCCAGAATCGACATGTCCAATGACGACGATGTTAATATGAACCTTTTCTTTAGCCATCTTGGTTAATTTTTTTTAAGAAAAACAAATTAAAAATTAAGGAAAAATGCTTCTTTGATCTCAAAAACCACGCTCGGCTAATTGATTATCTTATTAAAGAATGGAATATTCTCGTCACTTCTTCTGTAGCCTTTTGATTTGCTATCTCAAATTTATTTGTCCAAAAGAAGCGGAAATTTCGTCTATGAAACAAAAAGAAAAAAAATTAATGAACGTCATTTTAATGCTGTTGTAACATTATGAGATACAAAGTTATGTGCAATATAAAACAAATTTATTATATTTAGTTGTATTAATCTTTGCATTTTTCAAGTTTCAGTGAGTCAAGACATGATGAACATTATAAAGCGACACAGTAAAAGCGAAGTATGTGACCTTTCATAAAATATTTTTTCAATAATCTCTGGGTGTTTTCTTTCTTCATCGCAATCAATATTTATGAGTATTATTGATATTCATATTATTAATATTGCACTCTTTACATAAATCTTTACAATTCTAAAAATCATTGACATTTGCCGGTAATTGAAAAATTTATCACGCAGATTCCGAAATGAAAAAAAAACCGACGATTCAATAAAAGACCCAGGCATGCGAAAATGAAGTTTTCCTTTCAATTCTGTCTAAAATATTTTTATCTTTTTCCAGGACGAATCCGACCTTGAATTTTTTTTACACTTTTGTCGGCAAAAGTTTATCGGAAAATTAACCTTAAAGCGGCTGAAGAGAGTTTCTAAACCTAAGAGAACACATGGTCGGGATGAAAATGAATATTTTTCGTCTCTTTGAATTTCTATTTTTAAGTTTCTCGAATAGATAGATACAAATTTTATTTCAGTTTCATTCAGTTTCTCAAAATGACTGTCATTAAACTCATGATGTGGCCTCATGTCGATGTAGATTTCTTTTTGCAAATATCTAATCAAGCATTTAGAATTTACCATTATAAAGGAAGAAAATTTTTGAGCTTTTAAAGGCTTCTTCTTTTTCTTTCTCTTCAGATTGTCTGGAAAATGGCGATAGATATGACAAATTTTCACAAGCATGTCAAAATGTGGGCATAATAAAAACGTGGTAAAAATCTTTAAATAAATTACCGAAGCAATTTTGTTTCATCAATTATTGATTATTTTTCACGAATTTTAATACTTTTCAATATTAATCTAGATATCTAAATGTATGAAAAATTTTCCTTGTGAAAGTAGAACGAAAAAGGATGAAAATTTCTTATTGAAACTACAATTAGAATATATTTGAACAAGTTTTCATGAATTATTAATGAAATTTATGGTAACACAATTCATCGACATAAGACCGGCTAAGTAAGTTATTCGAAATTGATTTTTTTTCTTTCATTTCGTAAAAAGTGTTGAAAATTACTCCATGACACATGGCAAATTTTCATCGGCTTAACATTCTGTTACTTATATCATTCCAAAAGATGTTATTCAATCACATTATAAAGGAATTTTATATTCTCTTCTTTAATCACAATATTTAATAATTCGATGGCCAATATTTGAATGAGAAATTCATCAATTTAATTTTCCTTATTAGCCATATTTGATTTTCCATTTACACAAAAAAAAATATCACACAGCAAGAAACACGTCCACTTACGATAGAATCCACCGACAAAAAAGACCGAGCACGAGAGATTTTGTATCGAAAATGAAATCTTCTTGTCGACTTGTGTGACAAGTGCGCATGTGTGTGGAATTTTCTTCATGATTGCGTTGTGGGGGCAAACGGAAAATGTAGATATATAAAAGTCAAGGAAATACCTTTATAGATGATCGTGGAAAGTGAGCTGTTGAACGGTTTTCAAATAGTTTTAGTTAAATATTTTCCTTTCTTTGCAGTTTACAATGAAGCAAACTAAGAAGTGATTTTTATTTCAATAATTTTATTAAATGTAATTACGCGAATATATAAGAAATAAATTTTTAAATATAAATAATTAATTATTATAATAATCCTTGATCGTTTTTGATGTCGTTTTCTAGTCGTTTGAAGAAACTGCTGTTTGAGAGACTATCGAGATCATCGGTCGAACTTTTAACATTTTCTTCCAGCAATCGAATCGAGAAAGAGGATTCAGAGAAAACTGAGGGGAAAAATAATTTCGTAAATTAATTTTCTGTCTTTAAACAATTCAAATTTTATTCAAACTTACCGTCGTCACATATTTGATTTTTAATGGGAGTATTTGACCAGAAATTTTCCAATAAACTACGCATACTTGATCGAGAAGTGTCGGAGAAAATATTCGGCGTAGTTGTGCCAGAAAAGTGTTGAATCTTTTCCTCGATAATCTGAGTAACATCTTCAAGCTTCTTTTCAGGTTCTTTACTTTTTTGGTCGTTCTTGGGTGGAGGAGGAGTCTGATACAAGTCTCGAACGACATGATTTCCAGACAATCCAGTATCCATTATATGATTACCAATTGGCCTTAATCGATGTTGAACACGCCAACGAGATTGATGAGCTTTGCTTCTTGGATTCAACATTGGCCCGATGGGCTGCTTGAAAGGCTGATCAATGTAACTACTGTCATTAACTGTCCTCTCACAAGCATGGTTAGTAAAGTGACTGAACATCGCAGAATTCGCTGATCCTTCCATAAGGTTGGCAATTGCGAGAAGATTTTTTAATTTATTTCCAATTCTTTTGCTTTCAACCTTTGATACGTTGGGCTCGGCAATCGGCTCCGATTTATTATCATCATTAGCGAAACAATCATATTCGAGAACAAGTCGTGAATCAGATCCAAACATCAGATACAAGTCGCCAATTGTCAAGTCACCGACAGTCTCAATTGTCCATCCTTTTCTTACGGTTTTTAAAGTTTTTTCATCAATAAGAGGTTTAAAAACATTTTCCTTGCTGTTTTTGTTATTTCCATTTATTTGAGATTCTTTCTTTTTGTTGGGTTTTGTAATGTGATTTCCAGATTGTTGAGTTGGTGTAGATGGAAGAATTTGAGGTTTGCTTTCAGTTTCCTCAACTTTTGGAGTGAATGATGGAAATGTAATTGGAGGAGTAGATGTGACTGCTGCTTCTTTCATATCTTCATTTTTACATTCACCATTCTTATGCTGGAGTTTTGATTCATTCGCTTCTTCACTTTTAACTTCTTTTCTCTTCAATTCTTCATCAATTGAGTCATTGCTTTTATAATCTATCACAGAAACTCCATTTTCATTAGAAGTTTTAACCAGTTTTTGTTGTTCTTCATTTTTTGCTTTTGCGTTCTTTTCCGAAGCACTATCGAAGCGCATTCGTTTCGATGGATGCTTCAAAAGATCTTTAAAATGTGCAATTTTTTCAGAACTCAATGTTTCTCCTTTTGTTTTTGCGCCGATTCTTTCTTCGTAGGCGTTAAGGCAAATATTATATCGACTTATGAGTTCTTTCAGTTGGACCATTGGTCGATGAATGACCGTGTCTCGTGGTGGCATGAAACATAAGATTGGTTGTTCTTTTTTCAACTGAACTAAATCAATTTGAGATTGTTTAATTATATCTTCTCCAATTCTTTGAACGCTATGACGTTGAATGGCGTTGTTCAAATGTTTCTCGTACAATCTGTTACTGACAGTCTGCCATTTTTGTTGCATTGTATAAATTATTGTTGCGACTCTCTTCTGTAATGGAAGAGAAATCATTCTGACTCGAGGATTTTGAGCTAATCCTTGAACATATCCCCACGATTGCATGTTTGTAGGTCGTAAAATGACGTCAATCCTTTGAGGAAGTAAAACATCTTCAATGTTACCTTCAAGCTGATTTAATTTTCTTAAAGCACGACAACATGGTGTTTTAACTTTTATATTTTTTCCTTTCAATCGAATCGTAACTGATCCTTTGTACACAAGATCACGAAGTTTCAGAAAACTCTTCTCTGATGACATCACCAATTTTCGTTTCATTTCACCAAAATTAATTAAAGTGTAAAGTTCTTGGGGCACTTTTTTCACATCATCGGAAAATCGCAAGTACTTTGAAGCCTTTTGGAAGAGTTGATAATAGATTTGCCTTACATGGTCTTTAGTTTTATAATCTTGCTCTGAGGATGTTTTACGTTTCATCTTTGCATTTATGTATCTGGATATCTGCTCAAAATCACGACCATATTCGTTCAAAGCATCAAAGAAAAATATTCTTTCTTCATTGGTCCATTGAGTTCTTACGTGAGGTTTTGTTTGAGTTATTGGTTTTGGTGGATTTGCAGGAGAATTTTCATTTTGCGTCTCCTTTTTTTCTGGCTGAGTAATTGGAGGCATTTTTAATTTATGAATCACTCGAGCACTAGTTCTAACAGCTTGTCCATCATTACCCGATACTTGAAATATATTAACTGATCCAAGGAGTTCTTCTTCCTTCTCATTAATATTTGGGATAATAATATTGTTCAAGGTTTTTATATTGTTTTGTTGCTTCTGCTCATTTTGATCATTTGTCAACGCATCTTGAAGATAATTATCAACTACATCGGTAACTGTTGTTTCCATTGTTTTTTACTTCTGAGAACGTGAGTATTTTGTTGATAGTTTTCAATCTTGTATCTTATCTAGAAGTAGAACAAAGAAAAAATGTTAGCAATTGTAATAAAAATTTTTTTTAGGTCGCCATTTTTCAGAATTCAAAACAATAACTTTTTGAATTTTTCTTTCATTACCTTCACAAACTTTTAACTCTTAATCAATAGTGAAAGACTAAATGAATGTTTCGAAAAGATTAATAACAAAACTGCTGCACATTTGTAACAATTCAAAGGAAAATATTTCGAATAAATTTTGTTTATACTTTTACATTCAGGGTTCGAAACAAAACTGAAGAGCGACGAAATAAAATCTAGAAAGTCTTTCTTTCAGACAGTTACATTGAATTGATTTATAAGAATTAATTGAATTCAATTTAATGAATATGAAATATTGATGACATAAAAGTGAAGGGTTCAGGTATAAAATCTATTAAAAAGCCAATTCTTTTGTTTTTATAATTTTTTCAATTTGTTTTTATTACGCCTAATGACAGCTATGAAATTTCATCAATAAGGTTTTAAAAGAAATTAATTTATTTCTGTTTAGCACGTTTTCCTTCGCCTTTTTTGGGAGGAATTTTTCCTCTGAGATATCTTAATCGTCGCATTTCTTCATTAAAATCTTGATGTTCATCTCTAAACAGGCCATATTCGCGAAGTTTTTTGTTTAGAATAAAAGTTTCATTGTGTCGAGGGTACCAGTTGAGAATGTTATCACGCTTTTCAATTGGAGTAACTTCATACAAGTTCACCACTTTAAAGCCTTTGCTGGTATTTGGACGAGCTAGAACGAGAAAAATTAATCAAATATTTATACTATCTAAGTGGTAAACAACATTTTACTCATGCTACAAAATTTCGTCAATTCAGGCATGAAAATCATGAGTCAGTGGCTTTAGTAATTTAAAATAAATTCTTACCGACTTCTCCAAATATTCGATTTGACAGATATTTCATTCGTTTGGCATATTGTGTTGGTAAATTAATAAGACTTGGATATTTATGCAAAACCATTTTTATATAAACCTGTTGAGAAAACTGTGAACTAAATTTATAAACACTTCTGCAGAACTCCGCATTCCGCAAATTTATTAATGTAAAGGGGTAGGAAAATTTGAAAATCATTTGAATTGTCGTTATTATAAAACTCTTTAAAGAAATTTATGAAGTTTATTTTATTAACATTATCTTAAGATTATGATAGATTAGTGGTCATACAAACAAAATATTTGTTTCTCTTATCCTTTTATAAAAGGTGAATCATCATTCGTACTGAAATAGTAAATACCAGTCTGGTTCATCTTCATTTTGTATTCATTGCCTCCCATAAGAATTTGAGAGCCACTACATTCTACTTTGTTAACGATATCTTCAAAAGAATCACATTTGTATGCAGTGACATTTGTTTCGAAACTTTCAGCAAAAAGTTTCCAAGCACGACTATGGCTGCATAAGTCTCGCCATAAAATATTGCATCCTGGCTGCTTTAAACCATAGTTAGGATAAAAATCTACTGTGCAAATCGGTTCATAAAGTCCTAAAGAATTTCCGTTGGTATGCACACACTCAACATAGTCTGCGTCACTTGTATGAAGACGATTTTGAGAATATTCAAAGCCCGGACCAGCAGGATCTAAGCCAATAATTGTCCCAATACGTCCGTTCTCTACTAATCGGCCTACAACTAGATTTGGTTTGTTCCTAATTAAAATTAAAAACACATTTTTAAGATTACAAAATTTTACCACCGGCTGTATGTGCACCCAAACTGTGTCCAACAATTACCAAATTTTCCCATTGCCAAATATTGTCACTCAGAATAGAATCAAGAAATTTTGCAATACTTTTTCCTAATAAATGAATACGATTACGAGTTATTTTGTAGCAATAATCTCTTGATATTCTGCTGTAATTAACAATGATAAGATTAACATTATATATTTTATAAGCTTTTTTAAGAGCCTTATTGATCCTTGAATTATGAGAATTCCAAAATCCATGAATTATAATTCGCGTAGGCAATGATGGATCAAATTTTTCATCATAATATGTTCCATTACTTATGGGAACTTTGTACGATTTGTCCCCATCGGTGTAATGATAAAAAGAAACAATCGACGGCACTATAATTTGATCGTAAAGATCAAGAGGGTTCTTCAAGAAAGAGTCTGAAAATGAGCATCGCAAAGTCAAAACGTGTTCAAAGACTCCGTAAGTTCTACCACAATTCAGAAAGGAACAAATCCAAATGAACGAAGAAACCAAACGAGCCATGTCTACTCGCTAAAACTGTTATTATCAAACTGATTCTATTTTTAATGCATGCAACAGATATGAACATAATGCTTATGACTTTAAACTTCCGTCTTTTCTTTCTCATGAAATTTGGTCATAATTTAAATTATTAAAGTACAATTTGAACAATGAGTTTCTATTTTGTTATTATTATGTTACACTTTCGATTACTCTTTACATATAAAAATTACAATTTTGTTGTTGAAAGTTAACAATTTTGTAACCGTTTTATATTTGAATTTGAATTTTCCACTAAAGAAGCTTGACCTCCCCCCGACTAAACATAAATAAATTTCATTAAAGCCATTTAAATGCTTTCCAATTCATTAAATAAAAGTGAAAATAATTCTAAGTAGTAGATATGTATAAAAAAGCTTGTGGTGCGACTGCTGGCTGCACAGAACCGGAACCTGATAGAGACCCAATAATTATTAGAGATGCAACGAAAACCAATTTTACAGAATGTGATTATAATGACTATGATATAGTTAAGGCGGTTCAGTATGGTGCTATAAAAAGAGTGCAAGATTTAGTAGATGCTGGATATGATGTCAATCAACCAGACAATGATACTGTATCTCTATTACATTGGGCTGCAATCAATAATCGAGTAGAAATTATAAAATATTTATTAGAAAAAAATGCAACAGTTGACGTAATTGGAGGTGATTTAAATGCTACTCCATTGCATTGGGCATCCAGACAAGGGCACTTAGCGTCTATTGTACTTCTCATAAAAGCTGGAGCGGATCCAGAAATCATGGACGCCGAGGGCTGTAATTGCATGCATTTAGCATCACAATTTGGTCACACAGCAGTCGTCGCATATTACATAGCTAACAATATTAGTCCAGATTCATTTGATACGGGTGGAATGACAGCTCTTATGTGGTCATCATGGAAAATCATGTCTCTTGATCCTGTAAGACTTCTACTAACACTCGGAGCGAATCCAAATCTTCAAGACTTGACACACGGAAACACCGCTATGCATTGGGCAATAATGGCGAGAAATCCAAGAGCCATTTATACATTAATATTCAAAGGAAAAGCTAATTTAGATATAAGCAATCAAAGAGGTGACACCGCTTTGCAATTACTCCAACAACATATCAACTCTCCATGGATTCACTACGAAGTCGCTGATAGAATTAAGGATATCACTCAAAGAAGATCGAACGCAAATATTCTCATGAAATTAACCATGAACCAAAGACTTCGATGGTGGACGTTGGTGATTCTTCCATTTGTTTTTCTTTTCACCATTGGACTTATTATATCAATTGACACCTTCTTCATACTCAAAATTCTTATACTCTGCGTGTTTTGTGCCATCGTATCAATTGTCAAACGTATAATGTTAGATGATAATCTTCAATCTCAGCTTCCACTTTATTTCTATTGGGCAAGTAAAGCTTTCTTCTATGTGTCATGGGCATTCTATATAAGTCGAGTTGTTTCATCATTTGTAACGTTGCTATTTATATTCGTCAACATTCTTCTTTGGATCGCCTTTATAAGACTTTGGAAAGGTGATCCAGGCATCATCAAGACTACACACAGTCAACGATTGAAAACAATTATTGAACTGTCAAACATGACATTAGAGAAGGGAAAAAATGGATTTGAACCGACGAAATTTTGTTCAGCTTGTCTCGTCCAGAAACCTCTGAGATCAAAGCATTGTTCAGTATGCGATCATTGCGTGGGTGTAAGTATTATAAAAAAGTTTCATTCATAACTCTTTTCTAAATGAATTTTACTTGTCAACAGAAATTTGATCATCATTGTCCATGTGAGTATTAAATTTTCACTGTTCAGCATTTCTAAATTAATTTAATATGAATTTTTGCAGGGATTGGCAATGACGTTGGAGTTGGCAATCATCAAACATTTATGTTGTTTCTGTTCTTGATTCTTTCTGTCATGGTTCTTATATTCTATGGAGGTGTCATGTTTTATTCCGTCGAATGTAATTTTACCGTTGCTGATGGAATTTGGAATGCAATATTGACAATTGAAAGTTGTTCGCCTTGGGTTGCGTGGATGATGATAAATGGTTGGTTTCATCTTCTTTGGGTGTCAATTCTTACCACAATTCAAATTTACCAAATTGTTTTCATCGGTATGACCACAAATGAGAGAATAAATCGAGGAAGGTATAGACATTTTATGGAACTAGGTGGGAAATCGCCATTTAATCTTGGACCATGGCGAAATCTCGCTGAATTCCTTCGCTGCACTTGTTGTGGTCTTCTTAAATTCAAAAGTAACAATTGGATGGCATTTTCAAATAGAAATGACGAAAACTTGATAGTACCGGATGAACAATTGCAATTTGTTTAAACTTTTGGCTGTTTACCTTTGCTCCATTTCAAAGCATTTGTCATTGAATGAAGTTGTAGATATTTTTAAATCAAAGTTGTCATCGAATGAAAGATAAATTTTGAAATATTCGCATAAATAGCTCGTTAGGGAAAATTCAAAAGGCGCATTAAACTTAATTATTAGAAATAGTTGATGAAATTTCTGAGAAAAGTTAACAAATTTACTTAATTGATGAAAGTTATGAAGTTATCTAAATGTTTATCGATTTATTTTTATTCTCGATAATCATGTTTAATAAAACTTAATAATGTCATAAAAATTGAAAAGTTTCCTCTAATTTCATTCATAGATAGCATCAAAAATGATCAAATGATTTTAAGTAGAAATTAATCTTGAAATATTTGAAAGCTTTTACCACAAATAACCAAATAAAAAACAAAAATATTGAAAGTTGAAGTCAAAATCTTAGTTAAGTTTAAAATATTGTCCCAAAATAAATTTTTTGAAATTATTAAGAAAAGATTTTATTAAAAACAATTTGGAAATTTGATTTTGTCTTGTTTCTTATTTTCTGATTTACAGATTTAATGTAGATTGACTAAGATGCTGTTGAATTCGCAAACCTTGTTAGAAACAAACTTTTCTTTCGAATGAATCTCGGCCTCGAATTGATCTTTGAGTTCCTGCAAGTTTGGCATTGATTTACAGCTGCTAACGTTAAGAAGCATTCCAAACAGCTGTTCCCATAAGAACTTGGACACAAAATAACGCGGAAATTTCGATTTGATACTCCACATGATTCCTTTCTTCTCGACTTCCATGTACTTCCCAAACAACATAACATGAGCAGTCCCAGCAATGCCAAACAAATCTGTTTGATATGTCCAAGGCTTGTTGTCGAGCATCTCGCAGCAAGTGAAATTCTCAGTCTTAACAACATAATTAAATGTCACATCGTCTTTATACCAATCCATGTCAATTGCAGATCCAAAATCAATAAGCTGAATGAATGGAACTTTCGTTCCGAACTCAATTCTGTAAAAAGTTTCGAGATGATTAAAAATGTTTCATAATTAAATTAAGTTAAAGACTTACTTTGACATGATCAGAAAATTGTCAGGCTTGATGTCGGCATGAATAATTTTACAGCCATGCAGATGATCGATGACTGAGAGAATTTGTGACGTTATCACCAAAGCGACATATTCATCAACATTTTTATTAGTTGCCTTCTTAACTTTGTTACAAACGTCGATAATTGAGCCATGAGGGGAATATTGTGTGATGAGAATGCTGGAATTATTGCCAATGATAGCACCATTGATGCTCATGAAAGCATTTATCATATTTTTGTTCTTCAAACGATCCTTCAATTCCACACAAATGTAATATTCCCATAAGTTTGGAGGCTTCTCTTGCTTCATTGCAACCAATTCGCCAGATTCAGTCATCTTTGCACTATAAACAACTCCGAAACTTCCTTTTCCTATACTCTTGACAATTCGATATTCTTTTCTAGCTGCTTCAATGAACATGTTCGGCTTCAATTTTGAAATATTTTTCATTAAACTGCAATTGTCGATGTGTTGTTCCAAATACAAACTAAAGTTGCAATGCTCCAACATTGCTTTGCGTACATTTTCATCAAAAGGATTTCCTTCCGATGATTTGATTGCTTCTTGAACTTTGAGTGACAAGTCAATCTCGCTTGGAATGATTGTATGCTCATATTGATTATTATAATCAGCAACAAAGCTGCAAGACTGATCATCACTCCATTCTTCATCTTCTGCTTGTTCAAATTTTTCTTCACTTTTCTTATCTTGATAAATTGATTTCCCAAGCTCATCGTCATCATCATCATTGTCTTCATAAACTTCAAATGGTTCCATTTTTTTAGAAACATTTATTGCTTGAACTGGTTTAATTATGTTGGGAACTGCTGGAACTTTAAACACGTCATCGCCTTTCGTCATCTCAATTAATTTCTGCTTCTCTTCTTGTGTTATTTCAACACTTAAATTGATTGCCAATTCTTCGTTTGATGGATTTTTGATGCAATTAACATTAATGAAAGTCGAATTTTTAAGATTTCCCAGACTAAACTTTTCTGTGTTTAAATCATCATCGAACATTGTTCGTGTTGCGTTTTTCTGGTCATCAATTGATAAATTTTTCAAAGTTGTTTCGAAATTTTCCAGACATTTTGAATCACGAGAGAATTTCAGAAGATCGCTGACTTCGTTCCGTTCAGTTTGTGGTATGGGACGAGTCATTGAATGTTGATTATGAGGATTGATTGGTGACCCGAGCAGCTCAAGAAATTCTTCTGAAACTGTTCGTTTTGTGATTGCTGTAGTTGGGGGAACTGCAAAATTTTCTTTGCGAGATGCATGCAAAACTTCCGTTCCTTGATCGTTTGGAATCTTTAAAGCATTTGAGTCTTCTGCCTTCAAACATTCTCTAACAGAATCTTCATAGATTTCAAAACGGAAGTCAGTTTTCGTTTTATTCTGAACTTCTTCCGTTTCTTGTTGTTTCTCAATATTTTCCACTTGAACTTTTAAATTATTAAATGAAGCAATGGAAATTTCATTTGCTTCTATTTCAGGCATGACTTCTGGTATCGGAAGATTCTTCGTTGCTTCAAGTTGAGTTTCGGGGATTTCTAAACTTTGCTTAAACTCTTCAGACGTCTCAAGTGGTGGAGGGACAAACGTTTCATCTTGTGAGCTTTCGTTTGAATTCTCTTCATCCAATTTGTGATCAGCAGGAACGTTTTCCATCATAAACGATTTGCATGGAGTAATTGAAGAATTCGTGATGGGTAAAAGACGAATGGGAAATGCAACATTTGGACATGTCTCGGTTTGTTCTTCTGGCATGCGGAAAGAAGCAATTAATGGATTAAATAATGAATTTTCGATTTCCTTCTTCTTGAATATTTTTTGTGAGCTTTGCAAGTATTTTGGAGTTTTTGTGTGCATATCCGTGTCACTTCCGGTGTGACTTCCTTGACTAGCTGAAGATTTTGATGTTTCAGTAGTCTCCATGATTGTCGATAATTGCTTAACATTTTCATGTTGTGTCTGTGAACTTGCGATTGGAGCAGGAGTTGCAGTTGGTGCTAATGGTGTTTTATCATGTGTTGCTGCGTCTTCATCTTCCAAGGGAACAAGCTTTGGAACCGTTTTTTTCGACACTGGAGTGCTGATGGATTGCTGCTTGATAAAGAAGTTGAATTGCTGAGTTGAACAGGCATCTAAGCCCATCGTCATTTCATCATCATCAACTTCAAATATTCGAACAGATTTCTTTTCAATTGGTTGAGGTGTTTTGAAATTTTCGAACGTTGAACGTGTTGGCGTCACTCCCACAGATTCACGTTTGCATGAACTTCCTTTGACATCATCCATATCTTCAGATTTTAAATTATCATCAAACTTTCTTTTGAATGACGTTTTCTTAATCGCACCAGTGGATTGTTTTTGAGGTGGAGACTGAGGCTCTGCAGGCAAGTTAACGGGATCAATCTTCTCAGACTTTGAAGCTGCTAAGAGATCATTATGAATGACTGATTTTCGAGGAATAAAAGATTTCCGGGATAATGGATAAATTGATTGACGACGATCCGTAATTACCGTCATTTCCATGTCACTCGTGTTGTAGATTTCTTCAAAATCATCTTCTGTTAACACTTTAATTTTGCCTCGTTTAAACTTCTCTCCAAGAAGCTCTTCAGGTGACATTTCTTCTAAACGATAAATATTTTTTAAATTAATTTGAAAGTTTTCGTGCTGCTCGTCATGAATGAAACGATCAAAGTTTTCCTTCTCAATTTGCTTAACATTCTTCGATTCAAATCCTGGCGGTATTCTAATGGGAGTCTCAAATTTATTTTCCCAAATGCTGTCATATTGACGGGTTAAGTTGTTTGTTATGTTTCGATCTTTGAACCATTTATATCCACGATATTCATCGGCTGAGATTTCTACTTGAGATTGAGGATATAACAGAAATTTTTCATAGCAAGGAATTGATCTTGGAACTTGAGGTTCTTCGATAACAGTCGCAACATTCCAAGGCTTCTGTGGTAAATTTCGACTCACAAATCCTTGCGGCAACTTAATTCCCAACTCAAATAATTTTTCCTTGCAAGGAATTGGAACAATTTCTTCATCGTCCATTATTGGAAAGCTGAGTTGTAATGTGCCAGTTTTTGAGAAAAGTTTCTGACAGTGACCAGCTTTTGCCTTCGTCCATGGGCCAGGCTCGTGTTCATTCTCCTTCGTTTTTGAGCCATCAATGATGCTTCTAATTACAGAAACATTATTTGCAACTGATGGAGCACCCAACACTTCATCATCAAGCACTTCCACAGCTTTATTAACGTTTGGCAGGACATTTTCTTGGTTAATCACTCCAGGATTCGCTTTCTTTATGGCATTTCCAGTGCGTATGCTTCCGACATATTTTTTCTTGTGTGTTCGAAGAGAAGTCAATGCTGAACGTTTCTCCTCTAATGATGTTTGGAATTGCTTTCTGGAAAGTTCATCATCATTTAGTATTCTCTTAGACATTGAAATGCTAAACGCATCATGGGCTTGTGACAATTCCTGATAAGGTTGAGCTCCCGCATCAAACCCTCTACGGAAAATAGCATTGACCTCTTTGAAATCATTTAAAGCATCAAAGTAGTAGCTCCAAGCAATGTACAGATCAGCTACGAGTGTTCCGATGCCGTTTTGATAAAGTTGGTTGTATAATTCGTTTGGATTCTTTTGAGTATCGATCTAAATGTCAAATCATTAATGAATTTATTTAAAATGTTGCATATAAACATATTAACTTACATATTTTATGAAAAGCTTAATCATTCGGCGATCTTGCTTGTATCTCGTTTCATGTTCAAAGTGTACAATACATTTTAAGATAACTTCGTCTAAACCACTTTCCTTTCCACTTTTTGGATATGATTGCTCGATCCAGCAGATGTACTCATACCATGGATCAAGTGGATCATTTCCTTCATAGTTTTTTATAGCGTCCTCATGTTGCCTTTAAAAGAATATTTTAAATTAAATAATTAAATAAATAGCCGGTGAAGCTTTAATTCTTACCGTTTTTCCATTTCCATTGTTTCTTTATTTTCCTCATTTAAAGCTATTTCCAGAAGATCCGCTCGTCTCCCATGCCGCAATGGCTGTATATTTTCCTTAGCTGTGTCGAAATCCATAGTACTAAATTTATTGGCACAGGTTTTTATTTATTTTTACGATTTTATGAAGAAACATTAATAAGAAAAAATATGGCTTAAAACAATTTTGAAATTAACGTTAAAAATGACGCCTACGCCCTCTACCTCGAAAATAGAGAACTATAAGTTTGTTTTCAGTGTACACCGGTGTGTTTACAAAACATTTATTCACTCCGTCAACGTTATTTTCAATTTTCTTTAAGATAACATAGGTATTTACATAGTAATAACATAAACAATTCAATTTAAGCACAGAAAATAGCCAAAATTGAATGAAAATAAATCAGATATGTGGCTAATTTTAAACAATTATTTTCTAGGCAGCATGTTGGTACTAAGGAGAAGTTATGTTCGCCTTTTTTCTACCAATGTTTATAAACCAACCAAAAATGTTCGTCTTAGAGAAAAATTCAAAGAACTATTAACACAAAACCCAAACAGACTTGATTGGAATGACATCAGAACTAAATTGTTGACATACGAAAGATTCTTGGAATTATCAAATATTGATGCAATAGTGATTCGCATGTGTTCCAAAGAGAATCGTCTTGATGTTGCAAAGTCTTATATTCAATACCTAAAATCAAAATCAATTGACGTGAACAGTGCAACTGCAGGATATTTCCTACGCTTGTTTTATAACAGCAATGAAAATGAGAAGTCAATAACAAATGACGAAATTGATGATGTTAAAAACTTGATTAATTCCCTTATGCAAAAGCATGAAATAATGGATTCAACTTTAGCTGAGAACACAATTTTAGGCCTAACTCTCACTGATGAGTGGATGAAGAGTCTTGAATTGCTAGAACAAATGAAAATAATTAGCACGCCAGGCCCATTTGTTTATAGTAGCATCATAAAAAAGGCTTTTGAAGAGAATTGTGACGATGTTGCTTGGCGTCTTTTAAATCAGATGTCGGAAAAAGAAATACCTCCGAATGCATCTGTTTTTGTTAAATATTTTAGTAAATACATCAGCGAGAGATCTTCAATGGAAAAAATGTTGAATTTTATAAGCGCGAATGGTTATATATTCAATGCAACCTACATTGAGGAGTTTTGCAGAGTATTTAATCAAGAAAAGAAACATAAAATCGTAAGAATTTATGACAACGGACTTTGTCCAGCATGCAACAAGAAACTTCCCAGCATTAAACTTAACAAAGAAGAGTTTGACAAGCTCTCAAAAACTTTTCTCGATGATGTTCTTATTCGCAAAGATGTTTTTCTTAAAACAAACCCTGAGGAAATTGAAAGGTTTAAACATTTCGTAGAGAAAAATTTGGCTTTTGACTGTGTAATTGATGGACTCAACGTTGCTTATTCACATGGAAATCAACAACCCCCTATACAATTTGCAAGGAATGTAAGAATCATAAAAACATTATTTTATTATTATAAAAAAAATGTATTTAATAAATTTTAATTTTATTCCAGATTGCAGCGGTTGTGAAATATTTTGTCGAAAAAAACCAATCATGCTTAGTTATTGGTCGGAAGTATATGGCTAGATGGGACGTAAAGACATTAGATTACATTAAAAAGAACAGCAGTTTGTTTCTAGCAGATGATTTGTAAGTTAGATGAAAAAATTAAATGATTATTGATACAAGTAACATTTATTGACAAATTTTAGATCACAGGATGACCCATTTATTCTTTATTCTGCTCTTAAAAGTGGACCAAAAACGAATATATTTTCAAGAGATCTTATGCGAAGCCATTCATATCTTCTAGACGTGGAATCGAAAAAACTTTTCAGGAAATGGCAACAACAACATCAATATTCACTCGTTACAACTTTACGAAATCTGAAAATCATAGTGAAAGAGCCAATAGATTTTGATATATCTACTCAAAAAGTTGGATCGCATTGGCATATCCCATTTACAAATGAAAAACTTTTTTATTCATATGAGATGTTTGATCTGCCTTCAAAATGGATTTGTTTGAAAATTTGAATTTTCCCGCGCATAAAAATAAAAAAAAAATTAGTTGTGTCATCTATTCAGACGAATAAAAAGGTGCTTAGTCGAAATAAAAAGTTTTAAAATCAAGATTATCATATTAATATTAAGCAACAATTTTTTTATTTTGAGATTCAGATTGACATTGAAAATTTTTTCATTCATAGCTTGACGAAAGGAGGAAAGCTTTGGTGACCTGCCAACGAGATGTGAAAAACTTACAACGAGAAATAAAAACAATCAAATATTAGTGATTAAGTTAACTTAGCAGCAGGGATTAACGAATATAATGGCATCTAAAGGTAGCACAATGCCAATAGGTACTGATGGTACTGATTTTCTTCATCGCCAGCGTGTTGCTGAACATTATCAAAAAAGGTGAAAAATTTTGTACTATTTTTAATCAGACAGGATTGGGACTTTTTCTTTTAATTGATGATAAACTTATTGTGAAATGAGGAAACAAAAAAAGGTCTCATTTAATTATGTGATACAGTGATACAAGGTTGTGACAGGCTCATTAAAACTGTGATATCTTTAGTTACATTCTAAATTTTAGAAATTTATTTTTAAATTCTTTTCAATTGTTTTTCTTTTCTTTTTTTTTAATTGACAGTGCTCTCAACAAATCGCGCCTGAAATTTTGCATATTCTTTCATTATTTGCTTTTCTTCGTCATGCTTGGAAAACTTTCAGCTGACATTTTAGACAAATTGGATATTTTTATTTTGGAAATTGAAGAGCTAAGAGTTCCAAAGCCACTATGGTGAGTGCTTCAACAATATTCCTGATTGTTTTTGTCACATTAATATTCTGGCAATTTTAGGTGGGAATATATTTGGTGTGTGTCTGTAGTTCTTTCTTTCATTGGCCTCTCGGCGACCCGATCCAATCAAGTTTTAAATATGCAAAAGTACATGATTGGTGTTGTAGTGTTTGGACTGATTCCTGTTGTATACTGTATCGTTTATTACCTTTCCGATGTTATTGCTTATTTGAAATTGGAAGATGACATTGAGCTCGAGGATGTTGATAATATCATGGTATGGCAGGTGGGGTTCAATCCTAGAGCTGATATGAAGCATGTCAAAGTTTTAATGACGATCCGAAACATAAATTGAAAGAAGAATTTTATCTTAAAAGTATATTCAACGAAATTCACTTCAAATCAGCTTTTAATGTGTAAACACACAAATCTTAATGTTTATTGAATATTTTTAGAATCTCCCTTACGGTGTTCTCTGGTATGGCTTTGCATTCATGGCTCTTCAAATTCATTCTTTCTCGTTGTACTTCGCTTGGAATTTATGCAGTGCATGGAAAGCTCGAGGCACGAAGAAAACGCAATAGAAGAAAACAATCTTTTCTCCCCAAGATGCCTCTACGAACTGGAATGGATAATGTACTTAAACTATTTTTGTTTCGCAAATTTTCTTTATATTTTTATCCATACAATTGCAGGACTCTATCGTTAGTTTAAAATTTGCAACTGCCAACTCACTAAATTTATTATCGTTTAAACTTTAAAAGCCCAATCATAATATATTTAATAAATGTAGATCTTTCTACATACTTACAAGAATTAAGAACAAAAAATATTATTTTTTGAGGCATGGAAATTTATTGGGAAACGTGTTGTGTGTATGGAAACTTTTTGAAAACGAATTTAATGATCGCGATAAAGAAGAAATTTTAAAGCATACATTTTATTCTGTAAAAAATTGGTTGAATAAATTTAAAAACTAAACTGATAATAAGAACCAGACATCGAGACATTTTTTCCCTTACCGCTTTTTATTTTTTAATTCGAATCAGATCATAAATCATAATTTCTTATTCTTATAAATTTGTTTAATATTTAGAAATCAAAAGTAAAGGTAATTTTAGACTAAGTTGGTAAGTATTTATTGAGAATCTTTTGATATCATATTCATAACTATAATTAAATAGCAAAGCAAATGTGTTTAGCTAACAAAATCATAAAGTTTTAGTTAACAAGAACCGTACTCGGCCATCCAATTTTCAAAGTTTTTCACATCAGATTCCGATACTGATTTTCTTGTTTTACTTAACGCTTCTTTGAAGTCATCAGTGGTGACTGGAAGATCGACTTCTTCACGTTTAATCATCTTAATTTCAGCGGGAGATTTTCCGACTATTTTCCTTCTCATTGCCATTAAAGCTGCATCACTGGAGAGGGAAAAAGATTTCAAACTTCATAAATCAAAAACTTCAATTAATCATTCTTACCGACAAACGTTGGCAATGTCAGCACCAGAATATCCTTGTAACGATTGAGAAATTGCGTTGATATTGAGATTATTACATGTTGATATATTTTTTAGATAAAGATTTAGTAACGCAATTCTGCCTTCATTGTCAGGTAGACTAACGTAAATTCTTTTCTCAAAACGTCGACGAAATGCTTGATCGATACGCCATGGATGGTTGGTGGCTGCTAAGACCATAACTTTGATATCATCATCAGAACTTTCGTTATTAAGACCGTCCATTTGAATGAGAAGCTGGAAATGCGAAATGATTAATTAATAAAAAACTTAGAAAAATCTTATTCTGCTTACCTCCGCTTTAAAGCGTCTTGAAGCTTCATGTTCCGAATCTTCTCGACCCCCTGAACACAATGAATCAATTTCATCAATAAAAATTGTCGAAGGTGCATGAAATCTTGCCATTTCAAAGAGAAGTCGAACAAGTTTCTCTGAATCACCTCGATACTTTGATGTTAATGTTGATGATGAGACATTAAAGAAAGTTGTATTGCATTCTGTTGCAACTGCTTTCGCTAGCATTGTTTTGCCACCTGAATTTTGAGAAAAATGTTATTAAAAGTACAAGATTAAAAATTTAATTTCTCACCTCCCGGAGGGCCGACAAGTAAAATTCCTTTCCAAGGTCTTCTGATTCCTTTGAAAAAGTCAGGCATGATGATTGGTAACACAACAGCTTCTTGTAAAATTGATTTCGCTTCTGATAATCCCGCAATATTACTCCATTGAATTTTTTGACATTTTTGTAAAATATCTTTCTCAATTGTCTCGACAAGTCCCATTTCATAGCCGATTGTATTAAAGATCTTCTGTTTACCACTCATTTTCTTCATCGGAGATTTTCTTAGCTGTTTTGGAGATGTCGAACTGATGGTGTTGGAATTATCTTCAATGGAATTCTCCTGATCATCTGAATTTCCTTCTTCTGATGAAGATTTCTTTGGTTCTTTCTGTATCTTCGAAGTCGACAATTTTCTCAAAGCTCGCATTCTTTCTACTGATCGTGATTTCCTAAAAGCAGACTTCATTGCTGACGATCTCAGTTTTTTGGACTCCGTAGGATAAGCAATGCTATTAACAGAACTTGAATGGCTGTTAATAGAAGGCAACGAAGGTTGAAGTTCTGGGTCGTGCCTTCTTAATGACGAACGCCAACGGTTATCTTGAGGATTTGATTGTCGAATGACAGGAGCAACTTCTAGAAATTCGAGAGTTTTAAAGCATTTTATTGCTGCTATTAAATTGATGATAATAAACTAAAAATATTTTTGTCCTTCTTGCAAAGATTAGAAATGAATTCACGACACTTTTCTTTCATTTCTATTCTCCCGTGTTCTTCAGCGCGTTATAATTAAAACCACTTTTTTTTCGCCTAATTAACTCTTTACAAACGATGAAAAACTCCAACTAAAGTAATGGGTAGTGTGTAGGTAGAAAAGAAAAAAACTCGAGCTTTCCGCAAACGAAAGATCAAAGAAATGTGATAAGAAGTAAATGACCTGAATTTCCCCTTATTTTTCTATAGCTTTTGTTGTAAAAAGAAAACGTAACAAAAAAGAAAGTTTCTTCGTATATTTCCACCCTTATACAAAGTCTAAAGGATTCCATGTTCTTACAAGCGAAATGTTTTGAAATTGAAGGAATAATTGTACTTGAGACGATGCAAATGAGGTATTAGAAGTGGAAGTTACATGATAGAGTTGCGTTAACGAATAAAGTATGTGAAGGACAAAAAATGCAGCAAAACTTTTCGTGATGACCAAAAACATGCGACAATTATAAATTTTACCTTGCGTTGGTATCTTTTTATTGTTACTATTATGAAATGTGCTGCGATTATTCGTGGATGTGGATGAACTCAAACCATTAGACGGCAAATGATTTATACTTGTTGCCTTTTTCACGGGTCGATGAGTCGTAATTTTCGTCAAGGCAAAAGGGGTTGTTGATAGACTATCCAGTATCAAGGAATCCATCATTCGGGCCATCTGGCTGAAGCCATTTGCTTGTGGCGCACTGCTGAAAGTAGAATAAGTAAAGACATGAAATTCCACGTTAAAGTTTATTTGGGAATATTGACCCACATCCAGCATGAAAAGTACTTTTCATTTTGCTTTACATCTTTCTCCCTTTGCTTTGGTAATAAAAAATAGGACCTCAAATATTTATAAATTTTATAAGGAGAATAATTAATGCGAGTGGAATCGTATTAACCCAGATTCACGATCATGATTGTTCAATTGTAAGACTATTATGTTAGCCGCTTTCTTTATTTTGATGAGAACGTTACACTCCATGATCGCGTACGGCAATCGACCTAATATTTTGACACAAAACCAGTTTCATGGGTTAAACCAATAAGTAATTTTTCTTATTGTTAAGTAAGTCTATGAACTTTTGAATAGAAAAATGGCCATAATAACAATTGCTAAACAAATCATGCAAAATGGATAAAATAAATGGTTATGAAGGATTATTTTAGGAAAAACAGCGTTTTGATAACTTATCGAACAATTTGTTAAATTTTAATTAAATCTTGCGAGCTTATACTTAGTTAAAGTGTTCAGATATTGCACTTGTTTTAAGTGATAATCGAATTTAATTTATTTTTAGAACTTGTCTTAATCAATTTTCTGAATTCAAGTGTTTCAGTCTGAGTCGTGATCAATTAATATCATGAGATTTCTTCAAATAAAGGAAATAATCAGTGTGTGAAAATTCACATGACATCAAATAAAGGAAATTAAAATGATGGAAAATTTTCCCACGTTATATGAATATGAAAGTTGAATGACCTGACATGAAAACAACAATCATAGACTTATATCAGAAAAAGGAAAATCCCTTTAAATGTAGACCATTGTCCGCCGATCAATAGCTGTCTGATTGTCTGATTAATTATAGATTCTATTAAGTCCCCAATAAAAAGTAAGACAAATGAAGATTATTTGTTTCAATCAATCATTCAACGGACCAAAATAAAAATTATTTGACTTATTCGTTCATTATCTGAGAACACTAATGTAAGTAAATTCTGAGTCATAGGAATTTTGTTTTACCATTGATGAATATTCCATAATGAGTGATAAGGTTGTGAATGTCGGATAATTGGTACCGGCATCGACACTTCATACTCCACATGACAATTCCCTGAATTATCGTTACTGATATGTTGATTAGAAACACTTCGGTGGATTTTCTGATCGTTAAGATTTTGATACCCAAGCTGAGGTTTTTGGTGCGGCTGGTGACCGCTATAATAACTATGCTCAAACATTACACAATTTATTTAATTTATCATGATACACATCTGAAGGCTTTTTTTTCTTGTCTGGTAAAATTCCGTCTTACCACATCAACAGTCCACTACTAACTAAACGACCATAAAGGACTGAACTACATTTTCTCCATTCCGACAAAGAAAAAGAAGAATGAAATACCTAATAGTAGTTTCTTTTGACTTACAAAAGCTAACATATTTTTTATTACAGTTAGTAGGTGGTTTTGATGATGATGATGATAGGATCTAATGTCACATGTCAAAGAGAATCTTTTTGATTAATTAGAATATTGAAACTGATCGAAAATATCTATTTGTGTATCCAAAAACAATTTAAAGGCACATCTAATATGGAATTGGAATTCACCCCCTGGCTTGAATATTGATTTACTTGCTCTACACTGCTACCGAAAATTTTCTTGCACGATTTTTTTGAACATGATACAAAAACAACCCCGAAAACAGCGCGGAAATCATAATTATACTTGGCTATATGTAGTGAAGAGCTTGGACTTCAAAGGTCATTTTGTTGATAGTTTTCCGGTGTATTCCGTTCAACACAAATTTTTTTTTATTCGTCGTTGCATTGAAGTAGGAACAGGAAATTGGATAATGTAATAAAAATGTGCCTTCGCCTTAAGGGAATGTTTGACATTGGCTGAGCTTAAGGGAAATTGTGACGAATATAAAAGTATTCACATGGGCCGAAAACTAAAATTTCTTAGAATTTTTGGTGGTTTTAAGTCTTTCATAATTTCAAAACTTACATATGATGCTCTATTCTGCAAGTTATCGATCCATTTTTCTTAATAATTCTCTCACAAATGATTCTTTGATTGCTATACATTGTTAAAACTTAAAAACTTATAAAAAGATTAGGAAATATTAAATTTTAGCACTTTTAATTTTAAGATGAATCATGAAGTGTTGGAAGCTGTATTCAGTAAATGTTTCATTATTCTCCCTAGGATAACAACAACAAAATAAACTACCACGGCCCTGTCTATGAAGATTTGAAGTCTTGCGCAATTCAAAGGTGTGACGAAGACAAAACATGTAATAAAAGCTTTCACTCTCCTTTAAAGGAGAATTCGATTCTCTTCTCTCTGTAAGACTATGCAAAATCATATCATGAAAACTTAGAAAGAGAAAATGTAAATTATAGAAAAGAAATAAACATATTAATGTAAATTTAGAAGCTGCTCTTCTTCAACTAATGTAATCTAAGTTTTAATTGAAGTATTCATGAAATTTTTAAAGCAAACATACAATTTGATCCAAAATGTTTTATGCTGTTTATTTTTCTTGTTTTTCTTACGAATACATTGACAAAAATTAAAATTGATACAATTTTGGTGTGGATCACGACGTCATTCATGATATAAAAAATCACGCTATGATTAATAATCTTTAAAATTGTTAGTAAATAAACAATAAAAAATGTTCAATTGATAAAAATACATGAAATATTATTTCATAAAAATTTTGGATTGTTGCAAATTGCAGTCACATGATTTTGAAGAAGTAAAAGATTTGACATGAAGATAACGTTGTGACTATTCAATCGTCAAATATGCTGCTAAATTGAATATCAAATAATAACATTCAGTTCTTTTTCAGTAACAAATTTAGATTATTTCTACCGAAAACCCATGCAAGATGTTTTAAAAATTGTTTCGTTGTAAGATTCATGAAGTAATCTTATCAATTCAATGTCTTTAAATACTTTTTGGATTGCCTACCCAAATATTCTCTTATGGCCGAAAAATGTTGACAATTCATCATCATCATCATCATCATGAGACTCTTGTTTTACCTCACAGATATTCTGAAATAGCAAAGGGGACATTAAAAATTGATCGACTACGTAAAGGTTAATGTTGTCTCCCTTCAGGATAACTGAAATAATCTCCATTAGCAATCTTTTGCTTTTATAAGTTCCTTAAACGAACTAATGAACACATTCGAATCGTAAAGTATTATATTTACATAGGTGAATTATATATGAGCATTTAAATACGTAAGGATAAGTTAAGTAGTCCCAGTTAGTATATTTGCTGCCCCATAGAAGAAGAAAAAATCGATTTTCACGTAGATCTTCTAAACTTCAGTTATTGTGTAAATTAAGTTTCGTATTTTTGAAAAGATTTTGCATCTGACATTTTAAACTTTAACTTAAATCTTTCATGCGTGTATTTCTGAATTGAAATGTTATATTTCAAATGATAATATTATTGTCATACATAAATCTCATGAATGCTTGCTTATTTACAAGTTGCTACATATGAAAATCAAAAATTCTCTAATGACGATGTTTTGCTTTTTACTTTATCGAAATATTTAGTTTTATGTAAATAAATGTCGTTATAAAATAAGAGCTTGATTATTTCTTATTCTATTTGTTTAGTAAAATAAGATAATGTGATCTATGCCTTGAAAAACATCAACACAATTAGTAAAACATTTGCCACAGTTGCGTAAGAAGCTGAAAAGTCTTTAAATGCCTTTAAATTCGTTTTAATGGCATATACTTAGTAGCGTTCAGTTTTATCATCAGAACCACTTGTTTTTGAAGAGTTTTGCAATATTTATGACTTCAGTGCTCGATAACATATTTATCAAAAGTGACGTCTTTCAATCGCCAGAACAGCTTCAAGTGAGTCTCTTTATCGATTTTAAATGTGCTATATACCCACACATAAAATACATTTTGAGTGAAGGGGTGTAAGTCCGTTGTCAAACGAAGCAATGTATTAAATTTTCTAAATGTAAAGTTGTTTAATTCGAGTGCTTCAATCTATTTTTAAAACAGCCCGAAAAAGCAACAAGCACATATACACTCATCGCAGCGAAAACAAATATTAAGTTTTTCCACTACAACTGCTATCAACAGCTCGTGCCTGACAAATTCTTTCGGTTTATTGTGTGTTGTTTTTCTAATTTTTTTTATAATTTTCTATTTTAACTTATACTGTCTCCTGCTCGACTAAATAAAACACAATTTTCTGGTATCGGTAGTAGTTATGTGTAGTGTAAATAGGTTCACTCAACCAACTTCGCTATAATGTGCATCTAGATCACGAAAGAAAGTAAAAACATGCTTTTAATGAAAAAGTATTCAACCGTGACAGAGCTCATAAATTACTCCCACTAAGATATTGTATCAATTCACATTTTTTTGCTTGTATTTTTATGTGTACTCTCAAAGATTTTTTCCTTTGATACTTTAAAAAAGAGTTGTCGATTTAGTAAATTCTGATCATTGGTACAGTTAACGTCAGTTAAAGAAAAAGAAAAAGAATTTCTTTGCGCGGAATCGTGTAGAATAAAAGACAATCATTTCATAAGAAAAGACAAAAAAAAATTGCATATTATTTTTATTCAGCAACAGCTTGCAGAATTTAATCGAAAAGTGCCATTAAGAAGTAAAGATTACGATAAAATATTGTGATATAAAATTTTTCTCGAAATTTAACACATAACAAAATCTGTCGCTTAGAAAGTTTCTTCGTTGTTAATTTTTCTCTAATCCAGATTTTGTTTTCAAGAAAAAAAAATCAACTTTAATTCATTTAAGAAATGTTATCAGAAGATACAAAAAAAAATTGAAGTGCGACCATAGAATAATTAACTCAGAAACATTTACGTGCGGTTTGACAAATTTTCTTTTATTTTCCGTCCAGGATCAGAAAACAGGAAAATTTCACTTTCACCAATACTGAAGGGTCGTTTCTAAAAATTCTTTTCATATTATAGTGTGACTTGATATTTAAATATAGAAAAAAGAAATTTTTCGGTCTCAGCTCCTCTCAGTTTTTTGTTTTCTCTTGTAAAAGTGATGAAAATTTTAGTAACCGACAAGAGATTCTTTCGAAAAATAAAATTTACTTAAATATCTCCAAGCTCATTTTGTTTATCCACCTCGAAATGAAAAAGAAAATACTTATTGCCTTAATCTAAATATAATTGGCGACTTTGTAATTTTTCTTGTATCTTTCTTTTCACTCTCTTTGAAAAAAAATAACAAGATTATACAAACAGAATAAACGAGCAAACAAGTGTACGAAAAAAATGTTTTCTAAGCATGCACGTTTGTTTTCCATAATCACAAATTTGAGGCTCAAACATTTATCTTTAGCAACTTCTTGAAATTTATTGATAGTACAAAAGTGAAACTGTTCCTAAAAACATTGTGTGCGCAAAAGTAAACTTTTGAATTGATAAGATAAGTGAAATTGCTCGCGTGAATCAGATCTTATTCAGGATTATTAAGTGAACAAAATCCAAAATGACATAACGTTCGCAATTTGCCTGTTTTCATTAAAAATCTTACGGAATAATTTAATTAATATCTACAAGTTTAGTTTCCATTAGTTTATAAATTTTCCATCTTAATTAGTATTTTTCGCGCAAAATGTCTGTGATTTAAACAAATGATTTAAATGTAACTGAATGAAATCTCAAGACAATTATTTAAACTATGCTGAGAAAGAAATATTTTTAGAGCAGACTTCAGTACGAGTAGGAAAAGAATACAATAAAGAATTGTAGCATAATTCATAAAATAGAAGTTCACTATGCGATTTACACGACTATGAATAAATTTTTATTACTCGCTCTACTTTCGAAGAATTATTTTGAATAGAAATAATTAGAAATATTTCAACTATCTTATCCATATTTATTTCCTTCAATTGATTTTAATTTCTTTAAATTAAATTCAATAAATTTCAAAGCAATACATACTCAATAAAAACATAATCAAATTAAAATTTTACAAGGCTTAAGCAACAAACAAAGTAAACTTCGAAAGCAGCTTTGAAAATCATGTCGTCACCACCGCCAGTTAATCCTGTTACCACTGCAAGTGCACAATCACGACGAGAATCCTACGCGCGTAGACAAGAGTCTTTGATAGAAAGGGTGAGTAAAGAAATATTTTTTATGTAATTACTTTTATGGAATCGTCGTTAAATGGATATTAATCGTACAATAGGTAATATCGATGTATACTGTGCTTTATGAGGTTAATATAATCGAATTATTGGGTGAGAGAGATCGAATTTGTGCTTTTCCTTTCCCTTTGAATGGAGTAAATATCCTTAATAAAGCATAGCAATCTGCACATTTCCATGAATTTCATCTCATTCCTGAAGTGAAAGGCTTTAAGTTGTTCTCTAAATCCATCAAACTAATCTAGCTAGAAGGAATTCTTTTATTTAAAACTTCACATGGATAGCAAAAGTGATTTTGTCATAAATAAAAAACGATCTTCATACATAAATAAGATTGTGTGTAACACCACAATACAAATCAATCAACAGATTAATTCTATTACTTGTTATTTTATCACATTTTGTTTCTGTTGATTGTTTATTTCATGTGACAAATTTATTTTCGTGACTCTCCACAAATTTCTATCAATTGGAAAGAATCAAGAAGCAAAACAAAACTTTTAATTTCCTTTTTATTTTTATTTAGTAAACTTAATTATTTGACACTTTATATTTTATTCTGAATAAAATATGAGTTTGAGAATGCTAAATGTATTTACATAGTAAATATTATGGGGTCAAGAATAAACAAACAAGCTGTTTGATCATACATTTATTAGATAACAATACGTATCACTTTGCATAAATCGCCTTGTTTTCGCATAGTTGAAACGAGTTTTCGCTCGTCTATTTCTGTAACTTTTTGTTTGTCAATAAAGTTTTGTTGTCAAGATTCGCGACACTTAAAAATTTACATGAATGTACATTTTTTCAGTGACTAAGTTAATCTTTGACAACGATGATGTCGCTTATGTCACTTGGTCATTCAAAAATTGAGAATGTGATGTTGCTGAACAATTCTCAATATTATGACTGCGGAAATAAGTGTTCAGGGCATGATGCTCATTTGCGATTTTTTTATATGCTAGTTGAAGCGCAATGCTATCAAATTGACCTCACGGGCTGAAATAGATTGGCTTATTGCTTTGTTTTCATACCTTAATCTAAAAATATATCATGACTTTTTATGAATACTTTTCTCTATTAAGTAATCATTCAATTCAGGCAGGATCTAAATTGCAGCTTATTGTGTCGGCATTACATAAACTTTCTTTTTAATCTTATTACAATCGAGTTGCTTCAACTTCTTTTGAAACAAGTGAATGAAAAGTTTTCATAATGAAAGCAAAATCATTTGGTAGTGGGCGATTAAAATGCATTATTAAATTCAACAGAAATAAAAATGTCACAACGTGATCATGTGTGCGGCTATTTATTTTAAAATAGAAATAAAAATGCTATCAGAATGGAATTGCGGGCTAAATTGGACAATAATAAATAAAATTCTCAATGTAAAAGAAATGATGATTAATTTCATTGCTTAAGTATAAAAGTGTTTGATGTTGTTCGCTAGTTGGAAGCATGAAATGTTTTGTATGATTTGTAATGCGCATCACTCTAAGCAAAAATACTTTTATTAATCTTATCGTTGCTACTTTACTTCATAAATTTATATATTTAGCCAAAGGAAATGTATTTCTCCGTTAACTGATTTGATCTTGTAACATAAATCGTCGCGAATATTACAATTAATAAGGATGCAATTAAACTACTTTTTCGCAATCATCGTATTTTAAAAGAACATGAATTCACTTTCATCATATGAAAATATGCATTTAAATACATGCAATGAAAGTGAAGCATTAAAACTTTTTCATATCAGCGAACATCAAAGATGTAAACAAACGTCTTTTGATGAAAAGTTTAATGAGGGATGAAATTAAAATTGCAATGATATGCAAACGCACCACGAGAAGAAGGAAATAATTAGAAAACACCGAAAACATCGACGTGCGCACACATTCATCGAAAGAAATGTTAATAGGAAAACCAACACCAACAAAACTCTGGAAAATTGAGATGAAAACTTTTCGTTGTCTACCACATATTGGAGTGTAAATTTGAGCATGGCTCACAATTGGGACGCATGAAAAATCTTCATCCCTCATTATTGTTTCAATGTTAGAAAAGAAAAATCAAGAAAATTTGAGAAATCCTGAAAAAATTTGATAACTCAAATATTTGACGCATTTTGTCTTAACTTGAATGTTCACTTGAACGATAAAAAAGATTTTCTTTTCTGCTAGACTGAACGAGCAAGAAAGAGAGAGAGAGGAAGAGAAAACTCACCAAGAGTTTTCCAAACCGAGATTCTGGCATCGTTTGCGAAAAGTTTTTCTTTTCTCCAGTTTAGTTGATGTCCATTGAGTGTTGTAGAAAGGTTACCTTTACGTATTCTTTGGTGTGCTTTTCTTTTCTCATTTATTGTTGGAATTGAGTAGAAAATTTCTTGATTAAGTGAATTGTGAGACGAAAGGATTAACTTTAATCAAATAATTGTGTAATTCTCAGAAAATTCTGAAGATAAATTGTGGGAAAAGATTTTCGTTTGGACTTTTTACTGAAGTGAAATTTTTCCAGATTTTTCTACGGGTAATACTCTCTAAATATACCTTTTCAACGACACAAAGAAAACATAATATGGTGACGCTTCTTAGGAAAAAAAGGGCGCGGAAAATTTTCATTCCGTTTTTCCCATGGAAAAAATTGTTCCTTCTCATGCGTAGTTTGTAGTTTAAAAAATGAATTAACAAATTTTAAGTTGCGTCTGGAATTAATTCTTCGTATTTTCGATAAAATTTGCCTAGAAATCTGGAAATAAAAATATTTTAATTTGATAATTTGTGTTCTTATTTAAAGAAACATTTAAAACAAATGGAAAAGGAAAAACAGAGAAAATTCTATAAATAAAAGTTTTTAATTTCTTCTCTCTTCATTTCAATATCACATGATTCCTTTTTCATCACCAGACATCATCAGATATTATAAAAAGTTTTTGTTCTGATCTGAAGAAGGACACGAAAAAAGAAAACAAAATTTATAGAAAAAAGATTGAGAATTATTACGGTGATTTATTTGCAGTGAAATAATCAAACCGTAAGCAGTAATTATGGAACAAGATAACAAAGAACAAAAAGAATCCCATGCTTCATCGCATCATCACCATCACCATTCGAAAGACCAAAAAAAAGATAACTTTGTGGTTCATGTAGGTATTAATTTGGACTTCTTTGGTATCATCCATACATGATTTGAAATTCTTATGTTACTTACCTGCATAAATTAATCTCTGATATTACATCCAACATTGTTTTATTTACCTTCACGTTCTATTGATTTAAAATTCAACCATTTTCATCCTTTCATTCATTTGTTCTCTTCTGTTCGTACAAATTGTGTTTATGTATCTCTCAGAATGAATTGTAATGACACACGCCTAAAATATAATCCCGAAATCATTAAAAAAACACTCCATTAGATGTTCATCAAGTTACGTATGTGAGAAGAGAATAAAATATTTCACATCTTCGATACCGTCAAATCATCTTTTTGAGCATTTAATTGAGAGAAATGGATGAAAAATGACAACAGTAATCTAAAGAATATCACTCAAATCCCTAAAATAGAAAGTTTTTGGTCCATTAAATGGCATTAAACATTAATCTCATATTAAACTTCTTTGAGCTTTCAAAAATGTGATATTGAATGTTGGTTGAGGGGAAATATGAAATTTCTGTAAACAGAAACCACTGAACGTGTAATTTTTGTTTTCCTGAAAAGGAAAATTTAAACAAAGCATCTCGATTGTATCTTAGAACCTTGATATTATTCTCTTTTTACGGCAGTGCCTTTGCGAAACACTTTAGAAAAAGTATTGTTTGCATTATATATACAAAAAGGTTCTTGAAGTGAAATAGAAGAAGCGCTGCCATCAAAGCATACGTTTTTATTGATTTTTCACTTTCGTCTTTTACATTGCTTTCCGTTTCTTAAAGAAAATTTTTTTCTTCATTTCTTTCACCCATAAAGAGATTGATTTGACTTTGACTTTGAGTAAATGGTCAGAAAATAAGAACTTGATCATTGAATTTGATTTTTTTGTACCTTTCAATCTCAAAATAGATACGAATTTTGATCCCATTGCTTATAAAGGAAACTGTGAAGAAAACGTTTTATTGAACATAAATACGTTTCTCTTGAGTTAAAAATATCTTTATAAATGATTTAATGAAATATCTTTTATTTCTTGATTTTGAATTGTTTCGAAATATTTTCTTCTTGAATTGAGGGAAAATTGATCAAAAGTGCCTAAAGATAAACAAACGTTTTGTATACGTTGCGAATGATGATCATTCAGCTTGTTGAAATATCTGTTTAGAAATGTTGTGTGATTCAGAATATTTGCACTGCAGTGGAAGTTAGAAAATAAGTTTACGAAGATTCCGATTCAAAGCAAACTCATTTTGCAGTCGCTAATGGATAATATTGAATTTAGAGTTATGTTTGAAATTGTGTCAATTTAATCAATCAACATTATAATAAATTGAGGATTTGCTTTTCCTGCATTATGTAAATCGTTTATCAGTAAAATATTACATAAATGAAGAGTTCAACAAGTTATTCTCGTTCATATTTTCGTAAATAAAGGTGTGACTTAATGTCTACGAAATGAAAATGTGAAGACTTCAGTTCAGATTGTAAATAGATAAATAAACATGTGACTCCATCAATAGATGTATGCATTTCACATTTGTATTTAGATCAATTTATATAGCACTCCAAGATTTATCATTCCTTCGATAAATAATTACAAGCTTAATAACATGTGCTGCATACACACATCAAAAATCATGCAACAACAATATCAACCAATCTGAAACATCAATATACGCTTAACGACAACTGGCAAAGGCCGGTTATTGTCAGGAAATTAACTTTAATTGAAACAAATGGACTTTTGGAATATTTTAATTAAACTACTGATTTAGGATGTACACTCAAATGATTCTCTCAGAACACAATCTTTGGTCATTTTTGTTTAAAGGAATTGTTTAGCCACGATTTCCATTTTTCTGATATTCACTGGATTTAAATAATTTTATTAATTACTTTTATATTTTAAAAAAGCTTTTCAAATAAACAGAAAACTTTCATGTCCTACTAACGTCTTCTATTTTATATTTCCGCAGAAATACTCGATACCGACAGACAAATCTGGCGAAATTGTTGTAACAGTTCAGGTAAGAAATTAGAATTGAAATTAAATTTTACTTTGTTTTTGTTTCGTGGTTTCTGTAAAATGCGTATCAAATATTATGCTGAAAATTATCGAATTTTCGTGCACAAGCATTAAGCTTCCTCATTTTGTAATAAGTAATCAACACAGAAATGATATGTAAGTGATTCATGGCCGCAACTGCTAATCATGTTTGACTACACAAAATGTATAAACATCAAATGTATAAAATTAAAAATTGTTCTTTTCATTTCTTTCCCATTTCATTGTTTTTTTTTACAAACGCTTTCACAATAAACGTATAACATTAAAAAATCTGCTTTCATTAAAATTTGTAAAGAAAAATCAGGTAGGATGAAGGAACGATTCGATTGATGTTAAATTCAATTCTTAATTAGTTTAAAAATATTGTTGTTGACTTTCCTTGTTCCATGATTAAGAACAAAGAAAATTGCCTTTAAATGTTTACATTTTCTGTTACTCATCCATTCCTGAAATTTATTCTAATACTTTTAATTAACTTTCTTCATAAAAATAGGGCGATTTGACACAACAAGAAAAACGTGCAGTTTTCCTCACTGTTCACGATCTAGGATGCAATCGTAGGTTGAATGACTTTGAAGAACTTTTTTGTATTTTAATTATTTTTTTTTCATTTCTCACAGATGCGTCATTCCAAGATTTCGTTAATTCGCCATGTATGACTGAAATTAAAGAGCGCTCTTGTTTCATTCATGTCGATGTTCCAGGACATGCAGATAATGCTGCAGGACTTCCTGATAGGTAATTATTTATTTATAAACATGTTCACAATTATCAAATAGGGCAATAACCTTTGGAAATCTTTCTTTTCCTTCTAATATTTCAGTTTCGCATTTCCATCGTTGCAAACATTAGGCGAGGATCTTGTTACAGTCTTAGATTATTTGCACGTGAAATACGTAATCGGATTAGGTGAAGGTGCAGGGTAATCATCGAACATATATTTTGGTTGCTTACGAGTCAATTGTAATCGAATCTTTCTCTAATTTTAGTGCAAATGTGTTGGCCCGTTTTGGATTGAAACATCCAACGCGATGTCTCGGAATGGTTCTTATCAATTGCACAGGCTCGGCAGCTACTGTGTTGGAAACCTTCAGAACAAAATTCATCAGTTGGAAGGGAGATGAAGTCGGACAAGGTGCTGAAGATTTCTTGCTTTACCACAAGTTCGGACATGTAAGTTTATCTTCGGAAAAGGTCTTGGAATTGTTCTGTTTCAAAAACGTTTGTTCAAGTGTCAAAAGAAAAATGTTCTTAATCAAAAAAATCTTGTTGTGAAGTTTTTTCTCTTATTCATTTTAATGCAATGTTGGTTGTGGTGATGAAAGAAAAGCTTCTTCACATAACATGTCGTGATAATATAATTTGCTGAAGAAAGCTCGTAGCGCTGCTATAAACTTTTGTCATTTTAATATGAAGATATGTTAAGAAGTGCAACAGAAGAAAGAATTTCTTAAAGATATTTTCTTTTGATTTAATTAGATTGTTGTTGATTCTTTTTTAACTTTTTTCTTTCTTTCTTGTTTTTTCCTCCCCAAAAATATTTCTTTTGTTTTATTTATTTATTTTCATGCTTTATCCGTCTTGTGTGTAACAAAAAATTTGTATTAAAACATGAATTGTCACATGTTTAAACATTGTTGTAATGCGACCGCCGTTTAACATGATTTCGTTTTGCGTTACATTGTTGTCACACTCAAACACGCCCGTTATGTGCAATGGATTCATCAAATTTATTTTAATGTGAAAACTTTCGAATGTTTACAAAACTTAACAGGTTTTTCACGAGGTATTTACATAAATGAGATTACTTTACATATGCTTTTATGTTGAATGCAAATATTTTTTCCCAATCTTATTGAGTTTAGAAAACTTTATGTCATCAATTTACTTTTCTCATCAATCTTATTTAGTTTTAGCTGATTTTCTAGAATAGAATTTGAGTATAGAAATATTTAGAGAAAGAATCAGGAAAGAAAATAAATAATGAAGTGACTGAGACGATATCCACCCTTAGAGACTGTTTCACTCTGAATTATAGTCATAGCTTTGAATCTCATTCATTGTTTAACTTTATTAAGTAAATATTCATCCATAATTATCGTCCAAACTTATTCAGCTGTCAATTTGTCATCTCAAGTGCATGTTCAAATTGTCAATGTTTTCTTTTTCGCAGATATATTTAGAAAATCTCTTCTTATTTTTCACACACGTTTTTCTTTTGTTTTCCCGCGATGTAGGCAATTTCTAGGAAGGTTTGTGTTTGCTATTAGAAGAAACTTTTTCGGTGGAGCTTTCAATTTGGAGCTTTTTTAACTTGATGATATTTGGTATGAGATCAATGTGCCTGCTTAATATGCTGACAATGCAAAAAAAATATTTAATATAATAGCTATAACTGAAATAAAATATAAAATATTATTTTATGACACCGAGGAGGGATCCAAAAAAGAAATTGCCAATTTCGCTTTTGTCACTGTTCATGACAACAAATTGATTATCGTTTTCTTTTCTTTTCTTCTACCCTTCTTTTCTTCTGTAACAAACAAACAAACAACATCATCACCATCATCATACAACAATAACACAAATTTGTATATAAAATGTTGAACACATTAGCAATTGGTTGGTGATAACCCCGACAAGGAGAAGATTGTTGCCGACTTTCAGAGCCGCTTGCACAGCACGCTGAACAGTAAAAATATCAAACACTACGTTAAATCTTTCATGACGTAAGTATCGTTTAATTCATATTTTTACATGTATTTATTTCTCTCTCTTTCCTTCTTTTCCTCCTTTTTATTTAATTCCAATTTCAGCCGAAAGGATTTGCCGTTGAAAAATTGCAAAGTTGATGTTTTGCTCATCACTGGCATGCTCTCGCCATATGCAAGTGTAGTTGAAAAATTACATAAAGATACCGACAAAGAAAAGGTCACAATGTTGAAGATTGAACGTGCTGGCGATGTTCTTGCTGACACACCTGCGAAAGTCGCTCAATCGATTTTGTTGTTCTGTAAGGGTCAAGGATTACTAACATCAGTCGTTATGCCAGGTGTTGATCGCCAACGTGCATTTTCAACTTCTAGTGGTGGCTCCAATGGAGAGCCTCGACGATTGTCCAGAGGTAACTTAATGGTTGGATTAGGGAAAAAATGAGATTTGAGTCTATGAAGAAGATAAAATTAAGATTAGCATGTAGCATGATGATGAATGAGGTTTCTTCTCTTTTCCTTCCTTTTCTTACTTTTTTCCCGTTTTTCAAGCAGGTATGAGTATGGAGGAGTACGATAAACCCAACATTCGAAGACTGTCTGTCACACCAAATGACCAGTTACCGCCAATCCAAGCGAAAAAATAAATACATTCATCGCTCTCCACAATTGGATGGAATCAACAACAAATTATTCAGACACATCTCAACACGAAATCGCGCATGTATCTCTTTAATGTTTAAATCGCCAACTTCACCTTAGGATCTTGATTGCTTGAAACTAAATATTTAAAAAAAAGCAGAACATGAAACCGAGAATTTTTTGGTATCTATACACACTGAGTAAAAGCTTCACTTATATAAGTAAATAATTAGTAGCAAGCGTAGACTTTCAACACATATATTGAATAAAATTATGTCGCCAAAAGATAAAATATTAACTAACCAATCAATATTACAATTGAATCAAATGCCAAATACATGAAGGAATTTTGGTGAGAAAAATCTTTAATTAAACGAACATCGCTTTGGTGACAAAAAAAAACAGATTTACAAGTTTCTTATCTTCATTGAGGTAAAAAAAAGTATTTAATAATAAGAGTTGAGCATTAGAAGAGTTTACCCAACACAACATAAAGGAAAATGAATAGCATGATATTTTATAAGATATAAAGCACTGTCGGAGTTCAGGTGGATAAAAAAAAGCGAGTGAATGGGTGGTGGAAAGGTTTCGGAAAAGTATTTGGAAAACCTGTTTATTTACAGACTAATCAAAAAGGTTAAAAATTGAAGAATTGCGCAATTAGAAAGAAAAGTGAGAACATCTCTTGGTGATAAATTAATTTTTATTTTCATATGTATGTCAAAAATTCTGAGAGGCTGTGCCTCTTGTGTTATGATTGTTGGATAGTTGAAGCAAAAAAAGTTTTCTTGAAAATCAAATCCACCTGAAACCGACACATACTTTAAATAATTAAAGAAATTGATAATTAAAATTAATACACATTAGAAGCATTCTTTTTCATGTCATGAAAAGAAGTCATGACTACTTCTAGAAAGAAAAGTTAAATCAAATTGAAATATTTTTTAGGCCTAAAGAAACTTTCATTTGATTTGCAATTTTATTGAATTGAAAGAAATATTTTAAAGCAATTTTGAATTAGAAATGAGTTTTGTTTTGGATAAATTGTAAGTTTTCTTTTTAAACATTTAATCGGCTAATGGCCATTAAACAGCTTTTCACTCTTTATTATTTGTTAATTTCTAATTCTGTTAGCAGAATATCTAAATCTTACAAAGAAGTTGAAAGATATTAATAACCACATAAATTAATGGCATACCTTCGACTGCCATTTGCTACTGTTTTCTTCAATAAATAACAAATATCTAAATAAATAAATAAATAACTAAAGGTTTGATATCAAATTTTCATTCTCGTATTCTACTTACATATGATATGTAGTTGAGTATTTAGTAGTAATACAGATTTAGTTGTTGTCAACTAAATAGTTGGTATTAAGTAAGAAAAATTTATACAAAAGCAAATTTTTAAGACGAAAGGAAATAAACTAAAGAGATATAAATTAAAGTACCTTACTTTACTAATTAATCATACATACTTACATACAAAAAAGCAACGCAGAAAATCCATTGACACATTTGCATCATGTTAATTCTATGGTTTTAATTAATTAAGCTATTCATTTCATTCATCTTCTATTTAGTCAATCAACAGTTAAAAATAATTTGAGAGCTAAAATTTAACTTCATTACAAAATCGATATATACAAATTTGCACGCAAAAGAAATTTATTTTAATAACTAATTTATTCCATAAAGAGAATTGAGATAAAAACATAAATACCTAACTTTAAAATAAATTTTTTGAGAACAACGTAGCAAAAATAAAAGCAAGAAACAATTCATTAAACTAGAATGAACGAATCTTTTGTAATCGTAAGATAAAAGTTTTATATTTCAATTTAGATAATTAAACTTTCAGATCTTCTATAATCTTTCGGGGTGTTTCATTCATGAATTATTTATTGAGCAGATAGTTGAATAAACAATCTTTGATTGAGCTTCTTGTTGTTTTCAATTAAGTTGTTTTGTACCTCACGAAATTGACGACGACTTGAATGTTTGTCATCAGGTTAGTGATCTCCCATTTCCTTGAAATTGGGAAGCATTTGAAACTCTTGAAATGCTTTAAAAATCGTCAAAATGAAAACAATCATCATTAAGGTTTTAATTTTCTTTTTATTGATTTCGTCAAAGAATGTTTGAAGTAACTTCATAGATTTGTGCTACATTAGTCATTGTTAATATTTTACACAACTAAGAACTTTTTACTCTCAAGATATATTCTTCTAATATATTTGCTCCTGAAGCGAACATCTCATAGCTTTGTTCGCATATGTACTTTGGCAAAGTAAACCAGCACATTGAACCAGAGAGGATAAGCGAACAATGGGGAGACAAGCTCAATATTACTTGAAGTGTTATTATTATTTCTTTTTGTTTTAGATAAATAGATTTATTTAAATATAAAAAATATATTAATCTATAGCATCGGTGATTCTTTTGTGTCATTTATTTCTTTTGTTGATTTTATTTTGTTCTTCATTCATCACCCTAAACTTGCAAGGGAAAAAAGGTTAAAATTTATTTTAGATTTTGTCTTTAATTTTTATCTTCACTTCTTAAGATATTTTGAAACAATCGAAAAAACTCTCTTTTTTTCTTCTAAACATTTTCATTTCTTCTAAGCATCCCTAAATTTTTCTTGATTAATTGATAAATGCAGCCTACGATAAATTATTCAATCAATGAAACAAATTCATAGTCCATCATATGGTTAAAAGTGCTTTGTTGTCTTCTTTAGAAATTAATTTAGATTGCTTTAATCACTTCTTGCGATCTTTATCTGTACATCATCATTTCGGTTGATTGATAGAGCATTAGATAAGCATCGCAATACAAACGTTTAGCGAATTCTGGAAGATGTTTGTCATTGATATTAGCCTCGTGTAGAATGCGCGCTCCATCTTCAGATAGCCATGTTGGTAAATCAGGTACAGGAACCATTTCAGGTATGTTGTAGCCATCACGTTCCCCCTTGCGGTCAGCCATCGAGTCAAAGAACACCCAAGGTGAATCCAAGCCTGAACCGGTCTTCGCAAATGTCACATAATGCGATGTTTCTATACAAATAACAGCAAAAAGTTCCATAAAAAGTCGTGGAACTTGATTATACTCAGCCATGATCTTGAAATCATGTGGAATGGACAACGGCTTTGCTTTATGGTTGACTCGTTTCTGATGCGAATGAACTGTCGCTAGGCATTTCTTGCAGAACGCTGTTGATTCAAGGCCAGATCCAACTTGACAAACTCCAAAACATTCTCGACATTCAAACTCTGCAAGTGTTCCACAAATGGTGCATTGCCTTGGTGCTGAAAGAATAACAAAAAGTTTTGTTAAAATTCAAATGACGTTTGTGCCAACTTACAATCTTCGATAACGTCAGTAACGTCCAAAACTTGCGATGGAAGAATTCTCGGATACATTTTATAATTTTTTCCAAAACGTGGCATTTGAATGATGAGACAGGATGGAACTTCTTTCAATTTAATATCTGATGAAAGAAATGATTGTTCAAACAATTGTTGAACATTTGGAAGTGTCAATCTTTCGTCTTTCTCCACGAAAAGTTGATAACAAAATGTGTCTAAACCCGAACTCAACTAGAAGGTTGAGAAGATTAAGTAATCATCGTTGAACGATCAAAATTCGAATCTTACCTTTAAGAAGGGTTCAGCTCTTAAGATTTGTGCAACTAACCCATTCAAAAACTCTTCTGGGTCTTTCTCTTCCGTCACTAAACCTTTAACGGAACTAAGTTTATCCAACAAATGTCGAAGTTTCATTACACGATCAGCTCTCACAAACAAATTTTTCCTCAATGGATTTACAATGTCTTCTCGTAGAACTCGCTGAACTTCCTCATATTGCTCGCAATCTTCCGGTTCACGTGGACGAAACAAGAGTGAATCAAAGACACTCGTAAAAGTGAACATGGAAAAGAGTGTCGCATCGAGATAGCAAGAATTGTGATGTCCTTGAATGCCTTTAAATTTACCACATTGCGCTTCGAGATCTTCCAAGTTGACAAATTCTGAGGGAAAGAAAAAAGTGAAAGTTTAGAAACATAAAATGAATTATGTTGAAGAATCTCACTCAAAGCAGGCACAGATCCTTCGATGATTGGACAATCAGCGCCACCAAAAGCTCTAGCACCCTCACTTTGTATAGTTGAAATAACAGATGAAGGTGAAGCTCTTAAATCATTCGGATCATCGGGAAATCTTCGATCTTTTGTGCATCGTCTTGATGATACGAAAATTGCTCGTCGTTCAGAACATCGAAAGCATCTTTGTCCATTGTAAACGCCATCAGAGAAATTAAGTTTAATTCGGCGATCGTTACATGGCTCATCGAGTTCAATTCCAACAATAAGGTCGAGAGGGTTCGATCCGGAGCCATTTGATGGCATTTTCATACCGTCTTGGTAAATCTTCTGTCCAATCCAACGAATCACTCCATGAAGCGGTTTATCACTATCAATTGCAACTTCAACTAACGATCCTAAACCTAAAGTACTTCCAGGAATGTCAATAAGCGGCGATGGAACAATACAATCAGACAATGCGTCGCTTGCAACAGATGAAGTGTCTTGATCTAAATTCTCATATTGTCCATTTTGCTCTGAAGAAAGAAATAAACAAAAAGAAGAATTTAAAGCATTTTGTCGTAATTTTTAATGAAATGCGAGAGAGATGAATTTGATTAAAATGAACCTTCATGGTTATCGCTATTAATGCCAACCCATTCGAAATGTTCCAACACTGTCAATGGAAGATCTTTATAATCGTCGAATTGATAGTTTGTATAGACAGTTGCTGGCAAATAAGGCTTCATGTTGGATTATTATGACGATTACGTGACGTCAAATAGTTGAAAGATAATAAAGGAAGAATTCAATTTGCTTTCACTCTTAAATGCACTTAAAGTTTATCGCCAAAATGTATGAGAAATTTTATCGATTTTTCTCGATGTTCACATTTAAAAAGAAAGTGAAAAACTAAATCAGAGATTTGCAGAAGAAAAGACTAAAGAAAAGAGAAAACTGAGAGAAAATTTCAGTTTTCATCGTTTATCGAAAATGCTAAAAATAACACAAAAATTGTGAACGGAGAATGAAAAACTCAAAGGGAAAGCATCTTGCATCGTGTTTTTTGAGACTTCAGTTTGTCTAGAAGGAAATAAACAAAAAAAAGTTACTCACTGTTCTTCTGAAAGTTTCTTTCTCTTTCATAGCCATTTTCAAAGTTGTCGTTTCGTCGCACTTTGGAATTCGAAAAATGTGATGCGATGTTTGCACTTTTGTTTCTTTCAATTGTCTTCCAGCCATTTCCAGATGTCGATGGTAGATTAGAACGTTTCTCAGAATTAAGAAGCGTTCCTGGGCCGCCAGCTGATTCTGGCCAAGTGATTCCACCAAGAAGCTCAGTTAAATCGACATGTTCATTTTCGGAAGGTGTTGATGGTAATGCAGGGGGATCAACAATAATTACTTGACTTTCATTATTAACAGCTTCTTTAATATCGTGCTTGTCAATTACAACAACATCGCGATCCTCTAATCGCAGAAATGTTGAAGGTTTGATTTCACGATTTGGTGCATTTGGCAGTTGCAAAGTTCGTTTTTTACTCTTTGGTGTTCTTGATTCGCTATTAGCGCTGCTACTCCCACTACTGCCACGAGAACTTGCCAATCTACGATCTTCCATTTGCTTTTCACGATCCTCAATAATCTTTAAGTAATCTTCGTTGAAATTTATTAAATCTTGTTGACGATTTGAACTCCCAGTGGATGAACTTCCGCTATCTTGTTTTGCAAGATTTGGACTTGATATTGAAGATGGAAGTTTATTTAAGTTCATCTTTCCATAATCACGATTCACCGGTTCCGGTGTTAGTGAACGATTAGCATCAACACATTGCGATGACGATGAGCGATTCTCTTGGAAGTTGTTGGAATCGTAATAATAAACTGAGCCTTTACTGGAACTCGAATGTTTTGGTTGTGGCTTTACAAAATCTTTAAGACCACAAATGATGTTATTTAATACTGAAGATCCGTTGTTTGATGATCGGTTTTGTTTTCGTAAAGATTTTAAATTCGGTTTACGAATGAAATTAACTGGCAATAAGAAAATTACATTTGGATCACATCCGGGCACATATTTACTTGCAAAATGTGAAATTTCTGGTGCTTGTGGCGATATTCCTTTATCTAAGTTCTACATGAATATAATTGAGAGGAAAGAAATGGTTAGAGCATGTAGAGAAGTTGATATTATTAATTGTTAATGAATTCCTATCGTTCTATCATGGTTTCTAGATGACTCTCGCCTTATTATACAAGTCACTAATTCATATTTCAATAATACGGAAAACTTCTTTACAATTTTATTTAAACTATTCTAACTCTTTTTATAGATAGCATAATTTGAAGAAAAATATCAATAAAGAAATTTGGAAATGTTTAACACATCGACTTGTTCATAAAAATTTAATTTTAGTAGAAAAAAAATTGAAACATGCAACTCGAATTGAAATATTGTATGAAACAGTTATTGCTTTAAATACCAATTAAACATTTAATCGAATAACTAATAATAATGACCCAACTTTAAAGCTTTATCTACATTTAGTTATCATTCCATGAAGTTAAAAGAATGAGAAAAGAAAAATCTTTGATGAAGTTTCTTATCAAATGACGAATTTAAAGAAATTATTTAAAAGACTACAGAATAAAAGAAGGAAATGGTTTTAGAGGGATGGATAGTAAATAATTAAGGAAGATTATTATAAATTTACCACTAATTCAAGCCCAAAAAAGTATCCTGGACCTAATTCATCTACAGGTCCAAAGTATTGTACAATGCATTGATAATCCCAAAAAGTGTCTTTCGGCTCACGTTCTGAAGGAAAAGGTGATTGTCGAATTGGTGTTGCTATGTTGAAATATTGTGCATTGACTGTAACAAAGCTTTTTTCTTTCAATCTTAAGATGTATTCTATGTAAGGCTTGTCTTTAGCGATCATCATTCGCTCATAAGGATCGTTTACAGCTATTAGAAAAGGCCAAATTTCTGATGGCACTTGGAGCAAAGCACTTGATTTGCAAATATATAAATTATGTTCATAGGCAACATTCTTTGTGTAAAAATCACGAATCAAGACAACGCATGAACGATCTCGAATATCTTTCATTTCAACCATCATTCCTTTGGTGAGTTCAACATAATGCTCATCATCATCTCCGTAACATTTTGCCAGCACATTGTCAATGACAATTGCATAGATTTGATCCATTGTGATTCTGGTCTTATCATTTGACGTTTGATTGCTAATGCCGTTAAAAAAAGGTAATATAAGAATGAAAATTAACAACTAGATGAGGATGATGTAGGATAAAAGGATTGTTGGATGTATGGAAAAAGTTATGAATGTAATTATAATGAAAAAAAGGAAGAAATCAATAACCCTTAATACTATAGATGATTCATTCCATTAAAAAAAGAAAGTTTCTACTTGTCAACTTGCCAAGGTCAACAGATGATGAGTTTTGAAAGAATACATCATTGTCTTCGTATTACAAAACCATATAAATTGAAATATGTATCAATAATCTATTTATATCAATACGGAAGAAATCTTAATCATGAGTCACACGGGAGCATAAAATAATTACACCGTACTGTTTATATTATATTGATAACAAGGCACTAACACAACTTAAAGCTCACTTTGGCGTATTCTTTCAAAATTCTGTTTTTTTTTTGCAATTTTTCCCAAGGATAGTTTTTAATTCATTCCATCTAAAACTACAGAATGTTGAGATAGTGGTTTAATACTAAGAACTTATCCCAGAATCGTTTGAAATTCTGTACATATTTATATGAATTGATTGTTCTCGATGCGCAATTTTAAATTCATGCAGTTTGTAGATACTTCTTCGATGAAATATTTTTTTTGCAAACAATTACTTTTAATAGGATATAACAGCAAGAATTTTCACACACTGAAGGTAGGTTGAAAGTAAGGAACAAATTCAAAATATCACAGCAAACCGATTACGAATACTTACACTTATTAATTTTAATTTACAAAATTCTCATTTTTCACAAAAAGCAAATACAAGTTGAACGTGAATGTACCGAAATTTGAAAAATATTCGGTTAATTCGTACACTCTCTCATCCGAACATAGATTTATTTCTTTTGTTTTGATTTTTCAAGAATGAGATGAGATTTTATTGATCTACTAAATCATGGTCCGTAAATTATTCTTCAAGGTATATCTGTTTCACATATTCATCTCTTTTCTACACAATATATTAGATTCAAATAAAATTCAATATTCAGTTGAGCAATAATCCACTAGATGGAACCGCTATCGTTTTGAACTTCAATTATCTTGATAACAAAGACAAATTTGTAAGAAATGGTCGAAAAAGAATAGAAACAGTTTTTAAATCTGAAGATCTCGAAAGACTTTTGTTTATTTATCCTCATTTTTTCACTTAAACCAGTAAAATGGGTGTGGAAAATGATTATTCAGTTCTTCATTGTCCAAAATGCTTTTGCACACAAAAAAGTGACAAATGGATGTTAATTTGTAACCGTTAAAATAAATAACTAAGGTGCTTATTTATCTTACTTAAAATAAACTGCGACATCATCATTTATTCTTTAGCAAAAAACCTGTAATGTTAAAAGTTCATTTATCTATTTAAAAATCCATTGTTTTAATTGATGATTAGATATTATCGTTTTATTTCTTAAATGCACTTTTTGTTTGTTATCGTTAGATATAATAAAGAAAAAATATAACTACCTATGTTGCATAAATGAAGCACAATATGTTGGTGAATGATTGTTTACATATATCCGAATATTTTATGACCTTCTAATTAACAATTTATCTTCTTTAGCATTGAAGAAATGAAAAAATCACAAACCAATTTACAATTGCCTAAGGCGTCTTTCTACTGTTGATTTTTTGATTTCTTTTTGGAAAATATTCTGAAAACTCCTTTTCGATCTTTTTCTTTTCCTTCTTTTTTGTTTGTAATTCCACCAGCTTCACTCTCGCTCGAGCTTTCAGCGGACATTCTATGCTGTGCAATTATTTGCGAGCCATCTTGCTGTTGCGAAGAACTTTGAGGTGGTAACGATGTTGGTCGACCAGTATCAAAACGTCCTTGACCCCAGCCTGAAAATTAAACGAAAAAGCATTAAAAACTTGTATTAATCGTTTTGATAGTTTACTTTTTTCGAATATAATTTACATGCATTAAGAAACTACCTTCTTAAAGAATTCAAATGTTTAAATAAGAATCAAATTAGAAATACAAAATACTATCCCGTTTTTCTAATCCATGATCCAATTGGATTTATAATCAATAAAAATAAAGTCGAAAACAAATTCTAACGTTAACAAAGAAAATTCTAAAAACATGCAAGCCGCACCCAAGAAAGAATGATAATGAAAAATGATATAAAAAAGCCATGAAAGAAAATTCTAATTAAAGACCAAGAAAATGATGTGCAAGAGAGTCCTAACCAGATTCGTTGGAATTTCCATTTCTTATCGGTGATGTTGAACTCGATGAATGTTGTTGATGCCACGCTATAGTATTTCGTTGCTGTTGATGACCTCCTAATGGTGCAGACATTTTTGTGTAGGAATTGACTGGGACATAATTTGATGACAATTGTGGGGGATTATTTTCAAAAAACTGTTGCTGATGATGATGATGCATTTGTTGGGGAATCATGTAATGTTGCTGTTGATTTGTTACATGAATGGTTTGTGTAGGATAGTTACTTCCATCATAACTTCCATTCGTCGGGTTGTGTTGAGGATGAGCAACGAGTTGATGATGTTGGTGAAAGGTCGTGAATTTCATAGGTGAACCATGCGACATTCCACTTCCAAAAGGCGGGTGCGTAAGGGGAAGTGGGGGAGGTTCTGAGGTTGTTTTCAATGTGTTCAAAGCATGATTATTTTTTTATAATGAAATTTGGACATTTTCAGTGGGCGAGATTTTAATTGACAAAGGATTAAAATAGACAAAAAAATTTTTTAATGCATTAAACTAAAACGTTCAATTATAAACACAAAAATGAGTTTAGAGTGTTAAGGAAACTAACCTGATGAACGGTTTTCGCCTTGTCGCAGCCAAACTTCTTCGGTGGTTCCATTTCCATTGTTCGGTACTACAAGTGGTGCACGCGATTGTGGCTGTTGCAGAGAATATGGTCGGTTTGATGGATTATTGCTGTAATGATCTTCTGTGAAATGAGATAAAAATGAGTCAAATTACTTAAAGACATTAAAAATCGTCAAACTTACCACTTCCATTGATATTTTTTGGACGAATTTCAACTTCAGAGAACTTTTCAACACTTGATTGTCGTTGTGGAACCGGAGGTGGAACACCACGTGGTGGAATTGGCGGCTTATCATAAAAACCACCTGTTGGAGAGTGTGGTGGTGGCTCACTATTCCAATTCTAATGTTTAACAATTAAATTATGATTAAATTTCATCGCTCACTCTTTACAATTCCCAAGTACAAACCTGATTTTCTCGTTCTCGTAATTCTCTCTGCTTTTGCAGGAAATTCATTTGTGGAGTTGTTTGAACGCCACTGCTGTTTGAGTCTCTTCGTTGATTCGGATCGGGTGATGATGTACGTGAGCTGACTGATGAACCATCGTGTTCGCTGCCGTATTGACTAGTGTTGGATGACTTTGATGGAGACAATTGTGCTGTGCTGTTTGCCTAAATTAGAATTTTTGTTATGAAAATGTCGTCAAATCATTTAATTGTCTCAAACCAACCTTCATTGTTTCATCATAGCTCATCAATTGTAGATTTGGAGGCAGATTGGCATGGAAAGAGATTTTATTAACCCAATCATTCATTTCATCTAGTGATGAAGCTAAGAACAAAAATTCTGATCCATCAGGGAGGCTCAATCGGAAAACGTTTTTCTTTTTGGTATAATTTTCTGCTTTCACGCAAATAGCGTTAAGAATATTGACGGGTGCTGTTGTCGCCTTTCGTTGACGGAAATCTTCGTCATCTTTGAAGAAGCAGAGAAGTTGTCCACAAAGGACAGTGTGGAATAGTTTCCATGAACGAACTGGAGCTCTTTTGCCACCTGATTGCAAATCGTGCTTTCGTTCAAGCATTCCTTGAATCTCAACTGGCGGTAGGTCGAATTGATTCTCAGTTTTCTGATTTTTCTTGAAGCTTGTCGCTCGCTTTCTCGTTGTAAATGATGGCGTTCGTTTCGGTCCTTTTGGTTGAACTTTCATACTCTCAGCACGCTTCACATTTCCTTCTGAGCCTCGTCGAAGACGATCTCCAAATATGTTGACAAATGAGCTGGACTTCTGCACTTGTGTCAATGACTCAGAAGATGCGCTGGGCTTTAAGCCAGTAACACTCGCTGGTTGTTCAACTGCCACTTGTTGTTGATGTTGAGCTTTATTTTGAGGTGATGAGAAAATCGGGGGCTTATCAGTTCGTCCATCGATTTGCTTTTCATTCCTACGACGTTCTTCAGTTATTCTTTGAACTTCTTTCTGCTTCAGAGCTTCAATTCTTTCTTTTTCCACTCTCTCCTTCTCAGCTCTCTTAGCTGCCTCTTCATCTTCTTTCTGCTTTTTAAACAACTGTTCCAACAAAGTTATTCTCTTAAGCGCCTCAAACTTCTCCTCTTGAGCTGCGACAGTTTTCTCAAAGTCTTCGTGCTTCCTAATTAAGTCTTCAACGTGTGGAATTGTTTCACCCAACTCTCCATCTTTCAATTGCACTTCTCGAGAAAGAATCCAATTCTCAAGGACGGTTGCTTCACGTAGGAAAAGTTGCGTGTCTAAGTTAAGATCGTAAATTTCTCGTCGATTTTGAAGCGTCTTGTCCAAGAGTTTCTGACGATGTTCCAACACTCCAATCTTATCTTCAACTTCATTAGCAAGGAAATGTTTATCTTTAATCAACTTTCGTCCGGTTTTGTAGAAGTTGTCGAAAATTTCTTCACGTGCATCAACTTCGGCTTGATGTTCTCTAATTTTCATGATTAATGCTTCAGCGCCACTGACGTCATTTGCCAGATCTGGTGATGTTATCTTCGCAAGCATCTCATTGATCCAAGCCATTAAATCGCGATACTCATCAAAGTATGCTTGAAGTTGTTCAGCTTGCGAGAGTTTCACTTTACGTTGTTGTGATTTGTCATTCAATTCCGTCCAAGCTTCGATTGTTTCTTCTCGCTTCACTTCAATGTGATCTCGAGCATCTGGAAAAGCATCTGCAAGTTGTTTGGCTTCAGCTTGCACCGACTCAACATGTTCACGAACAGCAGCAATTTCAATTTCAAAGAGTTCGTGTTTTCGACTTAATGCTTGAATTGTCTCCAAGTCTTGTCCGTAATCTTCGCTTAAATTGTCAGCAATTTTCTCATTAATCCAAGCGATTGTCTCGTCAGCAGTTCGATCGTAAACATGAACCTTCTTAGCACCCGCAAGTGCTTCTTGACGTGCTGCAATGAGTTCTTTCAATTCATCCCAAAGTTGTTTAGTTTCGTCACGTTTCACTTGAATGATTTCCTTGTATGGATTCTGATCTTTAATCAACTCATCAGCTTTCATCTGACATTGCTGCACACGAGGTTCATTTGCTGTTATTGTTGACACTGACGACTCAAAAGCAAGCGTCAATTGCTGAACATGTTCGACATCTGTCCCATATTCTTCAGACGATGCAGTCGTCATCTGATCACCGATCCATTCGTGAAGATCTTCAATTTCACGCATAAATTCGAGGAATTTTCGTTGCTCGCTGATTCTCTTTTCACGTTCGATTGACAACTTTTGAAGCTCTTCAAGTTGTTGCTGAATTTTCGTACTTTTACTGCGAATCTTTTCATTGTCAAAATGCCCACGTTCACAAAGATTGTCAGCAAGTTTGCCAACTTTCTCAACAGTAGGCACGAAAGAAACAAGTTCACGTTGAAGTGTTTCGAGTTTCTTTTGTTGTGACTGAACAGCGTCTTCATCTTTCCCAAAATCGCTCGATATTAAAATCGGACGCTTCTCTTTAATCCACGATTCACATTCATTAGCTTCAGCGTAAAACATTTGCGATTCAACAGCATCGAGTAACCGCAAACGACGAACACTAACCAAGTCACGTATTAAAATTAATTTTCTTTGAAGCTCATTGCAACGTGACTCGATTTGAGCATTTGCAAAATGGCCATTTTGAATCATTTGTTGACCACGATAAATAATCGCAGACACAGTTGGCTCTTGTGAGAGAATCTCCGATTCCAAAGCTTGATGTTTCTTCTGAAGACTTTGGACAGCTGTCAAGTTGCTTCCTAAATCTTTAGAAGCTATCAACGGTTCCTTCTCAGCCAACCACTGAATTTCATCTTCTGAATCGCGTAAGAACTGATGAAGCAGTAAAGAGTCGTCTAAGTTATCGCCTCGGATCGTCATTGGCTCATTCAATGAATGGTAACGTTTAATCGCGTACATTGCCTTCTCGTGAAGTTCATTCTTCATGAAATGATCTGAATTTAAGAAAGCTTGATCTTCGGTTTTTATCTGCTCGATAAACTCGCCATGATGAATCACGTCAGCTTCCAAAACTTGATGTTTCTTTATCAAATTATTGACTGTCGGCAAATCCTTTCCATAATCTTCCGATGACAAATGTGACTCAATTTCATCCATCCAAGAATTGAATTCGTCCAAGGAACGATTGAAAATGAGAGCTTCATAAGCTTCACTTAATCTAATCTTCTTCTCACGTGACGCTTCTTGAAGTTTTCCCCACTCACTTTCAAGCATTTCAATCTGTTGTTGAATCTCAGCTGATGCGTAATGTTTCGACTCGATCAAAGCTTCTCCTTCAGTTATCACAGCAGCAACACGACTTGTGTTGGCAAGAAGTTCAGCATCGAACACTCCATGCTTTTGAATCTTACTCTGAAGATTGCTCGTTTCTCGGTAATTCTCATCGAGTGCAACTTGAAGTTTCTGTCCCAACCATCGCTCAACTTCATACAAATTACGCAAAAACTGTTGAAATTGAAGCGATTCGTTTAACTTCTTTCGTCGAATACTTGACTGCGTTTTGAGTCTCTCCATTCTATTCTTGACGCCATCCAAACGTAGCTCAACTGTTGTTATCTCGTATGGTTCTTGGGCCAATACTTTGTTAGCGAATTCTTGAAGTTCATCCACAACTGTGCTTGTAAGCAGCAACTTTTCAAACGCTTCATGTTTCTTAATCAAAACTTCAACAGCGGCAAATGATTCGCCAAGATCGTCGTTGTTCAAAAAAGCTTCTTTACTTGCCAACCAAGCGTCTTTCTGATCAGCAAGATCTTTAAACAATTGCAATTGATGAGCGTCATTCAATCGCTTTGCACGATCTTTCCACGCGATATGAACTTTCTGATGAACTTCTTCAAGTTTCTTTTGTGCATATGCAACGTCATCGGCTTTTTCAGTTGTTTCTGTTGACAACTTTTGTCCATGTTGAATCATTTCCTTGAAAATATTGTCACGACCATTAATCTCAGCTTTTCTCTCTTCATGTAACTCAATTTGAGCGACACATTCGGGGATTGTTGATGGTTGAACGCCTTTTTCCATCTTCTTTGTTATGTCTTGTGACCACTTTTCAAGTTCCTTGACATCTGCTAAGAATTTATGAACTTGATAAGCATCTTCCAATTGTTGTCGTCGCTTCTCTCTCAACGCTTCCAGTTGATCCCATTTTTGTTTCAAATTCATCAAATTCTTGTTAATGTCGTCAGCACGTTCAGGATATTTTCTCATAAGTTTCGCAGCATCATTTTCATGTTCGAAAATCTTCTGTTTGACTGCTGTCATGTCACGTTCGAGTGTGTCTTGTTTCCTTCTCATAGCTTCAACGGCTGTTAAATCTCGACCACTATCATCACTTGACATTGCTAAGGATTTCTCAGCAATTCTCTCGCAAGTGTCATCCAAATCTCTGTTGAAGACATGAATCTCATAAGCACCTTCGAGAAGAACTCGATAAGCATTTATAGCTCCTTGCAATTGTCGCCAACGGTTGTTGAATGTAGTTCGCTTCTGCTGAACATTCTTAATCTCGTCTGGAGATTTTTCTTGTGACACAAGTTTGTCAGCCAACACATTAATTGATTTTATTCGTTGATCATCAACTCGCATGTCTGATCCGACGTCGTCTAACTTTCTCTTAAGTGCGTTGCAATGTTCTAAGTCACGCCCAGTGTCATTTGCTTGTACCATCAAATCTTTGTCACGAATCCAAGCGTCAATCTTCTCCAATTGATTGTTAAATTCAAGAATATCTTGTGCTTCTTCCAGACCTTTGCCTTGTGCATTGACAGCTTGAAGTAAATTGTTCCAAGCTTCGAGTAATCTTTGCATTGCGTCTTTGATTTCTTTCGTCGACTCGTGTTGCTTCTTAATCAGCGTTTCCGACTTGTCTTTGAGTTCTTGTATGCGACTATCATTTGCTGAAATTTCAGCTTGGAATGCTTGATGTTTCTGAAGTCGTTTGATTTTCTCTTCAATGTTTGTTTCATCAGCAAACGACCCTGAATCAGCTTCCAATTTCTTCTGCTTTTCATTGATCCAAGCTTCAGCTTCAGCGACATCGCGCACAAATTGTGCATACAAAAGTGCATTTGCAAGCTTCTTGCGACGTGCTTGGCTAAGCGCTTTAACTTTCGATCGTCTGTCAACAACTTCTTCAAGACGACGACGAATATTCGAACTGTCGTAATGGTTCTGTTCAACCAAACGACGGCCATGGTCTTGCAACACAACGACCTTTTCATCTTGCTGTTGAATGAGCTTCTCCAATTCGTCGTGACGTTTTACAAGATCTTGAACGGTTTCAACAGTCACACCATAATCAGTTGACGATAATGTTGCTTCTTGTGCACTTGACATGTTGTCAATTTGTTTGGCATCTCGCAAGAAACAGAACAAATCAATTTTTTGTTCTAACAAAATTTTCTTCTTGTTCCAAGCATTGTGCAATTTTTGACGTTCTTCCAACAGTGCGGTACATTTCTCTTCAACTTCAGTGGCTGCATAATGTCCAGTCTGAACCATAGAGTCGCTAAGTTCACTTAGTGTGCGGAACTTTCCTTCTCGTGCTTCTATTTCGTTGTAAATTGCGTCATGTTGAAGCTTAAGTGCGGTGGCACCAGCAGCATCACTGACATGCTCTTCAGCTTGTAATGTTGCACGAAGATTACTTGCCCAAGACATCAAGTCACGAGCTTGTGTTAAGAAACTCTGGAAATCGCAACTGGCAGCTAATTGATCGCTTCGTGTGGCTGAATTTTCTTTCAATGTGTTCCAAGCATCGACAACTGTTTCCTGTTGTTGAGCAATAGCTTGCGCATTGTCGCCAGGATATTTTGATTGCAATCGAACAGAATCTTCAACCAATACTTGTAATTGCGCTTCCAATGCAACCAAATCATTTTCGAAACCTTCGTGCTTACGATAAAGTGCCAAAGCTGAATTCAAATCTTTTCCGAGTTCATTTGAAAGTGTTGCGTTTTTATCCTTAAAATGAAATGAAATTAATATTAAAAATTATTTAAGATGTTTTTTAAATTTGCACCAAATTGAAATCATCAAAATTAATTGACGAAAACAAACAAAAAGTTGTAGAAAACGTCAAAGCAGGCAAATTTCATGACGATTTCAAAATGGTGCGAACTCAACGAACTGCCCTAAATATTTACCTGAATTCTAAACAAAGCTTCAGCAACGTCACGATGGAAGCGATGAATCTCACCAGCTGCATGAAGTCGTTGTTCACGTTGTCCAAGTTGCTTCAGAAGATTCTCCCACGCATTTCTATAAAAAAATAGTTTGTGAATAAGTTGAGAGTGAAATAATTAACATTCACAATTAATGAATGCAACGACACAAAATGTGAGAAACAAAAAAATTAAAAAATGTGAAAAGAAAAGTCGTGAAGAGAAAGAAAGTCTTTTGGTTACCGTATAACTTCATGTCTTTCAAGCACTTCCAAAGCTGCTTTCGAGAATGAATCCCGATTACGTCTAAGAGTTTTGTGTAAGTTTTTATGTGTTAAATTATTTAAGATTAAGGAAAGTAAAGTTAGGAAAAGTTAATTAAAGAAAAAAGAAGAAATTTAATTACCTCAAATGTTCTTGACGTTTCTCAACATCAGACGCGTATTGACTGTCAGTTCCGATTAATTTCTTAGCAAATTCGTCACATTGATTAAATCTTTCAGCTCCAACTTCAATGCGATGTTTCAAGTCATCAAATTTATTTTGAAGGATCTAAAAAGAAAATTTGAATGAATTTGAACGTAAAAATAAATAAGAAAAGAAATTACCAATAAATGTTCATAATCCAAGCCATAATCTTCAGAATTCACCGCTAATTCTTGTTCTTTAATCCAATTCTCTAAGTCAGCTGATTCAGCAAAGTATTCATGTCTGTAAAGACTTTCCATGAGTCTTAATTGACGTTGTGCTGCAAGTTTTTGAAGAGATTTCAACATTTTCTCAATGATTTGTTGTTTGGCGACGATTGTCTTGCTGTCGGGATGTTTCGATGTCACCATAAGTTGTGCTGTGTGTCCCATTTCTTGTATGATGGCTGAATATGTGTCAAGCTCAAGTTCGCTTGTTTTATGTTTCGTCAAAAGTTTCGTAGCTGAGTCGCGATCACGACCGTAGTCAGTTGACTTCAAAATATTGTTTTTCTCGCTCAGCCATGTCTCAATCTCACCGGCATCCGAAAGATATTGTTGAGCCTTCAACGACAATTCCAATTTCTTGGCTCTTTCTTCTGCTTTTTCTTGAAGGTTTTGCCAAGCATTTTCCAACTCACCGCACGATTCTCTCGCTTTCTCACTTTCCGGGTGATTTTGTTGAATTAAAGTTTGACCAAATGCAAGAGTTTTGTCGATTATCGGTTGATGTCCATTAATTTCAGCTTCCATTTTCTTATGCTTCTTATCCATGCTTTGAGCTTGGTAAAGATTCTGACCCATGGTCTCAGAGCTTGCAGCTGGTAGACGTTCATTAATCCACTGAAGTTCTGAATCAACCTCGAAGTTGAATTTGTGGAATTTCAAACTTTCATCCAAAGCCGCACGACGTTTCTCGACGGGATCTTTCAAGTTCTTAAATTGATTTTGAAGGTTCTTCGTTTCATTCTTAATGTTGTTAGCGTCAAAATGACCTTCATGGGCCATTTCTTCACTTGTCTGAACGAGCTCGTCAATTTTCTGCTCCCAAAATGCAATATCAGCTTCAAGAATTTGATGTTTGTTCATCAAATCTTTGCAACTACGCAAATCATTTCCAACTTGCTTGCTTTGAAGTGCTGTTTCAAGCTTGCCAAGTTTCTTCTTTGCATCTTCAATGTTCTTGTTGTGATCACGTTGAAGCAGCGCTTGTTCCAAACGTCGACCTTTCTCGAGAGAAATCGCAATTAAATCTTTCCACTTCTTATTGACATTGTTAAGCATTTGTTCAACTTCATTTGAACGGTTCTTAGCTTTAACGAGACTTTCACCATCTTTGTTGACCATTCTCAACTGCCCTTCATTTGCTCGAAGTTCACGTTCAAAAGCGCGATGTTTTTGAAGCTTTCTCGGAAGATTCGATAAATCTTTGTAAGACTCATCGCCAGCAATTTTCGTTTTATTGTCAAGCCAATTATTCAAGTCGTCGATATCAGCAACAAACTTCTGGAAATCCCGTGAAGCTTGCAAAGCATTTTGACGATTTTGTGCTTGTTCTTTGACTCGTTGTCGACGAGCTAGAACTTGATTGCGTCTTTCATCGATGGCCGTTGCATCGTAATGTTTATTCTTAATGAGTTTGTCAACATTGTCCGAGAAACCTTTCAAAATCTTGTCTTGAGCTCCAAGCGTGTTCTCAAAGTCATTGTGACGCTTCAGAATTGCTTCAACGTCATCAAGTGAATTGCCAAGGTCAGTGTACTCTAAATAAGCTTCATGTGCCTTTGTTGTGGCATCAATCTTATCAGCTTCACGATTAAACATCTGCAGTTCGACACATTGCTGCAACCATTTCTCTTTCTCCGTCCATCCACGATGAACTGCTTCTTGTTCAGCTGCGAGCTTCTCCATCATCACTGGAATCTCTTTGAGCTTTGGATTTCGTTCAGTAAGTTGACGACCGAGTTTCAATAACTCACTAAATTCATCATCTTGTGATTTGATTTCATCTGCCAAGTCGTTGTGCTTTTTAAGCAAATTATTTGCAGTTTCAACGTCACGGGCAGTCTCGTCAGCGTTTAGCTGATTTTTAACAGAATCCACCCAATTGAGAAGATTCTTGGCACTGTTTGTGAAGATTTGTTCACCGACTGCATTCTCCAATCGCGATCTACGATCAAGAGCTTTTGCTTGCACCTTCTGCCACATATCTTTGATGTCTTTTTGTGACTTTGCCACATTTTCCTTCTCTGATGGATAAGAATTCTTCACAGAATTCCCGAGAAGATCAACACGCGACACTTTCTCTTTCAGAGGCTCCAACTCACGCTCGAGATTTTGATGGCGACGTTGAAGTGCTTGGACGGTCTTTAAGTCGGGTCCCAACTCAGCTGTGTCAAGTTGCGTCATCTTTTCTTGCATCCAATCTTTAGCTTCTTCACATGTTCGATTGAAAAGTTCGACACTTGACGCCCCTTCCAAACTCTTCTCTTTTTGTGCTTTCAAATGGTTCAAATGTTGCCAAAGTTGATGAATTTGTCGTTGACGAATTTTGATTTTGTCAAGTTGCGAATGACCTTGTCGAGCGAAATCATCAACAGCCATGTCGATGGCTTCAATTCTCTTCGAAGATGCTGAAAGGTCAGTCAGGAACTTCTCGAATTTCCTCTTAGCTGTCTCGACATTGTCTTTCGGATCTTCAGTTTTTAACATCTTTTCCTTGTCTTTAATCCACTTCTCGAAGTCGTCACATTCCCGGAAGAATCCAAACAGACAAATCGAGTCTTCTAATAAAGCATGACGTTGAACTGCCATGTCTTGAAGTTGATCATACGTCAAATTGATTCGTTTACAACGTTTCTCTACACTGTCACTGCTATCAATGGCTGTTGGGTCGCCTTCAGCTCTACGCTTAATCAACGGTCTAATTTGAGACACTTTAGTCGGTTTAATTCGTTTTACTGGAACGACTTGCTTCACTAGAATTGTTTTCTTCACTTTTTGAACTCCTTTAACTTTCTCCATCTTTCTCACAAGAACTGGCACAGCTTGCTGTTCAATTTCCTTCACATAGTTTGCTGGTATGAAACCTTCAACGCCGTCTGACTTTCTCACTGACCACCAATCGGGATTCGTTTTATTAAGCAACACCATCGTCTCTCCTTTAGCCATTTTCATTCCTTGCCCTTCGAAAGGATAAAGAGCCTTGACATGTGACATCATTTTCATCTCAGTGACTGTTCTTGGTTCGAGTTTCTCAACAGGTTCTTCTTCCCAAACCTCCTTTGATACAAGACGAGTCTCATTCACCCATTCCTCTTGTTCAATATCCTGAACTGGTTCTGGCTCTTGAGAAAGATCCAATGTGCATATTCCTGCTTTCATCAACTTGTCAGCTTGTTGATTTAAATTCTTAATGTCACCTGAATAAGCGTTAAGTTCACCTTGAAGGTCGCGATGTCTTTGCAGCAACGCTTGAGCTGAAGGTTCATCAACTCCAAAATCTTTCGACACGACAAGCGCCATTTTCTCGTTCAACCACGAATCAGCTTCATTAGCGTCGGTGTAGAATTGATAAGCTTCTGCTGCATCTTCCAATTGTCGCTTTCTCAACTCAACCAAATCTTCTAAAGCTTTCCAATGTTCATCCAACGATTCAAGTCTCGATGACACTTCACTACCACGTGAATGTTGCTGTTCAGTGTTAAGTTTTTTTCCAACTTCTTTCAATTGTTGGGATTTTGGTTTACGAACTTTCATTTCATCTTCAAGGACTTTATGCTTTTGTTGAAGTGACATGACAGCACGTAAATCCTTGGCAGTTATTGCAGCTTTGCAGATTCTTTGTTTATCAATCAGCCAACCTTCTTCATTCTCATGATCTTCTAAGAAATGATAAAAGTCTCGAGCTTCTTCTAACTTCGATCTTCGGTTAGCACTTTGCTTTTGCAACTCGTTGTAAAGTTGTTCCAATGATTCAAGTTTTTGAGCCAGTAAAGGTGCTTCCTTATGGTCGGATTTCTTGTAACTTTCACCTTGTCGCATGTATCGACGTTTGGCATCACCAAGCGCTGTCACTTGAAGTTCTTGCAGTGAATGTGCTTGAAGTAATTCTTCAACACCCAACAAATGAGGCCCAACATCTTCGGAAGCAAACAGAGCTTGAAGAGTTTTTATCGAAGCAATTGTCGTGTCGATTTCACGCAACAAATTCATCAAACTACTCATTTGATTTAAATTATTCTTGTGATGTTCGAGAAGTTTTAATAACTCGTTCCATTTCTTTAAAACTTCTTCTTCACGCTTCTTCACTCGATCTTTGCCATGATAATTTTCCCTCTGAAGCTCATTACTCATGTCAGTCAAGTCGTTGAATCTCTCAACTCGAGCGAGAATATCAGCGCTGATTGCTTCGTGTTTCTTTACAGTCGCATCGACTTGTCTTATGTTGGCTCCATACCGAGGATCAGAAAGAACTTGAATCATTTCCTTCAAATAGTTTTCACGAAGAACTGACTTTCTTTCAAATTTATAGTTCAACTGTTCAAGTTTCTCTTGTCGTAAAAGTTCATTTCTAAGTGCAACTTCACGATTGTGTTCGGCATTCTCCAACAGCTGCCAAGCCTTTTCAATATCTTTGACGAGTTGACCATCTTGAGGCGTGTATTGTGGCTGATTTAAAGACTTTAAAAGTGTATTAACATGAAAATAAAGAGCTTCAACTTCACTTCGTTCCTTATACTTTGGAGGCTTCTCAATTGTGCGATATTGCTTGAAGTTCAACAGTTCTTGCTGAATACCTTCAAGGGAATTTGGAAAGTTTCTCTTCTCCAAATCTTTCGTCTTATTACGAATCCATGTAAGGAGTGTTGACGTTAATGTTTCATATTGAACAATCTTTCCATCGGCATCCATCATCTTTCCAACAATATTCGCAATTCGCTTCCCACTTTTTTGTTCGTTCTTCATTCGAGCGAATGTGTGATAATAGGAAGCGACGTAGGTGAGCACAGAGCTTAAAATATTAACAAGAAACAAACGTTAGATCATCGATGACGATTCATTCAACTTACTTACCGTTCATCGGGTCGAGTTTGTTCAGCTAAATCTTCAGCATCTAACAAGCGAGGAATTCCAAGCTCACGGTCAGCCACGTCGAATGCATGATTAAGATTCTCCATGTTGCGACCTGGTTGAAGTGAATTAAAGTCAAAGAGATCGGGACGGTGTGAATGGATGAGAGCGTTGAAGCCCAAGCCAGAACGCCATGATGATGTAAAGTCTTGGATGTTGACATTCGGATAACCATGAGTCTTTCGCTGGCACCACAACAGCAACGCGTCTTTGGCTGATTTCTTTTCGCTTGTTTCATTGTCTTCATCCTTTTTTTAAGAAAATTTTAAAATAGTTTATTAATCACCGCTATTCTTTCAAAGTCATTCGAATACATTTTTGTGTTGTTTCAATTGAGAAACGTAAAACTGAAGAAATCTTCAGCAAGCAAATTTGTCATTTTGACTATTGAGAAAACTTCTTTTAAAATAGAAATTCCATCATAATAAAATTTCATTGGAGAAGAAGCTTGATAAACAACAGAAAGAAATGATTAAATAGCGACATCAAAAAAAGTTTAACGAACATTAATTAAGCTTTAAAGTCAAGGTCATTTAAAATCTTTTTCCTACTTTTTCAGTTAAATTCTTGATTGCTTAGTGAAGTGGTTTTGCTACAGGAAAGTGTCAGTGACAGCATCAAGAACCGGTATGAAATTATCGTAAACAAAGTTAATGAAATTTGAATAAGACTCACCACATCGATCTCAATTTCTTGTATTTGAAAGCGAAGGATAATTGTCCAGATAAGACCAAGGATCAATCTGTTAAGAATTTAAAATAGAATTAAAGTCAAAGCACTTCATGACATCATCAACTTTACCTGTTGTTTCCATCGCAAATATCTTCTGCACCAATCGACTCTAATCGCACCTTGAAGAAGATTCAAAAGCAAGAAAAATATTTAATGGAAATGAAAACATGTCATGTTTCAATTAACATAAAAATAGCAGAAAATTGAAACAAAGTTAATTCTATGACTGGTTTCCGATTTATATTTTCTCGATGAAGTTGATTGTCCGTGGACTAATTTATTTTGTTATAAAATTCCCTTTCAAACTCATTCATCTGTTCTCATGCATAACTTTTCGCTGGTTGAAATGTTGAATGAAAAAGTTTAAACTTATGAAGTTGGTTTGCATATTTAGTTTCAAACTTCATGACTTTAGTTTGCACAATTTGAAGTAAAAGTTCTCAATTGGAGTATTTATTGATTAAGTCGGCATCGGTTAAGGATGTTTATCAATGTAAATTCAATTATAAGAACAAGAAAGTATCAAAAACATTCTCGAAGAACTATTTGCGATACAAAATCGCATTTAATGAATTTTTAACAAAAATATTTAGTTTTAAACCCATTCAATTTCGAAGCTATGAATGCTATTCACGAATAGTATTTGTATTAAAATTTTAAACTAAATGACGTCATTTGAATGAAACAAGTTTACACTGAAGAGCGATTTGTTAAAGGAAATAAAAATCATACATCATTCTAACTGCTAAGAATTTTGCTTACGTCATTAGTCAACAATGTTCTTGTTGTGTTGAGTCAGCTCAAAATGCCCAAGCGAACACTTTTTTGTTTATCTCATGAGCTTATTATGCAGTATTTGCAGTTGTTATTTTAAGAAATTCCATGCACATTATTACAATAAGTAATTTTGACCAATGTATGATTTACAATGACATCTATCCAAATATCATAAAAAGTTAATGACGAAAGTCACTTAAAGTCATTAGCTGCATGCCAAACAAATAAACATCGCCAATGCAAAGACCAATTTCAAGTAATTTCCATTTAAATATTTAAAAAATTCAACGTAAACAATTTCTGAAGTTGATCATACATTTTAACACGATCGATTCGGTAATTACGATTTGTGACGCTTGAACTTTTGTTTTGAGATGGATTTTTTTAGCAAATATTTTCGAAAGATTAATATGAGTGAAATTACTTGCAAAATAGATTTTACAGCAAGCTGCCATTTAAAGTAATAGAAGATTTCCAAATATGTTAAAGATTCATCGAAGGATTGTCACAAGCTATTTGAGTCAGAAGAATTTCAACTTATTAATTCATCCTCTGACTCTACAAATAAATAATCGAAGCAGTAAAAAGCTTAAAACAAGAATTAGTAGCGCTCAGTGAGCTCTAAAAATATTTCGTTTAATTTTTGCATTATTTGTCGTGAAAACTCGGTCCACAAAAACTAAAATTATGCCGTACTTAACAGTATTAAGTTAACACTAAAACAATGGCTTCACTTACTTTCGTGTGTAGAAAAGCTAAACTTTTATTCAGATTCTCTATTTTGTGAACTCTCATGCGTCCATTGTTCGGCTTGCCAAGTTTCTCGCCTGAAATAATTTCGAGCAGCTTTAAGAGTTTCACACCATCAGCTAAATCGACGAAAAGGTCTTCAACCTCCATTTTTGCCTGAGTAAAACAATAGAGAAATTTAGAGCAAATTAAAAATTCTGTGAAGTAATTGAGAATCATCAGATTTCACATCAAGTAATCGACAGATTTTCACATTTATCAATGCATAAAAATAGAAAAATTTGAATTGTTGATTACAAACCTTGACCAGAAAGGAATTCATCCATTTCGTGAATGTTTTTTTCTGAATGTACAAACGTTCTTCTTGAAGAGTTTTAATTCGTTCATTTTCAAACTTTGCAATCCCCTCGCGTTGTGTGATATTAGAACGTTGCTGCTGTTGTGTTTGTATGTTTGAATAGTTTCCGGGCTCATATTGTCCCGCTGTAACGAAATAAAATCATCATTAATTAGTGCTTGCATATACAAATCACTCTTAATTGTAAATTAAAAATATTTCAATTGATTTGGAAGCCAAAAGGAACGACAATTGCATAACATAAACATCAACACGTTAAGTCATTCACACTTGTTTATTAAATTCGATAAAAATTCCTAAATTCCTCCACAAAATTGATGATTTATTCCCACCGGTAATGATCATTATTGAGTGGATTTATAAATCACTTTTTCACATTCATTTGTTACATTGAATCTAAATTTGATATGTTGTCTACCATTTGTATTATTTTTAACCTCGAACGTCAAACATTTTTTGGATATTTTGATCAGTTCAAGACGGAATGAAGAACAATTGACTATGATAGGCGCCAAACAATTAAGACCAATTCTATTCAAGCCAATTTTTGATTTCTTCAAATGTTTAGTCTCACATTTCAGTCCGCGTAAAATGTTTACTAACAACCCAAACTCTACTAGAATAAGAGATTAATTTGTATTTCCCTCAGAATATTTTGAGTTTTATTTCGAATTGAATTTACTTAACACTCAAAACGTGACATGAAGAAAAATCAATTGCTGATGACACATTTTCAAAAAGATGATTTATTTTAGCATTATCATGCTCATTTTCAGAATATTAACCGTTTGAGATGTTTCCTGTATAATTTTAGAATTGAGAAGTGCTGCTGGTATTTAGTTGTCTATGAAAAAAGCATTTAACTATTTATGGCAGGAAACTCCCGTTGTTTCAAATTTAATCTTTAGGTTTATTACTAATAAATATTTATCTTTTTTATCAATTAAGAAGACTTCGTTCTTCAACTGTATTCATAAAAATGGTATTGCTAATATAACCGTATAGGAATCGAATTGCTTTTTTTTTATTTCGAAAACTTGTACGATATCAATATAACTAGAATTGTCGATTTGATACGTTTATTGCAGCTCTTTTAATTGAACAGTTTTACAGTCAGTAGTGTGAAGCTTCTTACAAATCATGGTGAAATTATAAACCTTTTGATATCAAGAACTATCAAGGAGAGACAGACAAATTATTACTTTCAGCAAATAAAGTGAACAATTGAAAGAAACAAATCAACACATTTCAGACCATACTCAAGTAACTTTTCCACCTTGTAATAAGCAATCTCATTCTCTTATCAATTATCTTTGTTTTTCTTTGTTTTAAAAAGAAGAAAATCAAATGAAAGTATTAAAGAGTAAAGAGCAAATATTTCTCATGAGCTTATCAATAATGAATGAAAAAACTTTTGAATAGAAGAAACAATTAATTAAGAAAAATATTCAATAACTTAAGATTGATGAGTCTTTAAGTATCAGAAAATTGGCGAAAGAAATTTTATTTGCAAAATTAAATGTTGTGTAATCAGTGATAAAGAATGAAGTAAGCATTCTATTCCGAGAGTTAAGACCTCGCTACTCAGAGCTTATAGCGGCTAAAAATGACATTACAGTGATAGATGTGTGACTTGATGTGTTATCGCATGTAGTAACAGTTAGATTTCTATCGCAATACTTAAATATTATTTTTCATGGCGCTGATAAGAAAAACTTTTTTTAGGAGGAAAGTCAAATTTTTGGGGAATGTTTTAATTCTTCAGAATAACACATAAACGGCACATAAATGTCAAGTTTAGAGAGAAATATCGAAAAATAACTGATGGCAACCTTATCAACTGCTAGTTTGAAATTTATCACAATAATTTTTCCCTCTTATGATTAGATTAGACGAAAAATTCCAGAAATATTGAATAACATTTAAATAAATAATGAAATTCCTTTTACATGTTTCTCTGATGACAAATTTTCTGCCGTACTGCGACATATTTTCTTAATCTACTTCTTTGTTTTTATTATTTCTTGTTTTCACTCAACTATGTTTAAACTGAAATACTTATAAGTTGTAACCTTCATGCTTAATTACATAACATTTCAATATATTTCAACTTGTATTCTACTCCTTTCACACTTCTTTATATTTCTTTTTCTTTCTTAAAGAATATTTTTATGACAAACTGTTAAACTTGACGGCTAGAGTAGAACTGAACATTATTGAAAAAAAATTTGCTACTCATGAGAGTAAGCGCGACTTCGTTATTTAAATGTTTACATTCACAAACATTCCTACAATATCTTTTTATGGGTTTGATAAGAAAAGAATTTTCGAGATAAAAGCAAGAGAACGATAGAAGCGCCCGAAATGAATAAAAAACATTGGTTATCGTATACATATAAGTTTAACAATTTTGCTGATATTTTGCAGAAGGAAATTATTTGATTATCATCAAGGTTGACCGGGTTCGATTACTGTAATCATATAATTTAAAATTTTAAAAAGGTTATTTGTGTTGAACCAGCCAACGACTTTAAATTTTATTTAATAGTTTGAAAAACCTTTTACAATCGACTCGTGCATTATCCCTCGAAGTGAAGGAAAATGATCAGTTGGATAGTTTATGATTATTCGTTGCAATTGCAACTTTTGAAATGTTTTTGCTTTTCAAGCAATCTAAATAATATAAATAAATAAAGTTGCAAAGTATCTAAATCTAACAAAAGAAAAAGGCAATTCTAGTTACAAATTTGAATAAGTTGCAAAAACTTATGCGAATATGTAAATGAGTAAAATTAAATCAGTAAATGCAATTTGTTCAGTCATAAATTATCTAAAGCATTTGGCCAACTTAAACTGTTAGTTAATGTCATTTCTATTTTAGGAAAAATTAATCAAAAGATAAATAATCTGATAAACGTCATTTTTGTCTTATCTTGCATTGCAAATTGATAATGAAATTAATTTTTGTAGTCTGAATGACGTCGGAAAATTATAAGAAATTTAAATGACTTAAGGAAAATTGCAAATCGGTTGATGAAGTGAATTTTTTAAGATTTGACTTTGTTTAAAAAGAAGTTTTGAAGAACAGAAATTTAATCAATCTTTAAAGTTCAAACTTGTATTTTATAAATATAGAAAATGTTAATTACTCATAAAATATTGGACATTGATTGGAATGATCTCATTGCTCTTTCAAACTCAACTTGTAATCAGATATTTGACATAATCCTAGGCTTATCTATCATAAATATTCTTAGGAAAATTAAGTATCTTGTCAAAATGTGAATGATTTTCAAGCAATTCTGTGATATTGAACAGAATATGTAAGCTGTAAGATTATAAGATTTCTAAGTTTCATATATGACTTTCATTGAAGCAATAAATGTTAATTAAATTTCTAACATTTATATTGAATAATGTTGATAAAGTTGGAAGTTCTCATCCATTTTTCTTAGAACAAACTTTCATGAAAAGATTTTTTTATGTTGATGTAGGCAAGAAATTTTGTTGCTGTGTTTACATTCGAAATATTTTTGTTCATTTCATTTTTATTTATTTTTAAGGAAAAAATAGAAACATCTTGTCATGTCATCGAACAAAAAAATGCAGCTGCTAAGGGGGTAAACTAAATGAGCATTAAATGGTGAATCATAAAGAATCGTAATGTGACTTTTTCGCGTTTTGTAGAAATTTCAATCATCACAAAGCGTTCTTGTTCTATAAAGATGTATAAGGACAGAATTAGAAATGATTAGCAATGTTGAAGTAACTCATACTTTAAATATTTACCATCATTAGCGAATGGCGCAAATAATAGAAGCGACTTATGAGATATAATTCTTCTTTCTATCCTGTTCCAAAATTAACTAGGTTGAAAACATTAACAAGAATGTTGAATGAAGACATTTGAACATTCAAAATTAGAAAAATAAATATTAAAGATGGCAACACGCAACAACCATTAAGATCTGTTCTCATAAAATGATGTTATGCTAATCGTCGACAATAATTTAAACAACAATCGAAAAGTGTAGAAAGAAGCGTAGGTGGCACACCTTCTATCATGTCAATCGCCATCTCTTTAATTTGTATTTTCGCACCATCTTCATTTATTCAAAGCTACTCCAAAGATGGAATAATCACTTTCACGGTCATCGAATAGAGTTAGAAGATTTCGATTGAAGAATCAAAATGAAAATATTCTCTTCTGTTTAATACAACCTTCTAACATTCAACAAACATTCTGGGGTTGTGTCAGAAAATGTTTAACTTTTCTAATATTTCAAGTGTTTTCTGTTCCCATCTCTCTTCACAAACACCAACTTGCGTTTCCATTTCAATCGCTCGGCTTTAAAAAGTTTTCACATCGTATATGTTTAATTAATTTTAATTCATGTAGTGAAGAAATCAAATGTTGATCCATCAAATGAATTTCAAGACGAGCTTAATGTGAAGAATCATTTACTTTAAGTAACGACCTTCACCCTAGCTCACTGTACCAGATCATCAACTTATTATGAACTTGAAACCAGTTTCTGTTATTATTATTATTATTACTTTTCTTTCTAAGTATGTTTCATAACGCAACTGCTATTATAAAACAATTTCATTCTACAAAGAAGTTTTTCTTTCTGTTATGTTGATTAGGTATGTCACTGATGCAGTTTTATGGCGGATATTTGAACGGAATGTTGTTTGTATCTTTATCTTCTATCAGGCTTCTACACATCAATAAGCAAAACGGTTCTTTAAAAACGTTTTCATTATTTATTTCTAATGAAGGAAATATTTATATGGACAATATCGACTTGTTTCTGATGTTATAAGAGTTTATCCAATAAAAATGTCAACAATTTATTTACACACACTGAATGTGTTGGCATGTAGGCATGTAGGAATGACATCTAAACTAAGTTAGAATTAGCAAATAAAATCTTCTGAATAAATATTGCTAGATAAATGTTAAGAGAGATTAAATACTTATTTACTAGTACATGCACATATGTATAAAATAAAAAATCAAATTCAATTAAGTTTTTCAAATAAAAACAATTGGAAACAGTTAAGATAATTGAACGAGATGATTGCTGTTTAAAAACTGTTAAGTGAGAAAAACAAAAATTTCTATCTGGCATTCTTAAAAAACTTTCTTGCTTTTAATGTTCAGAAAGCATGGAAGTTTTGTGCTAGTCTAGTTTAGAATAAAGGAAAAGAGAAGCCTTAGTACAAGTGCTTAAAAACCGACAATCCCATCGCCATGTGGAGACATCGAATGATATAATCCAATAAAATAAAGAGGCTTCTACTTGATCCACATGTTATTCCATTAAAGAAGAAATCTTGCAGCAGTTGCAGACATTTTTTATGTTATTAAATCATAAACTTTTATCGATATTCTGAGATGTTGATTATTCGATAATTCGGTTTCATGCAATAAAAAACTTTTAAATTAACTAAAAATGAAAGTTTTATTTTAACAACAAAACTCTTTTTTCATTCTCTCGATGCTTTTCTTAAGAAAAATAAATTTGAGATGTTCATTCTCTTATTTGGAATGTAAAAATTACAAACAGAACGTACACACATGTTTGCCAGACGACACGAAGCATAAGAAAAGAAACAGCGTGAGTTATACAATGAGACGTTTTTTATACACATTTAAGGTTTTAGTCACTAAAAATTGCGAAAAATGGAAGAGAGCAGAACTTAAAAAAAATTGAGAAATGGTGAAATAATTTCATGAAAATATTTTCCGTTCATGTTTATTCATAATGCCTTTGACACTTAATTTTGGCAGATCATCGATCGAAAATGAATTTATCTAGAATTAATGCACCTCAGTCAATGAAAGAATTATTTATTGAATGACTCGCCAATCGATTTGTGACTCACAAATCAATTTTCGGCATTCTTCGAAATGAAAATACAATTCCAAGAAGAGTGACCCTAATTCGTTTTCAATGCCATAACATTTGCATGCTCATTATAAATTTTTGAACTTTTCTGCAATTTGCATTTTCAAATTACTTATAAAAGTCGAGTTTATTCATTTCTTTTCTCATTTCGTAACTGTTTAAACATGGAAGAAATCAAGTTAAAGTCTATAGAAAAGTTTTATGAAGGCGCTGAAATATTCATTACTGGTGGAACGGGATTTGTGGGAAAAGTGTTGATTGAGAAGCTTCTTCGGTCATGTCCCAATATTAAAACTATTTATTTGTTGATAAGAAGAAAAAAAGGGAAAAATGGAGAAGAAAGAATCCAAGAGCTAGTAACAAACAACAAATTGGTATTAAATTAATATACCGAAAACTTAAAAACTGTAAGACATCGATAATCTCTTTCCAGTTGTTTCAGAAATTATATTCCGTGCAGTCCGATTTTGTGAACAAACTTCACGCAATTGATGGGGATGTCATGGAGATTAACTTAGGAATTTCTAATTCTGATCGAGAGAAACTCAAAGCATGTTCAGTGATTTTTCATGCGGCTGCTTCAGTTCGATTCAATGATCCTTTGAGAAAAGCAATTCTCTTAAACACTCGAGGGACTCGCGAAACATGCAAATTGGCTACAGAACTTCCCAATTTAAAGTCTTTCGTGCACGTATCGACAGCTTACATTGAGCCAAGAAACTTGTACGTTGAGGAAAAAGTTTATCCCATCCATGCCAACTGGAGAACTTACATTAACTACGCAGAAAATGTTGAAGAAGAAATTTTGAATTTCTTGACACCAAAGTGAGAATTAAGATTGAAAAAATGTAATTAAAATTCTTTCATGATTGGTTTTAGACTAACAAAATTTGCTCCAAATACTTATACATTCACCAAGCATTTGGCTGAACACGTATGCATCGATTACATGAAGGAATACAATTTACCAGTCATTATTTATCGACCTTCAATTGTAACAGGTGATTTGTAAAAATGAAATAGATTAAGTACTTCCATTAAAGAATGTAAATTACTTTGAAAGCTTCTGAGGTTGAGCCTGTCCCCGGGTATTTGGATAATCTTAATGGGCCCGTAGGCCTCATCATAGCTGCCCAGTTGGGATTGTATCACGTATCTGTTGGTAATGTTTCATTTGAATTGAACATGATTCCAGTCGACATTTGCGTTAAAGGAATGATTGTGGCTTCGGTCAAGAACGCGAAACAAAACGATGAAGTTTGTGAGATTGAAGTAATTAATGCAGCTTCGATTAAGCATTTAACGGTGCTAGTGTTAATGCATGCTATAAAAACTTTCAAACAAAACTCATTGAAAGTAATTGACGTGACAAGTGTGACGTTTACGTCATGCACTGCTTATGCTTGGATGATAAGAATTTTTCGGCAAATCATTCCCTCTGTCATCATAGATAGTTTACTTAAAATGACAAAGAACGAACCAAGGTAAGTCGCTTTCATTTCATAAATTTAAAAACTAATTAAAAATTCTTTCAGACTTATGAAGATTCAAAGATTGATCTTTGACGCCGAGAGAAATTTGAAATATTTTCAGTATCGAAAGTTTAAGATTCCCAATCATAATTTTCACGATTTAAATTTGAATATTCCTCTTAACGAAAGAAAGGATTTCATGGTGAATGAAGTAAGTTTTAATCAACTAGAACTTATGGGTCAAGTTCAAGAAGTGGTGAGGAAAGAAATATTTAAGGAGACGGACAAAGATATTCCAATAGCTGAAAAGCGGTCCATTTATATTTTATGGATTTCAAGAATTCGTAGCTTTGTTTTTTACTACTTGATTTATCAACTTGCAAAAAAATTATTCTCCATCATTTTTTTATAATTTCGCAGATATTTCTTATTCTGATCTAAGAATTTGATCTTAAGCAATGAATAAATAAATTCTTCAAACCATAGTTGTTTGATTTCCGTTTCAAATGGAGTTTCATTTAGGCAATTATCTTCGGTATTTTCGCTATTGTATCGATCGACTTTTACTGCTTGATTGACCTTGATATTTGTTTATGTGACCATTTATACAATATACATAAACCGGAAATCGCATTTTCAGTTTCGAAAAACACTTGCGATAGTTTTAAAATAAATTTTGTAATGTTAATACATAGTTATGCACTTTTTTGTTGTTATCTTACGTAATACTTATTTTAAAAGTTTTAAACTTTACTTTTTTGGTGTCATCAGAGTCTTTACTAAGAAAGCTTATGAGTAAGTAACAAGCTTATAATCCCTTTCGCTTTAATCAAATTTAACTGTCTGCGACAAAAAGTCAAGAAAGAGAAAATAAAAATTCATAAAGCTGAAAAATTTTTGGTTTCATTTCAAATCTGAAGTAAATGGAACATAAACATTGACTGACCATGCATGCTATTTTCAGAATCTTGTAGAACAGGTTTTTAATTCATTCAAAAGTGTTGATCTTCAGCTAAGAAAAAAAAACGAATATTCTGGACAGATAGAAGTCTAAAATAGAAACACAAATTGGAAGAAAGATTTTCGAATCCAGCGCATTATCTAACAGAGGATTGCATAAATATTCAAACTAGACTAAATATTGGAATCAATACGAGTAGAAAAGCCGGTTGAAGAAATTCGTTCTCTCAGTTTTGCTTTTAATAATATGAGTTTCTTCTGGCAATATGATGTGAACGAATACATTTTTTTTTAATTTTTTAACGCTTCTTCTTCTCCTGACTTCTTTTCCATGTTTGAGTTTGTTTTTTTTTCTCTTTTTTCTCCATTATTCCCCGTTCAACGACGCTTGTTTTGTTGTTGTTTCGAGGTCTGCTTTTGAAGAGATTTCAGGTTTTTCGGCCAACACTCAATGTGTGCGTATTCTTGTTGGATCGTTTTTAATAAATATGAACAAAGAAAAAAATGCGGATGAAGGAAAAGCCACGATTCCATGATTAATAGAAAACAGAGAGAAAAAATAACTGAAATTGAAGATCTACCTTGTGGGACTCGAGATGACTCTTATGGTCATTCAACATTTTTCTACACAGAATTTACGCAAGTTCGCTTCTTCCCTCAATCCTCCATTTAATAATGAATTTCATTCAGTCGCTATTTCATAGCGGCTACTAAAAATGCATTTAACACACCCAAATTTAAATATTTTGGTTACAACACATAAGCTACTCGTCGCGATTAATCTTTGTGGTTAAGTATTTGAGTGTTTCTTAAGAAATATAAGAAACTGAACTCGATTTACTCTTAAATGTCGTTTTAAAGAATTCATTATAGTACTTTTAGTTGAAAAAAAATCAAAAGAGTTGCAGGAAAATGAGAAAACAAACCTCCTGTATATCCAAATTCCATTAGTGATGACTTTTCTGGTAATCCAAATATCTTAAAATTATCTTTTTATTTTTAATTCAAAATATTTATAACACACTCTATGACACTTAAATATCTTTTTAACATTGATTTTTTATTATTTATATATTAATTAAAACACTTTAAAACACTGATAGCAAAATTCTGCGTGTACCTTCTCTGCGCGTTCATTCTCGAATAACCAAAAACCTCGTATGGAACGATAAAACATTGGAGTTCAATGTTTTCTGAATGTTTTCCGTATCTGTTATGAGGCAAAGCAGCGTAATCCACAGGAAGAATAAATTTTAACATTCCATTGGAAGGTGATCACTCTCCAAAATGATTCTGGAAAGCAAAAGCTTTTTCCTCTAAGATATCAAATAAAAACAAACAATGTAGAAGTCTTGTTAAAGTCACTTGTTAAACTTCTATAACTACACGTACTAAACAATTAAAAAAAGAAAATAAATAGCTGAAATCCTTCAAAATGCAGTTATTTAAATTAATAAAAGATTGTGATGTAAAGTTCATTCTTTAATCTTGAAATTCAACAGTAAAGATAAAGAATTTAACTTTTCCATAGAAATCAATTTCTTCCATTTATTTTGAGAGTAAGTTTCATTCATATTTTACACAAATATCATTGATATTTACTCACAATGGCGAAAGGTTTTCTAATAACAGATTAACAGTTCTTACCTATGAATTGAGAGTATCTGTTTATTCTGTAGAATCTCGTGAAAAAATAAGATTACAGTTAAATTTTTTAAACAAGTTTGAGTCATTTTTTTCGTTCTTTCGTGTAAACAGTTTCTATAATTTGATTAAGTCGAACCTACTTACAAAAATACTGAAAGCATTTGAGCAATTCAGTGAATTGATGTCACCCTATTAATGGAATTTATAAATATATTTAGTGTACGATATCTTTTCGCAACAATCTAGATAAGAATTAAAATTTGGCTAAATACATGAACTTATAGTTTTGTTTGATTTGATGAGATTCATTTAACCTTGTGCTTTCAAACAGTAGATATAATACATAGAAAGATAAAACGTCAACTCATCCAACATTTTTCTTAGTTTGAAAATGGCGCTGAAACTGTTTAAGCAATATGAAAAAGAATTAAAAGAATTTGAAGAATGGATAAGCTCAGACCCTCGATTACCACAACAAATCGGTGAGAATTTCAATTATTAGAAGATTATAAATTTTATAGCTCAATCACTAGAATAACATTGATCTCTTTATTTTTAGAAAAACTGCTGCTTTTACGATTCCTTAAAGTGTGTGATTTTGATATCGACAAAGCAAAGGAGCTTCTCTTAATTAATCTGGAACATCGAAAGAAACATCCTGTTATTTTCTCAAACCGAGATGTCTTGGATGACAACTTCCAGCAAACTCTTAAGACATTACAAATTGTTCCTATGCCTAAGAACTCCCAAAAAAATCATAAAATATCAATTTTTCGTCTAGTTGATAAAGATCCAGAGAAATATGTTTATATCGATGTGTGTCGAACTGTTGTTTCAATGTTGGATATTCGTTTCGTTACGGTCGATGAAAACGAGCTTATTGAAGGTGAAATAGGTATCATTGATATGACTGGATTTACATTTAAACACGTCATTAAATGTTCTAGTAACTTATCCGTTTTGAAAGCCTACATGAAGTATATACAGGAAGCAGCGCCATTCAGAATTATTCAAAATCATTTTATAAATTGTTCACCAATTATGGATAAATTTATGACATTCCTGAAACCGTTTATGAAAAAAGAAATAATTGAAACTTTGAAATTTCACACTGGGGTGGAAACTTTATATGACGTAGTACCTCGAGAACTTTTGCCAAATGAGTTTGGCGGAACAGCAGGAAGTATAGATGACTTCTATAAAGATTGGAAAATGCATATTGAAAGCAAACGGTTAGTGCAAGATTTATTATTGCTTTATGTTTGTTTTAATTTGATGCTCTATTATTTTTCAGTGATTACATATTGAACGATGATAACTGGAAGTTAGCTAATTGAAGAAATATTTTTGGTGTATTGGTTGTATATTGAAAAATCTTTTAAAGAAATGTGATTTAAAAAATGTGCACAACTTTTATTGGTTTTGGAATTATAATAACATAAGAATATTACAACATTTTTATTATCACTGTTTACAATAAATTCAAATTGATTAGTAAAGAAATAGGTATATTAGATTTTAAACTGCTTTCTGTTTCATAAATGTAAACAAATGTTTATTATTTTTGTCTATTTAGAACAAGAATGGAATGTTTTTGTATGTATGATCCCGGACAGTTGTGTACAAAAATATGTCCGAGGACGCAACGTCTGATTAAAAATTTTAATTCTGATAAGAAAAAAAGTTTTGAATATGCAATTTTCTGATATTACCACTGAGTAACTTTCTATAAATGTAATGAGTCATTTCAATATCGCTTGAAAACGCTGGGCTATAAAAGTATTTAAAAAAGTCAATAATTCATTGAGGATATTTTTTGAAACTTTTTAACGGTCGCCAAAATTTTAATTCAATCTGCTATAATGAAATTGTAATAGATTAGAAATTTGAAAATTCAAATTTAACAGTTACGTGAGAAGAATTCGCTTGCCTTTTTTAACTACCTAGGTAGGTAGGAACATAAAAGCTTACACATTGATAATAATTATACATAAATTAGCAAATACAATTAGGTAGTATTTATTAGCCAAGTGTCAATATCCACAGTATTGTTAATAACTAAATCTCATCTTAGATATTTTTTAGCTATTCATCAAACTCTTTAATAAAAGAATAACAACAATTTGTATTATGTGAAAAATTAATTGCAAATATCTTTATAAATCTTATCTTTATCACTTAATCCTCATTTTGTGCTGATATCTTTAACAGTGACAGTGAATTTTAAACTCATGATTTATATATTCACACGGTAATGGCATGCTATCGATAAAAATATTAATAACAAAGTTAACTTAAACTATTTAATAAATTTTCATCCAAGGATTAAATAATTATGCTTCATAATTATTTAAACTAAAAAAGTGAAAACTTTAAAAGAATATTAAAAGTTCGGAAATATTCATAAAAGGCATCCAAAATTCATTAAGATTAAGACGATGTTTTGTAAAGTTTAAATAGATAAATAAAAATTTAAAATGATTAAAGGAAACTCATGTAGCTTTAAAGTAAAAAAAAAGAGCTTGAATAAGGTACATAAAAGTTGAAATGAAATGTCCTTAATTTTACTCGCCTTTAAAAACTGTGTTAAATGTTTCGCTATCAGAAAGTGTGAGTGAGTAGCGTTGATTCATTCAATCAACTTTGGTTCTGGGGCTTGCGCATCAGGAAAACACCAACAACCTACCAAGTCATACCCTACACACCACAAAAATTCCAAATATTTTGCCATGGCAAAATCACATGAATTTTAATTTTGAGAATTTTAGAAATTTCATCTTGAAGTTTTATGCTTTATGTAGGGGTTGCTGAAAGTAACCGAACGGGGGTGATGATGATTTTTTATGACGAGACCCGGCGAAATGAATTCATTTAACCCAAACAACTATCAATCATGCTATGCATGTTAACGTTGCATAATCATTGCTTAATACTTCCTCAAAGACTGAAAATTATTTTCCTAAGAATGTTGACATGAGCTCATAAAAAATTAATGATTTCTCTTCTTTTTATCATTAAAAACATAATAAAACTGAGGGGAAACATAAATATTTAAAGGAAGAAAAATCTCGTCTTAAATCCAAGGCTTCATTTTACATTGTGCTGCTATAACAACGTGCCAAAATTTTCTTATTTTCTTCAAATTTTTATTCATCCAAATTTGAGGCTTAAAGTGGAAAATAAGATGGAAGACCTGTAGTAAATAAGTATTTTATGAAGGTGGGTTGAGTAGCTTATAAATAAGCGGAAGATTTTGCAAAAGGTGTGTTGTACATGTTGGAGTTATATACTTATTTGTTTCTCCATCTGCAAAGGATGGCAGAAATGATGAATGGTTTTTCTTCGGTAGAGTCATAAAAAGAAAATTAAGGATTATTTATTAATTCTGAAATTATTCGTGCTGGAAGTAAGGTTTTGTATGATCAAGGGAGGAAAATTGTTTTCATACGATTTGTTATGAAGGTGTGAAACAAATTTGCTACCGCTAAGCACTAATTCAGTTAAATTTTGACTATAAATTAATCATTACTGACTTCATAGTTTAGATTGGTTTAGATAAATGCATCCTTGACATTCTCACTTTAAAACTAAAATAATTTAATTATAGAAATTTGACAGAAATTCTTAAATTGACGACATCAGTCACGCTCCAATCGAGTTATAAAGAAAATTAAATTAAAATTATTCTTATGGCTTTTCGTAAGAATTTCATACTTTTTATGTTTCAGAATTTTAAATTGCCTGCAATTTCAATTTGAAGTTCTCTTTATTTAATCTGCTTATCAGAATTCAACATGGATGAACTAATTTTTCCTTTCATATTCATCTGTCTTTGGTTTCGAAAATTATTTCCACCAGTATTCGAGAGGCTTCCACTCGATATTGAACAGTGTCATCCTCTTACTGCTTTATAAAGAGATAATATAATTTAATTGAATAGTGGCTTAAGGCTTAGAACATGCACACGCAGCTTTCCTGCCATCAAAAGCGCGTCAGACGAAAGATAAGACAGATTAGAGTGGGTAATCCGAAAAGCCTCTTTATCACAGCTCGTCATCATCATCGTAACTCGTTTTCATTTTCTATTCGAACGATGGAACAAAAATACTCATCTCACCGTAATATTTTTGAGTGTCATCGTATAATAGGGTAGTTCTTTAGTAATGCACCACCTCGAAATCGTCGTTAGTAGTGCACCACTACTTTCGAACTTAATTTTCTCAGCTATTTTTTATTATTTATGGCTTAGAACTTTGTAGAAAGCTACTTTGGACTATGCTCTACCTCTCTACAAAGTTCTAAGCCATAAATAATAAAAAATAGCTGAGAAAATTAAGTTCGAAAGTAGTGGTGCACTACTAACGACGATTTCGAGGTGGTGCATTACTAAAGAACTACCCTATATAACCCAGCAGTAGTTTCAAAATTAATCTTTTATTGAACCACACCGCAGGAGAACGTTTATGAGTCTTAATATAGATTTAGAACATAAAGCAATTTTGTTGTCATGTGTGGCGTAAGGACCATTGAATTTGTTTCATGTCCATGAATTGAACTGATAAAATTTTTCTGAGGACATAAATACATCTAATAAAATCTTTTTTTTAATAAAATTGTACAAAATCTTCGAAGGTTTATGAAATTTCAACATGGTTTGAGTGATAATTGAAGAACGACGACAAGTCGAATTGTGAAATTGTTTAATAAAATCGGGTGACAAAAAAATTTTAAAAACAACTCCAATAAATATTTAAATAAATTTACTGTAACTACGAAACATTATCGTCATCTCCATAAAAATAACTTTGATAAAATAATGAAATGGAAAATAATAAGAAAGCAGAAATTATGAGTAAGTGTAACGAAATGTTTGTTCCAATCACGATAAATTACTCAATTTACCTGAAATTTGTTTCAAGACGGCTTGTGTTGCCGATTGAATGTTCATAGAATGATAGAAGAAATCGAGATAAAAGAATTTCTACAGTACAGATTGCTCAAAACGAGCCATGTAATAAAAATATCCTCCAGACTGCTTGGCTATAGCCTCGTGATATTAATGATATTTTAAATTAATTCTTTTCGGTTTTTTTTTGTTGTTCTTCTTCTGACTCTAGATCGGTACCAAACAAATGATAAAAAATAATAAATCATTCTTCTCATCAAACTTAATGATGGTGAAATGAAATTATCTTGAAGCCGCGCACTGTTAACGTGAACTAATCATTTGAGGAATGTTGCTGAGAATGATAGCGTGAATATAAGCGAGATAAATTCAAATTAATCATTGCTTTACTATATTTTCTCCCGAGTACGTCGTTCAATTTTAAAAATGTAAGTGCTAATGTTTGAGCAATTAGTCTCTCCACATAGTTGATTTGAATCATTTGTGATCTCTATCCAGTAACTCTTCATGTTTCGCTTTTATAAATTCGCCTTCTCTGAATGTATTTATATCTGGCTTAGCTTACAAAATCTCATGTTCATAAGAAGAAGTCTGAAACTGAAATAAAATTGTTCTTCTCTATTCTACATAGTCAATCATTTGAAAAGGATAAAGGTGAATAAAAAGTCAATTCAATAAAATAATTGGCAGAAAATCACTTGAAGAAAGTCTTCTAAACAATCATTCAATTGTTTTGAAATTTTTGTACTTGTTTCGGTTTGATTCCCTTTAAAGCTTTTCATTCTTTTATTGTCATAGTTTTCCCTTTTTAAAGTTTTCCTTGAAACAACTAAACGAGATTTTTATCTGCTGTTGAGTCTGATAACTTTCTTTGATAACAGCCTATCAAAAAGCACAGAAATATTTTTAAATCAGAACTTCACTTAAATTTTTAAGACTTAAAACTAAGTCCATTGCGAACATAACGACAAACAGTCTTCAATTCTTAGAAATCTGTTCCTAAAGATCCCAGGTGTTCAGGTTATATTCAGGTAAAAAATAACTCAATATAGCACTGCTGCAAAACATTTTCCAATTTAAGTACAAAAGAGAAAATGAAGCATCCTTTTAGACAAATTTGATTTCTTTTCGAAATAATGAGACCGAAGGACACACTAAAATATAAATAGAAAACCTTGATTGAGACGAAGCTCTGCAGAGCATAACTTTACAACGCAAAATAGATTTTGTAAATCAAAGTTTTCGTTCAAATGTTTTTTCAGCTTTAAGTATTTGAAAAGTTGGAAAATGTCTTTAAAAAATTTAAATTTTAAATCAAAAACCATTTCTATTTTGTTATTACACTTCTGGTATGTCACATGCAAGAAAACATGCGCAGAAGTTGTCAACTCTGAATAAATCTTCAAAACATTACACTTGCAACCAGGTGAGTCAATTTCTCATTTGGAAATTAATCGCGTTTGCTTTAGGAAAAATCACAACAATAGCACAAGGCAAACAATGAGTACTGTTAAATTTCACGGTCTCATTCATGAAAAATTTATTGTAAATGCAGTTCCCTCGATGACATGAATTTATATTCACATTCGTTGTCTATAATAATTCATGTGAAGTTAAAAACACTCCAAAGAATATTAGCAGAATTAGAAATGCCTTATAACTGCAATTATCATGAATTGGCGCTTCAGTTAACAATAGTATTTCAATCAAATAAAAGCAAGACGATCATTTTAAATATTCCTGAACTTTGAATCAGCTTTTTATGTTAATGGATTAAATATAAACAAATCGATTCGATGATCAAGTTGAAAGAAAAATCATGTTTGGAATGCACACCTCAGCTTTAATTTGCTTCCCATTTTGGCAATCCATGAAGCAAATCATGACAAGTTTAATTAATACGAAAAAAAAATCAAAAACAAAAATTTAAAAACTCGTTTTAAATATTATTCAACCCTTGGAAATCATGTGGAATTCGCTTCTAACCCTCTACCAAAACTAGATGCGAATAAACTGTAGAAATTGATATTTCTCAAATAAAACTTCTCCGAACCACTAAAAATCTATGTACGCCGATTAATATGACATGATTTACTCGTAAATAGAATGTAGAGAAGCGAAAAAATGTTTATTACTCATGATATAGAATTTTGTGACCCTACGTTGCAAAATAAGAAGAAAAAAACTGGCAATGTTGCTTTTCGATTTTTATGTATAAATTTTCATACTCCGCCCGCAATCTTAAACCAATACTAAAGATAGGGATAAAGCACCAATTGCGATTGTTAAATTTTCTCCTCAATTATTGGTTTGATGTTGTGTGTGTGTGTATCAAATATTAAAGGGGAAATAGTTAAAGATTTCTTTTTCAACATGAAAATAAGATTTTTACAGACTGAATGGTGCTATTTGAAAAGGTAGCGTTTTGACTATCAGATATTTTTATGTATTGTTTGTGCTTGATTTTGTCTTTTAAGTGCAACTTTAAGTTTTCAAATTATAAATCTTACTTTTTAGTGTGTCAACAACTATAGCAAATGAAACCCAACAAAGACGATCAAATTTTTTATGTCCAAAAGTTTAGTTCAGCAACTTTTTTCAATATCTTTAATAAATTGTAACGAATTGCTGGATATTCTAGATGTAGTTAATGTATCATCATCATCAAAATATATCTGTGAAGATATTTAATGTTTATGAAAAAATAAGATAGCGAAAGTTTTGAATTTGCATCATTAAATACAGTTGAAGGATTTTTTCACGTCATCAACTTATTGTTTCATTCTATTCCTTTATTGAAAACAAATTATTTAGAAAAATTTTATGTTTTTAAAATATTTTTAACTTAATTTATGAAAAAAACATTTTCGAAGTTTCAGTTTTATTAAAGAATTATTCATGATTCAAATTTTCCAAATATTTAACATTAAACTGGACGAGGTTCATTGATTTTAATTAAATTCCAATTATTCTTATATCAACTCAGGTCATTCATTTAAACTGATAAACTGATTAGAAACGAAACATAAAAAAAAATTAATCTGATGAAGATTTTAGGATTTTCATGTGATTCAAGACACTAAGAAAGTTGTCAATTGATACCGATTTCCTTTAAAAAACCTCATTCTTGAACACAAAAATTAAAAGTTTTCTGTTTTTTCAATCACTCTATAAATTGTTTAAGATTTTTGCACTTTTAAAACTTGACATAATCAAACTTTTTCAAGGTCAATATCAACATGTTTCATTCAGAATAGAAAAAAAAATCTTTTGTGACTTCAATGAATGAATCTTTTGTTGTCGAATTTCTATACCATGAATTCACTCATCATATTATGAATGAAATAAATTTCCTTTTAAAGCTTTGAAGCAAAGTGAAAGTGAGTTCAAACACCTAGGAATCAATAATAACTTGAATTCAATTGATGTTCTAGTAAATATTTATTAAACCATCATCAAATATCTTGCTTGTTTATCCTTAAAGATTTTATTTAAATTTTCTCCTCAAGGTTTTATTCTTCAAGAAGTTGCTTTAGTTTATCCAACACTAACCTGAAGATTATTCGATATTCCTGAAAATTTTAAATTGGATTAAGAGTGGAAAATTTGTAATTATTGTCTTCAATCTTTAATTAAGGTTTTAGGGAGATTATTGAATGTTCATTAAAATAGTTTTATTAAGGAAATATTGCGAGTCTTGCATTTCTACCCGGAAATTGCTGAAATTTAACTCAACAAATTATTATTGATGCGTTTCTATTTCGATGCGAATTCAAACACTTGAAAGGACTACAAAAAATATTTCTGATGTACACTAATAATGGAGGATGAGAAAAATAAAATCTATTTGCGAGAACTGTGAAGGCTGTTTTATGGTTGTTCCCACGAATCATCATATTTTTTTATAACTTCATTTTAAATTTTTATCACTTTTTATAACAGTTTTCGAATTGCTTAATTAATATAATTTTTGATTAATATCATAAAGGTGTCATTTTTCTCACGTTTTCGATGATGGAATAAAATAGATTTGAGTTTAGCTAAATCTTTACTCTTTAGCATATAAACATTTTTTTTATAAAAAAAGATTTCACAGAAATCATTCACATTTCTCAATTAGTCAGTGTGTGTGTGTGTGTGTGTGTGATTCACTTGGGAAAAAGAGAAAAGATTTCAATCGAAAATATTAAAGCTTTCAAGAATTATTATAAGAAATTTGCTGAAATTCACTAAATTAAACCGAACATACAAAAATGTTGTCAGGAATAATTTATTTTTAATTTGCCTTGAAAAGGTCATAAATATCTTCAATAAACTATTTTCAACTGCTCTTTAATTTGTTGAGTCACTGCTCATAATCATTATTTAATCAATAAAACTATGCTAGATCTATGTTTAACAAAATTATTCCAAACAGATACATTAAATTCACGTGTTAAATTCTAATTCCAGAAGTTAAGTTTATTTCATTTCCTATATGTTAAGCAGTAATCGTGTTTAAGATATCGCAGTCTGATTTTCATATAATTTTACGGTAAATTTTTTGTATGTCATAATGGGAACGTGACGGCAGTTCGATAATGACAATTTCCGGTTGAAATAATCGATTAGATTTTAACGTTCTAGTAGAAGCAATAATTGTGCTCATAATCAATTGTAAAATATTTCATGATGTCTAAGAAAGGGCAAAAATGTCTGAATTTCATTTTTACAGACAATTTAACTGAAGTTCTTATCAATTCGGTAAGTTGGCTTAGAAACTCTCAAAGAAAATTTCTCAATTAAAACTTGTTTGTCTAGCAACTCAGTAACTCAATTGGAATTATTAATACATCTCCAAATATAAAATAAAAAAATGAAGAAGCTTCGATTAAAGTCTAAATAGCTTAAGAGTAAACGGAAGCCGATGACATTTTTCTTCTTGTCATCAATTGAAATATCAAGCCTTAATTAAAACGAAAGAATACGAACAGCTTGATAAATATTCAAAGAATAAATCGAACATTATATCTTCCCATTAATTAGATACAATAAGACAAATTGGAATATTTAAACGACAGCTTAGAAAATTATTTCAAATAATCTCATATATTTATCTTCATTTGTTTCTAAATGGTTCTGCCCAATCAAGTGGCAGTACTCAATTTCATCGCCATGGGATCTTTATTCTATTAATACCAAATAAGAGATTAAAGAGCACAGTCAATGAATCAAACGGTGTTTATTAATTAAAATCTTTACACTTCTTTCTTTCTTATTTTCCGGTCATCTAAAAAATTTCATTCCCACCGTTTCAAAATTCCCATTAGATCTTTTTTAAAGTCGAAGAATTCTTAATAATTCTTTGTGAACGATATTAATGGATTTCAACTAATTCATTAATGTAATCCACCAATAGCTACCATTTCCGCATTTAATCTTTTGTGAAAACTTTAAGAGAACCAAAATCTGTCATCGATCTATGAAGTGAGTTAAAGGATGGCATTAAATATTAATTTTTCTCATTATTTCTGCTACATTTCATTCGAAATGTTTACATATTTGACGATAAGAATGCGCAAGACTCTTGAACGATTGAGTTTACTTCCAATGAAGTCTTTAGCCCCAAGCGACAAATAATACATTTTTGATTAAACGTTGCAATTCACAAGGAATGTCAAGTTAATCTTCAACGAATGTTTACAAACTCGAGCTAGTGATGTGACTTTGATTCTTGCAATATTGCTATTTTAATCAAAGATATTGGAAGTGAGAAGTTTCTTTCGACCTCCATCTTCTATTAACTCCAATGTTGTACATAAATCATTGTTAATGCTATTGGTTTTGACGTCTTCCAAATTTTCGTAAAAGCATCTAGAAATTACTTTATCAGAAGCGCGTGGTTTCAACACCGTAACCAGATCGTTGTTGTCTGATCAAAGAAAACACCGAAGGCAGGTACACAAGAATGAAATATGTAATAAATTGTAGCAGCGTGGTATAGCATCGTTAACATGCTGATTTATTAGGTGATATACTAATAAATGATGTCTGATAACTGATTTATTCGACCAAAAACTCATAAACTTGTAATTATTCAATTTTATATAAATATATTCAATAAAATATTAAAAGAATTCATCCCAAATCGAAATGATTTTAAATAAAGACTTGAAAGAGTTGTTTCAGTCATTTCGCCGCTTTTATGGTGATTAGATTAAACATTCTAATTTTTCAATTTTATGTTATGTATCTACACATATTTTTAATATAAAAACAACTTTTATCTAATGTTTCAGATTGTCTTTCATTTGTTTATTTTCATTTCTACTAAGCAGCACGCTTTAAAACGGAAAGTGTGCTCGACTTATTCATTGTTAATGTTCATGAAACCGTGAAAATCCAAGTCATACAAACGCGTGATGATGGACATTGGAATGTTGTTGACGGTGATTGTTCACTCTTATTCTTCTGTTATGATTATTTCAAATTATGTTTAACGATCTTTAAATTAATTCGATTTAATGAGTTATCTGTTGTCGTGTTCATTTCAAATCAAGCTCTATGCACATGTGAGTAGCTAATGAGAGTCAGCATTTCAGAGACGGCACGAACGAAATAAGAAATTTTTCTCCGGAAACTACATAATTGCACCACAGTTTGTCTTGCTCGAATGCTTTATAAACTATTTGATTTTATTCTCGTTGAAGACGTCTAAAAAGCATGCACATTTACCTCAAATAAATATGCTATACTTATAGGCTTTTAATTTATGTCTGAACTGTCACATTTTTGGGAATATTTATTTACTAATAATATCTGAAATATATTCCAACCATGATCTTAAAATGAAAGAGAAACAGTGACCTATTGTAATTGTTAGTTTTAGTTTCTTATTTTTCCTAACTTTGACTTCCTAAGCTTTCAATAAAAAAACTGTTGAAAGCAAGAATAAAGTTTTAAATGCGCTGTTATGTTCATATTATTCATGAGAACATATTTTTAAACACTCCATTAAATTGAAAATCATGCGTGTCAAATGATTTTCATGTAAATTCATAAGCAAAGTTTTTCTCTTCCACAAGAAAGTGAACACGAAATGTGATTAGGAGATAAAGTATTAGCATATTTAATTCTGTTGGTGAAAAGTTTTCGATATTTCTATTCCATATTATTTGAGTGTGGGCGTAGGTTGAGGAAGGCTGTAACAGTTTGAAGTTGATCGCTGATATCAATTATTATGAAAGATTTTAATTACGACTCAACACTGTAATTATTACTTATTAGTTATAGAACATGAAAGGTGGAGAAACTAAATAAAAATGCAAACTCACAGCTTTATCGACCATTCAGAAAATATCAAAAAAAATTCCGAAAGAAGCATGAATTTTAAATTCAAACTCTCTTTCGTCTAATTTCTATCAAGCTCATGGTTAGTATACGAAATCCAAGCTTTGAAATTTTCATATCTGCATAACGCCTATCGTCCACGTTTAAACTTTTTCAAACTCTTATCAATCAATTAAATTAAAGAGTCATATTTCAACACTTTTCGGTCAGTGTTTGAGAATTGCTTGGGATTCATTTTGAAAATAAATATTTGGAAATTTTAGTTAATTTCTGAAACTTTTGATAAATTCTCGTTTTTGATTTTCAAACTTGCCACGAACATGTACAAAGTTAAGAAACTCCTAGCCCTGGATTCAAATTAAACTTTCGACATTTAATGCTTCGAATGTAGTTGTTATTTTTTGTACATATTTTTATAATGCTGTCTCATTGAGTTTCTCACTTTTTTCCTGCTTTGAAAACTTCGTCATAAGAAATTTTTGCCTCGTCACTTTTCAGGTATTTAATTAAACGTTAGGTTGGAAATGCGTGAATTCGATATCTCATATATGCGACTTGCGTCAAGCATCAGAATTTTTTGAGCCTTCGAATTATATTTTCACGCCTTGAATTCATCTAGATATATTTTTGAAGTTATTCACCTAATTTGGTTTTATCTTGCACGTGCTTGATCAAGAACCGCTAGAATATTTCATTTCTTATCGCTAAAACCTTTGATCCGAGTATTTTGTTTCATATCTGCGTTAATATAAATGGAACTTCTTTTCCTTCTCTCCATTCTTCATAAGTTATACTTTAAAGGTGTATATTTTACAATTTGTGCAAGGCAGTAGTCGCATAAGAAACGACGTCATGCTGTGCTTTGCATTTAACAACCGAAGAAGCAATAAAACGAAATTGATAATCGAGACATTTGGTTCTTTCAATCAACTCAAATTCTTTCATTATAATTTGATCAAAAACTTGAAAATGAATATCAAAATATTTTCCTTAAAAGAAAATTCAATTTTCTTTACACAAAAATCTTTTAGTGATGCAAAATAAAATTTAATTGTAACTAGAAAAAACCTTAAACATGACTAAATTTGTTAGAAACAAATCAAAGCTTGAAATATTATAAAAAATAAGCAGATGTATTGAATTGAATGTCGATTGATTCCACAAATTAATTATATCCATTCAAAACTCTTTTTCAATTGCCGTTTGTCGTCCCATTCCAAAACCAAAGCAAATTATTAATAAATTAATTATCGCACACAAAATTGAATCACTTCAACTACTAAATGTCCTTATACAAACATCAGAATATTTTCTATAGCTTGTTTATGAGTTTGAAGTCAGATTTTTTTAAAATTTATGCACCCTTTGTCGGTAATCGTCAACAGCAGCATCATAAAGATAGTGAAAACTGCCGTAAGAGGAGGAATAAATAAAAAGTTGTAGGGAAACCCTCGAATTACATCTGAAAAAATTGTAATCATTTTAAGTTGAGGACAAACAATAATTGTGTGGGAGTTTCACACATATAGTTTCTCATCTGAGAGGTTTCACTTAAATTTCGATATAAAAACGAAGATCTCATGACATGACCCATCAAAATGTTAAGTTCCTTCCAAATCCACAGAACATTCGAAAGTTGAAAGTTTCAAACGAGATTTCATACGTATCCATACATGAGTTCATGTGGTTTTTACTCTTGCGTGATATAGATTGCCAAATCATTTTTTTCCAACATGATTTCCTCTCTCGATTTCAGAAATCTTAAAAAAAGGGCTCAGGTTTCCGATGGCTTAACATCAGGCAGGTTTCGAATTGTCTGATTATTTTTTAGCTACTTTGTTAATAACTCTCTAGAGTTAATAATGGCTTTTAAGACAGAATGGTTACAAACAAAACAATATAATATGATATTTCAAGATTCAAGATGATAATGATGATGATTAAGCGAGGCGTTTATGTTATTACTGAAGATTCATTTAGCATATGTTTGAGGTAATTGAGGCACAATCAAAGTGTCTTCCAATCCATATTTAGTCACATATGTAGCTCTAACTGGTCTAATATGTTATGTTTTCAAATATAAATATTATGGAATACAAAAGCGTTTCGCATCTCATTCTAATTTTATTGTTAGAATAGCTTTCGACACGATATTTCGCTAGGATGTATTGAAGTTGAGTATATCAGTGACATGACACCTTTCTAAATTAAGAAATGAATATTTTTGAAGTGTTTCATTTTTATAAAAAATTTCATTATTCTTCATTCTTGTTTCTCGAGAGTTCGTAGCATTAAAGTGATGATGCATCGAAAAACCGCATGATATTTCAATAAAATATCAATTCTTACGAGCTGATCAATAGCCTTGCGAAAGGTGTTTTACTGGAATTCTTTTTGATTAATTTACGACTGGATTTTGTGCCAACACTACTATAAAGTCTTGCAGTTGTTCGATATGCTGTGGTAAACGTTATAAAACACCGCTTCAGACTTTCAGTTTTTTTCTGGAGATTTTGGAACACAACGAAAACTTTTAAGAACATTTCAAGGAAATTTAATTTGTAGAGATGTCCATTCGACCTAAAACTTTTTTAATTTAATTTAACAAATTGTTTTTCTTTTTTTATATTTTAGATAGTGCAGTTTAAATAAAGCAAAGATAATAATAAGACCACCACAGAGCTGAATTATCAAGATGGAAAACCAAATCATAAAACAGAAGCAAGGCTTTGAAGCATATTGCTACAGTTAATCAGATTTCTGTCAATTTCGAAGAATCTTATTGGATTTTCCTCATCAATTTATCGGTATCATAAATCATATAATGTCAAAACTTTTAGACTTTTCTTAGCACATAAAATCAAACGTTTTATTGAAACTTCGTTGCGGTTGATGGAGGCATCACGATCAACGGTAGCCAACATTGAAGAATAATAAAAAATTAATTTATTGAAATGTTGTTTGCAAGTAAATTCTAAAAAATGTGAAAGCTTGGAGATCTTCAATGGAAATTTGCCTTGAAGTGTCGATAGGCAATAATTTCTTATATTTATTAATTCCTATAGATGTAACTTAATATTTGCCGATTGATATTTTTGGCTTAATTTAATTCAACTGTAGAGTTGCAACTCTTGAAATTGCTACACCATACTACAAGACTTCATTCTTGACTTCCATTTAAAATGATTTCATAATGATGAAGATATAAAATCTCACTTGACAAGCGCTGTTGGTAAATATGCTGAATAATTGAAGGATCTAGCAATTAGTCTCTAAAACTGACAGAAACTTGAACCTAAAAAATCCATTTGTAAAGTTGTTGCTTATGATGTAAGTAACTAAAGTCAATATAAGATCAAAGATATTCAACGTTCAAAATGACAACAAAAAGCTTCAAAATATCTAACTTATAAATAGAATCATCATGAAGTAAGAAAGTTATCGTAGATGTGAGACAATAACTTTCAAAGATAGCCTTAATAATGATTTCTTCAGCATCTACAAGCTTCTGAATTGTTGATGTTAAATGAAATGATTAAAAGTTGAAAATACTCAAGTTGAGAAAAGAAAGAAGAAGAATCTTTGCGTTGGTGAAAGTTAATCAATCTTATCCCGTTGTAACTTACTTTATTATACAAAAGCCTTATTGTCAAACATATGATGTTTAAATTTGAGTTATTTTATAGAACGATAGATTCGACGAACTTAACGATCATCGCGACACTTAATCAAACATCCAAATCCGCTTCTTTTTGGAGCAAGGAGATACATCGGCGAACATTTTTTGATCTAATTTTAAATCTCACATAAGTATATAAAATACTGTGCATAAAAATGTGTTCAAGCTTAAAAATATTCATACAGTGAGCACATTAAAGCATGAACAATTCTCAAAAGATACAACGAAACCATACAGATGAGAAACTATATGTGTGAAACACCCACACAATTATTGTTTGTCCTCAACTTAAAATGATTACAATTTTTTCAGATGTAATTCGAGGGTTTCCCTACAACTTTTTATTTATTCCTCCTCTTATGACAGTTCTCGCTTCTTATATGTTGCTGCTGTTCACCATTTCTCGACAAAGGGTGCATAAATTAAAAAAAAAATCAAACTTCAAACTCATAAACAAGCTATAGAAAATTTTGTGATGTTTATATTTATTTGGATTGTATTTGAAGTGATTCAATTTTGTGTGCGATAATTAATTTATAAATAATTTATTTATATTCAGTAGAGACCTGAAAAACAATGATTATCTAAACATTGAGTTTTAATGTATAAGTAATTGACAATCGAATCAAGTTATCAGATGATTTAATAATTCATTCACAATTTAGGTCTTGATTACATGATTCATATCAAGTGAGAAAAAATTCATTTGGCTTTTTGTAAAAACTAAAAATGGATGCAGATATCTAGACTTTGATTTCTTCCCACAATCAAAATATTCAAAATGTGCCTGAAGATACTACATACTTTAAGAATAAAAGAAATGAGATATTCTGAATTGGATGGAAGAAATAAATTTCCAGAAGCTACTTTTATATTTTTTATTAACTGAGAAATGATGTAAATTTGTCTTTTCCATATATTTCTTTAGTTATGAGGTAGCCACACCGGTATAAAAATTTTGATACCTCATCAATTCACTCATAATTTGTTGTATCTGCAGTCATATGATACTTTTCACTAGATAACTTCATGTTGATAAAATACTCTCCCTGTGCTATTAGTTCTGTCTGAAAACTTACCACACATTTAAGTATTTATGAAGAAGAAGTTTCTGACATTATTCCACGTAACTTGTGAGGTCACAGTCCTACGACGATTCTCTGGAATCAAGAGAATGAGAAATAATAACTGTCGTAAATTACTCTCATGTGTTTACTTCATAAATTATTCTGATTCTGCTTGGAAATTTATTTTTTCAAAAAATATTGCAATTGATAATTAAATTCAAACATCAGCATGTGATCCATAATCCAGCTTCTGTTTTCATTTACAGACTCTACAGAACTGGAAAGCTTTTCAAAATATGTTAAAGCGATATGATTAACCTCACGGATGTTTTCAAAAATTGTTTGCGTCTGAAGTTCATTTCAAAATTAAAAATAAATTTATAGACAGTGAAAGAAAGAAATAATCGAAGACGACGCTATAAGAATTCTTATATGTATATCATAACATGTAATATGCCTTAAATATTAGATATAAAATTCACGTATTTTCAACGATTAATTAAATGTCTATAACTAAAAGTGACAAAGCAATTTTTTTTATTTCTGACGGAGTTTTCAAAGCAAGAAAATAGTGAGAAACGCAATGAGACAGCGAAATAACAAAGTAATATCTGAAAACGTTCGCGCGGCTTGATGTTGAAGACTTCGTTTGAATCATATCGGAACACGTTGCTATGACTCTTTAATTTAATTTTGTGGTTTCTGATGTAGAAAAATATTAACAACTTCAACCACTATCAGAAAGTTAGGAATTAAGTTACGATTTTTAAAAAAAGAATGAATAAACGAAATTCTTGACTATGGTGTTGTTAAAGATCTCAGTTGATTGAAGGGGTAAATTATTAGTGTCTGAATCGTGATTTCTTATTGTATCACGTTTCATATTTATATGACTAATAAGCACTAATTATAATACAACTCTGTTATTAAAATCCTTCACAATAATTGTATCACCAATCAACATAAAATTGTTTTAACTTCTATTTCTTTATTCATCTACTTATAGTAAAATATAATTAAAAAATAAATACGAGACTTCTAATATGCAGCTCTATACCTAACTGAAACTTACTTAGGCACTATCAAAGCAAATTTCTTCACGAGTCTCGTTCATTGTAAAGAAATTACAGTTCATTTATTTATGAGTTTATGTACATGAATGTTATTTGACATGCATGACTCTCAATTTTTGGAGTGTTTAAGAATATAATCTCATGAATAATTTGAATACAGAGAAGCTTTAAATCTTCCTTCTTATTTAAGAACAAAAGTAATTTTAAAAATGTTAACAATGTCAGTGAGACTGACTGAATAGAATTGTGTGATAATGAGACATCTTAACTTACATAGATTATTCGTAGCCTGTTCCGTCTCATTTTTTAAGCATAAATTTCTGATATTTTTAAGATTGTCTTCATAGCTATAAGTTGGATCATAAATATAAATTTATAAGCATCACAAAGTTACACTTTCATACATTCATAAAACTTTTGACTGAATTCATTTTTCTAGTTTTTTGATTAAAAGTCGCTACAAACTCTGTCAACATTCATTACATTCACTGACTAAACATTTCAAGGGAATTGCAGCGTTTAATCAAAAATGTATTATTAATAGCCTGAGGTTAGGAACTGATTCCAAGTACTTGCCAACCATTCAAAATTCAATATGTACACAACTTCCATCGTAATTTCTTGCACGTTCTTATCGTCAAATAAGTAAACATCTCATATGAAATGTAGCAGAAATAATGAGAAAAATTAATATTTAATGCCATGCACTTACCTACTTCATGCAACAGAGTTGATTCAGATATTTTTCCTAAAAGAAAAATTATTAAAAAATGGAAGATTCATAAATTTGATAAAGTAAAATTAATCTACTTGAAGATTCGAAAATTCTTTAATGATATAGAAAACCTAATGGTAATTTTGGAACTTTGGGAACGAATTTGTAAATGACCGGAAAACAAGAGTGAACAAAATGTAAAGATTTTAATTAGTAAGCAACGTTTGATTCATCGACTTCGATTTTAATCTTCCATGAGTAATTAAGTAAGAAGATCTCTTGACGGTAACTCGGGAGCTACCAATTTATTGTTTATCAAGTGTTAAAAGGCTAAATAAATAAGATTAATAGCCGGAGATTCCAAATTTCCACACTCAACTAAGAATCTTGCTTTTTTTTTCTCTAATTAATGAAATAAAATAAATCATCAAACTATTCTTTTATAAATATCTTCGTACGATATGTCTTCATTTCAAATTATTAAAACATGGCAAACCAATTGGTGTCGAAAAGACAAATCAGCGACTTCCGTTAGCGAAAAATATAAAAATTTCTATAAAATATTCTAAAGTAGGATCAAAGTAAACAAATAGCTTCACATCAAATTATTATTTTTATAAACATTAAACGATTGACGATTGGAAAAGGACACGAAATTTGATTCCTGTTCTCATGCTGTTAAAACACAATTTGTGATGTTATTTTTTCCCCATACAAAAGCTAAGAACTTCTTAAATTGTTTTTCATTTGACACTAGTCTTGTTTACTTTCCTAAGTTTTTGTTTGTGTAAATTATTGAATGGACGGTCGATGTGGTCGTTTAACATTTTCAGTCAAAACACATTATAGGATGATATTCAAGCTCCTATTTGTCACTTAATACAGTTGGTGTAAAGGACCCTATAATGAATGTATCAGCTTGCCCTAATACTTAAAACATTTTGTAATTAGATCCTTAAAACATTTCTGTTGTCCCAAATGAATAATTGGCTCTAAGTGGAATGAAATAATTTGTCATCAAACCCCGTTTCGCAAGTTTCCGAATGTATTTGAAATGACCCGCGAAAAAAACAAACATGCATCAGTGTTTTTGGGGTAAAAAGGTCAAATGTGAAGCCTTCTGTCTAGATTTTTGTTTGTGCAAAATGTACAAGCAAAATACGTCACGATAACAACATTTTTAAATTTCTCGAGGCCAGTAAACACATTTTTATTTACAAGTTGTCCACTTTAACATGATTCAAGGTTTCGTTTCTTTCATTCTCCTTCTCTCTCTCTCGCACTGTCTCCCTTTCGCCCTCTAATTCTTTTTTTCTGTATTTTTAAATCCGTAAATCATTCTCGAAACTCATGCATGAAGTTTACACATTTCAAACTAATATATCGCATATATAAGATTTTTATGATCAGAATGAGAAGTTTTATTACAGTCACATGGAGAGTTCTGAAACAGTACACAGTAGAATTTCTCAACATCTTTTTGCAGGTCTTTTAAACTTTTTTTTTCTTATAGTCGATATCAAGAATGATTTATGCTTTACATAGCATTTTAATTTGCTGCACGCCCTTCTAGCTTTTCCTAGAGAGATCCATAAGGATTTTTGGAATCTCATTTTCTGCTTCTGACAACAAATAAAATGGTCATTTTTTTGATTAGATAAAAAAGTAATGAAAAATATTGCTGGCATTGCAAAAGAAGAGGAAAAAAGCGTCGACTTACTCCATTCAATAACCGCATTCTTTGTAAAAGAAAATGAAAACCCATGAAAACCGTAATGGACCAAATGAGGGATTACTCTTTAATAATAATAAATCCGATTCCACAAAATACAAGATATTGAAAACGAAAATGAAAGAAACATTTCAATGGACATAAATAGCAAAAGGGAATAGATTTTTGGCTTTTTTTGCGTTCTTATCTTAAGATTTTAATTCTTTCTTATTATTTTTTTAAAAACCTAAGAATCATTTAGTTTTATGTTAATACTTAAACCTACATTGACACATAATTTCTGCAGGTTGACTTTACCTTTGAGAAGTGATTGAAATGATCACCTGTAACGTGAAGGTTCACAATAACATGAAAGGGTTTTGAACAAACTTAAAACAGAATTTGAAAATTGTAACTGTAATTAAAAAAGTTTGAGCATTTAGACTTGGTGTGAGTACGAAGTTTTATTGATTAAATAATGATTATTAACAATGACTCAACGAATCAAAAACACGATTCGGTGGATACTTTTTTCCTTTCCTTATGAGCTCGTCAAAAATCAAATACATGAGTTTCTACTTTTCTTCTTCTTTCTACATCTTTTGAAGTTTTTCGATTTCAATTCCATTCGTGTAAAGAATAGTTCATAATTTATGATTTATGTGTCCATGAAACCTACTTTTAAAGACGACGCTTTTCTTATATCTATCTCTGCATTACGATCTCGTTTTCTTTTTCTTCTTCGGCAAAATAATTCAAATTTAATGATTTCAATTAGTGTCTATGCGAGTTTGATTAAAAATAAAGTAAAGTTCAGTTTACGAATATTACAAGAAAAATTATAAATTCTGATATTTCACTGCTTAATTTTGGTGAAAAGTATAACAGCAATTATTTAGTCGTTTTTGTCTTCCAAATTGAAACGAAAATTATCACAATTTGAACATAATGATATTGAAAAGCCTCAGCAACTGTCGTAATTAACACACTCAAACTAGTTAATAAAAAAAGTCAATATAAATTGTTTCTTTTCTAAATAATCATAAAATAAAAGTCATTAACATTTCAAATACAATTTTAATTAAAAAGTATAACTCGCGTTCCGGTATGCTGGAATCACAGAAAAATCACATCCGAAAACAATTGAAATTAAAATGTTCGTCCAATCTGCAAGTATTGCCGGTGATTTAATGAATAAACTATTTCCGGTGACCGGAAGAGATTTAAGCATGGGTGGGTGTTTCAATGGAAAATAAACTTCATAAAATTATTTCATCTCAACTCTTTGAGTGAGCATTTTAGTTGGGGAAGAACTTTGATGTAGAATTTCGAAAATCTTCTACCGTGAAGAACAAAAGGTTTCCTCATATCCCACTTTGAATGCTTCCTGGATTGCGGAGAAATATGAGATATCTCAGTTATCGAAGAAAACCTTTTAATGCGGTTTTTCAACATATCATGTTTCAAGATCGCTCGTAATCAAAAAGACTTGAAAATCTTACGAGGGCCATCGTCATTGCTTTTTTACTTAACTTCTTCAAAAGCACATCGATGCGGGATCTGAAGATTAATTCACAATGAATCCACATAACTAACACTTGAAATTTTTTTCCCACTTATTACACATTGTATTGTGCAATGTGTAAACTTGCAGTACAAGGCTTTACATTTTTTATTAAAAACTTTATTAAATATGCCTGAAAAGTAAGTAAAAACTGTTCCAATTATATTTTTCTATTTCAGATTTTCTTCTAATAAGTACTGCGTTTTGATTTTATTCTTCCAATCTTTATTCGTTTGCTGCTTAGTTATAGATATTCTCGTTATAAAGTTCTAATAAGTAAGCATTGAAGATCCCAGCAGCTTCTGTAATTTTAACGTTTAAACAACTCATGAAAAATAACCACACAGGTAAATGTGGTACCTTAAATTATTGCTAAGAATGATTGTTATATTTTTTTAGACTTCTTAAGAATGCAATGCGTAAACTTCAGTTGAAATTTGAAGTCGGTAAAAGCAGAAGAAAGAATAAAAAATCATTCTTAGTTGAAAACGATTATCCTTTATTCTAAGTTTTTTAAACGATTCTTTCACCATTTCGTCCATCCTCTTACTTTCGATGCATTCTCTTATGTCGATTTAAATGTACGGTTTGCTTTTGAAGGGATAATCCTCGAAACTTAAGCATCATGATGATGTTTATTTTAAAGATGCTTCGATTGAAGATGATAAATCCGCATTGAACAATTTAAGTCGAAAGTAAATAGTTTCTCGTTTCAGACAGATTTGCTTATTCGCATATTAATTTTGAGCGAAGATATTAATTTTAATTAATATATCTAGTAATGTGGAATTTATCTTCAAGTTCGTACAGAAATTTGAGAGAAAAAAGAAATGAATTTTGTAAATTTCATAGGAAAGATTCAAGGTGTTAGAATTTATGTCAAAGCGGAGCTACGAAGGATGCGAAAAAATAAAATGTGGAAACATTTTGAACTTCGAAGGTGTTCGTCAGACAAACAGAGAAAAAAAGAGAATTCGACACAATAAAAGTCAGTCAATCACTTTTCATGACACTTTATGAAATCTCAGAAATAAATCGAACAAAAATTTATGTCTTTTCACGGAAAAGGTGAACAAGAATTTGAGAAAAAAAAGCACCAGCTGTGCTCAAAGTTATAAATTATTCTTTTTTATTCTTTCAAAAACAAAAATGCATCGTTTGTTAATCGTTAGAACCCGAATCCTGTACCGTTCAGGCTAGAATATGTTTGGATCATTCCGAGACCTTTGGACGCCTGTGGCCGAACTCTAAAATTTCGATTTTGCCATCTCAGTGTCGAAATATTCAACTATAAAGACTAAACCGAAAAAAATTCTTTCACAACTATTTTCTTTTATCTCTCATTCGAGGTTGAATTTGATTTATTTTGCTTTTAATGATTTCGTTCCTTCTCACCTTTCTGCTTGAACAACACGGCCGAATTGAACAAAAATCTCGAGATGTGACTTATCATTAATCATTGATCTCGGGAGTTGGTAGAACGAAACAAAACAGACATCATAAGTTTGAATGATGTGAATCTACACAGACATTCTGGCAACGTTCCAATTGGAATTTTGTTTCTACTTTAAATTGTTGATCAAATAAATTACTGGGAAATAGCTACACACTACATTAACACGAACTTGCACGCAAATGTAGATTTAAACAAGTTTAACTGTAATAATATAAGCAGTTCAAATGAATTTAGATCAGATTTTAACATAATAATAATGCCCAAAGGTAAGTCACACCGGAACAACGCTCGATCTCCTCTTTCATTCTCGAAACTCTTCATCTTCCCCCTGTTAGTTAGTTGTTGAAAATTCGAACATTAAAGCGGTAAAGTTCTCTGGCTTTTGAAATTGATACAACTCGCAAAATTTTGGAACTAACAAAAAACTGAAATGAAATTACGTCAAGCATGTAAAATGTCAAATGAATTAGACAACACTTAACATGTGTAGATATTTTTTTCAAATCACGAAAGGCATTTATTAATCATTAATGACACTTTATGAATCAATTTCATGACAATTAAAACATCACCTTTATTGTTTAAGTAGATATTTAAAAGTGCCCTGTAGAAAGTGAAGAAAAAGTTTTAATGCAGAATATTTTTATTTCTTTCATTTCATTCAAAAATCATAACTGAATATATTGTTATGACTGGGATCGTGGTATAGAAATTCGATAACAATAGCTTCATTCAATGAAGTTACAAAAGAGAATCTTTTTTTATTATTATTTCCAGTGAGAACATGTTGCTATTGACCTTGATACTGTTTAAATGCGTCAACTGGAAGAATGCAAAAATCTTTAACAATTGCAATGGTTTTTGATATTTACTAATCAGTTTAATTGAGCATAAAAAAGTATCAAAAATGAACTAATATTTCGTTATAAAGATGAATAATGTTTGATTGTACAAATCTTACGATGATCTGATGTCATGAATTTGCCATTGCGTTTTCAAAGCAGCATTGCTTAAGCAAATCTACACCCACTCATTCACAAATTTCTTTTTTATTTTGAAGTATATGCAATGCTTGATTAATCGTTCATTTTGTTGATAAAAAATGGTAAGAATAATTTTAATAAATATTTCTTAAACTGCATTCATTTTAAATCTTCCCCGCTGAACATTTTCAATATTACACACATAAGCTTCTTATGCCCACTTATCAAAACCATTATAAACTTTGGCTGTTCCTACCGCAATATTAATTTGAGAGTTTAAAAACATCTCATGCGATTCGTAACTTTAAACAGACCGAAGTTTTAAAAAGTGGTTAAGAACTTCATGCAATACTTATTTCTTGTTCTCTTCGTTTCATATAATAATAACAACTGTTTTCTTTTTTCCTCTTTTCCTTCAATGCTTATTTACAATAAAACACACAAATAAATTTCCAACAAGCAAAAAGAAAAACGTTTGCTACTTAAAAACAGAAGCATTTAAATTATATTTGGCTGGATTGATAAACATTGTAACTCGCGTTTTCTTTACCCTTAGGAGTGTAAAGGAGAAGTTTAAAAAGTGAAGTGATTGAAAGTAATGCAACATAAATGTCTGCATCTGATTGTTGAAACTTTTTCATAAAGAAAAAAGAAGCATTTTTAATAATTATGTCAAATTATAGTTTCATCGAAATTAACGCTAATGATAAACGTAGGTCGACGGTAAAAGAAATAACAAATATGTTGTTAAGTAATAATTTACAAGAGCGCGTGTCTGAAATAATGTTCTGCAATGAATTTGTGATTACTACTGATGTGTTTGATTTTTCACACGAGATAATTTTTTAAATTACTTTAACATATTTGTACATATTTCCCTGATAAAATGAGTATTTACAATCTTTTGACATTATGTTCTAGTTTCCTTCAAAAAATATTATTAATTATGTTATAGCATAAGTTTGAAGCTAGCTTAAAGCATTTTCTTGACAAGTTTTTTAAATAAAACGAAAACTACTTCAATGACATTAAATATTTTTCATATTGAAATAGGAAGTAAAGCTCATAATAATTTATGTTTGAAATAACGATGCAGGTGATTTTAATGGCACTGATTAAATACTCAACTCTTTAACTATTATTTAATTGTATCTACCTGTTTGTAACTCACCTATTCAATATGATAAATTAAGCCCAAGTTAAATAAAATTATAATAATTTTTTTATTAATATTTTACGAGGATAAATAATGCAAGTAAAATTACCTACTGACATAAAAATTGTTTGTATAGGCACATTTATTAGATGGAATCTGCATTGATATCAAACTTTTGCTTTTGTAAGTAAAATTGAAATTCTTTATTTATTTTCCGAACAATTTGATTCTGATGATTCAAATCATCAAAAAAAAAACTTTTTTCCCCTTTAATATTTTTATCCATTAAATTTAACAGCGTAATTGATAATTTAAAATGAATCTATACAGGAAAAACAATTACCGTCGGAGATTATCTTTTTGTATTTAGTTATTTACAAGTAAAATTTGCTAACTAGAAAGTATTCAATTCGCGTGTCTTCACAGATGATTTTAGACTTTCTTTCAAATCAATTAACTATTTAAAAATATGAATGCGAATGATTGAGTCTATTACCAATTCATCTATTTCAAGAATTCCCTTTCAACATGTACAAAGTCTGTAGACATTAAATTACATACAAAAGGATTTTTCTTTTAGATATTTAGACAGTATTGAAATAAAAGTTTGCTAAAGGTTTTCTGTTTAAAGATTTTAATTGATTTGCTTTGTGAATTCCCTTGCTATTGTCAAGTAGCCTTCAAAATTTCATATTGGTTTCAAGTTATTTTTAAATCTAATCATTCATGTTTTTAGTATATCAATTTAAACATTAACTTATCTCATGTAACTAATATTTGATGCAACTTTTGCAACAGCAAAGGTCTTAAAAGCGGGTTTTACTACTTGCTTTAATTCTAACAATTGTATGTCAATTTTAAACATTTTATCTACTAGAGCATTACTTTTTACATGAACAAAATTTATTGAAAATCATATTAGAAGTACAAATTAGTATTTTGAAAATTTTCTCCTGAAGCAGAAAACTACAAACACTTCCATAAAGCGGATGAGGGGAAAATGATGCATCGCAATGTTGGTGATGTTTGAGAATGTGTTGGTGGTACTTGCAGATTGAAGGAGGAGCTTCAAGATTTTTTAAGGTGAATATATCTGGTTGCCAGATTTCAAGTCGTGCAATTTAACAAGGGTCAGATTTTTTTTTTCCTTTTTTCAAATTACAATCATTTCACGTTTTCCAAAACGTAAATCACGTTATATTAAATCACTATACATAACGATCCAGTCAACAATCTTATAATGCTACGCAATATTATCAACATACATGCTAGACTCTCATCTCGTTTTCCTAAAGAGGAAAGGGGTCGAAAAACAGTAGGAAATTTCTCAAATCTTTAAGGGTTAAATTTTATTTCAAACGAGTTTTAATTTATTTTCTTGTCATGACTTGATTTCTTAGTGCAGCTAGCGCAAATTAGATTGAAGAATTGGATGATATTTCTTGTTCGTTGAATTATCTGAAAAATATTTTAAAGTAAAATTATCTGAAGAAATTTCAGAGCATAGGAACATACATTAGGATGAAATACGAAATAAATTCAGTTTTAAAGCTACCGTTTGCGTTGTTGTGTATGAAAATGTTTCTTTTCACGACAAGACTTTTTCACTTTCTTTCCTCCTGACTTAGTTCCCTTCGTAAGTTCTCATTTCAATCTTGAAAGGAATGATAAAAGAAAAACTGTTGAGTGTATAGGAATGGCATAAAGCTGAAGCCTTTCTTTATGAAATGAAACTTTTTTAAATTTCATCATTGCTTTGTGAAGTGATTTTGAGATTTGCTGCGCCAGGTGGAACTTCTTACAAATTTCAAGCAATTATAAATTTGCTAAATTTCACAGTTTTAGTGTTATTAATGACTACTGAATAATCTTATTAAATATCGAGCTTTTCATGGAATCATTTTTAAGGATATTTTACGAAGAAGAGAAATTTGACAAGCGTCTTCCTTCTTATTTTACTCAACCGAATTCCAACTGTCAAATAATTACGCCCTTAAAATCAATCAAAACCACAATATATTTCTCCCCAGATGGTAATCTAAGAAACGTTTTCCTGTTCATGCATGTTATCGGAATCAAAATAGCATAATATTAAAAAATTATTATGAGATTTGATTGAACATAAAATTTTTATTTGGTACCTGAAATATCATCAAAAATATGTTTGCCCTGGAACTGTTAAAATAAAAAAGTAGTGAACGAAATATAAAGAGAAACGAACATATTAATTAATTAAAGTACCAAGATAAAGGTTCCAATTACATTTAGATGTTCATCTATCCTTCTTCAAGACGATTTTTTTTGCTTTATGCAATCATGAAAAAAATGTTATCAAATTACATAAAACCATTTATTTCTGCCAATCTTTCATTCCTTTTAAGTTCTCCGATTCTCATAATTTCTGAAAACGTCTTCCTTTTCCCGAGAAATCCATTAAATACATAGAAGCATCGTTTCTCATGAATCGAATCCTTCGCTCAGCAGTAACAAAAATCATTCAACCAGAATTCTCTTCGCTTATCGCTTTCTCTTTTCCTTAATTTTTCCCCCTGGTGTGTCCTCGAGACTTTTTTTTAATTTTTGTTCATGCAATATTAAATCTGTAAACAGGAGAAGCAAGCTTAAAAACCCTTCTGAAGAAAATAAAAAAAATTGTTCAACATAGAAATCACGCGTATGCTGCTATGTTGTTAAAACTTCTTTTACCTGGAAAGGAACACCTGGTGTCGAACGAAAATATATTCCTTTTTTCAAAGAACGAATCATTATATTCTCTCAAGCACAAGGCCCAAAATTATCCTACCATCTCATCATCATAACCAGTGCAGAATCCATCATCTTATGTTTCAAACAAATCACTTGAAAATCATGAGCACAACACAAAATTGATAAAATCTCTTGGAAATCTTTTATCGTCTAAACGATCTAATGCTACTTCTTATTTGTTTATAAATGAATGGAATATAATATTTTCTTTTATCTTGAATCTAGTCTAAATCATTTGGAATATGATTTTGTGGCATTAATAAAAAAATTTGATTGAAAATATTCGAAACTTTCGTCATCAAACGAATTTTAATTTTTATCTATTTTTTTAATATTTTTTAAGTTCCTTATTTATTTAAACCACTTTACATTTATTAGATTCAATGAGATGTTCCCCTCATCGAATGTTATTAAAAGAAACCAACCTGTAAATGGAATCTATTCAATTACAAAGAAGTCTTCACGTTTTTCTTCCATCATTTGTTGCATGTATTCATTGAATGTTCTTTGTTACATGAAATATTTATTGTGCCGATAATAGCATTAATGCTCATACATAAAAGACAAAATTTGCACTTTTCTGATATATAAAAGGAGTTCACTGTTGGTTCACTGGCCTTTTTTCATGAGAAAATGATAGTGCAAAATATTTTTCTCCTTCAAAGTGATTTCTATTCGAACATAAAATCAAGTAAATGAATGATAAGAAGGCAATAAAAGCTTTAAATAGATGAAGAATGATCAGAGACACCAATAAAAGAAGAAAAGTGCGAGAACATTAAATCTTCACATATTTTCAGCATTTCAATTGATTAATGCTGAGTAGCTTTCTAATATTCTCATTTCTATTTGTTCATGCTTTGCAATTTAAAATTCATACATGATTGTAAACATAAACAAGCAGACTTATTCAAACGGAGGCTTTTATATGCATAAAAGAATTTTTCTTAAACCTCTTTATCACATGCTTTTTATTTTCTCGAGACTTTTTCTTTACATCGCGCCATGACAAACAAAAAAAATGTTGATATTTTTTACGATTTCTTGTAGTAATGAGTTGACGATTTTTATTCATATTTTTTATCATGAAATTTTATGCACATTCTCATTTTGTGGGGTGACTTGAACTTTTTTATTTCTACATTAAATTGGAACCAGGCGGTTGGTTGAATGGTTAGATAAGGTGAAACGTGAAAAAAGTGCGTCCATTTATGATGATGATGATCATAAGAATGAAATTAAGAGAAATTTATTATAACAGGAAAGATTAGAAATAAGTCGAGCGTAATTTTGCGAAAAAACTAATTGCTCATACATTAGCACTTCGCGTCATGAAGCATGAGCAAGTATAACGCGAAGAATGATAGAAGACATAATAATTTGATTAATTTGAATTTATCTCACTCAAATTCACGCTATCATTAACAAGAACATTCCTGGAACGATTAGTTCACGCGGGCACAACGTGAGTCGAAGATAATTTCATTTCAACATCATTAAGTTTGATGAGAAGAATGATTTATTATAATTTTTAAACCATTTCATTTTCCTTTTTATTATCGGCACCAAAGTACGGTGATGGGAGAAAACCTACTGCAGAGACTTGAGATATAAGATAATAATAAGTTCTAAGTAATATCTTTATTTTTTTTTTAATTTAATTCGTCGAAGTCATAGCCAGGCAGTCTAGGAAAGTTTCTTTTTTTATATTAATGCAATTGCCCTTAGAACTATTGCCTTAACACTCTTTCAAATCAGGTTGGAAACATCAAACGATGCCACTAAGTAGAAAAAATATTTGAAAAACAAATTTAATATAAATTCTCAATTGAGTAATTTTATCGTGATTGAAGTGAAGTGGCTTCGTGGAATGTACTCGAAAGTATCTTGTTAGGTTTAATGTTTCTTCTTTCTACAGGATAATTTGAATAAATGATATTAAATTGCACGAAATTTATATTTGCATATTTATTTATTTATAATGTTTTTTAATTCACTTTTCTTTGGTGAAAAGTTTGCAACATCCCTGATCTAGATGAAAAATTGTTTAAAATTTATTTAAACATCGAACTTCTATGAATTACCACAAACTTTCGTATTCAAGTATTAGATGACTGCGAAAAATAAAAGAAATGTAGAAAAGACTTCATCCAAATAATGAACGACATACTTTGATTGACAACTTCCTCCAACATCGTGCTGACGAAACGGAATTAATATAATGGTTTATAGAACCATTTTTTATTTCGTCATAAGTAATCAGCAGCGTTTCATGTTTTCAAGAGACGAGAGATTTATCGTCGATGAAGAAAATATAGCATTTGAATAGGCTGACATTCACTTTCCCTATTTAAGAGAACTTTTCGTTGACTACATACATATCTTCCCCTTATATCCCTTCATTCATGTTATGCATTCGCTTCTTTTCTGTGGTACAACATAGCCCTAAATCAATGATTTTAATGCGAATCTAATCGGACTTTAGCAGAGTCCCTTACGGAAGCCACTTGAAAATTTTATCTTGGAATTTTCATCAGCGTTCCGAAGGAAAGACGCTCGTTGTGTGTGGATAATTACATGAGTTAATTAAATAGCTATCAGACATTTACAACCTATTTTCGTAATCAATTTTCCCTTTCTCTTCCATTCCTTTTGATCTGACGAGCAGAAAAACCTGAAAGACCTCAATCATTTTCACCCTCTCCACTCACGTCATCATCATGGTTACGGAGTAATCATGATGCAGTGAATTCAATTCATTATTACAATAATATCAGCATCTGAGAGACGATTTCTCCTGATGGGGTATTTTGATTAATTTCTGCAATTTTCAATCAATAAATTAAACATCATTCATTATACTGATAGGCTTAACCTACGTGTCACGAAACATTCTCATTGACAGATGGAAAATATTTAAGAATTCTTCATTAAATTTCATTTAAATTTTTATCATAGTTTTGTTAATGGAATTTTTGAGCTTTCTCTTGCGAAACATTCTCATCGATGCTTAAATTATTTAAGAATTTGCTTGGTCCTAAAGTAAATTGAAGTGTTTGTTTATAAGTTGTGTCAATATTATTAAGTACTTTAAAACAAACATTTTTAATTTAATTTCATTAATTTCATTAATCTTATTTAATATTTTTTTATTTGAGGAGTTTCATTGAACAATTTAATTGATTTTTAAAGATTTAAATTCAAAACATTTTACATTCTAAAATAATTCTTTTTAATCTGTTTAACTACACACATTTGACTGTATTAACTTTAAGACTTTGCATTCGAAATGTTTGTCAATTTACATAAATATCCATGAATTTAAACTTATTCGCAACAGCTTTGATTTTAAACAGATTTGAGGCGGTAAAGAATGATGAGAAAATCCTCCCCCAACGATAACACAAACACGAGAATATGCGGCTAGCCTCGTGCATAATGTGCTTATTGTCAGCACCAGTCGAATGAACTTGAGTGTCTCGTTAATTGAATTCGTAAATTTTGAGATTTTCACCCCTTCAAATCAAATTTTAATTTGATTTCTCTATTACTTTCTATCCGTTTGCACATCGTATATATTTGAAACGTCTCCCGAGAATATGCGGAACATATTGATGCAATCAAGCAATAATCTTATTTAAAATGCAGTTATGCTTCAGCCGTTTCATCCCTAGAGTGTTTTCACTCACCGCCCTCACGCTAAAGAATACAAACACAATTATAGATAATAAAATATTGTTTCTGTGATTTTATTATCCCAAATCCTCGTTTTAAGGGGTTCGTTCGATCGCTTCGACGCTCTCTCCCCTTGAATAATCACATACATATTTAGTTTGCGCTGACGGGCTTTTCACAAATTATAGAATAAATCACAAGGTAATTAAAAGCAGATCATCAAATTTTCACCAAACCATATGCTTTGCTGGTTCGTTTCGTTTCATTTTTTATAACAAAAGTAATAATTTTCAGAAAAATGTTCTTTGCATCTCTCATAAATCGTAATCACTGATAAATATAATTCTAGCTGAGGTGAGATAATAATGCCATTCATATCTAAGTTTTATATATTTTAATAGCGACAAGTAATTTCTGAATTAATAAATAATCCTTAATTTTTCTTCTATGACTCCACAGAAAGGAGATCCATTCATCATTTCTGCCATCTTAAGTAGATGAGGGAACAAATAAGTATATAAATGCCTTGAACACAAAGCACACCTCAGCAAAACCTTTCCATTTATTTATTTGCTACTTTCCTACTTTTTAGAGAGTTTCCTTGGGTCTTCCATCTTTTTCATCCGAAAGCTTCGATATGAGCAAAAAATAATTACAAATAAATGAGAAAGAAAATTTTGGATCGCTTGCTAAGATGAAGGAGAAGAAAAATGGATTCTAGAAAAGAGAAGAGAATGCTTGTGTCATTAAACTTAAGACGACTGAATGGAATATCCTTTTAGTCTCAGTTTTCCAGCCTTAATGTTGATTCTGTCATCGTTAATGTCGCCATGGATAAAATTTTCTTATAAGCTCATATCAACATTCTTGCTATAAAATTATTTCCAACCTTTGAGGAAGTATTAAGCAATGATTATGCAATGTTAACATGCATAGCATGATTGATAGTTGTTTGGGTTAAATGAATTCATTTCGCCGGGTCTCGTCATAAAAAATCATCATCACCCCCGTTCGGTTACTTTCAGCAACCCCTACATAAAGCATAAAACTTCAAGATGAAATTTCTGAAATTCTCAAAATTAAAATTCATGCGATTTTGCCATGGCAAAATATTTGGAATTTTTGTGGTGCGTAGGGTGAGACTTGGTCGGTTGCTGTTGGTGTCTTCCTAAATGCGCAAGCTCCAGAACCAAAGTTGATTGAATGAATCAACGCTACTCACTCACACTTTCTGAAAACGAAACATTAAAATTAAAATTGAGAATAGAATAAAATGAAGGACATTTCGTTTCAACGTTTTTTATTTTATTTCATTTCATCTTTCTTAAAGTTGGCGTGGGTTTTCTAAATGATGTTTTTTGTTTTCACTTCAATTTCATTTTCTTTTGAATTTAATAGAGCTATCATCACGACAGATGTTCGATGACTTTCACAAATATTTATGCAAATTATGTTTTTCCCTTCTCAAGCTTTCAAGTTTTTTTTTATTGATTATACAAATCTCACTTTAATCTCTGATTTATCATCCTTTGGAAGAACGTTTTTCGTAGTCGTTCGATTTATTCTATTATTATCTTGATGGTTGTACAATATTGCTGGGGTGGATGGATTTGTGTGCACGTGACATTCCATTATCAATTTCTTTTTTACACCCCATCATGTGTACTCACAATTTTACTGCCGCTACTCGTGTTGACAATATTGTAAACAATTTCTACTTCTTTCTCTTAATCATGCTTACACAATCTTGTTTTGACCGAGAATTCGAGTTACAAAGTCAACTTTTTAATTAAAATTTAAATTAAATGGCGGATGAGAAAACTTTTTTAAATGTTAAATTTGTCGAAAGGAGACATTTTTGACATGGCAAAACGAGCTGACGACCAAATTGCTTTCATATCACACAAACAAATATTTCTTCGTGCGTTTAAGTAAGAAAAAGTAATAAATCAAATGGTAAAAAAACGGAGAATGCTGGACGACTAAAGCGACTTCCGAATGTGAACCCATCACAAGTTTTCCGCATCGCTTCAACATAAATCCATAACTTCAGCTTCATAAAATTCAAATCATGTTTGAATGAATGAAAAGGGACGTTCATTAGTGTGCAGTCCAAGAAAATAATATTTTATGGCGGACAGCGATATTTTCCAGAAGATATTTGGGATTTCCGATTCACTACGCTTTTGAGTCTTTGTTACGAACATTAGCTGATACATAAATGTTAATCTCAACTACATAACATTGCGACTCTTCAATCCAAAAATTATTTATGTACATTAAAAGTTCGTACATAAAACTAGAGAAGAAAAAGGCGACCTAAAATATAAATTTCCTTTGCCATTTCTCCTTTTCCTATTCATGATATTAAATGATCACATTAGTCTTACAGCCGGGAACATCCATTAATTTACATTGTCAGCGGAAGTTGAGAGGAAAAATTCCCAAATTTTTTTTTCCTTACGTCACCATAAAGTCTCTGGAAAACAGAACGCAAAGTATCCAAAATGAATTTATTTCGACTGCGGGAAAAAATCTAGATAAAAGGACACAAAAACGGAACCTATTTTGTCTTTGGTGGTCCTGTAGTCATAAATTTTGTCCCAAAAATGCCTACAACATTATTTGTCAATGCTACATTTAATCTTACTTCTTTTAAATTCCCCTAAGCCAGCATCTAAAGTAGAACGTTTGTTGTACAATCGTTTTCGTACCTGTTAAAACTTTCTTTTTGTTAGCTTTGCAAGACATGCATGGAGTTGGGAAAATGAAATTATTTACAAGAAATTTTCTATTCTTAAGTTATTAATGAAGTTTTGTCTTAAAGTATCAGAACATCAATCTTGTCATCATCGTATAAATCTTAATAAACTTTTTATACAGTTTGATTCTTGACATGTAATCATTTGCTTCCTTATTAGCAACAATTTATGTATTTTAAATAATATCGGATACTGCTCGAGACTTTACTTATATAAATAGGCTAAGTATGTAATTACTGGGCAGAACTAAATGGAAGCAAGTAATCAAAGAATATCGCAATCACTACACTATTCAGATTTATTAATTGCTTTATTGTTGAAAGAAGTCATTGCACAATAGTTGAATCGGGCCCGCTTCATTAGGATGAAAAATTTACTTTAATAATATTGATTTTGACTTTCACAGCCAGTACATCACAATTCACAATTCACAATGAATTTTTGAAGGGCATTTCTAACAAAAGAGAATTTCCATAACAAGAGAAGCGATGTGGAAATGATATGTCATTGTTTACATGATGGCGTTCTAACTGGAATACGATATAATTCATATTTCGAGAAAGGGATGTTATCGATTTACATGCATTTCCTTTTTCTGTCAGAAAGCCTGAAATGACTCTCAAGAAGATTTCTGAATGGCAATGATAAGTTTTTCTTTAAAATTTGATTCCAAAAATCATTTAATCGCATAAAAATATAATAAACTATTTTATATATCGTGACGACTTAGATTTGTTCTTCTTTTCTCATTTCACCTTCGTCTTACGAGTTTATTATTGCTATGCGATGAGAGCCATTAATATTGTATAATTCTTCTTTCGGCCTCTCATTTTCTTTGAAGCAATTAAGACCAATTTATCATGAGTATGGTGTTAAATGTAACATCAGCCGTCTTTTTATGATGTGACACTTGAGAAATTAGCGTAAAATTTATATTTTATTTGGAGATGTGTTGAAGAAGTATATTTATTCTTAAAAAACTCATTAACATTCACTCGTACATCTCATTTTATATCTTCATTGTTAAAGCAACACTTTGACTTGGCTTTAAAATATTCTTTCGGATTTTTCATGAAGAGATAAATAAGATTCATGTACGTGAGTATGAAGTATGATGATAAAATAATTAATTGTTAGTTATTTATCATTTCATACAAAACTTTCATTTTAATATTTCTTGAAGGGAACAAAAATCTGTGATGAACTAATTTACTTTGTTTATTGCCTTCATTTACCGCTTCACGATTTCTGTTGATTAGAATATGATTTTTCCACTTATTCTCAGAAATTTCTCAACATCTTTTGATATATTTTCATGTCACTTGATACAAATTTTCCATTTGACTGTCTTGTTCCTACACTTGTTCAACAAATGCCAAACTGAACTGTAATAAAATGAAAATATTTGTTAACGAATACAAAACATACAATTTTAAAACGTTTGTCCACAAAACTGTTTATTATTTCAACAAAAAACATAAACTTTATTAAATTGTAAGGGGAATCTGCGTGTATGGATCAGCAGCTTTGCATAAATATTTACTTCACCCTTACATAAAAAAATGAATTTTAGACAGATTGATTTCATTTTAAAAAAGTTTCAGATTTTGAAATTCTCGTACTTCATTCATGTTTGGATATGAGAAAGTTTCTCATTGCGCCGATCAGCGTTGGATGTCATGAAGGTAACCCTAAATAAATAACAGCGACTTTTCATTCCTCTATAGCAGCAAAAAAATCTAAGCTGAGTCAGAAAACTGTAAATTGTAGCATGAAATTTTATATTAAACCGAACTTCAATATTTTAAATTCGCAATTTACGGAGAGAAAAAAGTACGAAACGAAGGTTTATCATAGTGATAAAGTTAAACTGTATATGATGTTCTCGAACCCTTGTAAACAAGTCTACCTACTCGTCGATACATTATTGGAATACAATAATTTATGTTGTTTGCAGATTTAAAACAGCCAAAACCATTAATTTTAGTCTGATAACGAGTTGATATATGACGTTTTATAGAGGGTGAGTCAAAGTGCCGATTTCCAATCCATTTTCTTACATTACCTTTAAACATTTTTAAACCGATATAAAAAAAAATTTCTTCTTGCTGCATTATCACCTTTTTATCCATTTTGCTTATCGTAAAGGAGTGAAGGAAACTGCTGCCCTTAATATTCAAAGCGATAAGTAATGGAATGGGTTGCACTGATTCCCTTCTACATTTCCCTTTTCTGACGAAGAGTAATTTCAATAAGAACCGAGCTACTCTTGAATTACATAAATATAGTAAAAGTCCCACGTAAAATTTAAAGACAGGAGTTAACACGTGGCGAAGCTGCATAAGTAGTCATTACTAGGACTCAATTATTCATTAAAATCTAAAAAAGACCTGCAAGTCTTCAATTTCTATTGCTACCCTCAATAATCTTGATCATTCTCAAGGTAACAACATCTGCGTGGGTGTTAATAAAGCATTAATTTGCGGAATTATAAAATGATTTCATCCCACTTTAATATTGAATTGTGGTTTAACTTATTAAAGCCCTTCTTTGAAGTATTTTCAGCAGATTTCCTACGATTTCATATTTAATTGACTCACATGATGGAAATTAATAAAGAAAACTTAACATTTCTTCATACGAGTATCATCAAAGAAATTAATTAAGAAGTTGCCGTCATTATATTCACTTTACATAATTTCCTTTGTTTATGTGCACAAAAAGCTTTTATTTCATTCCTGGAACGAGATTTTGTTTGATGTCTCAAAAGCTCTTTCATTTCTATTGATAATGCTATCACACCTCTAATAAATATCATAAAGCAAATCGTGGAACAATATTAATGGCACTCTGCTAACGCCTTAAAACAAACGTATACACTGCAATTAATCCTAGACTATAATTTCGCTAATTGCATCTCATTCTCTTAGTTCTCTTCATAAAAATGTTGACGGTAAATATTTTGCTTTGACTTTTCCTCTTTTATTTTCCTTGTGAGTTATCCCGGAATTTCCCTGACTTTCGTGCATAACAAAGTGCATTAAATTATAGTTCGAAAGTCTCTCGAAACGTCACAAGGTGTGATGTTATTCGTCATTCTTTATTAAGTAATTTCACAGTCAATAATTTCTGTAATTAATTATCACTTTCGTAACTTGATGCAATCATTAACTATTCAAATTATGGAATTCGAAAGTGATTCCCACATTATCGAAGACTTCGAATGTTTTCATATCAATTCTGGAAAGGAAGTCTTTTTACATGATATTTGATTCCCATTGAAGAATTATCATTCCAACAAAATATTTTATTGTACATGTAGTTACGAATTCGCTGGAAAAGTTTATATGATGCCATAAAAATCCGCAATCTGTTTCCTTAGCTGCTTTCTGTCGTGAACAAGATAGATCATATGTTCACGCATGCAGGAAAAATTATTTTATCTTTCTCTCCAACAGTTTTTAAGTATAACAATTTGTACGCAAATAATTTTATGATTGTTACAACACCGTTGAGGAAACCTCGAAATGACATCTTCTTCCGCTTTCTTTATTCCCCTTTGAAAACAAACATATCTATTGTAAAGTACCTAAAGCATTCCATATTTTTAAAAGAATAATTTTTCATATTCTTATGCATCATTCATGTACTTAGTCCTTGAAAGTATGTTTGTGATAGGTAGAAGATATTTATTCTACAAATAGGAGACAAAAAGTATGACTTAAGCTGTTTTCCTTTAAACATATACAAATGGCTAACATTTGTCTTTATGTCGACATTTATATTCTTAATTTAAAAGATATAACCAAGCAAACTTCTTCTTAAAAAATTCAAAATAAAAATTAGAACATCCTGTTGATGTTTATCATAAAACCATTAAAATCTCCTAATTTCTTTTTATCCTAAACTCACTTGCATACCACAAAGTTTGTCAGCATTAAGAAATTAAAAGAAAATCGAAGCACATGAACTTGATAAGAATAAAAAAAGATTTATCAGCCATTGTTATATTTTAATAGGTGGAAAGACCAATTCAGAAAAACGCAAACTCTAGAACGCAAAAAAATTTCTCCTTTTCTCGTCTTCAGAAGATGGAGGAGAATTCTCAATATTGTGTATGTGAATTTCACTTGTATATATTTGAGAATTGCGCAATGAAATTATTTCTATTTCGGGTCTACTAGAATAAATGTGATGTGGAAAAAATTTCTATTTGTCATTGATTAGTATAAATGTATAAACAAGGCGAGAGAGTGGAAAAACAAAGTAAGAGAAAAAAGGAACGAAAGCTGCGAATTACCAAAGTGCAATCAAAATGCACGAAAATAATTTCGAAAGAAATTTTTAATAAAAAAAATCATCTGAAAGGTAATTTGACTGGTTGTGAAGATCAAAACTTTTGTTTAAATATTTTTTAAGTTCATGTCGAAATCTTCACACTTTTGATTAACAACATTCAAGTTTCTCCTTTTTTTAATTTGTATTATTAAATTATTTAATATCACAAATATTGCGTGATGAAATATTTTATGGATCATCGAACTGTTTCTTCCCTCACATCGTCAATAACAAAAAAATAAACTCGTAAATAAAAATCTTAAGACTAATATGCCTCGGTTGTTTTAGCACAATAAAATGGTTCATTAAGCCTAAGCCAAAAACCACGGATGAAATAATAAATTCAATTATATATTTCTCTCTGGAATGAAGGGTGGTGAATCTTGAGGGAATCGTGGGTGTGCATAAAGTAAATATGTGAGAACTACTCGAAAAGAAGCAACCCTCCGGAGTAAAACACTAGAAAAAAAGTTTCACCCCAGAAAGGTAATTTATAACATGAAATTAATAGGAGAAAATCTGACAGGATTTTGTTAGATGATGCATGGTGCAATGAGCGAATTTAAAGGTGTTCAACTGAAATAGAAACCTCGTGTGGAAGACAGATTGCTTCGAAAGTTGTGTTAAATAATAAGTCGACATGAAAGTTTATGAAATTATTGCGTATTTTAGAGGAGATTTATTCCCTAAATTATAAGAGTCATGTGCTTAGGCATGTGGCTTTTTTCTCACATTAAAACATATGTAGAAACAATCTCTTTAAATACAGTTAGAATGTCAGTTGCTGTATAAACATACTTAGTGAATAAGAAAGGATTTGATAATATTTAGAATTAAAATGTCTAAAAATTTATGCAAATATTTATTCCTTTGGTCTGACCAAAGAAATGATGAAATTTCATGTCCCACCAGCATATCTCGATTTCCATCTACGTCAAGGAAAAATGTTTTATTGAGACGCATGGTTTGTCATTTTTCAAATGTAAGCATGTCAATGAAAATCAGCATTTGGTTTAATGACATGGAATGTGATAGCAATTTGATATGCTTCGGAAAAGTAGTTTCAAATTCAAAGCAAAATCTGAAAGCATCGAAATGGAAGAAGCCTGGTTGGTTCCTCCATCATTTATTCATCTGAATTAACTCACATGTATCAGTGAATAAATTTTCCAGTCAATGACGTCTGCCGTACTGTTGTAAATGTCAAAACATGTACAGAAAATTCACCAACTCCATAATCATCAAAATCATTGAAATATTTTTCATGTTCAGTTGCTGCATAAATCGATGTCACGTGTTTCATCTGGAAATGCATGTTCAAGTCGTGACATTTTAAACCGCTTACCAAATCAATTTATGCATTGAACTACGTAAGTGATAACTTATTTAGATGTAATAATAATTAATAAAAAATAAAATATAAATTGAAATTCCTTAACATTCTAAGCGTAATGCATCATAACTTTCAACGGATCTTTGATATCTAAATATTTTTGAAGACGAGAGTAATGCTCGATTTTGATGGGTACGTCATGCTGATTTGATCAAATGTCGTAGATTTTTGACTGTTAAAGCCGTAACCACCCACTTATTTTAATTTCTACATCTCTTTGGTCACGTGCACTATCCTGCTGTCTGTCACTCAAAATTTTTTTTTTTCAGATTGCCAATTCCGTTTCCTACACAGCTTTTTATTTATAAGTGTGCCTTAGCTATTATCGATATTTTTATATGAGAAAGAAATTTTTCACGGGAAATTATTCAATCCTTTACACTTGAAATAAATTAACAAAAACTAGCTAATTAGGTTACGCATATTTATTCACTAAAACTCATCTTGATAGTACAATGCAAACCAAACATGAAAGTTGAAGAAGAGAAGAATTTTCATTTATCGTTTCAGGCAGCAAGTTTAATAAAACATTTGAACGACTTTACGTTATGAAAATTACTGAAACATTTTGTGTGCTTTGAATTTCAACATGACAACTCTTTGACACATTCTTTCGTCTGTTTTACGGTTTTTATGTATCGTGGAACATTTGTAGTGTTTTCAATCATCAAAACTGCTCGAGTCATGTTTGTTCGAGTATTTGACGGCCAGGACATCACCAAAACATTTGTTGTGTTTTCAAGCATTAAACTTCTTGTGTCATATCCTTTCAAACATTCTCACGACAAATTATTCTTCTGAATGCTTTATAATAATAATAAAAATAAATAATAATGCTTCTTAATAATTTAACCTTTTATCTGGTAAATACGGGTTTGTAGAATAAAAAGTTTTCAAATTGGTTTTATTCTTTGAATGTTAAGAAAGTTATTTAAATCCCTACAAATGTTTAGGAGCCGAGATCATTAAAACTTATAATTTTTAGAACAATTTCAAACTTTTGTGTTGTTATGTTGTATGAACATCGTTGAAACATTTGTCATGCTTGCAAGTGCTCAAGAACATGTCGTTATATATTCTTTCAAGCATTCTCTCACTTCATTTTCTCTCTGAGAACTTTCAAGTTTAAATTAAATCTTTCGTGAAGTAAAGATATTAATGTTCAAAGGAAAGTTACTCGAGTATGTTGAGATGTTGATTAAAATTACTCTCGAACCGAAGTTCCTTCGGTTGATATTTTCCAGTGATGAATTCTTTCACGTTTCACGTTTCAATTTGCCATTTCTAGATTCAACAATTCTGACGAACTAACATGTTGCATTAAACATTTCTTGTAACACAACTTGACACAATTTTGGAGAATACTACGTCACCATACTTGCAATTTTTAAATAACAAGAATAAATTATTTAAATAACTTCTTAAGAAAGAACTTTTTCTCGAAATAGTATCAGGCAAATTAGAAGAATAGAAAGGAAATTCAAGATTGTAATGATAACCTTTAAGGTACCTCCAAACAACTAAAGCGTTGGAATTGTTAAATGAGATTCTCAATGAATATATTTTTTATTATTTTGTCTCTCAATAAAAGAGCTCATGCTTAGTTAGTTTGAATCAAGGAATGGCTATTAAAACGCTAATGATCAATGGAATTTTCCGTGTTTTTCCCTGTATTTAAGTGTCAATGGCTGAGCGATCAAAGTCTCACCAGATCTCAATCAGCCTTCAAGCTGCTGGGTGGTTGGCTAAAAGCATTTTCAAAATGTGATAATCAGCCGAATATAAGTTTTATGATTACTAACTCAAATAATGTTAGTAACTGATGATTCAGTCTTATAACTGTTGTAATGGTACATCAATCAATTAGCGTTTCTTCACTTGACTCGACAACAAATACCTATAAAGTCCTGTTTTGGATCTAAAAATAATTTAATCTTCAAACAAAACTTGAGAAGCAAAGTTGCTTGTTTGTTTTATAGTTTTTGCTCGAGTCCACATTAAGTTAAATAATATAATTATATATAATAGAGAGTAATTTCAAGTGATTTCGTTGCTAGGTACATAGTTTTGTTAAATACAATTTAACTTCATTCTCTGAAATCTGATACTCATTATCATAATAAAAATAAAATGTTTTAATTATATCAAGCAAATATGTAGAAGAAAAGAAATTCTAAACGAATGTTTATTAAAAACGCTGTTTTCAAAAATTCTGGAAAGGTCAACGCAAACAAAGATTTGTTTTTGTTGTCAAAGTTTTAAGTTATGTCAAAAGATCTCAAGATTATAGATGAACAACATTTGGGGAATTTCCTACCACTTTCCATTCTTCTCCTTTAAACCTCTGATGTTGTACATAAAAATGCTTACAGTTGGTAACTTTCCACACATGATCGTTTAATAAACAATAAGCTAATTGAAGGAAACCAACTCCAGAGACGGAAATAATAGATTTGTTAAGAAGTATTGTAAATTTTTTTCTTCATTTTTCTGGTTTTGTTTTGTGTATGAAAATAAAAAGTAATTGCAGTAATAAATACAAACAAAGCAGGGAAAAATATTTTTCTACCTGCACAAAATATTATAAATTTTGATGAAATGAACGTCAAGTGAATGTCAGTACATCGCAGTTGAAAGGACAAGTCATATTTTCTCTCATAATACCTCTGAATGACTTGTAGATACTACCTAGCAGTTAACACATGTTACAACCACACATACAGTATTTTGTCTAACTGAGCTGAAACCACATATTGTAAACTCGATCAGTGCAATACTGTCCGCTGAGAAGTCGACAAGTTGACAGGAGAGCGTAGAAAAATAAAAAAAATCCTCTCAATTTTTTGGACTACAAATTTGTGCGTGATTTCGTGAAGCTAATTGATATAAATACATGATTTGGCTGAAGTAAATATTGGAATTAGTGAACGTTGAAAGAAGCAATTTTTGTTTTCATATGAAAATTTTCAGTAAACTGAGTCAGATTATGCATTTTTTGGAAATAACTAAATGTGAAGACCGATAGAAAAGTGAATATTATTAAATTATATCAATCAATGAAAGTTTCAAGTTATGATTTCTTCCTTACAGTGATTTTAGTGAAAGAAATCCAAAAATCACGGAAATAAATAATTAAATAAACTTATTAAGTGATGAAATATTGAGAGAATCTAGTGTGAGTTATTCTCAGTTAAATTGCAAAAGATAAGAGCATCTGAACAAGCGAATGGTTTCAATTGTAGCTACACATACACCAGCTTAGTTGCCAAATTTGTTGTTTATTATTTTAGATTTTTTGTTACTGAAATATGTTAATGAAGAAAAGAAATGTGAGTGAGATCCTTTTTCAAAGAGAAGTTGAAATGTAAAGTTAATTAATATTTTCTTCTATATTGGAAAGAGATGAGAAATTGTAATAAAATAGTTTACAATGGAAGAACATGACTGATCTTTATCTACGTTTAAATCAATACACGAACTCTTGATGACACTTTCTATAAACAGAAACTATTCAATAAACATGTGTAGAGCCTTCGCCGTCGTTAAGGCAAGCTTATCAACAGCTTTCTCACTACTTTGAATACTAATAAAAATCTTCCTGAATAGACATTTCTAAATGATGGATTTTTTTTAATAAATTAATTAATTGAGTCTTAAATCAAGCAAGCTAGATAACAAATATTGAGAGTAGTTGCATTTAATCAGACAAACTTCCATTCTGCTCGTTCACAACAAATCGACATGAGAGAATAATATTTAAATTCATGGCAGACTATTTATACACTAAGGTGGTTTATTTTCAACTCAACTGATGCGTTATGAACTTTTCATATCTTACAACGTCTGCGTCTACATAAACATGTGAGATCAATAAATATCTAGTAAATAGTGAAAATTTGGATTAATCTAATGCCAGCGAAATTAAATGATTCACATTTGTTGATTGCCATTTCATGTGTTTTATTTGAATTTAAAACATTCCAAAACAAATGTTTTACGATTCATTCTAATTTGATTCAGCATATCCTGCTTTGAATAATCAAATCTTGTTATCTAGTTTAAGGAAACTTTTAAATGATAATTAGGAAAGAGAAATTTGATGAAAAGATGTGAGAAAAATCTTTTAAATGCTCAGTGACGTCACATGTTTTCATAGACTTAAACATGACATTGTAGTAGCGATTTTCATTTCGCTAACAATCTTTAACAATGATGTTATTTATATCTTGTAATTTCTTCTATGAAAATAGAAGCAGACAAATGAAAATGTTTCATTTCTAAGAGTTTTTAGATAAATTTTATTTTTTATTAAACGATACGTGTTGAGTTATGTGAAAGATCAAATTAGAACGTATAATAGAGAGAAAAAAGATTTGAAAGCTTGCACGTGCGAAATGATAAGAAATGTTTAATAAAAGCAACTCAACTTAAAACTCATTCCAATTCTATTTTTGCATTAGCCAGAAAATATGGCGTATCTCACACCTGAATCCGAGACTTCAACTACTGCGGATTTATCATGGTCGAATCTTATCTCGACTGACAAACCTAGAAACATCATCGTAAGAATTGATGACATTCCAAAAGAAATAAATCCAGAGGAAGAACAACTTAATGCGCCTGATAATTTCCACCGAAACCATCGTGAAAGAAAAGAATCTTTGATGGGAACTTTTCACAGACATTTAAGGATGTCTCTAAAAGCAGTCAGCGAATCACCCGGACCTCTTACACGGTGAGTCGATAGAAATCTCTCAACATTTTACTTCAGTCGTTAAACAGCTGATTCGACCTTATAAAGCGTAATTGAAATTCTCTCTAAAATCAACATGACATTCTAAAAACAATCATTAATCGAAAGGTTGCGTCCAAGTTCAATACAATAATTAATTATTTTATCTATTTATAAAAATATTTCAATTTCAAGAATTCATCATCATGTAGAACTTTTCTTTTCTTTAAATAGTAATTAAAAGATGTTTGTTGATCTTTTAATTGCTGATTTTCTCAATGACTTTATAACCATCAATAAAAAGTAAGCTTATTTGAGATATCCAATGACGTAGCAGACGTTTTATTGCTAATATAATATTTGTTAAAATAATAAGTACAACTATGTCAGTCTTTGTCAATATTTAGAACTTTAATGTTACTCATTAGCCAATTTTACTGTCTATTTGTGATCAACCTCATTAATGTTTCGTTCTACCTTTAAATCTTTGAACAGGTCTTTGACTCGTTTGGGTAATACTACAAGTCAAGTCACTCGAGTAAGTTAAGTCAAGAGAAATTTTCAAGTCAAGTCAAGAAAACTCGTCAAGTCATGCCAAGTCAAGTCAAATCTCTGCTTTTGAAGCTGAGAAATTTATGTTTATTTGATATTTCTCATCGTTTGAGTCAAAATGCTTAAAAGCGAAAGAATGAAATGAAGAAATTAATCACCTTGAAAAGTTATTTATGAGACTATGTTACTTAAGCATTGAATTTAAGCTAATATTGTCTTTGTCGTTTAAGAGATGAGACATCATCACGATGATTGTTTAAAGCTAATCTAATCTGTCTTCAGATCCAATAAAATTAAAAAACAAATTTATTGTGTATTATGATATAGCGTCGAGACATGAGGAGAATGTTTATCATTTGAGACACGTTGACTTGAAAAGTTTATAAGCAGCCGACACTGTTCATATTTACATCTTCGTCAGCATCGTTTGCTATTCACATAATTACTTTTCACTTATTTAAATTCACAATTTTGCAATCATGAACATAAATTAATTAATATAAAGACGTTAAAAAAACAAACTAAACTCACTTTTTGACCTTCATCTTTAATTAGATATTAATTAGAATACTTTCTAACATGATGAAAGCAACACGAATCTGCAAATCTCAAATTTCTAACGAATGTAGATTGAGCCTAGTCTAAGACAGCGAAGTCAAAATAAATTTTCCTAATCATATGTTGGTTGAAAAATTTAAATTTCTTTTGTTTAAAATCTCATTTAAATTTTTTATGTCGCCTTTTCAAGGTCCTTGTCTTCTTTATTTAAGTTTACGTATACCTTTCTCTGAATTTATAAATACTTTGAGGTGCAGATTGTCTAGCCCTTTGCTCTGTGGGTTTACGGAAACTTTTGAAACCGAAATATTCCGCCATACACTTTTCATTCCTCTGTTTCAAAGACAGACTCAAAGTGAAAGGTTATTTATAGATTTCTTCACATACATTTATTTTTATATAATTTCGTGGTTTTAAACATATGATAAAATAGACATTATTTATAAAAAAGAAAAGTTTTCCTTTACTAAAAAGATATTTTCATCAGTGTACTTACTGTCTTCGTTTGTACAGAGTCAATCACACTTTGAGTCTGAAACATTTTGTTCTCTCTTTTGTTTCTTACATTGCCTTAAAATGATCTGTCAATCTTATACAAACTGAAATTGCAACGAATTCAAAACAAAAAACAAGTAAAATAACAAACTCAAGACGAACGAAGTATTGCAGTTGTGAAAACTGCATCGTTTCAAATTCTCACATTTCAACTTATCTGTCACATTTTTTGGTTATGACTAAGTAGTTGACTTCATGTCAATCAAAAAAAAACAATGAGAAGACTTCAATACACAATCAAACATTGTAAAAGCAAACAAGTCAACTTTAAGGTGAAATAAATCATTTACCAACAGTGTTGAGTTATGATTGAAAGAAATATTAATAAGTGAAATGTGCAAATTCATAGTAATGATCCTAATACTCCTGACACTACTTTGTAATTATTTAATGATCGTTTTTTACAAATGTTTGTGAGTATTCTTTTTAACTGTCATCATTAACATTAATTCGTGATCATCTTCCAATTGATTTAATAATTAAATTGAGCGTTGAGATTGAAAAAGTTGCAAAGAATCATCTCAAACTTCTAACTTGATTCCATCATCACCTGATCTTGAATTAAGATTTATTTAACGCAATAAATAATGTCAAAATGTGAACTAAATAAATATTTAGTGTCGCAAATTCACGCTGCGAAAAGTTTTTGTTTATCAAAACGCGATAATTTTATATTTTTAACCCTTTTTTGACACAGTTAAAGCGATGTGCGGGTGTGTAAGACAAAAATAATTTACAAAAAGGAGAAAATTTACTCTCGATTTGCCAAGTCATCTACGAAATTATCTCTCCAGAAAATAGTTTTCGCTTTAATAATCTGTATCGAATTTGAAAAAGTAATTTTCACTCACGAGATTGAATTACTTAAATATTCGCTCGCAAGTTGATTTGTACCCTGCCTGATAAATACGAACAAGATTTTAAAAAGGAAGCAATTTAAAAAATAATGAAGCTTCTCTTTAAACAATAAAAAAACTTTGCTTCCTGTTGTGATAGTGTCAAATTTGTATCTTAATGAACTTAAGTTTCTTATATGATTCTCACTTAAGCTCAAGTTCAATTTTCACAAAAATCACATTAAGCGTTTGAGGGCAACGATACTTTGGATAATTTTTAGTAAACCTTGACACAAATCTAAACAATTGAGAGTCTCAAAACTGATTAGATAAACGGAATTAAATTATTTATTTACATATTTGTGAATTTATATTAGAATTCTTATTGAGAAATTTGATATTTGAGAAGCAAATCATTGACTTCACTTTCAATATCAAAGTATGAGTGGAAAACGAAAATTGTTTATTATTCTACTCTTTCGAAGTAGACACATATGTATCTTAAATGTTTATTAAGTGTTTCATCTCTTCGACTACATACTTCTTTATATCGAGTTAAAAACAGAATGTACGACATTATCAGCGTTTCTTTAAGTTTGTGTACATCGAGAGAAAGAAAATAAACAAATCGAATGTTGTTTTGAGGTATAAATAGAAGAACAACAAATAAAAATGATTCAATTTCAATCGATTAGTTAATCTGGCTAAGAAAATTTGTTGAAAATATTATCAAAGGTGGGAAAAGGGAATGAACATCACTCAATGAAGCGCAAACATTAAAAAATTCTCGTAATTTGAAATAAGGTCAAATTGTTATTTCCTTTCGGTTAGTGAGCTTACATCTTATTTCAGTTGAAAGTTCACGTCGGATCGTTGGTTTATTTAAGATGTTTGACGTCATGAATAAAATTTGATTGAATTTATGTTGATTTTATGAGTTATGCTACATTTATGTACTTGCTGTGTAATCCAAGATTTTTCTGCTTAGCTTTAATTAAACAATAATAAATTTAATCTCTCTTCATAATGCAGATATAGACAAACAAGATTTTCATCGAGACGTGTACGGAAACGTGTCATTTTTAAGCATGGTGACGTTAATGTAGTTCAGGGAAAGGTATCCAAAAGACGTAGACGTTATTTGCAGGATATTTTTACAACTTTAGTTGATATTCAATGGCGTAAGTTAATTTTAAATGAATTTCAAACATGAATAAAGAATTTTGCTTTGTTATTCTCTTCAGGTTGGACGATTCTGATATTCGCATTGAATTTTATGTTGTCGTGGTTTTTCCTAGCTTTGTTGTGGTACGCAATAGCTGTTGCACATGGTGATATCGAATATTTTGATCTTATGAGTAAATCTAGTAACGCGGAAGAGTTTGAAAGCAAAAGTAACCACACACCGTGCGTAACAGAGATCAAATCTTTCCTATCAGCTTTTCTGTTTTCACTCGAGACACAACATACCATTGGTAAGTGACTCGCTTTTCACAGTTTAATGTTGATGACGTTATATCTAATTCTGTTTTCAAGGATATGGTCATCGTTACATTACGGAGGAATGCCCCGAAGCAGCATTCGTGCTATGTTTACAAAGGTGACAATTATTTAATTATTTAACATGACCAAACACAACACACATATCTAACGCTTAAATATCAAAATTTTCTTTTCGAAAAAAAGTATTACGGGAGTGTTTTTCCAAGCTGTGAGTAATTACATTTGAATAACATAAGTATTTATTCATGATGTTACAAATAATTTTTTATTTTCATAATTTTCTATAAAGTTTATGGTGGGAACAGTATTCGGTAAGTTCATTAATGAAAAATCAATTTTTATTGGAATTTTGTAGCTTACCTAATGTTCTATAATTTATAACGATACAGCTAAGTTATCACGCCCAAAAAAGAGAGCTCAAACATTATTGTTCTCACGAAACGCAATTATTTGTCATCGAGATGGGGTGCCATGCTTAATGTTTCGAGTTGGTGATATGCGTAAGAGTCATATTATTGAAGCTCATGTGAGAGCACAAATAATAAGGAAAAAAGTGAGTAGATATTTAAGTTTCATAATAAATCATCAATTTCATACTGTGCTAAGTAAATAATTTTGATCTAAAATATTTGTTTAAAAATAAGATCAAAGAGTGAAGAGTCGTCCGGTTGCCTACATTCAAGGCTGAATAGAAGATATTAAAAAAATATTTTTGTGCTTTAAAAGTAGGCAACAAAAAAATTAGTTTTCAATCAATCTTTCTACATATTTCTCTTTCAAACACAAATTGTATTAAATCTGGAAGGCTCATCAATCAAAATTTCTTTTAACATCGAATAACAGAAAATCTTTCACTAATTTGCATTCTATTTTGCATAACTTTAAGGCGAAAGTTTCTTAATTTAAATATTTATTAATCTTTGTGTTTTGATATTCGAAGTTCATTTCATTAAAAATTCCTTTTCAAAAATAATTTCAATTAATTCCTTCTTCGCTTAAAATTTAAGGTCACAAAGGAAGGTGAATTGTTGCCTTTCTTCCAAGAAGAATTAGCAGTAGGAGCTGACGGATCCGATGATCGGTTGATGTTTATTTGGCCTACTTTGATTGTACATAAAATTGATGAAAACAGTCCTTTGTATGATTTAACAGCTCAAGACATGATAAAGGATCGTTTTGAAATCGTAACAATGCTAGAAGGAGTCGTCGAAAGCACCGGAATGACTACACAAGCAAGAAGCAGTTACCTGCCGTCAGAAATTCTTTGGGGGCACCGGTTTGAGTCAGTTGTTCAGTTTAAACGAGAAACAGGCGAATACGAGGTGAATTCAGTTGCTTAGGTCAATTCTAGTCAATTACTAATTGAGATAAACTATCTAATAAAGGTCGACTATACCCTTTTCAATAACACTTACGAAGTTGATACTCCATTGTGCTCAGCACGTCAATTAAATGAAGCGAGAGCTGAGACTCAACTACAGCAAGGTGAAATAGGTGAGACTTCAAGACTATCTTTACATTATTAAATAATTTCTTTTGTCTATCTCTCAAGTCTTCACTCGTTTTTGATAAAAACTTTTCATTTTATTTTCTTCTTCACGTTTCGAAAATTAAATTTCGTGTTGGCTGAAATGGAATCTCAAATATCTGTGGAACACGATCGATTCGAAATCTAGATCAGTTCAATCCAGCATTTAATATTCATCCAATTCCAGCATCAATTTCCTTAGAAACACCCAAAGATTCAGACAATACAAATGATTTTAACCTTCCAAATGGAGAACTTCCAAATCAATCTCAAACATCGTCTTCATCATCAACAACTTTACCGATTTCGCCGTCCACCGTTTCCACATCGGCAAATGAACAAGAAGAAAAATCTCAGCCAACAAATAGAAACATAAATAAATTAACTATCAAGGAACATATAGACTCAATATGCTGATAAACTTTTATTGCAATTATGCTGTTAAATTTTATTTTTTATTGTTACCGAAGGAATGTAGAAAACTCAAAAATAAGGTAAAAAAATATATCGATGAGGTAAAGTTAATTTCGTTTTGTTTCATTTTGCAGCAAAATTTCGAATTTCTCTTTTTCAATGAGCTTTATTTTATAGCTGAGGAAGAAGAAATAATTATTCTATCATTATGTATCTCGTTTTCTATCCAATTGATGTGGATGGCCTTGTTACAGTATTATCAGTTAGCTACAAATCAAAAATTAAGCACGTTCTTACTATCATCTAAGCTGCATTGACAATTTACAAAAGCCAATTTGTCAGATGAAAACCTTAACTAATAAGCATCGTTCTTGTAATTTTAATGGAACTTTAATTGGTATTAAAGGCAATAATTTTTGACTGATCATTTAACAATGAAAATTGTACAGAAGAAGCTGAAGAAACAAGATCAGAGTGATCGCTAATTTCAGACGACTAAAAATTGTAGACATGTTTTTCATGAGAATTAATAATTTCGCTTCAAGGTTGACGAGAAAAAGCAGCTCAAAAGTAAGAGTCGAGTCGACTTGATTTTTTGTCATTTATTATTCTCACAACAGTAACATCATGTGATCAGTGATGAATATTATTTGGCTTAAGTAATAAACAAACATTGTAATAATCTGGAAATCGATTTCGGATTTGTTTTGATTTTTAATATTTTATTTAATAAAATTAAATTTTAGCAATTATCATTACATGAAATCTCAGCATGACCGGAACTCCATCACAGTCAACTATCAAGCGATCATTCTCGATGGATGTTCATCGTCTGTTATTTATATTTTAAAAATTGTAAAACTACATTTTGACTCGTTCAGCTGATGACAATGATAAATGTCGAACGATTCTCTCGGACGCTCATAATGGCTTCCGTATAAATTTGCTGTGATGTTCAATGCGAGTACAGACTGAACATTCCATCAATTACATCATACATTAGATGTATAGAGATTGTTCTAAATTGATCTCTTTTTTTTCTCCATATCTGGTTTTGCGACTTCAGTCATCGCTTTGTAGTCAAAGTGAAACTGCACAGGTGGAAGTCGACTTTTAAATATTTTGCAGAGTTGCAATTATTTTATGTTGATCTGTCAAAATTACATTCAGAAAGTGACTTTGGTGTTCCAAAAACATTAAATAATCTAAAAATTGGCAATTAAGTGAATTAATCTTGGCGAGTTCAAAAGAAAGTCGTCTTTAATTAAATTAATCTCTGACTTTATGATAAAAAAAATTGACTTACGAAGTAACATGTCGGAAAATCTTTCTGATGTTTACAGCGACGAAAAAAAGCCATTAACACAAATCGTAATTCCAAAACAGAAATCAAAAAATGATGGTAATCTCAGCTCGTTAGATAATGTGATAAGGTAAGTCGTTAAGTGTGAGAGGAAGAAAAATCTTCACTTATATACAAATATCTACACATAAGTAACCACTAATTACATGACTATTGTGTATAATATTTATCTAACAGCAATTTGCCTCTCACAATAGTTCCGAGTATTGCTAAAAATTTATCTTCCCAAGCATCGGAAAATTTAAGGTAAGATTAATTAATGATTATTATTAATAATCCCACAAATTGATGTTAAGTCATGTCATCATTTAATTAACTTAACTACAGATTAATATGTAAAAAAGTGATTTTTGTGATTGATGTTTCTGAACTTAAGTCGAATCAACAATACTCCATTTCAATATGAAAACACTTGCTATTTGCTATCGATGAGCGAGACATTTTTTTGTGTAAATAATTTGTTATCACTTCGTTTTATAAGATTTCTTAAATATCGTGAGTGGGATCTAAATATTCCTCAGAAGTTTATTGGATGTGAAGTAGTGAAAGCTTATAATCTGATTTTTAAGCAGCACAAAAATTAATTTTGAACAAGTTTTTGCTTTGAAAATTTAAAATTTATTATAAGTTGAAAAGATCTTGTGAAAATGGTGGACATTGAGTCACCAAACACCAAGGAGGATCACAATTTACTGCTAGCACCATGGGGAACTACTTTAAATGGAGATGCTTCGTCTCCCAAGTTATATAAATCTCCTTCCTCGGTGTTCTCCTTCAGCCCAAAATCTCCAGGTGGCAATTCACATGGAACAAGGTGATGAAGTTTATGTCAAGCAACTTCGACATTTAAAGCTGTAGAATGTCAAAAATAATTAAAAAGTATTCGTTTTTATTTGACTTTTATCTCCATGCTCCCATTTTCCTTATCAGTTCTATTCTCTCTTTAATTTTTGAGTAGATAACAAATATTTACTGGAATAACTTCAATCTTATCGTCACTGAATAGTGAAACTTTGACACTTAAGAAAGGTTTTGACGTGACTAACCTGAAAACTAAAAAAAAATTGAATCATTTTTGCAAACCACCAACCAACTCGCATTTTATTCGCACCAGTTTGAGGTTTAACTAAGAAAAATACTAACAAGTGCGATTCGACGTAATCGTCAATAATTGCGTGCTAACAACTGATTCAATTTACTTTAATAATCAATATCACTTCTGATTTCATGATAAAATTTATTTTTCTCTAATCTTAAAGTGTTTACTTTGTTTACACGTTCAAAATATGTAGACAAATAAATAAATCTAAGTAGGCATAACATTCGTCACCGTCAAGTGTAAAATAATTAAAGAAACTGCAGCAAGCCTAGTAGCTAATGTGACAAATTCCAATTAGACATTGAAAAAGTATTCAAAAATGACAAAACTTCTTGAAAATCTTGATGACATTGAAGAAACATTATCGACGTAAAGTCACTGAAGAAAGTTTTTCTTATTTTTATTTTGTCGTTCATTTAATTTCTATTTTATGCATTTAAATGAAATTTCATTTCGGTCTTTCAGAAACCGCACTTTGCGACCAGGCACAGGTAGTTAACCATTCATTAATAAAAGCTCAATTACATTATCGTTAATGCTTACCATATATTTCAATACTTCAGCAAAGAAATATCGAAAGCGAGCGATTCTCAAAAATGGCGAGTGCAATATAGTGCAGTCAAAATTATCCCAAAAGCGATTAAGATTCCTCCAAGACATCTTTACGACATTCGTTGATACTCAATGGAGATGGACTCTACTTACATTTGGCTTGAGCTTTATTTTATCGTGGCTCTTTTTTGCCGTTATTTGGTGGCTGATTGCGTTCACTCATGGGGATTTTGAAGAGTCCCATCTTCCTGATAATCAAGCTGATAGCGGTTGGAGCCCATGCGTGTATAATATTCATAGTTTCACGTCTTGTTTTCTCTTCAGCATCGAAACCCAACATACAATCGGTTATGGCGTACGCACGTAAGTATAATGCATTGCCATCATTCATAATTGCATTTTATGACCACAATAATGAAGCAATAATTTACCTTTTATTTATTATTTCGGTAAACAAACATTAGGACTACTGAAGAATGTCCCGAAGCTATCTTCATAATGTGTTTCCAAAGCATTTACGGAGTTATGATTCAAGCTTTCATGGTAAGAAGAGAATTCGTGAAGTTTTCGTAAAGAAAAACGAGAAAGGAAACAAGTTTGACAGACATGAGAGTTTCATGTTAATATTAATTAATTTAACATTTTTCTTTTCCACTCCATGTTTCTTTTATTCACCTCTTTTAAGGTTGGCATCGTTTTTGCTAAAATGACTCGACCAAAACATCGAACACAGACCCTTCTGTTTTCGAAGTACGCTGTTATTTGTCAACGTGATGGCGAGTTGACATTAATGTTTAGAGTAGGGGACATGAGGAAAAGTCACATCATTGGTGCAAATGTACGAGCGCAGTTGATAAAAACCAAATTGACGAGAGAGGGTGAAATTATCGGTCAGTATCAGACAGAACTTGACATTGGAACTGATGGATGTTCGAGCGATTTGTTCTTCATTTGGCCAATGGTTGTTTGTCACAAGATAAATGCAACTTCTCCGCTTTACAATAGTAAGAAATGAAAAGAAATTTTCGTAAGATTGTTTCCAATGTTTGTTTGATTTTGCTTCACAGTGTCTGCGAGCGATTTACTCCAACAAGAACGTTTCGAGATTGTCGTGATTTTAGAAGGAACTGTCGAATCCACAGGTCAAACAACACAAGCACGAAGCAGTTACTTAGCATGTGAAATACTTTGGGGTCATAGATTTGAGCCAGTTGTTACTTATAATCGCGAAAAGCAAGGCTATGAAATTGATTATTCAAAATTCAATGCCGCACAGCAAGTAGACACACCTTTGTGTTCTGCTAGAGAGCTGACAGATTATTATAAGCTTCAGGATGAGCTGAAAACTCCAGGTGGGAATAAAATAAATATCAGAAAAAGCCGCATCATAGAAACTTAAGATTCTTACATACATTCAGTAGTTTCAGTAGTTTCATAATTGAATTGTAGTTTAGTTCACCTTAAGTAATCAATGTATGTATCTATGTTGTCTCTTGTTTTACATTTTCATTTACTTTCGTTATCAATCCTCAAATATAGTCGACGTGAAATTCTCAATAGGTCCGAAAAATGAATGAAATGTGTGTCAAATGTGTTTGTGTATCGTTTAAAGTTTAATGTCATGTACGTATTTGAATATTAATGCAATCTTATTTGCACAAATCAACAACTTACTAATCACACTGTTACCTTTACAGAGAGATCAGAATCTTATCAGCACTTGTATGATTTCAAAAGGTTTCCTGAACTTTTCTCTATGGATTCTTTTAATAAGTCACCATTTCTAAATGAACAACTCAAATCACGATCACACAATTATCTAATAGCAAAGCAAAGCAGAAGGGGAGAAAAAACTATATCACTCTCTTCAGCATCATAAATTTAATTTCATTTTCATTCTTTTCCTTTAATTAATAATTATGATTATACATCATTATTCTTTAAAAAAATATGTTGTAATTTAAATTGCATATGATCGAGAAACAAAGTGTACATTGTTATAAAACAAGGCGATGAAATTAAGATTGAAAATGTTACACAAAGAAGGATCATTAATGATGCATCATCAATGGTGGTGAAGCTGACCAACAAGTTAAGAAACGTTAATAAAGTCATAAACATAATAAAAAGATTTATTGCCTTTTTAATGTTGTGGGACGAGTTGAGTGAGACCAGGGAAAAGAAAACCAGATATTAAATGAAGTAATCATGCAAAATAAGAAAACCAAACTAAAAGCCCTTGAGAGAGTTGAATGATTATCCCAACTTTTACTCGTATTGATATTAATCGTACGAAAAAATCTACCCCGTAATCAGGGAGGTGTGTAAATAATGTATAATGTCCATACATAGTAAGGGAAACATTTCTTCGGAACTCATTTCTCATGCAGGTATGCAAATTCTTTCAGACTTATTATCTTCAGCCGTAAGATCATCAAGAAATTTCTTTATCAACCGAAGATGTGTTAATAAGAGTGTTTATCTCTTTATATTCAAATAAATTTTATACTTCAAAAGTTAACTTTCATCAGAGTGGCCGCGATTTTAAACAAAGTCAAAGATTTCATCTTTTCTTTTTTTTACTACTCCGTGACATATAAAAGGAAGAAAGTTCAAAATAGTCTGTAAAAATGAATAGATTCAAACTTATTTATAAACAACACGCATTTAAATTCTTCAAATTTTCAACGCCCCAAAACAATGCGAACAAAAGTTGCATTCAATTAAGATGTTTGCACGAAGGACAAAAATCTTTTCTTTCTCTATATGAGAACTGCCAACGACATGCATTCTCGTTGTTCGAACGAGTTGTTATTATTGCTTGGGCATCAAAGGAAATGAAGCCGAAAATATTTTTCGTGGTATGATTTATGACGAACATTTTAATTTTCAACTTCGCACTGCATAGTTGCTACAAATCTTAATTTCATACGCTCTGATTTTGTTATAAATGTTATAAGATTACGGGAATGCGAAATTATGACTTCAACTTCTCAATGAAAAATTATCTGTTGACTCCTTTATTGATAATCACCAATTTAAAATTTACAAATTTCGTTGTTTGGCTTGCACAGTTTCTGAATCAATTTTTCATTTTGGCGTTCATGCTTCGCTTGCAATTTCTGTGCAATTTTTATTAACTCAATTTTCTCAAATATTTTTTGCTGCACTTTAAGTTCATTTCCAATATTAAAGTTGAATGTAATTTTTCCTCAAATTACCTCGCTATGAATTGCAGTGGTATAAAATTAAAGTAATTAATGATTTTATGATAAATTAAAGATTATTAATTAGTCTAAACAAGTATTATGCACATTTCATTATGTTTTTCATTTCCAACCGCTTCATCCAAAAAAAAATAAGAAATGAAATTTTTCTCAATTTAAACTCACGTAAGTTAAATTTAACATTTTGATCCAATAAATCACTGTCTTTAAACAGGAATGAGTGCATATTGGAGTCTTAAATGCTTGTGTATCAATTTTAACAATCTTTTATGCCTTTCAAGTCATTTATCATTTGCTTTTACTCGATCTCGAGCAATGTCTACTAAATTCGAGAGCTAAATTCATTCGACACATTGATAAATCGAAAAGATGAAACCAATCGACGATTTAACGCATGAAATTGAAGCAATTTTGTCACGAATTATAGCGCATTACAGTAAACAAGGGTTTGAGTTAATGCATTCAATTTTCTCACAATGCGTACCAAGGAAAGCACTTTTGTTTGAGCGAGAAAGAACAGTTTGAATTCATTCAAAATTAACTGTGATCTCGTTTCTGAGGAGCGATATACAAAACTCACTCATTGCTCCTTTTATGAGTTTCGCCTTTTATCAATACCAAAAGAGAAGAAAGATGGAAAGTCATAAAAATTAAATTATTCAATGCAATCAATATAAAGTGCTTAAAGGATGATAATGAGATACCCTCAGATAAACAAATTACAGTGCCTATCTCTGTATGTATGGCTCAAAGTAGTATTAATAAAAGCATCGAGTTTAATAAAGTGTACAAGCGAGAATTTCGTTTCGGACTGATATACATGACTTAAATTGAGGCAAGAAAAGAAGAAGGAGAAAACGACAGATTTCTTGTCTGCCGACAAAAAAAAACAAAAAAAATTAAAAACAAAAATGTTCCAGATCACTTATTAAGTCTTTTGCATATAGAATTGCAAGTTTCTCTACTTGTTTAACCAAAAAAGAAAAAAATATAATAATAAAAATAATAATAATAATAACGAAATAAAATGTTGGTCTCAATCAAGATACAGAGAATGAAGTTTAAACTTTAAACGACGTCGTGCATATTTTCGTTTCAGGTTGAGATGACTGAAACTGAAGTTAATTAATGAAGGTTTTGTATCACTTTGGACAAGAAGTTTGTTAAAGTGTAACGCAATAATAACAATAATAAAGTCGAGCAATATAAATCATTTCAAGGGGTTTTACGACGAGAAATTAAGGGAAGCACATAAAAAAGTGAGAAAAGATTGCTTTCCTGAATATCAATCCGATCATTTAAAACTTTAACTTTTATGAATATCTCAAAAATATCCGTAGGATTCAATTGATGATATCACTAAAAGTATGAGTTAACGCAGCAATTTGAGATGCTGGGCAATGTAGATAAGCATTATCATTATTCTAATTATTGAAAATTCATTCTTCAAGAACTGCATACGGAGGTGCAAACAACGTCAATGTTTGTCGGAAGACATTAATTGAAAACATGGATTACATATACAACATATGTATGTATATTCTCTTTATGGTTTATAGTTTTTAAGAAACAAAAGCCTGAAAAGTAAATTCAATTTAAAACATGTTATTATGTGAAATAAAATCTTGAGGCATATCTACATGTAATGAGACATGAATTGAAAATGGTTTTTATAATAAAAGTTAAAATATTGACAATAAAAAAATGATATTACAATTAGGTAGTTTATTGACTTCGAACAGTTCATTTTCCACGAAATATTTTTTTATTCGCTTTTAACATTTAAAAGTTTGTCCTATTCATTGTCGAAGTTTTGATGGCGACTGTGCTTATGACGACTTAAGACAAAAAATTCACTTACCGGAAGTCTTTTAAGCCAAGTCATAAAATCAACTTTAAAATTGAAATTAAACTTACAATGTTTGCATGACAAATGATTACAATTTTAGAATCTCTCTCGTTTTGGCATCACAAAGTGCAAACATTAAATTTCGCATGCATTAAATGACTTTATGCATTTATAAAAATTCTGATAAAAAGTTACTTAAAAGTGTTTTTAAAAATATCTTTTGAGGAATTTCATGCGGAAAGGTAAGATGCTCCATTAAAATTTGGGGCATCTGATTTGTTTTCGTACTTACTTCTCGTTTTGCTTTGCTTTTATGTGAAATTCAAGTCTCCAGGTTACTGCTTTAATAATAAAAAAAGAGAAACAAAATTTGAACTCTTATAAGTGAGCAATGTAAGTTTCTGGTTTTTCGATAAGCGAAAAATTTGGCTTCATTCAAACCTGGTTGGTTCCATCGAGTTAAAAATTATTTTCAATGTTCAGCATTGGCATAAATCTTGTTTAAGTCAGGCGACAATATTATCTGTCGTCACATTCTGTGTATCGATTCCTGTGAAGCTTTTAATATTTTAAAATCTTCTTTTAATGCACTCAAAACATTTATTTTATTTAATCATTTAGTAAGAACAGGTCGAACATAATTTACAACGTGTTCACAATGCTTGAATTAAATATTCATACTGAAGACTCAAAAGTGTGAAAAACACAATTTTGGCTTCAACATTGATTTAATATACTTCGTAAATTAACCTGACTGAAATTACTTAAATAAAAATTCATCATACGCTTGTCACAATAATTTTTGCACTTTTCAGTGATCTTAAATCAGTGAGAGAGATTTAAATTAACCACATCAGACAGACATTAAAGAAAGTCAGAAATTCAACTTATGCGAGATCTCACAATATAAAAAATGTTAAATCGCGTCAATCATTTTGTAAAACCTGACTTATGTACATTTACTGACATTTATTTGTACTTAAATTCAATTTTGATTCTGACTACTTAAAAGATTAAAAAATATTTAACATTTTGTGTTCACCTCTGATTTGCTTTTATGATTTTTTATAATCAATATTTATCTATTATAGGATAACAAAATTTATCTATTCAACTTGCATAAAGTGATATATTTAATACCACACAAAAGTTAATTAAAAGTATTTAAACAACATTAAAACGTTTCATGTTTTTGTTCCCAAACTCTCTCATGCTTGGAAATATTTTTCAACTTAAAGTTTTACTTATCGATCGGCTCAGATCTCCGTTGAGATAAATTATATTTAATTATCTTTCACACGTATTTTTTATCCTTTAAAAAATGAAAGAAAAAATTCTTCATGATTGCATTGCTTCATACAAATTATCCAGTTGGAGTTGCAAATTATATGTAAAGTTAAGATACTTATTCGAATCAGCAAATTTTTCATTTTTGGTTCATGAATTTCCTAAAATGAATGCAAATCTGGGTAATTAAAAGATTTAGAGACTTTAAAAATTATTAATTCAGATTATTCAGCACTCCTCGTGTAATTTGCCAAACAAGTGAGTGAAATTTAATTTAATAGAATTTTAGATTAATCAATCTTAAATTAAAATAATTTCATTAACATTCAAAGAACTTTTTTATACTTTTTATGCTAATAAAATAATTTAATACATCTTAAACATTTTATCATAAACGTTTCACATCAACAAATAGTTTTAGAAACAATCCAATGAAGAAAATGAGAAGTTAAAAAATAGTTTTATTGACCTCATAGGTTATAAAAGCTTCTACTGTAGAAAGCTCATCTTAAATTCTCTTCAATCTTTACAAAATACAAAGATAATATTTTTCTACGCTCTTTTCTGTTCCAAACGTTAATACCTAATGAATGTTGATACTTACACGTACACTCAGGACCATGATTTTCTCTAAACGGAGTCTTGAAGAGAGAATTGTAGTAAAATGTGGAAATTTTAGTTTAAAGTGTGTTCAAAATCAAGTTTGAACGAAACTATTTTACTTACATCAAAATAAGAGCTAAGAAACTGTGCTGAGAAATTGATCTCTTCGCTTTTATCTTTTGCTATAGAGCGGGAATAAACTGTTAGTCTTTTTCTTCTTTATTCACTCTCTCATCTCTTGTGTTGCTTTGTAAATTTATGGAATACGTGAAATCACTTCATTACTCGGTCAGTTGGTCTCGAAGATTGAAATTGAACATTAGTAATTTTAACTCGGATGAAAATTATGGACGTGATAAGACATTTTATTAAATATAAAATAATTTCTGAATTGAGAGTTGAATTCTGATTGCAAGAATATAAAAATAAATTAGAAAAATAATTAAAAAAGGTGCACAGAACGAATTGACGATTATTTACAAAGTTTTATAGATTGAAAAGCGAGTAAATGTTATAAAAATTGCGTAAATTAGTTTTATGAATTCATAAATATCAACGTATAAGTATTTTATTTATATAAATATGTCTAAAACATGATGCAAAAAAACTATTGTGAAACTTACACCATGAAAAAGAAAATAAAAACCCTAAAATAACAACAGTGATCAAATAACTTACACCATAAGAAAAATTATTTAAAGTGATATCTAATCGTCTAAGAAAACATAAAACAAAAGCTTCAAAAATATAAATCGTGATGTTGAAATAAACTTGCTCTAAATATTATCAAAAAGAAAAACTAAATGTGATAAACAGTTTAATTTGTGGATTTCTTGTATGTTTTGAAAACATCATCTACACGTTGTGTCCTCAAATAGATGAACATAGTTTTTGTTTGAAGTGTTTGGATTAATTTAAACTTCATGTCGGTAAGTAAAAAAGTATTTTATTTAAGAAAATCCACAGAAAACAGAGCTCATCGACAAAACATACAATCGTATAGGTATAGGTACATAATATACCATTTATTCGCTTCGCAAATCGATTCAATCAGCTTGAAATTCTTAAATGTCATTAGTCGTGTTCTCTTTTTAACATTTTTTTTCTAATTCCATGAAACACGCCTGTAGCGAAATCCATTGTACTACATAAGACATATTTTGAACTACATACTCTTAAAACGACTATAGGCAACAGAAAAGTTTTAAAATTAATGATCTCGAATGCTTCAAATATCAAATTAGATGCTATACGAACGTAAATCGCCGGGTTTTGCCTAACACACGCATTGAAGTCATTTATTTTAGCTGTTTTTTTTCCTTCCAACTACATATTACTTGCTTTGTATGTATTAAGCAGATCTAATTATGGATCGATGGATTTATATCGCTTTCGTGTTCCACACTGTTTTCATGAAAAAAAAACTTTGATATTTGATTACAAGATTAGAAATTTAGTTTATGTGCGACTAGCGAAAAGAAATTAGAAATTTTGGGTTGAAATTGCATAGAAATTGTAAACCCCCTCGTAAGTCTGCAATGGATTTGGGAATAATTTCATAAATCTTCTTGATTATTTTAAATTGAATGAAAAATTATTTTTTAATTGAATTAATGTAGTTTATTGGGTATGATTATCAGATAGCATTGTTGTTTATATCCGTTAATGCCATAATTATAGCCGATGTTGTCAAAGCGTTTGAAAAATGTCACCCATGAAAATATTTTATTTTCTAAGACGATTATATTAATTTAATTAAGTTATTGTCTCGTCCGGAATTTCATTCTCTCAACTTAAATCTCCTCGTGGGAATTGAGCAAAAAAATATAAAAGGTTTTTGCCTTTTTAGTTCGAAGAATTAAGGCAATGTAAATAAAACGCAAAGCCACAATATTGATCATATCCATTCAATTAACATCAAAGATCTTAATTATAATTCTACATATATTTGAATTTCATACAATCTGTTTGAAAAATAAGAGAATTGAAAATGATTTGCTTGTATAGCTGAAAATTGAAATAAAATAGGCTACATGCAGCCGGCTAAAGCTTTTAAACGAGCTGCATGATATCATTCAACTTTTTCAATTTCATTTTAACTTCTATATGCACATAGAACAAGCTCTACCTTTCGTACTTGCGTGTTATATCGTCGAGCTGAATAAATATTAATTTATGTCAATATTTAACTCAATGCGTTTTAAAACGCACGTGAATAAATATAAATTTATCAATCAAACACAATAATGATTGCAATGACTTTTTGCTGTTTTATATTTCACTTATATAAGTTCATAAGTTAAAATTGTATTAAAGTTAAACTTGTCAAAAGTGATGTAGCCAAAGCATAGCCAAAGTCTAACAGTAAATAATTTAACGGCTCAAACCATGCAAAGTTGAGAGATTTGGTATTTTTAGAAAATATTTATAATATATAGAAAATTTTCTCGCAAGCACTGCCGACGAAAATCCCAATACAAACATCAAAACATTAATTTATAAAAGCAAAAAAAGGAGAAATTAATAATAATTTCTTTTTTTTTCAGTTTTTACTGTTGTGTGTAGAAGAGTTGATTTTCTACTCGTACTAAATATTCAAACTTGTCAGACTTGTTTCTTATGTCTAATTGTAAATCAAAAATTAAATAAAAAGCAAAAAAGTACAACGTGGTGGAGATTGAAAGTTCAACAGATTCCCAAATGATATTTTTGTTAGAAGGAAACACTTTATTTAGGCAATTTTTTGGCAAGTGGAAATAAAATGTTATTGAAGTAATGCTTCGGAATTAACATATTGATATGTTGGTAAAACTGGAGGATAAGCAAATCGATATTTTATTCCGATCAAAATATATAAAAATTCGATTTCAGAATTGATGAATGCGAAAGAAAGTCTTGTTTATTGTAATAATAACCTGTCCAATTTGAATGCAGAGCTCATAGCATGTTCAAAAAAATAAATTTCGAACAACATAGAAATGATATTAGTAAAATTTAATTTTTGAATCGCATCAACTTGATCATTTCTGGATAAATGGCAAGTTTTATTATAAAATCATGTTGGTAAAAATATCCGTTTGCTGAAAATAAAACAAAAGAAGTATCCATCTATACGAACAAAGATGTACATACGAACAAAGCTTCATTATAGAGAAATTATAGATTTTTACACGATGATAAGGCTATAACGCTTCGCATATCTGAAGACATACTTAATTATCTTGCAATGAAAGTAAATAGTACAGATCAAAGTGTTTCCTCTTGTCTCATTCGAAGCTATAATAACAATAAAAGAAGAACATTATGCATTGAAACATAATTCATGGAGAAAAATGAAAACTGCTTAACATTTCTTTTATTAGACATAAAATAAAGGAAAGAAAAAAAGTTCTGCATCATTCAAGTTTTGTATTATTATGAATTTTATTATTCAAGTTTTTATTTAGGTATATAGGAAGAGATGTAATGAACGGATGTGCTAAAAAATTTCAATTATGAATACTTTCCGACACTTGTCGTGTTGATGTTGAGATATTTTTAATATTTTCTTATAATTTGATACTTTGTTTAAGCGATTGAAAGTTTCTTGTATGAAAAGTCAGGATTTTTTGATTGATAATTCGTGGAAAAAGATTTAAACAACTTCCTTCACATCCTCTTTTAACTCGTGGCGTACTTGGCCAGTGAATTGATTGCAAACCAGTTCAAAATTTATATATTTTTAAGAGAAAATTTATCTGTATCTTACATACATCTAAAAGGAATATTTTAATAGCTTCGTATAAGAAGGTATCAAACGCTGTAATCTGCTTTCCCTTTTTACTTCGATATGATCGTTTTTGGTGAAAATATAAATCGAACTTTAAAATTTCCAATTAAATTAAGTGTTGTTTTATTTGCTGCAGTCTGCAGAAGATTGACATGGAGTCTTGTGGAAATATTTTATTTAGGAAATTTATCGTCGAGAGGCATTTTAACGAGGAATCACGTTATGTATTGCGATTGATCCATGGGTCCTCTAAAATCAGAATAACTGTTTTTGTTTCTTAAAATTTTCGAACCGAAATTTATATAAAAAGTCATGAAAATACAAAATCGAAAACAAGTAAGGGTATTCAATGTCCATTTAACAACAAAACATCCAATTAGGCGAATTATTCCTGCCGTTTTTTGCTTATTACCGAATTTTCTTCCCAACTGTATCATTAAACGATGAATCAAAGACTAAAGGAACAATCCCAAAAAAAAATGTTTCTCTTCGCATCGAAATTATCCATTGTTATGCTTCGAACAAGAAAGTTAAAATTAAAGCAAAAAGTAAAGCAACACAATAAGAAATATAAAAATAAAACAAAACTCATTCAACTTCTTCTATATCCTGCGCTATACATTTAAACATTTTTGATCCACTTTCTGACACTTTAAAACTTGTTTTATTCTTACAAAGTTTATAAATATTTTATTTTACAAAGTATAAAAACAAAATTTCGGCACTACCTACGTATGCTCATTAACGATCAAAGTATGATATTATACATTTCTTAATTTTATAAACGTCTCTAGTTTCGTTCATTCCGAGAGAATGATTTATTGATTGATATTCGACAAAAAAAATAACGAAGAGAATTATAAAAAAAGTTAAAATTTCCATTTAAGCTGATTGTTTTAAGTTTGTGAGAATTTCGATGATGGAAAATTATCAGTTGAAAATGTATAAATAAAAGGGTTCGTTAAAATTCCTCTTCATACATTCTGTTACAATTCTTTTTATTTAAAAGTTCATTTAATTAATTTCTTCGGAATTGTCTTTTCCGTTCGTCGTATGACACGACAATGTATTTTTTTAACTCTTTTTTCTTTCAATTTATTTTTTTCCTGTTTCGTCTTTTCAGTTTCACTTTTGTTTTCAATACCAGCCTTTTAATGGAGAAAAAGAAATGTGAGTTATTTATAGATTCTGTAAATCCTTTTCATTGAACCTTTTCGATTGATATTTTCATTTTGCAGATAATTTTTTTTTGATTTTTAATAAAAAAAGTTTTCAAGCATAAGCAAGTTTTTCTGATTAAATTTCTGTACATAAATAAAATATTAGAAATTTCAAGATACCAACATGATTTAAAGACTTTTGTTAATACAGAAAATTCTTATAAACTTTGAGTATCATTTTACTTTGATATAATTGTCTTATTATTCGCTTCAACCGCGAGCTTTGGCTATTTTTTTCACAATGAAAACGAACATTTTCTCTCGGTTTATGTCTAATTCAATTGTCTGTGCACATTCAGGAAACCTTAACACAAATAGAATTGAAAGACAGTAGATCAACAGTGGTTCAGTGTAAATATCATTTTTCAAATTGATTTTGTTGCTTTACAACTATCAATAAACGTGATTGTCTTCAACATCTTTTATAAATTAATAATAAAATAGAAAATAGTTTTATATTTTTGGCAACCATGATATCATTATCAAACAATCTTAACCGTTTTAAATAAAAAATACTGACCACGGTCTCAACTTTTCTATCTCCTTCTATCTCATAAGAAGCAAACACCGAAAAATGAAATTTAATACATAAAATATGCCAATCTCACAAGATTAGTTTGAAAACTGTAACGATACCGTTAGATTTTGAATCATTTACATAACAACATCTATCTTGTTCAAAAATTACCAATCTGAATCGAATCCAAAAGTCAAATCTTGATTTACCAGATCACATCACTGCGATACGTCTGGTCGGTCTAAGGAAAACATATACGGCAATATAACTGAATAAAGAAAAAAAATCAGTTTTAATCTCGTCAAAACAGGTTGTAAATTACTATATTAAAAACAATTTGATTTTTTTCTTTTCTTTCTTCTACCATCTTTTCGTAGATGTCATGAACAGTTGGTTGAATTAAATCGTTTTGTATTGTAAATATGATTGGGAAAAAAATGAAGTGAGTTGATATTTTACGATAGAGTACTTTAGTGCTTTTTTTTGAGATTTTAAAATGAATTCTTTAGCGGTACGAGTTCTTAAGCCGCAAGTTCTTTGAAAATGAGCGAAGAAATTGAAATATTTTATTTAATTATCTCCATCATCTAAGAAAGACAAGAAAACAGAAAGAAGATAAGTGCTGAATTTCGCAAACACTTCCAGTCCATTGAGAAATTACTTTTGAAATAAAATCATCGGATATTGTTGACACTAATACGATCAAAAATAATAGAAAATTGTCGTGAAAAGAAGAAGCAAGAAAAAGGTTTAAGATATGTTCATGTTGAGATGTTAAATTTAATACATTTATTCAAGCTTGAAAAGAAATTTTAAATATTGTCAGCTTGATATTCAATTCACCTTATAATTTATGTGTTTATACATGTACAGAAAATTGAACGAGTGCACTCGAGTGACTTGAAAATGTTGCAATTTAAAATTGTCACAAGCTTTATTTTAATTATCAGATTTTTTCTCAGAAATCTAAGCATAAAACACATTTATCCCACCTTGATTTATGCACAAAACTCATTGTAAATAATCGTACGCTTTAAATAGTGAACAATCAGAATATTTGCATAATAATTCACGAAAATATGACTTGACTTGATTATTAAAATAATTTTTCACGTTTAAAAAAGCTTTCAGAATCTGAACAATAATCTAAAGATGCTCATGATGCCTTTATTGTTATTGAAAATTGGGAAATGTGCTGAAAGATTACATTACGTGAATAGTTTAGCGATCCATGTATTTAAGATCATGAGAAATCAACCTTAAGTATTAAAAAAAACTTTAAATAAAATTGCCGTGTTGAACATATTAACTTAATCGTTAGAAATATTAATAATAGCTGCATTTAAGAGTATGACTTGAATCACGATGATCTCTTTCAGCGCGACGAATAAATAAACTCACTACATTTTTAGAAAATTCCAAATACGTTAATTAAATAAATCAAATATTTACTCTTCTCAGTTAATTATTATTTCAAGCTCCTTCTGATTTTTATTGTTAAGCTAATATTGTCTTTCTAGTTAGCTTATAACAATACACATTCGATGTTTAAACTGTTAATAACTTGTAAACATTTTTCAACATTTTCTTGCAGTTCACTCCTAGCTAACTAACGATGGACATGAAATCAATCAAAAAACGTCTCAAGAACTTGAATCCTAAAAAATCTAAAGAATTTATTCATATAAAACAAATCTCACAAAACTGAAGCGGAAATCAAAAATAAACAAGAAGACCAAACCACAAGCACACAGAAAAATATATAAACATAAACAAGAAACAAATCATTAGTTCAACGACTCTTTGCTGAGATTGGTGAAGAGGCAAGAGAACTACACAGAAAGCTGAAAAAACAAATTCGAAATTAATGCTACCTATAATATTAAATATAACGGACGATATGACATCATCAGCAAAAAACATGGATATTAGTGAAGCATTTCGACCTGAAGATCTTCAAAAAACTGATTTTTTTGATTTTGTGTCAGCACCACCGGAACAAGAAAACAGTTTAACTACTCAGACCGTCAATAGCAGCAATAATTTCCATAACGACCAACCATTACAAGGTTTTGATCAAGTAAGTGCTTTTAGACTAGTTTCCTATGTGTAAGCCATAGAAAATTGAAAACGAACAGATATTTACCAATTATTGCTGAGATATATTTTGGTTGATCTACTTACATACACACATAAATAAATACTTCTTTGGATATTTAAATGTGGATGGGAAAATATTAACAAAACTTACTACTTAGAAGTAGGTATTCCTGTTCGTACACATTCTATGTACATATTGAACTGACAAGAGCCTTTGAATGAGCATTAATATGTAGATATATGGGAAGATAATTGACATAGATGAAAATCATTTTTTGAGATTAATGAGTTTTTGCAATTTATGAGAAGCTTCTATAAGTTGAACTTCATCGAGACGTGCCTTAAAATTATTCTCTCCATACTTTTCAATCCCTAAATGTCGTTTCTATGTTTTATGTATGTTTCTACACCTTAAGGTATATCATAGTTCGTTTGAGATGCACTGATATAAGACTAACATACTTCTGTACCTGTTACACATGCTTGAGTCTCAGTCATATGACAACATGTTGAATTTAAATATTTTCAACTTAATAAAAGTATTAATTGAAATTACGACTTTTCTCTTCCTTCTTTAATGTTATTACTGGATTTTTCAGTAACTTACTTTCTTAATTAATACTTTTCGAATGACATGGATATGAAAATATTTAACCAAATCAAATGTCATCGGTTTGAAATCCACGAACCATCTCGCTTTGCTTACTTTTCAAGAAAGAACACGAATTATATTTGAAAATACAATTTCATTACTAGCTACTAATACAACATAACTTTACAGCATAAGTAGATATTTGAATAGAGAACTTTTGAGTCTACAACACAAATTTTCCTATTACTAACATTAAGACATTCTTAATCGTTCTGACTTTCCCATTGAAATCTTTGTAACTGAACATTATTTAACAATTTCAAAGAAATTGCATAGATTCCATTCATCTTTTCGATTCTCTTTATACTGGTTGAAAAATATTTCCTCTTAAATAGCACAAATGAGAAATCTAAAGACATTTTAAGCGAATAAAGATAAAAAAGTAAAAATTCAGAATATTGGACACACTTTCAGTTTTTTAATGATGAAAATTAGAAGGAAAAGAAGCGAAAATCAAGGTAACGAAATGACTTTAAGGTCTCGTTTTAACAGATAAATTTTAAATAATCTTCGTGATGATGTTTGTTGACTTTATCAAAATATGTAAAAGTTTAAATGATAGAATTAGGTCAAAAAATATAATAAAATTGGGACATTCAACGATAAAAAAAAGTTGCCATGCGTTGATCCTAATAAAAAGTTTAACAAAGTTTTAAGAAAAAAATATCCACAAACAGTTTTAGATTTACAAGCTAGGTAGACATGAAAATACCTTCGTACATTAAGCTGCTTTGGAAACATTAGAATTTACGTCACTTGAAGTGAAAACAACTGCTGAAAGAAACCGGTTATAGAGCAAAATCGTTAAACAGAGTACATAGGTTTTAATATTATCATGCAAACTACATAAAAATAAGTTTTATTAAAATGGCACTCCTCGAATACTATATGTAATCGCAAAGAAATATTATATTAAATGCCTTTTTGTCTGCAACGTAAACGAACAGACAAACTAAGATTATTTTACAATATTAGCAAGGCACTTGCATATTTCAAATGTGTATTTATTTCACTGATGTACGTTGCCACTTTATGGTAAGTCATGCAAATTAATGAAGCGTTTTATATGTAGGATTTTCTTATGTTTCCATTTAATGACTGGGCCCTATTTAATAATGTTTTGCTATCGTTATCCAATTGGAAATTGTTACAAAACTATGTTTAAAAAATCGAAACAATTCTCATATCAATATTCTGCACATAATTATGAACATGTCTTCATGATGATTACAACGTAAACAACAGCCATGTAAATATTTTCTATAATTGAAGAACAAAAAACATCACAATCAATCAAAATTTCCGTAAATGTTACCTAGATTCGTAGATATAAGTAAAACGGCTTGAGACTTCATAGATTCTCTTTCAGAGGCAAAAACATTTAATTATAATCACAGCCATTCAATTTTCAGTCGTATGGAATTCCGCGTTTTATTTCATTTCATGTTTAATGAATAAATATTTTCAAAGAAGCAACTAGAGCTGTTCATGTGTTACCCATCTTAAATTTTTGAGGAATGATTGCGATTCACATAATGTGAAAATATCTTAAATACAAATAACTATGTATATGTATGCATCTTGAAATGTTATCAATCATGCGGGCCGATTTTTTAATACTTATTATAGACATCATCTGACAAATCATCAATCTTTTTAAAGTAGGTACTCTTAAATTTAAAAGATGTAACAATACTATTGAAGCTTTTCAGTAGTAAGCATGTTGATAAAAACTCCTGTCACTAATTGGCTTTCTTTTTCTTAAACTGACAGCTCTCAAAAATGAATGAGAATGAAGTTTAATTTTCTCCAATAGTCGTTACTGTGAATTGTAATTAATTTTGCTTTTCTTCATCTTCATGATTGATGTTTGATTAAGTCTTTCAGTACAATTCACCATTTATTAAAGATTCTTGAGTAAATGGCTTTTCGACTCGATATGAGTTCAATAATTGGTTTGCTTTTATGAAATTAGATCGATTATAGCTATAAATAAATAAACATTGAGTTGGGATTCTTTTGATCGAAACACTTCTATCTAGCGCAGTAGTCAAAGATGTTTCATTCGCACAAAATATGATTGTGGGGTGAAAATAAAGAACAATATGTCATCAACAAACGTTGAACAAATTGCCGGTTATAGTTTAAGTGATTTCAAGATTATCAAAATTAACGTCTATAACATTTTATTAATCTGAAATTTTGATAAAGTGAATTTCATCACTTGGTGAAACTTAATTTCATTTCGATTTTTTCAATTAATTTCTCTGTCCAAAACTCATCTTTATTTTCGATTACTCATTGATCAGCTGACAAATTGAAGAGATGTGTAGCTTGCAAAAGTAAGAAAAAATCAATTATACTTGATTATACGTATTGATGAAATGTCGATTTAGATGATTTTTAAATCACTCAACATGAAAATAATTTTAAAAAATTTCTCTTTTATTCTCTTACATACATTATATGTTTTCATCCATAATTTATGTTTCGAAGTGGAATCGGACAAAGTCTGAACGAACATTCATTCAGTCCAAATATTTTATCATTATTGACCATGTATATTTGATCTCAGGTAATTGCATATTTGCTGTTAGTTAATAAGCTGTTCATGGTGCTGTCGGGAATAATATTTTAATTCTTCCACAAAACTCATCAATTCTGATATTTTTTAAGTTCAATTTTTAATTTCAATATTTATTTGTTTTTACATAGTTTTGGGGAGGTGAAAAGGATACTCAGCAACGCTTAGAATCTGCCATATTTGAAGACTTAAATCGTTATTGTTGGAATCAACATAATGCTGCCAATATTTCAATTTCAACTGCTACTACAAACAGTGGCAATAATTCAGTTCCTCAAGTGCCTAACAATAGTGATGGACAGGTATTGAAATAAGTTTTAAGAAATCATTTATTGACATGACTCCAATAAACTTTATCTTCATTCAGATTTACACCATAACCGTTCTGAACAGTTCATCGACAAATCAATGGTTGAGACGAGACGAGTCAACCAATGTCAGTGAACAACCAAACGGATTGGATATAAACCTAGACACAATTTTGAATAATTACCCTTACATTAAACAAGAAAACTTCTCGTATGAAGATAGTGGCTTCGGAACAACCGAAAACACCAAAGAAGATGCAAATTTTCAACGTACACTAACTTCACAAATCTTACAAACGCCAACAACGACAATTACAGCATCATCCAATGTATTAATTGAAAATAAATTAGATGCGGATGTTGCAAGCTTGATAAATTACACCAATATGTCGAACAATAACACCAACAACAATAACAACATCAATATCAGCAACAACAATAACAACAACAATGAATGGAACATTGATAAAAATAAATTAAAGGAATGGAAGGGATGTGAGGTAAAAGTATGTCTTTTATGAGTCTAACTAATGAAATACTTTTATAATCATTTACTTTTGGATTTATTTAGGGATCACCAGAATCATTGCTACGTTCAGCACTGCAAGGAAAAGGTTATGGAAAAACTATGTCATTACAAAATGGAATAACAGTGATTCCAGGTCCAAGTCTTGAGAAAGAAGAAGAACTCCGACGTGTTTTGTTCACAAATGATCAAGTATGTGTCTCAAAATGTTTTAAGTTAAAATATCTAAAATGAATTTATTTGTTTCAAACAGGAAACTCTTACGTTTGCCGATTCAACGCTGTCTAATTCAATATTCGATGACACTCAAAATCCTCAATCAACACTTTCGCAGCATGTCTCAGGTGTTGTTGACGACATGTTCCTTACATTAGACACCGCTTTCACTGACGATTTCGAGAAGATGAAACGTATTGCAAGCGATGTACAACAATATTGCGCGATTGATAATCCGGGGAATAGTTACAATGAAGTTACTGCAATCGATAATAATGCCATTAATACTACAACAATTCTATCAGCAAATGATCTTTCAAACAATAATTCGTTAATTATTAACAACCATAACAACTCGGAAAAAATTAATAAAACTAAAAATAATGGAATTAAAACAACAACAACGAAAAAGTACAAAAAAATGGTTAATAATAACAAAACGATTGATAAAATAATGAACAATAATAACAATACGAATACCATGAACAACAATCTGAACAATAAAAGTATTGTAAATTGTTCAGCAGCCGTCAATACCAATAATACTACCGCGTCTGTGATGCAGTCAAACAATTTAAACCAGGGAAGTTCCACATTGTGCAACGGTATTAGAAAAGAGCGATCACTTCACTATTGTTCGATATGTTCGAAAGGATTCAAGGATAAATACTCGGTAAACGTTCATATACGCACTCATACTGGTGAGAAACCTTTCGCTTGTAGCTTGTGTGGCAAAAGCTTTCGACAAAAAGCTCACTTAGCGAAACATTACCAGACACATTTACAAAAGAGTGCAAATGGATCTGCGAAAACAAAGTACAATCAGAAACATTCGATTGTGAATGCGCAATCTCAATCTATCTCACACTCTTCTAATCCTAATGTGATAAATATTTAAAGCTCATTTTCTTTAGTGAAAAATTGTGTAGAAAAAAATTGAAATTTATATAAAAATTTGTTACTTACATTCAATTCGCGTTATTTAGTTGAAAATTTATTGTTCCTAAAAAAATGATTTTTGTGCTATGAAAAAGCTTGAAAAGTTTTTAAACTTAGTTAATAAATAATTAAAGAAATATTTGTACTGTCATAAAATTTGTTCATGCATTGATTGCCATCTACATTAACGGCTCCTTCGGAACAAAGTAAAGTGATTTGAATAATTGAACATTTTTTATTGTTAATATTATTAACTTCTTAAATAGTTTTGAAACCGTTCTTTCATCAATCACCATTTAAATGTTAAGAGTAATGAGTAACTCGAATTAACATATTGGATGAAAGATTTGCCATGATTACAATTATTTTTGTCTAAGTAATTCTTATAAAATGAGCGATGCATCCTTAAATGCCCTAAATGATTTGTCTATAATATTTAATAATTAAATTGCTTTTCCTTGCTTTAACTTCCATTTTAAACTTAGATATTCTTGACATTTGGTTTCCTTTGTTTTCTCATAAACATTCTAAAATAATCTGTGATTTTCGCATGCAGTTATTTATTTCGAAGAAGTTTATTTAATATTTAGATAATTTTTTAATATAATTAAGATAGATAGAAAAAAGGAAGAAAAATATTTTGGAATGTTAGATTTTTAATATATTTAGTAAATTATAGATTTTGCTTTTGTTTGCCATTGTTATACATTTTAATACTCAATAATTTTGTTTCATTTTACTTATATTAAGATATCCAATCTTGAATTAAACCCCAAGAAAATATTTAATTATTTATTACCGATTTTAGTGTTTAAATTAGTTTAATTAATCCAAAGTTGTTCAAAAAAGTGCGAACACTCATTTGTATTTATAATATCTTAGATTATCTTAAGAAATCTCTAAGTACGAGTAAAATTTAAATAGAAGTTCGAAGAAAAAATATTAAATGACGAGTTTGATCATTTCTTGATTACCATTAATCATAGTAATAAATTTATTCTGTTCATTTATCACTGCAAAATTACTGCCGCTGTTTAATTAGAACTTACAATTAATCATTCCTTGAGTTATAAAATCACCGTAATTGTTACCTTATTTGAATTAGCTTCCTAAATGAAATTTTAGTGCCTTTTTTTGTCTTGAAATTGTACGTAGTTATATTCTAAGAGTTCTCAGAGGCTTCTTTCTTCCTGGCAAATATCACATAAGTAGATTGTAGACATTGACCTAATAGACATTTCATCGTGTAAAAGCTACGAATAAAAGACCTTTTTGTGATTATATCATGAGGGAACTTTAATGCGTTGCAATTTAATCATAAATGAAATAAAAGAATCATAAGTTTATTTATATAAATATCTTCTTTAAATTCCCTTTCTTATTGGTTTTGGTGCGAAAAATATTTTGATAGGTTTGCTGAGTTCAAGTTCGTTGGATGGTTTCACTGCCAAACAAATTGAAAGCTCAACCTGTGATGTTTCTGTCCAAATTCCATGTGATAGTAAAACGTTCGTTCTCAGTCGCCACGTGTTAGCTTCCAGTACTTCTTCACTTTCCGGCATAATCTTTTTCAAATCACGTCTACGAGGAACAACAATGTACACGTTTTGGTCTGGATATTTGATTTTTATTCTCAAGTCTTCACATTGATGATCTTGCAAATAAACAATTTCTGCTGTTAAAGGGAGAGCTGCAATTAATCCCGCTGTCACTTTAACAATATTGTCAACCGATGTTGAGTTGTCAGGTTCAATTATTTTTGCAGTGCACATTTTAATCTGTTTAGTAAAAATTTCTTATTTGTTAATCTCATTAAAGAATTAAAATTTTTCTTACTTCAAAATTGATTTCCATTGGATTTTGCCATAAATTTGCAGCTTGAACAATTTGAACAATTCCACGAGAAATGCGTCCAGGCTTTGGATCGACAACTGTATCAACAAAACTTAAAACCGATTCAGTGAATGAATCTAAAGGAAGACCTAAAAATTGAATTTTCATTCGTAACTTTCTTCATAAATTTTGTTTAATATTATCAAACCTGGATGAAGACGAAGAAATTTCTTAACATCATTCGCAATGTGTAAAAGCAACTGGCATGAAGATAAAGCTGATTGTGACTTATCTTTGACAACTAAAACCAAGTTTAATGCGCTAGCACGGAAACAAATTTGTTTCACGACCAGCAAATCATTAAGTGTCAAGTTAGAAAACAAATTTTGCAGCTGCAAACATTTGTAAATTAATTGTTGAAGCGATTCTCTTGAAGGTATTCGATGTGTCATGATGTTTGATTGAAGTTGTTCCATTAACAGTTGAGCACCTAAGAAGTCTCTCATAAAGTTTGCTGTGCCTGATAATCCAGGATCAATTGAAGCTAGACGATTAAGATTCTCTTGAGCGACAGTCAGAAGACCTTGTCGTGCCGTTTTTGAAAAATTTGTTGCTTTAATGTTTGCCACTAAAGTCTCTAAAAATTGTCTTGAGCCAGATGCACCTCCCAATGACACTTCCGATTGATTCCCACCAACCAAATGTGGAACAAAGTTTGGCATTGTATCACGTAAATAATCATAATGCTTCAAGATCGTCTCTGGGAAAAGACTCAACATTGGAGGAAGATTTTTCGCCGCATTAAACAGAAGAATTAGAACGCAAACGTCTGAAAATAGAATTGAAAATTAATTTAAAAAGAAATTTTAAGAATCAATTTAACTTACAAGTGGGATCTTCGACATCTTTCTCAGCACTGTCGAAGAATGGATGAACCTGTAAAAGCTGAGGCGTCAACGACATGCACAGTTCAGGATGTTTCGATCCAACTTTTTGAAGACATCCGTAAGCTGAAAGCTTGTCTTGAGGATATTTTGATAGAACGTCAAGAATCTTCTGTACAACCATTGTAAGACATGCTCGTGTTGAAACTTTACAAGCTCCAAACATAAGATGCAAACCTTCTCTGACTTCAGCAGAATAATCTTCGAGCGAACCGAGCATAACTTCAATTTGATCCTCACGCAGAATGATGTGCTGAGAAATTTTCGTCAAACTGTAAATCGCTTGCAATCTCACACTTTCGATTTCATCATTGAACATGTCGACGAGAAAATCTAACGAAAGTTCGGCAAATGGTGGGTTGATGAGAGCGAGTTGACATAAAGCATTCACACTTGCCATCCGAACTTCAAGAAATTCATCTTCAAGGCCTTGGACAAGAGCGCCACACGCTCCTGATTCAATGAGTGAAATTGAATCACTGTTGATGTATTCTTGTGGAGCATCGTCAGCCCATTTTCTTCCACTCGACCATTCACCGCTCGTGTAATTTTCTAAAGCACGCTCATGAGATGTTTTCTTTCTTCTCATATTACTCATCAACTTTTTATCTAAAGTTTGACAAAGAAATTCATTGTTGACTTGGCACATTCCCCCCAATAGTTTAGCTGCTTGTGCCCGCACCTGCACTGACAGATCACTCAAAGCAGAACAAATTTTTGCAAATGCATCGTCAATCAAACGAATTTCTGATTGTGAATCTGATACTTTGATGAGATGTTCTGGATGAGTTTGACTGAGAACAAAAATTAGTTGAATTGCTTCTTTGCGTCCACATTCATAATCGTCTTTCAATGCTTTCTCAGCGCGAGAATAAATCGAAGGAGGAAGTAAAATACTTTTGTAGGACATGTTCAGCAACGAGTTAATAGCTTGAGCTCTAATTCTTGCGTCTGAAGAATCCATGTAACATGATATCATTGTTACCAGCTCATTATCACCTTCATGTTTGTTTGCAAATGCTCCAATTGTTTGGATTGCATGGCGTTGAACGTTATGGTTGGTTGACGATATTTTCAATTTAGCAAACTCAATGATCTTCTTGGTAATATCGAAAGGAATTTGGTGCTTTTGTTGTTGACCAATGCGGCAAATGGAATTAAATCCTTGATTAATAACTTTTGACGATTCTTCCTTTTTAATCAACATAATTATCTCTTCAATAATTAGACATGCATCAATATCATGATCTAATACAAAGTCACTGAAGAGATAAAGAATTTTCATTCGAACAAAACCTTTTTCCTTTTGAAATAAGATGCTCAATGAATTTATAGCTTCTGTACCAACATCTTCCAAGTTCGGACAGTCAGAGATCTCTGTAAGTATTTGGAGTGATTCGTGACTACTTGAAGAAGTTTCCAAACGTTTTAAGAATATTTTTATTGATTTAGCAGAGCTTCTTGCGTGAATTTTTATTCTCTTTTTCTGAATTTCACTTTCAATCTGAAAAACAATTCAGGCTAATTTAAAGAAAATTTCATAACAACATATCAGAGATTTACTTACTTGTATCGTGCTACTTGGTTCGACATATTGTCGCTTTTGTACTAAGGACATCGTTTAAATTTTATTTTGTTAACTTTTTTCTCTATTTTCAGATTTTTTTTAAATTAGAAGAATTAAAGTTTAATTATTGCGGTTCTGAAGAGAAGATTTGCGGCAAGGGAAATGCTAACTTTTTAATACTCAAGAACATTTTGAATTCTCCTGTCTGCCTGACAAAAAGTGATTCATAACAAATTCTTTTGCAAATATTTAGGTAATTTGATAAAAAAATCAAAACTAAAATTTATTTAATCGATTTAAGAGATTCAAAGATCTTTATAGTGCAACGAAATCATGGAGTGGTTATTTGGTAAAAAGATGACACCTGACGAAATGCTCCGAAAGGTAAAGTTTCTTATTTCAAATGAAAACAATTCTTAATTGTTGTTTTTTCCTACTTTAAAACAGAATCAACGAGCTTTAAACAAAGCGATGAGAGATCTCGATCGAGAACGAATGAAAATGGAGCAACAAGAAAAGAAAGTTATTGCAGACATTAAGAAATTAGCGAAAGACAATCAAATGGATGCAGTTAAAATTATGGCTAAGGATTTAGTGCGAACAAGACGTCAAAGCAGAAAGTTTATGTTAATGAAAGCGAACATTCAAGTGAGATTTATTCATTCAAAAGTCTCTCTCGTTGTTTCTAAAGGTTTTAATATTTGTGTTAGGCTGTATCACTTAAGATTCAAACTTTAAAATCCCAAAACACAATGGCCCAAGCTATGAAGGGAGTTAGCCGTGCTATGATGAATATGAATCGTCAAATGAACATGCCTCAAATACAACAAATACTTCACGAATTTGAAAAACAATCGGAAATAATGGACATGAAGGAAGAAATGATTAACGATGCTATCGATGATGCAATGGAAGATGAAGGTGATGAAGAGGAAAGCGATGCTGTAGTCTCTCAAGTTCTTGATGAATTGGGTTTGCAATTAACCGACCAACTTTCTGGACTTCCACAGGTATTTATTTATCGCAGTAAAAGAACTGAAGAAAATTTCTTTTCATATTTTATTATCCTCTAGGCATCCGGTTCATTGGCAGTTTCTGGAGTTAAGCAACCTCAAGCTGCAGCTGTAGGAGCTGGTGGGGCTGGTGGCTCGGGTGGAGCTGCAGCAGCAACTCCTACATCAGATGCCGATGATGAATTACAAAAGCGCCTTGATAATTTACGTCGAGAATAAATATTTATTTATTATTTTTTCCACAATTCTTTAATCTACAATTAACTTTTTTTTAAATAATGAAGGACATAATGTTCAAGTTTATTCTGCTTCAAAGCTGTTACAAGAACTTCCTTAGGTGAAGCTGATGAATCAACAAATAATTTAAAAATCACTAATAAAAAATTTATTTTAGCATTAATGATGTTGAAAAGTTTTTTTCCTTACTCGTTCAAGAAATCGTAAAAAACGAAAAAGGATTACAATTTACTTCTAGCTCCTTTAGGAATCACGTTAATAAAGCTTTTTGCCATTGGATAAAGCTGCTTCGATGATTTAAATCCTGTAAGATCAGAAATCTTTTGTTTCGTTGCTGTTAAAGGCTTTGCCTGTTCTTTTATGTCGGCTGTTTCGACATTACTTGGATCTGATAAAATGTGAATTGAAAGTGTTTGTCGCGAAGCTGCATCGGGTACGATGAATAACTGTAACAACATAAAATAAATTGCAATGCAGTATTTCTTACATTAATTCAAACATTACCTTATAATATTCTAAAACTTGTTCCTTCGTAATCGAACTCATAATTTCAACCTCTTTCTCTGACCTATCGAAGTGATATTGTTGTAATGAAATTTCATTCATGTAATGTGAATATTGTGATGATAATCTTTTAGGTTTCTCAAGCTTTTGAGCTTTAAGTGCTTCCTTGTGCCTTTCAAATTCTTCCAAACTCATTTGATCAATTTCAGTCTAATGGAAAAGGAAACAGAAATGAAATCTGATCAAATTAAGGGAATTTATTAGAAATATGTAACTTACGATCATAAGATTTAAGAAATTTTCGATTCTTGATTCAACAAACTCGGGATGTTTAGTTGACTGAACAAGAATTCTCAACCCTTTAGCTCCATTTGCTTTTCTCACACCTTAAGCAAAGGGAAAAGTGTGCAAATATTAAAGATTAATAATCAATCAAGGAAACTCTACCAACAAACCTGAGAAAACAATATATCCAAGCTGTTCTTGAGTTCTTAATATGTTATAACAAGGCTCACTCATTATTTGTGACACCAAATCGAGGAAAACGTTTGAATTGTCTTCCTGAACTCCACACTGAAGATATAAACTTGCACAACCTGCTTTGTGAAATTCATTTGTGCATTCAAACAAATACGATTCTCCTGAAAATAATCAAAGAAATGTATGCGATTTAAATCTTATAAATTCTTTTAATTAACTTACTTTCGTTGAGCTTGTATTCCCTTTTCAATAATAACTGACGACTTAATTGTGGTAAGACATACGCATTTGTTTTCTTCAATTGGTTCTCAACAAGTGTTGAGAGTTCGAGAGCTTTTTCCTTATTAACATTTCCATAAATGAAACATTCAGCGTGCATTCGAGACATGACATCTGTGATAAAAGTTTTCAGACGATCAAACGTCACAACTGAGAGAGAGAAAGTTTGAATTCGTTGGAAAAATTTAAATAAATTTTCTATTCTTACGAGCCATGGCGTCAACAAGTTCTTTCTTTGTCCATGCTTGTTCTGTAAGAATGACAGCTAAATAATAAATTGCCAACTGGTACGGTTGTTCTGCGTTGAAATTCTTCAACCCTCTAATGTATTGTTCGCACATGATTCCAAATCGTTTCTCATCCACTTCAAAATTGAACATTTTATCGAGAATTGCTTCAAGGAAAATGTTTTGCTTCTCTGAATATCCATTAATAAGCATACTGATCCCATTGGTTGTATTAGAAATGGTCAATCTAAGACCAGCGAGCTCAGCAGAATAAAGAAATTCCGTCAAGGTATCTTTGAAAAGCTGAACAAAAAGATGTGTCAAATTGCAATTTAATGGATCGGTGTAAACAATTGGATTGCTGAAGTCGATGCCGATGAAATTTTTCGGCTTTAAAAATTCGGTGTCTTGTTTAAACCAAACTCTAATCAACGGTGTGTCATGAACTATTTCAGGATGTTTAACGTTATCATCTTCTATAGTTAAAAGAGAGAAGTTAGTAGGAATTAAAGGATTACGATCAGGAAGTCGCAGTTTATTGTTAATTCCACAATTCAGCCATCCCTTTGGAATGAAATAAAAAAAATTTGAAATATTTATTCAAAAATAAAATTTTTACACTTACATCAATAGCTGACTGCTCAATCTTTTCAAAACTATAAGAAGTTTTATACCAAGGCTCTGATTTCGTACAAATCTCTTTACAATTTTGACCCACAAGAATGATTCTTGCATTGTAAGGATTCAGACGTTCCATGACATTTTCAATCAATAACGGCTTCCATTCGGTAAGAAGATAATTAGCACTTAAAACTTCAGGCAACGGATAGACAAGCATGGAGTGCACAACATTAGACACAAGATTAAGAGGATTCTCTTTATCTTTAAAACGAAATTGCATCTCGTGCAACTTTACATATTCATCAAAAATCCATTTCTGTGGACCTTCACGTTTCAGCATATTCAAATATTGAAAAATTAATTTCAAAATCTCATCTACATAATTAATTCCCTGGAAAAACAAAATAAGTTTGCAAAAATCGAAAATTTAATAATTTTTCTTACTTCTTCAGTTAAATCGACCATAATTTCAAAGAAGCCAAAACCTTTTGCAGATGAACTCGCGCCACCAACTAAATTGTTGCACCACCCACGCGATTTCAATTCTGATAAAATTGATCCTGAACCTTCATGTCCCACTAAATGACTTATGTAGTGTTCTGGCTAAAAATACGTAACAACATTTAAAAATAAAAGTTAATCGCGTCCGATCAATCAAATTGATAAATTCATTATGTTCATCAATCAACTCACCCCACACCTGTAATGCTCATCAAGGTCGGGTATTTGGAATGAAATTGTCAAACTTCGTGAATCTTTAACAGGCACAATGCACAGCTTAATGGCTTTTTGATCTTCCAAGTAAATTTCATCACTCCACTTTGGCACTTCGACGTTCTTGTCTTCCACATCCGAGAAATATTTAAGAGTCATTTTTTCAAGTTCATCGAGCGATTCTTTCCCAAATATTGCTAAGTTCATTATATTTGACGAATACCAATTTTTGTGAAATTTAATTAATTCACTTCGAATGTCAATTCCCTTTTCTTTTGGTATGTCCAACAAGGTTTCTTTATTTCCAGTCCCAAACTTTGAATAAGGATGTTCGGGATTTGCAAGACTTTTATTCACTTGTCGTATGCGCCAAACATCAGTTGATAAGTTCTTTTCATGTTCCGAATTTACTGCATTGATTTCTCTCAAGGTCGCACTTTCTGTGAAAAGCGGCGCAAGGAAAAATTGTGAAAATCTATCCAAAGCTTCGTCAAGCTTTTCAGGCACAACATCGAAATAATATTTCGTTACATCTGGATAAGTGGCAGCATTAGATGTTCCTCCGTTTTTGCTTAGAAAGCTACTGTAGCCATTCTCGTCAGGATATTTCTTTGTACCTTAATTTGTTTAATTATAGATTAGTGATTACAAAATAAATAATTCAAGTTAATATTTTGGGTACCAAGAAAGAGCATATGCTCGCAAAAATGTGCTATGCCTGGAATCTCAGTGGGATCACTCATGTGACCAACTTCAACGCAAAGACATGCTGCAGATTTGTCTGTTGTAGCATCTGATACCAGAAGAACTTTCATTCCATTGGATAATTTTAATCCTCGATATAATCTTTTATCTTCCTGCGACTTTACGATGTCATCATATCGATTTAAATTATTTTCTATCATTTTAGGCGAAGACAAAGCACCATTGCTATTATTCTGTTCCACAGAAGTCCTCATGATTTGTGCTTTATATGACAATACGGAAAATTTTCTATTTTCTAATCCAAACAATCGTGCATAAGTTGGTTTCACTGGACATTCAGTTAACTTCCTATCAAAAATATGAAAAAAAATAATGAATTTATTTAATCACATTTAATATCATATAAGATATTATATCTAATTTTATCCACCTCAAAATAAAGCCTTGAGAAAAGCAAAACTTATAGCAGTTATTCATTAACTTTCACTTGGAAACTATCTGTTTAGTTTATTTATAATTGATAAAAAAATAAGTGACTTGAAAAAATATCAGTTCAAATTTTAATCTTAAAATATTCCCACGTCTCTCAATATTTCCAGCGGCAAAACTTAAAAAATTATGCAACTTAAATTGATCTGATTTATCTGAAAAATATTGCTTTTTCAGTGTACGGGATCTATTAAGTTGAAGAATAATGCTAAATGTGATGTTTTATTGAGGATTAAAAATTATTTTCTTTTCAATAGACAGTCTGACAACGTGTAGCTTTGTAAATAATATTTTCACATGGGAGAAAAAGTATACTTCCTGTGCATACCTTGGTGCATACTACTGAAATTTACGATTGCGATGTCTGAGTAAAGCTCACGCAAATAAAAAATTAGTTTATTGAAGTCCTTCCTTGTATATCTTACACAAAACACATAGTACACAAAATACAACAGTATTCTTAGCTTATATCATATGAAATTTTGAAATAAGTCATGGACAAACCCAGTTTTATGATAGAAGCTCAAAAGCAACAACTTTTGAGTTATCAATCCAAATTGAAGGGTATGATTAGATTTCATAACTTTTTTTAAGACAGAAATTTATGATTTATGAATTATTTTTAAGATGCTGCCGATGCTTATAAGAATCTATTGGAAGAGAAGGAAATTCTTAATGCCACAATATCAGCTTTTTCTGCTATAGATGAAAATCAAGAGCTTTCGAATGATAAATCGAGAATTGATGGAGCAACAAAGCAATTAATGAATTCTTTGGCAACATTGAGTGCTGAGAAGAGTCGAATGGAGGCTTCGTTTCAAGCTGACAAGAAATCCCTAAGGCAAGAACTTTTACAAAAAGATGCCAAAATTAATGAGCTTAAAGAAACTTTAAAACGAATGAAAACGCATCATCAGATGGAAACAGAAAGTTTCAAATTAAAACTCGTATCATGCGATCGAATGTTAACAGATGAACGACCTATAAAAGAAAATTTAGGCGCTGACAAAATCGTGAAAGAACTTAATCAAGAATTAGATGAAAGAAAAAAGGAGTTGGAAGATTATAAAAATGACAATCAATATCTGATGAAAGAAATAGAAAATCTGAAGAATCAACTCATGAGTGAGAAGTTAAAGACAAGAGAAATAAATGAGAAAAGTCGTCAACTTACCGCTCTTCATGAAGAAAAAGTGCAAATGATAAAAGAATTTAGTCAAAAATTAGATAATAGAGAAAAACAGTCAAAATTTTATAAAAATAGCAATCAAAATCTGATGGAAGAAATAAAAAATCTAAAGAAGCAACACATGGATACTCTCAAAACTGAAAAGCAGAAGGCTAAAAATGCAAATGAGAAATTTCTCCAACTTACTGATTTACACGAAGAAAAAGTACAAAACTTAGAATCACAATTGAATGAATTAAAACTCACTGTTGCTCGCTATCAAGAATTGCGTGAAAAAGATCAGAAAAGTATATACCACTTGAAAAACACAATTATACAGCTTAGTGGTGATATTGAAAATGTGTACAAGCAAACAAGCAAAGATTTCACTGACAATTTTATGAAAATAAAAAATATTGTAAGCGAACAATATTGTGCTATCGATAATAGCTTAAATGAAGTAGCTGTGATTGATAATAATGCCAATAATACTGCAACGAAAAAGTACAAAAAAATAGTTGATAATAACAAAACGAATGATAAAACAATGATCAATGCTACTAAAAAAACGTACAATAATGTGAACAGTAGAAGTATTGTAAATGGTTCAGCAGCCGTCAAAACGATTAAAAATACCGCGTCTGAGATGCAGTCAAACAATTCAATTCAGCCAAACCAGGAAAATTCCACACTGCTCAACGGCAGTAGAAAAGAGCGATCACTTCACTATTGTTCAATATGTCAGAGAGGATTTAGAGATAAATCTTCGCTTAAGTTTCACGCACGTATTCATCCATACACGCATGATGATGAAAAAACTTTTTCTTGTAATTTGTGTGGCAAAGCTTTTCGAGAAAAATTTCATTTGACGAATCATCACAAGACGCACTCACAAAACAATTCCCCGTCCTAATAAGACCAATTTGATGTTGAATCTTTTTCTTACCTTTGAGTTAAATTGCCAAGAAATTATTGTTCCTTAAAAAGTGATTATTGTTATCTGAAGACTGATAAAGTTTAAAAACTTGGTTGTTAAGCTACACAAAATAAGTATCTAAATAAATAAATCATCAAGTTTTAAAGAATAATGGCTCTTTTGGAATAAAATAAATTGTTTTTGAAATTAAATCACATTTATATGATTAAGATAGAAAAAAATTGATTTGTTATCTATTTAGGCAGTTTTAAAATTGTTTTATTTTCATTAGACAGTCCGACAGCATGTAGCTTTGTAAATTATTTCTCGATATGAGAGGTAACCAATTAAAGACCACTCAGACTTTTTGGAAAATAACTTAAACAGTATTCAGTTTGTATATAAACTTTTAATGTAAATTATGGACAAACCCGAGTCTATTATAGAAGCTCAAAAGGAACAAATAGTGAGATATCAATCTCGATTGAAGGGTATGATTAGATTTAATAATTTAATTTATGATAGAAATTTGTCATTTATGAACTTTCAGATGTTGTCAGTGCTTATAAGAGTCTTCTTAAAGAAAAAGAGGCTCTTGATGCCTCAATATCAGTTTTATCTTCGTCTGCCAATGAAAATCAAGAGCTTTCGAATGATAAATCGAAAATTGATGACGCCACAAAGCAACTAATGAATTCTTTGGCAACATTGAGTTCTGAGAAGAGTCGAATGGAGGCTTCGTTTCAAGCAGACAAGAAATCCCTAAGGCAAGAACTTTCACAAAAAGATTCCAAAATTAATGAGCTGAAAGAAACTCTAAAAAACTTAACAATGTCTCTTCAAATGGAAAAAGAAAGTTTCAAATCCAAACTCGTATCATACGATCGAATGTTAACAGATGAACGACATTTAAAAGAAAATTTGGAAACTCAACTAAAACAACTTAAAACTCAGTTCTCTTTAACATCTAACGCTGACAAAATCATGAAAGAACTTAATCAAGAGTTATCCGATACTAAAAGGAAGTTAAAAGCTTATGAAAATAACAATCAAAATCTGATGAAAAATGATTCAACTTCTTTACAATTGCTTCACGAAGAAAAAGAGAATCTGAAAAAGCAACACATGGATAATCTCATGACTGAAAAGCTAAAGACAAGGGAAGCAAATGACAAAAGTCGCCAACTTACCGCTCTACATGAAGAAAGAGTGCAAAGTTTAGAATCGCGATTAAGTGAATTATCACTCAGTGTTGCTCGCTATCACAATTTGCGCGAACAGGATCAGAAAAATATATTTCACTTGAAAGACACGATTTCTCAGCTTACCCGTGATTCCGAAAATGTAGTCGCAACTGACACTAAACAGAAAAACTTTTCCAACATTCAAGTGATTATGGATGAATTGGATATGTTGAAACATTTACTGATTTACGAAAATACTAAACTTGATAACCCCATCGACTTATCACTTGTGCTATCAGTTCCTACATCGTCTTCTGAAGAAGCAACAGTTAGTTATGAGAAATTTCAAATGTACAAAAAAGAAAATGATAAAGTGAAGTCAGAAAATGAAGTTTTAAAAGCAAAAATAATTGAAAATAATGTTCATATTGCGACACTTCAAGAGAAAATTGAAGTTCTTAATCAAAATCTTGATGATCTTGATAAAGAAGTTAAAAATAAATCAATCGAGATAAACAATGTTGTCAAAACTGAGAAGAGTAAATGGCGTGAGATTATCAATCAAATGGAAAGTGAACATCGCTCAAAGGTATCCCAATTAGAACAGCAACTTCAGAAGCAACGCGAACGTTCACTAATTCTTCTTGAAGAGAAAGAAAACGAAATTAAAACATTGAAAACTTCAAATGAATTATTCATTCCTAAACATAACTCATTTTCTTATCTTCAATTTAATCTCTCCGATAAAGACAGTTCCGAAACAGAGAAAAATGTTGAAAGAAAAATCAGTTCTTCAACTCAAAATCTGCCTGAAACTCATATGATTTATTATTCGAATGAATTAGCAAGAAAAGACATAGAATTATCAACTACACGAAAAGCTAAACGAGAAGCTGAAGACTTAATCAGACAAACATTAAAAGAAAAGATTATGATTCAGGAAGAACTCAGTGAGAGGATTAAGCAGTTGGAATTGGAAGTTCATAAGTAAGAATATTTACAAGTTTCTTAAGAAAATAATTGAAATCTTTCTTTCTTTTCAAGATTGGAACGTTCGAAATCACGGGAAAGTGCAAATCTTGAGTATTTGAAAAATGTCACTTTAAGTTTCTTGTTGACTTCTGATCCGGAATCAAGAAAGAAGATGCTTAATGCGATCACTGCTGTGTTGAAATTTGACGAAAGTGAAATAGCTCAAATCAGCATTCTTTCTTCTAAGAAGAAATAGAAAATCTTTTATTAAGACATCACTAATTGTATGTAAATCAAATCCTGTGAAGATTAAAATTTAAATAAAGTTATGCATTTGTCACATATTTTATTAACTAAAAACCCATTACGGGAAATTTATCTAAATGATCTTTTAAGACATGAGGGAAAACAGAGAGAAACTTAAAACGAGATCCCATTTTTTGTGGATTAATTAACATATCTAAGCCTGTCTTTAAATTTTCGATTTCGCTTTCTTCACAATTCTCAAGCAGCTTTTCTAGACGAACATCTGCTCCCATTCTTTTCAGAAATGTTCCTTGTTCAACGGGACCAAAAGCAATTACTTTATCATCAGTTTGTAAAATGTTTTTCAAATTTTTAAAGTCAACATCAGCTGTGATGTCAGCTGATCCAGGTTCATGAAGAGCATCACAAAGTTGATGATTTTTAAAAGCCTAAATTCGAAAGAAAAAGCAAAATTAGATGTAAAGGTTTATATATGTAAATAATAAATGAAAGCTCACTCTAAATGTATCTTCCTTCTCTCCTTCATGGCCATAATCCATTATCAGACCGATTCCTCCAAAACTCTCAATTCTTTCAGCAATTTGTTGTGCAATCAAATCAGATTGTAAAGAAATTTCGACATGATTTCGTTTCTCATTGGGCCTCATCGATGAGAATAATTTTGAAACTGGAGTTTCATTCCTTGATAAAACGTAACGAAACTTATTGACATCTGTTGGATCTTTATCGACAAGAATTTCTTTCCAACATGATCCATCTCTTTGAAGTTTGTGAATTGGAAGGACATCGAAAAACTCGTGTGCTAAGATTATGGAGAATTCTTTGGGAATATCTTCAATTCTGCGGTACCAAAATATTCGTACACCTCCAAGAGTTTCTCCTGTTTGATAGTATGGAAGTCCGCTTTCTTGATCCATTTTTGAGGAAGAATAACAAAGTTTTTGTGCTTGCATTGTACTTAAATAAGGACTCAATTCAACAAGATGAATTGTTAACTTTTTGCTGACTTTGAATTTATCAAAAACTCGCAAGAAGTCTTGTATTAGTGTAGCTCTTCCTGGGCCAAGTTCAATGATCTGCAGAGGAAGTGGTGATCCAATTTTCTGATATTCTGTGAGGCACCAAATAGCTATCATCTCACCAAATATTTGACCGATTTCTGGTGATGTTATAAAATCTCCTTTTTGACCAAAAACATCACGAGACATGTAGTAGCCACTTTCAGGATTTGTCAATATTTCTGTCATATATGAAGCAACTAGAAAGAAAGTAAAATATGTTAAAAAACTTTATAATTTCCTAATCATGAATATTTTAATTTTACCGGTTAATGGCCCAGACATTTCAATTTTTGTTTTCAGAATTTCTTTCAATGTAAACTTATTCAGTTTTTTGTCAATATAAGATTTGTTGACTAATGAATTTATCTGAGGTCGACTTATTGGTTTGTAAGAATAACTTCGATAGTTATTAATTGGACGAAGAAATGATACAGATCTTATACGACTAATAATCATTTTTAATATGTTTGAAAAAATTTCAATATTTTTGCAACAGCTGATGCTGAAAAAAGTAAACAAACTTGCAAGGGGAAATTAATGAGAGGATACTGTGTGGGAAGTGGAACGCACTCATACGATAATGTAATGAAAACTAAAATTGTTAAAAATTTCTGAATTTAGAAGATTAATATCTAATTCATATTTGTTTAAAGTTTGAAGTTCTTCATAATAAGATATTCTCAAGGAAATTCTTGACTCTTATGAGTAGTTATGAGTAGTTTATGTAGAATTTACAACGGACAAGTTGTTAAGCCTAACGGTTACTGTGAATTTAAATCAGACAATATTCTGCAACGGGCAGACAAACTAGTTTCAAGAATTTATTGTAAACATAACTTATGCATTAAAAAAAGGTAAGAATCTTATTTAATTCAGCAAAATAAGAAAGGAAACAAGCCTGAAATTAAAATTTATAAGCTTGCTCTTCCATATTTGATATCTCTTTCTGTATAGTTAACTAAAATTCATAACATGTTTGCCAATCGAAGTTTTCTGTTTACAATTTTTAGATGACCGAGAATAAGAAGTTCAATTAAAATTATTGCGAATTCTGTGATGAATAACGAATAAAATACTACACACAAACCGAATCAACTAGAATATTTGTAGAATTATGGCAACTGAGGATAATCGTTTGGTGGAGCAAATAAATACAGTAGAAATAATAAAGGATGAAAATAAAATCAAGTCGAAAACCAAAGAAACCGTCATCGATTTGCTTCCACAGCTCATAGCGAGTTGTTTAATGTATTTTCTTGTAATTCAAGCTGGCATTAGTATGTCGTTTTCTTCCGTGTTAATAACACAAATAGCTGACAATGGAGAGATAGAACTGAACACAAATTCTGCATCAATCATTGCAAGTATTTGGAGCTTGTCATTACCATTAGGAGCACTATCATCTGGCTTTCTCATGGATGGATTTGGACGAAGAAAAACAGGACTTTTTATTTGTTTTCCATTCACGATTTCATGGCTCATAATGAGTTTCGCTGAGAATGTAACAATGATTTATGTGGCGAGAATAATTTCTGGAATCACTGCCGGTCTAACGACCTGTTCAGTAGTTTATGTTGCAGAAATTAGTTCGAAAACTACAAGAAGTGGTCTTCTTTGTATGAATTCAGTTTGGGTATCTTTTGGGATTTTTCTAACATATTTCTTGAACTATTTTAATCTTCATTGGAGAACGATAGGCTACGTCTATGCTTTAATGTCATCACTTTGTTTTCTGGCTATTTTCGTTGTACCTGAATCACCGCAATGGTTGCTTGTATTTAATAAAAAGGAAAATGATGAAAGAAAGAGAGATCAAGTCAAGTCAACATTTTCTTGGCTGTACAGAAAGCAACAAGTGAGTGTCAATATTTAAGAATATTTAAGCAAATAAAATAATATTTTTTTATTTTCCTTTGTTTAGATTTCTGAAGTTCACTACAACGACTTGATAAGATCTAATGAAATAAGAGTCGTGGAAGCAGTTGATGAAAATGATACAAATTGGCTTAGAAATATCAAACGACCACAGGTGTACAAACCTTTTACGATTTTGTTCTTCTTATTCTTGTTACAACAGTTGTCTGGTGGATACGTGTTGATATTTTACACTTTAAACATATTTCGAAACCTTGGAGCGAAGTTCTTGAATAGTATAGATGAAAGAATGGCTTTAGTACTTGTTGGATCTATTCGGCTAGTTATGGCCATAATCGCTGCAGCACTCGCGCAGAAATGTAATCGAAAAATTTTACTTTATATATCTACGATGGGAATGGGAATTTTTGCATTCATTGCATCGTCTCAAATGCTAAATGTTGAAGACTCAGCGCATTCACTTTTTCTTCGTCATGACAACAATGTAACATCTGATTCTTTATCTTCATCATCAGCTAGTAATTACATTTTGCTGCTTTGCGTTCTGAGCTACATGTTGTTCGCATCTGTTGGAATTCTGATTATTCCATGGACTTTAATTTCTGAACTTTACTCGATTAAGTACAAGGCTACATTTGGAGGAACTTCAGTTGCAGTTGCTTACATTCTTATGTCGATTGTTTTAAAAATATTTCCTTTTGCGTTGGAAACTTTCAGTATTTCAATCATTTTCGCTATTTTCGGTGGAGTGAGCCTGACAACTGCAATTTTTATTTATTTCTATTTGCCAGAGACTCATCGTAAGACATTCGCTGAAATTGAACAAAGTTTTATGGGTGTTAAGGACAATTAAGGGACTTTTCTTTACCTTTGGTGATAACATGGAACTAAAGTGCACTCGTACAATGAAGATTTTAATTATTAAGTTTTTAAAGGAACAAACATTAAAATTAATTTTAATTTGCTAGAGTAGCAAGTTGTTAGAGAAAATGACTAAAACAGTAATAAAAAAGATATTTAAAAATTTCTCTTGCTTCATTATTTATACGTCCATCCCCAAGGAAATGTTTGAATCAAGTACCTATCTACATGAATTTTGAATAAGTATGAAAAAGGAAATTATATTTTAACTCTTTGTGATGTTGACATTGTTTCGTTTTAAACTTTTGGAATCATTTTTATCACACAGTTGGTTAATGTGTCGCTAAACGATATAAAAAAAAAAGAAAAAGAAGTCTCCATTAGTACTTGGAGAGCAACAGAACTAATGATGATGAGATAAAAATGCAAACAATAGCGAAAGCTGGGAAAAAAGAAAGTTAAATGACGTGCTTCCGTGATATCTCATGTCATTTCTATTTTATCATCATCATGATGTAGAATTGTCCAATTCAGACTCATAAGCCAGATGACTTTTTCATAGGTCAGTCACGACAGCAGCACATTACAGTAATTAATTTTCGCTTCGGATTGCTCAGGCGAGATTTTCTTTTTCTGCATTTGTACACTTTAGTTAATTTGTTTTTCATGAAGAGCTTTTCTCCATAAATAAATGAATAATTGTCTATCTTGCGAAAGAGTTCGCTACCCTTTTTGACTCAGTGCAACAACAAGCTTAACTGACCATCGAAGATTAAAGATGTTTTCATTTTAGCTTTTTCGACTGTCTCAACTTCATCTTAAAGAGAAATAAATTGACAAGTTGAGTGATATTGTGACAAATTTAGAGATTTTTTTGAATATGTCAGACATAATGAAGATATGTCAGACATCAGAACAAGGGAAGGAATAAATAGAAATATGCTTTGATGTTCTTGAAGCTTAAATCTTACTCTGTTGCTAATAGAAATCTTCGATATGAAGAAGAACTTCAAAATAATTTTTAATTAATGAGTCTAAGAATTTTTCCTTCCATTTTCATAGCAAAAATGGTAAAATGGAATAAAACATTAATTCAGTACATTTCTGTAAGGCATGCTTTAATCATATGACAACCACATCACCTTCCGCTTTAACATGTTCATTTCAGAATTCACAAATTGACAAAGGAAAGAGATTAAAATTAAATTAGTTGCACAAAACTGTGCATGATATTAGCAAAAGGAAGAATGTTTTGCAGTAAGTTTCTGTTCTTTGAATTTTCTGCATATCAAGGGAGTCATCATATGCGCTTGAGAAATGATGAAGAACTAAAAATATAATACGAATGCTTGTTAAATTTTCCATTCAATCTTTTCTCTGAAACCTCTTTACCAGATGCTCCTGAAAATTTAAAATTTATAAAAGAAAATTCTTTGTAAAGAGCTTGCACATGATGAGATGGAGTTTGTTTTCCATTTCCCATGAGTTGTCAACAATGTAGAGCATGATTTGAAAATATTCACAGTTATGCTTTGACTAAAAAGGCAGAAAATTCCCATTTTATATCGTAAATGACAAAACTTTATCATTCATTTAGTTGTAAAAAAAAATCAGAGAATTAAACAAATTTGAATTTTTATGGTTTTTTTTATTCGCCAAGAGGATTACGAGCTCGTTGCTTTGTGTAAATATATAGCGTTGGAACAAGAAATGAAAAAAATTAGTGAGCCCTAAAGCTCGCAATTCTGCAGCCATTGATTGTGAGTTTTTGCTCTCTGTATTTGAAAATGTTTTAGCTTTCTGTCCGCCATTCAACAGTGAAAATAAATAAAAATTTGTGTACATTGTTGGAAATGACTTTCAGACTTCACAACAGAGCTGAAAATAATGGCATCACCATATTGTAGCTTTTGACTCGCAGCCCCTAGCGAATTTTCACTTGATCATATTGCACTATTTAAAGATCAAAGTAAACAACATGCACTCATATTAATGCTTGTTCAAATGAAGCACGGAAAAGGTTTTTTCACTCTCGAATGTTTTAAACAAAACTTAAGTTATATTTTATCGAAGTTAGACTGGAACAGAAACAAAAATCATTTCTCATCTATGAAACCTTTATGAGTTTTGCCTAGGAAAAATACTGAAATATATTCATAACTTTCCGCAATATCTCCTTCGGGAGTAATTTCACAATCTCTTCTCACTCTGGTGCGCTGTAATATTTTGAACTTGTATGGTAAACCAAAATATAAAATCACCAAACTCTCTTGTGGATTGCAATCTTGTGGAGGGTGTCGTAGTGACTTCTGCTACTTTTGGTATCACATGGAGTTCCGCAAAAATGCGTGAAGAAATATGAGTCATTTGGGAGGTGTTCACACGGCGTGAATTTATCTCTGATTGCTTTTCGCACTCAACAAAAAAATGGATAAAAAATTTCAAAACGCATTAAATGGATTTAAAATTTCAGGAAAGTTTTTTTCGTTTCAATGAAATGTAAAAGTTTTTCAACAGTGAAGTTAGGAATGGAAAAAGTTTGTTTTCTTCTACTTAGGTACCAAAACCAAATTTTCTGTTCTTTGAATACATCTCAGAGTATCTAAACATTTCAAATGTTATGCATGAGATAAAGTGGAGTTCAGGGAGTTGGTAAATATATTTATGATGATAATTATGATCATGAAGTGTAAGAAATTTGAATATGATGGGAGAAGTTTAAGAATGTAAGTAAGATGAAGACAGAAGATAGAAAAAAAGTGTTCACAAGAAACCCATAAAAGTTTGATATATTGGAGAACTGAGTGTACTTATACGAGCTGTTAAGAACCTCGTTACTTTATTCCCAACTTATTCACCGTCAATAGAATTTAATCATTACACTAAATAGAGGCTTATGTTGTTTCTTAATTAACGAAATTATCAAGTTGCTTGTGTTTTCTTTAATTATTGAATGGAGATTGCTCGACAATTATCATATCCGGCAAAAGATCATAAAAGGATTTCATCGATAGCCTTTCAAAGCATCATAAAAGTCAATTTCCCTTAGTAAATAATTAAAAATCTCTTCTAGAGAGAAACAATGAAAAGCTTCTTCCTTCGTTGCTCACAGTCTGTGATCTCTGAAGCCTGATAAGGTTTTCAAAAAGCTATTTTCTTTGGAAGAATACGAATTACAGAAATTGTCGGAAGAATTAGGAAGCAGGGAAAATCAATAGCCGTGAAAATAAATGAAAAGAAAATAATCGCTTTAAGAGGGAAGAAGGAAAAGCAGATTCGGTGATGAATTTCACTAATTGGAAACTAAAGTGATTAAGTTCTCTTCTTATTTTCGTTTAATCAAACTACAACTTAATAAAGAAAGAGAAATTTTGTGTAAATTCAATGTGAGTGCTGGTAAAACTTTGTCTTTGAATTAAACATTTTAAACGTATAAGAAATCACGAAGTGAAGTTATCAGAAATTTTGCTTTTCATCGTGATGAAGCAAATGTTGAAAACATTTTAAACATTTTAACAAATTATAAGATGTAGAACTAGGTACATAAACATAAATCCTGAAAGCTTAGAATGTGTTGCAAAAACTGTAAGCAGCCGTCTACTTTTTCTTTTAATTTTTTGTCACAATTTACGAGGAAAATTTCATTTCTTAATTAAAATGATTAAAAATTTATGTTCAAGATAATTGACTATGTTAGATTAAATATTTTCCTTTCTTCAGGCTTGTTTTCGGCTTCAGGAAAATTTTTCTCTGGCAATCTTTAAGCAAATGCTTTCATTTTTCTAAAGCTCATTAAAAGTTTTTCACATTTTTGTCTCTTTTTTCACGCCGATAGGCATGTTCATTGTGGAAAAGTTTGAGTGAATATTTTTATGTAAGGAAAATGTCTTTTCGTAATCACACCATTGAACCCATTTCCACATGAAATTTATTTGCCGCTGATTACCAAAGTCGTACAATTTAATGGATAAATGACGCGAAAGCTGTACGTTCATTAATGGCGACGCGACATAAATTTTAAATTGTTCTTTAGTCTGCTATTCCTTCAACAAAAAAGAAAGTTTGAATTGTTTTACGCTGAGACATCTATTTATGTATAATTTCAAGTGACACAAATTTCAATCAACAATTGTCAACATAATTTAATGGAACAAAGGAAGGAGATGAAATCACGTAATGCATAATGTGAAGTTGAATTAATAAAGCTGAGAGTTTTTCATTATTTTCACCCTTCATTGTATTTAATTTCGTTTCCATCTCTTGGCGCTTTTGTTTACAGCAAACACATATTTCTTTTATGTCAACCCTCTTGTGTTCCTTAGAGATTGGTTTTTTTTATGAAAAAGCTGTTGCTTTCTTGCATTGCCTCCTCATCGATTTTCTGATTTCTGCAAAATCATCGTAACTTCAAAGAATAAAAAAGTAATCCAAGAAATGAGGAATCCCTGTCGATGTAGATTCTTAGGGCGGCGATCAGTTCGCCCATGCAATCTAATGGCAAGCATTTGGGTAATGTTCACCTTCCTTAAACATACTCAAAAAATACCTGTGGGAAATGACGTAAAAAAGCGCTTATGCAACGATGATGTCAGCACAAATTCACGATACGCTCACTTCATCTGACATAGAAATTTCATATTCACATCGTGTATTTTCATTTCCTAATTGAACTTTTCTCTCTTTTTGAGAAGCATTTTTACCCTTCTTTGCAATAAATATGTTCCAGCTAAATGGAAAAGTAGTTGAATAGGATTAAAAAGTTGGAAACGCCTGTAGAAAATGAAAAATCATTGCACTTCGTATCCCCATTCACCACCATACAGTAATTTATAACTTTTTGCTTCGTCTTCCTTTCAGGTGTATGATTCTTCAACGAAGCTGGATTCTTCTCTAATAAAATGATGATGCATTGACATCGAGAATAAAAATTGAACGTCATAAATTACAGCGCTTGTTGTTGTTGTTGTTCCATTTCTCATGGGAGACGGGATCCAATCTGGATAATGTTTCTCCTGTGAATTGGCTTTTTTTTTCGCTTGCCTTTTGCCTCAGATATCAAATTTTTCATTTTGCAATAGCTCAAGGCTGAAAAGTATGATTTAGCAATATGAGAGTTTCATGGCACTTTTCAAATATTTCCTACCAGTTAAAAGGCAATTTTTTACAACTTGAAGGAAGTTTCGCTTCCTTTCCTTTTCCCAATTTTAAAGAAATGAAAAATCTCAGATCGTTAATAAAAGATTGCTAAGTAATGAAAGGATCTCCATTAAGTCATTGAAAACAAAAAGTCATCAGTTTATTTATTTACTTCAATTAATTTAGCTTTCCATCATTGAAATGGTTCGTTATTGTTTTTGATTGTTCATGTGGAAAGTATTTTGTTCCACCAGGGAATTTCTATGTTCTCGTTCTAGAAAATTTTATTTGTCATCTTTGAAAAGTATTTCTTCTGATCAAGTGAAAGAATTTTCAAAGCTGCAGCTTTATTTTCTTCAGCTCTCTACATGATGTTTACATAAACCTCATACATGTTATGACATGCTGTTCAACGCATGTTGAATGACAAATAGTTTGGAAAACTATAAAACCTTCTCAAGTGTAGAATTGATTTGAGCATGAGCTTCAATATCAGTGAAATTCCAAAGGAGGGTCCTTTAAGGAGATTTCCGTACTGAAGTGGACACATAAATCCTCAGAAATCGGGGAACGTTATCATTGCCTAAGCACGAAACAGCACATACAGTATCAATATTCATGGATTTTTGTCGTAAAAAAGAAATTTATTTCGTTCGAGTCGTTACGTGACATAATTCTCTCGAGCACATTCCACACAACAGAAGACCTTTAATGTCTCTTTATCAGGAAAATCGCAATATTACCTTTTATGCTCGATTCATAAGTATTAATGTCTCTTGCTTACAAATATATTGATTACAGAGATCGGAAATTGTTTGATTAACAATAATAATTCCCACATCATGCTGGGCTTCCACAATTTTTCGCTTATGTTTTTGGCGTTCCATGAACATCTTTAGTTGGTTTCAGCACAAAGTTTAACAAAACTTTTGTAATTATGCTTGCTGGTTGCATGTCCAGTGGTTCGTTGGAACTATTCATACCAACGTTGGCTTATGCGATGCCCAAATCCTAACATGAAACAACAAGAAAAGTTTTTCGTGCGAAAATGTCGCCCAGACACAAATCCTTGAAAACTTTCACTTGAATAAAAAAATCAATTAAAAACTTTTTCCAATATTTAGTTTTCATATGTGCATTAGTTAGGAAATTTCGTATTTAAAATTTTATTTCGAGATTATTTGATTTCCTCAGCTATTGAAATATAAATGATTGTGAGAATTGTCAGCTTTGTATATTCATTTGATATTTGATAGCGTTTTACAATTCAATATTTACATCACAACAAACATTTGTTATTTTAGTAGATCTGTTCCATTTATTTCTCCCTTTCAGTGTACAATGTTCTGAATATTCCTTACATGAATGATTTCATTAATATCATTCGATATTATGTTTCCGTTGTCGTTTGAATCTCATGAGGTCTTCGCATTGAGCCAAAATTGTATCTTTGTTCAGAAAAACGCCAACAGATGAAGTAGAAACAGAGAAATTGTTTGCAAAATGTAAATTTCCATTTGATATTGGATTTCCAATTAAAATTCATAACCAGCAATAAATTTGTGAAAAGGTTTTTCCTTTTTCATACATTTTTCAAAGGCTTTGCATGAGCATTAACAATTCAGGTGAAAATAAATCTATTTTATCGATCAATTTCTTATGGAGAAATCATGTCAGCCTTTTGTTTTCTACTTTTAAAAGATTATCTGTAAAAGGTTTCAGTAAATGGACGTCTATTAAATATTAAGATGGTTAAGAGAAGTTTGAAATAACAAATCTGATGGCTCATGGTCTTCTTTCATTATCGCATAAATTAATCATGGTTTAAAAGCAAATGTTGAGAATTTAACTTTTGAACCATTAAATATGTTTATAAAACATACAAAATTAAACTTTTGCTACAGTAAAATGCAGAGCAGTAAAATTAAATTACAATTTTTTATTTTATTTTTCCTACACATATTCGTGGTTAATGAAAGTTTTCAACCAGAGATGAAATGAGAAACTCAACATGGAATTCAGCAACAGTTTAATGAACACTTATGTAAAATAGAAACTCATTTAGTTTCCAGAACATGTTCCAAGTTAATCTTTACATGGCTTACATTTTTAGAAATTGTAATTATCTAACAAAGTTTTTCCATCTTTGGTTTCTTTCTCATTCAGTTAATAAGTTTAGTCTACGCTCATTTTGCTTGTTGGAGCTTATCAGGTAAATTCAAGCTGAGAAGTTAGTTTGAAAATCTTATTTGAAGTTGGAAGAAGATCGATTCGGTTTTAGTTTCTTTATTAAGTAAACAATTATTGAAGATATCATTTACAAATTGATTTTAGGAATCCATTAAATGTGTATCTAGTTGTGGCTTTCTGGCCTTTATTAATTATAAAAACACATAAAATAATAGGAAATCTTATACTTCTTCTACTTTCAACATAAATCTACCAATCCTCGGTTATCGAAATAATTCAACAACTCAGTTAAATGCTTTCGGTATCGTTCATTGTTGTAAATTTTTTCCTTGAAGTTTTTTCCCTCTTCATTCTCTCCCAACAAGTTGTCGCTACTCGATTCTTTTATATTTTCTGCTAAACACATCGGCAAAGTGGCAATAGAATTCCATACTGCGAGAAAAGCGCGATCAAGAATGTCCAAATAAAGCCATTTTAAAGTCGGGATTGTTTTATTGTATCCCAAAACTTTTAAAGCATCGACCAAGTGTCCATGATAAATCTTCACAAAACCTTCAAAGTTTTGAAGTTTTGTTTCAGTTTCTGCTGATGTGAAAATTAGGTTCAACAAATCAATGGCTGGTGATGTAAATACACATTGTTGGAAATCAATAAACTGACAGTCTTTGACATTTCCATTGGAGTCATATTGAAACAGAATATTTGATATCCACATATCTCCATGATTCAGGCAACTGAATTCATCTGGCTTTGGCTTCATCGTGCGAATGAGCTCATCAAGTGTAAAGTCTCGCCAATTTTTCTTTAAATCAATTCATAATAAAGTTTATGTTTTTGGGATAATATGAATTGATTATATGTACCATTTTTTCAATAATTCTTTTATCGAGTGTTGGCCACTTGCTGAAAAACTCGTTAATAATCAAAGAGATGTTGAAATCATAAGATTGATCGAAAATCTCTTTCATATCACTATTGTAGATGCCACGAGAAAATTTCTCATCAAATGAACCATTCCTTTCACAGTGCACAGCGGACGCAGCATGAAATTGTGCGAGTTTTTTCAGAACAAATTCCATTTCTGGCTGTTTCAGTCCATCAGACTTTCGTGCTGTTTTAAAACCTTTGGATGTAATTTCTAAATAATTTGAGGATATTCGATTGTAAATTGTGATAATTTATTTACCTTTTGCGTTCATATCTTCAATGATTAAAATGTCTGTTGGTGTATATTTGACACCGATACATCTACGATAGAAAATATTTTAGAATGTATAAGTGAAGGTCATTTCGATGGCGGTATTTTTACTTTGGAGCAAATCCGATATCAAAGCCGATTTCATGGAAGATGTTCTCAAATTTATCCACATGTGTATACATTTCGATTTCCTTAGGAAAGATGCAAAACTTTTTTGTGAATTCTTCAGCAAAGCCATTGCCGATTGGCCTTGATTTAACAATGTATGATTTGTCATTGTTTGGGAAACTAAGCACTACCCGATAAATTTTAGAAGCAAAGTTTTCCCCTCTTTCACATGCATATTTTATTTTTCTAATAATGAAACTTTCAGTAAGTGATAAAGTGTCTCGAAAAAAATCTGAAGTCAACCATTCTGGCACTTCATCGGGCGTCACAGTTAAATCACTCATGCTTTCAATCAGTTTCTTCAGAGTGCTCAAAAATGACTGAATAACGTTAAAGTAACTTTAAAACTCAACCTAATATACGAACAGTTACTTGTATGATTTTATCAACACGAGATGCATCGAACACTAAACGAGTTTTTGCTAGGCACACAAAAATAAATATTAGATTTATAGCAAATAAAAATGACGTCTAATCTCAAGGCTACCTGCTAACATATCGGTTGTAAATATATAACCGTTAAAGATAAATCAAACCGTAAAGAATTGAACTTTAAAGCATTTTTGAAAACAATTGCACCGGTTTTTAATCCTAAATATTGTCTCGTTCATTCGTTTGGAATACGCCATTTAAAGATTGAACCCAAACAATCATTTCTACAATTGTGTGTGACACAGTTTGATAAAGAATAGCTTCTAGCGATTAGATAAACATTTATTTAGTGTGGTATTGCAACATTGAACGAGTGAACGTGACGTCAATGACCTCTTGACAGATGCGCTTACTTAATAATTTTTTATTTGTCATAAAATTAAACAATGAAAGTTTCTTCTTTCAAATGTTTGTTAAATTCACATATAATAGAGAGTTTAAAACATTTTAATTTCTTTTGCCAATAACAGTGTAATCACCAAGGTCATAATATTAAATGAACAAAACAATATTTTGTAGCTGTAAAAAGTTTATTAAAATTTTCGCGCCGCTTTCTTACACGCTTGAGGGTCGTGAAAATTTTCTCTTCACTTTGAAATGACCAAGTAATTGATTTTTCATGCTCAATTAACTGTAATTTTCCTCCCTTTTGTTTTTCCTGCTTTTGATGCCCAATTAAAAATGTTAATTTATTCATTTTGAAACAAAATGAAAATAACATCTTTAACTCGCGCTTTCCTTCAATATGCTACATCAAAGATTTCGTTTTGCTTTGAAAAGGTTTCAATTCGATTCGAAAAGCGTTGTTGGCGTTTTTTATGGGAAGAAGTGAAGAGGGTAGAACTGAACTCAGTAAGAATCAATTTACATTGACGAGCTGAAAATGCCTTCTAAGAATTCTTCATTTTGTGATCTTGCAAAATTTGCCACAAATCAAAACTTTCATTTCAACATCGAGAAAGGGTTTCGTTATATTTTTTTCCTTTTTTTCTCGCTCTGGGGTTAAAAATTTGATAATGACTTTTGTAGGATTCGCAATGGGAAAATGTAAAGGAAAAGTAAAAGTCTTATTGAAAAATAGAGTTAATGTCAATCAAATTTGATCCTGGGGAATTTAGTTTTCCCTGCTTTTTATTTCGTTTGCGTATTTCGAACGTGCCAGCTTGAAACGTTGAGGGTCGAAAGTGACACTAATTTGATGGTTTTTATTTTCAATTTTGCAGATTTCATGCTTAAGGGAGGTTAACTGGTGATTCAAAATGTTGATTGATTTCAATACTTCTTTTTCACAGACGATGATTTCAGAGAAGGAAAGATTTCTCTCAATTTAGATCATATTAATTTTTTTTATTTCTCAATCCACAGAACATTCATTTTTCTAATTAATTTTTCCGCTCAGCCGAAACTGTTTATCTAATAAATCTCAATTTATCTGAAATTAATTGGGTTTTTTTTCTTTTGCTTTTATCGTTTCCACCTTGCAAAGTAAAAGGAGAGAAAATCTCCTGTGAGGATGAAAGGGAATTAATGTTCTTAGTTCTTTATTTTCCTGCCGGAAAAGCAGCTTAAGATATTTTTCTTTCTTCATGTGCTTGGCCAATAATTAATTTTATTTACTCGCTCACAGTGTTCGAAGTTGAACAAAAGTAAGATTTATCACTGATTATTTTCCATATTGATTTACTTTTTTTCTATGTGCTTTGACTGAGAATATCTCCTGACAGTAGACATACAGAAAGTAATTACGAATCATGAGAATAAATTGTCTTCAGATCAACAGATTTCCTTAATTCCCCCTAAAACTAATGATTTTTTTTTACCTATATACGTTTTTATTAATTATTTATGTTTAAGTGACCTGTCAATTCATTTCAAGATAGGAATCTATGAAAATATGTGCAGGTTTATGTGTTGTTTTAAAGTGCAATGCCAATGCATAAAAAAGCTATAAAAGTTTATTAAAAAATTCTCGTAAAGCTTTAGGCATTTCACAAAAAGTATTTTTCAGAGTGAGTTTTATTTAATTTACAATGAAATTAAACATGAATTCATGCGAAAGGTAAATGAAACGGTTGCAGAACTTTAATCCACTTAATAGAGCCATTTAGAGGATTCAAACTTCCCAGCTGAATCTGTTGCTTGTACTAAATATTATTTCTACCTTTCTCTCCATTATTCATGTCCGAAATCATAAATTTCCTTTTCTGTGCTCCATCCGGTGCATTCGAGTGCATAAATGAAAAAATTTCAAATGCAATTTCCTCACATTTATTTTTTCCATATTTTAAGTTAATCAAATTTCTGTGGTGCATGATTCGGGCTTGTTAGTGTGGTGAAGTTTCAGTAGAAAGCTTCCTTTTCTATGCCATTGCCTGTCATCGACAATGAAGTAAATGGTTCAATGTGCAGAAAGCAAGGTAGAAAACCTTATTCCTCATAAAATATTATGATGATGGTGGCTAAGTACACTTTTAAAGTTAGTCATTTGATATTCCGTGGCTCAAGCTGTCTCTCCTTGTCTGAGCTGTTATGGTGAAGGGAAGCAAAAAAACGAGAACAATATGTAGAGAAAATACAAAAATGCAGTCTGCTTCTTAAATGTAAGAGATAAAAATGAACACGTATCAACTTCAGGTTTTAATGTGATCATGAAATGTGGCTTTGATGGTTCGTTACTTATTTGTTTATAAATATAAAACAAAAAAATTTTTCCAACGCTTTTGATGTCTTGTACTAAGTACTCGAACAATTTCATGAAATAACTTGCTTAACATAATTTTATTTTAATGAACAAAGTAAGTGAATTAAGATGAGAAGCAAATGCCGTAGGCAAATTGAAATATTTTCAAAAGTTTCTAAGTTCTTTTGAAATACTTGACTGACGAGCAGAAAGAATATTTTTAGGCCTTTCATGCTACTTATTGAGATTATTAATTTCTTATTTTTAATTTTAAGCATTACAAAAGCTTTTCAAAGAATTTTTTTCCCAATCTAAAACAATTTTGTTAAATATTCAAACATTTTCCCTGCGGCATTAATTTATTAATTGTTGAAAAACTGTTCCTTACTACGCTTCTAAACTTTTAATATTCTCTTCGTAACTGTGCAGCTTTGCTTATAAAAACTTTGTTCTATCTACCATGGGTTTTATAAAGTTAAAACATTCTTTTTTAACCAACAAAAGAAATTGATGTCGGAGTCCTACGTGATTTCGAATTTTCCTTTTTTCTCATCGTCTACGTTTCCCTTTGCTTTCCATCCCTGACGATAATCCATCGATAAGAAAATAGAAAACGTACGCATACACAAAGAGCATGTTTCCGAAATAAATTTTATTACGGAATGATTTAAATCTCCATTCTACTTACGCCTGAAGTTTCGTGTCTTTCTTATCTTGACTCACATTCGAAACCTCTTTTCCCCATTCACTCTCTCTCACTCTCTGTTTCGTTCTGCCTTCGATCGTTTGCTTATTCGAGCTCTAAATAAATGTCAAAAATTGTAACATTTGGAAAATTCAATTAAAAACTTTTCTAGCTATGAAGATTTTTCTTCATTTTTTTTTCTTTATTCTTTTCCCCTTCTCAACTACTCTTAGCTTTTATCTTTTCCGACGAAACGGAATGAAATAAAATTACTTCGGGATTTATTGACATTCCGATAGCGTCGAAAACTTCTCATACGTTGTCTACGTGCTAAACTGGTTCTGTTTCCGCGACTGTGCTTCATTTTCCTCCAGTTTGATTTGTGAATTTTCAATTTGTGCTCTCGTGAAAACTTTTGTCTCTAGGATGTTCGGAAACACCTGAAAATTTATTTTCGCTGAACTTTTCTCAAGCACTACAATGGAAAACATTTATACTTGTTGCAGCATGCTGATGCCTGACTTCAAATAGTTTCTTTAGTTTTGATATTTTTGCTTTAAGGATTAAGGCTGACTAGTTAGGTGTGCAAAAATATCTCATAAATCATAACTTCGACTTTAGGAAGGCAATAACAAAAGCTTAAAGGTTTTAATACTTAAATCGACATTGTTTATGAGCGGTCTTGGTGCGACGCCTTTGCATAGTTAGTTAGACGAAGGAAACAAGAAAAATTGAAGGCAAACAACGGAAGAAATTTATGTATCAATAACGAGAGATGTTTGAAGTTAATTACTCCTTCCCAATGGCAGTTGCCGAACCCCACAAAACCCTCTTCTTCTATAAGTCATTCAAGCCAATATCCGATTGAAATTACACAGTTTCCTTTATCGGGGAATAACTAAGAAGTCTTCCATCCAACATTCGTTCAAAAGCGAAAGGGTTTTATTGAAGCAGATATCAAATTGACTTTAATTAGATGATTTGTGAGCTAATTTCCCATCATCGGAAAATATCAAGAAGGATTGCCAAGTCGTGGGGCAATCTGGTAGAAACGGAGCGTAATTGTAATTCAATATGCTTCCCAGCATTGAAACGTTTTATCAGAATGATGAAGTACCTTAGAATGTGTACGTTTTATATATTGAAATGACTTAAGACATATCTATTAGAAAAAATGAGCGTGAGATAAATAAAAGTGTCTGTTCATGCAATCATTTGCCAAATTAAAGATTTTATAATCTTTAAATGGTTCACGAGTGAACAGATGGTGCCTGAAGAAACCGCTTTAAAATAAATTCAAAAAGTTTATCATAAATATTCTTAATATCTAACAATAAATTTGTAATTTCTGCAGATTAATATTATCTAAAAGAATTCAGTTCTGCCAGTTTGTTAAAATTAAAGCATACATAAGTATTCAACATAAATTTAAAGAAATTCTTGCAATGGCGCCACAAACCTAAAGTTTTTCTTACACATTTGTTTCGCAAATGTATCTTAAAGATATTTCCCAAAATGCTGCAAACTGCTAGCTGAACAAAAATGTTATTTTTAAATGAGAGAATTATTTAAAATTTGATTCCATAGCTTTCCAAGCGAGAGGCAGATATCACCACCCACACACTCTCTTAGCATTGGAACAGCCTGGGAAATCTGGCACAAGAGAAAAATAACAAAATTTATTTTCCAGACTGGAAGAAAACTCTCAATTGCTGAGAGAAAAATGTTGAGAAAAATGAATGCATATGAGACGAGGGAGAAAAAGAAAATCCTTTGCAAACAACGATGAATAAGAAAAAGCAAATGAACTTCGAGGAAAATTTACCAGAAACATGACGCTTCGGGCACTAATTCGACTTTGATTTTCTTCCGTCTAATCAATTTTATCGATTTATGCTTTTTTCATGAGGTATTTGAGTAATAAAACAGTCAAGAAAACCGAGTTCAATCAAAGTTCACTCTCGTTCTGAAACTTTTGTTCATTTTTTGTTTCTAGCTAGAAACTTATTTGTCTCGAAAGTTTTTTTTACATAGCGTCATTGCTGAGAAGGGTAGAAAATCATTTATGCTTTGTTTGAACGACAAGACGAAACCAGTAGAAGTGAAACTTTCTTTCCTTCGTGCATGTATCAAGCTTTATTTTCTCAAGTAACAAGCTTGAAACTTATCATGTTGACTTACAATATCAAACTTTCATAAAACAATTTCTTTCCTTCCATCTCACCGCAACTTTACGACGAATAGGAAAAGCATTTGCATTTGTCGTTTTCCTTTTGAAAATCGTTCCAATAAATATTTTATTTATATTCTTAACCGTTATTACATTTGTTTCCTTGTTTTTTCCATAACAAATGTTATAGTTTCTTAGCATAAGTTTCTCATCTCTATCACTGCTCGTAGCACATTTCAAACTCAATGTAATCACATAAAATAAATAAGATATGAAGGAATTTACCGAGTATGAGACTCTCGAGATTGAATTGATTTTTATTTTCCTTGATAACATCGAAATACTGACATAACAAGTCGTGCATGCACATAGGGTAAAGGAAAACTTTTCTTCTTCTCTAAAACCTCGAGTCAGCTTTTCTAAACCTCATTTTTTTTTAATTGGTCCTAAACCTCCCTAACATTCTAATGATATAATAATGAGTTAGATAATTAGTTTAATACTTTTAGCTGCGGCAGAATATCCTTGGAGAAAAGAACATACTCGTATATAACTCTAACTCACCTTCTTTAAACTTTTATTTAAAATCGATTTTTTTTTCTTACTTATCTCACAGTTCACTGTTTAATTAAATCATGAATGTTTTAGTTTCTGACTAAAGAAGACTTCCACACAAGCAAAGTTCATTCGAAAGTCAAACTTTAAAGTCTCTTTTGATGGGAGGAGGGAAAATTTTCTCATAATGAGATTTTCAGCACTTGAAAACAAAAATCTTATTACACAATTCGTTGATTGTTTGCCAAGGAATTAATTTGTAAGTTTATTCTTCAAATCGCTTTCAGAAACTCCGAATGGGGTGTCGAGAGACAATTTGGAAGCAATTATTATTTTATCATTTCGAGTAATGAAGCAAAAAAAGTTGTTCAAAGAAAAACGAAGAATGGAATCGTTCAAAATGGAAGCAAACATTTGTGGGTAAATATTGACGAGTTTGTCACTCGTCACACGCCTTTCGAGTTATTTTAATGGATAAGTAGTTGGTAGACATTTTCATTCTCGAGACTTTGAATTTATATTTCTGAATAAAATTGTGGAAAAGTTTCCGACTTCAGAAATTAAATTAATTTAATCACAAAACTATCTTTTCCTCTTGAGTCTTCTTAATTCGAGAGTTTTAATTTGTTATAAACCAACTTCCTTTACATTCATTAATTCTCGAGGATTTTCTATTGTCAATTAACTCCCCACGAAGGTGATCGATTGAAATGAAACGCAAGGCAGATTTTGATTAATTTTTTAGTTGCTTTTAGAATTTATTATTAATGGCAAAGAAAAAAATATTCTTGTGAATCAAATCAACATGCAATCGAATGCCTGTAACGAAACACTAATGTACATAATTTTTCAATTTCTTCTCATATTGATCATTTGTCTTTTTGTCACATGAATGAGGCTTTTTGCGATTGTCTTTAATGTTGTCAAGTAGGATGGTTACTCACCTCCCATTTCTTTTCTTCGTTTCAAAAAGAAAAATCGAGTCGTTCTGATTGAACTAATGGCGCAACATTATTGATTTATTATACGATTTTCCTTATTAATATGTCACAATATATTTATTTGCTTCGGGAATAATGTAAATGATGATTTATGATCTCGAAATGGAGAAAGGAAGAATTCTTCGATCCTTTTTTTCCATACTCAATGGCAACAGCATTCAATGCCATCATCGAAGTTATAGCAACTGATTCTGAAGCCCAATCAATTTATTTGGCTTTCCAAACCTTTTTTTCTGCCGCTTCATTATCATCCATAATGGTTTTCTTATCAATGGAATGCTTTTTGCGTACATCTTATTCTTTCATGTCTTTCGATTTCCAATTGATCATTCGCAGTAATTTTTACGGAAGCAACGTATTTATTTGATCAAATATAAAATATTGAGAGGGCAGTGAAGAGTTCCGTTACGTCTATTATAATACAATATGGATTAAATTTCATTCGCAACTCGAGCGGAAGAACATGCCTAATGGCATAGAAATTTTTCCGGGCAACGTTCCACCATTGAGATTTAAGGGCAACAATCCACTCCAGGATTTAGATAATCAAACTGACTTCTCGCTCTACTCAATATATTTTGTTATTTTCAATAAATTTCTCTTGAAAGGCCTTTTTTCATCCCCTGCGTACATGCTTACTGGGTTTCGGCATGTTAATAATCGACTAGCTTTATCAACATTTGTTAATGTACAGTAAACAACCGAATCGAAGTTGAGTTTTCACATTTTTCCAACCCTATAAAGGTCCGACAAATAAAAAATCTCGCAATCATCGATCTTTTAGTCAAATATTTATGAAATTACTTTGATGGACAAGCAAAATTGCTGTGTAGACGGAGTTCAGTAGTTGACGTCTTGCTTACAAATTACGCTTGGAATAAATTTATGAAAAAATTTGTGTTAACAACGACCGACGGGAGATGACGACACTTTTAAAGAGCTGACGTTGAAATATAAGAAGAACAAGAGAATTTATGGATCTCAAACTTTTTTTTTGCTAGCACAAATAACACAGCTTAATGAAATTCTTCTAAATGAAAAACATAATCTCAGCTTTTTGACCTGTGCTTTGTAACAAATCATCGCTCACAATGAAAGCAGACGAAAAACATTTTTTTAAGAAATCCGAGTCAGCAATCGTCGATATGGATTGAAATTAAGTGATTGATGGCTTGTTAAGTTTCAAATTTGTTGGAATGAAAAAGGACGTGAGAAAAAAATGTTATTGATGCCGCTCGACATTTGTTTTTGGGATTTATCCGACGCGATTGACTATGGCATCCGTAAAAAATAAAATATAATCCCAACGAAATCTCACTTTGACATTAATTTGTTCTCAAGGGCCACTTCGTCGATGGCATGTTGGAAAAAACATTTCGTGATTAATGTTGTAGCTTTGTCATTCGCTTCAGAGTGCTTCAAGTGAAAATTGTTAAATGTGCTTTTATTTTCGCTTGAAAAATTAATGAACAACAATTTCGAGAAAAAGAATGAAAAATTATTTTTTTACATTTGACAAGTTAAAATGGACGACGATTGCTATAATTTGACAATGAAACAATGTGAAATCTATTTTGAAAGTGAGCACAAGGAGTTTCATAGACAGTCGACATAAGAAAAGGGAAACTCGTTAAAACATTTTACAACGGCGTTAATTTGAGATCTGATTGACAAGCTCCATGCTCTGCAGTTTCATTACTTAATGTGTTCAGAATATTGATGACTTTTAACTTGATTTGAAAACTATGCTGTCTGACAAAGTCATTTGTAAGTCTGACTTTCTTTAGTAAATATATTTTCTTAAACTTACTTCCCCTGAGAGAGCAAAGGCGAGAAAAACTTTAAAGAGGTTTTGAAAGAACAGAAGTGTGCTGAAATAGAAATCCCGAAACAGCAGTTATGATGAAGAAAACTAATTAAGCTTGCAAATTTGCACATGCCATTGACACAACGCAAAGAATTGAAACCTCAGAACTGTTCAGAAATGTGCTTCCCTTCTGGGATGAACGAATAAAGACTCTTTTACTTATGCATGTACGTTTATATGGCAGATGCTGAAATCTCATTCATTCATTCAAAGTCTCACATCATGGCTGAAAATTTCGTAGAATGTACGATAAAGTGTTGGAATGAAATTTACTTTCTAAGAATAGCGTCATTAATTACATTTCCTCCTTTTTCAACTCGTGTGCTTTTAAAGTTGGAAACTTTTCATTCCATTTTGATATTAAATGGATATGAAAGACATGAATTTGGTTTGAAATAAATTTATTTGGAACGTTTTATAAATTCGACATTATTATATATACTGAATAATTTTGTGACAAATTACCAGCATAAATCTGAGCAATAAACTGAAGTTTTATTCAAATCCTTGCGTGGTTGAGCTAACGTTTGCAATAACTCAAAATTACTTCAATTAAACGCAAGTCGTGTATAGTTGTCAGGCGAAGTGAAATAAAATAAACGAAAATAAAATTCGGCGCTTAAATTATCAGCCCGAAAATTGTTTCGTTTCATAAAAAAAGCATTCCGATGTGCAACTTAGGATCATAAAAAAATCTCCGCTGTAAAAACAAAATAACCAAAAGCGAAAGAAAATATAAAATGACAGCAAGAGCTTGTGTATGTTCAATTTTATGTGGTAATTTCTTATCAAGGCAAACAGGTCAACAATAACATTGAATTGCAATAAATTCTGAAATAGCTCATCTGAAACGATCCGAAAAATAATGGCAAGGAAATGTTATGGAAGCTGATACAAAATGAAAAAAGGATAAGGCAGAAACTCAAATAGAAACCTGTTTATATAAAATATCACAAACTGTTGTTGAGACATTGAGACAGATACATATTTATCATTAAGTTATGTTCCTTTTTGCCCAAATATTTACTATACTGGCATCTTAGAACATTCATTTTTGTTTCAGTGATATTTTCATCTTAACAAGAAAAACATATTTTGAATCCTTTTTTAAGCCATTTGGACTAAAACTTTTCCAAATGTTTTCCCATTACATATAAAGGAAAAGAGCGACCATTCAATTTCAAAACTTTTATAATTCAATAACTTTATGACCCATGTTGAGACACATCTAAACAACATTTCATGCTTTTTGTTTTCCTCCCTTTTCGCATATCTCTACGAATTCAAACACTTTCATTGAAAATTTATGTTATATTTTTCCTTTTTCCCCCTTTTCGACTATCAATACTATTACAGTCATTATTACTTGCCTCCCTCGAATTTCCTTTCTATTTATCGTCGTCGTCAACACTTTATGGACAAATTTTTCTCATACTGTCAGTTATTTTTATGATTTTGTTGTTTTCCTTCGTTTGCTGGAATAGATTTCGATTTCCATTTGTTTGTTGAGCCTTGTAATGTTATCGACATCTTCATGTGCGTTCCAAAAGAATATTATAGAATCCAATCAAAAGTTTTTTGATTATTAAGAAAAGATGAAAAAACAGAAAATAAGTCTCCAAATGGAACTTTACAAATTTTCTTGTTCATGATTTTATCTCTTTAATCACGAAAAGAAATTTTTTTGCTAGAAAAGCAGAAATAAATATTTATGTAAAAAAATGTTGTGCTTTGCTTCTTGTACGGTTCATTACCACAAATGAAACTTCCATTTTTTCGATTTGTTTAATGCCAGCATTTCACTGAATTTGAGTATTGATTTATATAATTGAAACAGTCATTTACGGTTATTACTTGGCATGTTGTATTTAGTCTGTCAAGGGAAAGAAATATTTTATTTAGAATAAGATGTGCATCTGTTACCCTATTTGTACATTAATATAATCAACATCATCATTATAATCATCATAATTGAGTCGCTCAGACTTAATTGAGATGAAATGGTCTTTTTAATCCGCTTATGGGAGCCGTTCTAATACTTTACAGATAAAAGCTTTGATGTCGGTGAGACTTAAATACCTTCAGAACGTATAGATTAATGACAACGTCAATGATATTGAAAAGTTGGTAGACACGTTAATTAAAATTGAGATTTCCAATTCAGAAATGCGCACGTTCTCTTTGGTGCGGTATAAAACGATGATAGATTGACACAATTAATAATGGCCCGATATCGCAAACCATAGTTGGGGAACACATCTTTCAATGACTTTGAAACATGTGCGCAATTTATATAAATTGCTGTCATTCCAAGCGCTATGAAATGCATTTTCAAACTGTCTTGTAGTCTTGTAGATTCATGGCTCTTGTATATGACTCTATTACAAACTCACGATTTCCTTAAACACATGATTCAAACCAAGAGAGATTTAAAATCTTGACACATTTCAGTTTAATTCCAGAATTTCCACATTGCCATTGACGTCAGCTTTTAGAATATAGTTTTGCACTTTCAATGAACAGCTTTTCGGATGGTGATAGAAATTTAAAATTTATTATTTAGTTGTGGTTTAGAATTGTCAAAGGTTTTATCGAATCTTTTCAGAAAGTCAATTTTTATCCTAGTCATGTGCCAATTATAAAATGAATTTTGTGTGGTCGATATCAACAAAAATTAAAACTGACATAGGAAGAAATGTGTGATGAAACCACAGGTTTGGACATGTTTTATGTATTTCGTAATGTATAATAATTAGAGAAATGTTAAATCAGGTTGTTTGAAATGTATACGTAGAGGTGCACCTGACATCTTGACATCAGTAAACATCAAATTAAATTTGTTGTAATTCCGCTTTTCAAAAATTTTTGTAATCAAAAAGCATAAATGAGAAATAATTTTTTTTCACGTATGAATTGTTTATGCAATTGTCGTAATATGCAACTATTGTGACAAATGATGAAACCGCATATGTAATTAACGAATTTCGCTAAAATTTTCATTTTTCATTTATTTTCTGCTTTATTTGAGATTTTCGACACGTCAATAAGAAATTGAAACCTTTCTTGTGATTATTTCGATAGATTTCTCAAATAATTTATGAGATTAATTATACCACAAGATCAATTTTCATCATTAAATTTACCGATAACTCGAAGAGGGTTTTGTACATAGCATGAGTACGTAAACATTCATTTATCATTCTTCGAAACAGAACAGAGCAAATCCGATATAATTTTCTTTGGTATTTATTTATGAAAAGGTTGGAAGCGTGCATTACAATCAATGCAAACAGAATATCAGATGGATGAAAAATATGCATTTCGTTTCCATTGAGAATGAATTGAAATATACATTGCACGAATATATTGATTCATAATATTTTTTTATGTTTGCTGATGAAGATATCAAGTTTTTAGAGACGATGTTGATGTAAATCCAAACATGAATTTTTCCAATAAATTGAATTAATTCTTCATGTGAACTTCCCTTTGTTTACCCTTCTTTGCGCTTCTGTAGAGAAAAATCAAATCTGGATTTACTTTTTATCAAAATTTATATCAAACACTTTCGATACAATTCAAATGGAACTTTTTATATTTGTTTAGCTTAACAAAATGTCTTACGAAAATGTTCAAATCTGAATCTTTGCTCTCTTTAGATTTACAAGAATATTTTTAATGCATGAATGAGCTCCGTGTAAGCAGCTTCTGTTTGTTATCGCAAACCATAAAGCACACACAAATAAATGCCACAACATTCAACTGTGGTATAAAGTAAAAGAAAAGATTGAGAAAAGAAGCTTTCTTGTCACTCATGAAATTTTTCTTTCCACATGCATATTGAATGAGGAGTTCGCAATGTGTGTCGATCATGTCTCCCTTCAAAGATTTTTTATGTTTCGTTTCCATTTCATTTTTGCTTTTAACACATTGTTGGTGAAGTGGAATAAAATCAGACTTGAATATTCTTTTCCTCATAAAATTTTCACTCCATGCCAAATGTTTGAGGGATAAATGCGAAAGTGAAAGAATAACAACAGGTTTCTGTCATCGTCACAGCCATCAAACATCAGATTTCAATTTTGGTAAATGTCTGAATCGTGTTGTCAGTTGATGGAAAAACCTTCATGAGATCCGCTGAAGAAATGTTTTTCAACTTTTCATCTCCATTTTCGACGAGCACTTAATATTTTGTTTTCTTCCACTTAACTCCGGTTTCCTTGTTTTTCTTTCTTATCTTCTTCATGCTTATTTAAACACTAATTATGTTTCTTCTTTAACCTTGCCAAGTATCGATTTTCTCTTATAAAACTATTTTTAAACAACATTGCCGAGTGGAAATTTAAATACATAATAGAAAAATTATCTTGCTACTTACTTTTTAAAACTTTCTTTCCTCCACTCATTTTGTTATGTTTTGTTAGGTAGAAAGTTCTTCTTACAATTTTAATAAGTAAACAGAATTCAGCTGAATTGTAAAGCTCCGCAAATGATGTCTTGAATTATTCAAGTGGGAACATAAAGTGGATCAAAGCCACATTGAATTTTAATAAACTTTCAAAGAGGTGAACTTTGGTTACGACTTCTATAAGTTTGACTTGATCATTTATTTTGTTTTGAATGATGTCATTATTTAATTGAAAAAGTGTCAAGTTTCACTTAAAAGTCAATAACTTTTTCTATACTGCTGACTTAATGGAAAAGGAAAAGAGTTTCAATGTAAGCATGTGGGTCGATATCCAAGAAAGTTCATAGCGAATTGATTCTCAAAAAAGAATTTTCCCGAGACAATTCCACCAACATAATATCCTTTTCCATATTTAAATAGAGACCGTGCAAGGAAGAAATATTTTCATTGGACGCTTCAGAGCGTTCTGATACTTTAATATAAAGTTTTTACACACGCAACCCATTCAAAAAATTGTGAACTTTTTCAACATACTCAAATACTCAAGGAAAAGTTTGAGGTAGTTTTTCGAATAGCTTTCTAAGTTATGTCTTTGCATTGAAATAAAAACAGGCGAAATTTCCTTCTAGTCTAATTGAATTTTTAGAGCAAAATTTTATCATCTCTTAGGTAGAAAAAAATAACATAAAAAGAATCTTTTTCCAATTCTTTCTCATATCCCTGAGCTTCGTATGTCTTTACAGTTTTAATGCATACGAAATAAGGAGGAAAGCTGAGGAAAATTATGGCTTATGAAAAATAACTTTTTTAAATTATTCTTTTCATGCGACGTGTTTGGAATCGTTCAATGATTATTTTCACGATATCAAGAGCGCAGCTATAGTGTTGTGTTGACAGAATGTTCATAATAAGAAAAGCAGACCTAAAATCTTCAAGCATTCATTCTTATTTTTTTTTCATAACAACTTGGTTGGGATTTAGTATTTCATTGGCATTATATTTAAAGTTAATATGTTTCTATCCTTGGATGTTGAATGCAAGTAAAGACCTTCCAATTGCTATGAAAATATCTTCATATATTTTTTTATCATCTAGAGAAGGGAAAGAATGATTCTGCCACATATTTTCAGCATGATAAGCTGCTCTTACAAATTGTTCTGATAAATACCAGCAACAGCAGAAACATTTTATAACATAAAAGTCACATATTGTATAATTCAGCATTTTCCTACTCAAGAAATATTAATGCAATTTTTATGCAAAGGAAACAGAAAGACGTTAGTTATGCTTACTGCTTACATGATTTCGTGTAGATTGCAAGCTAACCGGAATAATTTAAAAATGTATTTTATATGTTGTTACTTCTAAAGTGTACTCAGAAGCAGAAAAGTTTTCCAACCATTCATCACTTTGTGACTTGTACTTTCTGAAATCAATTATTTAAAGTAATTAATTAATTATTTACACGTGAGTACTTAATTCAAATTATTCCACATGGTTTATTTATTAATCATTTTCAAAGTTTCTGAAAGTAACACGTGCGGTGGTGGTGAGAACAATTTATATCTAATTCGTATTGAATCTTAATAACAATTTTTTCTTATTTTCATAAAGCTGAAATTTATTCATAAGCATAAAACATATGCTTAGAGTATGTTAAATTTAAATTTAGTGAAAATACTTTCATAGATACTATTTTCAATTTAAATATTTAAAGGCATTTACCATTCTGTTCGGTTCTCTGCTGTGTTTACTTAGATGAGAAAAAAATGAAAAATTAAATCAACATTTCGTTATAGAGAAAAGAAGCGACGAACTAAAAAGCTCCTTAGGGATTTCTGGCAGTTTTCACTTGCAAGTGTTCAACATAAGGCGGAACAAAAGAGGCTTTTGTAGTTGGGATGCGGTTAGCTGTGAGTGAGATGAAAATTTACATAATCTCTTGTTTTTTTTTGTTAATTATACTTCAGGGCTTCTTCTACTTGTTTTCGTCAAGTGAATATTTGGTTAAGCAGTCAAAAGGAGAAGAGTTGAAGTTTTAAAACTTTACCAAGCTTCAATTGAACTTTATCGTAAAACTGGAGATCAGGGAATTTTATGAAAATAAAATTTATTCGATACTTGACCTAACATCACAACATCTACCAAAGTGTTCCATTTCTTTATGGTTGAAGGAGTAAGTTTATGAATTTAAAATGAAATGAATCGTAAAAATAGTATTATCAAAGGAATCGTAATGGATTTTTATTATGGTTTTAGTTTTTGTTCTTCTTCATCCAATTAAAATTTATCAGGTTTCTGGTGGAGCATTTCAGAAGAGTTGCAAAACATTTTATAGTTTAAAATTATTTCAAATTGTCTCTGAATAAAATCAGTGAAGAATCTTTATTGTCGCTGTAGGTATTCATAAGCCTTCTATGATAAATTGAATTGTTTAAGACTTAAAATAAGTTTTGCAATATTTTACTCATACATAAAGTTTACACCTCTCGCCCTCGTATCTGAACGGTTCCACTTCCATGCGAACGAATTCTAGTAGCAAAGTTTTGACATTTTTTAATGGCTTTTCGCTTCTTACAGCTTGCAAAAAGCGAAGAATTATTACGTCGAAAGTTGTTTCGGCTTTTTCTTTGTCAAGGGTGCATGGCAGTAAGAAAATTGAAAAATTCCGCCAAAACCACGAGACAACGGAAAATGAAATCTGGCAATTTTTCTTTTCTTATTCATTTTCTCCATCTCTGAATTTTTATTCTTCTTAACTTTCTCCATGATATCAGCAATTTTCATGCAACATTAACTTTAAATTTTTCTTTCATGCAAATTCCTTACGGTAGTAAACACTTGTTAGAATATTCATGAACATTCAGTGAAACTTTTTCTATATTTTGTTGCTGTCACTCTCGTATTTCCTTACATGTATTTTTATGGCATTTTTAGTCCGTGAATCGAAGCATAATTATAAGAAGGTATTTTAATTTTATGAACAATCTGACTCGTAAGTATCACTTCCTGTTATGTGTCATGTTATGTAGCCATTTCCGCTGAATAACTACGGCTATCAGGACATCGTTATAAAACTATAAAAAGAATTCATTGATTTTATTTAATGGCGTGGAAGGTGAACCATTTATCTGCATCACATGCTTTTACATTCGTACTTGTCTTACTATTCAAAATGACAGAATAAATTCCTTCTAAAACCTTTTAAGAGATGATATCTGCTTCTGAGAAATAAAACGAAGAGACAATTCAAGATTTTTATTCTTTTGAAGATATTTTTATGAAATCATAAATAAGAGAACGATTTTCATAAAGACGACAAAAATGTTTTGATAAAGAAATTTTTGAGGAAATATTTTATGAAACGATTTGATATTGACGAAATATGCTCTTAAGTTATGTTTATGACATAAAAAGATGAGGTCAAGAGCCTCGACAACAAACAACATCAAAAGTGAGGGTAGATATATGAAGAATAAAAGTAAAATCTGAATACATTTCCTCTTCTTTCAATTTTTTTCTTTTTTGTTATTAAAAAATTCCTAAAATGCTTCGTTTCGAACAGCAAACAATAAATCATTACGATGTTCCCTTAAAACAGATTATCATAATTTTTTTCCTGCCATTTCTTTCCCTCCCGGAAAGAAAAAGTAAAAGAAAAGAAAACATGAAAAAGCGAGCAATGTTTGAATAAGGAATTATAATAAAAATATCACAGTTAGAGTTGCAAAAACGAGAAGAATTTTCCAAACATTTGCTTCGCCTTTTCTTCAACAATTCACTCGCAGCTTCTTCTGGCAAAGAAAGCAAAGAGAGTCTTTTGAAAGTGGGATGGAATGGTGTAGTGAGTATAATACATCTTTTTGACATATTAATATAAGCATGAAAGTAGTTTGAGTTGGGATATGAAGCAGTAAAAAGAGGTGAAGTTATGTTTTCTTTGGAATAAATGATCTTATCTTAACTGAATGCAAAGTTTGTTCTGGATAGAATGTTAAAATAAAACGCAATATATTTTCACAACTATCTTTAGACGAAGAGGAGAAGCAAACATTATTCTAATGAACTGCTTCCGACTCTCAATAAACCGACTCCCACACTTGATATTGTTATGGCTTTAAGATAAATGATCATAGTCGTTATACATGCGCTCGTTTTTCTTTCGTCCTTACTAAACAACAGCTTGACCTTTATCATCGTTCGACTTGATTACCAATTAACTCCTTGTGTTCAGAATCTTTTCTATAAATATTTCTTATTTGTTTGTTGTGATGCCAAAGGGAAATCGCCTTATTTGCATGTTTCTCATATTCCCACAATACTTGAACATTTCGCTTACTAAAGTAACAATAATGGTTAATCCCAGCACTTTAAATAAAATGTTGAAGGGTAATTCAGGAGCTTAATCTCTTGAGAAAAATCCTCTGGCTCTGATTGCAACGCGAAACATGAATTTTTAATGTTACAAAGAGTAAGAGTTGTTGTTAGGGGTAACAACATAACATGGCTTAAAATTCGTTTCATTTTTCAACAAAATCTTTTCAAGTGAATTTTTAATACCAAGTGCTTTCACTTCTCACATTTCTACTTACTTACTTATCAAAAAGAAAAAGAAACAAAGAAAGCAAGAAAGAAAGCGTATTTATTTGTATATTTTCTTGAATTTCATCTCACATAACTAACCTTACGATACGCATTTAAACCGTTGCTTATCTTAATGCCGAATTGAGTGGAATATCATCTTCCAAATCAGCATTGCTGTTGCAAGCATCTCAGCCACTTGACATGGATTTAGAGTGTTGTTGTTCCAATAGACAATACGACACATAATTTCACAGGGTTGTGGATCACTTAATGCCTCTCACTTTCGCCATATCGCAGCTTTTTCTTCTTTTTTCTTTTTTTATTTTCGGGACTAACGAGACTTTCTTCGCTGTTGCATTAAACGAGGGTGGAATTTCTGCTAAACAATGGAAAAATAAATTCGGGGAAGAAAAATAACAAAATCATCCTCCCGTGTGCTTTTTCCCGTGATAAAAATTTGCATATTTTTCCCATTTATTTTCATTTAATTTTTTTTATTCTCTCGTTTTGTTGGATAAATATTTTCATGGTATGGCATCGGGGTCGAAATCGGTGCGTCTGATGTTAATTTTGTTTTTCTTCTTCGTTCCATGCGTTGTTCGTCTTCACTGAGGGAGAGAAACTGTTATCAGTGAAAGAACGCACATAAAAGTGGAATTTCATAGGAAATGATAAAGTCTTCGGATGTTGGTAGCAGAATTAAAAGTTAAATAAACAAGTTAATTAAGTTTAAATTCAGTAAGTCACTCTTTGATCAACGTTCAGCCATGATGATAACTATTATGTGGATAAAATATGAAAATTAAGTTACTCATCTCGAAACCCTTCCATTATTCAACTCAACGCGAATACATTATGGTAATTTGCCTCTGGTATTAATCAACAGAAACAGGATTAAAGTAACTGCTGTAAACTAAATTTAGATTACAAAATTGTAATTATCTTGTCAGCCAAGCCCAGCCTCAGTCAATCTTTCCAATGATAATGAAGAATGACAAAAACCTTTTTTACCAATTTACGTATCCAATTGTGCTGATTATCACGTGTGAAGTTTTAATGACTTAGATTTAAGAGGTAAATTTACTTGCTTATGAAATGTTAAACATACACTGAATAATTGATGCTTATGGTTTGAAAACAATCGAATTGTATGTAAAATATTTTGTAGCCAATTTATGGGTTGTAATTTTCCCCCTTTCACTCCAAAAAAAATCATTATTTCGATCCATAGAGGGTTGAGATTGAATTACATCAAAATTTGAAAAGGCCCCTTTCAATTTTCCAACTCAAGAGATGAGAATACAATGCGAAATAAAAAATGGATACAAGTGGCAGAGGAAGTGGAAGAGTAAACGAGTACATAAAAAATATTACCATAGTGATAATTCAAAGCACGAAAAGCTATCAAAGAAAATCATTTAGAATCTAACTTGGTATCTAACTTGGTATCTATAAAGAGAAATGAATAAATATTGAAATGTTTTAAGTTTAGATAAAATTTTCATTTATTATTGGAATTTTATCAATAAACAAAGAACGAAATATTTATAAGTATCATAGACTTGATCATAGATATGTTTCGTAATGATTATTGTTTACCAAATAAACAACGAATTATACTCAAGAGATTTCATTCATCAGATAAATTTTCGTGAATGCCGAAAATATATTTTGCCTTATTTAAGTAGAACACAAATTTGAATTTTGCTCCACTCAGTATTCCACTTAAATTTGCATTTTAAAGTATTTACTCGTTGCTGTCTTTCGACATTTACAAATTGTGTATAAATAAGGATAAAGTTGCATTTCTTATTCCGCTTAGATACATTCTGCAATATTTTGTTTTAAATTAAGGATCGTGACCAGAGTTACAAAAATCGCTGCATTTAAGGTTGTTACATAAGCAGTTGTTGGATTCCGACTATAAAGATTTTGGTTGTCTTAAAGTGAAGAACTATTTCCTTTCGCAGACACTTCAATATGAAATCATTTATCAAAAGTTTTAGTTGCATACGAGAAATGTCAAAAAATGGAATAAAATAAAGTTTGATCCAAACAAAAAAAAATGCATTTGAAATCCATTTTTCAAAATGACAGATTTTAAATTAAAGTTCTGAAAGCACACATGTGAATCTATGTAAATGCAGAATAAAAGGAAAAATTGAATTCCAACGAACATTCTTCTATGTCCCATGAATGTCTCCATTCCAAATCCACATTTCTTCTTCCTAAAATTTCAGGCATTATCACGTGAAGTGTAAAGAGTCAAGCATTGGATTTTAATGCTTCATAGTCTCATGTATGCATGTGAAAATTTTTCAGAATAAGCAAATGTGAGTTTATTTTTTAAAATCGACTAAGAAGTAAACATTATGCAAAGTAATGAATTTCTTTACTTTCGAATCGACAAAATGAAAATCTTATTTGAACAAAACAAGAGAAATCTGAAGTGTGTGTGTTGATAAAACAATTTTATTCATGATATTTTGAGAGTAACGAGAAACAAAACCTAAAATGAAGATATTTTGAGGCTAAAGGCAGATGTCGAAAGCTGATGGGAGGAAAATTAAACAAAAGCTTTATCAATGTTTGAGCTTAAAATTTCGAATAAGTTTTTGAAGCGTTTGTAAACACTTCAAAGTAGATATTCAAATTTTTCCATGGAAATATTTCACAAACAACAATTTAAGCAGTATAGATGTTAATCCGTAAGTAAAGCAAATATTTTTTCCTTTCAGCGTAATTAATCATTTAGATTTTCTATTTTCATGCTAACTACCTAGTTGAACAACTACATACATATTGACTTAACTTACTTGGTTATCTAAAATCACATTTTTATGAAAATAAAATGAGGCAGAAAACGTTTCCGAATTCTAATCCGGCTTTCCTTAACAACCATGCAACCCTCTGTTCAATTCAACATGCCATGCCGTAAGGAATGAAAGAAACTAAATCCCTGAAAATTGCAATTATCTACAACTTCCAAAGCAAAGCTAGTTGAAAAACTTTCAATTCAAAAAAGTAACTCACCCATTCGTGTTTTGAGCACAGAAGGTAGGGAAAAAATCGTCAAATCACTTTTGTCGAAACGAGACTTGAAGTCGTTTAGATTGATTTTTAAATTGCAAGAAGATGAAGGAAACTCATATATGCAAATGTACCTTTGATTAAATCATTTTCGCCTTTACGCACCATAAGCTTTAATAAATGAATTTCTTTATTATTTCAATCACGAGACGCTATCGTTGTTGATAGGGTGGAATTCTTAATGATGTCACGTAATCTCACGTCTCATATCTGCTTCATTTAATTCATGTGCAATGTTCTCGTGAAAGGTAAAATATACTTCTTGAAAAATGAAACAAAATCTCCGAGATGCTAATGAAAGTTGGCGAGAAGAATGAAAGAAAAGAAATTCTACCGCGGAATCACGCGAAAGCAATTTGAAAATTGAATTTAAATTGCGTGGAAAAGTGGAAAAGAGCATGTTTCTGAAATTAATTTCATATCTTTTGATAATGTTGTTTTTTGTGTGCTCCCCTAGAAGCATACGCTTTCGCAGTCGAGCGGAATATTTGGCTATAAAAACAGAGATGAACGCTTTCTTTATACGAGAAAGTCAACATAGGGAAATGTTTCTCGGAACAAACATCGAATTGATGAGCAAGAACAAGCATTCCAACATCTACAAGACGGAACTTAGACGTTAAACGCAGCACAAATTCTTAAGTATTTCACAAATATTTACACTGGCTCGCAGAAACGTTCTCGAATAATTAATTCCATTATGTTTGGAGGAAATTTGTATACAACAACCACAGAACCAACAATTTTTAAATTATCATATCGCTTGTTTCCCTCCACCACTATGCAGTCGGTTTTTTAATGTCATTAATGTTTGAAAGAGAAAGAAAACTCATTCTTATCAACATAAAATAAATGAGACATTGCAGGAAGAAGATATAAAACAGTGCACCAGCCAGTATTTGGAGAACCCAGAAATGAAATTAATTTTATCAGTGAAATTCCTTTTAGTTCTTTTTTTCTGTTGCTATTTGTCTTTGTTCGTCTCTTCATTTTATCATAATAATATTCCCTTCTCTATGAAAGCATAATACAAAAAACTTTTATGTTTCATATTTTGGTTTCAATTGTGATAAAAGTTAGAAGACCAGAAATGGAAAAGGAAATTGGTGGAAATTCTATTTAACTTTTGCTTCACGCCTGATTACATAACTACCACAAACACGATTCACATGAAATGTGATACTGAAATTCATCAAAAGAAATGAGAAAATTCCCTTTGCTAAAGAGAAAATGATAATTATTTCCATTAGTGTTTAATAATTGACGAGACATTCTTTTTCTCGTATGGAAGAGAAAACTTTACTTTACTTTAAACATTTCAAACTGTCTGCTCTTATTGACAATCTAATTAAATACGATAGCTTACCACTTCAACCTGTAAAATGCAATAAATATAAAAATGCAATAAAAAAACTTTCAAGAAAAAACTTTTCCGGTATTTCCGTTGATAAAGAAAAAATAAACTTTTTTCATCGAAGCTTAAACGTGCACCGTACATGCAATTGTTACATATATTTAATAAAAAAATTATCAAGAAATCGAGGAGAACGGAAAATCGATTTGCAATAAATAATTTATGTGAGTTTTTTATTCTTTTCTCTCTTTGTTGTAACCGTTCACTAAAATGTTTTTGTTATGATTTTTCTTGCTTTTATGAGTTTCCTTGGGTGTTATTATTTTTGTCGCTGAAAGCTTATTGTAGATGGTTGAGGGTTGACATAGATCCCTTGGAGCCGAGTTATAAGTTATCACCAATCAATGTCAATTTAAAAAGCAGAAATATTCTGCCTTTAAAAAGTTTCATCCACAAACGCAACCCTCTCGCACTGTCTTCTCGTCAAACGGTATAAACAAATGGCGAAGACAAATTGACGTCGCGTAATGAGATACAATTTTGTCGCTTTACAAACATCATCACATTTGGAATAGAAGATTTTTGCACAGTGGAAAGGAATTCAAATGAAGATTTATGATGTGTTTATGTGTCGCACGAAAGCTGATGTGGAGTCATGAAGAATACTTGAATGACATGAAATGGAATGAAAAGTTTAGAATGAATTTTGTTTGATGCTTTCATAAAAGCTTTAACAGTTAAATATTTTAAAGTGGAAGATTTCTGACGCCGACAGAAGCTCAAAACTTTTTGTTCTTATACTCCTTTTATTTTCTTTTATCCTTCACTGCCAAAAACTTTCTCTTTATCGATTTCCAAACCCCTTTAAATAACAGACGTGGAAAAAAGGATCAACATAATAATTGCGTAATAATTCTGCAGTAGATTACAATAGAAGGCAAAAAGGTCTGATCCGGAAAAAATTTTCAAGCTCCTAAATTTCACTCGTAAATAATAATCAAATAATCAAGTGAAGTAAAGAAAGAAAGAAAGATATCTTTTTGGAAGAGAATAAGTGGAACCGAAGAAAAGAAAAAGAATTGGAAGCTTAAGCTTGAGTCAAAACAGCCGTGACATTTAAATCTTATTGAAAGAATAAAACGAATTCTAGTAACAACATTTAACGTTCCTGATAAAAGAAAGTAGGTTGTAAAACGGCAATAAATTTTCCCCAAATGTTTTTGACCCTCTCGCGCGCGCTTTGAAAGCTTCAGGCTGACCAATTCAACCTTTTAAGTTTGAAATTAATTTTGAAGCCTTTTTATGAGTTTAAAAGGGAATTTCCCGCTGTAGTCTGCCTGTTAATGGGCTTTTCAAGGAACCGTATTTTACGCCCTTTTAGGATATTTTTTGGGTAGAAAGAAAGATTAAATTAAATGTACTTTAAAGTTTAAGCAGAAATTCTTATCAGTAAACAGAACTGCTCTCGATTATTCGTTCTTGCCATGAATAAAAAAAATTCTTCATCAACGTTACAATCTGACATAAAATCCATTAATGCCTCAACTTCAATTTTACTGTCATCATCTTGCTTCATAGCCAATCAGATAATTAAAAGGACGACAACGACAATTTTCTCTTTCGTTCTTTCATAAAAAATTATCAGAGATGTTGGAAGGAAACTTTTTGGATACTCGTTAAAATAATTTCAAAAAGTTTCAGCAAGATTTCAAGTATTGTGATAAAAAACAACATTCAGGAAACTTTATAAACATCAATCTTTGTAAGTGTAAGCACATTTTCTGCTGATAAATCTTAAAACATAATTGAAAGACAAGAAAGGGAAAAACAATTTGAAGAAAACTTCTGAGAATGATTGATTTTATTTTTGATTATGAGCGCATGAAACCTAAGTTCAGAATCAAAATTTGTCATAGTTTCATTGTATTACAAGGTAACAATTTTTGTTTTGTTTCTTTTTCTTATTTTCTCATATTTTCAACCACCCACAATTTTCCACCCTCTTCCATTGCTCTCATATAATTCGCTCTCTGAGAGAGTAACATGAAGAATTTATGTATCATTTTCATATACATAAGTTTTCCCCTATGTCAATGATTGCAAGGAGAAATATTTCAGAACATGAAGGAGAAAATCAAGGAGAAAATAACAAGGACTGAGACAGCAGAGAGTGAATTAATGTTGAGAGCATTTATTTTCTAGTATTAACTTGCAACAAAGGTTCATGCTCTTTACAAATAGCTATGTAAGATATTTCTCTTCACCCTTTAACTCTTATTCTAACATACTTATGAAGTCAATATCGAATAAGAACATATATTGTAGACCAAAGTTTTGAACTATATTCCCCTATAGACAAGTATGTGAGCCTTCATTTGGGTGAAAATTCCTGTTGATTGAATTTCATTTGTAATAAACCACAACATTTTGTGATGGTCACTTCATTTTATATCAAAATAACAGTTGAATCATATTATTTTATATATTTATTTATTTATTGCTGCAACAACATTTAACCATCTATGCCAGTGAGACGCTTAAATAAAATCTAAAACAAACTTACAGCTAATTATTATTTGTTATCTATTTTGAAAAATTGTAAATTTATAAATCAGCAGGTAGGTAAAAAAATATCAAAGACACATTTTAAAATGACTTGAAATTCTTAACGACTTTTCAACGGTTTCAATTTCAAATTCAAATTTATTTTCAACACCCTGTCGCTTAGACAGAATTCGCTCGAATTAGAAAAATTGGATAAGATTTCGCAAAAAGTCGTCAAATTCTTATTAAAATACAGTATTAATTGAAATTTAGATTCAAGAAATTGGTGAAACCTAAAGTATGGCTAATATTCCAGACCTGAAAGAGGTAAACACACAATTTTCACAAATCAATAATTTTTTTCCTCCAATCGATTTTTTCGAGTAAAAACAAATCTTTTATAATTTAAGATTGCTGGAAAGCACTTCGACATTTACGAGGCATATTATAGAAACCATGATCCTAAAAATACAAATGCCATTCCTGCTATGGATGCTGCAAGATTTCTTAAAAAATCAGGACTTTCGGATGTTGTGTTATCTAAAGTGAGTCAAAAAAAAAATATTTTATGAGGGGCGATGTCTTGAAGTCTTATCAATGACTGAATTCGAGAGTAACATTGTTGACTTTACTTTTTATATTGGCGCATTTAGGTCTGGGACTTATCAGATCACAATTCTAAGGGTTATTTGGATAAGTCTGGATTCTTCGTCGCTTTAAAGCTCGTTTCACTTGCTCAAATGGGTGAACAAATTACTGTTAAAAACTTAAAATTGGAAACAAATGCACCGAAGTGTGGTGATGTTCCAAAGATGAAGCCACCACCTGTACCAAAAATGATTCCAGTAACGGCAACAGATTGGTCGATTAAGCCAGAAGAACGTCAAAAGTATCAAAGTTTATTTAATTCGCTTCAACCTGATAATGGTGTTTTGCCTGGAAATAAAGTCGTGGGGCTTTTGAAAGATTCAAAGCTTCCAGTTGATACATTGAGTACGATTTGGGAGCTTGCAGACCAAGATAAAGATGGTAGTTTGGATGAGTTCGAATTTATTGTGGTAAGTAGTAAAATATTTTCATTATCAGTGATTTTAAAACATTTAAATGCTCAATTTTAATAATTTCAGGCCATGCATTTAGTTTATAAAGCTCTTGCAAGTCGAGCCATTCCCCAAACGCTACCAAAGGAACTACAGAAGCCACCAAAAGTTGAAAGTTCGAATGATTTTGGTGCTGAATTTGTTGCGAATTTTCCAACAGACATTGTGCCAGTTGCACCAGTGATACCACCATCACGACCACCAGCACCAGCTATGCATCCAATCACAGCTCCTTTAATTCCAGCTATACCAATGAGTTCAGTATCAAGTGGCGAGTGGGTGTTGACGACCATCGAGAAGCTAAAATATCAAGAATTGTTTGAGAAAAGTGATATGGATAAAGACGGACTTGTGTCAGGTGGTGAAATCAAAGACGTATTTTTGAAATCAGGACTTCCACAGAACATGCTCGCTCATATTTGGGCTTTATGTGACACACATCAAAGTGGAAAGTTGAACTCGGAACAATTCGCTTTAGCTTGTTGGCTGATTGACCGCAAGAAGAAAGGAGTTGATCCACCACAGAAACTTGCACCAGAAATGATTCCGCCGAGTATGCGACCGAATGCTGGTGTTGTCGTTCAGGTGAAATTTCTTTTTCTTAATTGATAATATTGAAATAATAATTTAAATCATTTTCAGCCACCAAAACCCGTTTACACAAATCCCGAGCTAGAAATGATTTCAAAAGAAATCGAAGAACTTACAAAAGAACGTCACGCCATTGAAGCTGAGGTAGCGCAGAAAGAAGCTGACATTCGCATAAAAACAGGGGAAATGCGAAGTCTTCAAAGTGAACTCGACACTCTCACAGCAACATTGAAACAATTAGAGACACAAAAAGAAGCCGCTCAGAAGCGTTTAGATGATTTGAAGACGCAGGTGAGACGTCAATTTTTTATTTATAGCGAAATGTTTTCATTTTTTTATTATTTGATGCACTTTTACGTTGTTTGATTTATCTTAATATGAAATTAAAGAAAGAAGAAGTTGACAAGTCGGTAGAATTTGTAAAACAAGAATTGAAACAAACAAAGGATCAGGTTGGTGATGCTGAGATAATTTCGTATTTTTTCACTGTTTTGCTGCTAAATAAATAATTGAAAAGAATTCCAGTCCTTGTCTCGATAACACTTTGTCGTTTATTTTTGTCAGGATGTCAATGAGAATTGCTAATGTTGTTGTTATCGTTGGAAATATGAAAATCTCCTAACTTTCTTTTATTCTAAATCTTTTCATTTGTAGGTCAACAAGTTACGAGATCAATGTCAGAAGCAAGAAGAAACAATCAAAGAACAAGAAGGGGAATTAAATTCACGTAAAGAAGAATTACAAAAGCTAAAGGAAGAAGAACATGCACTGCAAAAGGAATACGACTCAAGTCTTAAAGAGAAAGAAAGCATTTCGGTGCAACTTCAAGATACTCAATTGCAAATAAGTCAAGTACGAGCGATGGTGTCGCAACTTGAAGAGATACAACGACAAATGAAAGATGCTCTAGTGTTGTGTAAAGCTGCGGTTGAGGAAAATAATGCTACGATGGTGTCTGATTATTCGCTTAACATCGAACCAGAATTTCGTGATTTCAAGAAAGTTTTACTCTCACCTGAAGAAAAGGCGAAAGATGGTAAAACTTGTTGAATAATTTTTCATTTTCATATTCTTAATGAATCATATTTCTTTACAGCTTTCAACGATTCCCAATCAGCATTCAATGATCCCCCAACAGGCTCAAAATCTGCAGCTTTTGAGGATAGTTTCGATAATAAGTCAGCTGGCTTTGGTGACGACGATTCTTGGCATGCAAACTCATGGAATGCTCAAGCAAATGATCCTTTTGGTGGTGGAAGTAAACCAGATCCATTTGCTGCTTCTAATGCTTCACCAGCAAAAGACGTAAGTCATTCTAATTTCAAAGCTTTCTCACCTTAATTAATTTATCTTCATTTAGTCTGGGAAAGATGCATTTGGAAGCGATCCATTTGCCATTTTACATGCTCCACCAGCTGGGTCAAGTCCATCACATCCGCCTGAGTCGCCATCACCTGCACTTCCACCTAAGAAAGCAAAGCAACCACCACCACGACCAGCACCTCCACGTCCATCCCAAGGACCGAAAACAGACTCGTTTGGATCTTCTTCGTTTGCAAATTTTGATGATTTTGATATCAAGGTGAGTTAAGTTTTGATAAACTTTTCTTATTATCGTTTTTCAACTCGTTTTACGTTTCATCCAACTCATTTTGCATTTGATGTTTACCTTTATGGTCGTTTATGGTCCTTAATTTTGCTTTTGATCATTATTTTGTTGTTTTCGTTTGAATAATTTTCCTTGTTTTGTTCCTTATTTATCCCCGTAAATGTTGTCGCTTTAATGTTTGAATAAATAACAAAACTAAACCGAGAAATTTTCTTTCTCTCTTTTTTCTCTTTCCCGGACGCGCCCGCGGCATTCAGTAAAAGAAATAAAAACTAACTAACTAACTAACCACTTTTAAATCGAACCATTAACATTTCAACTATTCTACGAAAACAATTAAAAGGATTCAGAGAAAGATGAAAAAGAATTCTAAATATGAGTTTGTAATAAATGGAAGTGTAGCTAATCAATCTTATAAAGAAGCCTCGCATGTTCATGATGATTTGAATGATCGAGAAGCTATGAAATTGTCATGAAAATTCGAGGAAAATATAAAAGAAATTATTGTAAAAATATTTAAGTTGTTGATCATTTTTGAAAACTTTATTTTAGCAAATTTCTTATTTTTATGTTTGACAAGCGATAGAAATTGTCGTGTTGAATATAAAGTTAAGACGTAAAACTTCAGCGCATCATAAAATGCACTAATTATTCCTTATCATTTAAACTATCACTGTCGCTTGTGATAATTCATAATAATAAAACATATTTATGGTGTGCAATATTAAATATATTAAATATTTATATTCATGAAAGGAAAAGTCCTCTTAACTAACATCATTACTAAAATACTCTCTCCATGAACAACTTTCCTATTTTCTATCTAATTTATTGAAAGAACTTTAACGTTAGCATGTTATTTGAATATTTTGGAAATCAAACAAGAAGAAATTCTTCGATTGTGTCGCTGTTAAATGGATGAGAAATTAAATTTAAAATTTATTTATGGACAGAAAATCTGAAATTTTGATCTTGTTATCAAACAAAGTTGTGTTCAGCATTCTTTTAATCCTTTTCATGATTTCACTTTTAATGATTAACATCGATTGTTTCGTCATTTTCATTAATTGAATTGTGAAAAAGGAACAAGAAGAAGCAAACTTAAATGAATTCTATTAATAATTATCGCTCGATTATTGAAATCATGTAATCAATCGCTAATAAAATTATGACTTAAAAAACTGACAAAACAAATGGAAAGTTTCGATTAGTCGATTTTAAATTCTAGTTATGATTTCTTAGGTCTCGTCGGTAGCTCCTGAAGTAACATCACAACAACCTCCAAAACCAATGGAACAATCAAACTTTAATGTTACGACGCCAGAAGTAGTCGCAAGTGATTTCAAGGAAGATCCGTTTCAAAATTATCGTTATGAAGATCCATTTTTGATTTCTGATCCATTCCAAGATGAAGAAGTCGTTGTGAAAGGTAATAAATTTAATTGTTGACAAAACTTTCTTAATTTAAAACAAATTTTTTAAACAGAAACAAAAGTTGAAAAAGTTGAGAATTTCACGAAATTCAACTTGGATGAATCAACAGATTTCTTTAGCAATGACCCTTTTAAAACGACAACAAATGGCAATGATGGAAATAATAACAGTTTTGATCCTTTTGGGGGAACAACTACAACAACAGTGACATCAGTTAAAGAGAAAGAATCTTCAAGTGGATTTGGTTTTGAGGCTGATTTTGGTAACTTTGCCAACTTTGATGCATTCAATGATAACGTTACAAACAATGGTAACACGGGAAATGTTGATGCTTGGGGGAGTTTAGATAACACAAACAACAACAATTTCAATGACATAAAGAAGACGAAAGTGAAAAAATATAATTCACCAAACAAAGAAGATGGTGAAATGAGAAGTAAGATTAATAAATTTTCTGCTGATTATTCTGACAATTTTGAGAAAGATTTAGAGCAGGTTCTGCAGCGTAGCATGGTAGATCAATAAATCATGAACTTAGATCATTCAAATTGATGTTTCATCTGATGCTGTAAACGATCATTCGAATAAGACTTTATCATTATAAAACATATTTAGATATTTATCAGTTTAATTACATTTATTTAGTTTTATAATTTCCTTAATCTGACTTTTCTGTTGTGTGCATTTACAGCTCATTGAATAAATTATTAAAAATGATAATAAATAAAGTTCGTACTGGAAAATGAAAATTTCTTTAATTTTATTTCGCTCAATCGTTTGACTTCAATTTCTTTAATAAAATTAAATTGAACTAAGAAATGTTTGATTTAATGCTTTTTTTTATTCAATCGATTAATAATTGTCGCTAATTAAATCAACATTAAAATTATCCAAGCTCCATTTAAGGAATAAATTCCAAAACATTACGCTCTGAAATATTTGAAATGATTTACCAAGATTATCAGTTAATTCTGATGAATAAGTTGCAGAAGGATATTTGGAATATCAAGTTATTAACACTTCTATGTTTATCTGTCTCAACAACGTTCAATTCTATGCAGATCAAGTTAAACACACAACTTGTTTCTCTCTTTTCTTCACAACATTGCTGTCTACTTTATCGTATCCACAGTCAACGTTCGTACTTGAGCTATGTGAAGAAAAGGCTATATAAAGTGTTCTATTTTGTAGATTAATATTTAGTATATTAAAACTTTTGCTTGAGTGAGAATCAGAACAGTTAACAATATTCATTGATTGTTGGATTCACAAAATGATGAAAGTTTTAAATTTTTCTGTTTCTATTTTTCTAAATTATCTTTTAATGTAAGTTTTCAATGGAAGAATTATTCAATGATCATTAAACGATATTCGCTGCATTATCGTCAAATAATAATAAGAAAGAAAAGTTGAAAAATATTAAAGTTTAATTCTCAAAGTGAACGACATCATTAGGAATTGTTTAATAATTTTCTTGATTCCAACTGGTGTTGAAATGTCATAACATAAAGCACAACAGATGATGACAATTCAACTGAAAATAATTTCAAAGAATATTTATATCAATTTAATGAATTAAAAATCTTAATTCGGTCAAATAATTATAACAAGTGTCAACTGTCACTTAAGTGCTAATATTGATTAAAATACAAACCTGTTTCGATAATTCCAAATACATATCTGCATAATCCTATGATAATTGGGTATTTCCCTAATTTTCAGAGCAGTGACTAAATGCGAACACAATGAATTCCCAAAAGATTTTAAATTCGGTGTTGGAACCAGTTCATATCAAATTGAAGGCGGATGGAATGTTGATGGGAAGGGAGAATCAATTTGGGATTACATGACACATAATCGGCCACAAAGTATTGAAGATCAAAGCAATGCTGATTACACAGCTGAGAGTTACAAACATGTGAGTAAACAAAGTGAAACATTCATTCATAAATGGTAAAGATATTTAATTAGTTGTTCACTTAGGAAATGCTCAATTTTTTTTCTACCCGGTAGTCTTTCTATTATGATCATGTTAAGATTAAATACCCAATTTGACGACATTTATTAATTAAATACTTAAATTCTTGAACATGTTTATATTCACACCAACAATGGTTGAATTTGATAATTTATCTCTTTGGATTATTTCATAAATTGCGACATTATTTCTGCAACTTGCGAGTAAAACTTAAATAAACAACATTTCCATAATCAAGTCTACATATGAACGTTTTATGTATATCAATTAATAAACATGTGAATAATAATTCTATCTTAATTACTGTTTAAAGTGGAAACGTGACGTTGAAATGGTTGAAGAACTTGGTGTATCGATCTACCGATTTTCCATTAGTTGGACAAGAATTTTGCCAAATGGTTTTACAAATCATGTTAATGACGCTGGAATAAATTACTACAATAATTTGATTGATGAACTAATAAGACGCAATATTACTCCAATGGTTACAATGTATCATTGGGAGCTGCCACAACGTCTTCAAGAACTCGGCGGTTGGACTAATCCAGAACTAATTGACATCTTTTACGACTACGCACAAGTGTTACTTGAAAAGTTTGGTGATCGAGTAAAGATATGGACAACATTCAATGAACCGTGGCATGTTTGTGAACAAGCTTACGGTCAAGATTACATGGCACCGGCTTACAACTTCCCTGGCATTCCAAACTACCTTTGTGGCCATAATCTTTTAAAATCTCATGCAAAAGTTTATCATATGTACAAAAATAAATTTAATCGACAAAATGGTGAGTTTGCTTTGTTATTTACAATGTTAATTCAAATGTTAAGTTCATGTTTGTCAACAAATCGCACATTGACCATCATAACGAAAATTTACGATCTCGCTCTAAATTCTTTAAGTCATTCATTCGACTATTATTAATGTGATCATGCTTGAATGTGCGGTAAACACGTCAATTATTTTATCATCTTGTTGATGACTTGAGGTTTATTAATTGATTGAAACATTTGAATGTTAATGAAAAATATTTCCATTGAACAAATTCTCATTTAATTGAGATTAAGAAGAATTAAAAGCATTAAGCTTATTGTTGTTTGACAGGTGTTATGGGTATAACTTCAGATGTGAGCTTTCCGCAACCATTAACTCGAAGTCTTGATGATCAAAAGGCATGTGAACGAGCATTGCAATTTTATGTTGGATGGTTCATGCATCCAATTTATAGCAAGTATGGAAACTATCCGAAGATCATGATTGATCGCATCGATGGATTAAGTCGTCAGCAAGGTTTTACTAAGTCAAGACTGCCAAAATTTACTTCCGAAGAGATCAAAATGATTCATAAAACATCTGATTTCTTTGGAATTAACTCATACACTTCTGTTCTTGTGACATCGAATGACGATAAAAGTAACCCCGCTAATCACGCTGTGCCTTCATTCTTTCATGATATGGGAATAATAGAAACGCAAGATGACAATTGGCCAAAAAGCGGATCAGTTTGGTTGAGAGTAAGGAACTGAATTTATAAATTTATAGCTAAAATTACTTAATTTCTTTTATGTCAGGTTTATCCACCAGGAATGCGACATTTATTGAATTGGATAAGAAAAGAATATGACAATCCAGAGATTTTCATTACTGAAAATGGCGTCAGTGATAAAGGTAAATTTTGATCATTTGAAAGTCTTCACGAATATCAAATAATGATTGAATTATCAACAGGTGGATTGAATGATACAAAACGTGTTGAATATTTTAATTCCTACCTGACTTCAATTCTTGGAGCAATCAAAGACGGTTGTAATGTTAAGGGCTACATCGCATGGAGTTTAATGGATAGTTTTGAATGGAAAGCTGGTTTTACAGAAACCTTTGGACTTTATCACGTAGATTTTACTCATCCAAACAAAACTCGAATACCAAAATTATCAGCAAAAGTTTACAGTAATATTGTGAAAACAAGAAAAATTGATTTAGATTATAATCCTGAAATAAGTTCAAAAACTGCATCTTATATGTTGGAATACTCGTCAGGAGCAGGATATAATACTAATGCTTGCTTGATTGGTATGATAATTGCTTTTATATCAAGTATCGTAATAAACATCACAAAATGAAATTTATAACTGACAACAGTATTTTAAATTCGTATTATTAGTAGTAGTAGTAGTGGTAGTAGTGAGCTTACTAGGAAAAATCGTACGTTACACCACTTTCTGATAAACTCAAAGCTTGTATTCAAAAATGTGTAATCTGTTTTTCATTATTTTTGTCTCAAATAAAATTTTCTAAAATACTTTTACAAACAACTGAATCTATATCAAAGCTAAGTGTTAACAGGTGAGTTGAAAAAATACTCATTTTATTATTCCTTTACTGATATATTTGAATTTTGATTAGGTTTAACCTACAAAAAGTAAAACGCTTGGACAATAAAAAAAAATGGTGCGAACTAAACAAACCGCAAGAAAATCCACAGGCAACAGATGCCCTGTACCCGCTGTTAGCCACCCAGGCCCTGTCAAAAGAGGAACAATCGCACTAAGAGAAATTCGCCGTTACCAGAATTCAACAGAGCAGCTGGTTTCCCATGCTTCGTTTCAAAGATTAGTAAGTATGAAATGCTGAAAATAATCAGAAAGTGACATTCTATTTTTAAAAGGTTAGAGAAATTACAATGGTATTTAAACCCGATTTTCGCTATCAAGCTGCAGCTTTGAGCGTGTTACAAGAGGGTGCTGAAGCATATTTAGTTGGAATATTCGAGGATACCAATTTATGTTCCATTCATGCAAAGAGGTATTTTATATCTTCATGTGCTTAGCCTTTCAGAATTTGTTATTTGATTTCTTTTCAGAGTTACAATTATGCCTCATGATTTAAAACTCGCCATGAGACTTCGCGATCATTAATGCTTTCATGATATATTTCAAAATATATCAGACTCAGAAGCAGTTTATATGAACCATTATTTACCAAAAAATTGACTTTTCCTGTAACGACTTTAAAATGTAATAAAATTGACTTACATTGAAGATTGACCTTTTAAAATGTTTGTGGGATCGAGGAAAATTCCTCGATTAAATTTTTAAAAATTTATCAGTTTTATATGAAGCATAGTGACGTATAAAAACGTACGTTTTTTTAATTCCGATTAAACTTAAACGAGATTAAGTTTAATCGGGATTAAAAATGCGTACGTTTTCATACGTAAACCCGGTTTGTTTATAACGTTTACGATCTCTGAATTTTAAAGAAATCAGATCGAAATAATTAGAATTGATAAATAAACAGATAGAAACTTAAATGGATCCACAAGTAAGACAGTTTAAAGACTTTCTCCAACTTTACAATTCAATAACTGAGAAATGTTTTAATAGCTGTGTTGACAATTTATTTAGTCGACAAGTTGAAGAAAACGAGGTATTAAATCCTAAATTTTAATTACCAATGAATTCTCTGAGAAAAAATACTCCAAAATATATTTTCAGGATTCGTGTGTATCATATTGTGTTGATAAATTTGCTAATGTTAATCAGAGACTAATGACTACTTATGTCGAAGTGCAGAGTAGTATAAATGAGAAACGTATGCAGGAATACGAAAACCAAATGAAAGAAGCTGAAGCCCAAGCAGCTCGTCAACAGGAAGAAGTAACAGACTCTGCAATAAGCGTAGAACCAACTGTAGAAGCCACAAATTAATTATTAGACAAATAAATTTAGTAATGAAACAATTAACTATTGCAACTTTGATAGGACTTCCAGCATCAGGGAAAACAACTTTAGCTCACAAATTACTTGAAATGTGTGAACAAAACTCATTGGATTATGGATTAATCATAATCAGTTTTGATGAAAACATTTCCCTTAAATTTGACGATGTTGTCTTTGGTGAATATAAGAGCAGACGGGAATTATTATTTGAACGGATTGAAGATTTATTAAAAGCATTATGCGAGAAAGAATTTAGTGTGTGGCAGACGATTTTATCAACACATTCGTTGACGAGCAACAAAAAAAATTACAACATCAATGAAGAATCTCCAACTTTAATTATTTTAGATGATAATTTTCAATACAGAAGCATGCGACAAAGAGTCAGAAAAATCTGTAGACATTTCCAATTTGGATACTTTCAAATCTTTTTGAAAGTTACTCTTGATAAAGCTAAAGAAAGAAACGCAAAGAGATCGTCTCGAATTCCTGAGGAAATTATCGATAAGATGAATGATCAGTTGGAAGAACCAACAAACGAAAGAACGATTCATTTAGATACAAACCTTTTTAACTTCGATGATTTAGTTTTATCACTTAATGATAGAATGAAATGTCCTGAAACATTTGAAGATCACTCTAAAATACCACAACAGCAATCTATAATACATGAAATGGATTTGATAACAAGAAAGATTATCGGAGTTAGAATAAAAGATTTGAAGAGTAATGAAAACATGACATTGATTTGTGCCTCAATGAATAGGAAACGGAAAGAATTTCTAGATAGTTTGCGAGCCCAAACACAAGTCGTCGATGATGTTGATTCCTTGAGTGATGCTTTTAATTGTTTCTTAGATAAATAAAATGTTTTCTTTACACTATCTATTTAAAAAGATTTTCACTTTAATTTTCTTGGAATTTTATTTTCAGCAGATGTTTGAAAGCTTACATAAAAAAAAGTCTCATAGCCTGATGTTATCGACTTAGTATGGCTTCTTTCTGAAACTGCAGCCTGAAATTAAGTAAATGCTTATTAATTGTCCTCATTATGCAAATTATTTTTGTATTTACCTTCGGTCAGCTTTGCACGTCCACCTGTTGGTTGGCACAAAATTGTGCTGCAACCCGTACATACTACTACTCCTTGAGCGTGGCTGAAAACGGTTGTGATCTTGTAACAACCAGGACACTTGACGTCCATGAAATATGAATTTGGGTGTTGCACTAAGCGTTTAAGCTTGTGCTTACGTTTTTCCTCAGCGGGTAACGGATGCAAAAGGTCCTTAGCTAACTGTAAAAATAACAATACATTGTCAGTAATTTCATAACAATTTGTAAGTGGAATGTTATAACATTATTTGTGGTTATGTTTGGTTTCTTTTCAATACGAATAATAAAATAAATAAATTATACAAGAAATGAACTTAGAACATTTTAAGGAAATCAAGAAAAAATTAAGCTGTTTGTGAAACACTTTGCATTAATTCGTAATAAAAATTTTGTATATTATTTTAACAATTTTTGATGAATATAAAATTCTCAAACACAAAAATTGTTTTTTTCTAGCGATGAAGGCTATCGGTGAAGATTAATTAATGCAACTTTCGAAGTTTAGAATCACTTAAAGGAATTGCACTCAAATAAAACCACAATTGATGTTATTTAACTGTTTAATTTTTTAAATACGTACAGGCATGTTTTTAATTCTTCGCGAACGAGAAAGAGAAAAGAATGAGAAAAGTTGCAGGCCCAGGAAGAGGGTGTTCGGCTATGAATTTATGTTTCATCAACATCTAATGTCACTATATATGCAATATCTGTTTAACAGCATTTTATTACATTCTGAACACGTTTCCAAGTTGCAGAATGTTTCTTTACCGCCTTCAAGCAGTTAGAAAAGTAGATAACAATAAGATTTTGAAAATAAATTAGCAAAACACGAATTGGATATTTTCTGACCTAACTGACAAAACTTCCATCGAACAAAAAGACAAGGACAGAGAATCGGAAACGGTTTTCTTTCTTTTTCGCCTTTCGCTCAAGTCGTACACACGCGGATAAACATTTTTATCGAAATAAAATAATTAAATCGATTCAAAATGTCTGATACTGAAGTGTAAGTTCTTTTTAAACTTATTTCTTATCGTAATATCATGGAATATTCACGAATTTATTTCTTTATTAGTGAAGTAAGTGCTCCAGTTGCTCTCGATGGCCCAATGGACCTCAACACCGCTCTTCAAGAAGTCTTGAAGAAGTCACTTGTTTCGGATGGATTAGTTCATGGAATTCATCAAGCTTGTAAGGTTTTGGACAAGTGAGTTGAAAAAGGATCAGAGGAGACCTTTGTGTTCTGATGGAACTAATTTGTAAATGAATTTGCTTTTTTCAAAAGCATTTCAGCTTACAATTTAGTTCTTCTTAGACCAAACAGAAGTCAATGACATTGTTTCCTTTTTCTAGACGTCAAGCAGTACTCTGCATTTTGGCTGAAAGTTGCGATGAACCACAGTATAAGCAACTCATCACCGCTTTGTGCAGCGAACATCAAATTCCTTTGATTCGTGTCGACAGCAGCAAGAAATTGGGTGAATGGTCAGGTTTATGCAAGATCGACAAAGAAGGCAAACCACGCAAGATTTGCGGATGCTCATGTGTCGTCATCAAGAATTTTGGTGAAGAAACCGGCGCTTTGGAAATCGTCAAAAATCATTTGAGATCAAACTAAGCTGTATCGGAAATATACATGAAATTGATGAATAAAGAACTTAAATTTTAATTCATCAGAATAACATAATTTTCTTTTTGTAATAGATAAGATTTATTTATTAATAAAAGTTTAAAATCGTTCATCAAATGCCCCATTTTAAGGTTCTTAAATTTATTTTAACATTCGAGTTCCCTGAAGTTGGTCGCGATTTGAATAGTTTCACCCCAGGGGCGGAACCCTGGGAAAAACCCTGCGCTCGTGCGAGACATTTCCGTGCAACCTTTTAAAAAATTTACTCGGGCCCCAATTAAAAGGGAAACCACTAAATCGAAAACAATTGTTTTCATGTTTTCTAATTAATTAGGCAACATATTAATGTTTAACTAAATTGTAAGTTCTTAATATTATAACATTAATCACGTTCTATACCAGTAGAACTTTTAAAATATTTGAAATTTCAAGGAATAAAAGAAAATTTGAATTTTAGGGATTGAAATATTTTTGTGACTTAAGAAAAAGTAAAAAAATGTCTGAGAAATCAATGTCGATACATCAAATGCTTAAAGAAAGCTCATCAAATGAAGGATTCCAACATGAATCGAGCAGCAGTGTGATAGTGATGAACGATATGAAAACAACGCGTATAATTCCAAATAATCTTTCATTGAGAAACGCAAACAGTCCGGGTTCAAATCCAGATACGCCGTTCTCGCCTGTTCTTAGTCCATCACAAGAGTTCCTCAAAAATGGTGCGACCAAAATCGATTCGTTGAAAAATTGGGGCATTTCTACTTATAAGTGTACACGACAACTTATGTTGGAGAAACTTGGGAAGTCTAACAAAACAACCGACACCGAGCTTGAGACACAAATCAATGACTTGCGAGAAACTCAGAGAAAATATCTTTCCATTCTAAGATTATCACGCACATTCAATACACATTTTCATCAAGTTGTAGCGACACAACATGCACTGGCTGAAACTTTCTCCGAGTTGGCTCAAAAGTCGCCGGAATTACAGGAAGAATTCTTATACAATGCTGAAACCCAAAGAAATCTGACCAAGAACGGAGAAATTCTCGTAAACGCCATCAACTTTTTCATCTCATCTGTAAACACATTGTGCAATAAGACTATTGAAGACAGTAAGTGGAAACATTTTCATTAATTTCATGAGATTTCTTAATAAAATGTTGAAATTTTCAGCTCTCATTACCATTCGCCATTTCGAAAGCGCACGAATTGAATTTGATGCGTATAGAATGGACTTGGAGCTTGCAACTGGACCAGCTAATGAAGAAGCACAAAGGAGCTTTTCTAAACATAAGGAAACCTATGAGAAATTGCGTGGTGATGTGACTGTTAAGATGCAATTCTTAGATGAAAATCGGGTAAGTTGATTTCTAATTCAGTTGAATAGTATAATCAAATATTATTTTCTACCTAGATTAAAGTGATGCACAAGCAGCTACTTCTGTTCCACAATGCTGTGGCTGCTTACTTTTCTGGAAATGCGACCTTACTGGAAGCAACGATAAAGCAATTCAGTGTATGAAAAATATTTTACAAAATTTATTTCGTTTCGTGACGTTTTATTTGCTTATCATTTTCAGATCAAAAGTCCCAACACAACTAGTGGCTCATGGTTGGAACAGTGAATCAAGATTAACATACCGTAGATGAATGTGTTTAACAGAAATTCGCTTGCGAAAGAAAATATTATGAATAACTATTTAAAATCTTTACACAATTTTGAATTATTGTATACAAGCAACACACAAAATGATGACGATTCAAACTGATCTGATTGAAATCTTAAAAGAAAATAATTTGGAAGTCGATTACCAGTTTTCAACTTCAATTTCCCTCCCTTCAAGTCGAATTTCGAGCAATCGATTTTGATTAAAAAACTTTCTTAATGAAAAAGAATGAAAATTTCAACAACTCCTATAACCGTATCTAATCGCTCCTTATTTATGACATGCTACTACCTAGTCCCAGCTTTCCAATTGCTCTCAAATGACACTGTTTGAGTTTTATCACTTTATAAATTAGAATAATTTATTTTTGGATTAGAGCTGCATCATCTTTTATTGATTCTTATTTGTAACTAAGAATCATGCTTTTTAATTTCTTTAAAGAGAGAAAGAGAGTTTCTTTTGGTACAATAAAAGTGGAATACAATCATTGTATTAAAAAATAACGATTAATTTTATTTATTTCAAGCGATGAATGCATTGTGATGATGTAGAAATGATAACAAAAATATTTAAATGAATTAATTACAGACTTTTTTATCTTCTATACTCAAGTTGTTCAACTTTTTCTCCAGGTCTGACTCTTTTTGGAACATTTCCTAAAATAAAAATTGGATTATTTTTATTTTCATATTTTTGCGAAAGCGCTTGTGAAACGATAAAATTTGTTTTAAAATGACAGCAGAATAGAAATTTGACTCACTTTATTATATATCACTTTCACAACCAATGAACAACTTGGGCATGTAGCTTCTTCCAATCCTTGTATTAGCTCATCTTTTGTTATTATAAATTCATCACCACATGGCTGAAAGAAAATCATTTTTTGCGGAAATGAATCACATAATTTTCCTTTGATTATGATCTAAAATATGCTACTCACACAAGGATATGTGTAGAGATCTTCATCCTCGTCGTATTCGAAGTCTTCAATCTCAATTTCGTCGTGATAAATCGTCATAGTTTTAAAAATATTTTTAATCGAAATTTTTGTAAACAAAATATGATGTGGTGAGTAATTGAGAGGGGCAGTAACTTTGCTTTTGGTGACAAAACAAAAAAATTGGTGAATATCAAGATTTGGTGAAATCACTTCAGTCATTTTTTTCACCAAGAGTGGACTTACTAAAAATTTTCATCCGATAGTTTAATCAATTTTAGTGTTAAAATGCACTGAAAGTCTAAAAAAATAGTTTGAACAGTTACATAAAGTACGAACCTAGTGAAATGTAATATTTTTGAAGTGTATAAAATGATATTTCTATGTGCAATTCATAAAAACATGAAACGCAAAAACACACCCTCAATTTTCGAGCCTACACAATTTGCGAATTTTCTCTCTTTCTCCAACCCATTAAACACTTTTCGCAATATAAATTTTCAATTTAAGCTTCTAATTAAATTAATATTGATTTTCCAAAGTGTAATATTAAACGGAAATGAAATAAATCTGAAATATCTTCACAGGAGGTGACTATGTAAAGATAGAATATAGGTCGCTGTCCCTAAGCATTACATATATAGGACAATATTATTGTTGTTATCTTTATATAATGTATTTATCTTCTAATAAGTATCCTTCAATGAATTTCTAATTGAAATGTTCTTAACAAAAGAAGATTAGCTTTCATTTCAAACATGATCTAAATTTGAATACGTATCACCTAATATGAATTTGATTCAATTATTCTTCCATTATAAAACATAATCTTCTAAAAAATTGATGAATGAAAATAAAAAAAAAGAGAATGTCGGAGCATTGCTCTCATGCGGATGCGTAAAAACATCTTTTGCTTTATATGCCAACAAGGAAAATATTTTTTTTGGGGGAAAATTCGAGTGTCGTTGTTTTTGTGACCTAGTAGAAGAATTTTTGTCTTGTACATAAATAATAAAGATTGTGTGATGGAATTTTCAATCTCACAGAATATTGGTGGGATTGTTTTTTTCTTTTTCTGCAATTCTGTCATTCGAATATACCGAAGGAAAAAAACTTCCATTAATATTAATTCATGGCTTTGTGTACTTATTTATGGATGTATTTCCATTCCATTTCTTTACGTGTACAGATAAACATCAGTGAACTGATAAGAACAACTAATATAAATATAATACTGGCGTGAAGTAGAAGAGTTGTGTTTATGAATGTTTCAAAAGTATCCAAAGGATTCGTGTTGTAAAAGCAGTTTATCATCGTTGAAGTTATGTAAAAGTGTTTATCAGACCAAATAAAATTGCTGATTGAAGAAAAGAAAAAGACGAGCAATGTCTCTAAATTCGTTAGGTGCCACAAATGGGCACCCCAGCAGTCGTATGACGCATTCGCTTAGCACACCCTCAGGGGTCGATGGATCTACCTCGACAAGCCACCATTCAAGGGGAGGTGGAAAGAAGCTTGCTGTTCGAGTTCAGATGCTCGACGATTCAGTTACAATGTTTCAAGTTCAGGTGAGATAAATTGTTAAGTGAAAAAATTATCCACCCACACAAATGACACTTTACTGAAATACATTTTACAAAAACTGCAGTCATGAAGTCAATTGTAGGTGAATGACTCTTATGCTTCGATTTTCCTCTTTTTCCTCTCGTTCCAAGGATGGAAGTTGCTTTTTTTATCATTGCAACAAGGAAACTAGTTCATGCAGCTTTTAAACCTTTATTGAATTATTTTCTTTTATCTCACTTCATGTCCTACGACAGAATACTGAGAATCGATCTTAAATGTTCAAGATGTATTCACGTAATTATAACGAGACACTTGACTCATCATAAGAATGATTGATCATCAATTTTCATGATACGATTGAAATTAATTGTTTATCTCATGCACTATCCACTTACGTCGTCATCTAAGATTAGATTATATTCGAAGCATTTATTCATGTGGGTGAGATGGTTGATTGATGAAATCATATCACTTCAACATCTTGTTAAGAAATTATCATAATTTTCTTCCTTCACGTCAGTCAATGTTGACATGAACGAAAAAGTTACATAAGCAGAATCCTCGATTTAAGTATTACTTACTCGTATTCTCACTCATGTCACGAGACATTTTTCATGATAAAAAATGGAATTGAATATGGATGAGGAATAAAATTTTTATCAATATTCATTAAAATATGTCGTGCAGTCATTGAGTGTAGTAAAATCATAAATTATTTTGCCTTTCCTTCACATACAAATTCATGTTGATGTCTGCCAGTTTTGTCGGCGGTTTGTTACTTTATGATGATTACTAACTTGCTCCCACATTAATTTCGGATGTTTAACAAGAGTGATGAGTGGTTTCTGTGTAATTACATTCGCGAAAATATGTTTTGTATAACGTTGAACATGATCTGAAGCTTTCACTGTCGAAACATCTTTAGACAGATAATGTTGAATTATTTATTTCGCCTTTTTTTCTCACTCGTAATTTGCAATTCAAATTATTCTAGGCGAAGGCGTTGGGGAAAGTTTTATTTGAACAAGTATGCCGACAGTTGAATCTTCTCGAAGCTGACTATTTCGGCTTAGAATATCATGAAAGTTCGACTGGCACAAAATATTGGTTGGACTTGGAGAAGCCTTTAAATCGTCAAGTTGGATTTTCTCTTGTCGATCCAATGCTGAAATTTTGTGTTAAATTTTACGCACCCGATCCGGCACAGCTGGAGGAAGAGTACACGCGATATTTGTTTTGTTTGCAAGTCAAAAGGGATTTGGCGACGGGAAGTCTACAGTGTAATGATAACACAGCTGCGCTCATGGCCAGTTACATCGTTCAAGGTATTTACATGGCAAGATACTCAATTAAGAGTTTGATTAATGAAGGTGAATTTCCTGTTTTAAAACAGCATCTTGTGGCGATTATTCTTATGAAGACTATCCCGACCATACTTACTTGTCTTCATATCGTTTCGTTCCACAACAAGATCACACGATGCAGCGAAGAATTATGGAGAATCATAAGAAACATGTGTATGTTGATGATATGAATAATTAATTGATCAATCAAAGGTTCATGAATATTTAAATTACAAATTTATACAGAGGACAATCACCAGCTGAAGCTGATTTGAATCTTCTTGAAACAGCTCGTCGTTGTGAGTTGTATGGAATGAAGATGCATGCTGCAAAGGATCACGAAGGTGTTCCACTCAATTTAGCTGTCGCTCATATGGGAATCGCCGTCTTTCAGGGAATCACGAGAATTAATACGTTCTCTTGGGCTAAAATTAGGAAAATTTCATTCAAGAGAAAGAAACTTTTAATAAAATTGCATCCAGAGGGATATGTAAGAAATTTTTGACTTATGCTTTGTGTTTTTTTAATTAAAACTTTGATTTTTCTTCTTCCAAGGGATACTATAAAGATATAGTTGAATTCTTTTTCGAAGGACGTAATGAATGCAAGAACTTTTGGAAGAAATGTGTCGAGAATCATGGATTTTTCCGTTGCCAAGCTGTTCAGAGTATTCCGCGACGCAAAACTCGCGTCTTATCGCGAGGAAGTTCGTTCCGGTGAGTGTCTCCTTCACATTTCTGTTTTCTCAATCTTTAATGACATTATTTATTGTTAATGTTGTTTATTTTTCTCCCTCTACAGATACAGTGGAAAGACACAAAAACAAATTATTGAATTTGTTCGAGACAATTACGTTAAGCGACAAACGTTCCAAAGGTTTGCATCATTCCTTTTACGTTGTTTTATTACTCAGCAATTTAGATATTCAATAAAACTTAGCGCGAATTTAATTTTTATTTGCAAGCAACTTTTTTTTTAAATGTTTATGAATTATTTTTGATTTGTTTCTTGGAAGTGAAGTTGACTGAAATGGATTTAAAAATGCTTTGGCTTTCAGTTCACTTTACTTTCAAGTCTCATTGCACTTCTTTGAGTTGGTTTTTATTGATTTCTTTTATGTTGTTTAATTGAAACATGAACGGAAGAAAAGAGAAGAGGATTTTTTTTATTAATTTGAACAATTTAATGATCGATTAGTATTGTTTGTATTTGTCTTCAATAATGGAATGGGAAAGAGAAAATTTTGTCATTGAGCTTACTCGATAACTAAAAATGTTAATTATTAAATTCCAGAAAGGACTTAAAATATTCAAAATAAAATGTTTACGATAAAAGCACGAAAAGTAATTTAAAATGTTTCTTGAGAGTCAAATTTTTGAGTTGAAATTTTGTTTATTTTATTTGCACGACTATCTAATAAGTTTTAATTAACTAAGCAAACAGAAAAAGGAGAAAACATTTGCAATTTTCTTACTCTAAAAAGTCGATCAACTGTTTTTGTTATGATATCCTCTTATATCCTCTTTTCTTATGTCCCGTAGGTCTCAATCTTTTCGTCAGGGTCCACTACATACAAGTAAAAGAAGCCAATCACAAAATGCTGTTAACACAAGCATCTCAGCACATCCTTTACTTCCAATTGAGACCGGTTTGTATTATTTTTATCATTTATTCTTTCATTATTTCTTGTCAATTCATAATTTTCTTTTAACATTATGAATTGCTTCGCTTTCTGTTTTCTTTTACGCTTTTCTTTTTATTGTTGTCTGACGTAAATTTCTGTAACGATTTTGCGTTTTCATCAAGCAACAAATCTTTGTCAGAATGAAAAATTTGTTGCGTGGAAGGCAATCTGATAAGACTCGACTTGCTAAATATTTCATCTGCCTTTTCAATTCACGAATTCTTTTCAAATAAATATTTAATAATTTTCTTTTCTTCTTTCGTTCAACAGCAGCGGATTGGGAAGCTCGCAAACAACAGAACCTCGAATCGAAGATGCCTTCTCAGATGAAGAAGGAAGCGGATATGGAGATTCGCCAACCCGGAACTCTTACCCAATACAGCCGTCCTCAGGTCACGGCAGCACAGGTGGAGACTTATCCGATGACGAAGACATCGGAGCAGCACCTACGTCGCCACAGCGAACAATTGGATTCGAGTCACTCTGCATCACCAACGGCGGCGATTATTCACCAACGCAACATCAACAACAATGTGCAAGAAGCCGGTCGGGTTCATGTGCTTCCAGACGATCGCAACTTAGTCAATTCCGGTGAGTTTCTTTTTGCTTATTTCTTAATTTCTATTTTTAAGACAAAGATTCATTCCTGTGGTTTATAATGAATACATTTTGTAAATGTAAACGAAGAAAAAAATGATTTTTGCGTAAACATCTGACTGATGAATTGTTGGATCGATTTTTTTTCTCCCTTTTTCTCTCTTTCTCTTATTTCTTTCGTGTTTAAATTTATGGCTACATATGAAAAGGTCGGAGCCTCCATTATGCCACTATCCCCAAATATACTCAAGCCAACAATTCATCCATCACCCATTATCAACGGCCCCAACGCTTGGCGGATCCCAGCAATTCTACGGCGGAGACCGAGGCATCTTCGACCAATCACGAGAGTATTGCCCAACACCGGGATACTTCACGCCGCTACATCCAAACGGATCAATCAACGGGTCACAATGCCATGTCAACCCATTATAACAGCACGAGTGCTTATTCGATGTCTAATGCGTCCAATAAGTTCGATGTTAGCACGGCTACTGACTTATCGGATGATGATGATATCGATAACATTATTTATTCTGATATAAATGATTTGCATAAATTGCATCAACAAAAACAAAATCAACAGCAGCAACAACAATATACTCATACAATTCAAACACAAACATCAGGTGAAATAAATAATTACGGACGTGAAGTTGAGGTTGAAGACGATGAAGATGATGACGACATTCAACCTTACGCAACTCGACTTTCTTTGCAGCAAATGAGCGTACGTCAGCCGTTGATAATTAATGCTAATGATTTATACGCGACAGTTGATCGTAAAGCCAAAACTAAAGCAATTAAGCCATTACTGACAACTGATGATGGTGAACTCGCTCCTTTTCAGACAAACGGTTTGTCAATGGGCGATCGAACTAAAGCCGACATAAAGAAAAATTATTCGAGTGAATTTATAGACAATAGCATTAGAAATATTAATAACGTGTTGAATAGTATTGAGAACTATCAATACCAAGCGAGTTTGAATTATGATGAAGGAAGTATGCCTGAATATTATGCCAAAGATAACAATTCAATTTTTCATCCAAATTTCACTTCACATTCCGATCATTATTTGTCTTACGCTAACAACGACAGTTGTAACATTGGTCAGAATGTGCGAAATGGTAATGTTGGTGTTTCGGGTGTCGAATCTGTTGATTCATATGACAGTCATTATTTAACACACAATTCAGATAATTTAGAGAATAACTCAAGCACCTTGCATTATGCAAGTATTATGAAGCCTGAAAATGCTGGAGGCTTTTATGAATCTGCCAATCAACTCAAAGGAAATTCAGAGTTTGAAATGACAAATGCAAATATTTATACAACTTTGCAGTACAAGAATTATGAAGAAGATAGCGATGACATCGATGCGAAAGAGTCCTGGCAACGAAGTGCTTCTTGTCGTGAACTTTACGATTTCGGTTATGATTACAAGAAACCTGAATATGGTTACATTATGAATGAGAGAGAATATCTGACAACAGATCGAATAGATTCTCCCATCACTCGTTATGACGACGATTTTCGAAGATCAAATTTTGAGACAAATCGGAAATATTCGATGGATCTTAATGAAGATTTTCAACTTCCTGAAACGAAAGTTTATTCCTCAAGCTATCCAGGAACGACCTACAATACCATTGATCAGAATTTCAAACGAGGTACATATTCACAATATGAATTTAATGGATCACAAGATATCTCACATGATAGCTACGAATTACTGGAAAAATCTGATGACGATTTTTATTATAAATTTAAAAATAACACAGCAGACCATCATGTCAGATCATGTTCATTAGATTCTGGAAACTTCATTCCAACTGATTACGAGAGCGATGAAGACAAACATGATTACATGAAGTATCGATCGGCTTTGGACATGAAGAGTCGAAGTGCTGCTGATATAATGAACGACATTTTATTGCTCGATGATCCAAGAGATTTACCGAAAGAGAAATTATGTGTGAAGTCAGATGGAAGCTTTTATAAACATGTCAAAGAAGCGATGGGTATACGCACATCGAGTCAAGAGTCGCACAGTGAATTTTATGAATCGAAACTTTCAAAATCGAGTGGATCAAGTAAGAAATCTAAAGACAGCGTTTATCATACCGATAGCAAGAAATCTCGTGAAACTCTTAAAAGTAAATCGGGTTCTGATTATAATGCGTCAAGTCCTGATGAAATGTTTCTTGTCGGTGAATTACTTAATCGTAATAATTATGAAATGCCAACAACAACAGCAAAAAAGACGAAAAATCTCAAGAAAATGTATGTCAACAGTTCACGAAATTCAAGTCAAGATTCGAAAAGTGATTATTTTGATGCTAAAGGCGTCAATCAGAGTTTCGATGACGAAGGTGGAGATGATTTAAATGTGCAGCCGAAAGTTTTGTCTCATGATAATTTAGCATCGGATAACATTCAATCAACTTTTGACACTCAAGTCCATTTTTCAACTTTTCCAAGTAACCACAAGCACACAGCAAAAACATCGAATGTTCAATCAATCAGCTTGCAAAATGTTGAGATTGAAAGAAATATTAAAACTTATTCAGTTTACAAGACGAGTAGTCAAAATACGCCTACAAGTGCATCGAAATTGAGTGGAATTGAAAGCTTTACATCGAAGAAAACTCATATTTGGCCTGAAGAAATTGAAGGCTTACAAACTGAAATTTCAGGAATCGAACGAGCGAAAAACTTCCGAAAAAGATCAGAAGATGAAAACAACATTTTTAGTTTTGATAAAGATAAAATTCAGTCACTTACGTCATCACAATCTATTGAAGATGTGGCTTTAGAGAAACCGAAGAAAAGTCCCGAATATCCATTAACACCTGAACTTCTCTCAGAATTCGATAAACAGAAGATTGAATCACCGAATGTGAAACCGAAAATGGCAAATAGAAAAGAAGAATTGATGGCTAAAACACATTTCGAAGAATACAATCCAAAACTTATGATTGATCCTAAAATACAATTACCAGTTTCAATGCCATATCCTCATGCAACAGTTGAGAGAACCAAAAGCGATCCTAATTCGTTAGCTAACCGTCCTCGTTTGACTGTTAACTCTCGACGACATACACTCATGCACCAGAAATCGATTGATTTGACTCCAGCTGACTCAAGTGAAGATGAATATCTTTATAAACAGATTCCTAGTGCTCCACCTGTTTGTCGTAATCACGGTACGCATTTTGAATTGCCACAAAGCTATGATCCCCAGATGGGACAAATTGATATCAACATTCCAAAGACAGGTTTTGAAATGCCACAAAACTTTTTTAAGGAATATGAAAAAAGAGTTCAAAGTCATTTTAAGGATGATATTCCTTATGTTCTTCATAAGCGACACATCATGAACGGCACAGCACCATCTCCAAACCGTTTCTCGAAGCCGAAAAGTCCAAAAAGCCCGAAATCTCCAAAATCACCAAAAATTGACAAAGAAGCTTCTGCAGAAAAGCAAAAAACTTCTCAGGAATTTCTTTTCACAAAAAATATTGATTTATCTAAGGTTGACATTGAGACCTTAGAAGAGAAAGAAAAGTCGCAACAACCAGTGAATCTTTCTAGCCCCAAGCGAGATATCACAAAACGTCTTGACCCGAAAGTTTTGGAAACACTAAACAGCAAATTGAGTCAAATTGAAAGTGATTCAGCAACAAGTTCCAAGACCGATAGCGCACAAAGAGTTGTGAGAAAACCAGAGTTTGTTGTAGCCCATAAAATTGATCCGGCAACTATTAAGAAAGAAGCAATCTTGTCTGGGAAGCGTGCAGTGAAACCTCGTTCTGCTCAGAATAAGAATAAAAATAATTTGAAGAGTCGCTCAAAGGCAAAAACTCGAATCACTTCATTTTCATCTGACGATGAGAGTATTGATTCTGATGATGTCTTCGGATCTGCCGAAGCGATGCCTACAAAAATGGAGTTCTCACCTCCACAATCACGAAAAGAAATCGAGCCCATCTTGAAACATGAGCATAGCAAACTTTCTCAAGCAGCATGGGCTAGAGGACAAACAATGAGTTCAACAGAAGTCGAAGGCTCGCCACCGCAATGCAGGAAACTTGCGGACTTAGAAAACCGTTATCATACCCATAAACTTGACACAACTTTCATGACGTCTTCAGAGCTGAGAAGAATTTCTGAAAGATCAATTTCGATTCCAAGTTCGGAAGATGGTGACGGTGATGGAGGTAGTACGCTAAAATGTGAGCTTGCAACGGAAATTTATAGAACGACAGAAGATCTCGCTCAAATTGCTGATGCTGATGACGAAATAAAACCTGAAATTGATCATGATGAAAAGTTCAAAGCATTGACAAAGAAAGATATTACACCGAAAAGTAAAGCAAAAATTATTGAGGAAATTATTGACTCGTCAATGATAAAAAGATCGAAGGGACATGCACCAGTGTTGTTTGCTCATGCAAGACTCAATTTGTCTGAAGGCTCTGCTTTTGCTTCTTTGCAACGACAAACTGCTTGTAATGATTCACCGACGCGACGAGCTAAAAGCTTGGACACTCCAGTAATATCTCTTCACAGATTGCCACCAATGAATGCATTTTCTTCGAAAGATGACACTGTCGAATTTGAGGAAGAAGCAGAAACATTAGAAATCAAGCGGTTGGATAAGAAAATAGACGAAGAAGGTGAAGATTTCATGGTATGTGAAAAAAGTCTTTCACCAATGGATCTCACCAGCTTGACTTGTGAAGCTCCAGTCATTATTGAGGATGATGAACTTGAATTACTTGATCGTCTAAAATATATTGAAAAAATTACTTTACAAGGTGTAAAAATAAAAGAGAAGAGAAAGTCACGAACTCAACTTAAAAGCGGAGATCAATTGATATTAGAAATTCCAAAATATAAATTTGAACCATTCAGTTCTAATAACAGTTCTCTTAGAACTTCTCCAATTGTAAGTCGAGCAAGTAGTGTCGAAAGATCAGCACGTTCTAAATTGAATGACGGTGGAATTTCATCATCCCCAACCAATATGTCGAAAAAGCCTCCGGTTAAACCTGACAAAAAAGGTAGTAAAAGTGACACTAGAAAAACTGCAGATAAATTAAAAGTTCCAATAGACACTTTAGTTAGATCGGGAAAAGAACGTTCAAAATCTCTAGAAAAAATGGATCCCAAACGAAGTTCGACAAAAGGTCGAAAGTCAATCACAGAAGAAACTGAACTTGAGAAAGCTAAACGAAAAGAGCGTCAACAAAAGCTCTATGAATCTGCAATGAAACAAACTATTAATATGCTTAGTCCTGTTAAAGACCAACTACCTCCATTTCCAGTCACAGAAGAAAAACTTTCTGTGAAAAAAGATGGAGATAAATTTGTAATAGAAAATAGTATAAAAATCCCAGAGGATTGCGTGCTTATCGCGAAGTCCCCTCGGAAATTAGATAGCCACATAGCAAAATTCAGCCGAAGCTGCGAAGAAAGCAAAAGCATTGAGAAGATTGATAAAGCCAATCGCAGCTTCGAAGATCGGAATAAATCTGAATTTGAAGATTCAGAAAAATCTGATAATCATGAAGATACACCATCAACAATCCAAAAGAAAATTCTTGCGACTAAAGATGAAATCAAAGCTCAAATTGAAGGTGTTGTTGTTCACAAAATGATACAAGGAAAGTCTAGGAGTTTGGAGAAAAAAACTGAAGTTCCTCATATTGAAACAAGAAGTAAAACAAAAAGTTTGGATAACTATTTTGATGCTGTAGACCCTTCGTTCAAGCAAGAAATAATTAATCAAAAAAATGCTAAAGCAGAAACTGATCGTGCTAAACTGGAGGGCAAACCTTTAAAACATGATAGGATTGAAAAGCTTAGACAGGAAGATAAAAATGTGATTAAAACTTCAAGTGTTGAAGCTTCTGTTGTTCGATCTGAAAGTAAACAAGAAAAAAATCAGTCATCTATTGAACGACGACCTTTGAATCATCCTGAGAACTTAAATGACGAAGATATGCAAGCCATTATTTCTGAAAGAAGAAATTTGGATTTGTTGAAACGATCTTCTACAACAAAATTTTCTGAAGGTGAAGATAAAGATTACAGTGAAAGTTCTTTAACTTATGTGAGCGAAGTAAAAGCAGATGAGACAAATAAATATTTTTTCTCTCGTATTCCAACAATTGAGTGCGAAGAACCTTCACTTGAAGAAGAATTTGATCAACCTGAAGGTGATGAAAGATATGAAGCTTTAGATCTTCAAATTTATGATGAAAAAGGTGGAGATGATTTTACATCTTGGAAAGCGATGGAAAATGAAGGTTTTACTGAAAAACAAGCAGATGACTTAAAAACTAATGATACAATTAAAAGCAGTGATGATTTATCTGATCTCACAAAATGCACTGACGAAAAGACAAAACAAGAACAGTTATTATATCAAGCGCAAATCGCAAGTCGCCGAAACTTTTTAAAACTTAATATTGAGAAGTCACGAAGTTCTGACACAGGATCAAGCTTTGATAAAGATGGAACCCCAAATCCTGATGAAAGAAAAAGTTCGAGTACTTCCCAAAGTAACAAAGAAAAAAGTTCAATGGAAGAAGAATCAAGTGTAAGTTGTTCAATAGCAAAACCGCTTGGAATCTCTCAAGAATATGTCGAACCTATTGAACAGATTCGTTGTAAGGAACTTAGAGATGCAATGCTTCGACTTGAAGGCATAGAAGAAGAAGTGAAAATGCCTAGAAAAATATCTCCAACTCTTGAGAAACAACTTCCAGTTGATCTTGGCTCTGGTTCAGAACTTGACAGTACAGACCCAGTAGAAGAAAGAATTTCTAAGATTTTAAGATTTGACGAAAGTGACTCAGGTTCTGATATTAAACCAACAAGACCAAGAATTCAAAAACCACCAAGAGATCTTTCTTTGCAAAAAAAAATTAACAGAACAGTTCCAATAGAAGATTTATCTCAACCACCTGAACAATTGCAAGCTAAAGTAAACAATGCTCACAAGTATTTGAATGCAACCAATAGTGGAAGTTCTCTTGAATCAAAATCAAGCGTTGAATCTCGTGAATCAAATTCCAAAGATTCTTTGGAGACTGAAAGCAGTTCAGGATCTTTGGGAAAAGCAAAAAGAAAAGGTGAACTCACACAAAAACTTATGCAAACAACATGGAAGTCATTTCCAATAGAAAGTTCTGGTTCTAGTAACGAAGAATACTGGCATCCAGATCATGAAACCTACGAAAAGTTTGAAGTTGTTGAATCATTCTCAGACACACCTGTTGACGAACACAAAGAAAGTGATTCTGACTTTCAAGATGATACAAATGAATTTCCTTCAACGTTTAGTTATCCGGAAAGTTCATCAAATTTAAGCGTCAATACTAATCCTGTAGACATAATGGGATACGGAACTGGTTTTGCTATAGGTCGAACATTATCAAGAATTTCTGAAAGAAGCACTAACTCTGAAAAGTCAAGTTGCGAAGAAGAGAAAACAAGCATCGAAGAAGAAATAACTGCTCACGAAGAAGTTGAAGAAGAAGCTTCTGTAGCTTCTAGTGATCATCAGGCTAGTATGAGTTCTGATATTCACAGTAATTCTCATCAGGCTTACATATCTGATACAGATAGAAGGACATCTGCTGAGATGCCTGACATTCCATGTGACTCTGCAGCTGCTGAGAGATTAGCAGAGCTTTACAAATCAAATGTTAAAAAAGCTGGAAGGTTTTCAATACAAAATATTGAGGAAAAAGGAAAGTTGAAAACAGAAATACTTGCTGGATCTGGAAGTAGTCAGGAATCTTGTGAGGATTGGCCACTACCAGAAATTCCTGTCGAGACACCAACAAATCAAGATTGCTTCAAAGCATTTACTATGAGCGATCGACCTGTTCCGAAAATGTTTATGTGGCGTAATAGCACAACTGGAACAACGTCGCAAGAAAATGAACCTTGGCCTTCACCGCCATCAAGTGTCATTGAAACACCTGTTATTGAAGATGTTCAAACCTTCTATATTAACGAGCCTCAGAAGCCTCAACCAGTGACGATTGATTTAGTAGCCGAAAATCAACATGATGAAGATGACGAACCAGATTACGCAGAAGTAGCTGATGTTGCTCCAGATCCACCAAAAAGAGATTACGAACTTTCTGAACCAGTTTCACCTTCCATAGGTTCGGCAACATCACCAACTATTTCAATTATCCTCCCCTATGAAGATGCTTCTTATTTTATGGCGGATAATTCAAAGAAATCCCAAGATCAAACTGGATGTTTCGAATCTCCGCTGTCATCAGCAAACTGTTTAAAATCAACACTTAGAATTTGTGCGAGTAATAAAACAATTTCCAACACTCATCAAGCTCGAATTTCAAGTCCCGATAGAGTAATTGTTACTCAGCCAAGGGGATCAAGTTCGTTACAAAGTCCCATGTCTGAAGAAGAGTTCTTTATGACTGATGAAGTGTTCAGCCCAGGAACTGTAAAAATAGAGATTTCTCCTGATGATGGCCACCCATCAGATTATAACATGCAAAAGTTCTCCCGCAGTTCCAACAATTCAGATACATCTGTTGATGATATGTTATCAGCTTCACTCAGCACTTATGTTGATGACTCTCAACGACGAAGTAGCTTAGAACCAAGACGGTTGAGTAGTCCATCTTGCAAACGTTGTAGTGGTGGAAGTCATTCTGAAGAAGAAACAAGTTCTTTCGGTACAGATCTTGACGGAACAGTTAAAATGGGCGTCCCAGCTCGTAGATGTACTCACAGTTCTCATTCAGAAGATACATCGATTGGTGTCAGTTTATCGGAATGGTCCACAGGTACAAACACTGTGAGACAGTATGCAAATCTTTCTGGCAGTGATAGCTTATCAGCGGTATCTAATCATTCTGGTGCTATAAAGAGTGAGACGAATAATACCAAATCGAGCATCAGTTCATTCAACAAATCTACGGACAGTTTAAATGAAAAAAGTATCAGTTTGTCAGGTGGTAAAAATATTCCTTATTCCTTTGAAAATTTATCAAAAGATGCAAATTCTGAAACTGATAAAATCACCTCGTCTGGAACAAATGACGAATCAACATTGACTTTGACTGAGATGGTTCATAGCATTACCGAGTGGTCTACAAGTTCAAGTCAAACTCTTGTTGATCACGATGCAAACAAACCTCCACAACAAATGGATTATAAATTCATTGACAAAAGTAAAACATCTATTGAATACACACCTTTGAAGCCGCCTAAAAATGTGAAACGTTTAACAACTGACAAAGATTCTTTGCCAGGTATTCATGCAAATGTTGCTAAAACTAAAATCGAAACAAGTACTACGCAAACAATCACAAAACCTACCCCAATAAGACTTCCACCGAAAATTGTTGACATGATTGAGAAACCAGTAATTTCTATGAAGCCAAAAATTCCACCTCCACCAATTGAAGAATCTGAAACACCGTCTGACTCGAATGGATCAAAACCAGCTGTTACAGATAAGAAAAAGATTTTCAAAATGATGTCACAACAATATAAGAGTCAAGACATTTCAGAATCTGAATCGTACAGTGACAAACTTTATAATCAAAACGAGAAACTGACTGAACGTTATCAAAGTCAGGAATTCTCTCCTTTCTCAGCACCATCGAAACCACCACGAGAATCAAAAGGGCAAGACAAGTCATTGTCCAAGCATCACAGTTACGATGACAAGACTTTATCAAAATCACAAATTCGTGAATATAAATCTTCAAAAGTTCGTCAAAGTCAATCGTTCCATGAACATTTATTGTCGAGTGATTTGAATAAAATTGAAGAAGAAAAATTAAGCTCATCTCATACGAGTGAAACGACAAGCACTGAAAATTCTTCACCAATGTTTTCACGACCAGAACGATTAGCGAAATGTTCGCCTTATTATTCGAGCAGTTTAAGTTCTGACACTCCTGAAGTACATCATATAATTGCAAAACCGCCTCGCAAACCTTCCTTGCCGAAAGCTTTACCATCACAAAGCAGCAACGATACTGACAGTTCATTAGATTTTCGTCAGAATGATCCGGCACGTAATCGTGGTTATCGTAAGAAGAAACAAATTCCATCAACAAAACGAATTAGAATTGATCGACCGATGGAACAAGAAAGCTCTGAATGTTCCGAAGGCTATTTTCCCGACATCCACTCAAGCAGTTCTGACAATGCCAAAGCTGAAATCAAATACCCTGACTTTGAGGAAGAACCTGAAATGATTCCCGAAGATTGCGATGAATACAATTACAGAATTGACAACAGTAAAATCGGATCATATCCAAGTACAAGTACATCGACAAAATTTGAGACTTTAGATTTATCTGAAAATGTTGATGAAATGGGATTTCCCCGTTATGACCGTTTACGTAACATGACTAATCCTCCGAGTTATAAGCCTCCAGCTAAACCTGTTCGACAAAAAAAGAAAATACAGGGCAAGAATGAAAGTTATGTGGGAGTTCATTATGGACAAGACAGTGGCAGTGGAACTGAAACTAAAGCTGGCTTGTCCGATGAAATTTACTACTCCAGCGAAGACAGTTTTGCTGCAGGTTTTCTCCATCAAAAGCAACAATCTGTCGGTCATTATGTAAAGAACGTTGAACTCCCATATCCAGATTTTCTTTCAGACTGCGAAAATGAACCCGGCACATCGTATCAAAAGAATGATTCTGAAAAAAGTTTCGACTCTGACGAAGATGATACAAGTGGCAACGACAAAAAATTTTAAATGATTTCAAAAATTTAAATGAAATATATTGATTAACGAAATTGATAACATGACGACAATGACCTTGCGCACCATTTGATATTTCTCATAAATTGGCTTTCAATTTTAATTCATTGTTAAAAGAAATATAAAGGCATACACTTTGGTTTAATATTTCGGTAATCTTTCACTTATGTACTTAAATCATTCATCTGAATAATGATAAAGACACATTCAAATTGCATAAATTTTCTTATCTTTGTATGTGAACACAAAACTTTTATGATGATAAATAACCATTAGATAAATAATTCATATTTTTCGTTTCATAAATATTAAGATAATTGGAGAAAAGGTTTTTAATATTTTTTCCATAAAAATATTTAACTTGATAGATTAATTCATGAAAATTCTTCAGAGCATTTTTATAGGATAAAACTCTTCATTTTCGTGAGATTTTATAGAGGCTCAATAATCAAACTTAAAAAATCTAAAAAAATCAAAAGAAGAAATGTTTACTTTTAAGAAGAAAGAAAAAACTTTTTAGAGACCTTACACGAGCTGCTGTTTTCCCTCAGCTTTTTATTTCATTAGCCTCTGATGAGGTGATTTAAGTTTACGACGAATTCAAACCGAATTAGATTTGTAGATGAAAGTCACAAGATGCAGATACATATTCCAGATAGTCAAGTGCCAAAAAATCAGTTGGTTTTCCTATTGGGAAAAGATTTTCCTTTCCAAGGTTTTACCAAATCAAATGCTAAAGAAAATTTATTTTTCTCCTATCACATTCCATTCTAGCTCTTTATCAAAAAGTTCAAAGATAAATTAATAGCCAAATTAAAGTATTTATTGAGAACATTTATAGTTTCTAAATATTTTAATGAAAACGATGATAAATTAAAATATTGAATATAATAGTTGATAACTATGAAGTCGTATAATAAATGTTAGAATTGAAAAACTGTTTGAAAGATGTGAAGAAAATGTTTGTGTTATGTTATGTTTCGAAAGAATACATTAACGATCAATAATTTGTGTTCAGCTCAATATCAAATCAAAACAATTTGATGACTAATTATGTTGAAGATTAAAAATCTATTTATTATGATCACCGGATGAATCCAGGACGAAGAGAAATTTATGTTGTGAAAATAAATTGATTACAAGCAAGATTAATGTGGAATAAGTTCAATTATTCCTAATTTAATTCATGATCTCATGTTTTATTAGCCTTCAAAATAAAAAAAAATATATAAAAGAGAATTAATATCAATATGTTGATTAAAAGTCATGACACTTCACGGGTAATCAAGTGTCAACATTTTTTCATAGTTAAGAAAGTTTTTTGAAATATTTTATAGTTTAGAATTTCTTAAAATATTTTAGTGTCCTCATACTTCCACCGCCGCAAGATCAGCCAAAATGAAATGATGAGAATGATTAAAAATTTACACGTTTTATTGTAACAATTTACTCATTGAACATTTTTAATGCAAAGCATTCATGCACGTTATATAAATTAAATTATAATAAAGAAAATAATATGAATAAAAGTTCTTTCCAAAAAGTCGTATAAATTAATATCAAAGAATCAATTTCCATTTGCGTCATATTTCGTGAAAATTCTTTCTTTCCAAGCAAGTTTTTGAAGAAAAATGAAATACGAAAATAAACTTCGTAGGCAAGGTAATGGCGATAATTTTAAATAAATATAAATGTGTTAATTTGCCAACTTAAGAAAAGCATGAAGTATTTTTTTATAATTGCTTAGAGATTTAAGTTCATTTTATAAAAGTTTCTTCTTCTTTTTCTTATTTGAAAGGTGTAACCTTCGTCTTTATAATTTTGTGAAAAATTCTTTGATAATTACAACAAAAAATAAATAAATTAGCATGTGAAAATTATTCCTGATTAAGAGATGATTTAATTAAGATGAGAAACTGTTAATTAGAGTTCTAATTTATAAGCTTCATTTAAGCATGAAATAATTTGTGTATCTGATTAATTTTAAACTTTTGTAATGTTTGTTGACTGCGGAAAATTCATTTTCATCGAAATTTCGGTGTCATGTGAACTTTTCATCAATTCTCATAATTTGTAAACGAATATTGAATTATCATTTATTAAGTTTTTCTGTTTCCCCTGAAGTCGTTTTATAAATTCGTGTTTAATATTTATTTGACCTGAAATTTAATCAAGAATTTCTTCATTTCTATTTAAATAAAATTTCATTTTTCATTTCCTAAATATTCATTTCAGATTACCATGGCATAAATGGCAATGTCTCGTTAGATCGCCGTAGTGAATTTGTGCAATCACCAAATCGTTACGATCTTTCACTGGGCTCTGATAAATCTGCGTCATCACGAAATGGAACGACAACATATGATGTTTTTGAAGCGGAAAGAAATAATCAAGAAAACATAATAAACAACAACACAATGGTCTCGTCACCCACGTCTATTGGATCGACACAGACAAATGGAAACAATGGAACATTAGACAGAAATACTGACACGTATAAGAAGAAATGGCCTACCGATAAAGCTTATTTTCTGAGCAAGGAAATTTTAATGACAGAAAGAACTTACAAACGTGATCTTGATGTCATTAATTCTGTAAGTTTTCTATTGAATTATAAAATAAACTAATTTCACGAATATCTCTCAAAATTTCCAGCGTTTTCGTAAAATGCTTGGACCAGAAGACGTTGAAAACCTTCAACCACTCTTTGACTATTTCGATTCTATGGTGCAACATCATTCAATCTTTCTTCGTGACTTGGAACATCGCATTGTTGTGTGGGAGAATCGTGGCGAAGAGACGCATCGAATTGGCGATGTTATGCTTAAGAATATGGTTGTTTTACCGATTTATGAAGAGTACGTTGAAGTTCATCGAGAAATTCTTCAAAGACTCAACGATCTTTTCACATCCGATGATCGATTCCAACAGATTTACAAAGAGTTTGAACAAGAAAAGGTTTGCAAGCTTCGTAACAATTATTTCATAATGTAATTAATTATTTCATTCTAGGCTTGTTATCTTCCAATTTGTTTCTTTCTACTTAAACCACTCCATCGTTTGCTGCATTATCAAACTTTAATGGAGTTACTACTTGAGTATTATTCTGATGAAAATATGGACAAAACAGACGTTCAAGGTGCTTTGGTTATGCTTTCACGGACAAACGAGACGATTCGTGAGGCAATCAACGAGTCTGAAAACTTTGTGTTACTTTGTGAGATTCAACGTGATTTGAGTGGATTCGATTCGCTTGTTCAAGATGAAAGAAAGCTTATTAGGCAAGGTTGTTTATTAAAGCATTCAAGACGAGGTTTACAACAGCGAATGTTCTTCTTATTCACCGATGTTCTTATCTATGCAAGCAAGCCACAATTCTTGCAAACATTTAAGGTGTTAGGTCATGTTCCAGTGCGTTCATTATTAACAGAAAATTCCGAGCATAATTCCTTCGTGATTTTCGGTGGTGGAATTTCAATCACGGTATCAGCTGGAACAACTTTCGAGAAGAACTTGTGGATGGAAGAATTACAAAAAGCTGCTACAAGTCTGAAATATCGTACGCCACAACTACAAACAACTTTCAATGGAATGAAGTGTTGCAGTAAGTTAAGATATTTATAAAAAATAATTAAGTTAATTTGACGTTTTGCATCTTCAGCTTCATCTGAAGAAGGTCTCGAGATGTGTGGATTAAATGTCATGACACCGACTAGTGTTAAAGCTCCAACATCAAGAAACAATACGGCATTGCATGTATGTTGGCATCGTGGAGTGACGATAAGCCTCGATGATCATATCAAATCTTCGGAAAATCATATCTCAGGATATTTGTTGAGAAAGTTTAAAAACTCTTCGGGATGGCAAAAATTATGGTAAAATTTATTAATTTCTTTCTTTAATAGGAAAAAATTTAATTCACTTCTCTTCCAGGGTCGTCTTAACACAATTCTGCTTATTCTTCTACAAGAGTTATAATGACGAAATTCCTTTAGCATCTTTGCCTCTCTTGGGATATTCAGTTGGACCACCAGACGTTCAAGATGCTGTTCAGAAAGATTTTGTTTTTAAACTCTCCTTTAAGAATCACACATACTTCTTCAGAGCTGAGAGCGAAATCAGTTATGAAAGGTGGTTGGATAATCTTAAAGGCATTTGCAATCAAAAATATATTAGATCGTAGAAGCAATTAAGGTTCCCTTATGAAGTGACAGTGAATAATTAGGGTAAATGGACCATTAAAGGAATAAAATATACGAAGAAAAACAGCGGATAAAACTTTATTTTCATAAACATTATAAATAACTTTATTAAAGATTAGGGAATGTGTCAAAGCGAAGAAAAACATTTCAAAAATATTTAATTAATGAGTCACATGACGAATATTTACTTAATTTAATCTGACATTTCATGTTTTATTTTGTATTTGATGTGAAGAGTTTCTGATTACAGTTGGCCAAGTAAAATATTGAATTGCGAGGTTTCTTTCTTTTAATTTTCATTACGTCAAAATTGGAGCTTCTTCAAATGGGCATTGTGCAGCCAATTTTGGAATTAATTGTTGATTTATCTGAATTGAAGAGCTGAAATTTTCATTCAAGCACTCGTTCGAGGATAAATTACAATAAATTAATTTTGGCAATCCCTCGAATGCTTTGGCATGAATTTCTTTGATCTTATTCGAATCTGTAAGTTTTATAAGACAAAACAAATTAGAATCCTTCACATTTACATAAAATTAAAGGATTTTCTTACCAAGTCTTATTGCTTTCAACGATGTCAAACCTTTGAAAGTGTCTTCATTGATTGATCTTATTTTATTATTATTCAACAATAATTTTTAAAGTTTCAAAAGTCCTTTGAAATTTTCCTTTGAAAGTGATTCAACTGAACCATGAGCAGCATTGTAAAGTTTCAAATTGGGAAATGATTCAGCGACTTTTACAGGTAGGAAACGGTTTTTGTTATTCTCAATTTTGATTTCAATAACTGATCCATCGGAATAAGAACTCAGCTCAACTCCTACTACATTTATATCGTCTGTTATTATGCATGTTATATGTTCTTGCCCTACTTCTTTTTCCAACGATGAACACGAAACTAATTCACTTTTAATCTCAGAAATAATTAAAAGAAGTAAACACGTTATTGAACTTAATTTCCTATGTGATGAAACGAAAGAATTAAAAACATTTTCTAGAATTTTAGTATTTTTCAACTCACTTCATTATCAACTTTCTGTTTGAACGTCCACTTTGAGATTAATAAAAGTTCCTCGAGAGTTTCGATTAAAATAGGTAATATTATTAAAAATGATAAGAAATTTCCTCAAAATTGTTACTACATATTTATTTTTTAAGAGGAATT